CCCCTTGACGGAGCACGAGATGAGTGCGCTCCGAGATTACATCAAGGATAATCTGGACAAAGGTTTCATCCACCGAAGTATCTCCCCTGTCGCAGCACCGATCCTGTTTGTCAAGAAGAAGTCAGGGGAACTCAGACTGTGTGTCGACTACCGTTGACTCAACCACCTGGGCAAGAAGCAATCCTACCCGTTGCCCAACATCAAAGAGATGTTCCGCAAGGTTCGACGAGCTCGCGTGTTCTCCAAGCTAGACCTCCGAGGGGCCTACAACCTCGTGAGCATAGCGGTGGACCACGAGTGGCTGACGAGTTTCACCTGTCCCCTTGGACAATTCGAGTACCTCGTTATGCCCTCTGGCCACCAAGGCCCACCAGCTACTTTCCAAGCACTCATGGACCACGTTCTCAAGGACCTTGGACACTGCACCGCTATCTACCTTGATGACATACTAGTTTTCTCGGACGACCCTCTGAGCACGAGGCACATGTACAACTCGTGCTCGAGCAGCTGAGGTTAACTGACTCTTTTGCAAACTGGAGAAATGCCAGTTCGATGTGGACGAGGGAGAGTTCCTCGGCCACATCGTCAACACCCGCGGCATCAAAATGGATCCTAAAACGTCCAAGCCGTCCTCGACTGGGAGGCTCCACGCTCGGCGAAGCAGCTCCAAATGTTCCTTGGCCTAGCAAACTACTACCGGTCATTCATCGCCAACTTCAGTGGCATCGCTGCGCCACTACACAAGATGACAGGAAAGAACAACAAGTTCAACTGGGACGCAACTGCCCAGTGCGCATTCGATAGTCTCAAGGAAGCCTTCACCACTGCACCGGTGCTCACGCATCCCAACCCAGACCTACCGTTCATCGTTGAGACGGACGCCAGTGACTTTGCCATCGACGCCGTGCTCTGTCAGGAAGGACCAGACGGCAGTGTACATCCAACATGCTACTTGTCGCGCAAACTCACAGCCCCCGAGATCAACCACGAGATATACGACAAAGAACTCCTGGCGATCGTCACCGCTATGAAGGAGTGGCACCACTTCCTGGCCGGCTCCAAGCACAAGACCATAGTCCATAGCGATCACCGAAACCTTGTGTACTTCACAACCAGCCGAGTACTCAACCGCCGTCAAGCGAGATGGTCCATGTTCCTGACCGAGGTCGATTTGGAAATTGTATACAAGCCCGGCAAAGATATGGTGGTTGCGGACGCCCTCTCCCGAAAGCCTCAGCTGGAGCTTGCCGAGGACGATCCTGCACGTCTCCAACAGAGACAAGCGATGCTCAGGCCAGAGCACTTCCGGATCGCGGCCCTCCAGGCACAGTCACTCACAGAGTTCGAAGAGAGAGTCAAGCAAGCACTGTCATCCAACCAATAGGCGCAAGAAGTGATGGCAGATCCCGCCAAGCCAATGCACAAGGCATTCAAGTCTGTCGATGGCCTCCTCTACCGCGACGAATTGCTGTACATCCCAACAACGGAGCTTCAGCTCGAAGTCCTCCGAGATTGTCATGGCTCGAAGACCGCGGGGGCATTTTGGGAGGGAAAAAACCATCGAGCTGATCACGCGAAACTACTGGTTTCCCAGGATGCACCAAATAGTGGGCAACTGCTTCAAGTCATGCGAGGTGTGTTGTCGCGCCAAGCCGGTCCGACACACACCCTACGGGTTACTAAACCGCTCCCGATCCCAGAAGCGCCATGGAGTGCAGTGTCCATGGATTTCATCGTCGAATTGCCGAAATCCGAGGGTTACGACGCCATCGTGGTCTTTGTCGATAGACTGATAAAGATGGCCCACTTCCGCGCCTGCAACGTCGCAATTACAGCCGAAGAGACAGCCAAGCTCTTCGTCGACACTGTGTTCTGGGAGCACGGGCCCCGAGATCCATCGTCTCGGACCGAGGCCCCCAGTTCAAGTCAGCCTCCTGGAAACGATTTCACGAGCTCCTGGGAACGTCAGTCGATCTGTCGAGTGCCTATCACTCCGAGGATGACGGACAGTCAGAGAGAGTCAACAGCGTCCTCGAGTCGCTCCTACGCTGCTGCTGCGGTTATCAACAGGATGACTGGGCATCCCTTCTCCCCTTGGCGGAGTTCGCATATAACCACTCGGTGCATGCGAGCACCAAAACGACCCCGTTCTATGCAAACCATGGCTTCCATCCGGTGTGCGACTTCAAGACCATAACATAATCTAAGATTCCGGCAGCTGTGGAACACGTCCGACATCTCGAGCAGGTGCTCGACGACCTCAAACAGCACCTTCGTGGAGCCCAAGAGAAGCAAAAGCGCTACGCCGACCGACACCGCAAGGCCATTAACATTCTTGTGGGGTCCAAGGTATGGTTATCGAGGCGCAACATCAGGACCCAGAGACTTTGTCACAATCTTGATTGGAAACGATTGGGACCCTTTGAGGTCATCGAGTGTATCAACGAAGTCGCATATCGCCTCCAGCTGCCAAAGTCGATGTCCAAGGTCCACCCGGTGTTCCATGTCTCGCTCCTCGAGCCAGTACATGCGAACACGATTCCAGGAAGAACAGTTGCCCCTCCACCACCCATCGCAATTGAAGACCATGAAGAGTATGAAGTGGTGAGAATCTTGGACGCACGCAAGAGAGGTAGACGTGTGGAATACCTCATACGATGGAAATGGTACGGACCCGAGGAGGACGCGTGGGACCTGAGGAGAATTGCACAAGCGCCCCTGAAGTCGTCCGCGCGTTTCATGAACGCTATCCAGACAAACCCCGTGGACAACTTTATCAACATCGTGCTGAGAGCGTAGGGGGAGGACTTGAGAGGGAGGTGATGTAACGGAACGTGCTACAGAGCGCAGCACGGAGGGCCGGAGAAGCTTCCAGCACCAAGCTGTACTGCGCCCCACCCGTTTGCCTTCCGCAGGCACTCGCCGGGACGCCCGCCAGTGCAGATAAAAGCTGCCTGTTGTTTGGCCTCAATAAACCAGCAGGCAAACAATGCCGTTTAACCCAGCTTGCCCCGATCGTCTTCCGCTTTTCTCCTTGCCATCTGAATTTGCCACCCTTTTTGTCATGTCCTCGCCTCTACCCAGGCCTGCTCAGTTCCATACCCACTCCACTCAGCTACTCGTTGAACTTGGCGCCTGAAACAAGTTCCATCCTGTTGTTTGGGGGGCCAAGCTGCCTCGCCACATCATCCACAGACCCGCACGGACAATCCTACTCTCAGTTACACGAAGCGGAGATGGCCATGATGGACCGGATAGTGGCCGATGGATCATCCCGGTTTTATGTCAAGTGGGTTTGTTCCCCACACTCGAATTACATATGGTATTCCCTGGAGAATTCACCCCATGTTACCGTAGAGATTGTGCTTCCAATACCGTCCTGTGCTCTTCGAATCAACGAACCATGACTCACCACCGTATTGTGCTCCTGCGATCGGTTCTGTCACCGTGTTTCTTCGCGAGTTCGGCTCGTATAAGCATGCGAGGTACTTCCCGAACTCAGTCGTCCGTTTCAGTCGCCTTGCACTGTCCATCCCTGCCTTTCCCTGCCCTGTGCCGCATCCCTTCTTGTACTGTCACAGAGACCTCGCGTGACTCATCTCCGACTGAGCTCGATGGTACCGTCATTTGACCGCTGAGGGAATTGAAGTACTCAGGGACCAGAAGAGATAATCACCAAGTCAAATACCTCCCTCCTCTTTCAATATGATCCCATCCCTCCTCTGGAACATTTCCTCCTCCCTATTGCCACAATCCCTTTCCTTGTATATCGTGACCCTTTCGTCAATGGCCGGTCGCGCGGGACCCAATGCGATAATATTGACATTGTGCTCTCAGTATTGCGTCAGTCCACAAATGGCCTCTGGGCTCTGAATCCCGCTTCTTGGATCTCATTAACTGGCACATTAAATGCCCCTCGCTATCCTTTATTCAGCCCTTGCAATTCTATAGAATTCATCCTCGGCGGTTGGTGGCAGAATCAATTGATACGGTGATCATAGGCGATCGAGTGCCCTTCGAGCCCCTTCGTGACCCTGGCCTGCCGCTCTTTTGAACCAGTAACGAGCCTACATCGATGTTTTTGGTCACGCCTCTCCCATACTGATAGCAACAGCCGAGCTGCAACTGAGCCTCTCCATTTCCTTGATTAGCCGCTTTGGTGTACCATCTGTATGCCATGGACCAGTTCTGGCTGGCACGGCTGCCTGCAGCGTAGGCATTCCCGATCTCCAATTGCGCCCACGCATGGCCGCGAAGGGCTGCCTGCCAGTCGGGGTCTTCTTCCATTCCGTCACCTGGGTTCTCGAGGGAGGTTTCCAATTCGAGACGGCGGACACCCTCAGTGAGGATATTGGACGATGCACGGCTTGCAAATCCAGAGTCGTGTTGGGGCTCCAAGGGCAGGGGGGTGTACCTGTGTTCATTCGGCGTGACCTGCCGATCAAGATCGACTGTTGGTTTGAGGACGGCCAGTCGACTGAACACCTCATCAAAGGGCGGGCGTTTGGCTGGATCCTGGTGCCAGCAGTCCCCAATAGTTGTGCATGCTGCTTCAGGGGTCCCCTCAGGAATGGCAGGGCGGAATCCTTGTAAGACTGCGACCACGACCACATCGGGAGCCATCACGTCTCCGTCGGCGGCCAAGAATATGGGGAGACAGTCCATGAGGGCCTCGCAGCAGAGAATTCCAAAGGCGTAGACATCGGTGGCGGCGGAGGCACCCTTTGGCTTTTTGAAGGATAGCATCTCGGGTGCCTTGTACATCAAGGTTCCCCCAATATACAGGGCTGGGTCGCGGGCGGTCGAAGATGATGATGGCACTCTTGGTGCGGGCAAGCCCAAAATCACAAATCAGAGCTTCAAAGCTTGGTCCAATGAGCACATTCAACGATTTGAGATCTGCATGGATGATGCTCTTGCTGTGGAGATACGCCATGCCCGAAGCGACTTCGCTCATCAAGCGGAGCTTCTCGGCCAGGGGGGCGACGGACGGGCCCGCCCAAGTACGATTTGAGGGTGCTGTTTTCCATGAAGGGCGAGACCATGAAGAGCTTCTCTACAGTGTCGCAGGCGCCGCGGAGGGGCAGGATGTGGTTGTGGCTCAGTTGATGCCATACCCGAATCTCTCTTCGAAACTCGCCAATCTCTTGTTCGAGGCAGCTGCACCTGAGTTGCTTCACGGCAACACGGGTTCCAAAGTATGTGGCAGTGTAGACATCACCGAAGCCACCAGAGCAGATGGGCTTGGCGGACCAGTTGGTGATAGATTCGGGGAAGATTCGCCAGTCTTCTACTTGGACGGATTTGGCGACAGGGGATGCATCTTGCAGTGATTCTAGGAGGGGAACGATCGTCCTGTCTTTCAGGACGGCATTGGTGGAGCTGTCGTCCCGGAGTTTCTGAAGGGCGGTGACTGCCTGGCGCTGCTGCCAGTCTTGCTGGCCGCTGACAAGAATGTCAAGTCTCTGCATGACGAGACTGTGGTTCTGCTGCATCATCGCAACAAGCTCGTTGATCTGTGTCTCGGCCAAGTCTTCGTCTTGCCTCAGGGCATGCCTGAGCTCGGCTTCGTTGAGCCGGTTGTTGCTGTCGATGGCGAGTGCCAGAACGACATTTTGCCAGAGGGACTCGAGCTCATGGCAGTACTGCTCGATTTGGCGGCGGATCTTGTCCGATTTGAAGACCCGCTGGACCTTGTGGAGGGACTGAACCTCGTTAAAATGGAATTCGAGGATGGTATTGAAGAAGACAGTCAGCCTGTCCGCTTGCTCGGCGAATCCACGGGCATCTGTCCGAGACCGGGAGAGGGTGAACAAAATGTCACGGGAACGACTGGCCAGGAAGGCCCACGACTTTTGATTCTCCTCCACCTGCTGGACGGCGGTGAAGAGGGCCTTGGCGGCTTGGACGAGGCCTTGGAAGGAGCCACCGGAATGGTGGACCAGGGCAGCGATGCCGCTGACGACAATGGCGATTTCAAGAACAGGCATGGTTGGGATCAATCCTGGGAGAGGGATATGCAATGGCGCGGCCGGTGGATGTGCAGGAGAGAGGAATCTCAGGATCGTCTCCGTGGTCAGCCCCTGTTTCAACTGGGGTTGATGCCGATGTGGCGGTGAACAGCCGCTTGTGTTGCACACCAGGACGAGACACTTGACACCCGGAATGACAGCTGGCTGTGTGGGCATCAGCCGACCTTGGTTTGGAGAGAGCGGTCTCGTCTTCTTCTTTGGAATTATCATGTCATTTGCCCAGGACGCGCTAGAATTCGACGACCCACTCCACAAATATGTCGTTGAACTTGATCTCGTGGAAGTTATACTGGCTTGGTGTTTCTCACACTAAATAATCGCGTGCAGAACGGCGAACGCATGGGTGACGGTGCTTTGTTGGTTAGTGTTGATTCCTAACTGGTGGTTGACCGGAAGCGCAGATCTGGGAGAGGAAATCGGATGAGGTGCATGCTGGATAGCGGAGATCAACAGCAAGCCGTCGGTCAGTGGGATCGTTCATGGACCCGCATAGCAGAATGAGCAAACAGGTTGGTGGCAATCAGCACCACTATGCCATCGAACGATTGAAATCAGTGAAGGTAGGACGTGCTGCTACCATTGCCGGCCTCCCGGAACGACTCGACAATGTATAATTAGTGCAAATTGGTTTCTCCAGCGGGGCAGAATGGACCACGAAAGGGAGGGAAACTGATCGAAAATGAGAGTCGATGAGAGTGCTATGGGATGATGCTGGGTGTTGGCGATTCCGAAAGCGCCTTCAATTCCACACCAATCGCAGGGACATCCTGAGCTAACGACATTGTCTGTGCATGCAACATATCTTGGTTGAGATGGTGTGGCTGGGATTGCTTGTGGGAGCACTTTCGACCAACGATTTTCAGCATCCACCAGCACAACAGGATGACCACGACGGCGATCGGATTGTCGGCACGATTGAAGGGGATGTAGGTGGTGCAGTTGTTCGTGGCTACACTGTGACCCCACTGAGATAGAGGGTCACAGCGGCTCGTTTGGAGAGTCCATGGTGGTCACCATTGCGAAATTGTTGCCAAGCATGGGAGACATCAAGTGTCTCGTGAACATGTGGGCTGGGAGATACTGTTTCGCAGACGAGCACTTTGGGATGGTGTGCAAGTATTCCCCCCGGCTCCACGTTTCGTCACTCCAGACCGTTGGAGCTGCAGCATATTGACATGGCAGAGCCATGCGCTGAATTCTAGGCCATCGAGGCGATGAAGGACGCCTGAGGGTGGCCACACGAGCCCACAAGCCCCGCTGATGAGCAACATATCCACATTCAATCCCATAATCACAGAGCTAAGTTTTGGCCGATAAGGCGCCAGAGCCATCATCAACACCAGTCCATCATCGGCCATGGGACAATACCGCTCTGGCTGTGCAAGTGTGTGTGCCATGTGCCTTCGATAGCCAATACCTGGTTTGCCAGTATTGGGTTTGTTTCACCAAATCTTCCCTCAACGTCTCCAGTCCAAAGAGCAGCATATCTGCATCTGGTGGAGTCATGGCAAGGCGTCGTGGGCGAGCTCATACTTCATCATCGGACGCTGGAATGTGCGATCTGTGATCTTCAGTGTCTTGACCGAAAGGTTTCCGAGGTCAGACCCATATTGACCATATTAGATGCTGGCTCTCTCGTCCTGATTCTCTCGTCCTGGCCATCGTTCGGTCAGCTGGTCAATTTGTTTTTCGGTGCGGAGCCCATTTGTATCAATCACGGTGCCGAGGATGCTCTCGATCTGAAGCCGTCACGTGGATCGTTGAGGTTGCATGCGATGAGAATGAGACAGTGCGTTCAGTTTTTCACAAGCGCAGCAAGAACCACCACTCGTCTGCCATCGTGCGTGGACAGGTCGCTCGAATGCATGTTCGTATGTCCTGGATCATTGCTCGCGTATGCGCCGCCGCTGTTCCAAACACCAACTGCGCACCAATCGATTGGCTTGGAGCAGCGTGACTTGCTGCGCATGCGCAGCGCATCATGCGCCACATGGTTCGAGTCACTCGATGTGGCTGTGGCTGGCTGGCTGCGACACCGACAAGCGAGAGCCGAGGAGATAGGCTCTCGGCGCTCTCTCTCCCAGCGAGGGGAGGCACCGTCGTCCTCGCGATCTGCAGATATTTCTTCGCTCCTCTGACCCCTCCTTGCCCGCACACTTCCCGAGATCGTCGAGCAGCCATGGACGCATTCAAGCATCTCAACCACGTTTTCCACGCTCACGCGGCTGTCGCTGATGCCAAAGCCTGGACTGAACTTCTGAAAGCTGATCCCCCGCATGGCGCTCTCTCCAACCATGCTCTTGCCAAAACCCTTGTTGTCAAGCCCAAGGGTGGCAAGGGACCCGATGTTCCGTTGATGATCGTCGCCCTCGACTCGACGGCCACGAACCTCAACGCCATTGCCAAGCATCTCGGCAAGAAAGAGGCTCGCATGGCTAATGATGATCTTATCAGCGCCACTTTGTCGATTTCGAAAAATGATGGTAGGTCCTTCAGGCGCCGAATGGTCACTACGTTTAGGCCCTTTCGTTGCCCTCATCTTTGGACCGCCAGCTGTCAATCTGATCTCTGATCGTCCATCTGCCTTCACTGCCGTCCTGTTGGTCGTACGGTTTCTCATCACGGTTCTCTATTCAGTTACCCCCTTCGCGCTCTCAAACGTCGTCGACAAAGCCACCATTGGTGTTGTTATTGATGATAATGTCTTTGCCGATCCTGAACGATTCCTTGGCTTCCGAGCCTTTGCACCGGACAAGACCCTGTTTGTTCAAGCCGCTCACGTCAAATCCTTCCTCGAAGACAACGGGGTTGACGCCACCATCCTGAACTTTGAGCAGCTTGCCTCGTCTGCGCCTGCGTCGACCACCTCAACCCCCAAAGAAACCAAGGCGTATGTTGACCTTTGCTGGTGTGCCACCCGCATCGCTCACCGGCCCGAATTGATTCCGGCTGGTTGTCGAATTCGATCTATTGCCCACCCAAACCAAAGTAGACTTGTCTCGGCCTGCGTTTTCCTCGTTGGTGGACTCCATGGCTGCCTTGTTGTATGTGGGTCTGTCCATCGCTCGCCTTGGTGCTCTGCGCGATCACACTAACAGACTGTCGCATATACCTCCCACGTTATCAATATCACGAATTCATGTGGATATTAGCGCCAAGGTTGCAAAGCCTGTCGCGACGGCTGCTACCAACGCTGACTCTGGCGACAAGCAGATTCTGATCGGTATTGATGCCAAAAAAGACGAGGACTTCTCGACTTGGTACACCCAGGTTTTGACCCGTACAGAAATGATGGATTATTATGACATCAGTGGATGCTACATCATTCGTCCATGGGCATTCAAAGTCTGGAAGTCCATTCAGCGTAAGACTACCCTGCCCGCTCCTTTGCTCCCTTGACCCTCTTGCTGTGATCACACCCCCCTCTCTCTCCTGTCCTGAACGACTCACCAAGCTTTCTCCCGATCCGGTAATCGCTGCAGAATTTTTTGGGTCGGCTATCGAGGACCTTGGTGTTGAAGACTGCTACTTCCCCATGTTTGTCTCTCACCGTGCTTTGGATCGCGAGAAAGACCATATCGAGGGTTTTGCTCCCGAAGTCGCTTGGGTGACTAAGGCGTAAGTAGCGGTAGCCCATCCCCTGTTTGCCGTTTCCTCTGCGCTGGTTGCCTGGAAAGAGCACGTTCTGTTGAGCTTGCTTTACCCTGAATCTCAACTTACCGCTCGTAGTGTTTCTGGATTGGACTTGAACGTGTTTGCACATTTGCCCTGAATCTGATCCACATTCTGCACCCTGGTCCATACCCTGTATCCATGCCCACCCTTCCTGATTATGGCTTGTTGATGGTTCCCGCAGTGGATCCTCTGATCTGGCAGAGCCCATCGCCGTCCGTCCAACCTCCGAAACGGTTATGTACCCTGCATATTCACAGTGGGTCCGAAGTCACCGCGATCTTCCCTTGAGGCTCAATCAGTGGTGCAATGTCGTCCGATGGGAATTCAAGCATCCCCGTAAGCTACTATTTATGGCACAATCTGCTCCGGATTGTGAACCTGCAATGCACAGACTGCCTCCGCAACTCGGGCCCCTACCGTCAACAGACCAACTCGCAGCATGTTTTGTCGGCCCCTTCTCACTCATATCCACCATCTGATCGTCGTCCTGTCTCCCTGCCCGATTATGCCGTAGAGCCCTTCCTTCGTACCCGAGAATTCCTGTGGCAGGAGGGTCACACAGTCTTTGCTTCCAAAGAGGAGGCAGATAAGGAAGTTCTGGATATCCTTGATCTGTACCGACGTGTGTACGAAGACCTTCTTGCTGTTCCCGTCGTTCCCGGACGAAAGTCAGAAAAGGAAAAGTTTGCCGGCGGCCTGTACACCACCACCGTCGAGGGCTTCATCCCCACTAGCGGCCGTGCGATCCAGGGTGCCACTTCCCACTGCCTGGGTCAGAGCTTCTCCAAGATGTTCAACATCATGATTGAAAATGAAAACAAGGAACGAGTCCATGTCTGGCAGAACTCATGGGGTATCACCACTCGAACCATCGGCGTGATGGTCATGGTTCATGGTGACGACAAGGGGCTTGTTTTGCCTCCGCGTGTGGCCAGCATCCAAGCGATCGTCGTTCCCGTAGGCATTACGGCCAAGACCACCGATGCTGAGCGACAGGCCCTGTACGACAAAGCCAACGAACTCGTCTCGACTCTGAAGGCGGCTGGCGTCCGTGCCAAATCCGATACTCGTGACAACTACACCCCTGGCTACAAGTATAACCACTGGGAAATGAAGGTAGGCTGTGAGATGGAAAGTCCGGGGTCGTGGATCTCGTATCCGGGCTTGATGCCCCATGCCAGTAATCATTTGGGACTGCGTCCACCTGGACAGATTCCCTCTGCTGGGCCACAGCCCTCGACTAAGCCTTGCCTCGTAACTTGGCCTTCGTATCATCCTGGTACTAACAAGATTTTTTTTTTCCTCCCGCAGGGTGTTCCTCTCCGCCTCGAAGTCGGTCCCAAGGATGTAGCTAAAAACGAAACTCGAGCCGTGCGTCGTGACACTGGTGTTGCTTGCCAGTTGAGCCTCAGCCAATTGGTTGCCGGTGTTGCAGAGCTTCTGGAAGATATTCAAAACGATATGTTTGCCAAAGCCAAGAAAGAGCGCGATGCGCATATCGTTCGCCTTGAGAAATGGGAGGATGGAGAGGGCTTTGTCAAGTCTCTCGATGGCAAGAACCTTATTCTCGCTCCTTGGTGCGAGCGGGTTGCTTGCGAAGAGGCCGTCAAGGAGCGCAGCAGCCGAGTGTAAGTTCGCGCTATAGTATTCGTTCGTCGCTGCGACTTTGGAAGCATTGGATCACCCAACCGGGTGCGCGACTTGCGCTTGATGTAGCGTGGCTTATGTCGCATGACACACTCACGATGGAAGCTTGGCTTTCTGCGGCTAACATATGCTCTCCTTGCGATTTGGCTTGACCAGTGCCGACGGTGACGAGCCCCAAGATGAGAAGGCCCCATCTATGGGCGCCAAGACGCTTTGCATTCCTTTCCAGCAACCCACCGAAAACCCCTTGGTTCCTGGAAAAACTGGCTGCTTTGCTTGTGAGCACAAAGCCGTTAGTTACACTCTCTGGGGACGCAGCTACTAAGCGTGCTTCCTGAGATACGTAGCTCGGGGGAGGTAGAAGGACCGATAAGATTGCCTTTGATCCTTGCGCTATGTACGGTCGATGTAATAAAAGAACTGGACATCCAGGTTGCTCTGATCAACTATCGAGTTGCGCTGCCTTGGTCCGCTGGGCTGGGATGACAGCCGCCAAATGGGCCGCTCTCTCTCTCTCTCTCTCTCTCTCTCTCTCTCTCTCTCTCTCTCTCTCTCTCTCTCTCTCTTGGCTGAACACCGTTCTGTGATGCCACACTCGCCCCAATAACCGAACCCAATCCCGGTCTCCCCAAGCCAGCTTTCATATCAGCTCCGCGTGGTTTCCAGTCGTCATGGTTGACGATGCACTAACATCTCCCCTCGATCCGGCCCCGTCGCTGATTAAGCGCCAGATCTTCTTGAGCCCAGACTTTTCTCCGCATGTCTATCTTGGCTCACTGGCTGCGGCTCCGCTCCCTTCCTATTTGTCCTCCCAACGACCGAATGTCCATCTGGGCTCCATTCAGAGCGATCTTCTCCTCTCTCTGAAAGATCTCAAGTCGGAGCTGGTCGAGTTGATCAATCGGGACTATCAGGATTTTATATCACTTTCGACCAACCTTGTGGGGGTCGATACCACCATTGATGACTTTCAAACACCCTTGGGCACGATCAAGGCAGAAATACAGGTGACAGCTCTTTACAGCCGCTACGATCGGACGCTCCGACTTCTTTGGACTTGATATATATGGCCCGGCTGCCACCGCGCTCACCCGAGGATCCTATGCCCAGGCCATAGTGCTGGATACGCCCTGTCTCCATAGCTGACGCTCTTCACGATGTCCTCATATCAGCTGGTTGCAGCTCAGCTTGAAGAAATGTCCAACTTGCTAGAAGAAAAGCTTGCACAGCGGGCCACCGTTAGGGAAAAGAAGGTGAGTGGCCCAACCCACGAGAGATCATACAAGAGGCGGCATCTGTCCTGCCGCTGAGCAACGAGGAGACCATAATGCCCTCGATGGGAATTGGATCAATCCGAGTTTGGCGATCATTGGTGTGGTTGCTTCGATGGAATCGCTCCAGTAGGTGGGCTGCAGCTGTGCTGACGAACAGCTCTGGAGTTGACTGTACGACGCCGTACCTGACAACATTCAATATTGTTCATCATCCATGTTCCTGCAATACTTTCATGCATTGACACACGTTGGAGCTCTCAGGCACTTTTACAACTCATCCTCAGCATCCATGCTTCCGCAGTCAAAGTCGAAGAATTTTTAGGCATTGCCCAGAATGAGAGCAACGACCTATTGAGGTATATGTATTTCGAAACTAGGGTGCGACGGGAGAAAGCGGTGTTGTTCGTCATCGGAACGCACTGCCGTTCATCGTTGGAACGCGTCGCTGTCCATCATCGAGTCTCGTTGCAATCTATCGTCGCAATGGGTTGCTGCCGACTGCATCGAACCCCATGTTCTCTATCGCAGTGTTTAACAGCTCATGAACAATCCCAAGGGATCGAACAACGGTTGACGATGGAAAACTCATCGAACGCGTGGCCATTGAATACAACCAACTCCAGTACCTCGTCGGTAAAGGCAAGCAATTGCCTTTTGTCAAGAGCATGAGTTGGGTGCGTATGAAAGCTTGCGCTGGCAGCAGCACAATGCTCTCGATGACAGTGAGCCACGTATTTTTGGCACTTCGTCCCCAACGGATATCATACTAAGGGGGGATATTTATAAAGTGTATGAAATCATTACTCAAAGGACGTGAAAGGATTGACTAACCATCAAATCAACAATTAGAGAATTACAAGAATCAAAGAGATGCTCACATCCAAGCTATCGAAGGCTTTACAAGATGCATTTGTTGCCGTGTTCGAAGCTCCGGGCCACCAGCCCTCCATCCAGGCTCTCAGGCAGTATCTGAGAACTTACCTCCTTATCGATAGAGTTGTGGATGCCGAAGCGGTGTTTACCGAAACCATTGTCCAGCCTTTTGTCACCAAGGTTTGTTGCCATTTGATTATTCTGGCAGATTCTCACTAGTATGGGTCATCGCAGAGCCAGAATTCGGGCCCCTCTCGTCCGTTGCCCGACGTTGATCTGTTTTGCGGTAGACCTGCCGTGGCCTATTGTGTTGAGGGAGAGGTCAAGGCATCCGGTTGGGCCACCGCGCTCCAGGATCGTACCCAAGCGTCTGTCCCCACTTCTGGTCCTGCCATCCTGAGTGGCAGTTTAATTTCAAGCCCTGTGCAGACTAGCGGCAATAGCACTGTCTGCGCGTCCATGTCGCCTTGATCACGCAATCAGCAACTGACCGTTCATCACTTGGCCGGCAACTAGACATTCGAAGTAAACATCTTGGAGTCTAGTGGCTCCCTCGCAGGCGGAGCTGTTCATGACATGGATAAACTATATAAGGATATTGTCTCCTTTGTTGGACAAGAATGCAGCCGGATCCTTGAAATCACCCGAGAAGTGTTTCACGGCACCCAGTACGACTTGCTCGTCGATACGCTATGGCCCTCGATCAGCTCCACTATCATCAAGAAGCTACCGGTCCTCTTTAGCCCCGGTATTCCAGAAATATTCCACCAGGTAACGGACTGGCCGGCTGCCGTGCTTATTGTAACGCCCGGATCCTCCATAGACTCCTTGCTTTCGATAATAGATCGCGTCAATCGTCAACAGTTCCATGCTTTGACGGTCACGACCGACTACGCCTCTTGTGGTCTGATTGAAGCCCATCCGGGCAATCTGAATAGTATAGCGGTCATTCGTTACAACGACTGGTCTGCTAAATATCTTTCCAACACCACACAGAATTATACAATGGCAATCCGCTTCGTGAGCGCCATCGAAGCGCTGTGTCAGAACAAGCTTCAGCTCAAAAAGCTACGGGCCCATCCCGCATACAGTGATTACATGAAAAAATGGCAACTCTCGGCTTATTTCCAGATCAGGTACGCATTGTTCGATATTCCCCTTGGACAATCTCCCAAGAGGTATTCTCGAGACTGGGCAATCATGGCTTCACCGCTCTGAACGAAACGGAATATCCCTTTGGCAGATTCAAAAGCATTGTTGCTGGTTACTGCGATGCTGAGTCAAGATCTTGCGATGGTGTTATTGATGCCGCTGAGATCAAGCCGCTGGAACATGGTCTGTCTCGCTGTGGCGCCATATGTAGCATCGGTCGTACTAGCGGCCGCTGTTTTGCCCGTGGGCGATATGATCCCACGGTCAGGATGTGAGATGCTTGATCGGCGTGTGTGCACACTTGTGATAATTGCTCTCTTTGCAGAGGCTTACAGAGGCGAGCATTATTCTCCAATTCCATATCCTTGATTTGACAGGGATGATTTTACCCGTTAGCCATGCGCTCCTCGACGCTCTTGCAAGATGCTGGGACGATGGCGTTTTTCTACTTGGTCTATCCCACAGGTTCTGGAGATTGACGTTGCAGGTAGCGCCTCCAATCTCCAGTCATGCATCCGGGCAAGGGGGATAGCTTGGGTTTGGCGGCCCGTGTTTAACGAGCACCCGCATCCGATTCGCTCAAGCTCCTTTCTAGGTATACGAACTGGCTCCAAGCCTTTGTGGATGCCAATGTTCAGCCACAAATCATGGATGCTGTCCAGGTATGTCGTGCGCGATCGATGCACGGACGCAGTAGTGACACAGCATCCATGACTCGAGCGATGCCTCTGGATAAATTATGGCACTGGATGTTTCCGGCAATTAGAGCAGCTATTCTGTTGCTAACGATCCAAGCCAACCAAACAACTTTGGCTTTCTAGAGGGGCGAAAGCTCCGGCGCACTGCGCTCCTCGACTCCAAGCATCAATCCAGATGTCGACGAGCTTGTCATACGGCGGAGTGTTTGCATTTGTAACGATATACAACGAATCAAGGACGAGTCTCGGCGCCTTTATGACTCGGCTATAGTGCCTAGGCTCAATCTCTCTCGGGTAGATTGCGAATCGCTGGATGGTAGGTGATTTGGCATGTGGTACAAAGTCGTGAGATAATCGTATCATAGTAGCCAAAGCATCAGCCCTACCAAAACCTTGGCATTTCGCTCCTGTCTGGATGGCCTGGGTGTGCTTGAGCTGACGAACGCCAATGACACTCATTGTTGGCGTATACTTGCCTGCCGACAGAGTCCTTCGCCGCCGCGCTGTTGGCACTCGATTCGTTTATTCCAACAATCAGTGAGAGGGTCATCTCTACCCTGCTTCGAAGGAGCACGATGCCATTCACACAGATCAAAATGATACAGATGCACTATCGAGGAACCAAGGAGGTATGTGAGGCACGCCGCAGGCGATGCGAGATGAGTCGCAAATTGTAGATTTAGCTTTATATCATCGAGGAACTCCACAGAACTTAACTTGTCGCAACTTTCTTCAATCGATCCGGCAGCTACCAACAAAAAGCTTTCCGTATGTAGCCAATGTAATATTGCCGTTGTCACAGTTTGTGACAGCGTACGAGGACCTCCTTCCCAAGCGAATCCTCGATGACTGGAAAGCATCCCTGGTTGACCAAATTGCAGTCAGGTATGGTTTTCTGCTGTACAACTCGCCGCAGCGTTGCCTACGTTGTACTGAAGCTTATTGCACTCCTCTTTGTCGACAGCTATGCTTCAATCATCAACCAAGTCCTCGCCGATCTCAAAAAAATCGAGGACGGCCTGACCAAGATGCGAAAAAACAAAGCTGCATCAGTGCGAGGTGATGCGACAGAGTTCCCGGATATCATCCGATTGCAGCTCAGATACGACGTCGAAGAACTGATCAAACTGGTGAGAACCTGTGCCCTTCAGCCTCGCCCTGTGGAAAGAAAACAAAGCCACAGCCGCCCCACATACCACTAACCCTTCTGCGGTATGCACCGAAACACATAGGTCGGGGAGCTCGGAATCAACGTGTCTGACCTCGGGGCATGGACCAGACTCCGACAAAGTGTCGAGAAAACGGCAAAGGTCGACGAGCTATAGCGGCAACGTGTCCTATCATGTGCATCGCGATCAGCACCTGAAGAATGGATATGCTGGAATGACATGCACTCGAAGAGTCTCTATCACATTTGATAGGCTCGCCACATTCGCCGGTTCCGGCTGTTGAAATATACGTTGGCGCTGTGGGCTCCTGGCAGCGCAGAACAAGCAACCGATACACTCAAACTCGGGCAGCACTTGAAAACACTGGACATGGCGTGGCGCAGGGCGGCAGAGCCGATCACGTGTCGGGGACCACAGCGTTTGGCTGGCTGGCAAGGCGATCGGCTCTCTGGATCGATCGGCCGGCTGGATCGCCCATCCGCGACCGAGCCGATAGCGAACCAACGATGGCAGATCGTCCTGGCAAACCGAAATCAAAGAAGAAGGAAAAGGAGGATCTGCGTCGCCAGACTTCGCGCCAGGCTTTCCTCGACTACTACAGAGCTCAGTACGGAGATGAGCGCTGGAGCCAGCTGCTGTTGGCGCTGGAAAAACCCACCAGGTCGGCACCCGGACCAGGCGTCCTTTGCCAGGCGCTGCAAATCGAAATTGATGGGCCGCCAGACCGATTGAAAGGATCGGGCGGACGATCAGCTTGCCCGCCCAGCTGGCTAAGCGAAGCATGGTGCAGCATCCAAGCCGATGCGACTACCCGCTTTGTAAGATCGGCATCTACGACACCATCACCATCACTGACCTTGCCTTACGAACGGCGCTCCAGATATTGTTGTCTCGTCAACAAATATGTCGATCCCGAGGCACTGGCTGAGCGACTTTCACCGGTTTTGCCTCGCTTGCGACAAATCGATTTTGTCAGTATCCCGTGCCTTCTCATCGAGGACGACGAGAATGAGGCTGCTCCATTCCCATCCCCCATGAAGGATATGTCCAATATTTGTAGGTTGGTTATCATATGAATCGTATGTGAGCTATAGCGCCCCAACCGTCACTACCGATGGCCAAAAGGTCGGCATCGCAATGGATGACTGTTGTTGTGCGCCCAGTCCGATGCCCTAGTTTTTCGGGTACTGACAACTGCCGACTTGCGCCGGGCACAAGCCACTATCTACTCGATGCTGCATCTGTATTGGTAAGGGGTTCTGTATCGTATGTTCAAACTCTGCGGCGATTGCCCGCCATGTCGACTGCGTCCAGGCTGTAATGATATGCGGGCCTCCTCATGTGCAGGTTACAGAAGCTCTGGAGATTTGCGAAAGCGACCGCGTTCTTGACATGGTATGCTCCGTGTTGTCGACGATGCAGAACGTGTTTTCGTATGCACAAAAAACATATCCCGGAGCTTTGCTGCATCTCGTTGAACAAACTCGGATATTCCACCAGTGCGCCGCCCCTGGAGGCAAATCTCTCTGCATTGTCCAGCGACTCTCAAATCAAGGCGCCCTCTGCAGCAACGAGGTCTCACCCGATCGGCGCCGACGCCTGCGAACAGTATTGCAGACCTACTGCCCTCCCGATTTTATGGAAAACAACGTCCGGATAACTGGTTTTGATGCCACCAAATGGGCCGAATATGAACCCGGGCTCTACGACAAGGTGCTCATCGATGCACCGTGCTCGACGGATCGGCACATTTTGCACGACTTTGAAGACCTGCTCAAATGGACTCCTGCGCGATTGAGAAACGACTCTCACCGCCAAATCGAGCTTTTACTGGCTGCCCTGGGCGCAGTCAAGGAGGGCGGCGTGGTTGTGTACGCAACTTGCTCGCTGGCCAATGTTGAAAACGATGAAGTCGTTCAAAAAGGTCTGGCCAAGCTACAGACTATCAGGGCGGAGATTGTTCGACGCACGTTCCCGATCGGTGAGCCCACAACCTTTGGATGGATCGTTTTGCCAGATAATTCCGGCCGCTGGGGACCCCTGTACTTTGCAATACTACGACGACTGGCCGATGCAGCCTAGAGGCCATTCCCGGCCTTCGTCAGACTCGAGGATACAGCTGCATCCGCGGCTATCGGAACGACTAGCCAATCGCAAGTAGTCTGCCCATCACCGAAGCCATGCCGATCTATCATTGATTTGCTACCAATTGGTTTCGAACATTCCTGTTGTCCTGAACCGCCCACAGCGATGTTGATGAGGGAGCGCCACCTAGAATACACGACATTGACGCATGTTGATATTCTTGACTGGCGCACCAACTAGCCCAGTGCAACTAGGCTCCTGACTGCACGGGTGGTATATAGCAGTCCCATGGGACAGGATGCATTGCCCTTGCCTCGCATCAACCTTCGATTTCCGCGCCGCGGCATTGCGATACGAATTCCCACCAATCAACAGCCATGAGAACCCTATGTCCCATGGTGTCTCGTCTCATTATGTGGAATGAAATTCATATTTCTGTTGCTTGGTCTCTGGCGCGCGGTTTCCTCGGCCGAGACCTGCCTCATGGAGCGACGGCGAGGACTTTGATTTAAGGCTACCCTGTTGAGTCGCTGTGCGAATATGCTCTAATGTCCGGTCATTACCGAATACATCATCCTTTCGAACACGCATCACGAGCCTCGGGTGGGTATATCTCGTGCCGTCGCTGACTGTCAGGAGCACGGGCTGCCACTAGCCATCTAACACACGAAACCCTGTGAAATGGATAAGAGCGAGTGACTTCAATTAATAGCCAAGCACTAAACCAAATTAACTCGCTCAAGAGTAAGTTGAGCCTTCTCTGACGCACCGAGACAATAGTATGACCCGGTGATAGTGGCACATTTGCCACATGTCCCCCAAGGATCGAACGGTCCAGTACATCTTTAGAGAATTGAAAGGCTACCGTTTATGACTGCTATCCATAGATATCCAGCGAAGTGAAGATCTCGTGATTTCATATCAAAGAGCTTTGAAAGAAATCGATGATGTTTTATCAACACGAGCCAAAGGTGGGGTACAATATTTACGGTTGAACGCCTGTTCTTGCCCTCTGCAGCACGTCGTAAATTAAGCACTGCGCTCGCTTCGATCGACATGGCTGTGGCCCTGAATTGGTACCAGTGCGCATATCTGATGCGTGTTTTTCTTGAACATGCAGTGAAACAAGAAAGCAGCGTCGACGAAGGGACTGGAAGGTCAAATGCATTCCCTGCCCCATGGATATACCACCCTGACCGCGAATCGCTTGCACACGAATTACATCAAGCCAAGCTGAAACTAAACTCCCAGACGCAAGAAATTCGTTTGATCAAAACCAAAAACGCGTCGCTCGAACGAGAGATAGAGCGACTTTCCAGGATTGCCGATTGTTCGATAAGTATACAGCAGGTATAGACAACGATGAACAAAATCAGGAGCCTCGCTCAGCTGGTCATCAAACTGAGCACTCTCCAAGGCATGGTCAATGCCGACTGGGTTGCTGATTTCTGCATTTGTTCATTCCAGTATACAGGCCCGAGCCTTACTGGTGAGGTCAAAGGTCTTCCGACTGGGACTAGTAGAGTATGTGCAATTGGCTGCTATCCGAGGGTTTCAGTTTCTATCTGTTCCATATTGGTGCGGTATGATGCAAGCAAGCTGGGTGCGCGACAAGCCCATTCTAATAATGATTTGTGGCCGACGGGAAAACAAGTACATTTTGACCCTTCGTGACAAGAACAAAGAGCTCCAAAGCACAATCGGAAGGCTGGAGAAGGAAATTTTATCTATCAAAAGGCAAACCAAGTACACACAACTCCAAGAGTATTTACACGAGCGGCAAGTATACTTTGAAGAGGTACTATGTTGCCCATGGCAGAGTCAGCTCCTGCTGGGACCGACGCCAATCGACTCTGATCCGATGTCTACGCCATATTCCCTGGAAGAGTGTACGATTGAAACAAAAACTCGAATGCACACTATTGGGCACCACTCCCAATGCCACTTCGCAAGATCAATTTCTTCAGTATGACAAAACCATTGACGAGCTACATTCGGAACTCGCATTATCGTTGGACCATATCCAATCTCTAAAAGGCATGAGTAGCAGCGATTCAGTCCGCATAGTTTGTCACTAAATCGAGGAAGATGCTCGACTCGGCTTATACTGATGTCAAAGCCACACATCATTATCATCCACACAAACAATAGCGACCATAGATGATACTAATCACTGGAAAAGGGCCGAAGCCGAAAAGCTTCAGTTTTCGATCGACTCATTGCAAGAGCACATTGTCTCTCTACGCGAAGAAAACAGTGAATATGCGGATTGCCTTCGGAGAAAGTCGGAGGAGTATGCTATCCTAGAGAGAAGCAATAGCGATGCATTGCAAATTGTAGCCGAAAGCAAGGTGCAAATTGAATCACAGATGGCCAATGTTCGGGGTAATGGTTGATTTATTGATCTCGTATTTCATCGATCAAGTTTAAGGTTTAGTAACCACTGGTTCTGCTTTTGTGCTGATGCAAAACGATAAGATCTCGAAAATTCGACCAAGGCATTGAATCACCAGCTGACCCAGTGTCACCAGAGAAATACCATTCTTGAAAACCACCAGTCTGACATGCTTCAGGTATAAGTCACCATTCGTGGCATATGTTGATTCCTGTGAGCAAGCTCACGCTCTCTATCGGAAACATGATGTAATGCCTCTCACTATCCAGTATTCATTGTTCTTCTGTTGTTGCCGAAACACTCATCGATAGCAAATAAGTGATCTCAAGAAAGCCGAGATGGAGTCCAAGCACAAAATATTAGAACTGGAGAGCGCCATAACACAACTTGAGAACCAAAGCAAACGAGATCTGGAAGCTCGAGATGAAATCTGCAGGACAAATGTGAATTTGATGGTTGAGAAACATGAATCTCAAGTCTCTACCCTGCTCAGCCAGCTTGAAAACGAACGACTTCTTCGTGAGCGTTGTGAGCAGAAAGCAAAACAATCGGATATCGATCATCAAGATATCCTATTTAGATTGGAGAGCAAAATTTCAAATCTGGAAAGCGCACTCTATCAACAGAGCAGTGTTCGGTCCTCGCAATTTGAATGTACTCAGACTGTTGCCGATAAAAGTAGCAGCGTACGTAGCGTCGTCAAGGACCTTGAGGTCGGGAATATGCAAAGCCGTTCGTATGACCCCATTAGCAGACGCAACGATGCAGCCATCGCACCTGAGGGTAAGTAGATCCTGCAGCATGCTAAAGTTCTTGGACGGACGCGTGGCACTCGAAGCTAATGGTGAAATCTTTCAAAAAGTACAAAATTCATTCGAAGACCGACCAAGGTGACTTTGACCCTGAGCCTACGATAGCGCAAAAATATCCATAACGTCTCTCGATCGAGTTTCTTTGAGTCAAATTTTGATTGGCTGTAAAGTGTGGCATTCAAAATTGTAGCTAACAATAATGGCATTCTATATGACAGCACGTCCAGGGAAGTCAAAGTCGTCGCAAGCAGCAATGATACTGTGTCCCATCGAGGACTGAATCCAACAGAGACGGTGGCGGGCCCGACAGTTGATCAAAGTCCGCCAGTTGATCAAAGTCCGTCAGTTCATCAAAGTCCGCCAGTTGATCATAGTCCGCCAGTTGACCACAGTCACCCAAATGAGCGCCGTGACTCGGTTCAAGGATGCCATCAGGATGAACACGCTACCGATGAACACCCACCGACAACCAATGCCGAGTCACCGGAAGTTTATGTCGAGCGTGGTCGCAACTGCAGCACAATCGCAAGCAGCTCCATGAGCCATACGAAGTGAGTAGGCAGTCATACACTAAGAAATATCTGCATCACATTTGGACTGATACGACGCGGGAATTGAAATATCCAAGTAATCAGGACTGACTCGAACATGTGGTAACCCGCCACGTTTATCTGATAGCCATGTCCCCGAAACATGCACGAGCCGAGACATATTCGAGGAAGATGCTCCGTTGATACTGCCGCCGGTATATCGGGAGGAAAATTCCGCCAGAGCAAGTGAAGAAAGCATTCCGTCAGGGCTCAATCGCGTGCAAGATCAAATCACCGATCAACCGATTCTTTCGGACTCCAAAGGACCCACTGCTACTCGACGCCAATCAAATGAAGACTGGCTTAATCGAGCCCAGATTGGACCTCTTGGCTATGAAATCGGACAAATAGTGCATCAACACGATGTCGTATCGGATGAACCTCATGGCAAGCGCACTCTTTTGAAAAAGAATACAAAATCGAATCGGTCACGGGACTCGCTGAGCATGGACCCATGTGGATCCAATCCAGCAGGTAACAGTACCACACCCATGGATTCCAAGCCCCAAAGTGTGTCAGTCGATGAATACAGGGTCTATCAAGATCATCCACTGCCCTCCGATTTGGCATTCGCTTCCCAGACACTTCAACCAAACTCCAACGACACGAGCAGCCTTGCAGCTTCGGGCAGCACAAGGAAAACGGAAACGCCGGGCGTGACAGAGTCGCGATTCCGAACACGAGAAAATATGCACAAAGGCCAGGTTCCTGCAACATCTCCGACAAGCAGCTTTGAGACTGAGGGAAACGCCCCAAGAGCGGCAAATTTACAAAAGCAGCAGCATAGTTTGGACCTCGTGAGCCCATCCGCTGCAAATTCAGGAGCACTTCCGCTATATCAAAGGAGAAGTATCCATCAGGGTTTTGTTCGCTCGGGGAGTTTCCACAGTCTTGAATCGAAGCGGTAAGTATTAATGGCACGGAAGACTGTCTGTCTCGAAGCACAGGCGAATATCGGCACCAACATAACATGGTTGGATTCACCGTTCGGATCCGGAAGTGATTCTGGAGCAAACTGTACAGAGCTGGCAAGCAATGAGCCTCCACGGAATATCAGGTAAGCCGATGGGAACCCCCAACTTATATGCCAGTGTGGGTAGAATGACCACCACGCCATGGAATTTAAATGCGAGAGTGGGGATGGGGAGACCACACAGTATGAAAAGTATATAGAGCACGAGATCTAACATGATCGAGCCCAGCATTTCTTCATCGACCCCTCAATCGCCACAACTTGCCACGCGAAACCAACCTCAGCGAGAACCATCACTTCCAATATTACTTCCTCAAGAGAGTCATGGACCTCATTTGGCTCAGCATGGCAACGCCCCCGATCCAGCATTGAGCAGTTTACCAAGTCTCGTTCCAAAAAAATTGGTGCTGTCCACGAATCCCTCCTCTTCAAGCTCAGAAAAGCCCCTTTCCAGTATCATTCGGGGACCTGAGGCATCCATTACATCTACCATCAGTAGATCAATATCCCGAGGAAGCTACTCAATACCTCGGTTCGATTCCATGGCCCAACAATCGTCACAAAGTGCTTCAGAAGCAGGTGGAGATGCTCAACTGTGGGGAGGAGTTATGTCTCGGTCCGGATCGCAAACGATGTTGCAACGGCCCACTCCGATCAAGCAAGATGACCATGCTTCCGAAAGTAATCGCAAGTGACACTTTTCTCTGGCAAAGCTCCCCGTGCACAATGCGACGACACAGCCGGGTTGAACTACTGAAAGCAGCCTTACACTGAAGCAATCTCACCGCATATTTCATCTACTCTATCTTGAATACACGACCGATTCCCTGTGGCGACGGGACTGGCATACTCAGATCATGATCCGTGAGGCATTGATGTCTCGATGTGGGAGTGTGGTGGATGCATTCGACCCTCTGCACAGCTTCATGGTTTCTCGATATCAAGCCAGCCAGGTCAAACGAGGCGCTCGGCCTCCGGGCACTGTGAGCACACCTGGGATGTGTTGAGCTCGTTCACCGAGCACACATGGATCTTGGAGACGGATGGGCCTGGTGGACACCCCCGGTGATGCATGGATTGCTCGAAATACCAAGCAAAGTTGAGTCCCCGTGGGCTCGACGGATATATCTCTCCCTTTCCTTGCTTTCACGATGCGTTCCCACAGGCAACCAGTGTCAGTTTCCGTGGACACACTGTTTGGCCGCGATGGGCGATGGATTGTGGGCATTCACATGTGGAGAAAGCCCCCCGCCTGCGTCCAGAAACGTGTGTCTCATTTTGCTTTGGGAACGCTGTATTAACATGGCATCAAACACAGTGCTCGGTTGCTGGCTTGGTCTCTCAGCCTCTGTCGGACTTCTCCTACGGTCGTTCGGTCCAGGTTCAGGAGCTCCATGTCTTGGGAAGCTTCCGTCTCACAACCAGGACTTGATCCCATGCGGCCAACACATCATCCCAATCGTTGGCGACCGAGATGGTTCCCCATTCAAGAAGCACTTGGGAAGCGCTCTCGTCGTTGAAAACGCTTTCCGTCCTCGGGCCAATCAATATGATCTTGTTAACTTCTGGAAACAGATTCAAGTAGTCCACTACGAGCCCTGGGCGCCTCAGGTAACAGGCGAAGAGTGTCCGGACCTTGGCAACGTCGAGGATATCTGATAATTGGTGAGATAAGCCAATCTCGAAAGACCGGGGTTTGTTGGACCATTTCTTATAATTACCCAATCGCTGTGTCAAAATACAGCATTCGCTTGGAAGGAACAGGTTGATTGGATGCGTCTCGACACCGACAATGACCGACGGGGGCTTCAAAAACCTCTGGACCAATAGCTCCAAGATTCCTGACCCCGAGCCAATGGAGAGGATGATATCTTGCCCAGATCCTTCGATGCAATCCTGCTGCATCAGTCCTGCCAAACTCATCACGAGCTTCCGGGTCGGTAAAACGCAGCAGAGCGTGAACCGATCATCCGTATTTTCAATCAGCGAGAGGAGCCGGTCCACCTTTTCTTCCGGGGACAAGAGCTCGTTGGAAAACTCATGCCGAACGAGGTCATTCAGAGTTTGAATCTCTCCCTGAGATCCGGATTTGCGGTACAGAGTCTGCGAGCCAGACATTGAAAGATCTGGGCTGGTCAGAACCAAGCATCGAGGCTCTGCTCTGCTGAGGCGAGCGGAACGTGGGGCTGGGGCGAGGCTGTCTCTGTTCTCGCGAGAACGCTCTCGCTCCCGTCGCTCACATGATCCTCTCACCAGGACGCGGACCACCAGGAGCGGATGCGGCTTCCATTGCAATGCGAGGGCGATCGACATGAAGACGGTGTATTCGGGAACCATGACAATGCAGCCACTCCGGTGCCCCAATTTCCGGAGTCATGCGTCACTCGCGCCCCCAGGCCTTCCTTAGCTCTTGCTCCACAAACAACCTGTTGCTCTTCCGCAGCTTCAGGAGCTTGAGAATCCAGTCAAGCTCCGAGATATCGCCACCGGACTGCCTGAGCATGAGCTGATACTGCGCCTTGAGGGATTCCGGGTCATCGAAATAGTGGTCGATGATGTTTTGAAGGGACTTGAATCGAGCAGAGTCGACATCAAGCATTGGCAGCCCATCGCCATCGGCATGAAAAAGCGACTGCATGATCTACGCCATTGGGACAACTCGAATGAGAACCTGTCGACATGACCGTTTTCTGCGCCCGACATTACCAGAGCAACGATTGGCTGCTACCAACCATATATGTCTCCATACAGGCGTTAGTCAAGTGCACATACCTGCAGCGCAGCTTTTAGAAAGATCACACGGCCCTCGTTCCAGACCTTTTTGCCCTTGCCGCCTTCGTCCAGGCCTTTGTCGCTGACCACCAAGCTTTCCATGACTATTACGACCTGGTCCCAGATGTTTTTGACAACCTTCATGACAATCACTTCGGTGCAGCTGGATTGTATTTGCGACAAGTTTGCTTCGAAAAATGCCCAGATGGGCTGTAGGTCATTCCGAACCATTTCAGCGAATTCCCATGATGCCTTTTCGTCCATGCATCGATTCGGGCGTGATCGCTTCAGGCCAATCTTGAGCTCTTTGAAGGACGGCATGTCCCCAACGATTATTTTGAGCGGCTGTGTCTTGTGGCGCTCAGCCGATGCTTTAAACAGGACACGGAGATCGCCACAGAGCTACGATGGTTTGGAAATCCAATCAGTCAACCAGCGTCCGATCCAGATACGGCCGTTATCTAACAATTAACCGTAATCCGCCATGGCGATCGTGCCCGAGCCATCATACGCACACCACCCAGCATCAACACCCGTCCAGCTCGGAGTACTGTCCACAGGAACTCACCCGGCCAACGATGGCAGCGATGAAGCGATCTTGGTAACACTTTACGCAGCGATCCAAACGCGACCGGAAAAATGAGATTTCGTCGCGATCGGTCATCGATGAGATCCTCATGAGGACCTCGCCTTCGTCCCCAAACGCAACCCATGTTTCGCTTTCCGTATTCCAGCCCAGATCCAAGCCAAGCCGAGCGCGACCGACGAGTAGGTCGCGTCCGTCGAGGAACTGATGCATCAAATGCACCTCGATCGCATCCATCCTTGGGCCAGGAAGGATCAGAGTCAGCTCGTCATTCCAGGTTGGGTATCCAGGGCCCTGTGGTGAGCAAGAGCTTCGAGCAAGCTCGCGCCCGCTCAGCGTCACGAATCGGACAAAAACCAAGGTCGAAAGTGGAGTATGGACCGGCGTTCGGGCAGCATGCAGCAGCGTGATGCGCAGCAGAAACCGAGTGGGGAGTTTGTTGTGGCCATCGAGCGAGCCAGCAGATCGAGCTGGATCTACCGACAGAGACACCGATTCGATTGGACTAAAAAGCTCATGAATCCGACTTTCAAGCTCAAATACGTTGCTGAGCTTGACGCAGGCCTAAATGAAAGGAGATGATTGAGTTCGGATACAATCCGTATGTTACTTGATCGGCTAGGTTTGCATAGTATCGACGGATGGAGATGTGGGCCAAGTTGAACAGTTTAAAGACAAAGGTCGGAACGCTGAAATGACAAAATGCCACGCATGCAAGAAGCTTGGGAGATTCAAAGACGCAAGAAAGCTACAGAGTGGCTGGAGAAGCTGGGGCAGCGGGTGGATCGAGGCCGTTCGTCACTGCGACCCGCTTCAGGTCCAACGTGCTTGGGACGGCTGCCACAGAGAACGAGGCCACCCTGCCCGCCTCAACGCTTCGGCAACCTCGAATCATAGTAGTAACCGACGTGGCAAGCGCATTGCACATGACAAAACCTGTGGCTATTCTATGGCCAATGTGGTCCATTCAGAGATTGCCCTCTGAACTTACCTCCGATGTAATGCGCATTTCCACAGGCACGCTCTTGTTGGCTTTGACCTTTATGAACTTGGCGAGCTTGTTCTGGCGAGGCTGCGGTAGTGTGGCATTATCAATGACGGTGCCAGGACGGCCGAGATCGAGCTTGAACCGATCGTGTATGAGGCTGCAATACGCCTCTAGTGTTTCAGACACAATCTGAATCGCACACATTGTTAGAACAAGCCATGAGCAATCCGAATCTCGACCTCGGTATCGATATAGTTGTAGGACTGCGTAAGCTCCGTGGGCGTGATGTCGACTCAGGCTGCTGCTTACCTCAACCATTCGAGACAAGAACTGTGCTTCTTCGTGGGGATCTGGCCAATGCAACTCTTGGATGAATCGGATGTATTTGTCGCAAAATTCCACCACGTCAATGACTGATGTGGAAAACATGCTGTCGGAATTTGAGTTCATTGGGGTAAACTAGGAGAGAACAAGAGGTTGAGGGCGTGGTCAGATGGCAGGCGTGAGGCAAACGCTCGATTCTTTCAATTTTTCTTTTTGGCCCTGACGGCAGTGCATTTGGGAGCTTACGCTGTCCTGCTCGATAGCGTTCATAGCCCATTGCTGGGTTTTTCGTCCTGGATGGTTGAGTGGAGACAAACCCGCAGAATAACATAGAAACAAGGATGGCCAAGGCCCGAGATGTTATCAGTAGCCTGCCGGCTTCGTATTCGGCTCCTGATAACCCCCAGCGAGTGCAAATAGTACAACAGAGAGTCTCTGTGTGCTCGTGTTCGACAAAGAGTGGTTCTGAGCACAAGCCAATCGAAGGCACTTGCGAGGAAAGGCCGCACACATAGCCATAAATGTAAATATACGTACGAGCGTCGTTGATATAGTGAATGATGAAGGGTCTGAAGCACTGTGAAGTCTGAAGTATCTCGTCTAGCGGACTTTGAGCAAAATCAAGACAGGTCAGCACGGACAGAAAACGTGTCTCGGGTTGAAAGCGGCCCAGCTCGCTGTCGATGCTGCAAGCTTTGTCGTCACCAACCCTTACCCAGGATAGAGCCTTCCCACCAGTTCGCGGAACTTTAGAATGGATTGGTATAGCGAGTAGACTTGGCTCATATCTGTGGAGGCGATCGCCCCACCCGCGGTGATGCGGAGCAGGTCCGAGGAGACGACCGGAACAAACACCTTTGATGCCAGCAACGGAACGTCGAGAGCGCTTTAAAAGAGTGCGTGCAAGCGCAAGAAGAGCAGTGAGTGAGTCGACTACAGCGATAGAAACCAACAAGAAATTCAAGTACATCAAACACGCCAACATCACAGCGGCGCTTCCGCATATACACTGCGATCACGTCTCTACTTTGGCAGCGCACTCACTTTGCGATAAGGTGGCCAAAGTACTGCAAGTAGACCTCAAGCTCTTTACCAAGGAGCTCGACAAAGTGGCCTAGGCTCTCGATCGGCCCCGTTCGTTGATCAAACGCGAGGGCTCGCAGACCATAGCAGTGCTTGTCGATAGCATTGACGATCGCCTAGTTTGACATCAACCGCATCAAATCCCAGTCGAGTTCCGTGACGATTGAGCAACAAAAATCATGATCCTACTTTGTGCGCCACTCCTTTCGAGGCCTGTCCCACCCCCAACCCCATCTCGACAGCGTGGCCGATGCAAATATTCGCTCTTCTTGTTCGGCAACCTGCGGCGATTTCGGGTCTCGGTGGTTCAGTGCTCGAACCAAAAAATACAGTACCTCGTCAATCGGCTCGCATAGCGGCTGCGAAGAGGTCTCTACAGGACCGTCGGCAAGAAACCGGTCAATGTAGATGAGACAGTCTATAATGTGCTCGAGATCATTGCGTTGGAATGATGGAAGTTGGCAAAAGAACTTGACGAGCTGATCGTGGAGAACATGTCGGAGCCTCTGACATGTCGAGCGGTAGAGTTGCTCCTGAAGCGACAAAAATGTCAGCTCACCGATAATGGCATGCGGATGCACTTCCGAGGATGTGTGTGCACATTCGTCGGGGTATCAGCGGTCCCCGATCCTGACAGCGACGGTATACTACCGCCAAACAAGGGCGACATCTGCAATAACCCTTGGCGCCTCGATGCTGAGCGCTGCCCTTTCTTTGCTCCCTCAACGGAGCCATCTCCTAGTCGCGCGAACAGCGGACAGACAACACCTCCTGGCGCCATGCGATATCTACGGACCAAGCTGATACGGTAACCAGCACGCTCATTTGCAGGCATCGGGCGATCGTTCGCTATGGTGCATGTCCCTCGTTGTTGAAACAATACCTACATCGAATATGCTCATAACGTGCATCCGATTTTCTAACTCTTTGCTTGCGAGCTCAAATTCTCGCCGCAATTCTGCCAGGGTAGCCTTGCCCTCAGAAAAGGATGTGGCCAGCAGGTGAAAGCAGCTATGCAAGCAAAGCAAACACCGCTCCGTAAGCACGAGTTGGAGTCTCTTCACCAGGCGCTACATAGCGGACAGGGTGCCAAAGCCACTGCCTCATGACCCTGAGCTCACCTTGCGGAAGATGTGGAAACGGGCAAGCGCCAGGTTCGGCAGGTTTGATTGATCAGACTACTGTACCGCTCTCCAAGAGTTGATTCGGATGAAGCGGGACTCCCTCGATCTTGCTCGCAATAACCGGATTCAAGACAGCGCTTGATAAGGGTGATAAACGAGCTTTGTGGGCAGAGCGGAATTGTATTCAGCGGAAACTGCCCATTGTTTCCAATGCTCTAAAGTTCAGAGTGGATCGAGGACATTGGGGGTGAGCATAGCCGTATCGAAGTCCATATTGGCAATGTGGCGGTCATTGGTATCTGCTGATCAGTACGATTCAATCCCGCAGATACCTCCACCGTGAACCAACTGTGGCAGAGACAAGATGGATCCGTTCGTGGCGGGCACGCCTGCATACCTCGTCGTACTTTGATATCACCAGGTTGATGAAGCCCGTTATTCGTTTGCTCAGCGGACGCTTTTGCAGATCAAACTGATATTTGCTGCGATGGCCGCCGTTCTCAAAGAGCGAGGCTATCAAAGCCCGGGACAGCTCGATTTGACCCAAAAATGAGTCCTTCGAGCGATCCGGCGAGTCACTGCGTCGGTTCCAGACTGTCAAGACAACCTTGGACGATTCGGTGAGTAGGCTGGAATGGGGAGGTTTTTGTGGATGGTAAGTCGCTTGAATCGCCCCCCAAAAACACAGCGCGTAATTGCATGTGGGGTGAACTGAAATCGTCTTCACAATCGGCCAACAGCGAAAGGCCATTCACTTCATCGACAGCAACCAAATAGAACAAGCCAGCAATTTCAGAGGCTGTGCTTGGAAGGAATAAGTCTAGAGTGCGACTGATCGAGCCAACTGATGCCCAGCGGATGAAGAACAGAGTTTGTTTGGGCTACGGTGCATGTGGAGCCCAACGTGGAGCCCAATGTAGAGTCCAATGGAGTATGGGAAATGGCAGACACTCACGCAAAGAGTGCAAAATTCCAAGTGGGGTTCACGGTCGATTGCTGGACTTGGCTGAAGAACGGAATGTCATCGATCCACAGCAAAACGTACGGATGGCTCGATCCGCTTACGTCCTTGCGGTAGAGGCTCTGTGCAGATTGGACGCAGATGGAGAAGATGCCCCGGCGCAAGGTAATCGTCGGGCTCCGAGGATACTTGTACGGCAGCGACGATAGCAACGCGGAAAGGGCCGAAGCCTCCTCCTGCTTGTAATTGATGTACTCGCTCTGTGTCCTGAAGTCGGCTGGGGACAATATCGACTTGTCCGTGTGGAGCAGGTGCTGGAGGATCATCCAGTCCATGACAACGAACTTTGGTGCGGAGGAAGCAAGGTTGGTTGATATGACACGCGATTCCGATCCGGGGGTCGATTCAAAAGGCAAGAAGCAATATCATCCAGATTCAGATTCAGATTCAGATTCAGATTTGGGTGGTCACGTCGGCCCCCATGGGCAGCGAGACTCAACGCAAAGAGGCGATAGTGAAACGTAACGACAAGATAGAATACCAAGTCGCAGCGGCAAAGGACAGCGAAAGCAAGCATGCCCACGATTACCTCTCGGGATGAGTTCCAGAGGAACAGATCTGTCTTGATGTCGATTTCGAGCTGCTCGGAGATGCCAAAGAGACGCATGATTGCATCAATGCGCTCCTTGGCAGCCGAGTCCAGGGTGACGCTGGGTGGAGGAGAGTAGCGATATTCGCCTGTCTCTGTCGAATGCGAGGCACCTTCCTTTACAGAAACGCCAGTCTTGATATTGTGGATGGCAATCTTTGTACGGCCGACAAGAGACTCTTTCATATTCGAAAGCGACGAGGAGACCGAGAGTCGCGACGCCCCGGACTGCTTCGACGCGAACGAATGGACCGAGAACGTCGACATGCTCTGTCTGATTGGACCGGGGCGAAACAGGACCGAGGGCGACAGCGGGGACGATGCCGGTGGCTCGGCGAACAGACACGACAGGACCTGCGAAAGCGAGGGCTCTAGGTCCAAGGATTGCATCATAGCGGCGGACGCAGGGGGATAGATGGATGGCGGGCGGGCGCTCAGGGCAAAGGAGCGATGCTGGCGGGAGTGCGCAAGTCCCAAGCGGCGGTCTGGACATTGGCGGCATGGCCGAGAGGCGCGCACTGCCACCGGGCAGGCTCGGCGCGGCTCGATCCGGCTCGAGCCGGCTCTGCTGCGCCGTGGCGTGCACCGCCACAGGGACATCCCTGCAGACTTTCCTTGCAGCCCGGTCTGCGGTTCTGCGCTCCTGCCGGGACAAGGAGTCCTTCGGCAGCCCAATGGTGGGTGGGGGGGGGACAACAGACCAAGTGGCCCGACATGCGACTTGGGCCATCGCCCCCGTCTCTCTCTGGCTCGGCGCTGCTGCTCCTGTCTCTCTTGGCTCCCAAACCCTCGCGGAACCGTCGATTCCTTGAAACCTGCAGTCTTCCTGCATCAGACCCAGCAGGACCGTCGCACACCTTCTCCGAACCACAGCATCAAAGCAGCCTCGTTCTCCAACCTGTCCGTTTGGGGCTCGCTGAAACTCGTCAGCAATGGCATCTTTGGGACTCGGGGTATCCCCGCTTGCTGCGACCCACGACACGGACGAGTATCCGGCCCTCTGCAGCGCTAATAGCATCGATCCCATCCACGACATGTTGGGTGACCCAGCGTCCCAGACGGTTGCTGTGGCCAGTCTTCGCAGTCGGCCGCCGTCCATCGTTACTGCCCCGGATACTGCATACTCTGTGGATCCGCCCTCGATGGGCAGGAGTGGCTCATCCTCTTATCGGGGGCCGTCCTTGGACCTCGAAATGCTCCCGCCCTGTGTACAAGACCAAGTCGACAGCAACATCCACTCTCACCATAATCCAGAAGAACTCGCCGAGCAGCTATTGACGGGCCGGGCGGCCGAGGCTCCAGCCAAGGAACGTGAGTCGACGTTACGTCGCCCGCTGTCACAGCTGTTTCCGAGCACACCGCCCAGCGGGCCTGCGCTTCGATCCTACCGCTCCTTCCAGTTCACATCCCTGGGTCGCAAAAGTGCTCGCACAAAGAGCAACGAGCCCGAGGCAGAGCCTATCATTCCACAGCCCATCGAGCCCGAAGCCAGTCCTTGGCAGAGCTCGACGACGGGAAGAAGAAGCCGCCCTGTGAGCCAAAATGCCATCTCGCTGTCGCCCTCGTTGTCGAGCGAGCCCTCCCGCTCCGGAGAACGGGTCAAAGAGCGGACTGCACGAGCGACCCGGTCGCAACAGCAGCTGAAGCGCCGATCGGCGGCCCTGGGCAATCTCTTCAAGCCCCAGCCCAGCCTCGCCGTCAAACAGATCCCTTCGATCGAAGTCCTCCAAAGCTACAGCTCTGCGCAAGAAGAAAGCGGCGCTGGTTGGCCGTCCCAGGCGAATCGTCACTCGACGGGGCTTGTGTTGGGGCGCTACGAGTCCCGCTCGTCCCAGGTCGATGCCCAGCAACCTTTCATGTCCGAGCGACCGTTCGGTCAAGGTAGCAGGTCTATCCAGGAGGAAAGCGGAGGCAACCTCCCACGGGCCTTTCCCAGCAAGATTGTCTTTGCCCAGGGAACCCACTCCCTCCCGAGTCTCCAGACGCTCTCTGGCGAAACCGAGTTCAGCACCGCCATTTCCTCGCGGCTTCCGCATCCCGATGATCTGTTCGGGAGCCCCGGCTCGCAGCCGGCCGATCCGGCAGCCGGTAGATGGACGCTTCCACGGCTCGCGCCCAAGACGAGAGATGAACAAGTCGCTGCGGTGCTCGATGCAGACAGGCCCATGATCTCGGCGCCTTATGCCGGCGAGAGTGGCCCTGTCCGCTCACGGTTTGAAAAGTCTCTCCTGAAGCTCAAGCAGATCACCAGCAAGCTCTTTTCAAAAGCAGCGATTGTTCGCTGAGGCCAGACGGCGACGCAGCGATGATCTCTGAGGGGGCATGTGCCTCCCGTAGATGTTGGGCCCGGCTGCGAGGGCTCGATGAGCCGAGCCGTATCCTTCACGAGCTGAAATAATATAGCAGTCGAATATCATACGGTCGGCAGTATGGGACGATACGACAGCGACAAGCAAGCAGCAGCCCTGCAAAGCCGAGCGAGCGATCATCCCAGTACAGGAACAAAACTCCCTCCTACTGACCCGAAAGACAACCAGCCAGCGGGCCAAGCGGGATCGGACAACTCGCAAGGGCCGCACAGATGCTGGGGGGGGGGAGTCGAATGGGCTGCGAGAGGGTCCAAGCGACAGGGATGCTGTCCCTGCGAGCGGTCGTTTGAAGGGCAGATGGCTCCCACCGAGACGGCAAGCGTGCTGGAGGATGGAAGCGGATTGATGGTGGACACAAGCCGAGCGCATGCAGCCGAGGGGAGACCAGGTGGCATTTGGAGCAAGGCGGACCACCAAGAGCAACGGAGTGGGTGTGGTTGGATGGGCGATGACCAGATGTAGCAATAGTGCGGCGCAAAGACGCAAGACACTGCTCGAGCGATCAACTGCAGCAGCAACGACAGCAGCAACGACAGCAGAAGCAACAACAGGACTGCAATCGAGGAGGACCGACCGAACCACAATCGCTGCTGGATCGGCAGAGCCGAACTCGAGTGGCAATCGCAGACAACAGACAACCACAGACAACAATCGACAACCGCAGACAATCCCATCCGCTGTGCCGAGCGGCTGTCTGCCATGGACGCACCACTGGCTCCTGCCCTCGGTGCCCGCCAGCCGGACGTGTTGCGCACATGCGGCCAGACAACCACCCCCCCCTCTGGAAGTACTCCACTGATGCGAGGGAATGATCCCTTTCGAGCCTCTGCCCCGCCCGTCCGTCGCTGTCGCCCTCTGGCGCACTCAAGCCACCTTTCCTCTCCATCGGCAGGCCGCCAGGAGTGCTCTTTGTCTCTCGACATTCCCCGTCCATCAGCCCCAAACAGCCTCGCCCCGATCGTCATGTTGAAGGCTTTCGGCGTCGCCAAGGGTGCCTCGCAGCCGCTCAAGGTCCGATTCCACCATGCCTCGCCCAGCCACCCGTCGATTCTGTATCTCGATCAAGACGCCGATAGCCTGGACGGGAGCGTTGTCGTCTCCAACAAGGTGATCAAGAAATGCCCCGACTTCAAGATTAGGCTGACACTGTCCGTTGGCATCATGTCCAAGTACAAGCCGAGACAGCTGAGCCGAAAGGCAAGTCTGGCCGCCTCGCTGGGTGGCTCTTGTCGGCCTGAGAGCGAAAGGGGGGGGGTTCGTAGCCAGTGTCTGTGGCCTCGCATGGCTGCAGACACCCTGCCAGGGGCGAGGATGAACTGCCGGCGCTTTTACAGCCCAAATCTGTTTGCCGAGGCCGCACAATGTTCGCCAGAGTCGACAAGCAACTTGGGTGCGGCCCATCTCGCTTTGATCAAGGAGCTGCGGCTGCATCATGGCTGCCCGTCGGCCGTCCTGTGCTCTGCACGGTGGCTTCATGATCGCTACCGATCTAAACTCACATGCCGGCCACCACCCCGATTGCCATTTCCACCACAGACATCGTTCCGAGGCGGCGCCCCACCACAGCAGACGGAGCGCTTCCATGCGGGCTGCATCTACTTTCGCGATATTGTGGTGCTGGCCACCCAGGCCGAGCACCCCGATGGTGCCGTCGCGCCCTTCCGGTTTCCGCTTCCTGAGGATCTTCCTCCTTCGTGCCAGCTCGGGGACGCCTCTTTTGACGTCTCATATATCCTGGAAGCCGCTGCAGTCCGGGACCCGGCCGGAGAGGATGTGGTGGCCTCTTGCGTCGTTCAGCCGACCGTCTTTCGACTCACGACCGTTGATCATCGCAGCTGCGAGCTCAAGACCGAGGCCAACTACCTTGATTCGGGCTCGGGTATGGATATGGATATGGATCAGCACTTTGTCATTCTTGTTCTTTTGTACTGACGTATTCAGTCGCGTGGCGAAAGCTGCTTGCTCGATGGCCAGCAACCAGAGCTCATACCCATCAACCACAACGTTCTCACTCGATATCTATCTGCGCCAGACAACGAGACGACCTGCACCAATGTCACGCTGCCAAGGACTGTGCCCTTGAGCATACCCGTCTTCCAGCTCCTGGTGGATTTCCAAGGCACCTTCAAGTCGCCTGCCGACGCTGGCTCTGTCAAGATCCAGCTGATCGAGTACTGCCGCACCTATGTTGGGTAAGCGACACAGGGCAGAGCTCAAGACTCCTGTCATCTGCACAAGCGAACGTCTCGAGCCCAGATGCTGACTTGCTGCGATGGCGCCCGCCTTTGCTGCCCTCTCGTTCCGACGGCCAAACTGGTTCATCCTACTGCAGTAGCCAAAAGTCAAAGGAGCGAGAGCTCACATCGTGGATCAAGGGACATTGGAAGCGCTCCGACATCGTCCCGGACGGCAAATACTCCTCGGGATTCGGCACGGTGTCGTCACGACGGGGGCTCCTCTCGCCAATCGAGTTCAACGTGCCCTCCGTTGGAGCCAATGCCGCCTTCTCGTCGCAGTACATGCACATCTCGCATAAGCTCCGGCTTGCGGTTCCAGGCACACTCAGCATCGACATTCCCGTGGTTCTGGCACACATCGGTGGCTCACCAGCATCAGCATCGGTGTCGGCAGCAGCAGCAGCAGCAGCAGCGTCAATGACAGAGCCGCACCTGCATCACTCTCCGGTCGACGCAAATCCCCGCATCCGCACCCAGCGATCGGCCGACGAGATTTTGCTGTCGTCGCATGCGTCGCTTGTTTCTCAGCGGCCCTGGCCGGGCACTCCAATGTCGCCAGTGTCGCCAATGTCACCAATGTCGTCAGTTCATCCACTCCTACGAGCCAGCTCGACCGCGACCCGTACTAGCTCCAATATATTTTCCAAGTAGGTTGCTATCCCAGGAACATATCTCTTCCCCTTCTCCTCTTCAGCGTCTTCCGCCCTTCTATCTCCTAAACCTCTAGAGTCCCTGATGTTGCAATCCATCCCCCTAAACTCTTCGACAATTGGACAGTTCCAACTCCCCACATACACTGGTCGGCTAACCGTACTTCTCGCAAACATTTTACTGCTTGCACAGCATAACGAGAGACGAGTCCTATCCAGATCATGAACGCGACGACAGATCAAGCACCGCAAGGGCTGTCCACTCGCTATCGATGATGCGCATCGATCGTAGTCGCTCATTCAGTTCGCTGTGTCCGCAGTCCGGTCACGAAATGCAGCGGTATCAATCCGTGCAGTATCAGCGATCTCGGAGCACCTTTGGCCGAGCCGCGGCCGGCATGAGGTCATACGGCGATCTGTCGGAGCTCTCAAGGACGACGCGCCAGTCCAGCTCGCCTCTCCGCCAACAGGTTCTGCCATCCTTCCAGATGGCCGCCGAGGCTCCCGTGAGACCGAGCCCAGGCCATATCGAAGCATCGGACGGCGACAGTGTCGAAGCCTGCTTGGTGCCGTCGGTACTATCGGAACTCGGATCCTCCACTCGGGTCGGAGGGGATGCCCAGTTATGCACAGAGAGCGGGTAAGTACAGGGCTGGCTCTTGTTTGGTGTGCGATTGCCACCGCCCTATGCGCACTTCGGATCGATTCAGTCATACTGTGTCCTCGACACCCAGCCGGCAAGCTTGCCGGATCCGCCTTTGTCCCTACCCATTTACGACTGATGGATGCGACTTATGACTCAATCTACCCCCCCCCATCATCCTCCTCTTTGGAACCTGCAGGCCCCTTCGGCGCATATCTCAAAGCGAGTCGCTCTCCTCGATTCTATCGACTAAGACGCCTCAATTTGCCTCGAGATCGCCAACAGCCGTGCTCCGAGACCGATCTTATTTCCACTCCATCCCGACAAAGCACACCATGCCAATGCCCCTCCCCGATGCGACGACTGACCCTCTGCCCTCATACGAAAGCGTGGCGCTGGACTCTCAGCACCGGGCACTGCAAGTGACATATATCGTCTCGGAGCGCCACGAGCCGAGCTCCGGTGCCGAAATCGAACTTCGCGTGGGCGACCGTGTCGTCATTACAAAGTTTCTCGACCGAGACCGAGCCGAGGTAGGCTGGGAAGAGCAGGATATGCAAGCCGCGTCAGTGGATGGGTGGAATGGTGGCCTGCCGGTGCTGCTGTTGCTGCTGTTGTTGCGGTTGCTGTTGTTGCTATCACCTCTTGCTTGCCCCGCAGATGGAATGTTCGCTTTCACCACTTTGCTAACTCTCCCTCCACCCTTCTTCTGGTTGGGAATCAGGGCCTCAACGAGTCGACCGGAGCCCTCGGAGTCATCTGGGTCAACAAGATCATGCACACACGTCTGAGTGAACAGTGACCGCTGTGTCGAGTCCGACTCCAGGAACTGATTTCCCATGCTCAACCTCTGTTCTGTCTCAGCCATATCATACTTCTATTCGCCTCCGTACGCCTTCAGACAAGCATCCCAGAATACCCACACATACAAGCACGCCTCACACAAGCATGCACTCACACATACACGCACATAGCAACCAAATCCATTTCTGTGCCTCCCTCGAAGCTCATACAAGAGACCGGGATATCTCCTTTGTTGAAAATGAATCCCCCGCACATTGAGTAGCTTATCAATAAGAAGCTGTTGATCAACCGTATTCATCAAGTCGTGTTGTTGGATGGATGCCAGGTGCAAAAATGATGGGGAGGAGGAGGGAGGAGGCGTCCAGGTCGCTGTGAAACAAGAGCGGGCGCAGCTAGCTGACTGCGAGTTGTCGTCGTGAACGAACCAAGTGGGAATGACGACGACAGGAGCTCGGTTGGTGCATAAGGATACAAGAATCAAGCAGCGGGAGCAAGAAAGAGTGAGGTTCGGAGTGGGCACTTGTAAACGGTGTTTCAAAGCTGGCCGTATTCAGTCGAACGGGGCTGCATCAGCTGGAAATGATGGTGGCATTGCGGTGTTGACAGAGTCGTTAGCAAGCGTGCGTCACCGAGTTGGCGTTGCGGGAAGCACACATCCGCGCAGCATTCTCGTAATAGCTTCACTGACTCAACGGCGTCCAGCGAAAGATACACTGCAGGCCAGTCAACGACCAGCCGAATATTACCTCTTGGATACGAGAAGCGAGATCGCTGATTTCGGCGGATGAGGCAATCTCCTTGCCATCGCGCAGAACCTTGGCATTTTTGAACAGATTGACGGACTTGTCGCCCATGTTGGCTGTCAGAGCGAGAGGCAACAGCTACTTAGAATATAGCAGGCGAGATGTTTGGTGTATCATGGCGATCAGCCGTTCAAAGAAGGGCGGCGGGGCGAGTAACCTACGGTGGCCGTGGATGATATCCTGGACCTCTTCTTTGTCGACATCGTTGCTGTCATCAAGATCATCGGCTTCAGACTTGGATATCCGTGTGTGTGTGTGTGTGTGTGGAGGCGATCGGATAACGATAGGTCGAGCGTTAGTGCCGTTGGGATGAACACAAAGGAAAGCGAAGGACGGGAGTAGAAATCGGCTTGTCCAGAGTAGCCCCGCGATCCATCTCGTCCGAGTGGAATATAGGGAATACACCATGCGTCAAACCGGGCTGAGCGTGAGACTTACACTGGCGTCCGAGCCCACGTCGTCGTCCTCGCTTTCGTCCTCGTCGGCGTCAATCACATAGTCGTCGTCGTGATCTTCGTCGTCATCGATCTGGGAGACACCATGAACGGCAAAATAAAGCCGCAACACGGACGTGAGAATCTAGGCGAGACAAAATTGAACGGGTTCGGAGGAAACAAGTGCATCTAAACCCATGCAGGGGCATCGGGATACCAACTTCAAACTCGTCAAGAATGGTGCGAGGCTTGTGGGATGTGAAGGACTTGCCGCTTCTGAGCACCGTGCCGCTCTGCAGGGCAAGACTCTCGGTGACAATGTCGTTGATCTGGGGAGAGGCGCATCGGCACAGAGTAAAGTTGGATGCAGCGATGGGGCGGTGAGATGGTCGATCGATGATGCAACGGTGCCGCGAGGATCGCTCACGAGCACAGGGCGAGGGCAGCAGCCAGCTCCAAGCAGTCAGATCGGGCTCGCTCACCTCGGAAGGATCGATTTCGTCGATCTCGGCATCCTGCAGCAGCAGCATTAGCACAAGTTTAGTCACATGCTATAAAATGCCAATGATCGGAACTGCAACGATGCAACGGCTATTGTTGGACAGTGCAGAGGCCCAAGCATGAAGGGTTGGCTCACATCGGTATCGGCCGCGTGGGGATGCGCGGCCCTCGGAACAGAGTCGAAAACGTCGTCGGCGTCTTCGAGGTCCTCGTCCTCGTCTTGATCGGCCTCGGCGACGACAAAGTCTGGATCGCACTCGTCGTCGCTGGGGAGATCGGCCTCAAGGAGGACCCTGGCAGAGAGCTGCTCGGAGCCGTCGGCCTGGCGACTGGCGGCAATGAGTTCGATGGGCTCGGCGGTGATCATGGAGGGCACGATCGACTGGAGAAGCAAGTGGGTTGGAGACGGGGACTGATCGGGGACTGATCGGGACTGATCGGGTATTGACGGAGACGGGATCGGTTGGGGGGAGGGAGTCGATGCGGAAGTAGATGGGGAGTGCGACTGCGCAGGGGACCCTGGAATGGGGAGCAATGTGACCCGAAATGGAGGGCTGCGCAGCGGCTGGATCCGGCTGGATCCGGCTCGAGCGCACTGCGCTGAGCAGCATGGTCACGGGCGATCACGTGCGTGTCTATCTGCGCCACATTCACGCCACCCTCCCCACGGCCGAGCGCCACTGCACGCAGACAGTGCACAGCCGCGACGGCAACATGTGACCCCGTGCGAGCACGAGTGTGACAAGGCGACACAGCGGACCCACAGCGGACCCACAGCGGACACACAGCGGACACAGCGGACACAGCAGGACAGCGACAGCGACAGCGGGACTCGCCAGACGCCTCGCTCCCCCTCCCTCCTCCTCGTCCTCCCACTGGCCCATCCAGGCGCGCTGCCCCGGTGTCTCGCCGGTCGATGGCGAGCAGGTTGCTGCGCAGCCCTCGGCGCCACCGACACGAGAGCGCCACCACGGGCGTGCCTGCGCGAGCTGCCGCGTCCCGAAACGGAAGGGCGAGGCGCCGTGTGACACGCACACGCCCGAAAAGGCAGGGATGGCTGGCGGCCCCGAGTCACGCGTGTGGGTGCGCCGTGTTTTGCTGACGGGTGCACGGCTGGATCACTGAACGCGCGGCTGGTGGACAGCGTCGGACGGTTGTGTCGACGAAACCAGGGTCGAGGAGACCTCGGATGGGACGGCGATCGGCGTCCTGCCGGAAGCCAAACGAGCGAAACCACACCAGGACGGCATGACGGGGGAGGCGATCTGGGAAGCATCAAACGAGTGAAACGAGTGAAACGAGGCACCGCATCGATACAGAGCAGGCAAGAGCTGCCGCTGTCGAGTCCGATCGACAACAGGGTCCGATCGGCTGCACCGGCCTGCTCCCACCACCGACGGCCAAGGATGCGTCCGGGCAGCAGTTGGCCGTCGAGTGGAGCAACATCCGGCGGCGATGCCAGCAGCAAACCAAGTCGTTGGTGTCAGGAGCACCGGTGCCTTGGCTGTTCAGACTCCCGGCTCATCCGTCAGCCCGGACAACATCGCTGGTGCATGGCCAGGGCGAGAACCACGGCGAATCCAACAGCAAGGTCGCCAGGGAACTGCATCGATGTTGACGGTGGCCCGCGCTGCGGTGCCTTGAGACTCGGGGCTGGATCGGCAATGCCTGGAAGGCAGACGACTCGCATGGCGGATGCTTGCCGCCGAGACCAGGATCGGTCTGGCGAGATCGCATCAAGGACGTGGGCTCTCTGTGCAGGCGATCTCTGGAGTACCAGATCGCGCGGGGGTCGCAGCAGGAGCAGCGATTGGTTCGCATGCCCAGGTTTGTTTTGATCTGGCTCTGCTGTCTGACCCTGCTGTCTGCTAATGCAAATGTGGCTTTCTGGTAAGCTGGGGCCAGCGCCGGAGAGTCGGCCGAACTACAACAGGCGGATGCTGCCGGCCTGCGAGCTCTGAGCCAGGGACATGTTGCGCCGGAGCCGTCTCGGCCAGATCGATTGCATACCTGCATGTCGATTGCATAACTGCATGTCGATTGCATGGTCGCATGTCGCAGCCGAGCAGATCTGCCAGCTCGTCGCGGCGCACAAGGCCAGATGTTTGCGCGATGGACACAGCGGCCCACTGGCCTGCAAGTGTTCCCACCCCCGACGAACACATCGTCGCTTCACGACCACAGCCGCCCATGGCAGCGATGGGCCGCCGACTATTCGCACCTCGAATACTTGGACATGGTGATGCCTTTAATACTTGGACATGGCGGTGCTTTGGACGTCTTTGCCTGTTGATATCCCCCGGCGCTTCGACACCCGGCTGCTCGTATCGCCTCGGCCTCCCCCCCCCCGCAGATGCACCCACCCACCCCGTCGTCCCCGGACACTCGCACGCACGGCTGCCGGCTGGTTCCCTCGACACCCGCCCATGCCTCCCCCCAAACGCGTCGCCACTGCTCCTGACAGTGTGCACCCGTCGAGCTCGCCAATCGCCGTCCTGCAGCGAGCCTTGTGCTGGGCTCGCTGCTGCTGAACGTGTTGCACTGTATCGGCGCTCTGCTGCCTCGCCTGCTGTCTCGCTTGCTGCCTCGCGCCGGCGTATATATCGACTATGACTCTGGCCCCCGCAAGGCCCAGGAGCCCCGAGGGAACGAAAGCGAGGGATTGCTCCAAATCGTCTCTCTTTTCTCGATCTTCGCTGCCTGCCCGCGGACTTGCAACGTCCCTGCACGAGAGCCCCGATAGCATCGATAGCATCGATCCTCTCCGACTCGTCCTTCTCCTTTCCTGCCCGGACTCTGTACTGCTGTGTCGAAGACTTGGTTGTGGAGTAACGGTATGTGTCCCGTTGCGTCGCAGCGTCGCAGCATCGCCGTATCTTTGCGTCCTGTTACGTTGCCTGCTATTATTATTTTTTTTCTTTATCTCTGTCTGCATCTGCGCCTCGTGCAAGCAAACTGATCGTTCCTTTCCGTCCACATTGCCTCTGCTTCTGCTCCACTTCTGCTCTTCTTCCCCTGCATGATTGTGATCTGCCCGGTGCGCCCTCTGCCTGCTCCTCGCGCTGCTGTCTGTCTCGCTCGCGCTTTTCTTTCTCTCTGGGTGACAACGGATCGCGGGGGGGGGGAACCACTGCTCGCTTTCGATTCCTTCCCTGGCCTCATACCCTGGACCTGATCGCGGCAATCGATTCCCGTCCGTTGCTCGCACACTCCTCCCGATCGCCTTCTTGCTGGCTCTTGAATCTGCCCTTGTGCTTGGTGCTCTCGCTTCGCCCACTCCCTTTGCCTTTTTCTTCCATTCTCCTTCTGCACCTCCTGCACCCCCCTTGCCGTCCACACCACCCCTTCGCTCCTGCCTGATCCAAATGCCCGTGTGTATCTACTGGCCTGGCGCCCGCCTCTCCCCTCGGTCTGGCTTCTCCCGAGTCAGATGGCCGATCCAAAAGCTCAGTGCCCACCCGCCACCACCGATGGCGGCTCGCCATATGGCCCCAGAGGCTCGCACCACAGGTCGCTGTCGACCGATACACACTTTTACTCGGTCGCTGCTTCCTCGGCCTGTCCATCGCTCCAGCACCCCGCTCTCATGCGCGCTCACAACCCCTCCTCCGTCTCGCCACGGCCGCACCATGTCGTCATCGGCGAGGCGGATGTCTCGCTGGCCACGACCATGTCGATCGACTCGAGCTTCTATGTTCCCATGAGCGCCGACCCGTTCTCCATGGCTGCTGCCTCGCCTCATTTCGCCTTCACCTTCCAGAGCCCCCCGACTTCTCTGCACACACTCCCGGCGTTCGCCCCCGTCCTGAGCGACGTGGCCTCCGCCATCCATGTCTATCCCAACCCATCCCACATCGGCATCTGGCCGGGCTCGATCGAGCCTGTTCCCACTCAGTACGCCTTTACCACCGAGCCTCTGGAGAGCGCGAGCCGCACCACTCCCGACGTAAGTGTCCGGCTCAGCGGCGCTGTGTCTGCTTCACCGCGGCGACCGTCCATCTGTCCTGATCTTGATCTTTGATGGCTTATCCTCCTCCTTCACCTTCCCACCCTCCCGCAGACAATGCACACACACAGTACACTGACCGAAATGGCCCACATGAAGCATTTGGATGTAAGCTGCTTTGGCCCTCCGATCGCCTCTGTGTATTCGCTGCTTCCTGTCCTGCGTGCTCATCTAACCTCCCGCTGTCGGCCTCCAGGGATCCCAATTTGCCTATGTCCTGCAGACCGCACACTCTCCCGAATACTTTGGTAGCCCTCATGATATGTCGCCGTGCTCAAGCGCGGCACAGTCTCCCCAGCGATGCATCGACCGCCAGAGCCCCCTGGGCTCGCACCGGTCCGATCTGCCAGGACGCCACATCCCTCATACCTTCTCCGGCTCAGCCTTCGACGGCTGCGACACTCCCATCACGGTCCTGTCTGCCATGCCGTCGATGCAAATGACCCCAATGTCCCTTGTCTCTCCCATCGTCGCCCCGAGCAGAAGCAATTCCTCCAGCTCCGCAGCGAGCCCCGACCTGGCTGCCACCCACCTCGCCTCGCGCAAACGCAGCTTTGCCAAAGTTGCCGAGCCGGCTCTCACGCCTGGCTCGCCCCTGGCCGAGAGCTCCGATGCCAGCGAGGCTGCGTTCTCGCCCTCGGCTTCGTCGCGGCGCTCCTCCAAGAAACGCCGTTCCGATTTCCACGCTCCCATCTACCGCCGCTGGACCCACCAAGAAGACGCCCTGCTCCGGAATGCCGTTGCCGAGTTTGGCTCCAAGAGCAACTGGGCCAAGGTCGCCCAGCAGGTGCCTGGTCGCTCAGCAATGCAATGCTCGACCCGATGGTCGGGGGCCCTCAATCCCGCCATCAAGAAGGGCAAGTGGACCAAGGAGAGCGACGAGTCGCTGATTGCTGCCTATACCAAGGCCGTCGAGGCTGTTGGTGGCAACAAGGAAGCTGTGAATTGGTCGTCCATCGCAGAATGCGTACCCGGCCGCACCGGCGTGCAATGCATGGCGCGATATCTTGAAGCGCTCGACCCCAGCGTCAGGTACGCCGCCGTTCAGCCGTCGCCAGCGACGATGCGCTCTCTTGCTCGTCCACTCTCTTGTGCCACACCCACTCACCCAATATCCTTGTCCAATCTCATCCCACCACCGCCGCGTCCAAACAGGAAAGGTAAATGGGGTGCTGAAGAAGACCAGCTGCTCAGGACCGGCTTGAAAGAGCTGGGCCTGCGCTGGGTCGAACTTGCCAAGAGAATCCCCGGTCGCACCCAGCGCCAGTGCCGCACCCGATGGATCCAGATCCGGGACACTCTGTCCGAGGACGGAGGACGGTATTACAGCCGCCCAAGCAAGCGCAAGAAGACCTCGCGCGACTCGGCCGCCTGGCCCGGATCAGTCCGTGCCTCGCACGCCGACCTTCTCAGCACCGACACCACTTCTATGGAACTTCACCCCGAATGCGACATTTACGCAGAGATCAAGGCTGAATCCCCGGACGAGCCCAGTTCTTGGGATGTGGGCGCCAGCGACTCGTTCTCCGATTCGTTTGGTGACGACACTGACCTGCCGCCAACCTCCGTCAGCCAGCAGAACTCCCAGCTGTACTTCTACTCAGGCAGCTCCGACATGCCCTCATTGATGATGGACGGGATCTGATTGTCTCCAGCGTTCTGCTGACATCGGTCCCATCCAACCTCTTGACCCTCTCGACCTTTGAACGGCACATCAAACCGAGCCCCCTCCTCCACCTTCTGTCCTTTCGTTCCAACCTCCCTTGCTCTCCCTCCCCCGGCACCAGGCCCTGCTCGACATCACACCCGTATCCTTCCTCCCGCTCCGTTCTAATTTATTTTGATCTCTCAGTAGAACCCCACCCTTCCGATCGATCATACTGCCCTATCCTACCCTACCTCAATTCATACTTTTTTGTTTGGTTAATGATCGCCCATCTCTCTCTCTCCTTCTCTCTCTCTCTCACGTCTACAAACTCACTCACGAGACATTTCTTGCATGCCATGGCCGAGAGGTCCCCAGCCCAGGGCCAGCGGGGCTCCAGTCCGTGACTTGGATCCCGCCTCGGCCATGGCTCTAATTTATTAGAGTCTCCCTAGAACCGTGATCTTTTCTTCTTCTTCTTCGAACCATCCAGCCCAGCCTCCTATTCCCTCCGTCTTCCTTATCCTCTCCTCCAACCTTTCCAAACTCTTCTCACCCCCCCCACCGTTTCCCTTTCCATTTCCCTTACTCTCGCTCCTCCTCGTTTACGCATCACGCTCGGATTGGAAAACAGTGTGTGCTGCCCCCTCCTCACCAGACAAAAGAAAGATGAACCATACCATACCCGTTCGACGACTGTTTTTTATTTTTTATTTTTTTGCTCTCCTCTCACTCCTTCCCCACCAGCAACCAGCAACCAGCAGCAGCCTCTCTCTGGGTCTTGCCAAGTTCGTTCATTGCTCTGTTTTTTTGTTATTCTTGCTTTTCATTGCTCGTCGTTTGCGATCGCTTCCTTTCTTCCTTACGTTGTTTTTCCTTCTCTTTTTCTTTCCTCCATCGTGCTCGTTCCGTCGATATAAGTCTCTCACCTCCTTCTGTTCGTTTTCTTTCCTCTCCTCTTTCCTTTGTTCTTTCCTTCTTGCTCTCAACACCCTTCTTCTTTTATCTTGCCATTTTATAGAGAATGCTATCAATAGACCCACAACCCATTTTGGCATCACGCATGTTCTCGATCAACCTTTACTTACCCCCCCCCCTACTCTATTTTATTTGTAGTGCTCATCAAAGCGAAATTATTGGAAAAAAAATATATATCATCATGCCCAAAACGAAACTGGGGACAGCCAGCCCCCCTGTATTGAGGAGTGAGGATTGTCGATTTTGTCCTGAATTGAATACTGGATACGCTCACCTGGCCCGAGTCACATCTCTGACCACAGCTCCAGCAGCAAGGGACGGCGGTACGGCGTGTTGAAGTAACGATGGGGATCTAATCATTTCCCTGTGTGAGAGAGATGCATGAAGCGAGTGGGCACGACGGGACCAGCGGGCCGCTGCAGAGGCAGTCACTGCAGGTCAGGGCAAGAAGACATACCAGGGATGAAGGAGGAAGACGCACGGCAAAGATCAACCTCGCTGCAAGACCTTGGCGAGGAGATTTCATGGAGCTTGGGTGCCGTCTGGTTCACACGACCCACACAAGTCACAACTCACACAACCCACACAAGTCGTCCGTGTGTGCAAGTGTTGCGTTTCGCTGTAAGCAATGGTATTGGGGAGCATGCCCTGTTTGCATAGCAGCATCAACATCAACGACATCAACATCAACATCAACATCAACATCAGCGACACAGCCGCATCCGATCCCGAGGTTACAGGCAATCCAATAAAAAACGGGACACCCGGGTTTTTGACCATTCATCGAATATTTTGTTACCCAATGTTATCGCGCGCTGGCCATGACCATTCGCCACACATCCGACTTTCGCACCGCCGCATTGCGATGCTACGCCCTCATCCATAGCCTGCGTAAGGTCGCCTCCATATTCAGTGTATCCAAGAGCACCATCCATCGATGGCACCGAGGATGCAAGCTGGATGACCCATCCCGGGTCCCAGCTCGCAGATCCACTTTCTTCGAGCAGGCATGTCCAGTCATTCGCACCCTGATTGAACAGGACCCGTTCCAGACTGGTCCTGTGTTGCGATGCAAGCTCGAGTCCATCCTCCAGAGGAAAGTATCACTCTCACTCTGCCACACTGCCATCCACCGAGCAGGTCTCTCACACAAGAGGGCAACACACCTCTACAAGTCCAAGCGACTGGATGAGCGAGTGGCACAGTTCAGGGACGAGACCCGTTCCATCGACCCACGACGACTCGTTTTTGTCGACGAGACAGGGATCAGGAGATCCATTTTCCCTCTCTACGGATACTCACCGAAGGGTGCTCCGCTTCGCCAGCGCAATCACATGAAGCACAAGTCTGTCTCGGCTGCATTTGCCATCAACCACTCTGGTGTGCTGCATCGCATGTACATCCCCACATCATTCAAGACACACTCGATGGTCGAGTTCTTTGAGCGAGCGAGCTTCCCAGACGACTCTGTGATTGTGATGGACAATGTCAGCATGCACAAGACACGGGCTGTCCTGGACTGCATCGAGCACCGTGGATGGTCAGTGATCTTCACCCCACCTGTCTCGCCCGACTTCAATCCCATCGAGAACCTCTTTGGGGTTGAGTCCCCACCGATTTGGGGTTGAGTCCCTCCAATCAAGCCGCCATTTTCACGCTCAAATCCCTGGCTTGAACCTCTCGGCGATTTTTGAACAGGGTCACTTCCCCAACCAGCCCGCAAAGACGGGCTCCTGCTCTTGGGTATAAATGCCACACCTTCGTCCTGCTACTTTCGTCCCTCATCTCGCCTTGATCTGATCATCGCGCTATTGTACGATAAAGAGAAGTCTCTCCTCTGACCAGTACCACTGGCAGGCACCCAGCATTCTCTGTCCCCATGCCTCCGAAGCGCAAGGGTACCGGTGATGGCCAGCCTCGGCCACCCAGGCCCAAGAAAGCCAAGTCACAGTCGGAGCCTGTCTCTGGTTCGTATTCTGACCCCACGCATGCTTGTTTCTCTGTTGCTCCGTCGCTCACCACCACTGCTTCTGCAGATCCAATGGATGTCGATCCCACCGAGCCTGGTCCATCTACTTCCTCGAGTACCGGCAAGCGATGTCCCAAGTGCGATGGCACCGATCATCAGCGAAGCAACACCAACAGGTGTCCCGAATATCACCCCCTCAAGAGTTCTGTCGTCCCACTCGTGGATGGAAGGTCGTCCGCCCCTCAGTTCAGCTGCTTCAAGCAGACGATGGATGGCTGTTGTCTCAATCCCGCTCTCCGCGACAAGATCCAGGCCACCGTCGAGGCCATGACCCAGATTCAGTTCGAGGCATCCAGGCTGCTCAACCTGCACATCCTCCGGTGCATCGAGCAGGATCTTCCCGTCCCCGTCATCTCCAAGTCCACCCCTGCTTTCATCCGCCAATGCTTCAAGATCGTCCAGGACGGTGCCCTCTCCCCGACCGGGGACAATGAGAAATACAACGAGCATCTGGTCGCTTCCTTTCGCGACTACCAGACCACTCGGCACGCAGACCTGCCTCCGCCCCCTCGTCTGCCTGATGGTGCTCACAGTCAGCTTCTCACCCTGGCTGTCAATGCCTATGCTACCAACTGCACCACCCACCTCAACCTGGCCTACTGGCGACTCCTTCGCCGCTTCTGCGCTGCCGTCTTCCCAGCCAACAAGCACAAGCACGAAGCCATCGAGGCCTGTCTCGAGCTCTTCGAGAAACCAGGGCAGACTCCACCCAAGGCCGATCTCGAGTTCCTCTATCCAGACTTTGGCCACGTCCTGGACGAGTTTCGGTACAGCAACGACCAGGACCGCTTCCGGGCCCTCCACCGCCTCTCATACCATGTGGGAATCCTCGCCCGAGACAAGATGGTCGACGATGTCCACAAGTGGATCGACTGTGACATGCCCGCTCTCCGAGTCACCGAGCTGCAGCGCCAGGCCAAGCTGGACGAGCTCACTGCCCAAGGCATTCCCTCCGACGACAAGAGGTTCACCAAGGCCAAGTCGGAGCTCGGCACCACCAAGGCCAAGATCAACAAGCTGGCATCCAGACTCAAGTGGGCCCTCAAGCAGCTCGCTCTCGACACTCCTCCGGCCGTGTGCACGATGGTTCCTCTATGCACTGCCACGGCCAAGTATGTCAAGATTGACACGGTCACTCTCTGGCAACTCCTTGACACCGATCATCGTCTTGGCCTTACCCGGGACATGCTCAAGGAAGAAGGTGAGGACGGTATCAACAACCAGGATCGTCTCTGGCGCAGTTGCTTCAAGCTGCGTAGTTCCCTCTTCCAAGAGCGGGTCAGGGACAAGAAGCTGTTCAACTACGAGATCAGCACCGATGGCATTGGATGCACCATCGGTCTCGTCAAGTTTCTGCCTCGAACCGATCACACCGAGACCATCGAGCCTCCTCCGACTGCCGAGCAGCGCATCCAGGCCCACATCGGCGACCCAGACCCCGACAAGACCACTTGGATTGGCATCGATCCTGGAGTCGGCTCCATCTTCACGGCGGTCATCCAAGCACCGGGCCACCAAGACGAGGTGGTCTCATTCTCCAATGGCCACTACCAGCACATGTGTGGCCATACGTCCAACACAAGGTGGCACAACACCAAGAAGTATCGACTCAGCATCGAGACCTGGATGTCGACCACCCCCTCGCCCAAGGTGTCGTCCTCGGAGGCTTTCAAGGTCCATCTCACCCATGTCCTGCGACCGGAGCTGCGAGTGCAGCTCGACTTCCACCTTGGCAAGAAGGCCCGTCACCATCGATTCACGGGCCACAAGAGGCGCCAAGTGGCCGTCGACAAGATGTGCAAGGCCGTCCTGAAGCACGCCCCGATACGGACCGATGTGGTGATCGCCTTTGGCAATGCGTCATGGCGACAAGGCAAGGGCTATGCATCCAGCCCTCGGAGGCAGCGGTTTGCTCAGTACTTTGAGCAGTTCGAGCACCACCGACGCCGTCCCAATCACCCTCATGGAAGCGTCAGGGTGGCCTCGACGAACGAGCTCAACACCTCGCAGGTGTGCTCCAAGTGCCTGGAGCCAGTTCGGTTGGAAGGACTCGATGCGCCCAGTGTTGCGAATTCCCACTTTGTCAGGAGCTGCAAGAATCCCAGCTGCCGGACAGTGTGGAATCGCGACGTCAATGCGGCGCGCAACATGATCACAGTATGCAGGTCGATTGTGGAGATCGGAGAGCGACCGGCGGTCTTCACTCGGAGGCTGCCAAAGTGATCTGTTTTATTTCTTGTGGCTTTGCTTGACGCAAGCACAGCACATACTACATGTTCATGGAAACGGCTATGTTGTCCCGTTTTTTCTGAATAAAGTGTATTCCCTGCCCAGCCATGCATCGACTGTCTTGGTGACACCGGCGGTCTGCAGGATCGCAGCCTCCTTGCGGATCCCGCGATCGATCATATCCATCTCGATCTTGATAAACTCGCGCGAGTCGTCTTCGGTCATCATGCCGTCGGCCGGATCCAGCCCCCATTCAGGGTCCGGGAGCGAGACGCTGCCCATCACATAGGTGCTGCCTCGGACCTTGCCGTGGACGAGCTGGTACTGGTCGAGTACTTCGGCGACCGGGACTTGGCTGTTCTGGCTGAGGTCTCGCACACGGGCAACCTCCTCTTGGAGGGTGGCCCGCTCCATGATGGCCGACTTGAATGCCGGAGGCAGCACAATCGACGGCACGACCGCGGACTTGAATGCGGCGAGCGTCGTCGGCATGGCTCTTTGGACATGTTTCAGCACAAACGCCCTGACGCTGGACTCGGCTTGGTCCCCTGCGGCTTCGACGACCCGCTCGGAGGGCAAGGCAATCGAGACATGCGATCGAGCGAGGCTGGGCGACACTGGCGAAGGACACCGGGGAAGCCGGGGCGACGGAGCAAGACTGCCGCTGACAGGGCTGGGAATCAGTCGGGCGCCGAGTGTAGATGTGGGAGCAGTGATTTTCATTTCTTGTGGGCTTTCGCTTCCCCCCGAGATGAGCGCCGACGTCCCTGCATTTATATGCGGGCATCTCGGCGTGGGAACCAGCTGCAAGAACAAACTCTGGACCGGCAGCAATCGCCTTGATGGGGCGGCACTGTCCCGCAACTCTGCAGGACGGCCTGCAGCTCCATCCTTCGCGGTGCTCGGGAACAAGCCAATCACACACCCTGGTGCCTTCACCAACGATCCCTCGAATCACCCTCTCCCCCTCAGAGCACACGAGGAGACTGTGCCTCTGTCGCAAGGGGGTCGGCGCACGACCCTGCTCTGCCTGTGGGGACCAAGGCGGCGGCGAGCAGTAAACAGCAGCACAGCCGACCAGCTGCATCGGTATTGCCCAACGGCAGTGTCGCTCGGTCCGTCAGCAAGTGCTACGGCGGCGGTGACGGCCAAGCGATGGTCGGCACAGTCTACCGCAAACAGCATCGGCCAAGAGTCAACAACACAACACGCCGTCGCCACCCCAATCGCCTGTCTTGTCTGGCTGACTATTCCGTGCAAAAGCAGCGTGAAGATCAGCCCATCGGCTTGCTTTGCTGTCTGCTTCTCCTCCCCTCCCCTTCCCCCCTCATTCCCTGACAACTCTGGCTCTATATTTGTTTGCCAACCAGCCCCACCGTCGTCAGCACAGGCTGGCCGATTTTGCGAGTATCTCAACCCAACCCAACCCCTAACGGTCCTTCAAACTCCCCTCCCATCAACACCAACCCTGGCTTGCACATCCGCCGCCAGCCTTTCCCACACTGGCCGTGGCCGCCCCTGCATGAAATGCGCCTAAAATTCAAACTCTCGTCCGAGCCAGTTCCCACGGCGGAACAAAGAAAGCAGTCCGCGAAACCCGATCCGCCAGCGGGCCAACAGGCAAAGTCCCTGGCTCCTCTCAGCGATGCGCGGACAGACGAAAAGAATGGGGTAACATTTGCCGATTCTCCAGATGTGAATGTGGCGACCGCCTGCTGCATAGAGTCACGGATGCTGATGCTCTGGACGCTCTCTGCTGCTCCTCCTGTCTCGCCTGTTCCTCCCTCAGAACTGGGATATGCTGTCCCTGTATACAGGAAAGCCAAGAAAGAACTCGACCTACGGCGCAAAGTCGTCGTCCCTGCCGAACCTGCTCATCGGCGACGCCGATGTCGAGGGTGCCGACAAGCTGTCGGCACTCAACACCGGCCTAACCGTCAAGACAAAAACCTCAAAGCGCATGAGCCGCAACTCTCCATTCTTCCGGCCTGTCTCGTTTGCCGTCGAGCCCATCTTCCCTTCCAACCCGCCCGACAAGCCCGACCAGCCGAGCGAAGCTGATCCCAACCAGCGCATCGCCTCGTGCACCAGCGACTTTTACATGATGAAGCTGTACGACTCCATCACCGATCTGGCCTCCATGGCCGAGAGCGAAAGCGACCTTCCCGAAACGACGGCGGGCAGAAAGGGCGACGAGGACGAGGAAATCTCGCCGACTGTCGAGCTGATTTCGTTCTACGAATCCCTCACCACCGCCAGTTCCCCCGTTGCGCCTTCTGCCCCCGCCAAGATGCCGCTCCCCTCCGAGAGCGAGGATCTAAGCACTTTTACACCCAAAGCTCACGACCCAAGCAAGTTCCTCGTCAACATGAGCCTGGACGAAGCCACCCCGATCGCCCACGGTCCCCCGCTACTGACAAGGGTTGAGCCGGCAGCGCTGCCGCTGCATACTGCACCTGTTTCCCACGGCCCTCCGGCACCCACCGAGGCAGCCAAGTCAAGCGGACCGTACGTCGCAAAGGTGCCCTTCTCGGCCTCGACAGAATCGTTGGGCATGGTTTCGATTGCTAGCTCCGTGCAGGACGTCGGACTGTCGCATTGCAGCCCAGGAGTATCGCTGAACGAGCTGGGCGAGAAAGTACCGCGACCACGAACCGAGTCCGACAAGAGCAATCGCTCGGCGATCCGAGAGAAGCGAGGAGACAAGATCAGCCTGGGGCCATTCATCGTCAGCGGTGACAAGAGCAAGTACTTGCTGTACACCGTCTCGGGAGCCCTCTTTGAGCTGCTCGACATTGTCAACAAGGACGCCTCGCTGATCGAGGTGGAGATGCCTGACGGGTACGATCTCGAGACGCCCGATCCCGAGCCCGTGATGATGACCGAAGACGGCAAGACCGTTGTCAAGGAAGCGACGCTGCCGGCACTGTGCGCTCTGCTGTCGGCCGAGGGTGTCATTGACGCATCCTTCGTAGCCGACTTTCTGGCAACATACCGCTACTTTGCCGAGCCCCTCGACATTGCGCGTCTGCTGATTCTACGGTACATTGTCATCGGGGAGCAAATCGCCCATAGGATCGTTCAGGAACGAAGAGCCACCCTGATGGGCGAGCCAACGAAAGCCACCACCCCGGCGTGGGACACCTTCCAGCAGCTGAGAATCCTCAACGTCTTCAAGAAGTGGATCGAATACCATCCGCGCGACTTTGAGCAGAACACCGCGCTGATTCGCATCTTGATTCGCTTCCTGGAGGATCACGTCAAGAAGGACTCCAAGCGAGCGGTGTTTGCCGATGCTCTCCTCGGCAACTTGAGAGACAAGGTCGGTCTTGGGGTCGAGATCGCTCCAAGCGACCCAGCGGGGCTCCCGAGAATGCGCACCATCAAGAGCGAGCCGGCCCTCAACACTCCCTCGGCGGCGTCGTCGCTGTCGTCCCCCAGCCACCTCAATCCGCCCACCGGCGAGAGCTACGGAGACGCACCTGATGTCGGGTCGTACGTTAGTGTATCGTCGATGGATCTCTCGCCCATACTCGGCCAGATCCCCAACGAAGTCCCGCGTCCTTTGGCAATCCAACGGGCGCCCAAGTTCTCGACGTGGCAGTTCCGTCCGGAAGACCTGGCGGCCCAGATCACCCTGATCGAGCATCGCAACTTTACCAGCATCAAGATGCACGAGTTCCACCACCAAGCGTGGACCTCCAAATTGAAGACCAAGCTGGCCCCAAATCTAGTCAACTTTATTGATTTCTTCAACCGCATTGCCTACGGTGTCGCCAGCGAGCTCGTCAGCGAGCCCAAGATCAAGACCCGAGTGACACTGTTGAAGCGCTGGATCTTTGTTGCGCATCAATGTCTCAAGCTGCGGAACTACAACACCGTCTTTGAGATCGTGGCCGGGCTCAACATGGGATGCGTCTCGCGGCTAAAGAAGACATGGAAGGCGCTCTCGAAAAAGTACTGGGATGTTTGGGAAATGCTGAACCATGTCGTTTCCAACGAAGGTGAGGACTCGGGCAACGGCCCTCGACTGCTTGATTGCCCAGTTCATGTCGATGCAGCCCCGGGTTGGTACATCACATCAACTCACCACATCACATCACATCAACTCACCACATCACATCACATCAACTCATCACATCACATCACATCACATCACATCATATCACACCATCCTCGCACCATCCCTCGATTGCGCACAGGATCGTATCGGTGGTATCGCTCACAAATCGCAGAGGTCGTCCGAAGCAACAGCACCGGAGGCATACCCTGTGTCCCATATCTCGGCGTCAACTTGTCTGATCTGACCTTTGCCGAGGATGGCAATCCGACGTTTGCCAAGCCGTCAGTAGCATTGGAGGCAGAGCCGCTGGCAAAGGTCGCCGGAGCAGCCCCGCCACCAACCCCGATCGTCAACTTCAACAAATTTCGGTTTATATCGCAACTGATCAACAAGATTGAGTTCATGCAGCGATATGAGTATACCCTGCCACCCGACCCCAAGATCCAGGATTTCATTCTTCACGAGTGGGGCAATCTAACCGAGGCGGAGCTCTATACAGCCTCCAAGGTGTGCGAGCCACGGATAGCCGGGACATAACAGCGATCGACTGCGACTGCCCGGGCAACACCACCACCACCACCACTCCTTGGCGACATACCTCCACCCTCTGCCGAGGCGCCACCTCGATCGCTGCCGGGAACTTCTGTCTCCTTTGCCAAAGTCTGAGCACGACACCTTCGATACCGCAGACATGCAATGAAACTGGATGTCATGTTATCATACTTGGCGACGGTTTGTTTTGAATCTCAATACACGCCCATCCACCGCCCACCGTGGCCGCTCGCCTCGTGGGAGTAGGGCAAGCAATCTGCCTTCGGCCTTGCTCATTCTCGTCTGGTGTCTTTATTGCTTCGCTGTGGAGCGTCCAGCACCAATCGATTGGAGAGCGCCAGACCACGATCCGCGCAGGATCAATCGTCCTTGGGCTTCTTGGTCTCGGCCTCCCCAAGGGCATTCGATTCGGCCTTGCGTTTGTTGCCGAGGCCAAAGGTGATCTTCTCTCGGTTGATTTCGGGTGCGGAGGCACTGGCTTCGACAAATGCATTGCTTCGTCCAGCCGCCGAGCCAGGGTTGGGGCCGGTAGTACGGCTCGCCGCTCGCCCAGCAAGATCGGGGATGGCGGCGCTGAGGAGTCAGTTCAAAGGGATGGGTCAGATCCAGGCCATTCTCAAACATTGGAAGATGCGCAGATCCGAGTTCGCCAAAAGCGCTGGCTTCGCAGGTTCAAGGTCAACTCATGTATGCGCATCACATTGATCCATTCGTGCATGTGCATCACATTGATTCACCCAAACCACCACACGGGGAAGCGCAGGAACTGCTCATTGCACTGTTACTCACGCTCGATTTCCAACGGACAGCACAACGTGGGCAGAGCCAGACAGCCGAGTGTGCTCCGCGAGAGCCGCGGCCGTGCCGAGAGGCGTATCGACGCTGCTCATGCCCTTGAGCTTCAGTTCTTCCTCGAGTTTCTTGGCTCTCTTCTCGGTCTTGAGTTTGCCCGACTCCTTGCCGTGGAACTTGTGAGACAACAGTCGGAACGCCTGGGAGCAGTAGTCACGTCGTTAGCGAACGTGCAGCAGGGCGGTGGGTTGCGTTCTGTTTCTGGGGCAGCCACAGATCGCCCAGGCAACCCGGTATGGCCAATATATCATGTGCAATCCGACGCCGGCGTATTTACCTCCTTGGCGTTGAGGCTGCGGCCCTGGGCATCGTGGTACTCCAGCTTGACATCTGGGTTGTAGTCCTTGAAGCGCTCCTCAACCTCTCGCAGCCGCTCGCGCTCACGCTGCTGCTCCACGTATCGGTCCTCTTCTTTCTGGCGCTCGTTCACTCGGCCAGACTTGCGATCGCGCTCCCGCTCGCGGTTCCGCTGCTTCTCCTGCTCGCGCTCGAGCTCGCGCTTCTTCTCTCGCAGCTTCTGCTCCTGCAACCACTTGTGCCGGTGCTTCTGGCGCTCTTCCTTCACAAGCTGATCGGGAGAGACAGACTCGATCAGGCCTTTCTGGCTCAGCAGTGCCAGAGTGGCGGCTAATCCAGAGCCGACATCGGGTTCCTCGATGATTGTAGCTGCCGGTGTCTTCACGTCCGCAAAGAGAAAGCGCATATAGGCCGTATGGATTGCATATCCATCGCGTTAGTCTAGCGTATGTATCCAACTCATAATGCGGGTTGTATGCCTGCGAGATGGAGGGATCAAGGACACCACTGGACAGCTGAGAGTTCATGCAGCTGGGGGTTCTGGCGACTGCCGGGAGACATGCTGAGGCTCACCTCAGAAGGCACATCCGTGGCGTCCTGCCACCCGGATTTCTGTTCAGCTCTGTCGTCCTGATCGTCTTCGACCATGGCATCTCGCTCGTCCATTGGGACGTCCATCTGCTCGTCCTCATCGTCGTCGCGTTGTTCGCCCTTGGTGTCCGAGGGCTGGCGTGACTTGAATATCGGGGCCGCGAGCAGATTCTGTGTGAACTCGGACGTTTCCGAAATGACGATACCGCCGGCCGTTTCTTCGTCGTCGTTTCCGATACCTTCGCCCTCGGCCGCCTCTAGAAACCATGCACGGAACAAGTTAGCCAAGCCGATGGGTGCTGAGATGCTTGCATCCATCTATCCAGGGCCAAACTCCATCGGACAAAGCCATCCGAGCTGCCGCCCAGTTGTATCGCCACCCACGTACGCTGTAGCAGCTCCTCGGGCGTCAGTTTGGCAATCTTCTTGACAGCAATGCGTCTTGCCCGTGAGAGCGATGCCTGCAGATCGTCGTCGTCAACGAGATTAACGTTGTCGAGGTCGGTGTTTCGGTTGCTGTGGATGTAGCTGCCTTCGGGAGCACGTATCTGGTCTTGGTCAAGGTTCATCCCATCCGGATCGGCCGCAGCCAGGCCGTCGAAGAGATCGTCTGGCTCTTGTCGACGCTTGGAGCCCTTGGACCTTTTCTTCTTCTGCGGCTTTTTGAAGGCGACGGCCTCCTCCTGCGTGTAATAGTCCTTGATCTCTTGCATTTTTTCATAATCCAGGGCGACAGCCTTGGCCCGCAGCGCATCCGATATCTCCTGCTCGGTCTCTCGGCCGGACAGGTCCACGGTGCCTTGGTTGCTGAGATGGAATCCGAGCCGAGTCGGGCCGTCGATCTCCTCATCATACTTTGAGAGAACCCCGCGCTTCTTGAATGGATCGCCCGAGTCGTCATCGTCGTCATACGGATTGTAGCGATGTTTCTTTATGTCGGTCTCGGCCTTCTTGCGCTTGTCGCTCTCCATGAGGTTGATGTTGACGAGCTCATCGCCCTCGGCCTCGTTGTCGATGATGGTGCTGTCCTTCAGCACCAGGACCGTCTCGCCTTGCTCGAGAAGGTCGTCGACATCGTGGCCGACACGGAGACCCTCGAGATCTGCAGATCCGTATGCCAGCTTGTCCTGCTCCTCGAGCTCCTTGGCCTTCTTCTCGGCAAGCAGCTTCTGCTGTTTCTTTTTGTCGACCGCCGCCCGCCGTTGCTTGTCTCGTGTCCGCTTGACCCACGCCTCAGCATCGCCGGCATCGTCCTCATCGCCGCTTGCTTCACCCAGCCCTTTGCCCTGAAGCTTCTTGGCGACCTCACGCTTCGTTCGCAGTCTGTGATGGAAAGGGTGACGGATCGGCGTCATGAGATGCCAACCGGACACTGCTCAGACGCTCCAATGGTGCGCATATGCCCTCACCGCCGTGCATTCGATGCCCTGACAGTCCGCATGGCACCCTCGACCACAGAGACCTATCTCGTCGCAGAAACATACCTCGCGATATGCTCCTCTGTCTCCCGGGTCTGCCGATCTTTCTGCTGCTCCTCCCGGAACTTTGCATAGTTGTCCTCGGCCGTCTTCTCCCCATCCGTTGGTGCATCGAGCGACAGCGGCTTGAGCCCAAGTGATATTCTGAGCTTGTTCGTCTCTTCGATCGAGAGCGAGACTTCGTCCCTGCTTCCCTGCTGGTCGACCTGCATGTGCTCTGGAGATCGGGGATACAGGGTCAGCGTCTGATCAACATCCGTGCCCGCAGCTACACACCGAACCATGGCGGAGCACCTGCCGCTGCGGCCGCACATACACCTGCTTGCCAGCGCACTTGCCTTCGTGGGCCATGGCCGTTGCGGTTGCTGATCGTCGTCGCTGGCGTCGGATCAAGCGAATGCGTCTCGATGCCGCCTTTGTCGACCGTGCCTCTGCCGCACTCGAATGCACTCGAGCCGGCGCGCAGCCAGCGATCGCACCACACAAGCTCCCGTCAACATCCAGAGAGCACCCAGACAGCATCGCACCCGCATCAACATCGCCAGAGATGACCGTCGGTATCGTCGTGGCCCACAGGCTTCGCGCAGGGATCGCGCAGTCGCTCTGCGTCCGATCGTTCACCACCAGTGCCCTGCTCAGAGGTGAGTCGTCGGTGCCGCTCCCACCGGGATTGCCACGCGCTCCATGCGACAACCGCCCGCCCCAGCGACATTGGATTCCATGCTCGCAACCGATCTGCCAGTGGCCCGCTGCATTGTGCAGTGACCACAGCAGCCATCCAGCTTGGATAGTGCGCTGTCTATTTCATCAATCCTGGGCGCTCATCTGGCCATATTTCGTCCCGCCTCGTCCCAATCCCATCCGATGCGACTCTCTTGTCATACAACAACAGGCCCTCAGGTCGTCAACTCCATTCAGGACTACCGCAACATCCGCAGCGCCTGGGCAAGGGAAGATCGCGCTGTCGGGTTTGTTCCGACCATGGTGAGGAGCCAATGGCCCCTCGACAGCCCACTTTGGCGACCCATTCATGTCCCCGAGTCTCGATGTGCAGGCGCGGTCCTTCCGTCGGCTCACTCCTCTTCCGTCGACTCGCTCCTCTTCCATCAACCCACCCAAACAGGGCGCTCTCCATGAGGGTCACATTACGCTTGTGCGAGAAGCAAAGTCCAGGTGTGACCGAGTCGTGGTGTCCATCTTTGTCAACCCGGCCCAGTTCGCTCCTACCGAGGATCTCGACAAGTATCCGCGGACGATGGAGAGCGATCTCGCACTGCTCGACAAGGAAGGTGTCGATGTGGTGTTCTACCCGCCCGTGAAGGAGATGTACCCCTCCGGCATCACCCTCGACGTGCAGCAGCAGGTGGGCACATTTGTCGAGGTCAAGGGAAAATCCCACCAGATGTAAGTCGCTTTCCTGGACCCATCAGTACATCAGGCGACAACAACAAGGGATGATGCCTCGGTCTGCTTGGTGCTTGCTGATCGACACTATTGCTCGCCACTGTATCCCAGGGAGGGCTCGGTTCGACCCCACTTCTTCAGAGGCGTCGCCACTGTTGTGTCCAAGCTCTTCAACATCGTCCAGCCAACGCGCGCATTTTTCGGGCAGAAGGATGGGCAGCAATGCTCGGTGATCCGCAGCATGGTCCGCGACCTGTTCTTCCCGCTTGAACTGGTCATTGTGCCGACTGTACGTGAGGCGGACGGCCTGGCCATGTCGTCGCGGAACCGCTATCTTTCGGCCGAGGAGCGGGCTGCGGCCCCGGTCCTCTTCAAGGCCCTCTCGGCAGGAGAAAAGTATCTCCGCGTTCGCGGTCCTAGCACCACAGCCAAGGAGATCATCGATGTCGCAACCGAGACCGTCAAACTGGAGCCGCGAGTGCAGCTCGAATATTTTAGCCTGGCAAACCCGTACACCCTCGAGGAGCTCCAAGGTCCCATTGGCGACGACGGAGCCATCTTCTCAGGCGCCGTCAAGGTCGGCAAGACCCGCATCATCGACAACATCCTTCTCCAAACCAATGTCAAGACCTGGGCGACCCGCGACTAGTCCTCTCGTGTGACTGACTATTGTTGAGCGCATGGCTGGCGTGCGGCAGACGGCGTACGGCATACAGCCGGGTCAAAGAGCGGACTGACGACAAATGGATGTATTGGTGGTGCCCAAAGCGCACAATACAACGGATCCACTCCTTCCGGACAGATGTTGCGTGCAGAACCATTGATTAGAGGTGCCGTTACAGACAGCAGCGTGATGATGAGATGCTGCTCAGGCGAGGCAGCAGTGATGGCGTGTAGGTTGGAGGTCAATGTGAGGGAAGGAAGCAGGCGACAGTTTGGTGATCAAAGCCCAGACAAGTCGGCCAGCCGCTAGATCAAGAACGGAGGGATACAGACAACGACGAAAACAGACGGCAAGTACGAGTGGCCGTGTGCGAGAAGTAATGAGCGACCGTGTGCGGGGGGCAAATGCAGTGGCCTCCACCTTTGCCTGTGGAATATAGCAGCCCATTTTGCTGTTGCGCTCTAGGGCGACCTGGCGACGTTCTCGCGGTCATGAAATCTTGGCCAGCCAGTGGCGGCACTGGCCAACGACCAAGAAAGTCACGGCGGCAGAGGGCCCGGTCTTGAGCAGTGCCGGGAACAAGCCCTTGTAGAGCGCAAAGAAGCCTTCGTGCTTGACGATCTGCCGCATGACTGCAATGAAACTTCGCGGGTACCGCGGGACGTTTGGGGTGATGTACGAGTTTCGATCAGGCCCTTGGACCTGCAGCCGCTTGCTGGAGAGCAAGCATGTGCTTTGGATTAGAGCGAAATCGAGGGAGCAGATTGACTCGAAGGCTCATCCAGCCACTTCGGGTCAGTGTCGGCGATTGACCGAAACGGCACAGCCAACCGAATCAGAGCAAGTACTCTTTCCTCAACTACCACCAGCCCAGCCACTTCCGTATGTGCTACGTTACCGGACGACATCAAAGGGCAGCATCAGTGTCTTGGTAAGGATGCCGGAAAGACCGCCGCTAACAAAATCCTCGACACCGTGGATGGCTTGGTTGAGCGGCAGATCAGAGCGAGACTGTGCAGTCGGTACGATGTCAGTGAATGCTCGACAGGGGACTGTGATGCGGCCGAATCGATCGCAACGGAGTGTGTGCCCGCATCCCAGAGGCCACAGCCAACGAGAAGCTCCCAGATACCCACGCTTCTCATGCGCTCGAACATGGCCTTGAAGAACCGCTGGCTCTCGAATATGATGCCCATGGACGGTATGATTTGAACGACTGTGGGAAAGACGCCGCGATAGAATCCCAGGAAGCCTTCATTGCGGTAGATCTTTGCGACGGCATCGGCATAGGAGTTGTATATCTTTGGCGACGGGAACAGAAATGACAGATAGCAGACGACGGACCAAAGCGTCAGCACAAAGCCTGCGGACCACTTGCTGAGTGGATACTCACCCGCTGTTCGCCCTGGGCAGCAAATCGTGTCCGCAGCAGATCGAGCGGGTACGTTATGAGCGTTGCCGAGGTTCCAGCAAGGGCTGCGGGGGGGGGATGATGGATGGGTATCAGACAACGGACAAGACTCGAATGAGCAAGACTTGGCCGTCCACATCGAGAATCAACTCACAGCCACAGAGGAAGGTGCGGGTGCTGATGGGCACAGAGTTGTCGGTGTCCTTGAGGTCATGGATCGCAGAAGCGGATGGGTCAGCCGAAGAGCACGAATGGGAATCGATGGTTCTTGGACGCTGGATCCAGCCCTGCAAAACAGTGAGGCCATGTGCTCACACCTACCCATTCTGTTACCCAGGCTTGGGCAGCATAGTAGGTATAGAACTGGGTTGCGCCGTAGGTCAAGTACAGGAGTTCGGCAGACAGATTGCCCTTCCAGAGTCCCTGGGTTGAAGCACATGGGCCCGAAAGCAGTCAGCGGGTCGAGTTGAGGTTCAGGGACGGTTCAGGGACGGTTCCAGCAGAGATTTCCGCGGTTGGAGTGGGGAGGATGCACAACGCATATCAGCAAAACGCTTTCGTTTGGAGCAGGAAGCTACATCCGTGTTGAGAGCTCTCAGTGCAAGCCACCTGAAGGCCTTCCTCGCGAACGATCCGGCGGAAGGTTTGTACGATGCCGGTGTATTTTGACTCTGGGCGTTTGGTCTTGGAAAGCGAGAGGATGTTTGGCGCAACTTGGAGCTGGGGCGATGGCCAGCAGACAGGTGTCAACTCGATACCGATGCAGATGCAGATGCATTCAACTCGATGCCGATGCATTCAACCCGATGGGCTACGAGAAGCACCATGACTCAGAAGGCGGGATGCATACCTGGAATCTGCAGCCGCGCAAGGCACGGCATCGGACGGAAGCAGCCAAGGCGACGAAAAAAATAGAGTCAGGATGGTCAGGCCCGAGAGGACAGCGGCCGGGGCAGTTTATCGATCCGATCCAACAGCATGGCCAAAGCCAGCAGGCGGAGCCAGTGCGAGTGAGCCGCACCTTATCTTGACAACATCCAAGGGAGCGATGACGATACGAGAGACGACGCCGGCGACTGCACCGCTCAGGGCATTCTGAAGCGGCGTCAGCTTCTTGGGCGGGTCCGCGGCGGCCTGGCTCATGGCGACGGGTCAAAGTGCAGATCCGAGGCGAAGCGCAGAGCGGGCAGATCCAAGCCGAGCCAAACGACAGCACTGGTGCCTGCGAGCAGGTCGATTGGGGGAGAGCGGCGGACCCAGAAAAAAAATGGGGGGCGATCAAAAAGGAAATGGGTCGTTCATGTTGGTGCATCGCCGAGGAGGAAACCCAAAGGGGAACATGGCGACCAGGTCCCATTTGCCGATATCGCAGAGACGCAGTTCTCCATCAAGCATGGCTGTATTCTGGATACGTGCACACATCTCAGCACTTGGACCATCAGTGAATACCAGCGATGCGTCGAGTGATCCCAACCCCGGCGAGAAAGTACAGCAAGCACACCGAAAACATCACTTTGTACCCGAGACACTGCACATCCCACTGAGTGCCGAGCGGCTGGAATCCATCTCGGACCCATCCTGCAATGGGACTCGCCACGATCTGGGGCAGGACCAGAGCGGTGTGCCACAGGCTGATGTCCCTGGCAGCATCGTCCTTGGACGGCAAGACATCCATCAGCATCGCAAACTCGACGCTGAGAAAGGGCCCGTATCCCAGGCCGAAGATGCCCGACACAGCCAGGGCGGCGTAAAAGTAGGTCGTGACAATCATGAGCACGCACGAAAGCGCCATCAGAGCCGCTGCGGCATAGACAACGACCTTGCGCCGGGATTTCGGGATCGCCAGGGCCCCGAGCGGCGAGAGTGTTAGCAGAGGGATCAGGGCGATGGACACGGCTCTGGAAGGCGACATGTCGACGCTGACGCAGTCTCCGATCCAACTGAGGCGCGGAGTCGAAGCGGGCACGGGATGCGTTGGAGTAATCGCATTGAGGTCGTTGAGAAAAGTAGCGAATGCGGGCAGTGTGGAAGTGGCGGATGGAGGCATAGGATAGAAGCGGTATGCGAAAGTAGTGGTAGTGAGTATCGTCGTCCGAGCGAGCAGTGGAGACAGGAAAGGCGATGGCAGAGGAGTGATCCTGCATGCTGCTCGGATACATGTCGCCGCCGCCGTCAACAGCGACATTGTAACGTACTATTGCAGGAATTGCTGCACCGTCGCAATGCCCATCTGGAACATGAAGCGTGAAGCAAAGACGAGCCGGAAGTTGGCATTCTTCAGCGGCGAGACCATGTCGACAAGGAGGGAGTACCATCCACAGGGAACCAGCCGAGTCGATGGCGAAAAGTTGCGGTTGGGCTCACCGACGGACCAGGTCGCCAGAGTCGACAGGGCCAGAATGCCTACGATGATGAGATACATCCCGAGCGTTCCCAGGGTGTCCGAAAAGACGCCGATGATGGCCCCGACAAAATAGCCCGCCAGATTGAGAGAGCCCATGATTGCCGAGACGAGGCCCTTCTGCTCGGGGCCGGAATGGTCGGCAATCAAGCCATTGAAGGGCACCGACGCCGTTGCTGCCGCCATCGTCAGGGAGAGGTAGCTAACGCTGTAGACCAGCAGCGACGAGTTTTCCGTCATGCCTGCGAGCGAGACGCACATCCAAACGACGCCGCCGACCATCCACGGCATCCGCTTGCCTGCCCGTGAGCTGAACCGATCGTTCAGAGTGCCCACCAGCATCGACACGGGCAGGTTGGCCAGCCCAGACTCGAGCGAGATCAGCCCAAGCCCTTCGCCCTTGTGCTCGTCGCCGACGATTTGACGGATGTGCATCGGGATCACCACGATCGATAAAATGAACCCTGTCGGGATGCACAGCGATGCGAGTCAGCATATGCGCTGTGCTGGGTCTGGTCAGGACAAGCCGGCCACTGCATCGTGGGAAGGTGCATGTCCGAGGCAACGCACAAAAGAGCTGGAAGCCAAACCAAAAGGCATTCAGGGCCACGATCTGGAGCTTGGTGAGGCTCGGCCGTGCATCGGCCGGCGATGCGTCTTCGAGGCTGAACTTTGCATACGCTGCTGCTGGCTGCGAGGCCAACGCGCTGCCATCATCTGCGTCGTCGGGGAAGTTATCTGGGAAGTTGTTGTCTGGGAAGTTGTTGTCTGGGAGGCCACCAGGAGGGCCAGTTCTGAATGCCGCCGAGTCGCTTCGACCACCCAGCAGCGCGGCGTCATCCCGGCCGCTGTCGATGTCGAAGGAATGGGAGGGACTGCGAGTCTCCATCGTGGGTGCGGCCGCCGTTCAAAGTGCAGATTTGTGGCTGTCGGGGGGGGGGACCTTTAGATGGAGAAAGCCAGCCGGGTCAAACGCGAAAGGACGCAGAGAGGAGATACACTTGGCCAAGCCAAGGATGCTGGGCTCACGAATGCCCTGCGACAGCGACAGATCGGGGAGATGCGGCTCGGGGAGATGCGATGGGTCGGAGACGAGTCTGATTGAGGCAGGTGGCCGCTTGTCCAGCAGTGCCGATCTGTCGACCGGACCGATCGATGTGCGGCTGGGATTTCTGAGACATCCTGGCCAACACAACATAAACGCACGATGGATACTCCCTCTAAAAACACTACCTCTGAAAACACTACCTCTGCAAACACTCCATGCTCACCCCAACGGGGATATCCGATGGAGACTTGGTGCAGATGCCATGCCGGTCTCGTGCCATGCCTGCCACAGCGGTATCAAAATCAAAGTGTTCATCAAAGTGTTCATCAAAGAGAGAACGCGCTCCGGCGGCGCCGGTCGCACAGGTGTCCAGGATCGATTCGAATCTCCCCCCGCCTCCTCGTTTTTGGGCTGCCTCGCCTCATCTCGCCGCTTGCGCTGCTTTCTTTCGCCCTCCGAGCTTGGGTTTGCTGTTTCGCTTGGCTCACCTGGTTCGCCTGCCATCTCTGCCGCACCAAAGCCTCCCCCATCAAACGCGGCCACGATGTCCGGCTTCGGAGATTGCTTCCTCACTCCCTCGGTATGTATTATGGCCTGTCTTGGGCTTCCGCATCGACTCGCAGCATCAGTCATTCAGAAGGGCCAAGCCAAGCCTGTCTCCTATCCGTCTCCTATCCGTCTCCTGTCTGGCTCCTGCCTCGTTCTAACCTGTCTCCTGCCAGTCCCCACCTTCGACGCTGTGGACCGTGAACAATCCTTTCAATGCAACTCTGGGCTGCAGCTCCTTGCCCTCACGAACCGCCAATGTGTCCTTACATTTCGACGACTTCACATATTCGGGAAATCAAATCCCAAATGTAAGTATTTCCAATTCTATCATCTTCTTGGATTGATAGTGAATCTACAACCCGAGGTTCATTCATTTTCCTGGATCAGCAACCAAAGACGGCAGGATGAGATGTTGGCATCCTGTCTGCTTGACCTTGTGCAATCGCTCTGGCTCCCAGTCTTCTCCTCGTTGCCCCCTGTCGAGATTGGCTGCAACATCAGGATACAATACTCAAACCCGTCCTCATACCAACTGATAAACTCATTTTCCAATGTTTTTGCTCGCATCATAGTTCACCGTTGTCGATAGTGTCATGTTGACACAAGCAAAGGCCTCGAATGTCTCTCTGAAGCTGCCTTGGAACTTCACTTCCAATTGGTCACCCAACACCTCCCATAACTACACAGTTCAATTGGTCAGCATCGCTCTAGTTACTGATTCATCAACTAGTGCTAATATTGGGTTCTATAACTATAACACCACCCAAAGCACTGCCTCTCTCAACTTCATCGTCAGCAACGTTGTGGGATCCTCGTCGCCATCGACCAGCTCTTCCACTGGGTCTCCTCCAACCCCGATTCAGACCTCTACGGTTACGACGTCCGAGGGCCTCTCGGCTGGGGCTATCGCTGGAATATCGGTCGCGGCTGTGTTGGTAGCTGCTTTGGCCGCCCTCGGCCTCATCTGGTACCACCGATCTTCCTACCAACGCGGCAAGGAAGTTGCATCGGGCCATATCTCAGCACAGCCTAGCGAAAGAGGCCTGCTGGAGCACTCGAGCCTCCCCGCCCTCCCCCCTGTCCCTGTGGACCAGGAGGGTCTGCTGCAAGTTGTCCCCGCGAGTGTGCCGCCTGCTGTGGCACCGCTTCCTATCAAGGCAACGGCTCTCGTTGATCACACCGGCGACAAGGACGACGAGCTCGATCTCTACAAGGGCGAAGACATCTGGATCATCGAGAGCTACTCGGATGGCTGGGCAAAGGTCAACAATGCCTCCAACGAGATCGGCATTGTGCCTCTTAGCTACCTCAAGCCAACGAGCTACTGAGCCGAAGCCGATGCCCTCGACACCGCTACTGTTCCTTACCAAACCCCGGGCCCGTCTCCTTTTTATTACTTTATTGCTTTCTTCTCTTCCTCATCTTTTTCAAACTAGTGCAGGCCTGTGGTGAGAACAGCGCTTGTTCGGACAGACATCTGTTGCTTCTCGGAGGGGCCAGATGTGTATCCAAGTCGTCCGGTTGCGCTGCATCATATCCCCCGCCGCCGCCTCTCGATCGCTCCTCACTGGCCCAGCCAACGTTCTCTTTGCTTGTCGGTCCTGCTGCCCTGCTCAACCCCCGTCCGTTTTCGTGATTAGCCTCGTTTCTTCTTCTTTTTCTGTTATTCCTGCGCCGTGATCCAGTTTGCTTGCTCTTGCTGCTCTTGCTTCTGCCTTTGCTGCTATCTGCAGTGCTCGCGTGCCCCCATGCTACTCCCCCGGAACTGGTATCCACAGCGAGGCAATAGAATTGTATTCAATAGCGCCGTGTCGGGATTGCATCCGAGGCAAGAGCCACAGGGGGGACTCCAGATCCTCTGCCGTCTTCAGTGCAGCTCCTGCAGAAATGCACATGCTCTGGCGGCATGCAATCGGACACCCAACGGTCATGGATTGCTCGGCCATGCCCAGCGTATCAGATCGGACCCCAGCGAATGCATGATGCTGTCGCGGCTGCCACTACCGTCGCTCATTCCAGTATTTTGAATGCCCTTCCCCTCCAGAGTCTCGCCTGTGTTTCGGCTGAAACGGGATCCGCCCTTTGGCGATCTCTGGCCACTCGCATCTGTGCTGGCTTTATCCACGATGGCTCGTGACGATTCTTGGGCTGTCCTTTTTTCCCGCCATGGAAGTCACAGGCCCTCCGATCACCATCGACTCGCAAGTGCATGTGCTTTGGCCTCTGGAAATGTGGATTTTGCGCGGGCTGAGGAGGAGCCTTCCGCCATCCATCCGGTCAGGAGGAGGAGGAGGAGGAGGAGCCTCTCCGCAAGTGCTTCTGCATATCCTGCCGCTATCCAGGGCCGCTCCCACGCCCTCTCGCAGCGGGGCGGGCATGTTGTTGTGAGAATCCCCGTTGCGCTTGCTGGGCTGCCAGACGCTGCTCAGATCCTCCGGGTATGCGCAGGTTCACTGCAAGGACCTTCTGGGCAGCATTGCCTACCCCCACGGCTACGGACGAATGCCGATCTGGCCGGTGGTGCTCTGCGCGGGCCATTTGACGAGCGGAAGGAAGCGGGGATCTTGTGCATCGGGCTGGCTCGCTGGCACAAGCGATTCTCAGGGCCTGGCCAGGTTCCAAACAAACCCATCCCCTTCCTGAGCATCAAGGGTCGCCACAACACAGGATCGGCCCAAGCGAGACCCCTCCGGCCATCGGCTGTGCTGGATCGCCTCGATGCCGGGTCCGCAATGACTCCCCCCCCCTGCGATGCACAACACCACAGTTGCGACGATGTCTCTCCCCTCCCGTCCAACACACATGACTCCCGTCGCAGATCCGATCGCAGCGAGCAGTCAGGAGCTGCAGGAGCAGTCGCGGCAGGCTGTGGATCCGCAAGCAAGTACCCATGATCACCGCCTGGCACCTCCGCCGTTACGGTTGTTTGCGGGTCTCTGCCCAATGCAGTCACTTCCCTCCATAACCGCTTCAACCGGGCGGACTCCCTCTCCCCCCTTGGTCAGCCCCCCGATACGAATGAAACCGCCATGGCTTCTCTCACTCGCTCGCTTCGCGGAGCCGTTTCCCGCCATAATTTGGCATGCCTGTCGTACTCCTTTCTCCCTCCGACTCTTACCGGGCAGTGACCGGCCGAGGAGCTTCTCCTGCCTTGAGGTCTTCCCGCTCTCGCAGATTTGGCGCGGCATGAGAGAGCAGAGCGAGATGGGCACCCGCCGCAGAGTTGGGATATAAAAGGGACATGGATATCCCTCCTCAAATCCAACATCCACTCGCCTTCACTCGATCTGCCTCGAGTCCTCCCCCTGCGCTCTGATCTCTCATCGCGACAGCCTTATTGCCTTATCGCCTTATCGCCATATCGCCAAGCACATCTCGGACGCCGGTCTTGATGCTTAGGGGAGCCATCGCCAATATCGTCCCAGATCCAATGTTGTCATGTCAAAGGGACTATTCCGCCATGAGCGCCTTTCTCGAGAACCGCCGCTTCTTGCTCCCGGGTCTCGCCGGGTCACTCTAACTTTCATATCTCTCCCTGCTACTCATCCGTCGTGGGTGCTCCGACCAGCCGGCCAGCCGCTCGCATCTACCCCCAGCCCTCTCTCTTTCTCTGTCCTTCCTTCTCCTGTCGCCGTTCCTGGCTCTATGGCACCCTCCACCATCAACCCGACAGAGGTCCCTGCCACGATTCTCTGGCACCGACTGCCTGATCGGATTCAAACGCCTCCGTTCCCATCGCATCCTCCCATTCTCTCGTCACCCTCAAGTCCATACCCACCCACTTTCCCATCTCTTCCCACGCTCTCTGGCCTGGCCTGGTTTGGTCTGGTCTGCGAATGCCCATCGACGATCGAGTTTCAGGGGAAATACGAAAGTTTAAGACTGACCCCGGCCAATGATCTCAGACCCGGCAGCAGTTTGGCCATCTCGATGGAAAGAGTCCTCTGTGAGAACAAGTGGTCGATGCAGTGGTCGATGCAGTAGTCGATGCGGTGGTCTCACTGCCTTCCCCTTCAGCAACAGGTTCCCTCCAGAACCCTCAAGCGTCGCCGTATGGAATGGCATCATCCGCTGCTGATCTGAATCGCTATCCCGATTTGCTTTTACATCCATGATATATTGTTTGATCTTGCTCTCCATTTCACTCTCCAGTCTCTCTCCATTTCATTCTACACTCCCTCCTTTACTGATCCACCGTGCCATCTCTTAGCGACTACAAATGCGCCTTCTGTTGGGCATCAGATCCCAGGACGAGGACACATTCGCCAGCGCCGGCGATGATGTTCAGGCTCGGGTCGAGGCTTCGGATCTCGTTCACACTGGTCATGTCTTCTGAGCCAGGCTGGAGCCACAGGTTCTTGATGCCCAGCTGCTGGGCCTCGCGCAGGACCTCGGCCGTCACCTTGGGCGGAGTGACGACCGAGACGGAGTACTCGGAGGGGTTGGGCAAGGCCGCGAGCGACGGATAGGTCGGGATGTTCTCGATTTGAGGCGCTTTCTGGTTTGAGGCAAGGGGAGGGAGAGGAGGAGGGGAGGGGAGGGACAGGCGGCGGATTGCAGCACGACGGATTGAGAACAACAATGCATATGACGGCGGTATGCGGCGGGGAGGTGTTGGAGCGAGGAATGTTGCGGGTCGAGCACAAAGGTAGTGAAAAACGGTCATCACACAAGTCAAGTTCATGTACCATTACGAGCTCAGTGGAGTATCTGGCATATCATTTACTACCGTCCATGCGGGCACCTCGATCTGATCCAGCCGATCTTACCGGGTTGATGGGGGCCACCTCCAGCTTATGGTCGATATACCTTCCCAGATGACACCAGCGAATGGGTAAGCACAACAACGATAGCCCAAAATAAGAACGTGAGCAAAGTTCCTTTGGATCGCTCACGATATGAGCAGATGCACGATCCTGCAGACCAAGACGCGAAGCTGGATTCCCAAGGACGCATTGCGAATCTGTGTGGCGAGAGCGTCTACCATTGAAGGATCTTGTTGCCAAACTTGGCTCTGTCCTGGCTTGCGCCCACTACGGCGTTTCATTTGGGAGGTGGATTGGTATGAGCGGTGCGGTGTGAGGGGTGTGGATGTGATGCGGTCAAGGCGCTGGCGATGGCGATGGCGACGATTTGCGATGGCGATTTGCGATCGATGACGGACTGTTGGATCCGTTGGTGCAGTCAACTCCGGCTGGGCTTACCGACAGCAAACTTGTTGCTCGACATGAACCGGATGAGATGGGACATTGCGATACCGAGGAGGGATGGACAGCCGGACGGCGAGGCGAGACGGAGAGATGCAAGCGCAAGAGGGCGATGAGAAATGCAAACCCCGGAGGAACACATGATTGCGCTGCGCCCGGCCAGGATGTCGGGCACGGAATGCCCAAGGAATTCTCACTCTCACTCTCACTCTCACTCTCTGAGATGCAATCAAGGTTTGTGGAATCCATTAGTTTTGGTGTATATAGAGGAGCAACAAAGATGGAGGCGAGCAGGACCCATAGGGCCTCGAGAGATGGGGGCGTTCCCTCCCCGATTCCGCACACTCCAGCCCGCTGTGCCTTGCTGGGCCAGCCGAAGCGGAAAAAGAAGAAAAAGGAGGGGAAGCAACGGAAGAGGGAAAGGGGGGGGGACTGCAAAAAATACATGGGTCGGTAAACATCAAAGATAGCAAGATGAAAACCGGAGGAGTCTCGGAAACTGAAATCAGGGGATTCAAAATCGAACAGGAACGAGAGAGGGAGAGAGCGATAGCGAACGAGAAGGAAAGAAAGAAAGAGAAAGAGCGAGTGAGAGATACCAAGAGCGAATACTGTAGAGGCGAGAATCAAAAACGGGCTGGCTCCTTCCACATATGCTGAAAATGTAGTCTAAAACTGCTGTTTTCTGAGGGGTTTCAAGTTGATGGGAACAAGAGTGTGTCGAAGTCGATGAATTACCGGGATTTCGTCTTTGTCGCTGCCAGAGAGGAGGAGTAGGAGGAGAGGGGGGGAGGGAGATGAAAGTGTGGCTGGAGATGTCGGGAGGCGCTCACAGTGTGGCTGCCGCCATGCGACGGATGTCCAACGAGTGAAGTATGCAAAGTATCGAGGCGAAATGAAGAAGCGGAAGAGAGGCGGAGAGACGCCGGGTCCAGGGAGGAGGAGGCGTCTACCAGCAGCAGCAGCAGCACCAGAAGGAGCGGACGCTGCGCTGGGTTTCGCCAGATCCGAGCAGGCCACGGCTTAGCAGCGGCTTGCGCTCGTCATCCTGATCCCGGCCAGAGGCAGCGGCGGAATCAGTAGACATGCTGGCGGCAAAGCTTGGAGCCTCGGGCAACGGTTGTTGCGAGGTGCTGGCAGCAGCAGCAGCAGCAGCAGCAGCAACAGAGGTCGCAGGCGCGTAGCGAACAGCGGGCTTGGCAGACTGGCTTTCTGACGACAGGGCTCGCTTGGGCGACAGGGCAGGCTCGGTGGTGGCCAGCGACTTGTCCTTGCGGTTGAGGACAATGGTGGGGGTGCTCAGGGGCTCGACATGGTGGCTCGCCTCGGTGACGGTTTCGTCGCTGTGGTTGTCATCGTCCAGATCGTCGTCGTGTTGCGAGGGCTGATCGGCATCGTTATCGTTATCGTGCTCGTGCTCGTGCTCATTGTCGTCGTCGTTGTCAACACCGCCCAGCTTGAAGGCTAGGTCCTGGAAGTCAACGCCATTGGAGGCTGGATGCTTGCGAATGTAGGATCCGATGATGAAGGAGCCGGCGCTGGTGTCGACACTGCCGGGAGGCGGGGCAGGCACGACAACCGAGCCGATATGATTCGCGGTGCCGGTACCAAAAGACGAGCTGATGGTGATGGGGCTGGTGCCGAGGTGTGAGTGGGGGGTGCGGAAAGAATTGATGTAGCCCAAGGGGCCAGATGGGCGCTGATGCACTGGCCGAGCGGGCGAGGCGACCGAGTGGAAGCGCTGTGGGACAGGAGATTGCATGATGGGTAACGGCGTTAGCGCAGCGGCAAGGAAGGAGAGCCGTCGACGAGGAGATTGGTGGAAATAGAATGAGAAACGACAAGGAAGACAGGTCTGAGGTTCAAACGACAGAACGGAAATGGGAGCAGCAAGAGGATGGCGGGATCAAATGGTGGGACCAACGGTGGGATCAAACAGGGGGATCAAATAGACATCGTAGGATGGGAGGAAGTGCGGTGGATGGTGGTGGGAGGGGGCAAAGACGCAAGGAAAGTGAGCCAAGCCCGAACGAAAAAAAAAAAATGCCAGAGTGGGAATTGGGCAGAGGAGATCGACAGCGGAGAGCGTGACAGCCAAGCAGGCAAGGCTGCCGCAGCCGGACGGGACGAGCAGGGTCGGATACAGATCAGCACAGGGCGAAACAGACAGATACAGACAGATACAGATAGATACAGATAGATACAGATAGATACAGGTTGAATAGTGCAGAAGAGATGGGATGAACGAGATGGATGGACGGGGGGGGGGAGCAAACTCGGCGAGGACAAACTTGATGAGATGCAGCGAGCAGCACAACCACAGCGCAACCGCAGAGCAACCACAACGCAACCGCAGCGCAACCGCAGAGCAACCGCAGCGCAACCACAGGCCAGCGAAGTGCAAGCGGTCAGCGCCGCAGACACCGAGCGAAGCGCTGCAGAGGGCCAGACGGGTGTGCATCGCCTGCAGGATAAGGGTGCCGTCGAGACGTACCTGGTTGGAAGAGTCACCGGGCGTTGACATTGGTGTTGTTCCGCGAGGAGTGCAGGCTGGGATGACCCTGGAGGCGGCTCTGCGCTAAGAGAATAAGGGCAGCAAAGCAGCTGGATAGGAGCGGCGAGCCGGGGAAGAAGGGCTATCGGCAGCGAGACGACCGACTTGTTCTCCGAAAGTCGAGGAAGAGCGAAAGGTCGACGGGGCAGAGGAAACGTTTTAATGCCGTTTTGGGGGGGATCAAAGCCTCAGAAGAATATAAATAGCGGACCGGGGAAGTAAAAATAGAGTCGGCGAGGCGAGAGCAGGCGAGAACAGGCGAGAGCATGGCTTGCTGCGGCGAGAACCGGCGAGAGCAGGCGAGAACGCGCGAGAACGTGTCGAAAAACTTTTTTGCAGCGAGACACAGTCCGCTGTAGCGCTGTGGTATGCTGTGCTGTGGAGTGTTGTGCTGTGGAGTGTTGTATGGACGGCCTTGTTTCTCTGCCAGCTGGCGTCGCACTGTCCTCAGTCTGTGCGCCCACGTCGCGTGTCGTGTGCGCCGTGGGGTCACACATCATCAGTTCAACAGCCGCACCACAGCCGCACAGCAGCCGCCGCCACTTCGCGTGTGGTTCGTGTTTGCTTCTTGTCTGGTTCCTGTGTGGCACCGCTGCTTGCTTGCACCCGCCATCCCTCCCACACAGGCACAGTCGCGGTCACACCACGGCTCTTCAGTCAATCAATTTGTTACCAAGAAGCGGGAGCCAACAGGAAAACGCAATCGAAGGCCCGAACCCGAAAACAAAACGAGCGCCGCAGCGGAAACATCAAAGCCAGCGACGAAGCAAGACACAGCCAGGTCGGGTCAAGCCGAGACAGAGCAGAACAGGCCAAGGCAGAGCAGAACAGGCCGAGACAGCATCGGCACAGCGTTGTGCAGATCGTACACGCACACCCTCCATGCTTCTTCGCACCATCCGTCCTTCCGCTTCTGCCCTCCTTTCCTTTCCTTTCCTTTCTCCCTTCTCGCCCAGCCACGCCACACCGACATCCACATCCACATCCACATCCACACCTCCCGTGCTGCTGCGGATCCGCTACTTGCTGGCCTCGGCAGCCAGCTCAGCCGCAGCCTCAGCCGCGTTGCCTCGTCCAGGGGCCTTGCGCTCGCGCTGGTAAAACTCGGCGAGGACCTTCTGCGGAATGCGGTTCAGCATCTCCTTGGGGAAGATGCGCAGCAGCGACCACGCCAGATCCAGCGACTCAAAGATCGTTCGGCCCTCGTAGTAGCCCTGGGCGATGAACGTCTTTTCAAACTTCTCGAGGAACTCGAGCGAGAGCTTGTCTTCTTGGTTGAGCGCCTCCTCGCCGACGACGGCCTTCATGGCTGCTGCGTCCTTGCCAATGGCGTACTTGGCATACTGTGATGTTGTTGGCAGCGCGCGCATCGGATCGACCGATCCACCGCCGTTGGAAATGTCAGCGCAGTCGATTTGCTCCGGCCCTGTCCCAGATCGCTCATCCATTCGCTTGCTCCCTTGTTGGCCTCTCGCCCAGCGAGCAGCCAAGCAGTCACCCACCAGCTGGTTCGAGACATCGCCGTGGTCCTTGCGGGTGAGCTTCTCGCCGATGGCACTCTTCATGAGACGCGAGAGCGATGGCAGGACGTTGATGGGCGGGTATATCTGCATCACAGCACGCGGCACCCTTGCATTAGTACCCAAGGCATCCCGTCTCATCGCCCAGCAGCGAGACGCCGGCTGTTGCCCTGGACGCAGCTAGCCGGACAGGATCCACATACTTGGCGGTTGTGAAGCTGTCGATCAACAAAGATCTGGCCCTCCGTAATATATCCGGTCAAATCGGGAATTGGATGGGTGATGTCTGTGACGAAACACGGATCGCATGCACAGTTAGCGCCTTGGCTTTGGACCGCATCAGCATGGGTGGAGACCGTGGCTCTTCCTCTCGCTTTCCCCCACCAGGCGCAGCGTGCTTACCATCGTTAGGCATGGTCAGAATGGGAATCTGCGTGATACTTCCGTTTCGGCCGGCAACTCGACCGGCTCGCTCGTAGATCGTCGACAGATCCGTGTACATGTAGCCGGGGTAGCCACGGCGGCCAGGCACTTCTTCACGCGCAGCCGAGACCTCACGAAGGGCATCGGCATAGGAGGACATATCCGTCAGGATAACAAGCACGTGCTTCTCGAGCTGGTAGGCATAGTACTCGGCCGTGGTCAGGGCGAGACGCGGGGTGATGATGCGCTCGTTGCTGGAGAGGGGTGATGCCGCGAGAACGTCTCAGTGACCGGCAAGGAAACCACAGCATGTACGGCCAAAACAACCCGCACGATGCATCGCAGTGAGCCGTCTCCAGGATGACGGAACGACCAATGTCTGCCACCGATCCACCCAGACGGCGAGACAGACGACCAGACAGACATACGTGGGATCGTTGGCCAGGTTCAAGAACAGAGTCACTCTCTCGATCGAGCCGTTCTCCTCAAAGTCTTGCTTGAAAAAGCGCGCCGTCTCCATGTTGACACCCATGGCGCCAAAGACAATCGCAAAGTTGTCCTCGTGGCCGTCCAGGACGCCCTTGTCGATCTTCTTGACCAGACCAGCCTGGCGACAGATTTGGGCGGCAATCTACCACCGCCACCGTTGGCGCAGAGGGGAGAATAGGGTTATTGGTCAGGAACTAAAGGTCAAATCCTGCCATGGTGCGCTCGCTAGTTGGGGAGGAGACCGGAAGTGACCGGAAGAGGTGGGGGAAGCAAGAGGAGGCAGCGCTCTGCATTCCTGATCTGGTGTGGGATCGGCGTCTTTGCCGCATCCGCATCAAAGCAGTGCCGTTGAGCTTTTCCTCCCTTTCCCTTGCTCTCCACCCTCCGCCCCAGTGATCTCACGCCGCGGGTGCAAACCGCTCACCTCGTTGTGGGGCAGACCACTGGCGGAAAAGATCGGAATCTTCTGGCCACGGGCAATCGAGTTCATTGTGTCGATGGCGCTGATGCCGGTCTGAATCATCTCCTCGGGATAGATACGGCAGTAAGGGTTGATAGGCTGGCCTGCGAGCAGATCCAACCAACGGTGGTGAGCGATGGTATCCGCGTACAATTGACCCAGTGTGAATGGAAGTCCCTCATCGACTGGACGGCTTGCAGCCCTCATGAGCAGGGCAGCTCTGTCCTACTGACAACCCCACTGTCGGACCTCCATCACGAGAAGTGTCCCCCCTCCGTGTTCACGACCAGGTTGCACTGGCTTTGTGTGCTACCTTGAATATCGAGGTAGTCCTCGGCAAAGACCTTGGGTCCGCGATCGATGGCCTTTCCAGAACCGTTGAAGACGCGTCCAAGCATGTCCTCGGAGACGGGAATCTTCATGACATCGCCGGTAAACTCGACGTGGGTGCTCTTGACGTCGACACCCGAGGTGCCCTCAAAGACCTTTGACATCAGACGAGGGAGATCAGACGAGTGAGATCGTACGAGCAACATCAGACGAGTGGCGTCAAATCCGTGACATCGGACGGGGCGACACGGCTATTCGCAAGCAGATCGATCCAAATGCGCGGCTGCTGCCCTAACCTGAACGATGGCTCGCTTGCCAACGACTTCAAGGACCTGTCCGGTTCGCTTGGTGCCGTCAGGAAGGGTCAGGTTGACAATCTCCGAAAACTTGGGAAACTGCAAGGTTTTTGCGGGCCGATGGCAGACGAAGAAGGAACACCGTTTCCGACACACGTATTAGCATATGAGTCGATAATGGGCGCGGATCGCGGGTGCTTCAACTGGATGTCGCTTGTTTTTGGTTGTTGAGGGGGGGGGATGGATTGTGTGGAGAGTGACTCTGTCCAGCCAAGGACAAGACCGATGCCACAGCCGGTGCCTGATTGCAACTGGAGAGTGAGCACTTGCCTTGACATTGTCCAAGAAAACGAGTGGGCCGTTGACACCGGCGACGGTTCGATAGTCTGGCTCGGAGGTGGTGAGGAGCGCAAGCATAAGCATAGAGTCAGTTTGATCAGTCCGTTCCCGTAAACTGGCTGAGCATCAACACAATCAAAGTGCAAATGGCCCCTCTCGTCGCAGTCAATCCGAGCGCCTATCCTGTCTTGTTCCGTCCTGTCCCGTTCTTGTCCGATCCCGATCCCGATTTTGGCCTTCCTCGTCTCGTCCTCTCCTCTCCGCTTCATCGCCCAAGCTGTCGAAAATACGCGTAAAAATGGAGGATTGTTGGGGAGCGGGGAGGAGGGGGAGACTTGCTCGTCGATCGGCACCGGACCACAACGAGACGACGAGGCAATGACACTGCAAACTGCCGGGACTGCCGATCACATCTGGCAGCCCTCGCCGGCGTCTCGTCCTGTGCAAATAGAAGGAGCAAGTCCCCAAAGGTGCTATCAAAGCCGACAGGCTGCAGCTGTCGATGGAAGCTGATCCCAAGCGTCTACGCTCACTCTCGAGTCCAGCCTCCATCAACTCAGAGGTTCGACAGCCGCCAGAAATCACGCTGTCGAGGAAGGCAGCGAAGAGAGCGACGGAGACGGACAGCGGGCCTCGAGATCCACAGCAGAGAGACAGAAAAAAAAAGATACCAAAATCGCGAACCAAGACAAATCGCCTCGGACGCAACGACAACAGGAGAACAGAAAAAAAAATAATGTGAAATACATGCAATGAAGGGATAGGTGGATACGACAGCCACATCATCCCAGAGACTCGCCCAAGACGACCGGCGTCGCGCGCTCAGGAAAGCCTGAGAGAGCTGGGTTCAAATTACCAAGTCGCGGCTCGATGGCATAATTGCGGGTCACGGCGGCGGCGTTGAGGGCAAAGGCCTCCTGGGTCGTCAGACGAGGATCGATGGGATGCATGGCGGTGGTTGATGGCGGAGCGGCCTGCAAGGAAAGAAGATGTACCCGCGATAGGACAAGACGACGGACAGCAGAGAATGCCCGGCGCAGCCAGAGAGGCTGGGTCAGCGCGGCAGAACAGACGCGACAGCCGGGGGGGGGCCGGCGAGGGCCGAGCGAGAAGCAACAGCCCCAGCACGGACGGCATGAGCGACATGGCAAGGAGCACCCACCTCTTGCGCCGAGAGGACAGCAGTCAGGCAGAGGATAGAGCAGCTCCAAATCGCTTTGCAGACAAGCAGAAGCCAAAGACTGCAAGCAGAGGCGATCGCCACAGAGACTGTGGCCGCACAGCTTTGCGTTTTCTGAGCAGGCGACGAGAGCAGCCGAGAGCGAGCGAGAGCGTCCGGCTCCATCCGGTTCCATCCGGCTCCAGCCGCTACCCTTGTCCTCGGTCGCCTCCCTGTTCCTGGGCTTTTGCTCCTCCATCTCATCCGGCTTTCTCTCCCATCCCATCCCATCCCATCCCATCCCATCCCATCCCGTCCAGCAATTCGCCAGGCGGCACACTCCCCCACACCCAACGGCCCCGCTGCCCGAAATGTACGCCTCCTTCACCTCCGAGCAAACAAGCGACGGCACTCCGCTCTCGGACTCGTCCTATCCCGCCTTCAATCCGCTGGCTACCGATCAGCCCTTTGCCGACATGTCGTCATCGTCACATCCCTCCGAGCCCTTGGACTCGTCGTACCTGGCCCAGGGCACCGCCGCCGAGTCTCAGTCCTTTTACGGAGCCACGGTCGGCCACGGCGATATTCAACCCCCCGTCGCCAAGACGGTAAGGACGAAAGAAAGGGGCCCGTCCTGGCTCTCTCGGTGTTTGCTGTGTCGCGCATTTCCACCGGGCTTGGCATGGCCTGCCACCAGCTGCCCGCGCTTCCCTCCCTCTCCTCCTTGGCTTCCAATCGAGATCATGGCCATCCTCTGTTCCATTCGGCGAGACGTCCACCATGTCCTTGCTTCGATGGCTCAATCGGAGGCCCCCAGTCTCATCGCGTCCTTCGTCGAGACGGCTCGTGACGGTCCGGACACTCTTCACCCGGCAGTCATGAGGGTGTCCCTCGTCGTGGGTCTCTGGACGGACAGAGATCGGCCAAGCCCAGGGAGGGGCAGAGAGCACTACCCGAAACGGAGCCCACACTTATCTTCGTGCCCTTTCCTCCAAACCGGCAGACTTTCTGCTGCAACCTGGATCGTGTGCTGAGTTCACTTCCGCGGTCAACATTCCGCCCCCTGGTCGTCAATGTTCCGCTGGATAAGCAGGCCCAGCCCGCTATCACCATCGTCGACGTAAGCATCGCCTGTCCGTGTACTGAGGACTCACTTCCACACGTTCTCAAGGCCTGAGCGGCGCACTTCTGAGGAGCATGGCTGGAAGTGTATCGCCGGCACGGCTTCGCGGCGCTGGATCGTTCATATTGCCAAACTATGACTGCCGTGGCCTGGCCTTGGTGACTGCCCAAAGCATCCCACTCTTCGCAGCCAGCGTCTTTGCCCATCACTGGCAACCGACGTGTGACGCCCCTGCACTCCGCACCGAATAACTCGGTTACTCGCCCAACAGGCCGTCAAGACCAGCGAAGTCGGCGGTGGCTCCTACATCGCCTACGTCATCCGCACCGACATCCCCAGCCAAAACATCCGGTACGAGAGTCGCCACCGATACTCCGAATTTGAAGCGCTGCGCTCGCTCCTGAGCAGAATCCACTACATGGCCGTCATCCCGCCCATCCCCGAGAAGCACAGCATCGGCGACTATGCCACCAAGCAAGCCAAGGCCAAGGAGGACAAGGCCATCATCGAAAAGCGCAAGCGGATGCTCCAATCGTTTCTCAACCGGGTGGCGACCCATCCGCTCCTGGTGCGCGAGCACGTTTTCCACCAGTTCCTCGAGGATCCCGAGGCAACTTGGAGCACTATCTTGTCGGCATCCGAACACGCCAACCTGGGTCGCCGAAAGGACAAGTCTCCCATCTCGATGCTGACCGATAAGCGGAATCTCGACATTCCTGGTATGTGCGGGATCATACAGGGCAGTTTTGGCATTCGTGATGGGTCGGCGCTCCTGCGTGAGCAGCTCCGCGGGATCAGCTTCGACTGTTGCGTCGCTCCTCCTCCTGATATCTGGCTTTGACTCGCATCCACGGCACTGGTCCGTTCAGCCCTCCCTGACTGACGCCTGCATTCGGCATTCATATTCGGCATTCACATTCGGCATTCCTTTCCCTTATCCCGCTCGACCAGACCCGCACTTTGTGGCCTCGGAGGAGTACACCCTCAAGTTCTCGGCACATATCGCACAGACCCACAAGCACCAGAAAAAGATCACCAAGCTGCAGCAAGATGTCGCCCAGCAGCTCGCCGAGCTGGGTGCTGTATACAATGGCTGGTCGCTTACCGAACACACTCTTGCCGCTGCACTCGAGAGCGTCGGCGCAGCCACGGACACCACCGCCGCAGCCACGGGTCAGCTTGCCAAGTCGCTCGAGGAAGCCGTGACCGAGCCTATCCAGGAGTACGTGCAGTTCTCTGGTGCAATCGAAAAGCTGCTGCGATGGAGGCACACACAGCACTGCGAATATGAAAGCACGATCGAGTCGCTGACCTCCAAGGAGGGCCAACTGACTCGGCTCGAGGCCTCCGAGCACGAAGCTCAGCGCCTCACCGCTGTGCTCAATGCCGAAGGCTCTTGGGGCCCCGCCAGACCACCGTCGCCAGTGCCCAATAGCGCTGGTGCCAGCACTGAGCCCAAGGGCGGCATCCTCAAGACACTCAACTCCCTGATCGACAACGATCCCGAGGCCACTCGCCGCAACAACATCTCCAAGCTCAAGGACCGCATCACCCACCTCAAGGAGCAGGAAAAGGTCACGCTGCAGGAGCTCAACATCGGCAACGAGCAGGTCCAGAAAGACCTCGATCGCTTCCAGCGCTGCAAGATCGAGGATGTCCGATCAATCCTGCTATCGTACGCGATCGCCCAACGCGACTATCACCGGAGGGCTGCTGCGGCTTGGAGCGATGCCAAGATCGACATTGAGCAGATCCACTCGGGCTCCTCATAAGCTATGCTCAGCATAGAATCCCCCCCCCAATCTTGTGCGGGGACGCCGCTCTGCTTCGTAGCGCAACATCACCAGAGGTTTGGCTGGCAGCGCAGCCACCAAAGGAACAAGGACCCGACTCGACGTCAGCGCAGACAATGATATATGAAGCTGTGGCCGGCTGTATGTGAACGTATGTGGGGTATCTGGGTGGGCGGGAGTGTGCAGGTACGCTGCTCTTGCTACGCTGCGGACGACGACAGAGTACATCGACCCAAGGCACTCTGATGGAGCCTTGTCTCTCGGGCAAGTGATTCCTCCCTGCCTGTCTGGCGCGAGAGCCTGCGCTCTCGGTTTAATTTCCTCGCTTCACTTGGGCTCCTCAACCTTTGTCGCTCTCCACTCCACTTTCCCTCTGCCGGCATTTTTGTCACTTTGTTACGACATCGAATCACAAGCCTATCTGCCTCCCTCTCCCGTTTTCTCTCTCGTTCTCTCCCATTTCCTTTCGATGTGTTGGACTTTGTTTCTTCAGTACAGTCGGTTCATAAAGAAACGGGACAGTCACTTTCTGGCATCAGCGGCTGAAACCCACTGACCTACTGTAGGCTCCAGTGGGCAAGCCGTGAGATTGTTTCCCTTCCTGGCCGGCAATCGTTTTTGTTTTCGTTGGTTTTGGAAGCGTAGTCTTGAATACACTCAGTCGATCTCCTGTGACGACTGGTATTGATGTGTCGATGTGTGAGTGCGGTGTATTCACTCGATGTGTGAGTGCGGTGTATTCACTCGATGTGTGAGTGCGGTGTATTCACTCGATGTGTGAGTGTGGTGTATTCACTCGACCCTCTGGATAGTTCCATGGTGTATCGATATCAAGATGCTCGGCCTTCTCGAGTCGCCTGGCTTCCAGGCACTGTGAGTACACCTGGAGATCGAGTCGCTTGAATTGCCGTCGCCGGGTCAGGCTCAAGTACAGCTGTTTGTCCAGCATGTCTCCATCGAACACATGGCGAATGTATTGCAGGAAGGAACGGTCATGGCCAGTGCGCGATGTGTTGAGTGATAACATATCAGATCAGTGGTCAAAATCATGGATGTCCCGTTTTTTTATTGGATAGACAGTAACTCGCCCCTTTCCCGCCTTTGTTTCTTCATGTTTTCTTTGGATATTGCGGGCCCCGCATGCCAATGTAGGGTGCGATGTGAAACTGGACCGCAAAGAGTATAATCGGTGTCGGGTGTCGCAGCAATGAAATGCTGTCCAAAAAAACCGTGATGTATTTGCTCTCCATTCAAACCCGCCCTCGGCCAACTATCCCTCATGCGACCAGTCTCCGCTCTTCCCTCCAGACTTGTCGATGACTCGAGCCTCGACGATTGCCGCGCCACGATCGACAGCCTTGACCATGTCGTAGACGGTGCACGCGGCGATGCTGACCGCCACCAGGGCCTCCATCTCGACGCCGGTCTTGCCGTCGCACTTGACCAGAGCCTCCAGGAGAACCTGGTGCTTCTCCGCATCCAAAAGGGTGTTGACCCGGACGCTGTTCAGCAAAAGCGGGTGACATAGGGGAATCAGGTGCCCTGTTTGCTTGGCGGCCTGGATGCCTGCCAGAGAGGCCACCCCAAGGACGTCGCCCTTCTGGATTTGGTTCTGCTCGACAAGTCGGAAGGCCTCGGGGCTCAGCTGCACCCGGGCAACCGCTCGAGCTGTGCGGCGGGTGATGTTCTTCTCGGAAACGTCGACCATCCTGGCTTTGCCTGTCTCGGCGTCGGTGTGGGTGAGCTGTTCGTTCTTGGTGCTGAACAGACGCGCAGAGTGAAGGGTATATGGGGACCGCCCGGCAGCAAAGACGAGTGGGCGACAGAGACCAATCGCCGTGGATGAAGGCATGTGTTTCGCGCGAATTGCGGTGAAGTCCGTATGGATATGCATTTCAGTTCGGGACTCTGGTGGCGGAGTACGAGTCGCGACTGAGGTCGGCGCTTCCAGAGATAGATGCGAGTGACTGGGTCGGGATGCTGGCCACAGGAGACGACGATGAGCCAAAAAACAGACGGTTGTCGACGACCGGATTACGACTAAACCGGCGAGCACGTTGTCGTGGATGACGGCCGGGTCGATGAAAGCGGCACTGGCGCCTATCCGCCGATGAGGATCATGGGTCTGTTTGGCAACTTGGACAGCTCAAACATACCTGCATGCTGCTTCTTTTTGCGGCCAACTGCAGGAGGAAGAAAGAGGAAGGCGATAAGGGAAGAAGGGAGGCGCAATTTGTGAGTGGATGATATGCATACACATACGCACACATACACGCACAGTGCAAAAGTGGTCAGAACACAAGCATTGCGAACAGTCACGAAACATAGTATCCAAATGCTGCTTCTTACCGGCAGCGCCAATCAGCTGCAGCAGCTCCTCATCGGAACAGCCCTGTCGGACCATGTCGCGCAGATTCACTTCGGCATTCCCGAAGAGGCAGACCTACAGCCATACATACCACCCGCACCGTTAATATTGATCTGGACCATCGAGCCATTCATCGGAGTAGAGATTCTGTGCACTTGGTGCTGCATGAACCCAAAGTGCGGATACGTCGAGCACATCGCCCCCCCCCAAAAAAAAAGCCCACAGCAGGGAAGGCGAGTTATACTTTGGGGCAGTCGCTCCCCCCCCTCCCCGCCTCCGTACAGAGCAAGAAATCTCGCTGCTGGGCTCCTACCTTCATATTCCCATCAGCAAGGAGTCGCAGACGATTGCATGTGCCGCAGAAATGGTCACTCATGGACGTGATGAACCCGAACCGACCCGAGAATCCGCTGACCCTGTAGGACTGGATACGTGGCAGACGGAGCGAGATTAATGGGTGTGCTGACATCCAGCCTGCGGCAACAGCCTACCTTGGACGTGTCGTGGGGATCATCGGTGCCCTTGGCGATGTCGGGATATGACTTCGTAATGGCTTGCAACATGTCCTTGTACGAGACGAACTTGTCATGATTCCACTTGTTTCCTGAAAATCGAACGAGTCATCAGGCCGAGCTGATCGGTCACTCCAGGCTGTTCTGTGACTGTGTGTGCCTCTCCTCGAGCTGAACCAGGACAGAATCTACTAACCATCGAAGGGCATGTACTCGATGAAGCGAACATATACGTTGTGATCACGAGTGTAGCCAACGAGCGGCTCCAGCTGGTGGTCGTTCATGCCGCGGATGATCACAGCGTTGATCTTGACCTCAAAGCCAAGACGCACGGCCTCGTCAATGGACTTGAGAACATTCTCGAATCCCCGGCGGCGTGTCAGGAGCTCGAATTGGAAAGGATCCAGGGTGTCCAGGCTGATGTTGATCTGATCGAGACCCCGTTCCTTCAGCTCTGGGAGCTTGCGATGCAGGGCCAGGCCGTTTGTGGTCATGGAGATGGTGGAGAGCCCAAACGGACGCATGCGATTCAGGCCGTCTGCAGATGAAATGCCAACGGCTGTTGCTCAGTCTGGAGTCGGGAGTCTGGAGTTGCGAGTCGGTCGATCGTGCCAAGCCATGCTTGCGTTTCTCTGAGCAGTATCAAGCAGGGTTCTCGCAGAGTCCACCTGTCGTATCGGGGACAGCCGTGCGTTTACATACCAACAACACTCATCAGATCTTTGCGGACAGTTGGTTCCCCGCCCGTGAGGCGGATCTTGGTGACGCCCTCGTCGACAAATAGCCGAGCCAGTCTCAGGATCTCTGGGGTGGTCAGAAGCTCGGGCTTGGGCGTGAGCGAGACGCCTTCCTCGGGCATGCAGTATACACCTGTGGTTGGCAGAGAACCTGGTGTCAGGACGGAGCAGATCGGCATGAAGCGATGGTACAAAGTATGGCGGGTGGGATCGAGCACAGGTCGCTCGATCAGCAAACGGGGCGATCGACAGCAGCTGACAGCGATCGACAGCAATCGACAGCAATCGACAGCAATCGACAGCGATTGTGCTATCCAGCGAGGCTCTTACATCGAAGATTGCACTTTTCCGTGAGTGAAATGCGCAGATAGGTGTGCTTGCGTCCAAAGGTATCGGTCAGAGGATCGTGATACGGATCGTTCTTATCGATTTGGGCGATCTAGAGTGAGTTGGCGAACAGGTGAATTAGTGGACGAGGACATTGCATATCGAGCCAGAGGGCGATGAGGACCACCACCTTCAGTCGAGCGGCCTGTCGAGCCAACGGAACGCTGGCATGGTTGCGCCGCTGTGCCGGGATGGCGGGCCGCAAGCGATTCCTTGAGAGCCGGGCAAGAGTCTGCATATCGATGATGGGGGTCGTGGCCAGATCTTGGAGCCTGTGGTCGGCGGGTGCGTGCTGCTGCAGGATGAGTGAGATCCGGGGAGAGGACGAGGGCTGATGGATTTGCAATCGGGCAGGAAGAAAGGAGTGGCCAACCACAGTGCCGAAATGCCCTTCCCCCACAAACATTTGCGGCTCAACGCAGCGGGGTCGCTCGTATTCTCGATTGGAATTGACACATGCCGTTGCAATGGATACATGGTGATTGGGGAATGCCCGCCAGAGCCTCCCGCGACCCCATTTCAATGCCCTCGCCATCGCCCGCCCGCTCCGTCGCCGACTGTCCATCTGTCGCGTTCACCATGACGGTCGAAAAGCGTCCGCCCTTGAGCTGGGAAGCAAAGAGGACTCTGGTCTCGTATGGCTCTGGGGTTCTGGTGAGACACACAAACCAGTCCAGGGCCTACCGAAAGCGTCTGGGATTCCAGACCAAGCTACTGACCAAATCACCGTTGTCGTCATGGCATCCGGCGCGCCAGTTCTCCTTGGGCTGGTGGCTGATGTTCGACGCCTGTGTCTACAGCAACGAAGCATTCCCACAGGTCCCGTATCTGACATTTGTCTCTTGGCTGCCTGGGGTACTCTCCACGGCCGGGCTGATTGCGTAAGTATATGATCAGCAGGATGACTTGCCCAGCTTCCCTGGACGGCCGGGAGCAATCTCTCTGCTCTAACCTGTATCTGCATTTCCTCGTCTTCAGCGTGAACTCCATCCCGGACCACCTGCTCCAGTCGCCGTCGCCGTATCTCGAAAACGCATTCGGCCGCACAACGTCCCACCCGTGCGCCCGCATCTTGGTTCTGGTCTCGTTCTCGCTCACATTCTTTGGCTTGATCGGCGGGTTCTACGTGATGGGGTCGCAGTACTTGATGCCAGGTCTAGCAAGTATCTGGCCGGGGGTCGCCATCTGTCTTCAGAACTCGCTCGTCTTTGCGAGGTGAGTCCATAACCTGCCCGTGAGTCTTCTGGTTGGCTGGGTATATGGTCGACTGAAGTGAACGGTCCGGTATCGCGACAGCACCTATCTGTTCAAGTACGGCCGCTATAGCGACCCGCTCCTCTAATCGCCAGCCAGAGGCACTAGCACCAGTGTGTCTCTTTGGACTACCGACGCAAACGATCCCAAGCCATCCCATCATGCCACTTCCTGTGTACCGTGCATCGCAGCACCTCCAACTCAAAAAACCGAAACAATCGAATCTCCATGAGCCGATCCCTGATGCCACTCATCACCTTCGTCATAACGCAGCCCGAGACTGGCTTCAATTTCGACAAAGCAGACATTGCCGTGAGCTTATGCGATGCAGTCGCAGCAAAGCAAACTCGGATAGTATCCGTTTTGGGAGCCACGAACGGCCTCACCACAGCAATCGCGGGCCTGAAGCCCAGTGTTTCTGGCTGCATGATCCCAACCGCGCGACTGCTTCTCGTATTGGTTGGCAATCAAGGTGTCGTTGTAAGTCTGGGGGTGGGAGGAAATCATGAATATAATCGCGATCCATCTCCATAGGCAGCAGTCGATTGACCCGCCGTTTCGCTCTGTGAGAGCCGTAAACCTGAGTGTATTTGCATGACACAGCGCCGGTTTGGGCAAAGCAGTGTGGTTATCGACAGCTGCTGCTGTGGATTCGGTTCCGGACGACAACACCCGCCAGCGACGACGACCCTGAGCAGCTCTAGCGACGTTTTTGTTGGTGTGCGCAATAATCGACCCATCTCTTTTCTCCGATCTGGATCTTGATGCGGTGCAGTACGTGCTCGTCCAGCAAAGCAGCAACAGTATCGGGGATCCAGAAGATGCGCGCCAGCCGAGACGTCTGGGCCACATCCAGGAAACGCTCGCAGTGGACTTGCTCCCACTGGTCTGGATGCTCGGCAATGTGCTGTAGTGCCGAGTCATCGCCGGAGGCACCGGAATCGATAACGTAATCGCATGTCGAGATCGGGACCTGTATCGAGCATGGCAACGAAACTAAATCAGTTAACGCAATGGACGGGGAGGGGCAGTATCACAAGGATAGATGCATGGAGTGGAGGGCGGGCATAAAAGTCGGCAGGAGCGTCGATGGATCTGCGGAAGAGTGCATGCTCCGGGACTATACGCACATATCGATCCAGCTCCTCTTGATTGAGGTCATTCATGCCCGTGGGAATCTCATAGGTTCCAGGCCGGTCGGCATCGCGGTGTTGTTGCACCCACTGGAGAGCAATGTCGCGGATGGTTGCGTTCTCGACGACGGATGGGTTGAGTGGCGCCTCGACAAAGTCTTTGGGCAGGAGCCCCGAGAAGGAGGATTTGAGGAATCGGATGCGGGTGGCATCGGGCAAGAGGAAGTGCGAAGGAAATCGATACCACTCGCGGCCGACGCACACGGTTGTAGGCTGGAACTCGGTCAGGTTAGTAGATGGCAAAGTTTCTGCCTGCCTGGCCTTGGCGATGTGCTCGGTGAGCGCAATGTAGGTCGTCATTGGCGCATGGTAGTAGTAGTATAGGGCTGCAGTTCGTGAGACCGACAAGGCCACAAACAGCAGGAGAAACAGACGGACGAGCAGTCTTGCAGTTCGAGGGGCGGCACTCTGAAGTAGGAAGGACCGATTAGCTTTGAGCGGTGGAGAATTGCGAACAATCGCAGACGCAGCGCCATTGTCCAGCACATTCGGCGCTGTGCCAATGCTTGGCGACGATCCAAACGAACAGCATTGTTCCTGGACTAGGGCTGTGTGCTTCCGAATGACCGAGATTATGCCCCAGGCATGTCTTTGGTGTTGGGCCGAGGTCATGCAGACAACGTACCTTGGTGACCCCAGAGATCGAGAGGCTCTGCACAACGGTTTCGCGGAGCAGCCAGAGCGAGAGAGCAGCCGCAAAGCCTATCATCGGATAGACAACAAACAAGAAGCGCTCCTCTTTGTGGGGCTGCATCGTAAAGATGGCTACCCACAAATACATGTATGCCAGCTTGAGGGTCAAGGAAACCAGTCCAGATCCCGGAAGCTGTTTCTTGATCTCGCTCTTGAGTAGCGGATACAGAAGGATCTTGTAATCGAAGCGAGAGACGGCTGGTTAGATTCCGGCCGTCGCTGTACGTATACTTGACTCGGCCATGCAAAACCGCGGCCTACCAAGAGGGGCAGGCTGGCGATTGCCGCCAGGAAGGCAACGTTGAAGTTCAGGACGCCGTTGAAGAGATAGAACCACCATGGCTCGGTGCCGTACAGATCAGGGCCGCGATCTTTGCCTCCAAACACATTGTAGAGCACAATGTTCAGCGGGACGAGGGTCCATTTGTGGTAAAAGTAGTACTCGAGACAGGCAAACGGCACCTGCTCAAGCAGACGAGGACGAGGACGAGGGCGACAAACACAAGGTGAGCAGGACGGCTGACGAGATCCATCAAGGGGACCAGCCTGCGCTTGACGATGCAAACGCCAACGAGACATGTCCTGAGAGCCCTACCAGAATGCCGATGATGGCGATTGCGCCGGCCTCGATAACCCGGCGAACACGAGTCACGACCATGGTGTCGCTGTTGAAGGCGACATCTTCCACCAGGAACGGGAGTGCCAGGGCGCCGCAGAAAGGCCATCCAAAGATGGTCCCCGTTGCCAGGATCAGCAGCACAGAGAGTGTTCGAGTCCGCGACGGCCGATGAAAGGATCGGGCAAAGGCAAGGGTAGCGAGATACATGGCAAAGCTCGAGGGCAGGAAGGCTGTTGCAGAAAATATTTCAGAGGAATTAGCACCGACCGGGGGGGGGAGCAAACTCTGGGGGGATGCGGATTGCACCGAGACTGGGCTTATACCTGTCGAAGATATGAACATGCCCGTGCTTGCCAGGAGAATAAGCAGGAGATACCATCCGATCTCAGGACTCAGGTGGTCGGCCACCGAGGAGTAGAGCGATGCCTCAGAATACGCACAGGCGGCACCAAGGAGCGATCGGATCAGGATAAAGATCTGGAGCTGGAGCCGGTCATCGGCAGGTGGATGCGGCGACAAGCGGATGTGGAGTAGATGAGATATACAAGAATGCGTGTCCCCGACAGCAGCCGTGGGGCACAGCTCGGGCAGGTCGTAGCTGAGGAAAGCAATCGATCGTTGCTCTGGATGGCGGCCGATGGATTAAACTGGTCTGGGCCGATGAACATCGTCTGCTCACCTTGTTGCTGGTGACGAATGTTTCCAGGATCATACCAGCCCAGGCGTGCATCTGGACGTAGCTCCAGGAGCGGATCGCATAGACCGGCGAGTACTCCCATGTCTGAAGGCCCCAGCCATACTGGAGATAGTGGGTCGGCTCCCAGTAGTTGAAGACCTCGTCGCAGTCTGCGGGCGTGATCGTCGAGGGGGTGGCCGCTATCAAGACAATGGCCGACGCTTCACGCATGGCCATCCGCCTCTGCTCCGACGGCATCAGATGCAATCGGCCGAGACCTACCTGAGATCGAGGACAGAGCAGCGGCGACGAGTCTGGCGACAAACAGAATGTGGAAGGCCAGCGAGAACGACGGGCGCCAGAGGGCCCTGGTGGGCTTCTGCCTCGGGGATTCGGCGTCGGCCATTGGAAGTAGCTTTGGCACGGAAGGCGATAGACGACAGGGGATAAACGGCGCTCTCGTACGCACGACCGATGGATGCGACAGATGGGACCGGTGTGGTGAGTGCGGTGGATGTCCAGGAGCGAGCGAGCAGCGGATGCAGACGCGACCAAGACCAAGGAGGCGTGTGCCAGGGCCGGCCTTCGCCGCTGCGGAAAAGGCCCATCATGCAACACATACACATGCCATGAATCACACACAGAACCAGCGAAAAGCACCTCACCCGCACAGCAGATCACGCCGTGCCATGCGGCCATCCGGCATCGTTCTCGAGAGATTTCCAGACGAGCCACACCACACCCGCAGCACACACGAACGTCGAGTGGTGTAGAAGAGGAAGTGTATTCAATTGACGGCGACTAGCAAAGCGCTTAATCGAAGAGACCGAAGCCCATGTCATCATCCTCTTCCTCCTCCTCTTCCTTCTTTTCCTCCTTCTTGGCCTCAGCGGCGGGGGCAGCGGCAGCGGCGGCACCACCGGCGGCGGGGGCGGCAGCGGCAGCGGGGGCGGCACCGGCTGGATTGAATAGAAACAGAGAGTCAGCATGCAGCTCTTGCGGCACCCATGCCCATCATTGCCCATGTCAGCGCGGAGAACTGTAGCAGCAGAGGACATACCACCAGAGCCGACGTTCAGGAGGAAGGCACCGATGTCCTTGCCAGCGAGAGCCTTGGCAAAGATGGTGGCCCAGATGCTCTCGATCTGAATGCCAGCAGCAGAGATGAGGGCATTCAGCTTGTCGGCCTAAAATACCAGAGAGGGGATTTGGGTGAGCTCCAGGTCTGTGTGCATTGACGAGTCGTGAGAACGCACCGACACAATTGCAGACAGACTACTTACGGTGATCTCGACACCGTCGTCATGGAGAGCAAGAGCAGCGTAAACGCAGGCTGGATGATGGGAAAGCAGAAGCAGGGATCCCGTCAGATTACGGCACACAGTTCGATCAGAGTCTCCCGCATCAGTCGCAATGAACGGACGCCGGCTCGGTTTCGCTGCTCCGACGATATAGATTTTGCTTGAATTGATGCGCTTGATCGAGGAAGTGCGAGGATGCTGCTGCGGTCCGACCATCGCTGGCTACTGGTTGCGCGCCCAACATTGCTGCGGCACCGCTTATCGGTCGTGACGCTTGCGTGTGGGTGGGTGTGCTGGCGGCAGCCAGCGACCTTGAGCACTTGGAATTCGATACTTCCGGAGCCGACCGACGTTCATCTATCCATCCATTCATCTATCCATCCATCCATCCATCCGTCCATCCATCCGTCCATCCATCCATCTGCATGTTACGTACCGGCCTCGGAGGTAGAGAGAGACATTTTGTATGTGTCCGTAAAGCTTACTTTAACCACAAAAGGGGGCCTTTCGGATCTTAAACTGAGGAGGGAGAATCAAGAATGCCTGGCGCCGCCCGCACACTCAAAAAGGCCGGCGCGGCCACAGAGCCGACTGCGCACGCCGTGTGGCACAGCCAGACACGCTTGTGTCGCGGCTGGCCGGCGTGGGAACTGGCTGCTGGGCCAGTACTGTCCCGCACATCGCCGGCCACCAGCAAGACCGCCGCAGCCATGATGCATGACCGGGCGGGCGTCGCTTTGGATCCAGTGACCTGCAGATCGTTTGGTGTTTTACTGCAATCCGACCACTGCTCGAAAGGAAGCAGTGCGGCCCTTTGTTTTGAGTAATCTGATGCCAGCTATGCAATACTCGTCTGGAAGTCGCCTTACTGCGTTTCCAAAATGAAATGGGACATCCCGTTTTGGGCCATGACAGGGGTTCTTTTTGACCTGAATACACCCACCCACTCATTGCAATCATGGCCAAACACAGCACCCTCGATTTCCACATCGTTGCGCTGCGACCGGTGGTCTTCACTCGGAGACTGCCAAAGTGATCTGTTCTATTTCTTATGGCATAGTTAGACGCATGCCATCGCATACTACGCCGACAAATGGGTTGTGGGCAGGTGTCCCATTTCCCCCCTGAATACAATGTACTGCAGACAGAATTCCTGCTCCATCTCGCGCGCCCAAGCTTGATCGCTGGGATGAGACTAGGCCGTGGATGGGTCAACCGGCTCAGCCGGCTGGAGTGTAAGCATAAGCTCCTTCAACTTGTCACGCGCGTCCGTAATCTTGGGTCTCTGGTCAGCGTTTGCTCTCCAGCAGTCGCGGAGGAGGTCCGACTGCACGCCAGCACAAGGTCGAGTGGCGGTTGAGCGCATTCATTGCGATGCAAATGGAAAGTCTGTTAAGCACAGATTCGTTTGATATAACGCATCCATCGGCTCACCGAAACACTGATCCAATCTCGCCAGGTAATCGGCAGCACACATGCGATACGCCGCATTTCTTCAGTGAAGCTGTAGAACTTACGATCGATGCCGGGATGAAATCGGGAACATCGGGCCGGACACCTTCTAGAATCTGCATTATCGTTCCATATTTGGTGAGAGCGATGCAAGGGGTCGTAAGGATCACACCCTCGCCACTTGCAAGGAGTGGCTTGGCAGTATCCTGCTCGGATGTTTCGGATGCGACTGAGATGCTGAGGATATGTGAACCAAAGGCCCTGAATTGGCGTAGGGATACTTCATTGCTGCCATTCGCTTACCCTTGTTGCAAGTTGCTCGTCATCGAGGCCAAGCTCTTCGAACGGACTTTGGCGAACAAAAATCTCGTACAACACGATTGCTGTTGCATACACATCCGCGGCCATGCTGCCTGGCGCATTTGCCTCTTGAATCGACTCGGGAGAGAGCCAGGCGACATCGTATCTCCTGCCTGTGCGGGCTTCGCCCACGTGTCGTGCCAACAAGCTGTTTTGGAATCCGTACTCGCTGAGAAGAGGTCGACCGTCCGGATGGATCTAGCAAAGGACCTGTGAGCCAGATCTTCTGACCCGCACTCAAGGAGATGCCGCGACGCCCCTAGCATTGCTCTGAACAGCGACGCCAGCCACTGCAGCTACTGCAATCGCCGCCACCACTACCAGTGCCGCGGCAGTAACCACAAGACAGCGAGCGGGCAGCACCAGCCATATATAACGAACGTCAGTCACTCAGCCCTACCAAAATGTTCTTGCTCTTGAGGTTACCATGGGCAACAGCGGGCTCTCTGGTGTGGAGAAAGCAGAGACCTGGCACATGGACATAAGCAGAGGCAGTGGTGATTGCTTCAGAACGAGCCTCGTGCTGCACGCGACGTTGTGGCTCGCGGTGTGTAAGCCAGCTTCGCCTCCGCGGCTTACCTTCGCAAATGCCGATCGCCCAAAAGATGGCTTGCTGAATCGACAGGTCAAACTCTGGATTGTAGACGTAGGTGTGCAGACTGCCGTGCTCCATGAACTCGGTAAAGATGCACATGTTGGGCTGAGTCAAGCACGCCCCAAGGATCAAGCAGAGGTTGGGGTGGTACAGTTTGCTGCAATCAGTCGTCTGTGTTAGTGATGGCTCGCGAGTGGCGACAGAAACCGGCGAGACATCTCCATATTGAGTACGCAGCTGCATACCGGACGGTCGAAATCTCCTTGCGAATTTGAACGACCTCTTCCTCCACAATGTGGCCCTGGTCTTTGAAGAGCTTGATGAAGACGCTGTAGTCGCTCCAGTGGCCTTTCCAGCTGTCGAACCGGGGTGTGGATTCGATTTGATGGTGCAACTGGAGAGCTGCATCAAAGTGGTGCACTTCCCAATCCGCCAAGTCTAACCACGCGAGTCCCGCGCAGGGTTTGAGTTGTTTCAAGTACAATCCGATGGTCGCGGTTGATGTGTGTCCGTCCATGTGCCCGCATCGACATGGGGGAGGGTAGAATTAGGGATGTTCACCGACTGGTCAGCTCCTGGGTCTGATATATGAACTGCCAGACGCGAACATCTCGTTGCGGCAGAGGATATTACTTTCCACCAGGAAGCGACGTCGAGCCTCCTCTGCGGCGCTTGCAAAGGACCGCGCTGTGTTCATCCAGAGGCCGAGAATATCCCGCCAAAGTATATGTCAGTTGGGTGGCTCACGGCCGGGCCCTTGCCGTGTGTTTCCTGTCAGCCGTCCTTGTCTAGCTTTGGCCGATTGCATCACGCTTATCACACCGACGCAGTATCCCAGATTGCATCGAGCCGCAGCCGCCAGTTTTCAGCGAGGTTGCTGTAGAGGTGCAGGCATCTGGCAGACCTACCGTTGGCCTGGACAACTACGTTCGGCCGTTGTTGGCTTCCGATAGCCGCTGATTATGGAGCCAACACCAGCTATCGAATAAGCACTCCATGTAGGCCGAAACATTCAAGTCAAGTCTCTGTGGAGGCGCTGAGGCGGGATGGATGTGCAATGACGGTACATACACTCGACCTTCTGGCGGAGGCTATCGCTCGTCCGATCAAAGGGCGATCGCTGATACTTGTTCTTGGCTACTACCGCCGCGCCTTCGATGACCAAAGCGAGGGCAATCGGCTCGTATCGCCAAAAGCATGCATAGTGCAGAGGCGTGTTGCCATGGTCGTTTGCTACATTTGCTGCACGACACACAGTCGCCCGAACAGTGCGAGCGTGAGAACCATGGCAAAAGCGCATGCTGGCGGCCCTGCTGATCGTGACTATCCGTTTCCAGTTCCCTGCATTCGTCGTAGCTTACCATCTGCTTTGGCTCGCAGCAACTGGCGACCGAACCCGTGGATATTCCGCGATCGCGTGGATGCAGAAACGAAAGAGTCAGCCGCGAATCGACTGGCTTGCCGACGCAGTATCGTTGCTGCAGATATTATCTGGGGGGGGGGAGCGAGGTCGCAGAGCTCTCACCGCAGTCGTGAGCTCCAAACTACCGCACAGGACGCTCAGAATAAGCGCCGTGTCGCCCGAGGCATTCTGGGCATTGACATCGATCTTGTCCTGGCCAAGCAGCCATTCGACAATGTTCAGATGGCCGGACTGGGTGGCGGTATGCAGAAGCGTGTTCGAGCTCTCGTCTCTGAAAGGGACAGAATATGCCGTCAAGGGATGCGTATATCTGATCGCGGCGAATGGCATGCACTCGCTATCATTCGGCCTGCTGCGACCCTCATCTCTACACATCAAGCGACGAGACATGCCTCGATTCCAGCCGGATGTCTTCGCCGGTGTCTTCGGACTCGACGAGGAACTTGAGCGAGTCGAGGTCGCCTTGCTTAGCGAGGAGATGCAGCTTGCCCATGGATTTAGAGCGGCCGCAGTGTTTCAGATGATCAAGGCCACCAACACCGACGGAGAGATGCGCCGGAGACACTCAATCCACATTCGCACTGGGCGCTCTGCCCGCCCACAGCACTTGAATGAGCCGAGTCCAGCAACATGGCGGCCCTCGCACTATCTCCCCGACATACTGCTCGCGCTGCCGTCACTTTGGCGTTTCCCTGGACATACTCGACATACTCGACATACTCGACACACTCGACATACTCGACATACTCGACACACTCGACATACTCGACATACTCGACATACTCGACATGCTGCTCGCCGGCGCCCCATTGGCCGAAACCCTCGCTGCCTTGGGCATCCGTTATGCACATCCAATTTTGGGCAGCGGTGCTCTTGTTCGCCCCGGCTCGAGCCGGCTTGTCTCACGGCGCTTGCCTTTGCCCCCACCACGCACACACGGCGCTTTGTCGCTGACTCCTGCTCCATCGCCTCCAAGGCCACCCCTCTCGCCCTCTCTCTCTCCCCAGCCGTCAGGTCGCTGGCTGCAGGATTGCGCATTCCGCCGGCAACCCAGAGCTGCTCTATCGACCTCTTTCGGACCCTGTCTCCACTCTCGGGCCCTTATTCTTGGGTCAGCAGGTGTGTCGAGCCCTCTCGCTGCGCTCACCCGCTTGCCCGCCCGCCACCCTGCCCTCAGGCAATCCTCGCTGCTCCCTCTGCAAGCTCCCCCCCCCGCTTGTGCCTCTGCTGTCGCCCTGGTTCGCTCTGGCCGCTCTGTCGCCTCATCCCACCCCTGCCAAGGCTGCTGGCCGGGATCCAACGCTAACAGCATCTCGCTTGTCGCAACTTCCAGCACCAATGAGCTCGGATTCCAGGCTTGCCGAACTTCAGTCCAAATGGGAGGTCGAGAACAAGATTCGGGAGGGTGCCGAGCAGATGCTCAAAAAGATTACCGACCGCAATGCCTCCGAGGTCTGCGAGTCCAATCTGCTCGAATCCCAGCGCCGTCTCTCCTATCTCGAGAACGAGATGAAGAAGCTGGGCACCAAGGCCAACCCCTCCCAGTCCGGCGACCATATCAACTCCCCGCTCGATTCCTCGGCCCCGTCGAATCTCGCCGAGTCTAATCCCGCTTCCCCAAAGGCCGGAGCCCCCTACCGCCGCCATTCTTTCTCGGCCAACACCAGTCTCGCCACCACCCCCATGATGGCCCGCGGCGGCGGTGGTGGAGGTAGCGTCTTTGGCCAGTTCATCAGCAACGCTTTTGGACGGAAGCACACAGTCTCCCACTCGGCCTCTCGCATCAGCTCGCACGAGTCCCTGAGCACTCTGGCTCTCAAGTTCAACAGTGCCTACTTGCCTACCAAGCTCACGAACTTTGGTAAGACGCCACGGCCGTCTGACGGGCCCGACATCGACGATACCACCCTGACTACCCTTTGCCGAACATTATCCTCTCGCCGCCTGACGACCAACAGGCCATTCATACGCCAAACGATACATGTGTGCTCTGATGCATTGCGCTGACCGTGACGGGAATGGCTTTGGCTCTCTGTGTGCTGGTTTGTAGATTATCTCCGCTGCGACATCCCCATCACGACCCAGAAGGTCAAGTACAAGCTCACCGAGGTTGAATACAAGCTCGAGCGTGAGCGAAACGTCAAGGCCGGCACCGAGAAGATGAATCAGGTCGTTTCCCAGGATCCCAATGCCGACCCGAAGCGGCAGCAGCAGGTGCAGGAAAAGCTCATCGAGGCAACCTCCAAGGTGAATCTGCTGCAAAAGTCTTCGCAGCGATACCGCGGCCTCTATGTCGCCGACGAGACCGACTCGCCGATTTCACGTACGTATCGTCTCGACCTGCGATGCGCTGGATGCCGCTTGCTCCGGACAGTGTCTTGATGGGCCGTCGTACCACCATCGAGGCTTGCTGTCTTTCTTGAGTGCTCCCACGTTCACCATCACAGCGTCCCAGTACCAGCGACCCCGCAACGGCACTGTTGACAGCGACTCCTGATGAGCCCATAAGAAAGATATCTTCCCACCTCGTGAGCCACCACTGCGGACTGGTGCGGAACCGCGTCTCACGCCAATGTATTCCCCCCCCTCCCAGGTTTCTCAACCGCAAACCGACCCAAGCGAGAGAAGGAGCTCTTCAGTGGCCGCATCAAGATGCGCCTGGTCGCCGCAACCAACCTCGAGGGACGCCAGTCCCACAAAACGGACACTTGCGCCATCATCCGTATCGATGGCCAACAAAAGGCCCAGACGCGTCAGTCGCCCTCGCGATGGAACGACGAGTTCGACATCCCGCTCTCCAAGAACCACGAGATTGAGATATCGATCTGCGAAAAGAGCGGCCTAGTTTTGGGTCTCGTGTGGTTCAAGATGTCTGAGCTCAATGAACAACTTTGTGAAATCTACAAGCAACAGAAAGGTGCCGCCAGCGGCCCTCCCCAGCCGCCAGCGCTGTCGATCACCCAGTCGATGCCTCAATCGCAGTCGCCGCCGCAGAAGCATTCCCAGCCCCAGACGCCGCCGAGATCCCCGCCTCAGGTCGAACAGCGTCCCGGTGTAGATTCCCAGTCGTCTACAGCCACAGTCATAGCCAACAGCACCGGATCCATTGATCCAACGCAGCTTGCTCAGATCGAGATTGAAACTTGGCTCGAAATCGAACCGGCCGGGCAGCTGCTGATCAAGCTCAGCTACGGTATGGCGGCAAGCACCTCCCTGGCTTCTGATGCACTCATCACCATTGACAACGCCGCGACTCTGTTCGAGCGTGACCTGTGTTCTGATCTGTTTTGCTGCCTCACCCGGCTGATATCGATTGTCTCGCGCTGATTCGTCACCACCCAGATCCCATTGTCGACTCGGCCAAGCAGAAGAGGGTAGGCGATGTTGATTCTGGGAACTGGACATGCTGCCCGCTTTGTATTGCTACTGCTTTGTATTGCTACTGCTTTGTATTGCTGCTGCTTTGTATTGCTGCTGCTTTGTATTGCTGCTGCTGGACCGTTGGTTTCTTACTTTTTCATCTCGGTCAAATCAGAAAAACAAGCGGGCCAAGCAGCTTGAGCGTCGGGCGCCTGTCCAAAAGTTCTTGCGCAAGCGCGGCCATAAGTTCGTCAATATGCAATTTTACAAGGTCCTGAAGTGTGCCGTCTGTAGCGAGTTCCTGATTAGCGGCGGACTGCAATGCCAAGGTAAAGTCGACTGCCAAGCGGGTTCTCAATCACCTGCAACAATTCCTTGGGCACCGTGCTCGACACGACTCCGGAACCAGTCCCACTGCCGCCCTTGGAGCAATGTCCAGCGCATGCAAGACTCACATATGCACATACGGCTTGAATAGCCTGCAGATACACGTGTCATACCCGGTGTTCCGGAAGGGTGGTTACCAAGTGTATTACAACCCTCAACGAAGATGCAGTGAGTGTTTGTCCCAGTATCTATTGGTCTTTCGGTCCGCGAGCCCAACTCGCTCTTCAAGGCTGCAATACAGTGCTGTGGCGCGAATCATGTTGCGGCCATCGCTCTTCAAGGCTGCATACTCACATCCACATCTCTGTCTCCATCATCCTTGTGCCATTCCCGCATTGCAGGATGCCGCCGAAAACGAAAGCGGAACCGTCGACCAGCTGCTGAAGCATAGAATTCCCCATCGATTTGAGGCCACAACCAGCATATCGCTGGACTGGTGTTGCCACTGCGGTTTCATGTTGCCCATTGGTCGCTCGCGCTTGGTGTGCACCGAGTGCGGCATTGCATCACACCAAGACTGCCAACATCTCGTCCCCAACTTTTGCGGCCTGACCCCTGAGTTGATTGACCAGATGAAGAGCGCCATCGATCTGGCTGAACGACGGAAGCGTGAAAAGCTTGCCATTGACCAAGAAAAGGCCGCCATCGCCGCCGCCAAGGCCGAGGCCCTCACTAAGGAGCAAGAGCAGGCTCAGTCGGTCAAGGAGGCCGAGGAAGCCCTGGTAAAGCAACAGCAGCGACAGGAGGAGGAGGAGAAGGAGAAGCAGCAGAAGCAGCAACAGGAATTGCAGCGGCTTCGAGAGTTGCAGGAGCAGCAGAAGTTGGAGCAGGAGCAGCAAAAGCTGGAGCAGGAGCAACTTCAGAAGCAACAGCAGCTGCAGCTCCAACAGCAACAACAGCAACTGCAGCTCCAACAGCAACAGCAGTTGCAGCAGCAGTTGCTCCAACAATCGCAGGAGAAGCGGCAATCTCTTGTCGCATTAGCTAGCCAGATTGCCGCGCAGCCCCAGTCGCCGGTGATCCAGCCCGGAGAGCCCCGTACCCATCCTGACGCACCCCGGGCCCGGCCTCACAGCAAGCACGCCACCCGCAAGACCAAGCCGATTGGCCTGGACGACTTTAATTTCCTAGCTGTCTTGGGAAAAGGCAACTTTGGCAAGGTCATGCTTGCCGAGGAGAAGGCCACCCAGAGCCTCTTTGCAATCAAGGTGCTGAAGAAGGAGTTCATCATCGAGAACGACGAGGTCGAGAGGTATGTATATCGCCATCGGACTGTGCAAGTATGGCTGCGTTGGCGCTGTCTTTCCCGCCTTCAGGCTTGCAGTTGTTCATACGCTCGCTGACCAGATAAACTCTGCCGACAGCACGCGCTCGGAGAAACGTGTGTTCCTGACCGCGAACATGGAGCGACATCCCTTCCTGGTCAACTTGCACAGCTGCTTCCAGACCGAGTCCAGAATCTACTTTGTGATGGAGTATATTTCCGGAGGCGATCTCATGTGGCACATCCAGCACCAGCCCTTCTCGGAGGCCCGTGCCAAGTTCTACGCATGTGAGGTGCTGCTGGCACTCGAGTATTTCCATCGACACAACATTGTCTATCGGTAAGCAAAGCCAAGAAAGGAGGGCAGATGGCAAGCGCCTCTGGACCACCTCTCTGCACGTACGCGGCGTGGTCCGACTTGCCATAGCAAACTCCGTGTGCGACGTTCTTGATGTGCTTCTCGCACAGGCCCCAACCTGTTGGGCACCTCTCTCGGATCGTATGGACGCTCATAGCCAACTCGTTTCTCCGCACCTGCCCTTCTGCATCTCCTTGTTTTGCTTCTCACTCCTTGGTGTTGGCTATCGTGTGCGAATAACAGCGACCTGAAGCTCGACAATATTCTGCTTTCGCTGGACGGACACGTCAAGATCACCGACTATGGCTTGTGCAAGGAGCATATGCCCTATGGCGCCACCACCAACACCTTCTGCGGAACGCCAGAGTTTATGGCGCCCGAGATTCTCCAGGAGAAGCCCTATGGTCGCGCCGTCGATTGGTGGGCGCTGGGCGTGCTCATCTACGAAATGATCTTGGGCCAGGTACGTGAGCGCCACGACATTTGCGACGACACCACGATCCCGCCACAGCAGCCATCTGACTTTGCCTGGGACTCACACTGCTGCCAACAACAGAGTCCGTTCCGAGGCGACGACGAAGACGAGATCTTTGAAGCCATCTTGGAGGATGAGATCATGTACCCTGCCAATATGAATCGGGACGCGGTGTCGCTGCTCCAGAAGGTAGGCGAAACGCACTGGTCTGATGTGGAGTGGGTGGGCTCGGGAGGACCACCATCTTGGTCGTCTGGCGATGTCAGTTTCACCCCGTTCTGACCAACTCTTAATCGATGCATTGAACCTGGCGCGGCTGCCGCCGTATAGCTTCTGATGAAGGACCCATCCAAGCGGCTTGGCTGTGGCCGCACAGATAGCGAGGAGATCAAGAAACACCCGTACTTCAAAGGCGTGGATTTTGACGCGATGTTGCAACTCAAGCTGCCGCCACCATTTTATCCCAGCATTGTGAGTATACTGCTCGACGCTCCTCTCCTCTCAGCGGTGGTCAGATGGCATCCAAAGCAGATGAGGGATGCCCGACTGATCCTTGCGTCGCTTTCTCCAGGGCTCGCCGACGGACGTTTCGAATTTCGACGAGGAGTTTACCAAGGAAATGCCGGTGCTGACTCCCTGTACCTCGGTCCTGTCGGCAACCGACCAGGAAGAGTTCCGAGGGTTTACGTACATCTCGGAATGGGCCCAAGAGACCCGAGCTCGGATCGTCCAAGCCGCAGCGACTGCAATCTAGGTCAATGTGTGCCGGCCGGGACCAACTCTCTGCCTCGCATCTGCTTCCGTTTACGCAAGTCGATCGATTCATGATTTGCACCCCTCCCCTGATCCCTCATAGTAGGGCCCAATTCGTCACCGTCGTTCTTTGTGTTGCTGTCATTGTTACTTTGCCTGGCTTTTGCAATCCCTTCAATCTTTGTTACGCTGCGCGATGCGCTCTCTTACGGTCAATCCAATAAAAATCGGGACACCCTGGTTTTTTGACCATTGACCGAATAATTTGTTTCCCAATACCATCGCGCGCTGGCCATGACCGTTCTGCGTTGTGGTGCTACACTCTCATCCATAGCCTGAGAAACGCTGCCTCCATATTCAGTGTGTCCATGAGCACCATCGCGCGCTGGCACTCCGAGACCAATGTGCAGGTCGATTGTGGAGACCAGAGAGCATCCCGATGGATTCACTCGGAGGTGATCTGTTGAATTGCATGTGGCACTGTTGAATCGAAACCCAGCACATACGACCTGTTCATGGAAGCGGGTGTGGTGTCCCGGTTTTTACTGAATGAAATGTAAAGTGTATACTCTATGGTCGATCCAGAAAGAAACGGGACACGGGCCCATATCCGCTATGAAAATGTTCTCGCTGGCATTGTCGTCGCTCACATTATCTTCGCTGATGGCGCCTGTGTCCATTTGAAAGCGATCGCCTCGGTATCTCTCGGCTGCGACATGAGGGTGGGCGGCCAAGAGCTCTTCATGCATTTGCCATGTCGCCAACGGAGAGCGATCGGATCCCCGATTCGCGAACCGCGCCAGTCATTCTGTGCCACCAACGGATTTGCCTTTTTTTCCCCCTTCTTGGCTTCCCTGCGCTGTCGCCGCTGCGTTTCTTTGGCCTCAATCTTCAATAGCTGCCCTCGGCATCGACAGCCCACACTCTGCGGTCGTGCAGCCAAGCAGCTGTGATGACAAGATGGCCTCAAGTCATGTGCTGATGCTGCGGACAGGCTCTGGGGTCGCTGCGATCTCGGATCTACTCGTGCTTGCTGGGCTTTCCCGCTCCACCGTATCCCATCCGCCACGATGGCCACCTCTTTCCAAGCCGCTGTCTGCCGGACAGCCGCATTCATCCTTGCGCCGATACTCGAGAGCTCGCCCCGGCTTTGGGTCTTCGTCATCCCGGCATCATTCGACAGCGACAGCGACACCAAGGTCGGAAGCCCCTGTTGCTCCAGGGCATCCGCTTCCCAAGGCCATCGCGGATGCATCCAGCACAACTCTCAACCCCAGGCAGCTCGGTGTGCATTCCCCCCTGGACTCGGCTCCTCTGCATGAAGACGACATTCGATTGCTGCTGCTGCATCCAGAGGGCGCTGACACACACTCGGTGCTTCAAGCCTTCTCTGCGCTGCCTCTCCTTCCGCACGTCTCTGGCGATCTGGTGGCATTTATGCTCGCATGGCTTGCCGATCGGGCGGATAAGATCTCGGCCAGCGAGGCTGTCAAAGTCGTGCAGATCTTTAGCCAGTTCCCTGAAGCCACGAGGCGCCCAGCAGTATCGGTACTTTGGCGATTCTATGAAGTGGCTGTGGCCCCCCGGGTCAAGAATCTCGATCCGGTCACCCTTGCTGACACGGCTGGCCTTCTTTCGTCTCTACAAGTCCGGCCAACATGGATCCTTCGGCATATCGGCTCACTTCCCGAATACCACATCTCCCGCTCGCTTTTGCCAAGCCGCCAGATCGAGTTGTTGGGGCACTGCGTCCGCTGGGGCTATCCCGCATCCAATTTGGTCCGATGTCTGGTTTCCGGGCTACTTGCCAAACCCGAGGATGTCGATGATATGGAGCTCGTTCAGCTTCTCCGATCTTGTGGCTCACTTCGACAGTCGCGCATCAAGGATATTGATCGTTTGGTGGACATATGCCTCGAGCGCAACAAGCTGATACCACTTGCAGTACGCTCGCCATCGTACCTTGCAAGTCTGGCATGGGTCTGTGTGTACTTCCCCAACTCGGCGCTTTCTCAGCAGCTCTTGGGCTCCGTTGATGCTGTCTGTACCAAGAAGGCTGCTGAACTTTCTCCGTCGGACCTCTGCGACTGGCTGGACTCGCTTGCGGCAAGACCAACGCTTCCGGCCGAGATAGACGATCGCATTCTCGAAGAGCTCCTCGAAAGCAAGCGCTTTGCATTCAACGTCGACCAGCTCTTCCGCTTTGCCTGTCTACTCTCTCGCTTCCCCGAGTCGACTGCAGTCAACCGGATATTGTCGATTCAGCGAAATCAGCTCAAAGCACTCTCGTCGAGCACCCTCTGCCGGGTCATGCGGATCTTGTCCGAGAAGGATGTGTTGACCGCCGAGCACACAGAAGACTTTGCGAAGCTCATCTCCGAGCGTGTGGAGGAGCTTCATAACCGCGATTTCGTGTGGACTGCGGCGTACTTCTCGACGAGCTACCACGTCTCAAGTGCCTACTCGCTCTTTCGGGCCTTGGCTCGCTCGGCGACCTCGCGTCTGGACGAGCTCGGATACTCGGAGATTATCCGACTCGTCGAGGCTTTCTCGTCATTTTCGTGCGACTCGCAGCAATTCTTCAGGGCCGCTCTCACTCGACTGATGCCGGTCCTTTCGCATCTGCCGCCACAGCAAGTAATATCGCTGCTGTGCTCGCTCGAAGCTGTCAACTTCAAGCCGGCGCTTTTTTTCCGCCATATTTCGAGTGCCATTATTCGTCGACGGCATGCCCTTTCGTGCGAGCAGCTCGAGACAGTGGTTCGGGCATATTCAAGACTGGGACTCTCGTCGCCACCGCTCTTGAGCTCCATCGTGCGAACCTATTTGTCGATCAACTCAAATTGGACGGGCTCAAGGATCAAGATGCTGATCATTGCGTGCACCAACAGCGGCTCGAGTGCCCCGAGACTCTTTAAGAAGCTCGCCCGACTGGCTGAAACACAATCCGACAGTCTCTCCCGGCGCGACATGACCAAGATTGCCCAGTGCTACAGGCGCATGGGGCTACGTCATCTATTGCCGCCGCGGTTTCTGGACACCAAGGATTCAGCACAGCCAGCCGAATCTTGGGCAGCCATCAAGCGCGTTCTCCTCCGTGGGTTTGGCTTCGACACCCGACGGTCGGCGCGCTACCGCCTCAAGCATGCCAATGCATCTGTCATGGTTCAGCTGCGGTCCAAGATCTTCCGACAAGACGCACAGAAGGTGCATATGCTGCGACAGCAGCTGGAGAGCCTCCGGAATCGGCGTCGTCAATCCAGGAAGGCCCATCTTGTGCTTTCGCGTGGATGGAAGTTACCGCTCTATCGCAGGCGACGTGCTGATTCCGATAGCGAAGCCAAGCGGAGGCCGATACCGTTTCCATCCGATTTGCTGGGTCCTTCGAAATGGCGGCGTGATGGCTCGACAGCGGAGGCTGATTTGGAAGCGAGATCATCATATGCTTCATGACCAAGCCTAGGTATGAGACTGCTCCCACCGAACACAGGCACCACTTGGCCTGCCGCATCGCTCAGAATACATATGCCGATCGCCGCCAATGACGATCAGAGTCGACACCTCCACAGACACGCTCCCGGTTGTGTCGTGGGAGCAATGCCATAACGAGGTGGGTGGGGACTGAGGACACCACGGGGTATCGTCAGGACCGAGCCAGGAATGGCCGGATGCAAAGGTGTATGTGCGGATAGATGGATAGGACTGCAGTACAGTCCATCCAGAAGAAGAAAAGGGGAGGGCAGTCTCCCTCTTTCTCTGGAATCAGAGGCCTGCAGGCTGTCCTGTTTCAAAACGAGCGCGCTACATTTTCGGGGTGGGAAAGATGCGCCATGCGAATTCGGTTTCCTGGGACCAGGGCATCTTCCGGGACGGACGGACGCGTGACTGCTCGGCCAAACTTCCGCCAACACCGAGCAATCCTCCCGTCCGGATCTGCAGGACGGCCCTCAGACGCTCTTCGCCTGCTGGCACGCCATCAGCCATCCAAGCCCACAGCTGCTCCGGCGAAGCTGCAGTCCCAGAGTGCGATTCTCCCCCGCTCCGGGCTTGTCTGAGCTACCCGAGAGAACTGCTACCGAAACGACAGGCAGCCACAATGTCCCAAAGCTTTCTCGCCGCCAATGCGTCCAACCGCATCCGCTCCAAGGATATGTTCATGCTGGTGAGGAGCGAATGGGGCTCTGGCCTGAAGCGATACCGCGATGCCACTGGCTGCTCTTTTGCTTGAATGCGCTGTCCGGATGGTGCCAAAAGTCCAGCAGTGGCTGCGGTTATTCCTCGCGCTGCCACAAGCCTCCTCTGCTGACAAGCTGGTGCTGCGTTGCCACAGATTGCCTTGTGGATGGAGAAGCATCCCAACCAGCATGCTGTGTCCCTGAGCGACTCGGCCCTGCCCACTGGCGCCGTCTTGGTCGATGCCCAGGACCACATCGTTACCCTCGAGACAACCGGGGCCTCGCATGCAATCGTCAGGGCCATCCTATCGGCATCCATCGATCCGCAGGGCTGCGACATCTACGTCTCTCGGTTTCCGTGCTCCCTCTGCACCAAGCTTATGGTCCAGGCAGGCATCCGCAAGTGCTACTACTTTCCCAGCAAGCGTTGGGAACTCGGACGGAACGGCAACGAAGACCCTCACCTGTGGAGCGGCGACTTTGCACCCAACGTTGCCGATCGGCCTGGCCAGGAACTCAGCCGATATGTGTCGAGCCCGCTGCTTATTCCCCCTGTGAATGACATTGTGGTGCCGGCCCTGGACCTCCAAGACGCAAGTACGTCAGGCCCAAGCGCAAATGTAGCTGGCGATATACAGGTACAGCCGGCGTTTGGGGTTTGCGCACTCACTGATCCTTCGTGTCGTTGTCGCATACACATCTCTACGCAGCCGAGTCTCTGAGATCAAGCCCCCAATCGCTCGAGGTTATTCAAAAGCCCGAACTACTTGAAGAAAAGAACCGCAAGAGCGTCCAGCGTCTCGTTAGCAACAATCCGATTGCCCTGTCGCTCTTCATCCCGCGTAGGTACTTTGTCGGTGTTCTTGGCTCGGCCGGATCAGTCGTCTGGGATTGACACAAAAATCAACCGGATTACAGAGTGGGATCATTCCCCGACGGAGCCGGATGCACCATCAGGGCTGCTCGAGATGCCCGAGGACGACGACGACTGGGCTGTTCTAGATGCCCGTGTCGGAGAGCAGCCAGGCATTACCCAGCGATGGACTATGATCCAGGCAAAGTTCAAACGCACGGTGTATGCCTTGCGTCTGCTCTCCAAGCGATACATGGCCACGGTAAAGCATTGGCAAGGTGCCCAGCTTGTCGAGACGACTAGTGCCGAACCGGTGATGCAACATGCCATGGTGCTCGCACACATTGCCGCTAAGCGCACCGACGACAACAAAGTCGGTGTCGGTGCCGTTCTGGTCGACAGCCGGGGGACCTACATCTCCGTAGGCTGGAACGGCTATCCCAAACGGGTGAGTCGAAAGCGCAGCGATTGCTGGACAAGCAACTCGCTGGAGCGACTGTGGCCATCGGTGGCATGTTCCGCTCGGAGCGGCAACTGTCTGCTCAATCTCGTTGTATTTATCCCCACCAGTCGCAGCACTTGGACTACCCGCAGGCCGGAGCGGACGACTCGGTGGAAGATGACGAGCTAAAATACGACTACATTTTGCATGCAGGTGAGCTTCTGCGACGGGAGGCGCTGCATCGGCGAGGGCTACTCGAGAGAGCCGCGCCGGTTGGCTCCCTTGCAGCCAACAGTGGGTCAATCACTCTTTTGGGTCGTGATATATAGCCTATTCATGAAATTGAACATGGAACTACTATCGTCTAGAACAAAACGCTCTGCTCTGGCGGAGCTGCAGGGGCAAGGATCTCTCCACCGTGACCTGTGTCTCCACCAAGATGCCCTGCGACGAGTGCAGTCCCATCATCAGCGACTGCGGTGTGCGCCGGATTGTGACCACTCCGCAGTTTGCGAAATCCAAGGACGACCCAGCCCGCTTCCGTGGCCTCACGTACGGGCTGCTGCACCAGCTTGTCGACGACATCTACGTCTTTGACGTCCTCTGAGCCGCGCGTGCGGCCCAGCCATCGCCAACCAGCGATGCAGTCAACCGGAGCAGCGCAAATACAATATAGAGCTTGGTGCCGGTCGACTCGCCTGGGCAGGACAGCTGATTCCGCTGCCGTCCTGCTGATTCCCACGTTCGGCTGCCAGATCGGGCAGCGCCGTCGCACGAGCACATCTGGCTATATCGGGCCATATGGCGGGCACGTGGCTGTCGCTTTGCCCGCCCCGCCCCGATCACACCCAGGCGATCCGGGCCCAAGCAGGTCGGCCGACGACCGGCAGCAGAAGCAGCAGAAGCAGCAGCAGAAGCAGCAGCAGGTCATCACCCGCAACCAAGGCATCCGCACCCAGCGGCATTCCGATCCTGCAACCACCCACCCTTGTATCCGCGGACGTATGCTTTGCGTGTTCCGCGGCTGCTCGGACGACTACACCCAAGAGGCTGCCGAACCCTGCTGGCGAGCACGGCTGACGTTGCGGCGACGCTGCCTCGCCAGACAATGCACCATGACTACCGATCCTCCATCTCGCCCCACGCCTACTGCGAGAGTAACAGAGCTGCCTCCCGAGGCAGGGGTCCCGGTGGGTCTGTCGGTGGGTCTGCCGGCGGATCTGCTGGTCCCAGTGTCTCTCGCTGGCCACCCCTGACGCCGAGCCAGAGTCGCAATTACCCTCAGGGGGCTGCCAACGGATCCAGCCCGTCGAGGTAAGCATGCGGGCGCCCTGCTGCTCAGCTTCGCTGCGATGCCAGTCGAGGTTGATCCAATTCCCTCCTCCGCGTGATGCCATCGGACCTGACCCGTCCCCCGATCTCGCCCGGCATCTTGTCTTGTCATCCGAGCCGCACTGTTCTCGACCCGCTCGATCGCTCCAGATGCTCATCGCCGATGCCGTTCCCTTGTCGTTGAATTGCAGACCCAAGTATTTTTATCCTTCAGCGAGGGACCTGCAACGGCCGCCCGTTGTTCAGGCATCGCGGAAGCTACTTGAGCAGCAAACAAGCAGCCCCGTCCGCTCCGCCCCAAGCTCACCAGTGGTTCCCGGCCGGGTTGGCGCCAAGTTCGCGGCTGGTCCGCCGTCGCTGCAGCGCAGCCCCAGATCGTCGCCCTCGCACCCAAGATTCGGCAACCCGGTACCGGCGGCTGCATCGTTCGAGAACCAAGACAATGACCCCGGCGCTGCTGAGCGTGAACATCTCTCGTATATACCCTCATCGCCTACCAATCGATATCTCCGAGGCTGCGGCGGGCGTCCTGATTCTGTCCCGGTCCTGGCGACACCCACGTTGCGTCAGCCGGGTATGCAGGGCTACAGCCGCCCCGCAGCGATCCCGCTCACTAGCCTCTCTTCTCGGCTTTTGCACAGGGACTTTGATCATCCTGCCGATCGAGTGCCCAGCCTGAACGGGGACAACGGGAGCCTGGCCAGTTTTCCGGACTCGCTCGCCCAGGCCTCGTCGGAACATGAGCCACCAGACCAGTCAGCTATGGATTGTGACAGCGCCGATCATTCCGCGACTGCAAATCGCATACACGACATGCGCGGATTTAGTAAGGCGCCCCACCACAACCCAGATGTCGACTGCAACGATGGCTTCCCGATCCTATCAACGGGCGCAGGCGTACGGACCTCGAGTCAGGCTGGGTTACTCTCGCCCGAGACCAAGCGGCGCCACATCAGCCCATCGCAAGAAAAACCTATGCAGCTCAAACAAGAGGGGCTGTGCGGTGGCTTTCCGATTGCCCTCTACGATCCTTTGTTCGCCGGCGATACCAGAGATGGCACCCTCTCTCCCCGGAGGAGCCACGATCGTGAACCGTCGACTCACCAATCGACTCACCAATCGATCGATACACTTCGGTCCGCACAGGATCCATACATGCTCCATCCGGATGACTCGTCGCTGAGATGCCAGCCATGCATTCACCCGACACTAAATCTTGCACCAGACGACGGCCGCTTTGGCAATTCCTGTCTCAAGCACGGCACCCTCATGACAGCGGCCAGCACGATGCCCTCGGCAACGACTGCGACACTGGCTGCGGGGACGCCGTTGCTGTATTCTCTGCAACCACATCCCACATCGCCTCCCATTGTGTCGTCCGACATGTTCCCTTCGTGCCAGCCCGAGGTCAACTTTAGCATCGCGGCGCTGCCGGACGACTGGCCAGAAACCAATCTGTTTTCGTTCGACATCGTCTCCTCGGACTTTGATACGATGGACATGCACAGACCAACTCCGTGTCGAACCGACAGCAGACTTATGGAAACGGTCGGCGATGCTCTCGGCAACGGCCGTCCTGATGAGCATCAGACTATCGTGTGCTCCAGCACTCCCCTAACGCGCAGTAGAGCCTTTCGCATTGGCGAAAGCGAAGCCGCAGGCTGTCAAGCTCTGTTCCCGGGCGTTCACTCTCAAATACCCGACGACCCACCACAGCAGCCGTGGCAACACCAATCTCATGCAGCCTTCTATGCCACCAGCACCGGTATTCATGCCCACACAGCAACCGGAACGGGATTGCTGACATCCCATTCGCCTTCGTATAATCCTGATGCGTTAGTCTGCGCTTCGTTCGGAGCCGTTGCCCCCACAACGGACATGCAATTTTGCACTGCAAAGTCGGCATCGGTTATATCGACTGTATCGCCGCGATCCGGAAAAATTGCGATCCGGGACCTTATCGACCCACCAGATGCTCCGGAACTTCCAAGCAAGCCGGTACCGAAACAACATCACTCCCCGATTGCTCATCACTCCAATGGACAAGGCACCAATGCCGACAGTCTGCAGCAACACACTCGCAGCAGAGAGCCGGCTGCAACAAACGAACCTCGCGGCTGTGGGGGACACGATGATCATACCCCTGCCCCATCCGGTGGTAACGGCGGCGCACCTTCTGACGCAGGCGATCAGAGGGGTAACACAAGCGATGGAGATGGTTCTGACGAGGAGAGCGACCTGACAGATGTTGGCGAAAGTGAGTCGGACTCTACAGATAGCAAGAGCTCCGCCTCAAGGTCGGCTTGCTGCAATACGGATCCTGGTGGCCCAGATGAGCCGAGTCACCTGCCTCACTCGACACAAAATGCAATAATCTTGAATGCTACCAATGTCGATGTTGCCGACGTCGCGGATGTTGCCAATGTTGCCAATGTTGCCGATGTTGCCGATGTTGCCGATGTTGCCGATGCTGTAGATGCCGACAGCCCCGATGCTGTCCAGGAACCTGCTGGTGCGCTCCCGCAGACACCCAGTCGCGACCTCACAAGGAAACGGAAGCGACCCTCTCTTAGCACCGAGGCTGGAACAGAGGATTGCCCCACTCCAGTACTTCTGGAGCGCCTCTCGACCTTCTACCCAGACACGACTTTCCTCACCGAAAAGCCCGCACGGTCGTACATCTGCAGCGACGCTCCGGTCGATGTTGTAGAAGAGATCATGGAGTTCTACGAGGACTTTCCCAAGTTTATGGGCAGCTACCGGATCCTGGACAAGATTGGCGAGGGAACCTTCAGCTCCGTGTACAAAGCCGTTGATTTGATGCACTTTCAATACGACAACACCAGTTGGTGTCAAGATCACAACGCCGACAGGCGATGGCTCGCTGCTGCCTCGCGACTGAAGGACATCTATCCTCTTCCGCAGTTGTATCTCGAGCGCCGCATGTCCGATCAACTCGCCACCACTGCCTGTGGCCTTGTTGCTGTGAAGCGAATTTATGCGACGAGCAGTCCAATGCGGATCCACAACGAAGTCCAGCTCTTGCACAAGCTCTCGTGAGTGCCCTCGCCCCCGCAATCGAGAGTTGCTCTTATCAGACGCAGACTATGATTGTACCAGACATGGTTCTGTTTGCCGACCCCCCCCCATCCGACTTCAAACACTGATTTATCGCCAACGTATATCGCATTTCTTCGCAGTGGGCATCCCAATGTTGCGCCGATCATTAATGTTCTTCGTCATCAAGACCAGGTCGGTGCTTTACGCCGCCTCGCTTTGCTGAGCATACGCTCGATAGTCCGATGCATGATTCAGCGCTGCTCACCGCTTGACTAACTTTCTCGCAATCTCCGGGGTCATGTGATCGCATATCCGACGGACCGTCTTCATCTGGACAGGTCATCCTAGTGTATGTATTGCCTGTCAGCGCATGGCCCTGGGGCGGCAGATTGCGTGCAATCGCACGTACGCCCTCGTATCATGTCTTCTCGTGCTGGCACCCCCTGTTCTGCTCGCTACAGTTGTGGTTGCATGATCGCTGTCGATGCGGCTTAAGGAGCCATCGACCGGTTTCACTTGTCTTCAGCCAGCTGATTCAACACCCCGTCCTCAACAGTCTTCCGTTTTTGAAGCACGACGAGTTCCGGGTATGTCTGCAGGAGCCAACTTCAAGCCTGGGAGGTGGTATGGACTTGCGCCATGCCGCGGATCTCTCCAAAGCAAGCAGTTCTTCGTGGCGCTCACTTGACACCCGGGCTGAAATCTGACCTTTTGATTGGCTTGTCTGCAGGATTTCTTCCTCACGCTGCCATGTGACGATGTCCGGGCGTATCTCCGAGCTTTATTCAGCGGGCTGAAGCATATCCACTCACACGGGGTCGTGCATCGCGACATCAAGCCAGCCAATTTTTTGTACAGCGTGCAGCACAAGTCGGGAGCCATTGTCGATTTTGGGCTCGCCCAACCCGACGAGACGGAGAGCTTGAAGAAGTGGATCCTGGACCCAACGGTTAACTGCGTGGCCCGGCGCGATGTCTTGCGGATGAATGCGCGCCTGAGCCAGTCCAAGCACGAGTCAAATGGATACATCGTCGACCCGTCCAAGTAAGGTGTTTGCGATGGCGCGGGCCTCGAGATCTTTTAAAGGCTGAACAAGACATTCGCTTGGTTGCTGTTGCTCACATTACTGCTTCCGATCGCCCACAGGCCTGCCGTCAGGGCGAACCGAGCTGGGACACGCGGCTTTCGTGCCCCTGAGGTTCTCCTCAAGGTGGTCTACCAAACGACGGGTGAGTACCTACTTGGGATATGAATGGCACCCGGCGCAATCCAGCGCACCTGTCTTTGTACCCTAGATCGACTCGCTACGGGTTTGACTTGCAATCGCGGCATTCTTCGGTGTTGTAGCGTCCCTGTAACTTGCATATCAACCTATGGACACTTGGCTAACTGCGCCAACGGGCGAATGCTTGCAGCGCTGGACATATGGTCTGTTGGGGTGATCATACTGTCGTTTATGACGGGCATCTATCCGTTCTTTCAGTCCAAGAGCGACGAAGAGGCACTGCTGGAGATTGCGCTTCTCTTTGGCAAGAAGGAAATGGCTGCGGCCGCGGCCGAGCAGCGTAAGTATGCCGATGGTGACCGCGAAGCAGTGGCTGCAGCGGCTCTCGGATCCCAGGCGGATATATCTGTCTTCACGCATGGAGTGCGTCCATCTCCCATTCCTATATGCTCACGCCCTTGTGCTCTCGCTGATCGACTGTGATCATACTGTCATCCTGCTGCCACGCTATCCCTGCCGCAGATCGTGTCTTCACCTCCAACGTCCCTACACTCCCGGAGTCCGCACCCAGCCTCCACGCCCTCTGCTCCAAGCTGCAGCCCAAACGCTCAGAGCAATTCCCAGAATCGGCGTTTGACCTGCTGAGGCAATGCCTGATGCTCAACCCAGAAAGGCGCATCACAGCGGCCGATGCACTTGAGCACCCGTTTTTGAAGATGCCCTAGGTCTCGCACACAATCGACGACGATGATGATGATGTGCTTGCGAGTTTGCACTGTGTATATGATAACCTGGCTCTACAACGCTCGCATGACGATGCAGGCGTGAGATCATGTATTTATGGCCCATCGCAATCATTCTCCTCCCTTCTCTCTCAATACACACTTTCGAAATACAGTCATCTCTGGCTCTCAGGCATGTGCGACCGGCCGGTGCCATCCGCATGAACTGGTGTGATCTGTGAGCACCTCTGTTATCGTCGATCGCTGCCTTCGCTTGGTTGCGAATTATATTTGGAAGTGACGGGGTTGGGAGGAGGGGGAGGAGTATGGGATTGGAGAAATAAGAAGAAAAGTTGAAAGATGGAACGAAACGGAGGAAACGGAGGAAATGAAAGAAACGAATCCGTCACAATCGTAGACTGGCTACAAAGGGCATGATGGGTGAAGATGTCGCAAGGCTGGCAAGAGCATCGATCAAAACATCACAGCCCGGCCAACCATCAACGGCCTGAGCACAAACAGGAGGAGAAGGAGAAGTAAATGGCAAATGGAGCGACGGGGAGAGGTAGCACGAAGGCGATAAAGCTGATGGGGAAACCCAGCGAGCCGGAGAGATGTCCGAAACGCAGCAGTGGCGACCACGTACACGCATCCATCGGCAAATGGCGACGATATACACCGACGGCGGCGCCGACGACCTTCCCAGAGTGTCACTTCTTTCCCCCTTGATCAGTCGGCATTGTCTCGGTTTACCAGTTGACACCCTCGACCTTGAACAGCTCGGCATAGTCAAAGAACCGGGTGACCATTCGGTACTGCTTCTGCGGGACGTTCATCGAAATCAATCCGTTGGTAACCTTGGCAAGACCGTGGCGGCGGATGAGCTTGAAGATGGCTCTTGCGACGGGGCTGGGGTACTGTGGGCGGCGCAACCGGACGCAATTGTTAGACTTGTCAGCGGCACGGCCCTCGAAATGCCGATCGCTCGTCAGTCCCGCTATCCATCTTGCCAGTGAGCGGATGCGGCTACGTGCGCTGCCAGGGAATGTTCAAAGGGCCAGAGTACTCACAGTGTGCTCCACATAGGCACGATCCAGCAAGCCAGTCAGCTTTACGACGGACTCGAGCGTGTTCTGCAGGTGACCTTCGTCCGAGTAAACCTCCATCAGCTTCAGATGGGACTTGACCGAGAGCTTTTGTTCGAGACACATCTTGTAGGCTTCCTTGGCGTCCTCCTGTTTATCGGCCAGGTGGTGCCATGTTAGAGGACCCTGTGACCATCTCCGTCACGACACGCTGCGAGATAACTGTACTTTCGAGACCAAAGTGACAGGCGTGCTCCCGAGTCTCTCTACATCTGCATCGCACTCAAGCACAAGCACATGCTGCAATGCGGTTGTCTCCATCGAGTGCCGGACCAGAGCCAAGCCACCAGGGCGATATCACCATCTCTGTACCTTGTGGCCAAGGCGGGCAGCAAGATCACCGTAGATCTCCCACTCTGCGCCAGTCTTGCGGTACAGCAGCGCATTGGTGTTGCCAGTGGCACTCGACTTGTACTGAGTAATCTCCTGCTTGAGGGCCGTGTAGAGGCGGAGGTCGTTGTAGAGCACCATAAAGAGGTTGTCGAGCCACTTTTCGCACAGACGCTTGGTGCGGAAGGTGTACGCAACGTTCTTGCGCGTCAGAGGGCGGGGGTTGGGCTGCTTGCCATCGCCCTTGGCTTCGGCACCGGCCTTCTTGATCAGCTCATCGATGGGGAGCCCGGCACCGGCGTCTCGGCTTTCGGTAGCAGACTCGGCGCCAGCATCACTCAGAGGAATATCCTCGGCATCATCCAGGGACTCGTGCAGCTCATCGGCGTCATCTGCGGAAGCCCCGCCCTTCTTCTCCTCCTCGGCGAGAGAACGGTGGATGCGATACTCCTCTTCCATGACGAAGCAGTTGGAGCGGAACTTGAGAAGCTCGTCCCAGCCGTTCTTGTTCAGAATCCTGATCAGAAGCTGGTAGGCCTTCAGGAACGTTCCGCGGAGCGACAGGGCGGGGAGACGCTGGAGCTCGGGGTGCACCTCGTTCTCGCGCGGGTCGTTTTCGTCGCTGAGCGATCCGCTCCCGGGTGGCATTTTTCTGACGTCATCCTCAGGCTTCAAGAAAGCCGGGTCGGGCTTGAGGGGCAAATGAGTGCGGACGGGGGGAGGCATACGGTGGGCGTCTCGCTCGCAGTAGGTGAACATGGGGCACGAGTTGAGGGACAGTAGAGCCTGTGGCCCCCCCACCGTTCACATTCATCGCGTCGATTTTGGGTAGACATGAAATCGAGCGGAGTAGAACCAGCCCGGTCAGCAAGGAATGCGTATCTTCTGTACCCAATGCCCTTTGTGGCGATTGCCAGGCCCACTGGCCGGCACTACGGACCAAGAAAGCAGCCTCCTGGAGACCGTGGTAACCCGGACTCATGCCGATGCGCCTGCAAGCACAATCACTCACCGACTCGTAGTCGCTCATATCAATATAGGTCTCCGTGAGTTTGGCCCAGGTCAAAAACTCCGAAGGCGCATAGGTGACGGCGAGCTTGGCAAGCTTGACGGCGAGGTCGAACTTTTTCTAGAGATACCACACACGCACATATTCCACATGTACCACGCGTTAGCGAGGCCGCGAGTAGGCCTGTGGCTGCTGGCGCTTCAGCGAGACACACCACACACCACAGATGGGTGACTTGGTATCCAACACACAGTCTACGTTGGGTCATACCTTGGATCGCAAAAAGTCGATCTGAGCGAGCAGCAGGCCGTACGAGAGAGGCTGTCTCTTGAGCGAATCGTGGAGAATCTGAACAGCCTTGATTTCCTCATCTACACATCGGAAATCGCGAGCGGGATGAGAACAAGGCGCCAAGCCTGTCGGCTGCTATGATGCACATCTCGATAGACACACAGAGGCTGATTGGCAAATCAGATGCCGTGGTGGATGTACCAATTCTGCGCGCCCTCCCAAATAAACCCAGTTCACAGTGCTTAGATGACAGGGCAATGCCTGATATCGGGCCGTCATGAGAGCGCGCGGATGGTCACACTTGCAAAGGCAGGCTTGGGTCTCTGACGTACCCATGCCCAAATATGAGCGAGCCAGAGGCACGCCGACTTCAGGTTCCTTATCGAAGAGGGCCTCGAAGAAGCGGACACCTTCGCTATGGCGTCCACTATCGGAGAAGTACTTGATGATGCCGTTGGTCAGATGGTTGCTGTAGTAGGTGGCCACCTGGACTTCAGGATCGGTGCCGAGCTGCCAGGCTGCCAGTCGCGGGGAGAGGGTGTTCAGTACATTAAGCACCACTTCAAGTTGGCACACAAGTCGGCACAAGTCGAACCCTCGGTTCCCCAGGAACGAAATCGAAGGTCGTTTGCGAAAGACAGACGCGGATGCCTTGCTGAATTACCTTTCCAGAACTCGGCCTTGGCGGCATCCAAAAATCGCTTCTCGGCACTCTGGGTGGGAAGAGGGTCGAGTTTTCTCAGTCCAAGCAGGGGCTGGCCGTCATTTCCATCGGGCTCGTCGTTGTCGTCGAGGATGGAACGGAGAACAGCAGACACAGCCGTCTCTTGCCAAATGGCTGGGTTGGTGATGGGGTGTCTGGCGAGAAAGAGGGTGATCAGGATGAGCCACAAGCTATATCCACTGCCCGCTCAGAGAAATCGATGCCAAGCTGACAGCCAGGCTGACAGTCAAGCCGCCACTCAGACCACACCGCCTCCATTCACAATCGGGGATAATGCTGTTGCCTGAGCAGCAGGACATCATGCCGGCTGGGGGAGAGGGGAACGATGCGTTACTTATCACCACGCAAATCGACAATGTAACTCTCGACACCGCCAGGAATGCGGACTTCGACCCGAATGTCGACCCGGGAGAAAGCGTTGAAGCAGCAGTACGTTCCGGACTTGATCTTCCACTGAGTATGCTTCCCGCCGAACCAGGTCTGGGACTCTTCCTGCACAGGGAGAGGGGACGAGGTTTCAGAGAATAGGCATGCAGACCAATATGCGGCCAAGACAGTGTGGGCTCCACAGAGTCGTCAGCGGGACAGACACTGGAGAGCCAGCGGCCACAGTTGCCTCAGAGGGGTTGTGGCGTGTCCAACAGGTTCGCAACGCCGGGCTGATACGCACGATGTTGTACATCAAAGAGTTGAGGTAGGCAGCCACGGTCGCGGAGGAGCTGCAAGAGAAGCGAGTTCAGGATGAGACACGATACGGATGAAGAGGACCGTGGGCTTGGAAGCTCGCAAGATCGGCACTCGACAGTTGATCCCAGCCAAAGTCCAATAAAAGGCCGGCCCTGATAGACCAGCTCCCAGGTTGGCAGCAGGAGCCACTTACCTCGAATCGACACCCAGGACATAGTGATAGGAGCCAATCTGCGTCGAAAAATAGGAGAGTGCGAGCAGAATCGAGCAGAGTCAGAGGAAGGTAGGTGCTTGACAGGAGACGGGCTCCTCTATGCCGTTGAGTCGTGCGGCGGGCTCGCTCGGGCGCTGCAGATATCTCGGTGGTGAGAAAGCGAGGGGGCCGGAATCGATTGAGGCAACCAAGAACATCCCGGAGACGAGCACATACATCCTTTTGCTGTCCCTTGATGTTGGTTTTGATGACATGGCAAAGATCAGGAGGGCCCAACTCCCGGAAGGTAGCTGCAGCGAGATTGGAAACGGAGGTTGGTGATCAGGGAGGCTTGGCCAAAGCAAACCGCCGGGAGAGGCGGAGCCCCCATGGTCGGTCGTGTACCGCAGATGGAAGCACCACACAGTATGGAGGAGACGGGATATGCATGGCAAGAACGCAGCCGCCTGCCCCCAGGAGGAGCCAAGAAGCTGCGTCGAGCCGTCTTTGGTCAGGGGCCTTGGGACGGCCCTGGCCGAGCGACAGGGCGGCTGTGGGCTCGCGAGCCATCGACCGATCTGGGCAGCACCAGTAGCGAGCGAGCAAATAAGCGACGAAACAAGATGCGATGGCGAAAAGGGTACCTAGGGCCTCAGTGCGGGCAGCAAGGCACTCGGCGAGCTCGCTTTCGAAAAACTCGGGGATGCCTCGCAGAACGGTCGAGTCGACGACAAAGACCATGGCTTGCTGAATGCAGGAAAAGGCGCTGGCGTGATGGATGGGGGAGGAGAGATCCGAGGCAAGTACAGCAGCAAGACGAGGCCGCAAGGACGGGCTGGATCGGCTCGATGGAGATGGGCGGGAGGGAGTGCGATGGGGCGGGGGAAAGAAAAAGGAGAATCTCGCAGGAGCCGCGAGCGACACCCTGCTGGCGGCGACCAGGCGAGACACAAAGCGCACCAGCGGCTCCCAGCCACACGGCATCCGGCGCACGCCGTCCAACACCACCGGGCGGGTCGCTGTGATCTGCTGTGATCTGCTGTGATCTGCTGTGATTTGCTGCGATGCAAGGGGATGCAAGGGGATGCGAAAGGGATGCAAGGGGATGAACTCGTTGCGATATGATATGGTGGAATGCGATGCGGTGCATTGCTTATGGACGGCATCCCGCCATCCCGCTCCCCTCTCATGAAAGATCTATCGCCGATGCAAGTCCGTGAGCGATGGTGACTCCAGCAGTCCGTCAGCTCCGCCGAATCCGTTTCGCCTGCCGTTCCAATACAGAAGCCATCCGAATACGGCCGGTCATGCTTCCTTGCCATTTTTCAAACAAATGCACAGAGTCCCTGCCAGCTCGATACACTGCGTTGCGACGAGAAAACACCGGTTTTGCCAACGGGAGAGTCAGTCCATCGGCGCTCATGTTCTTGGAAGCCGCCCGAGACTCTGTGTGGATCGAGCTCTTTGGTCGGGCATAGCCCAACGTTTACGCACGCTCGTATGCCTGGCAACCAGCCACGGAGTCAGCCTCCAATGTCGACTTACGCTGCTTCTCCGTCTCGTCCAGCGCATTCAGGTAGTCCAGTCGATCGGGGCGCTGTGGTGTCTGGGTGAAATCCATGACTTCGCGAATGCGACTCCGGAAGGCCTGGACCGACGATCCGGCGTGGGATAGAACCAACCCCTTGCGAATGAGTATGTCGAGCGGACTCGGCCACGAAGGGTGGAAGGGGAAGCACATGGACGCCGCAAGTTGCGCAGATGCGAATACCTCCAGCAGAACCGAGCTCAAATCGCGAATTTCGATCCTAGGCAAGAGTCGAGATATGCTCAGCACCTTTCGAAGCATATCATCGCCGTGGAATCACTGACCAGTCCACTGGCTGTCGGCTCCGTTTGTGGTATATCCTCTCTGAGGCTTCAATCATGTCCAGTGGCTTATGGATGTCTACGCAACTAGCACTGTGCATTCAGGCACATGTAGCTTACAGGTCCAAGAGTTTCGTCGCAAAGGCAAAGTAGTAGCTGCAGATGTTATTGAGCGGAACGGCCTTGGCAGATGCCGTCAGGTCCGACATGATCTTGGGGCCAAAGCATTTAGGGAGATCGAGCTGCACAATGTCGCTGTTTGTCCGTCAAGCGATATTGTATAAGTAACAGCCGTTGTCATCGTCATCAGGACGCAAATCGCCCGATCCATCGAACCATGTAACCCACCGCTGAGCAAGCTCGGAGGCCATCCAAAACGGCAGCTCGACCCTGGTTTCGGCGGGTAGGTCCTGTAGTGTCATGAGAACGGGATCGTTGAGGCATGACTGACGGATCAACATGGGCAGAACGGATTGACTGAGCTCTGGCAATGCGTGAGCGACACACGCCATCGAGGAAACATGAAAGCGCTTTTCGAGTCGCAACAACAGCCGTCGCCGCCGCAGCAGCAGCAGCATCAGCATCATACACTGGTGTCATGGAGACCGTCGAGGAAGCCATATTCCGGCACCACCTGTCCGAACACTGCAGGGATTTTCTGTCGAGGAAGCCAGACATGCACATGGCGGTGGAGATTAGGATGGAAAGACGATGGCGATTTTGAACCTCGAACGACAGCTTGTGAAAAGAGAGAGCTCCCGCACCTGCTGCTCGACGAGAATAGAGTCCAGATCGAAGTGATCGCTTGGGTGGTAAGTCGCCATTGCGCTCGGCAGCCCAGATCATCGCCCTCGCAAAAGATGGAGGGCGATCCTGGCCATCGCTCTCGCGAGAGCGTGCTCGCCCAGCGACGAGCCTGTCGCTCACGTGGCTCCCAGGCATCCAAACCGAAACAGGATTGTGCCGTTTCGGAATCGATCATCTGGCTGAATGATGCCGATGGCACCTCCAGTAAACCAAGGGATACCGAATATGAGAGGCAGATCTATGCCTGACATCAATATTCACACATTGTTTGTTAGGAGGGACATGATGTGCAAATCATGCACCGGCTTCCGAAACGAGAGAAGTATGCAACACTCGCAGAGTGAAGCGTGCAATCCTCGTTTGAATGGTCAGAGCAAACAAATCTATTATCCACAATGACTGTCACTCTCGCGGAAGCAATACAAAGAGTATGCCACTCCCAGGTTTCTTCAATAGCCTGCCAAGACGGAACCGCGCTGCGAACATTATCGCCTGGCTTGAGGCAAGTGGCCACTACAGAAGAAACGGCCATGTCCAATTTATTTCGGCACAAGATGTATACTCTTCATTTCTGGTAATAACTCGCAAACAGCAGAAAGTAGATCAGCTCCATAGAGACATTAGGGTCAAACGAATCATAGAGTACAAGGGATACAATAGCAATGGGGTGACTGAAGGAGGGAAGGGGTGGAAGAGGAAAAGTAGCAGCCTGCCCTTTAGTAAGGGTAGGGGATGGCCTGAGGAGCAGTGTAGGTGAAGGAGTCGGTGTTGTAGGTGCTGGCGATCTTGCAGTAGTCGGTGTTGTCGTTGGAGGGGAAGTGGTAGCCGACGGTGGTGTCGATGGGAGAGCCGTTGTGGCCGGTGAGAGACTCGCCAGGGAAGCAGCATTCGTGGGTCTTCTGGCCGGGAGTGGCAAGGTTGGCATCACACCACTCAGTACGGAAGACGGTGCCCTCCTGGTTACCGAGGTAAGAGAGATCAGCAGCGGCAATCTGGAGCTCGTTGACAAGGGTGGCACGGAAGCGAGCAAGGCGAGCAGCAGTTTGGACACTGTCATAGGCAGGGGCGGCGCTGCCAGACCAGTAGCGCTCGGCAAAGGCCGAAGCACGGGGGAAAGCATAGCGGTCGAGGTTGTGGCGCTTGATGGTCTCGGTCCACAAGCAAACCGAGCCACCAATAAGAGCCTTCTTGGCCGAAGCAGTCAGGCCGGTGGTGACGTCGTAGTTGTAGATGCGGGTCCAGTTGTGCCACTGGCCAGCAAAGGTGGCATAGCCAGTGAGGTTGTAGGAAGTGGCAGGGACGCTAGTTTCGAAAGAGTCACTGCACCAGTGGGCGGAGGGAGAGCAATCGAGATAGTAGGCATTGGAGGTGGTGGCGATGATGTTGGTGAAACCCTGGTCGGCAAAGTTCTGGATGGCCGAGTTGTCGCCCTGCCAGTTCCAGATGTAGGTGTCCTTGGGGATGATGTTCTGGACGTTAAAGTCGGTGACAATGTCATCCCAGGCACCGTACTGCTTGTTGTTGGTCTGGGCGATCTGGAGGAGCTTGGGCTCGGCCTGAGCCATGATCTCATAGATACCATTGACATCAACAGAGTCCCAGCTGTCGGGAGTGGTGCCATAGACACGGTAGTTGAACTCATCGTGGCCAAAGTGGAGGACAGGGTCCTCGAACCAGGCACCAACCTCAGCAACAAGCTGGTTGAAGAAGTTGATGGCGGCCTGGTTGGTCAGATCGATCTGACCGCAAGGAGGCTGGTTGCACCACTGGGTGCCCCACCAGACAACACCGTTGGAGGCGTTGTTGGCATCACCGTTGCGGCCATCCCAGGGAGCGTGGTTGAGACCGACAACGAAGGAAGGATCGGCAGCAGCAAAGACGGCGTTGTGGCCGATGGCCTCGAACTCGGGAAGGACACGGATGTTGCGCTGGAAGGCATACTGGACGATGTCGCGGACATCCTGCTCGTTATAGACCTTGGGTTTGCCGTTGGCATCCTTGTAGGCAGCGTTCAGGAGCTGGGGGTACGAGGGCCAGTCGATGGGGAACGACTGGGAGTCGTAGATGTGCCAGTGGAAGACGTTGATCTTGGAGTAGGCCAGACCGTCGATGATGCGCTTGATGTCGGCAACGGGGAAGAAGTTGCGAGCAGTGTCGAGCATGAAGCCACGGTAGGGATAGGCGGGAGCGTCGTTGACGGTGGCAGCAACGACCTGACCACTGCTGGTGACGAGCTGGGAGAGGGTCTGGAGGGCGTAGATGGCGCCGACCTGGGTGTTGGCTGTTGTGTGGGAGTGGGAGTGGGATTGTGCAGTTGATGGCAGAGACAGTGAATGGGACAGTATCAAGGTCAGTGAGTGCGACATACACATCAGGGTCGGTGAGTGCGACAGTATCAAGGTCGGTGAGTGCGACAGTATCAAGGTCGGTGAGTGCGACATACACATCATGGTGAGCGTGACATGGCCGCGGTCAAGGACGTGGACAATCAGATCGTGCATCGCAGGGCAATCGATCATGAGCCACATCTCATCCATCCTGATCAGAGTGCATCGCCGTGGCACACAACTCACCCTTGACGTTGACACCGCTCGAGCTCACATCGAGGGTGTACGACTCATCGGCACCGACGAGGTCCTTGGCGGCAAAGCCGTTGTCGTTGGCAATCGAGACGGTGACGGTCAGGGAGCTCTTGGCCTTGGAGGCAGAGAAGCGCGAGCGGGCCGAGGCCTGGAGACGGCCAAAGGCAGCAACGACGTTCTCGTTGTTCTGGCTGTTGTCAGCGAGAGTGAAGCCATGGGCGCTGATGAGGGCCTTCTTGTCGGTGACCTGGGCGGGGTAGGGCCAGAGGTAGTCGCCGGCAGCGTGGGACTGGGCAGCGACGGCACCGGCAAAGGCAAAGACGGCAGCAGCGGCTCTGAATGAGACCATTGTGAGGAGTTGAGAAGAGGGGAGGGAGAGGAGCGTCGGCAGTGAGGGATGCGGACCGTCCAAGACCGCGCGACGATGGGGTTTATATCCTTTCGCCGCACCCCACCTCTACCACGCAGGTCAGGCCAAAGGACACGGAATCGACAGAGTCTTGATGGAAACAAGCAATTCGTTCTGTCCCTCGAACAGGCCACGACGCGATCGCGCAAGCGGCTGGCTCTTGGTGGTGGGGGGGTCAGAAGCAGCACCGTGCCGACGAATCGTTGGCGGATCGCCGACGGGCAACAAGCGCGGCTGGCATGCTCTTGGAACCTTCGCGTTCACCCGACCGTCAGCTGATGGAAGGGACGGGTCAGGATGCGTCTGCGTGGCATGGGTTTGGAACACCGCCAGCACTTTGTACCCGCCCCGCCAGTCAATTTTGCGCGTCTGTGCGACCACGGCGGACAAGGGCGGCGGACTCTGTTTGGCCAGTGCTCCGACAAGGACGGTCGGTGGAAGGATGCCTGCCCTGCTGTGCAGCCAAAGGAACGTCTCAGCGAAGCATTCGGTAGTCTCCCGCAAGCGGCTCTGGCTTTCGATTTCGCGATGCAGGGTCTATTTGCGGCGTCCTGCTGCCCGGCCAAAGCCGCCTAAACCGAGGCCGACAAAGCGAATTTGCGTCAGGGGGAGAGTGCCTGCCCCTCGGATGCCGATCATGGGGACAGCGAACACGGCGAGCAGTCCCTCACGCTCGGCGGTGTGTGGGGGGGGGAAGGTGGCTTCGCTCTGGGCCTGCAAGAATGGTTCTGCGGAGCTGCGCTGCAAGCTCAACACAGAATCCAACAAGCAAGCAAAAGCAAGCCGTCCCCGCACGCCCAGCCATACGCGCTCGACCTGGAGCCAGCAAGGTCAACACGCCGCCCAGGTGCTCCTCGATTCCCACACACATCTCTGCACAGATGGAACTGGGCATCTGTGGCCTTTGCACCCACCTCGCTGCAAGGCCGGCAAAGACACCGTCGTGCCAGGTTGCGAGCCACCAGGCGACCACCAGCCCGCAAGGAAGGCCTTGCCAGCGGGCTTCGATCCCCAGACTGCCCCCGATTCCACGAGCACCCATTGCTCGGCTGACCCGCCGCGTGACTCGTTCTGACCAGCTGTGCAATCAGGATGGGTGGGTGTCTGTCGACGGCTGCCGAGACTGCGAGAGCATTGCCTCGCTAAATGCGCATTGGTTGGGTGTTTCCAGACACCACCTGAAGGCCGCTCATCTTGCCAGCTTCAGCGGCAATCCCGACCACGCAACTGCTCACTGCTTTTGTATGGCTCGAGATGGCCAGCGCTTGTTCGGGTGTGCAAATTGCCTGAGCCGGCGCAGTAATTCATTTCGGGACTCGATCCCCAACAGCCACCGCCCGAGCAAGCCGCACGACCCGGCTCCTGGACCTCCGAGCGCGCTGGTCATCTGCACGCCCACCCTGCAGGATGAGGCCGTGGCTCCTCGGATTGGCCGTCGTCGAGCTGCTGCCTCGTGTCTCGCCCATGGCGTGACAAGCGGTCGCCGAGGCATTCGGCCTTCCAGCATTATATCCCATACCACCCGCCACGACCACCTTCTCTATCCAGGCAGGGCATTCCGAGTGGTTCGCCGATCCTACCTTGTTTCTTATCACCGAGCGTCATTTTATTCGCACTCGCCAGGCCGACTGCTCGAGCAGTCTCGCTTCGGACAAGATACACCAGCGATCCTCGGACGCATCACAGTCGGTTGCTGGCTTCGTCGGCCTCGTTCCCCAAGTTTGGGAGCCGTGGCTGGAGACAACTCGTACTGACAACACCCCTCTGGCCCTTTTGATTTTCGATCAGCAGCCGGCCATCACCGTACTCTGCCAGGACGGCCACCTGTTCAAAGGGACGCAGGGCCATATCGCTGTCGACTTGCGATCGGTTGGGGCTGATGACGCTGCGAATCTCGCGTTGCCTCGAGACTGTCTCGTAAGGAGGTGGTTCGTCGGTCCCCGAGCCCAGGGCTGGCTGTGGAGGCCATTGGCTGGCGGGATTGGCAAGGCTGACAACAAAGGAGGTCTGTGGGATGGCTTGATTCGAGACACGAGCACCGGGGTGTCGGCTGTGGCTGTCGCGCGAACCCCCACTGGCACCGACGCGGTCACCAGCACAGGAAGCTGGGAAGCCCGGATCGATCCGAGCCGCCGGTATCTGTGACAGAGGCACAGCGGGCCGGGCATCGTGGTTGGCACCAGCACCGGAGACTTCTGGCTGCCAGCTCCTCTCGCCCGAGACCACTTTGCCACAAGTCGCGGAGGCCGCTTCATCTGGGCCAGATCCTTGGTAGAGCGACAACCGGATCTTCTCTTCGTGCTCTGGGCTCCTTGGTCGCACATCAACCAAAGTGTCGAGCAGCGGCGGATTCATCGCTGGGCTTATTTGCATGGACAGTGATTTGCCTTGGGCATGAGATGATCCCCGAGGCTCTGAGTGGGCCCACGTCGGTGCTAGTCAGTGTTGTGCTCCCAATATGCGTCTCGCAGATCCACAGCATGCTGCGTGAACACAGGCGGCTTACCAAACGGTGCCTCCGTGGGTACTTTCTCCAGGCCGTAGCCTTCATTCTGAGGTGGGCTGTAGCCATCGTATGAACGAGCCTCGGTGGCATCGATGTCCTCAGACAAGCCATGGGGATTCAGTGGCACAAGCGACTCTCTGGGATGACCGATGGGCACGGCTCCGTCATGCATCTCCGCGGATCCAGGCTGTGTCGGCGATTGATCTTCGTCTCGCTGACTTGCTTTCCGAGCGAGATATGCCCGACGACGCCTCATCCCAAAAAAGATCAAGAAACCGGCCACCACGACCAGCCCTGCGCCGACGCATCCGCCAATGATAGCTCCACTGGTCGACCCGTGTCCGATACCGACGGTTGGCCCTCCTGGGGCGGGGGTGGTGCCAGGGGTGCCTGAGAATCATTCAAAGTTGTCATGCCAAAGAAGTGCGCAGTATTTGCATGATAGCCACAGAGCGTATTTGTGAAAACAAGTAGCCAATACGAGAGGGAACACGGTGAGATGTGCGAAGAGTGCTCACAGACAGCTAAGGCCAAACAGCACCATCGTGTCCTATCGAGTCAGCATCGGGACATCCAGCACAACGATTCCAACATGGTCTCTTTCGTCGACCTCGCTGTCATGCAAGCATACCTGCGGAAATCGAATCTGGATTTGCAGTACTCGTGGGTGACGGCGAGAGAGTGGTTGAGCCGGCCGATGGTGAAACCAATGAGCCGCCGGGACCAAGCGACGCGTTGACGGAGGAGAGGCTGGTGAGACTGCTTTCTGACACACTATTCCATGTTACACTCGGCGAAGAGTATAGACTGGCACTCTGGGGGGATCCGGGGGATGTGGTCGCAGTGGTGGTGATGAGAGACGAAAGAGAGGATGAGGAGGAGATGGGTGAGGTCGCGGAGAAAGCTGGGCTTGGAAGGGACGCTGTGGACGAGAATGTAAATGACGATGAGGACGTTGTTGAGGACATTGTGGAGGACACGGTGAGTGCAGATGTTGGAATGGGGCCGGGGGCTGTCGTAGATGTAGATGTAGATGTAGATGTAGATGTAGATGTAGATGTAGATGTAGATGTAGATGTAGATGTAGATGTAGATGTAGATGTAGATGTAGATGTAGATGTAGATGTAGATGTAGATGTAGATGTAGATGTAGATGTAGATGGAGTGGGTGGCTGCGAGCTCACAGATTCTGACTGTGATGATGTCGATGATGTGGGTGACGACGTGGCCGATGCATCCGATATTGTCACAGGTGAGATGGAGCGTGACGTTGACGATCGTGACGGTCGTCTCGGGTCGATCAAATCGATAAGCTGCTGGTGCTTTGGAACTTCGACTGGAGCTTGCGGATTTGAACTCGAGGCGCCTGCGTGATGCCCATGCGCCAGATCGTCTGGACGGCGGCGGCCCAACAGCCACGAGTACCCATGCTATATCATTCAGGATAAGGTGCGTTGAGTTGTGTCATGGGTGGATGGGAAAGAGAGATTATATCAGGACAAACATGAAGAATACGACCGATTTCGCTCTTGGGTCGGATGAAACCCTCCTCCCCAAGCTATATTTCCAGCACGCTCTTGTCGGACCCAGGGCACCAATGCAACTCGAGCTCATAGCTTGGGTCGCGTGGGGCGGCCGCAGCCCATGAGAGCAATCAAGCTTATGCGGTCTCTGCATGTTTCGCCATATCGATGCTTCACTTAACAATTCATCAAACTTGCCTCGACAAAGGTTCGTTTTGTCGGTGGCATTATGAAATCCACGCTGTTTGGACAGAGCGAGGTTGTACCGCGACCACGTTTCAGCAGAATCGAAGGAATTGTGAGCAATCGAGACCCAACTCCTGAGAGGCCAGAGGAGACATGATGCGAATATAGACAGATGGTGAACAGAAAAATGTGAACTTTCCGAATCGGCGCCATGACGACAGGACAGGACAGGACAGGACAGGACAGGACAGGACAGGACAGGACAGGACAGCACTGTACCCAAATCTCAAGAGCACACTTTGAAGAGCGACGTCTGTGTGTGTGGAGGTTTGCTGGTTTGGATGCAGATTGAGTGGATGAAACAGGAGTGAAGAGGGCGAGTGGAAGCTTCAACCAGAATGTTCAAGATGATGGAGGAGAAGTGCCATAGGTTTTGGAATGAGGAGCTTGGGACTGAAGGCTGCCGATGGTGAGCCCCGGAGGCTGAACGGCGAGCGCGGGAATGACCGTGACGGGGCCATGACTTCTGGCGGGCTGGCCTGGGGTTTGATCTGGCGCCGAAAAAGCCCACATGGAGGGGCGCTAACGACCTGATCACTTCCATGCCAGTTGCCAAGGAACGGGTCATGTACGAGCCGATGACTCAGATGATGTGGCGGGCGGGCCGGCAAGCTGGGCGGGGAAACCATTGACAAAAGCAGAGATAGCCTCAAAGGGGCACTCGAGCCGTCTGGGCAAACCCGCTCGAGAGTGACGATGGAGACCATCTCGCTGGGTGATTTACGACGAGACCGACTGGTGCTCGTGAGGGGAGGGGGTCTGGGGTCGGAAGAGCAGTTGAAAGGATCCTTAAGGCGACGAGTATATTTCGATTTCTGTGTACTTTACATTATGCAAGCCGGCGTCGAACTAGTGCGACGCATCATAGACGAAGAATCTCATAGACTGCGGCAAGCAGGAGGAGCGAGGGTAAAGGTGAGGAGGATTCATAGAGACGAAGAGAAGATCATAGGTGAGAAGAGAAAGGATGGGAGGGATGAAGTAACAGGGATACGCGCTGCTCCTTTAGTAAGGGTAGGGGATGGCCTGGGGAACGGCGTGGGTGTAGGAGTTGGTCTTGTAGGTGCTGGCGATCTTGCAGTAGTCGGTGTTGTCGTTGGAGGGGAAGTGGTAGCCGACGGTGGTGTCGATGGGAGAGCCGTTGTGGCCGGTGAGGGGCTCACCGGGGAAGCAGCACTCGTGGGTCTTCTGGCCGGGAGTGGCAAGGTTGGCATCACACCACTCGGGGCGGAAGACGGTGCCCTCCTGGTTACCGAGGTAAGAGAGATCAGCAGCGGCAATCTGGAGCTCGTTGACGAGGGTGGTGCGGAAACGGTCGAGACGAGCAGCGGTCTTGACGGCATCGTAGGCAGGGGCGGCGCTGCCAGACCAGTAGCGCTCGGCAAAGGCAGAGGTACGGGGGAAGACGTAGCGATCGAGGTTGTGGCGCTTGATGGTCTCGGACCAGAGAGCGACAGAGCCACCAATCAGAGCCTTCTTGGCCGAAGCAGTCAGGCCGGTGGTGGCATCGTAGGTGTAGATGCGGGTCCAGTTGTGCCACTGGCCAGCAAAGGTGGCATAGCCAGTGAGGTTGTAGGAAGTGGCAGGGACGCTGCGCTCAAAGTCATCACTGCACCAGTGGGCGGAGGGAGAGCAATCGAGATAGTAGGCATTGGAGGTGGTGGCGATGATGTTGGTGAAACCCTGGTCGGCAAAGTTCTGGATGGCCGAGTTGTCGCCCTGCCAGTTCCAGATGTAGGTGTCCTTGGGGATGATGTTCTGGACGTTGAAGTCGGTGACGATGTCATCCCAGGCACCGTAGTGCTTGTTGTTGGTCTGGGCAACCTGGAGGAGCTTGGGCTCGGCCTGAGCCATGAGCTGGTAGATGCCGTTGACATCAACAGAGTCCCAGCTGTCGGGAGTGGTGCCATAGACACGGTAGTTGAACTCATCGTGGCCAAAGTTGAGAACGGGGTCCTCGAACCAGGCACCAACCTCAGCAACAAGCTGGTTGAAGAAGTTGATGGCGGCCTGGTTGGTCAGATCGATCTGACCGCAAGGAGGCTGGTTGCACCACTGGGTGCCCCACCAGACAACACCGTTGGAGGCGTTGTTGGCATCACCGTTGCGGCCATCCCAGGGAGCGTGGTTGAGACCGACAACGAAGGAAGGATCGGCAGCAGCAAAGACGGCGTTGTGGCCGATGGCCTCGAACTCGGGAAGGACACGGATGTTGCGCTGGAAGGCATACTGGACGATGTCGCGGACATCCTGCTCGTTATAGACCTTGGGTTTGCCGTTGGCATCCTTGTAGGCAGCGTTCAGGAGCTGGGGGTACGAGGGCCAGTCGATGGGGAACGACTGGGAGTCGTAGATGTGCCAGTGGAAGACGTTGATCTTGGAGTAGGCCAGACCGTCGATGATGCGCTTGATGTCGGCAACGGGGAAGAAGTTGCGAGCAGTGTCGAGCATGAAGCCACGGTAGGGATAGGCGGGAGCGTCGTTGACGGTGGCAGCAACGACCTGACCACTGCTGGTGACGAGCTGGGAGAGGGTCTGGAGGGCGTAGATGGCGCCGACCTGGGTGTTGGCTGTTGTGTGGGAGTGGGAGTGGGATTGTGCAGTTGATGGCAGAGACAGTGAATGGGACAGTATCAAGGTCAGTGAGTGCGACATACACATCAGGGTCGGTGAGTGCGACAGTATCAAGGTCGGTGAGTGCGACAGTATCAAGGTCGGTGAGTGCGACATACACATCATGGTGAGCGTGACATGGCCGCGGTCAAGGACGTGGACAATCAGATCGTGCATCGCAGGGCAATCGATCATGAGCCACATCTCATCCATCCTGATCAGAGTGCATCGCCGTGGCACACAACTCACCCTTGACGTTGACACCGCTCGAGCTCACATCGAGGGTGTACGACTCATCGGCACCGACGAGGTCCTTGGCGGCAAAGCCGTTGTCGTTGGCAATCGAGACGGTGACGGTCAGGGAGCTCTTGGCCTTGGAGGCAGAGAAGCGCGAGCGGGCCGAGGCCTGGAGACGGCCAAAGGCAGCAACGACGTTCTCGTTGTTCTGGCTGTTGTCAGCGAGAGTGAAGCCATGGGCGCTGATGAGGGCCTTCTTGTCGGTGACCTGGGCGGGGTAGGGCCAGAGGTAGTCGCCGGCAGCGTGGGACTGGGCAGCGACGGCACCGGCAAAGGCAAAGACGGCAGCAGCGGCTCTGAATGAGACCATTGTGAGGAGTTGAGAAGAGGGGAGGGAGAGGAGCGTCGGCAGTGAGGGATGCGGACCGTCCAAGACCGCGCGGCGATGGGGTTTATATCCTTCCAGGGAGGCGAAGGCGGCGGCAGGTGGAGCCGTCGCTGTCAGCCAGCGTTCTCACGGCGACAAGGGCCGTGGCGTGGTGGATATTGAGGTGGTCAGCTGGCCTTTGTGGAGGCAAGCAGCTTCCTCGGCGATCGACCGCTCGTCGGCGATGGCTCAGCTTGATTCAGTGTCTTGCACACGCAGCCGCTCCAGGTCGATGGAAGCCAGCTGACCGGATAACGCCTTGAAACTCAAAGCACCCCGTCGTGTGAGCCCGTGGTGGGGAGGCAGGTGGCCAGTCCACAGCCTTTGCCCGAAAACGCAAGACCGAGCCGGCGATCAAGGACCGCTGGGGGGTGCTGCAACCCGAGACAAGGGCTGGGGTCTCGCTGCCATCCTTATGCCCCTGCATCGTTGCTCGGATGACCCCTCCATACCACCGATCCTTGTTGCCGACAAGGCTGGCGCCGCTGCCATCGCAGTGGCGGGGCCAGGTCTGTGGCCTGATTCGGTCTGCCGCGCGCAAGCCCGACAGCGCCGTTGCATTCGATCTCTCGCTCGGTTTCCCACGGTCCTTCGGGCTGCTGCTGAGCGTGCTCGGGTGTTTGCGTCGCGATTTGGCGAGGAACAGATGCAGACCAGTGCTCGGGGTGGGCGTTTCTCGGCCTGCTGTGGTGTCGACGGCCGCGCTGGTGCTGGGTCGCGGCGCCTGTGCTGGGACGATCCGCCGGCCTTGTCAGCCTTGCTGCATCGCGCTCGGGGTCGTCAAGGGCCCGCTGTACCGCCGACAGCGTCTGTGCTCAGCCGCACGACTCGGGCTGCGCTGGAGCGGACCCTTCTGCACGGGCTTCGGCTCGCCATCGATCCAGCGGCATGTTGCATCGGCGAGATGACTGGCGATATGCATGCATCTCTGCAAGTGCAGCTGTAGTTGCATATGCATATCTACGTACATGGGTATGCCTATGTATCATACATCTGTACATCTGTACATAGGTGTGTGTATGTGTATGTGTATGTGTATCTGCATGTGCTGTATGCGGACTGTGTACAGGCAGGGCAGCTTGTTTCTGGCTCTGTGGGTGTGTGTGCTCACCCGACACGCGTGCGTGTGTCACCCTGTGGCGGACAGCCGCACGGCCTTGCCGTCTGTGTCACTGTCTGTGTCACTGCCGGTGTCACGGCCCCTGGTTCGCCAGCGCACACGCCTCTTGTGCCACGGGCCGTGCCACGTGTCCAGGCCCGTGCGGTCCCCGCTCAGTCACCGTGACCGGCGCACCCGGACCTGTTTCCCATTCCCATATGGGCTCTGCGCCTGCCGTTTGCACTCCATTCCTGCTCAGCGCATTCATTTGCGCTCATCCCGTATCCCTCCTTGTTCCCATCTGTTTCTTGCTGTGGTCTCGCTGTGGTCTCGCTGTGGTCTCGCCGAGATCCCGCTTCTGCCTCGCTGTGGATATGCTGGCAGTGTGCTTTGAACGTGCCCTCGATGTGTTGGAGCTGCTACCAAATGCGGCCGATAATGCGGTCGATAATGCGGTCGATATGCCCCTGGTGCTTTCCGCTGTCCCTGGCCCAGCCCGTTTGCGGCAATCTGTCCATGGCCGCCAATTCTGCCTGTTCTCCTATTTATCCAGAATATCCGCTCCGTCTGTGCCCACCAAGGACGACCCCGGCCTTCTGTCGCCACACCCGCGCTGCCGCTTGTTGCCCTTCTCTGTGGCTCTTGCTGCCATCCCAGAGCGCCTTGCCTCTCGACCCCCACCATCCTGCCTTGCATCGGCTGCGCTGCCTCGCCAGCGTGCACAGCACCATGTGGTCTGTCGCATCCTTCGTTGGCGCCGGTGCAAATTTGACGCGCACTCGAAAGCCGGCCGTGCCCTATGGAACCCCAGACCCCGCCGTCGGTCCTGTCCCCAAGCAAATTTGAAATCGCCCCTGGTCGCCCTTGCGGGTTCTGGATGGGTCACAACCGGGTCACCTGCCCCGATCGCCATTTGCACATTCCAGACAAGAGATTTGCTGCCTGATCGTCCTGGCGGGCCCTTTGGGGTGGGTCCTATCGTCATGTGTGTGAGTCAGCATGCGGTGCGCCGGGGTTCGCTGGCAACCTCCTGCGTCTGCATCCTCGACATCCCACAGCCCCCCGGGCATCTGCGTCAGCATTTGCATTTGCATTTGCATCAGCGTCAGCATCTGCGTCAGCATTCGCATTTGCATCGGCGCCGTCTCCGCGAGCCGGGTCGGGCTTGTCTCCCCCACCCAAGAGCAAGTACTCGGGCCATCGGCCGCTTGCTGCTTCATCGGGTGGTGGGTTCTTGCCAACCCGGCCCCCACCCTCCGATTGCCTGTCTTTGCTCGCAGCTCCGTCGGCTCCACATCGGCTCCATCGGCTCCATCGGCTCCATCGTCTGCCAGTCTCCAGCCGATCCGGGCTCGCCAGGGGGCGGCCTCCGTCATGATGAGCCTGCGGCTGTCATGACCCACGGGAACCAAATTTGAGTTGCCATCTCGCCACCATTTGATCCGCTTTGGCGGATCTGGCCCTGGGAGCAGACTCTGTCTGGACCAGCCCAGTCAACCCGACCCTGATCTCACCGCTCCAAGCAACAGAGCCAATCCAGAAAGAAACGGGACACCTTGGTTTTTGGTCATTGACCGAACAATTTGTTACCCACCGCTCGCCTGCCAATCTGCGAGCGCATCCAAAATGATGCTTCTGGGCCAGTCATTCATTAGGCATACAACTTGGTCGAAAAATTGCCTCGCTCCTTGAAGACACCAGCTTGGCTCAAGCCTCTCATCACCCACTCGCGCTCGATTCTGAAAAACACCCAGACCCACCGCCGGACAATCTCAAAGAGCTTGATCAGCAGCTCCAGAACGACGGCCTCCTCCAGGATCGCCAGGGTCTGGCCCGCGATCTGTTCGTGCTCGTCACCGAGCTGCCGGGTCTGCCACTCTTTGACTGTCATCGTCATCAGCGTGTACATCAGATCGACCTTGAGGCACCACGAGAACCGCACAATGACATCGAACGCCATCGCAAAGTAGTACGGCATGGCGCTCGGAAAGTGCAGCACCGGCCGGAGCAGCAGACTCGCCAGCTCCTTCTTCAGCCGACTCAGGAAGCTCCCGCTGTTGCTGTTGTGCATGCTGGCGTTGATGGCGTTGCTAGTTCCGCCAAGCTGCCAGTCGACAAAGATGTCCCAGTAGATTGAAAAGATGGTGTTGATCATGTTGAAGAACACCCTGAGCGTTCGTTTCGGATCGGATCGGATCATGGGAGATTGGCCAGCATCGAATCCGAGTCCGAGTCCGAGTCCGAGTCCGAGTCCGAGCCCGAGTTCGAATGATAGGACCGGTCCCGGGGGTCGTGTTGATGCGCCGATCGATAGATCGATAGCTCATTAGTCGAACAGTCCCGGCAGGTGGCTCATACCAAATAGGGATCCCTCGAACACACAAAAAGACAAGAAATCGAACCTGCAGTGCAATCCTACCATATGGTTACCGTGAACTTCATATTGGACTCGATCTCGACCAGTGTCGCCGCATCGTCGATATCGCTATAGCTCTTGAGACGAATCCACGCCATCGAGAACGATGCCGCAATCACGGGAATGGACGAAAGATACTTGAGGGAATTGAGCAAGTGCCGCCCACGGCTACCCCGATCGGTGGCCAGACAAAACTCGGCGACACATTGACGCAACCGGAAGAGATATGGCAGACTGATGGGGGGGGGTTGTAGAGAGCATGGCAGGTCGAGTTGTGAAACTGGGATTAGTTGGTAGTCCAAGATATGGACGTGATGCCACGGGTCGGAGGGGAGGGAGATCCCGATGGAGATGGCTCTGCTGGAGATCAGCAGCCAGCGCTGACGCAACGGATTCAACTGATACGGCCAATTGGCTCCCTCCAACGATCGGTTGCCTAGATTTCCAGCATCATCTAGGTTCTCTCAGGCCCATCCAGGCTTTGATTGACCAGGTTCGGTTCTGAGCCAGTGTCCACGGCTCTTCCAGCTGCGAACATCCGACCGTTTCGCTCTTGCCGTCCCAACTCGACTTGCCTTATGATGACCGGTCCAATCCAGTCCGATAGAGACAGACCCGGGAGCTCGCTGCTGGTGGAGGCTCCAAGCTCGGATTCTTCTGTCCACCAGAGCTCGATAAGCGCCAGGTGTAGATCCCCAAACACTCGGGCATATGAAGTCAGGATATCTGCCAGGATGACATCGCAAAAGGGTACTGCCGAAAAGATACCACCAAATACGATCCGTTTCATCGAGCTGATGCAGAAGAAAGTGACGCAGGTTAGCGGCCACCGGTGTACCTTGGCCACGATCGACGCAGCAGTCGGCGAGATGATGCTCACTGAAATAGAACAGCGACACCGGTATGCAGAAACGACTTACTTCCAGAACTTGATGCGTTCTTCGGCAAAGAGGGATATGGCAGGTATCGCCGCCAACAGGAACGAAATGCCTAGTGCTGCGATCGGAAAGAGGATGCTCCTGTCGTCTTTCCAGATCCATGAAACAAGCCCATGTCCAAACAGTGCCGCAACAAAGATGACCGTAAAGCAAGATGCCAGAGAGTAGACGTTGTGGTGGGAGGATGACACAGGTGAGTCCGCCGGCGCCAACGCAATCGACGATCCTTCGCTGCTCTTGTTTGACGACGGCATCGTGACGATACTGGAGCCGCCAGGGCTGCCGCTCTTGGTGAATGCTGCGAGGTTGATCTTGGGTGCACTTGAAGGAGCTGTGCCGAGGTCCCGGATGTCGATGGACGACCGCAGGTCCAGGCTGGAGCTGCGAGCCGAGCCGAGGGGCGGATGGGCCATCTGATCGACCTGATGCTGCTGGTAGTGCTGGACAGACTGGAAGACCGAGAGCGACGCCGGAGTATCGACGTGAAGGATATAGAGAGTGTCGATCCCGAACCGAGAGAGGATGTCGAGGTTGGAAGCCCAGCACCACAGGCCAATGTTGAGCAGAAGCAGGATGTGCAGCAAGGGCGGCAGCCCCGCCAGTCCGGCTGCCGCATAGTAGATGTTTTTGAGAATGAGGTAGCAGGCAAACGAGACGGCCAGCAGCAGCAGCACGTTGAGAATCTTGGATCGCTTCCACATATTGTCGTCAGCAGCGAGCAGGGGAATGCAAGGGGAGGCAAGAGTTGGTGGGTCGAAGGAAGGGCAAGCCGGGGAGGAATGCAAATGCAGAACGGAAGCAAGAGGCCACGGAGAGACCGAGAGTCAACGCCCCAAAGACAAGGCGGATGATGGCGGGGAAGACAGGTGCCGAGACGACGATCTAATGGCCGGAACAGGGCCGTCTATATAAGAGCTGGGTGCCGGGACGCTGAATCCGTGATGGCGATGGATGGCGACAGGAGGTGGTTGGATCGCCGCTGCTGCTGCCGCAAAGAAAAAGGCACGGCCGACGGCGAGCGGGATGAGGGACCGACAAAGAGTGCTGCCGAGAAGACGACCCGAGTCGAGACAGAGCGACGGATTGACAGGACGGCCAGCTTGCCCCAGGCGACGAAGCGCTGCCCTCGACGGACAGGAGACGGCCGAAACATCGGGGCAGAAGCAGCGGGTTTGGCTTTGGCTTTGGCTGTGGGCCTCGGATCGGCGCTGTTTGTGTGGCCAGCGTCGCAGAAGGCCGAATCGGGCGCTTGTGCTCAGGGCCTTGCCGAGGGGATGGCGCGGCTCGATCTGGCTGGTCTGGATATCACTATCAATTTTTTCCGACTCCCTCGCGGCTGTTCATCTCGGTCACCTGAAAGTCACGTTGGATGTGGTGCAGCAAAAGTTGGAATCCGGCCATGGTCCGTTGAAGGCATTTGATATCACCTTGAGCCGATTGACGGTGGTGGTGGGCAATTGGTGTGGAGGAATGACCAATTGTATCATTGTTGGAAGCTCCACTCCGATTGCGAACAAGAACCACCACCATCTGAATCTCTCTGGTTGGAAACCTAGTCAAGCGTGGCTGTGTGTCAGCGAGATGACATGATCGTTTGGCTATCAGGCAAGACTCACCTTGACAAGATGTCTTCCCACGACTGATTGAGCGAGCGATGCGTTTCTGGATCTGAATCAAGGACGCCACTGCGCAGTATCTCTGCCAGCCCAAAATGCGCTGGTTTTGAGGAGATTCTTTCTTCCCCAAGGGCAGAACTGTCATGAACCGCGTTCCCACGCCCGGTGGATGGTTTCATGGGCGCCCCAACCCGTGTCCTGTTTTCTTGATGTGCAATGTTGGGTAAGGCACTGACATGAAACCTCCCGGCGGGCGAGGGAAACGTTCGGATCTAATTTCCCCCCGTCGCAGATAACTAATCTCCCTTGTAGTGGAAGAAAAATCTGCGGCGAACAAGGACGGCGTTTAGAGATATAAACGAGGTGCTGTGGCCTCAGAACCAGCACCTCACCTTGCCTCTTGTATCCTGCCCTTAGCCTATTGAATACACTCCCCTTCGTCCTACGACCGTCCGTTCGACTACCATCAGCTGTCTGGTGCCAAAGTCCAGCTCCGTTCCTGACAAGAACCAGCCATCGCTGCTATTTTCTCGCCAGATGGCTCCCAAGCGAAAGACACCCCCCGATCCCGACCCGGGATCACCCAGTGACTCTCCTGTGGCCAAGAAACCCGTCATCAAATCGTGTCGTGCCTGTGGCCTGACCAACCATGTTAGGCCCTTTACCAAGAAGTGCACAGCCAGAATCGACAGCAGCCCTGCCTCGGTCGCTGAAATGGTCAGCCAAGCACCCAAGGTCCCTGTATGTGCCACGTGCAAGCAAGAGGGTCATGCCAGAAGCAACACCCCAAAGTGCCGTTTCTATAACCCACTCTGGAGCTCTACCCTGCCTGGCTGTGGCCCAACGAGCAAGTCAAGGCCGATTACTCGATCATCAAGTGCACCCTCGATGCCATCATCAAGAACGACACCTTGCACGACAAGATCGAGGAGACTGTCCGGGCCATGACACACGTGCAGTACGAAGCATCTCGTCTCCTGGAGCTGCATCTCAGGCGGTGCTTGGACGAGGGCATCACCCTCCCCACCGTGTCGTCGAGTGAACCCGCGTTTGTTCGAAAGTGCTTCAATATGGTGCAGACAGGAACAGTGGGTGCCAGGACAAACACCCCAAAAGATGACAGGCACATCCTCGACACATATGAGATGTACCGAAGTACATGGGGAAAGTCGTGTGTCCTGCCTCCAGTGTCCCTCCCGAAGGGTACTGGCTCGCAGGTTCTCGCATTGGCTGTCAAGACCTATGCTGTCAACTGCGAGACCCACATCGTGGATCGATACTGGTCTCTCCTCCGTCGATACTGCAATTTGGTCCTGGTTGCTCCCAAGGATGTGAAACGTCATACACACGTCGATGAGTGTATGAAGCTGATGGAGAATCCCCTCTCCAAGACACTCCTCGGTGATCTGAGGAAATCCTTCGCCCACCATGCCGACCAGTTGTATGAGTTTCGGTACGAAAGCCACCAGGACCTGTATCGAGTTGTATCGAAACTGGCCAGTGAAGTCTCTCGGCTGACCCACCTGAAGGAGGCCCTCTTCATGGTGGTCTTTCAGAAGATGATCATTCCCAGGCTCGCGAGGGTGACCGATGTTCTAAAAGGAGAGCGTGGGCGACTGAACGAGGAGATGTGCCAACCCATCCACCACATCGGGGCTGACAGACTCAAAGATCTCCAGACCCAGCACGAGGAGGTGTGCAAGCAGATCGCTGTGAACATGAAACGGATCAAGCGCATCACCGACCGGCTTGCCCAGACCAAGAAGCGCCTCAACATCCCTCGAGCACAGTGTACCTTGGTCCCGCTCTGCGATGCCAGAGCCAAGTACATCAAGCTCGACACCAAAGCACTGTGGGAAATCCTTGGATACCAGACTGGCACTGGTCTCAAGTGGGACGACCTGAAGACCAAGGTCAATGGCACCACAAAGCAAGAGACCTTCTGGTAGACCAACTTCAAGCTGGAGTCGAGACTCTTTGGTGCCAGGGAGGAAGGCAAGCAGCTCTTTGGTTGCGAGATCACCGATGGGGTCGGGTGCTCGATCACCACACTCAAATACAAGATCCTGGAGAAGGATCCTGATGTCAAGCCAGAACCCGTGGACAAGACACCCAAGCTCACTCCCGAGCAGAGGATCCAGGCCAGAGTCGGTCCCATCGACGACTCTCGGACCACATGGATTGGGATCGACCCTGGTGTGGGATCGATCTTCGCCGCTGTCATTCGAGCACCCGGTCAACCATCCATCCAGGAGCAAGACGGTGTCAAGGTGACCAAGGCACAGCGCGCCAACGAGAAGATCGTGTCGTTCTCCAACAAGGAGTACCAGCATCGATGTGGCACCACCCAGGCGACCAAGTGGATCCAGAGCACCCACAAGATCCTTGGTCTGCAGGAATGGATGAGCACCACACCAAGTCCCAAGATCCCTGGGTTGGCTTCCTTCCTGCAATACATTCGCCATGTGTTCGATGGAGACATGCTGGACAAACAGCTGTACTTCAGCCTGACCCGGCGACGGCGATTCAAGCGACTCGATCTCCACAGCAAGCGACAGCGCACCGTCCACGAGATGTGCAAGCAAGTCATCGACCAGGCACCGAAGGAGACCGAAGTGGTGATTGCCTTTGGGAATGCATCCTGGAAACAGGGGAAGGGATATGCCTCCAGTCCCAGGAGACTCAGGTTCGTCAAATACTTTGAGCAATTCCACCATCACCAGAGACGCCCACCAGACCGATCCGTCTCCAAGATCCATGTGTGCTCGGTGAACGAGTTTAACACATCCCAGGTGTGCTCACACTGCCGGGAAGCCAAGCGACTTGAGAAGGTCGAGCATCTTGATATCGAGAAACCACACTTTGTCCGGAGCTGTGCAAGCTGCCATACGCTGTGGGATCGAGACATCAATGCGCCAGGAATATGATCTCGGTATGCCAGTCGATCATCGCCACAGGAGATCGACCGGGTGTATTCAAGACTGTGCTTCCCAAACCAACCAAAACCACTCGATTGCCAACGAAGTCAGGAGTGCAATGCCATGGCCTGCCCACTGGGCCTACAAGTCAGTCAGCGGGCTTCAGAAGCCAGAAAGTGACTGTCCCGTTTCTTTATGGATTGACTGTAAGTATCTCGCACTGTTCCTTGAGTATTTCGACAGTGGATGCCGGGTCGCCCATATTCTGGGCAGTCCACTTCGGGGTTGCCATCCCTCTTGGGATGGTCGATGGGAGGTGGTTGACTCCCTTGTGCAAAGTGTGTGTGTGCAAAGTGTGTGTGTGTGTGACGGCGAGAGGCTTCTCGCCTTCCCTCGGGGGTCTCTCGCCAGAGACTGCTCTTCTCGCCGACCGAGGTGGCTCCGAGAGCGCGTTTTATCGTTCTCGCTCATTTTATTAACAAGAACTTTTTTCATAGTGTACGGTGCGACCGCTGGGAGCCTTGGGATCTGTTCTGCTTGGTGGGACTGGCCATTGGCTGAGCCATCGCTCCATTCCGGCCATTGGACTGGCCCTGGTCGCTGCCCGTTTCGCTCGGCACCAAAGCAGCGTCGGTCTGCGCCTCTGCCAAGAAGCGGCCGTTCTGCTCTCTTGGACCCGACCCTTGCCTGGTCGCCGTCCATCTCCGTCGTCCTTCCGTTTCGCCGTCTTGCCATCCTTCTTGGGTCGCTCTCGCCATCCCGTCGCTCTACTCTCTCGCCTCCACGGCCCAAACCCGTCGCCATGTTCCCGTCCCCCGCCTCCGACCTGTTCTTCCACAACTTTGACGTTCACCAGGCCATCCTGAACCTGCTCTCGTCCGAAGACGCTCTTTCGCTCTGCACCGTCGTCCCCATCCTGCGGTTCAAAGCCCCGCACTTTGTCCACCGGGCCATCAGCAACAAGCGGGTGAAGAAGGGAATCGCCACCAAGAACGTCGAGCTGATTTGCTCTTCCCTGAACAGCTCTGACATTACATCCCTCAATGCCACAAGGCTCTTCCGAGGTGCGAGTGGAGGCCGCTGAAGCACATGTCCCGCAAATGAATAGCGATGGATGTGCGGGGCTGCTCCCAGCCTGCTTTCGGCCGCATCGGGCTGTCGCGGGTATAACAAATACCGACCATGTTTCATGATTGTGTCCGCCGCCGCAGCCCGTATCCCCTTCATGACGTTCATCAACACCCTCAAACCCAACCAGAAGGTGACGATGCTTTGCTTGGACGGTGAGCCATCTGCCAACACCTGCGTCGTCGACTCCCCAGTGTCGATTCCCCAGTGTCGAATTGTCAAACCATGTCCTTGCTTGCACCTGATGGACGTCTGTCGATCCATATGCCGCTCTCCCCTTCCAGGAAACACCATCGCTGCCGGTGGCGCTCGTGCCATCGCCGAGCTGCTCGAAGTCAACTCGACAATCAAGTACCTCGAGCTCAGAGGTGGGCAGCGTCGCTGCATCCCAGGCGGCCCTGATTTACTTTGACATCTGCTGAGAACCATGCGGCTCACAGTCCCATATTTCCTCGACCAGCCAACGGAATCGAGCCCGAAGCCGCTGCATTCCTGGCCGAGGGACTGGTCCGCACCAAAACACTCTCGTTTCTCGATCTAACAAGTGGGGGACCGTCAGGCATCTTGCCTGCTTCCGTTGCTGCTCAGCTCGACTCGGCCCTATTGGGAGTTGCTGTCATCACGCCGCTCAGTCCTTCATGTCCTTGTTAGCCGCTGCGTTCTGAGCATCTGTCCTGCACCACACAGCCAATTTCCTCGGGCCCCAGGGAGTCGCCAGTCTCTCGCAGGCCCTCTGCCTCAACACCTCCATCCGGTCCTTGGTCTTGTCAGGTATCGACTCTGGCCTCCCCGTGGCAAAGTCTGGCTGACCTGCATTCATCGTTAATCGACGACTCGCTCACTTGCCTCGACAAGATGTTTGCATGGGCGCCGACGGCGCACAGGCCTTGGCTCAACCGCTCCGTCAGTCGAAAACATTGAGGGTGCTCAAGATTCGAGGTATGGGCCGTACGAAAGCCCGTCTCCAGAACCGCCATCAGCCATAGGCATGCCAAGCTCCCACTGACACTGACACTGACACTGACACTGACACTGACACTGACACTGACACTGACACCCGCATACGCATACGCACCCACATGTCGGCGACAGACAATCGAATCGGGCCGGACGGAGCTATCGCGTTGGCGCGAGCTCTAGAAACCAACAGCCACCTTGAAGTCCTCGATTTGCAGCGTGCGTTTCTCACTCATTGTGCCTCAGAGCGCTGCAACTCTCACTGCGCCTCCAAGGCCATGCGGACTCACTCATTGCGACTCCTATCATTTTTCATCTAGGCAACGGTATCATGAATGAAGGCGCCGTGGCCATAGCAAATGCTCTCGAAGTCAACCAGACGCTGAAGAATCTCAATCTTCGAAGTCTGTAGCTGCCATCTTTTGCAGCGTCTGCTTTTGGATCGATCTCTTGTGCAGATTTATCCGTCGTTCTGTCGGTGTACCACAGCCTCCACAGACCAATCCCTAATGTCACTCGTGGCGCTCACTCCTGTATATCTTTGTACAGACAATCGGCTCGGCTGGATCTCGGCCGAGGCATTTGGACAGACTCTCAAAGTCAATAGCACTCTGCGTGTCCTGGGCTTGGATGGTATGGCAGCTACACTCGGAGCCGATGCCAACTTTGCCTCGCTTTTCTTGAATTGAACTCATCACTCACTCACTCAACCCCATAGATAACATGATCAAGGACCAAGGTGTGTCGATTCTTGCCGATGGATTGCGCCTCAACACTGCCCTACAGAAGCTGGATCTCAACAGTAAGCACCTCCCCCTCCCATCACCCTGAGTATGCACGGTCTCGGCCGGATACTGTTCCGGTCTCTGACTACGAGCAATCGACCCGATTCCCCTCCTCCAACTTTCGCGGCTGCTCTCAACCAAACGCCACGACGGCAGCCTCAAGAATGTCAAGTGTGGGTGCAATGTCCTTGTTGAGTGCCCTGGACTCCAACCAGACCTTGAGGAGACTCGATTTGACAGGTGCGTGACCTTGACGAGCACCTTGGATATGCCGCAGCGGCACAATAGAGTGCTTGTCTTATCCACGTTTCACGGACTATCTTCCATAACAACCCTCTGCTGAACATCTCCAACTCTTTTTGTCAACCACAACACCATCGCCCGTGTTGCTATCACCATCGCTCTCAACGCAAACACTCTCGTCACCACCCAGGCAACTCGGACATCCAACGAGACATTGTCCCCAGCGTCGATCGTCACTCGGCTCGCGTCGAGATTTTTTTGGATCGCAATTTGACGGCAGACTAATCCATTGTCCGCAAGGCGATAGATATTCGCTGTGTACCGCTGTCATATAGGAAATCGAGCGCCTCTAGTTGCAAACGGATTCACTTGGGCGAGAGCGACAAAATAAAGTAGCACATGCATCACCCCTTGCTCTCAAGCAGACACTCAAGCAGGCTCTTGCGATTATCCCAGAGTATGTGATGCTTAGTACTTGAGCACCACCGCTGTTTCCTCGGTGAAGAAGCGGATCGAGTAGTTGTAGCCCTCACGGCCGATCCCGCTCATCTTGACGCCACCAAAAGGCATATGGAGATCACGGACCATCCAGCAGTTGACCCATACCGTCCCAACCTGTTCGTTAGAGCAAGAGGTGTCAGTCAAATGCTCTGATCATGCAGTCTGGATCAACTCTGAACAATTCTGAAACCGGAAGCTCGCTCGACAAACTCTGCACCAGTAAGTGCTCCAGGACAAATATTGCTCGCATGTTTAGTTCGAGGAACCGCTCTCAACCAAAGCAACAAAACGTCATCACAGATCACAGATCACAGATCCGAGATCCGAGATCCGAGACCGATAGCCGAGATCGACTGCCAAGGTCTTACATTCAACTGATGCGCGACCCGCTGGGCCCTGCGTCCGTTCTCGGTCCAAACCGAGGCCGAGAGGCCGTAGATGGTTCCGTTGGCAAACTCCACAGCCTGTTCTTCGCCTTCGAATGGAACCAGTGTCACAACGGGCCCAAAGATCTCTTGCTGACAGCATGTCGAGCTTGGACTGAGCCTAATGATCAGAGACAGGCGCACTTGTAAGGCACCGCCACGGTTGCCTACCCTCCTCACGCTTTGTCAAGGGCCCTCCAACTCCGTACTTGAATGCCATAGGTCGCCGCTCCGATATCCAGAACGGCGAGCGCTCTTACTCTGTGATGATCGTAGGCTCCATCCAATATCCATCCTCAAACTTGGGCATCTGGACACGTTGACCGCCAGTCCAGATCTTACCGCCTTCCTTGCGGGCAATATCGACATATCGAAGCACGTTGTTGAGGTGCTGGAGACTGACCAGAGCGCCAAGATCGGTGCTTGGATCGCCCGGATCGCCCATGCGCAATTGCTTGGCTTTTTCAATGAAGGCCGACAGGAACTTTGGAAAGATAGTCGATTCAACAAAGATGCGGCTGCCGCCTGGAGCACATGCCCAAGTCCACGAGAGGTTAGTGGGTGCGAACGCCTCCCTCCGACTGGAATAGTGTCAGGTTCCCTCCACCCATGCCAGGATCTTTGTCGACCAGGCTGTCATCAGGGATCGAATTGGTCTCTGTGACCACCGACGGGAGACTCACATAGACAGATCTCGCCTTGGTTCGTGAATGCCGCCTGGACGCTCCCTGCGATGGCTTCCTCGAAACTGCAGTCCGCAAACACGATATTGGCATTCTTGCCACCTGTATCGCAAGGCAAGATCAGTGGCATCCGTAAGTTAGCTATCCCGTTGAACGGCCGGCACTCGAACAGTCCCTCGACAAGTGTATACCAGCGCTCCACACTTGAAATGCTCGCTGGTCATGCTGGTCGATGCTCGCGACTGCTTGCATACCCAATTCCAATGAAGTCTTCTTGAACTTTGGGACACAGCTGCGGTAAATCGACTCGCCGGTGGCGGTACCCCCAGTAAATGAAATAACAGGCACATTGGGATGCTGCACCAGCGCTGCGCCAGCGGGCTGGCCCCTTCCAAAGATGATATTGACCACGCCTGCGGAGGACACAGTGGCCCCCCCCGCTTTGGTTAGCATCCGTAAAGCGCGAAGCGTCAATGTGTAAATGTGGGCTGAACTGCAGAATAAACCTTCACAATGACACACAACTCAGACACATTCGTCCCGATATTTCGCAAACCGGAGCGATAGATTGCAGCGAAACACATGCCTGGCGGGAAGCCGGCTTCAACAACGAGCGAGCATAGCATGAAAGCTGTCACGGACGTAAACTCGCTGGGCTTGGCCACAACTGTGCATCCAGCAGCCAGTGCAGGTCTGAGGGGCAGAATCGTTGGAGACGGGACCGATTGGGGGCGTGAGAGAGACGGAAGTGGAATGGAAATGCATTAGCGATCGCAACTACAGCACCGAACAGCAGCTGGACCGGCTCGTTCGCACGCTGTACTCGCTCACACATTATACTGGCTGGCTAGCTGCCATCACGCTCGACGCATACGCTAATTTCCAGGTAAGTAGATAAAGAGGAAGATTCCAGGGTGCGATCAGAGCTGCCTGCGGTGCGAGTCAGGAGAAGATGTCAGCGGCGTTGCCCCGCAAGCAGAACACTTCAGAGCACCGACTTGATTTGCCGGGCCCGAACGCATACCACTCCACACGGCTTGCGATGCACGTAGTTGAAAGCCACGCCGTCCAACTCGGTGGCTTTTTCCTCCAGGTGATTGATGTTCTCCGCAAAGAAGCGAAAGTTCAAAACGGCCCTGGACGCCAAGGGAGCACCAGGTGAGACCAGATGAAGGAATGTCAGAAAGGATGGGAGACTGAAGTCGGCTTGCGAGTCACTGAGGCCGGGGTCAGGGGTACATATAACCTCGGGATGTCGATGCGCTTCGCAAGCGAGACGGGTTTGCCCTGGTCCTGCGACTCGGCCTGAGCAAACTCATCGAGTCTGGCCTCGAGAAGATCGGCAAGTCGGCTCAAGCATTTTGACCGGAACTGTCGCGTGGCCTTGGACCAGGCTGGGAATGCCTTTGCTATTGGAAAAAGCAGGAAATGCGTTGGCCAGCTGCCCCAGGGGCGCCAGGGGGAGCAACGGCGCTTGGGACAACCCAGGCGCGGACAAATCTCCGAGGCAAAGCATTGCTCCCAAATCGACAAGGCCAGGTTAGCTCACATGCACTTTCGACAGCAGCATTGACATCGGCTTCGGTGGAGTCTGGAACATGGGCATGCACCTGCGATGAAATTGCGTCGTCAGAGTCCGCAGCCAAATGCTCGGCCGAGTTTCGCTTCAGTCTCGCGGGACCTCCACATACCTCGCCAGTCGCCGGAGCAAAGCTATCAAGATACCGGCCGTCGACGGGGCCATGGAATTCACCGTTGTAAAAGTTGCGGATTTCGATCATGATATCCTTCCGTCTGAACTAGTCTTGGGCAATCGAGCAGGCAGAGTCTTGGAAGAGGTGGCTACCCAGACCCCGGATGTGTCTGTGGGCAGCGCCGGCGGTTGGTGGACAATGACTCGGATCAAAACACTGGAATGGATACCGATGCCTACTGGCGATCCATTTTCCACCACCTCGAAGCTCTGGTGGATCATTTCGTTGGTGGAGCCACCCGCCACTCAGCGCCAATCTATCTTTGAGGCGAGGGGATACTCCGCAACCTCGTCATGCCTCTGTCGAGGAAGGGTATTGATGAAAACAGTGATGAAGCTGTAGAGGAATAGCAGTTGAATGGACGATTGAATGAATGAACGATTGAATGAATGGATATATTGGAGCGAAACTGTTTGGAGCACCTGAGAAGCGCCTCAAGCGACAGGAGCTCAACACACCGTTCCGGCTTCCATGAAGACACTCCTGGTATATTGGATGATACAATCGCAAAAGGGGACTTTGGATATCGAAAGATGCAATTTGACACAGGAACAAGTATTGAATGAATCGGCAGGGTATAATTAGAGTGATAGAGATGCATTTTGACTGTCCAGGTCGCAGCTGGCACCGACGAGCAGGCTAACAAACACCATGATGTACGCCATTAGTTCGTGGGTGACAATGTTGCGTCCTCCGCGCATGTGAGGGTTCATAGCTTCGCCAAAGGCCCACAGAGCCAGAGCCGAAAATTCATAGACGTTCTGTGGCATCGATTGTCCCGCACGATGTAATAAGATCGAGGACAGCGCGGTGGATGGTCGTGGATGGTGTTAGTGCGGGTGCGTGAGCGTGGTATCGATCGTGCGCGGCTGTCGCAAGACAAAATGGAACATTCTGTAACAGTTGCGACGGCGAGTGGCTGGCAGAGAACGATCCGTTACCTGGTAGAACTTGTAGGTGGTGAAGAAGGCAAAGTAGACAATGATGCCGGCAATGATCCAGCAGATGATGCAATAGATGATTTCGTAAATGGACCAATACTCGTAGTCCTTTTGAATTGATCGGCTGTATACATCGAGAAACGGCTGTGCTTCAAGGTCGTTCTGAGTTGCCGGAGTTGCCGGGGTTTCCTTGGACCTTGTTGGCCTCAGGAATTTGGCGAGAGTGCGGCTCAGCAAATCGCTGAAAGCAGTATTCGTCGATTGGCACGGTTCAGGATCGCTGCTGACTTTCACGGCGAGGGAATGCTTTTCTTCGAAATAGTAGAAATCCTTGAGCTTCGCGCGAACCCACTTGGGGGCAATCATTGCACAGCCAACAAAGACGGTGAAGAACGCAATGACGCCGCCGATCGCTTGGGGGAGCCAGAACTTGAAGTCCGCAGTTTGACACACGTAGGTGTAGCCGATCGTGGGGTGCTTTTTCATGGGTAGAAACCACACACCGATGACCACGAAGAGCTCGATCGCCGAGAGGAGGATCATCTGGAGGCAGATACTCCAGGTCGGCCGGATCTTGATCAGGGCCCACCATTCGTCGCGCCCACTTCCAACAGAGTATACCTCTGCTTCCTCGATAAAGTGGTCAGCACAGGGTGCGCTCTTCGGGAAGAAACCGGCTCGGACAAGCAGCAGGCGCGAGGTGCTCATGGCAACAAGCGGGCCCATTCCGAGGACCACGGTGAGAACGACAGCGATGGTGATTTCGATGAGTGACTTGAGGGCGCCGTGATACCACTTGTAAGTTTTCTTGATTGAAAACGGACCTGCGTCGCCGTTGTGTTCGGCGTGGGCGCTCTTGAGATCGTTGAGGGTATCGCGGACGGCGAGCGAGTTCAAGAGATTGGAGAGCGAGTCGCGGCTGTACCCTGCAACGATAAAGTGGCGCTTACTCTCCGACTTGGCAGCGTCGGCAGGGTCAGACTTGGCAGCGGCCAGGTCGAGGGTCGTGAGGGTGTGCTTGGCCGCCTTGTAGGCGGTATAGTGGCGAAGGAGGTCGCTGGCAAAGTTGGCCGTGTCGCACTGCTCCACGGCGCTGACCAAGCGCCTATTCTGGTCGTCATCCAGGCCCGCGTTTGCGGCCAACTTTTCACTTGGCACGATACAGCGCAATAGGATACGCTTGAAGGAATGATCTTTGGGCTTTTCAGTCGAAGTCGAAATCGAAGCAGAAGTCGAAGCACAAGTCGAAGCACAAGTCGAAGTCTCTGTGTTCTGGAGTATCCGAATGGAATCAATGAGCGGAGACAGGGCACGCCTGTTGGCTCTCCAGACGAGGTCGGGCTCCGAGGTGGGCTTTTGGGCTGAGCCATCCCAGGCACAGAGGTCTTTGACAAGGCGCCGGCCCCAAACATCGATGGGATGCTTGTCACTATCGCTGGGACGTTTGTCACTATCGCTGGTAGACTCGCACTTATCCAGGGCATGCTTCCAAAGACCCTCGACCAAATCGATGAGCTCCCGGCGAGTCAGCTGCTTGATGCCTTCCTTGTGTTTGCAGATCATGTATGGATTGGCGTTGTTCAGAGTCAGTTCATTCAGGTAAGCATCGGCAGATGCTTTGAGCGAGTCGTCGACCCCGGTGTATTCGCCGACGTTGACACTCGTGTGTTCGCCATCGTCGGGCTGATTATTGAGACTATCACAAGGAGTAGCGGAGCCTCGGGCATCGCCCAAAGTTGTGGGGGTAGAGGCGGCTGCTTCTCGCTTGGCTGGCGTGACGGAGGTGATCATGCCAAAGGTGGCGTGCGCCCACCTTCCCATCTGCTCTTCGGCCTCCGCTAAATGTCTTGGCTCTGATGCGGCGGATACAGAGAAGGAGGAGGGGTCAGTCATAAGCCCACAAGCACATACCCACAGGCACAAACCCACAAGCACATACCCACAAGCTCAAACTCACAGGCACGAGAGCCTCAGCCACCGGGGCGACAAGACAGAGCGGACTTACCAGCGCAGGATAGGCTGGCCGGGTTCGGAATACATTCGGGTGGCTGTTGGTCGTGGATGCTGCAGAGGATACCACACTCGTTCAGCCATCCGAGAACAGTAAACTTATCGTATTCGGAGAGCCCACGATGGAAGATGCCGCAGTCAGCCGAAGGGATAGTTTTCTTGACTAGCCAAAGATGGTAGCCAAAGATGCTGATGGCGACCGAGAGCTGATTCTCGGCGAGGGCGCCTCCCTTGAAACCCTTTTGCAGGGCAGCAATGAGGACACCGATGGCAATTAGAGCTCCGTTGTCTCCCGTAGACATGGGTAGATAAGGAGCAGATGCAGAGAAGAAAGTGCTGTGTGGAGATGGCAGGGGGAAGGGCAGGAAGGGTGGGTATATATGCAAACGAGAAAGGGGCGGGTCAGGAGCGCACCCCACCGTGAAGTAAGGGTATCAAGGTGACGCAGCCCATCATTTGGAGTTTGGCACGATTCTCCCAGGCAAATTTGCCACATCGTGCTTTCTCGATGCTTTGCGCCACCGGCTCATCCGAAATAGGGAAGGCCAAGATCCCCAAAGCTCGTCGTGGATATCCAGCGCCTCCAATCGCCGTGGCCGCCACCATCGCTTCTCCAGCGGAGACGGGGCAGTTTCGGAGAACGAGGGGAGGCGTCGCGAGCTGCGGTGTTCCATGGCACAGGCGACGCGACCTAACGTCCCAAGATACCGATCACATGCTGCGAACTCGGGATCAGACGCCGGGCAAAAGTCGTCTGTGGTTTGCAATCCAAGATGTATTGCCGTCGCTGCCGTGCCATGTGCGCAACATGGCATCGCCACACCATGTCTCCGAGCACAATCAGTCAGAGTTCTCGACAATGCGGGTCAAGTGGGCCTCGATTTCGTCTTCTGACAGCGCGCGGAAGTTAGTTTCATCGGCCGTGACAATTCCAACCTCGATGTCCGCCGGTTTGAAGTCGATCGAGAGGGTCGTGGAGAGCGTTGTGATGGCAAGCTATGACAGGCGAGCAAACATGGGTTGAGACGTGGTCCAAAGCCAGTGCCATAGCCTGGGCCGGCTGGGTATCGATGTGGCCGAGGGCGACAGGTACGGCGCGGATACCCTGCAAAAAATCTGGTCGGCTGCGCGGGGGATGCTGAGACAGCGGCCGCGATGAGCCCCGTCCTAGTGCCGTCACAGAAGCGCATGGGGATAGACGGAATCTCTAACCTCGATGGTCTCCTCGAATGAGAGCTCGGGATCCTTTCTCAGCTTCTTCTCGAGGTGGTTCAGAGCCTCTTGGTGCTTGGCGCCGGCACTCGTGGCCTTGTATCCGACGTAGTAGCTATTATATGCCGGGAGCGCCAGCGTCAGCGATGATGCGGGTGTCGCTTGTGCAGCAAATCCAGTGCCCAAATGATTCAGCGGCAGAAATACAGTCGGTTGGCGGACTTGTTCTTACCCGGCGGGATCACATTTGAACAGCTGTGGTCCGCGCTCGTCGTCGTATCCGATCAGCATCATAGCTATCGACAAAGGATAGCAAGGGCAGAATGGATCAGATATGGTCGTCATCGGTCCCCGGGCCTCGCCCCGGTCTCAAGGACAGAGAAACATATCGGCGACGTGAGAAGCGATCAGGGACGTACACACGCCAAGAGGTCTTGTTGCCGCCTGCTGGGTGTGGACCTGGTTGATGTTGGCCATACGCTTGGCCAGCTGGTCTGCCGGGATCTCGTAGCCAAACTTGTAGCGCCATTCGGCAGCCTCGAATCGAGCCCGGGTGACTTGGGCTCTAGCATCGGCTGTTGGGGTTCAGGGAGACCCGGACGGTCACCATTTGAGATAAGCATATCAGGGGCCATCCAAGTCGAGCGGTGGTGTTGGAATTGATGGGTCCGAAGAAGGCATCCGGACAAGGCGCCGATCGGGAAAGGGGTCTGTGAGCATGACGGACGATATTTTGTCGGGTGGGGCTGCTGATTGTCGAGGACTCTGCTGTGCTATCCAGTCCAGCGGATCCCGCAGCCGCTCTCGCATTGCCCGCTACCGAGTCGTACCGATCAAGCCTGTCATGACGCAGCCAATCTTGGGGGTAAGCTGAAAGACATGGGTGATTGTCGAGGGATCCAGCAACTTGTCCTGGAAGGTCCAAAGCCAGAGGGAGCGATCGACCCCGGCCACAGCGGAGGACCGCGAGGAAAACGAGTTTAGGCATCTGCACACACTGCCCACAGCAATGCACAACAGGTAACAGCCGCAAAGCATACGGACGGGCAGACAGAAGCGCGCTGTTCTGCGGATGTGCCCGGCGACGGGTTCCCAGTCCACGTCGTCTTAGCGGTGATATGCTCCAACGGCGAGGCCAAGTGTTCTGCAGACATTGCTCGTCACCCCAGCGCTAGCAACGTACAGGGACTTTCTTTTGAGTGACGACAACCGCCGAGTCCTTGCCTCGGACTCCAACCGCGGTGATTCCGGCGTTTGTGATGGCTTTGAAGGCATATTCGACTTGGTACAGACGGCCTTCTGGCGAGAAGATCGTGATGTGTCGATCGTATCCAGCTGCATCAAAGTAACAGTAGCGTCAAGAAGCGAAGTTGCCACGTCTTGATGCTCAGCGGAATGTCGACGCAACGAGGAACGCAAACGCAGCCGTCCGCCCGATCGCGAGGCCACAGCCCCGCGGAGGCGGCAGCACATGGATGGCTGGGTCGCAATGCAGATATCCCGACGGCCGCCCCAGGAAGCGGCGTGATCGTCGCCATCCAGCCGGCCCCGCAGCCCACAATGCGACGTACCACCGGATCCTCTGCTCATGATGTATCGGCGGCGACGGGGACTGGGGCTCTCCGGGACAGGGAAGGCAGAAGCGGATGCAACGGATGCAGCGGATGCAGCGGATGCAGCGGATGCAGCGGATGCAGCGGATGCACAGCGGATGCAATAGCGGTGTCGAAGGCAGGATGGGCGACGGAGCAGGGCCAGCCAACCCGGCCGGCTATATCCAGCGGCTGCGTGTGTGTGTGCGTGACCTCATGGCGCCAGGGGCGGCGACGACCAGGGTGCCGCCACGTGCTGCTCGCGTGGCTGCGGCGCCGGCCAGGTGATCTGCACGGCGTCGCCCAAACTTTTTTTTCGCAACTCAGACAGCGTTACACAGGCGAAATTTTTTTTGGAGAGACGACCGCGAGACGGCCGCGAGGGCGAGGGCGCAGCCGAGACGCGATCGGCGCGGCTGCGCACGCTGTTTGTGTGCGCGCGGACACAGCGCACATGGGCCGGCGAGGCGCAGAGCGCTCCTCGCTGGCGGTCTCTGGTGTGCGGCGGTCCTGGTCGCTTTTCTGCCTCTTCCCAGGCTGCTCCAACCTGCCCAGGCTCGCCCAAATCCTCCCTCCCGGGTCCGTCTGCACAAGCTTGCTCGAGGTGTTGGCCTTGCCGTCTGATCAATAACGTCGCCCAGAGGCCTGTCAGCACATCTCCTCCTTGGTCCCCTTTCGTTCTGTCCCGAATCCGCCCTCCTGCCGTTCGCTGGTCACTTCCGTTGTCCTCTTGAACCCCACCCGCCACTCCTCATACGCCAACATGGACCCAGCTGCCCTCTATCAAATCTTTGGCGCCTCTTTCTCGTCCGATGCCAACGTCCGCATGCAGGCCGAGTTGGAGCTTCACAAGGTAAACCCAGCACTTCGGCAAGGAGCATTGGCCCGCCAGCACCGCAATCTGGTACAGCAATCTCGGTGGAAGCCCACGGCAGATGCGAAGGCCACAGCCGCAAGCACATACCGTCCTGGTCACTGCGTCTCAGCAAGAGGCTTTCGGCCGTGGCCAGAGTGGCTTGGCTATTCCATTCAGCATTGGCTCGCGCCGTCGACCTTGGGTCGAATCATCGGGCTCTCGATAACCGGTCATGGGAACTGCGTGTCCTAACCAAACATGATCCGAGACGGCCTCGCAAAATGCACAGGCTGCCGTTGTCGAAGCAGATGTGTCCATGCTTGGGTGGTCTTGTGCTCGGTGCTAACAAAGTGTGCATGTTGCTTCGATGCTGCAGCTTGAAGAAAACGATGGCTTCGTTTCCAGCCTCCTGCAAATCATCGGCACTCCAGCTTCAGAGCAGGCCGTTCGCCAGGCTGGTGGGTAGTCTGCTGACGATCGTATCGGCCCTTCGATGTTGTTTTTGCGGCCTTACAGCTCACACGGTGTCTCTATTCCGTCAGCCGCCATTTTCTTCAAGAACCGCATCCAGAAGGGATGGGAGCCTGCCCGTGACAAGGCCATCGGCGAAGCCGACCGTGCCATCGTGCGCCAGTCCATTGTCGAGGCCCTCTTGATTTCACCCGAAACCATCCGGTAATGATCTTTTCCCGGCAGCTGTTTCTGAAATCAGGCCCTGGCCAGAAAACATATTGGCGACTGCCGTGCTCTGTTTCCGGTGGCGCGCCTTCTGTCGACGGTTCCTGGCAGATCGCCATGCTGTGATTGTGGACCCCATGGAATATGGCTTGGTCGCTCGTACATGCCGTTGCCTCGGAGGCGCTCTGTGCTGATGTCACATCTTCGTCTTTCCCCAGCAAGCAGCTGATTGCCTCCATCAGCATCATCCTCAACTCGGACTATCCCGATAAGTGGCCCGGATTTCTCCAGAGCCTTCATTCGATGCTCCAGAGCAACGACTCCACCCACGTCTATGGCGGTCTTCTGCTCTTGAGGGAGCTCGTCAAGGTCTTCCAGTATGTTGCCGCTTTTGCGCAAACCGGCCGCTATCTTCGTCTGTCCGTCGCCATCGCCCTTCCTGAGTCGACGACGACTCAGTGCCCGTCCATCTCTCCACTATGTAGTCTCAAGAAGCTCGAGAAAAGAACTCCTCTGAATGAGATCATCCAGCTGGTCTTCCCGACCATCCAGGCCATTGCCAACGGCGTCCTCGAATCCGAGACGATCGAGGCTGCAGAGATCCTCAAGCTCGTCTTGAAGATCTACCACACGTCGATCCAGGTAGGAGGCCCTACTCTCTGCCCTTTGCAGCTCTGCCCAATCGTCTGGATAAAGCACTCACTCGGGCCTTGCTGAACCGCATCCCAGTACGAACTCTCGGCGATCCAGCAGGAATCTTCCTGGATCGTACCCTGGGGCAGCATTTTCATCAAGATCGTCGAGAAGCCTCCTCCGGCCTGCTCGCTCGAGGGCAGTGACGAGGATCGCGAAGCCCACGTTTGGTGGAAGACCAAGAAGTGGGCCTACCACTGCCTCCTCAAGCTCTTCTCTCGGTAGGTCTGCATGCGGTTCTCAGGAGCTGCTGGTACGACAGGACCTGCCATCATGAGCCTTGTCAACGAGTGGCTCCCCGTTGTCCCCCATACTCCAGTGTGCAAAGCCGCAATCTCTTCGTTGCAATTTTACCATCGCGAAAGAGCTGTTGTGTGCTGAATGCGAGTCATCCATTAAGCGAACGATATCTGACCACTGCGCGCTGCCCTCCCCTCTCAGCTACGGAACCAACCTCAAAGATCCTAAATACGGTGCCTTCGCCGCCACTTTCCTCAACCACTTTGCCCCCAACATTCTCCAAACCTTCCTGGCCCAGATCCACCAGCATGTTGCCGGCCAGTGGCTCTCGAGCCGTGTCAAGCAGCAGCTCGCCACGTTCATTGCCGACTGTGTCAAGCACAAGAATACCTGGGCGCTGATCAAGCCTCACCTCGAGATGCTGATCCAGAACTTCATTTTCCCTGCCCTCTGCTTCAGCGAGCAAGATCAGAGCGTCTGGGAAGAGAACCCGGTCGAGTTCATCAACAAAAAAGTCGGTCGGTATCGTCGCCTTCACTGATGGCCTTCGTGGAGTGCGTGGCACTTGCACCTTCGCGCTCTGGGAAAAGTTACTGGCGATCCGATCTCTAATCGTGCTGTCTTTGCATAGATCCCATCGAGAGCTTTTATAGCCTGTCTGCTGCCGCCGAGGTTCTCCTCATTGGCATCGTCCGCGATCGTTTCTCGCAGACCTTCATCCCCGTGGTTACCCTCATCAACAACATCCTCACTCAGTATAACAGCACTCCTGAGGGCCAGCGCAACCCTCGCCGCAAGGATGGCGCCCTGAACATGATGGGTGTTCTTGCCTTTGATGTGCTCAAGAAGCAGGTGAGAGTCTCGAGTGTGTCAATGGTCGCGGATCTACCTGCTCGAGCAGATTGCGGTCGACCCTGCATTTGCTGACCCATCATTTCCGCCACCCAGTCTTCGATCAAAGATCAGATGGATCAATTCCTTATTACCCACGTGTTCCCCGAATTCGATAGCCCCCACGCTTTCCTGCGTCTGAGAGTGAGTCTGCGCTTGTATCTTTTGCATCATGTGCTCAGACGCATAGCCTCTGCCGTTTCTGTATTGACCAGAGCAGAGCGCGCTGAGGGCTGAAGCTCCTCGCCTGAGCCGCTGAACGCTGACCTTGATATTTGCTCGCACAGGCTTGTGACCTGATCCACCGTTACATCGATGTGGATTTCGCAAACCCCGAGGTAGGCCGAATCGTCGGAGTTCACAGCCCGCCGCGGCTTCTCGAGACTGCTCTCCGTGCCATACTGCTGACTGTCGCATCACGCCGTCGCTCACATCCTCGTGTGTGGATTTCGTTCAGCACAAGATCTTCTCCTTCCAGAAGGTCCTCAACGCCATGCAGGACCCTGAACTTCCTGTCCGCATCACTGCTGCTTTGGCTCTCGGCCCCTTCCGGGAATACGCCGAAAGTGGGTTTTTGTCCGTTGCCTTCCGCTTCTGTGAACTTTTTGGCCTATCTCGGCCCCATCCTCGAGCAATGCAATGCTCTGTCAAGGAGCTGGCTTGTTGCTGCTGCAGGGGCTGACCAATGACTGTCTCCTCCCTTACCACCACTGATAGTCCACGCTGCCATGATCCCCCATGCACCGGAGATCATGCAGGCGTTCCTCAACCTCACCAACGAGATTGACATGGACACGCTGTCCGACGTCATGGAAGACTTTGTTGCCGATTACGCCGAGCAGCTGACTCCCTTTGCTATCCAGCTGACTACCCAGATGGTAAGTGGCACTTTGCGTCGGCCAGAGGCGTCTCTCGATGGGTGGATACTCCGTCTTTGGGGAGAGCCTTGTGCCACCATTAACCAGTGCCGTTCATATCCGCATTTCAGACCGCCACGTTTATGCGTATCCTTGGCGAGGTCAACTTTGACAGCGACGATCTTGAAAACCTTGACGAAGATGCCGACAAGATTTTGGCGGCCTCTGGTGTTCTCAAGACTCTCTGCACTCTGGTCGTTGCCGTTGATGCCTCCCCCGACGTAAGTAGTGTCGGAGTCATTGCTACTGTCTGCGCCTCTCTCCACTGCGGCAGTGCGTATCGTTTTCGTTGCGCTCTTGCCGCTTTCGTTGCGTTCTTGCCACTTTCGACCATTACTGAGCCTTGGTATCTGCTCGAACCAGATCTTGCGCCAGCTTGAGGTCCTCGTCGCCCCTATCATTATTTACGTCCTTGAAAAGAACGTCATGGGTAAGACTTTGAAATGGTGCCTCACCTGCTCGAAATGGTACCTCCCCTGCTCCGCGTATTTGTACGCCCTCTCACTCAGGATCTCGCACACAGATCTCTACGAAGATACCTTCGAGCTCCTGGATTCGTGCACCTACTGCCTGAAGGCCATCAGCCCCGTCATGTGGACTGTGTTTGACTATGTCTACCGCGCCTTCAAGGCCGATGCCGTGGACTATATCCAGAGTAGGTGTTGAGATCTCCAAGTTTGGCAGTGTGCCGCACCGCTTTACAACTGTACCTCGCACAGCGAGCCAACTCCACGATTTCCCTCCCGCAGATATGCTTCCTTCTCTGGACAATTTTATCTCCTTCGGCAAGGAGGTCTTCGTCCAGAACAAGGCTTACCAGCACATCATTTACGATATCATCGAATCGGTAAGATGGCTGGCGATACCAGCTCCTTCTGGTCATTCATTCGGCCGACCCGCTTGTGGCTGCTACCGTGCCGCCTACTCTCCAGCTAACAATGGCTTGCCTTGTCCACAGGTGTTTGTCTCCGCCCAGGCCGGAGAAACCGACCGAATCTATGCCTGCCAGCTGATCGAGTCCTTGCTCCTCAACCTCCGTGGCCAGGTTGATCAGTACATCCCCCAGTTCCTCGACCTTGCTTTCCGCTACCTCAAGGACGACACCCAGGCCATCCGCTCCCATCCTTTCCGCATCCATTGCCTCGAGGTCGTCATCAACTGCATCTTCTACAACCCCACTGCGACCCTGGCGCTTCTCGAGCAGGCGGGCTTGACCACCACCTTCTTCACTCTGTGGTTCAAGCATCTCGAGGACTTTACTCGTGTTCACGACAAGAAGCTCTGCATCAGCGCGATCTGCGCCATCATGGATCTTCCTGTCGAGTCGCTGCCTGCCTCGGTGCAGTCCGGCTACGCCCAGATTGTTGCCGTCATGGTCTCGATCTTTGATTCCCTCCCTGCTGCCCTCGAAGGTGAGACTTTCTCTCCGCCAGCATAACCGAGGCCCTAACTCTCGTGCGATGATATGGATCGCGGCTCAGAGCACGATTGTCTCGCTTCACTGCATTCGATTCTGGATACGCCACTAACGCTGCTCCAACCTACCTGATGTCGCTAGAGCGCCAGAAGGTGATCGACGATAGCAATGCCGACTGGGAAGAGGATGAGGACGATGACGAAGGCGACGAGGATCTCGATGAGATCAACGACGACGACGAAGCCGGTGGCGACGTTGCCAATATCAGCGAGGAAGAGTACCTCGAGTTCCTGAGCAAGGAACAAGGCAAGATCAGCGCGGGCGACGACGACGAAGACGACTTTGACGACTGGTTTGTCGAAGACATCATGGAGGAAGACCCCTTCCACACCACGCCTCTCGACGACGTTGATGCCTACATCCGCTTCCAGGAGACTCTCAACAGCATTGCAAGCCGCCCCGCTGCCTTTACTCTGCTCAAGCAGGTCGTCAATGCCGAGCAGCAAGCCAAGTTGGATAACATCATAGTGACTGCCAACGACAACCGGGTCAAGCAGGCTGAGGCCGCCGCCAAGAAGCAGCAGCAGCAGCAGGCCTAGAGTACGGCGCTACACTTTGTTACCTTGGCCCCGGATGTGAGGTCAACTCCATATTTCTATCGTGTTTTGCGTGTGTGCGCATATCTGGTTTGCATTTCTGTCTTGCTATTCCATTATTGTCTCGCTCTATCACTCCCCCCCCCTATTTCTACTTCCACCATTCCCTCGCCAATCCATGCCCGCCCACGTTTGCCCCTCCATCCTCTGTTGTCGTCGATTAGGCCAATCCCCCTGTCTTTTGCGAGACCCAGTGTCTCCTCGATCTTCCCCGATCCCCCACCCTTTGTCATCTGGTTGTCGTCTGTGCTTCGTTTGGTTGCTGCCTGGCATAGATGAGTCTCATCAACATACTGCGGTGAGAATCAAGTTGGGCGACGACGTGTACAGCTTCCCCAAGAAAACAAAAGCGGCACCCCCCCCCCGTTATTTCAGAATACTTGATATGTATTTGAGTGGCATCCATGATAGCCATTGATCCGTCGTTGCCGCTATGGGTGTCACCAGTCGCTGGCAGCGGGATGTTGATCTTGGGTGTTGCTCTTGCACGAGCCATCGTCTGAACCATCACCATCACAGCCATGGCATGGCTTGAGCACCGCGATTTGACCCGAGGAGGAATCCTTTCTACCTGGCAGCCAGAGATGCAGGCCAGCGGATCAATTGGACGGCCTCGCAGCTTGTTAGTCATAGTCCGAGTGGCCCTGCTGCCGCTGACGGCGCTGCAGATATGACCGTATGTCCTTGACTTCGTTGTTGCGAGATGCCGCTGCCGCAACAGACACATCGCATCCCTGCCGAAGCAGCAGCTTGACAACACCAGCATGGGTGTTGCATTCCGCGGCGAGCCTCAGCGGCATCTGGTCCGAGACGAACGGATCGGCACCGTTCCTGAGCAGCAGCTGGACCAGCCCAACGTTTCCGTTCATGGCAGCCATACAGAGTGCATCCTCCTCGGCAGCATGGATGTCTACGCCCGAGTCGATCAGCAGCCTTGCGAGCGAGACGGCCTCGGGCAGAGAGTCCTTGCACACAGCTCTGAGAGCGGCGCTCCCTTGGGTGTTGACGTCGGCTCCGTGAAGAATGAGGTACTCGACGAGTGCCGCATTGCCGCTCTCGACCGCCAGCAGCAGGGGTTCGTCCTGGTCGAGGTGGATGTCAGCCCCGGCTTGGGCCAGGATCCGGACGGTTTCGAGCCAGCCGGCGGAGCAAGCATTGCGAAGGGCCTCGTTGTTGCCGGCCTCGATCCATGCACCACACCGGACCAGCAACTCCACGATAGATGAGTGTCCGTTGAGGCTGGCTTGCCGCAGCGCAAGGTCGTCGCGAAAGTGGATATCGACGACATGGCCGCTACGTCGGTCGCTCGCATCGATCGAGACGAATGGCTGGTGAAAGCCGAGGATACGCTTGACCAGGTCAAGCTGTCCCTCTCGCGAGCAGCAGACGAGACTGGTATTGCTCGGCAATGCACCACAGTCCAGGAGCCGGTCGACCCAGCTCCAGCGAGAGCGCTGGGCAGCCGTTTCGGAGGCCTGTTCAAGATCAAGCAGCGAGTGGACGGAGATCAGAAGTCCGCGCTGGACGAGATGCTCTGCCCAGGCCAGGAAACGCCGACCAAGGACGTCCTGCTCTCGGTCAATGAGAGCGGCCAGAACCGACTTGCTCTCGCAGGCAAAGTGGATCCGACAAGCCTCCAGCAGCTCGGAAAAGAAGCCGAACCGCAGGACCAGTGCATGGCGAAGCCTCATGTTGGTTGCGGCAAGGCGCAGAAGGTCTCGTGGTGTGCTGAGAAAGGTCGAGACATTGAGGAGGATCTCGATGGGCAGCTCGGCGAAGGGGACTGCGGGGATGCTCGGAGCCATGGCGGCTCAACCAGCGCGAGCAGACGAAGAACACGATCGCTGACGGGAATGTTCCCGGCACAAAGAGGGACATCCCGATCACCGCATTCACGACTGCAATAATGGACTTGGGCCTGTACAGTTGATCCAGAAGAAACGGGACAGTCACTTTCTGCCCTTGGGCAAGAGAGCGAAAGTCGAGGGTGTGGCGAACGGTCATGGCAAGTAAGCGTTGGTGTTGGGCAGCAACATATCTGCTCAACGACTAACACTATCAATTTTTTCCGGCCCCTCGCGGCTGCTCATCTCGGTCACCTGAAAGTCACGTTGGATGTGGTGCAGCAAAAGTTGGAATCCGGCCATCGTCCGTTGAAGGCATTTGATATCACCTTGAGCCGATTGACGGTGGTGGTGGGCAATTGGTGTGGAGGAATGACCAATTGTATCATTGTTGGAAGCTCCACTCCGATTGCGAACAAGAACCACCACCATCTGAATCTCTCTGGTTGGAAACCTAGTCAAGCGTGGCTGTGTGTCAGCGAGATGACATGATCGTTTGGCTATCAGGCAAGACTCACCTTGACAAGATGTCTTCCCACGACTGATTGAGCGAGCGATGCGTTTCTGGATCTGAATCAAGGACGCCACTGCGCAGTATCTCTGCCAGCCCAAAATGCGCTGGTTTTGAGGAGAATTTTTCTTCCCCAAGGGCAGAACCAGCCATTGTCGCTATTTTCTCGCCAGATGGCTCCCCGCAAGCGAAAGGTACCACCCAGGCGACCAAGTGGATCCAGAGCACCCACAAGATCCTTGGTCTGCAGAAATGGATGAGTGCCACACCAAGTCCCAAGATCCCTGGGTTGGCTTCATTCCTGCAATACATTCGCCATGTGTTCGATGGAGACATGCTGGACAAACAGCTGTACTTCAGCCTGACCCGGCGACGGCGATTCAAGCGACTCGATCTCCACAGCAAGCGACAGCGCACCGTCCACGAGATGTGCAAGCAAGTCATCGACCAGGCACCGAAGGAGACCGAAGTGGTGATTGCCTTTGGGAATGCATCCTGGAAACAGGGGAAGGGATATGCCTCCAGTCCCAGGAGACTCAGGTTCGTCAAATACTTTGAGCAATTCCACCATCACCAGAGACGCCCACCAGACCGATCCGTCTCCAAGATCCATGTGTGCTCGGTGAACGAGTTTAACACATCCCAGGTGTGCTCACACTGCCGGGAAGCCAAGCGACTCGAGAAGGTCGAGCATCTCGATATCGAGAAACCACACTTTGTCCGGAGCTGTGCAAGCTGCCATACGCTGTGGGATCGAGACATCAATGCGCCAGGAATATGATCTCGGTATGCCAGTCGATCATCGCCACAGGAGATCGGCCGAGTGTATTCAAGACCATGCTTCCCAAACCAACCAAAACCACTCGATTGCCAACGAAGACAGGAGTGCAATGCCATGGCCTGCCCACTGGGCCTACAAGTCAGTCAGCGGGCTTCAGACATCTGAAGCCAGAAAGGGAAAGTGTCCCGTTTCTTTCTGGATTGACTGTAAGTATCTCGCACTGTTCCTTGAGTATTTCGACAGTGGATGCCGGGTCGCCCATATTCTGGGCAGTCCACTTCGGGGTTGCCATCCCTCTTGGGATGGTCGATGGGAGGTGTTTGACTCCCTTGTGCAAAGTGTGTGTGTGCAAAGTGTGTGTGTGCAAAGTGTGTGTGTGCAAAGTGTGTGTGTGTGACGGCGAGAGGCTTCTCGCCTTCCCTCGGGGGTCTCTCGCCAGAGACTGCTCTTCTCGCCGACCGAGGTGGCTCCGAGAGCGCGTTTTTTCGTTCTCGCTCATTTTTTTAACATGAAATTTTTTCATAGTGTAAAATTCGGGGTGTCCCGTTTATTGGATTGGTTGTATTTGGGCCCAGAAACAAGCGACCGGCTGCCTCGAACATACCACGCCCTGCTTCATCGACGCTGTGCCCGGTTTCGCATGGCGGGACCCGCAGCGAAATAAAAGTACTTCCTTGGGCCAACACACTCACTGCTCAGTCTCTCACAGCCGGCTCGAGCTTCATGGCATGTTGCTTGGGCGGATTTGCCGGGATGGGAAACTTTTTGATGGGCAGCTTGAGAGGCTGGTTGCGCTTCCAGAACTCGATCAGCGAATCGCCGACTTTGTGCGGGACGTCTTCTTGGATAGCATGTCCGGACTCGGGGTAGATGGTCATCTGGAATTTGCCTGCACACATTGTTTGCCATATTCAGGAGCGAGCGACACATGCGGGAGTGGGCGACACTGGTGCCGATGATTCATGCCCACCAGCCATATCGGTGGTATCACCGCAGCGAGTGGCGATCCTTCAACGGGACGGCCGCTTGTGCCGACACATACCTTGCATCTGACCGATGGTCAGGGGCTTGTCGAGCCGATCCGTCCCTTCATGTTTGAGGTAGCTACGTTAAGTGATTCCCCGGGGCCCCATTTGGTCCCAGATTCCCAGCTCGAAACGGCCGGATCCACACAGGAGAACGATCATTCACTCACCTGCAAGGATCAGCAGTCGTGCTCCTCTGACGGTCAGGAACTTTAACGAGAGATCCGTGAACCATCCTGGTGAGCGACAGATCGGTTAAACTCGACCGTCAAGAGCCGTCTGCGGTGCGTACGATCCCGAGCCCAGGTGCAATCAGGCAACAATTCAGTGGGCCTTACCCATCCAGTATGGCTCCGAGTTCAGCAGCTTGGCCCTCCATTCATAGTAGAGGACTTTGGAGGAGTCGGCGCCCATAACGGGAACCAACTGGGACGGGATCGAGACACTGGCTGCCTCATGGTTCTTCACGGTATTGCTGTGGAGACTAGCAAGACATAATCCGCAACACATCAGCCCCTGGATCGATCTGCCCTTTGCCAGCAGGGCGTCCGAAGCTCCCTTGCGACATTGTCCCTCGCTCCAGCTTACGCCCAGTCGATAGCCTCGGCGGGCGACTTGAAGCGACTTGGGCGGGATCGGATCAAAGACCGCATGTGCTGCAACGAATCAATCGCAGTTCCTGCAACGAGCCGGCAACCACCAATATGGCAAGCCCTGGAAATCAGTAACCCGATATGATGGGATCGACAGAACACATGTGCATCCAAACCGCCCATGTTGGCATTGCTCTGCGAATGCTCTGCGAATGCTCTGCGAATGGCCCAGCCGCTTGGTTTGGCTCATACACTGTTCTGCATCAGGACTCACCCTCAACGACGTCAATGACGACGACGCCCAGAACGTTCTTGATCAACTTGCGGGAGGCTGCATCGACCACGACAGGGCCGCCCATGCTGGAGTGAGTCAGCAAGGCAGGTTGTGGGTCAGCGGATGAAGCCGGTTCGCACGGTGGTCGTTGACTCGAGTGTACGGCTGTCGATGCAAAGCTACCTGTGTCCGACCAGAATGACTTGCTCCGGCAGTGTAGGGTAGAGGAAATTGACAACATTGGCAAGATCATCGGCGAGTTGCGCCAGACTGAGGTTGTCGTCGTCCGAGGTGTGGGTGGATCCTGCCAAAAGCCATCCGCGGTCACAGCAGAGTCAGCAACTGAACACTGGCTCAAAATCCATCCAGAGTTAGCCCCATCCCCCAGCCTCATCGGTGCATACCAGGCTCTGCCTTTCGACCGAGAACGCTCACCGTGCCCACGACAGTCCATGCAGAGCACCGAGAAGTCGTTCTGGAGCTGCGACTTGATATGCGCCGAGACCAGGGCCCAGGTCAGGGCCGAGTGGCCGCCGCCATGGTGCATAATAAACAACGGGCCGGCCTGGGATCTGATTTGGTAGACTCGAAAGACGTTGAGGACGCAAAGCAAGCCAAGTCAAGGATCAAGAAGCGGGAGCCGGCGCTGAGCGCCAGAAGCATCCAGGACGAGATCGGCGATGCGAGCGCGCAGGCCGCTGTTTTCAGATGGAAGTAAAAGGATATATCGTCTGTTTCGGGCAGCCGGACGTCGTCGCAAGAGTCGAAATACGGGGCCCACGGGGCGGTTGCGGGTGCAGGTTCGGCCTGGCTCATTGATGGTGGAGATGCAGTTGCAAGTCGATCTCGCAGACACGCGCCCATCAGATGCTGTTCAGGGCCGGCGAGCACCGGGGCGGATCGGCCTGTGGCGATGCGTCACGTGGTCGTGTTTGCAGGCATTTTTCTGCCGCCTCTGCGGAAACGACGGGCCAGGTTCGTCAGCCAAGCACCGATCGATCAGCCATGTCCGGGAAGCGCAGAAGCGAGACCGCGCAGCATGCCCACCGCAAAAAGCTGAAGAAGGTCTTCAACAAGGCAAGTGAGCGAGCGAGGAGCAGACCGAGGCATCTGACGCCAAGCGAGACGGCCGGGATCAAACTCGGCGCAATGTCCAGCGATTCACTGCGAGCAGCCCCGATCGACGACACCACGGGCCGATCGGTCTGTCGATGTGTTCGGCGAACGACAGGAAGCACACCGCCTCACGGGAAGCTGTGTCATCGTCTAGCACGGATCCTGTTTCCCTCCTTCGATCGGCCGCGCTCGTGTGAACAGCGTCGGTGGAGCATCGGCATCCGCATGATATACGATTGGCTCACAATACACCTTGGTGCTGGTGCGGAACTCTAGCCGGCAGAGAAGCACAACCGGCCCTTCCAAGTTGAGCCCGGCATGGTCGGCGTGTTTGTCTCATGCACGCTGGGCCGCGAAAAGTATTGCATCAAGGAGCTCTACAATCTGTTCGACGAGGTATGTTCTTGGCGTGGCTGTGGATCGTCGAAGAGGCCCGACGAACTGCGAACCAACGATGCAGCCGTGCGGGCTTTGCAGGATTTTCATGCTTTGTGAATGAAGCTGATGCCATGTGCGCATTTTCTCATCGTTCCAGTATGCAGAGAGGCTCTACGGAAAGGATATCGGTCTGCTCGACAAGCCAGGCGCAAGTCAAGGAAACGATCTGGAGGACGACCCCGCAGAGGACGACGACGACGATGAAGACGAGTCGTTTGAGGCAGCTTTTGCGAAAGAGGTCCAGGGCCTCAAGACCTCGCGTTCGCAAAAGCGGTTCGTGAACGTCAACATCAGCATCGATTGCTGCGTTTTCATGAAGGTGAGGGTTGGATCACACAGGCAACTGGTTGATTCCACGAGCCAGTCATGGGAAGATTCCATCAACCGATCTGATTCGACAACGCAGCGCACTTGATGCCAACGGCAATCCTGTCCCGGGTGCTACCGATCCATCTACTTTGGTGCCAATCGATGCCACCCTCGGGCGAACTCCACCCACTGACCTCTTCATCTATGGCGCTGCTGTTTACGGCCGTATGTGTTCGTCCAAACCTTTAGTTTGCACCTCCGATCGTGCCCACCGAATTCGTCCACACCATCCTCAGCGATCTTTACGACACAAAACTCAAAAAGTGTCGCTATACACATCGCCTGATCCCCATCTCCGCCACAACGGCTGCGACCATGCCCTCGGTCGTGATCATGGCCAAGAATGTGCTGAAGCCACACTTCCACGACGCAGCCGAGCCCAAAAAGTTTGCCATTGTCTTCAAGGCAAGAAACAACGACAAGATCGACAGAGACGAGCTGATTGCGACCCTGGCCCAGATTGTCAACGAGACCGAAGCCAAGCACACAGTGGACCTCAAACAGCCGGATCTGGTCATCATCGTCGAAGTGTTCAAGGTGCGCTGTGTGTCCAGCTGCCCGTGTCTGGTACCAGAGCAAGATCGGGCTTGGGGCTGCTCTGCATCGATAGAGATTCATCGCTAAAGTCCCCTCCCTTCGCAGAGCGTTTGCGGCATGTCCGTTGTGGAAGACTACTACAAGTTCCGGCGATTCAATCTCCACGAGATCTTCGAAGGCGACGTCCATGACGGCCCGCGCGATCGGCAGCGCAAGTCCAAAGACGATAAGGGAGACAAGACCATCACAAAAGCGAATGCAAGTGTGGATGGTGCCGAGGACAGACCCGTCCAAGATAGCGCTGAGTCAAAGGAAGCGCTGTAGATTGATGTTTCCGGAGGGCAGATGCGGCTGGAGGATGACAGCTTTGCGCTGCCGTGCTACACACCGAGAATGCGCATCAAGCCACATAGCGAGAGTTTGTCGTGGACCCATACCGATCGCCAGCGGCGATTCTTGCACAGTGCACTGTGTACGGCGCCGGGTGATGCGACTCTGGTTCATTGTCGAGTCATTGATGAGATCGGGGTACTCTCGCTGGCGACAGCTCTGTCTGGACTTGAATACACACAGTTCTAGCTGCTGCCTTTGATCAACCTCCACGCAACAAGCAGCCTCGGATCTCGACTCGAGATCTGTCAAGGACCCGTTTCCGCTTTATCCCTCGAGAGTCGTATTATGAATCGTGCCAGGAAGTATCAAGTGAGGATAGCACATTAACCATTGCTTGGGCACACCAGAGCGCTCAAAATCGAGGAAACGGATGGGCCTCGGTGTTGAACACGTATTGGTCCAACGGGATGCGATTGTGGTCGTCAAAGAGGAGGTAAAAGTACTTGAGAGTTTCGCCCTGGAAGATTCAGACGATACAGGTCAGGAGCAAGTCCAGGGACGACACAGAAACAATCGATCCAGCCAGCCAGCCATCACTCAATCGCTCAGTCCTCTGTCTCTGCCCTGGCTCAAGCCAACCGATCAGCCTACCAAGAAAAAGGTCTCCATCTTTCCGCCATGTCCCCGCGGGTTCGGTGGAATGACTCGCACGTCGTCCTGGATTCCATCCCGCCCCCCATCAAAGTCAAACGGTATGATTGTTAGGGCAAATACTGTTATCGCCTTGAGGGGCCATCAACTCCTCTCCAAGCACCAGTCATACAGTGCAGTGCTTACCAAGCTCGTGTAGCCACCGGTCTTGACCCGGCACCACCGCTCAAATGCTCGGAAGATTCTCCACCCCCACTCGCGGTACTGACGGTCGCCCGTGATGCGATAGAGGGTGAACAGGCTTTCGATCGTTTCAGGTCGGAGCAGGTTGTGTCCATCCAGCTGGTGGATGAAAAAATCGGGTTCGTCCGAGGGAGTTTGAGCGGCGGCTTCCACTGGCATTCCGTTTTCTCCGTTGGTAAGGACAGGCATTGGATTCCAAAAGACAATCTCTGGTGCCAGACCCGTCGCCGTCTGATTGTACATCTCAAAGCACGAGCGGGTGAGTTCCTCGGCAAGCGACAGGTCGTCTTGCTGCTGCTTCGAGAGGCTCGTGCGGCTCTGGGCGGTAACGGAGCGGCCGCCGGTGGCGAAGATGGCCAAGGTGGCCGGCAAAAAACAGACGAGATGGTCCATCTTGGGGCTCTGTTGTTCGTACACAAGTTCGCCGATATAGGTCAAGTTTCTGGAGCGAGAGTGCCCGACGAGATGCTTGCGGATTCCAGCAACGGCGTTGTTGAACTCGGTTCGATAGATTTCCTCGCCAGTCAGGAGGTACTGCTTTCCCAAATACTCTGCGAATCGTTGAATAGACATCCATGGTCGGAGGGCATATCAGAATGAAGCACGTCCATGAGGTCAGCGGGCAGGAGCAGGAGCAGGAGCAGGAGCAGGAGCAGGAGCAGGAGCAGGAGCAGGAGCAGGAGCAGGAGCAGGAGCAGGAGCAGGAGCAGGAGCAGGAGCAGGAGCAGGAGCAGGAGCAGGAGCGCTTCGTGATCAATAACACGCATGCATACCATAATACGAATCGCCGCGCGAGCCCAGACGGATCTCGGAGCCCTCGAACTGGCCAGATTCGGGCCGTATGTAGATTGGAACAAGCCCATCCGTCTTGGGCAGGGTTCGGACAACCTCCATGATCTTCTCAGAGACGTTCCAGTACTTGCTGTCGCCCGTCAGCTTGGAAAGGTACTTGAACTCCATCTGCAGCGTCGTAGCCTCGGCCGTGCTGCTGAGTCCGCCTGGCGCTGGCTCGGCATTTCCCGTCCCCAGGTTGATCGACGAGAAAGGGATGCCCGACGGAGTCGAAAAGGCGGGCATCAGGAACTCGGCCACCTCTACAGCCTTATTGAGGAACAGCCTGTCCTTCGAGAGGTGATATGTCGAGAGCAGGCCGCCGAGCACACGGATCGTGATCTCAAAGACGTTGGCGTTCTCGTCGACGTCCTTCCTGCCGAAACTGAGACCGGAATGAACATACGACTTTGCCTTTTCAAAGACATCGGTCTGTCCCATGATCAACGCCGTGTCCAGCGCATCGATGATGGTGAGGCCCATGTGAAACCAGTTGGAGCCTGTTCGGCTGATGGGAAGCAGCTCATCGTAGCCCCAGGCGTGGTCTACGTAGCCCATCCAGCTCCACCGGAAGGCGGCAGCGACCGCTTTCTGCCGCTTCTCCCAGAGAGCCGACTCAAGTTCTGCCGTGGGCTGGACAGGATCGGGTTCGTGAAAGTCAAACGGCTGTCGTTGGTGGTAGGACCAGCCATCGTTGGCAGGCCTGGCCTCCTCAGGCATTGGCAGAACGATCTTGGGGGACGATGGCGGATTCGACAGGATCGGTTGGCCTTGGCTTTCTGACTGGAGCTGCGACAGTGGAGCTCCGACCTCAGCCGACAGAGCTCCCGAGGCGAACGACTCGCTCTCGTGCTGCTCCGGAGCATCAACCCTGCCAGACGAGAACATAACCAGGGCAAAGACAACAAAGATGCCGATGGCTAGAATATATCTCTGGAAGAAACAGAGTGGACTCAGGGCGGTTTAGGCATCGTTCAACGAGCAATCAGTATACAACGGGCAATCAACATGATGCAAAACGCTGCGCTTGGTCGCGGAGGGGAACTGGTGATGAATCAGACAGGGGGTTTCATCCCAGCTCACCTTGGCGAAAGGCAAGCGCGGAGACGCCTTGGATGCCTTGGCGTTGTCGTAGTGCTCATCAGAGCGCCGAGAGGTCAGCCTATCGAGCAGAGTCGTCCCTGACGGAGCGGGTGTGGGATGTCTGTGGGTCGGCAATAGACTCTCGGGACGCATTCTGGGCTCGTCAGGGCTTGCAGGATTCGGGGGCGAGATGAATGCAGCGGGAACGATTGCCGTAGCGTGGCTCGACAGATGCAATGAAGCACGATGTATTGATGCCGATGCTGGCAAGGGCCGGATCTGGGGTTGAGCAGGTGGAGCCGTGCTCGAAGAGAGGCAGCTCGGGGCAGATCAACGGCAAGAAGTCAGACGCGATGTCAGGGCGGAACGCCAGGGAAAGGCCGTCAAGCAGCAGGAGCCCGGGCAGAATGCCACACCCTCCTATCAATCGGAGCCAATCATTTATTCACTGATCGACTCAAACTAGTATCCATGAGGCCGTTACGACCATAGCTGCAGATCAACACTTTTGATCTCGCGGGCGTCTCTGTGGACTCGAGTCCATTGGCGGTCGACCGGAATGGCGATCGGATATGTGATCGCGAGCCAGTGCGATTTTCGGTACAGGATGACGCTGTCGGGCCATTCTTCGCCATCGAGCTCTCTCTGCACAAGCTCATCGTCGACGATCATGCAGACGCGGCGGTATTCCTGCAGGAGCTGCTGCACCCACGACCGCACCTTGGGCGACATGGTCCAGTCGCTGCTGTCGTTGTTCTCGTCGTCGTCGGTGATCGAGATGACGCCGCGGCTTCCGTCGCTTGAGAGAGAGTAATGGGCCGAGCTAACGTTGACGACCTTGTGGCTCTGCTCGCTCGGATGCAGCTCACGGTATTGCTCGTGAGTCATGATCTGCCATTCGCTGGTGCCGGAACGGGTGACGTCTTCGGGCTCGATATCCTTGATCTGGCGATAGACCGATCCGACAGGCAAGGCGACTGCTGCCATGGCACCCACAACTCCCAGCACGAGGACCGGAAGCGCAACCAGAAGCAGACCAGAGAAGCCGACTCCAACAAAGGCGATGAGCAGACCCAAGCCCCCGAGCGGAAGTGCGACGCTGAGTACCGTCGGGCCGACTACGAGCACCGCCATGGGGCCGACAAAAAGGATGAGGGTCATCCAGCCAAGCCCCTGGATAAACCGCTGGAACAGGGTATAGCGGGGTTTTAGATAGACTTGAGTCGGGTGCCGGTCCGGGCCAGATCCCCATTGGCGAGCCATCCAAGGAGAGGAGTGGAGCCGTCGATGCTGGAGACCGCACTGAACCTGAACCGAGGCGATGCCGATATGAGGCGAGGAGACTTGTGGAACGGATGTTCGTATCAGCGCTAAGGCGGCTGGCAGAGGCGGCAGGAGTAGAGAGTCAGAAACGGTTGCATGCGACTGTGTTGATGCGGCGACCGGAACTCGCTTTCCCAGTCCTTGTCCACCCCAGCCAAACATCGATGGAACTGACCCAGAGGCCGGGAAGATATGGGGAATCGGAGAGCATCCCGTGCGACAGCTTGCAGATGAGGATATTGAGCGGCTCCTCTGACGAGGAACGGCTGGCTGGGCAAGGCGCTCCGTGAGATTGGTCGAACCCAGAGACCAGAGTTAATCCTGGGGCGCAACATGTGTCTGGCGAGGGAACTCATGGCGCAGGTGGAGGACGGATCGGAGGCAGCAGTGCCCGAATTGATAGACAGCAGCGGGTCGATTCTCTGGGATCTGAAATCTGAAATCTGAAATCTGAAATCTGAAATCTGAAATCTGAAATCTGAAATCTGAAATCTGTGATCCTGGTCGAAGAGGACCGGCGCGGCGTTTTGTCTTGGCGCCAAGGCAGCCAGAGAAAGCGCAGCCCAGACAGGAACCGACAAGCGTGCGTTCTCACTCGCTGTGCGAGCAGGCACCTGCCTCGGGAACATGGCTCTGCAAACGAAGCGCCCTTTCCGGCTGAAACAGGGCATTTCTCCAAGCGAGAACCGAACGATCGGCGGCTGGGTTGCTATAGAACTGTGCGGCTCTGCAGCTGTTCTGCCGTGCCACTGTTCCGCCGTGCCACTGCACTGCTGTACCACCGCACACCGACAGAATTGCTGCTGTGCGACAGAAGCAAGTCCCGACCTCTTGCCGCGCCACACAGATTCCAGATCCGCCGTCGAAGCCAAAATATTTGCAGCGGATGGTGGGAGAGGGCCAACCTGCGGGTTTTGGCCGCCGATCGTCGCCTCCACCATCTCCGTCTCTCCACCACTTGCTTGCCGTCTCAACGATGCTCGCTACCGACTCAGCCCAGGCGCGCCTGCTTCTGCTGGGCCTGGCCCCGGTTGCAGATGCGCTCTACCCGGTGTTCAGCACCAAGGTTTGTCTGTCTGCCGCTATCCGCTGCATGATCTGTTTCCTCAACTTTGGATGACTTGCTACCGTTTGCAAGGCTTCCGCCATCTGCTTCGCATGCCATTAACTGCAGCGGCTCTCTCTCACCTTCCGTCGCCCCGCTATCCCTCTCGCTTCCATCACCCTGCCATCCCATCGACCGCGGAGACATTACTAGACCCCGGCCATGATCACCACGAATCAGCCGACAATCTTGACGCTAACCTGGTACAGCAGCCCCCCACCAAACATCCAGTATATTCCGTCCACGGTCGATTTATCGTCTGCCTACAACGGCACCTTTGTCTACAGCATCAGCATCTCCCAACCCGAGGTAGCTGTCGTGCAGTGCCGGCACCGTTGCGTGCGACTCGTTTTCATCGGCCATCGCCGATTTCCATTGCTATTCAGCTTGCTTGCACTCCTTGCATCGATTATAAGCAGACTGATCACACCGCAATCCTCGGCTCGATGCACATGTCCTTCGCGCTTGCTAGGTCATCCAAAACATCGGCGTTTACTCGTACCCAACGGTACTGGAGCCGTCAATTACCCTGCCTCATGTCAACAACCTGACAGACACCCTGACGCTCGGGATATGTCTCATCGACAGCTCCAATGTCTACACCGAGTGCATCACTCCGCCCACCGTGAACATCACGATCCCAGGAAACGCCAGTGTCATTACCCCGTCGCCTCTGGCCAGCACCAATACCCCGACTGCCAGCTCAACTCTGGCTTTAAACTCAACCCAGAGCCCTGCATCCAGCAGCGATAGCCCATCGGATACATCCCTGCCGTCTCCGAGCAACTTACCGTCGCCCGATGCAACTCCGCCAGTCAACCTAACGCCCATCATGTGGGTTATCATCGGGGCAGTGCTTCTCCTCTGTTTAACAATCTGCGTCGTCGGCTATGCGATCTTTGGACACAGAAAGCAGATCAAGGTGGCCCAGCCGACCATTGCCGAGCCCGCCGCAAACCTCGATACCCCCAGTGGAAGTCCCAACACTGCCAGCAGCGAAAAGGCCCTGTACAGCCTGGGCTTCAACAACACCGAATCAAACCCTTTGCCCGAATATACCCCGGCGCTCAACAGCGAATGCGACTTTGTCCAGCCAGAACGGGCGGCCCTAGGCCGGAGCAGAACCGGATCGACATCGACGGGTCAGTTCGACCAAATGTATCGAGTCAAGACCCCTCGAAAGCGGCAGAACGAGGATGAACTCAACTTGGAAGCCGGGGACCTTTTGGTTGTCACAGAGATCTTTGAGGATGGCTGGGCGATCGCACGCAACCAGAACGGGGACATGGGCGCTGTGCCTCTCAATTTTCTGGAAGCTGGCCACATATAGACAAGAAACCATCTTTCCAAAATACAGTCGATCGATCGCATTCGGGAACCGCATCGTCCAGATTCCCACGGCGGCCCTGGCAGATGGAGCTGGTCGTGCGTGTTGGCCGGCGTATGTCCAGCACACTCGCTTTGTGCATCCTTCGTCGATGGCCGGACATTTCGCATCGGCTACACCGTCGCACTGACAGACCAGACTATTCCTCGGCCACATTTCCGCTGTCCTTGCCCTCGCTGTCGCTCAGAGCACCCCCCCCCGCCTGAGCCCGAGCCTATACTCGCTTGTGATCGCCTTCGTGTCGAGCAGCACTTGTGGACAGCCCCGCCCGGGCGACTGCGCTGCCGGCTGCGCCACGCACATATTTCTTTTTTGTTCTCCTTGCCGACCCAACCCGCACCATTGCCAGGCATCGCAGCAATCTCACCCAGAGCACACCGACAGACGATCGCCGAGCATGGGCAAGCACAAGAACAGAAAGCGATTTGGGCGGCCGCGGGCCACGCCCGTTGCGCCGTCCGACCAGCAGATCGCATCGGACGACACCATGGCAACCCATGTCAACCCGCAGGATGTTGCCCCGATCCTCAAGAAAGTACGATTCTGGCCTTGCAAACCTGACCTGCTCTCGGCCTCCTCGGCTGGGTGGATCGAGACATGGCGAGCCAGGTGCGGGCCGGGCGCCCATGCAGACGTTGACAAGCGTCCTTCAAACTCCCTCCCTCATCTAGCTCAACCGACACGACAAATCGGACGAGCGGTCGTGGGCTGCTGCCGCCATCTCGAACCTGGTTCAGGACCCTGCCACCCTCAAAGTCCTGCTGTCGGGGGGTTTGGTCTCGGCCCTCATCGGAGCCCTGAGTGACCCTCATCGCGAAGTCGTTGTCGAGGTTACCGGTGCCTTGAGGTTCGTGCACACCGCTTGGCTCTCGTGCTGGACAGGTTGCATTTGGTGTTTGGTGTTTGGTATTTGGTGTGAAGCACCGGGGATGTCTCGGTAGTGCTGTCGTCGTCGTCGTCGTCGTCGTCGTCGATCGATCGATCGGGGCTGGGGCTGTTCTTGGGCATTCCATCGATACCCTAGTCCGAGGACATCGAGGGATCCTCGCTCACATCGCTATTGGTGCTCTTATGGATGACTCCAGGAACCTGGCCGTCGTTGGTGGCGATGATGTCTGCAAAGAAATGGTGCGCAAGGATATCTTGACACCACTACTGGCCCAGATTCCTTTGGTAGGTGTCGTTTTCCTCATTGTTCTGACTCTGTCTGGCCGTCGATGTGTGGCCGTCGATTATGCATCCGCGACCAGAGATCACTTGCTTCGTTGGCCCTTCGTCTGTCTCCTGTCCGTCGCCCGCTTACTCAACGCCTGCATCTCACCTCTAGCTCTCCGAGTTTCTGACTCGAATCGTCACCAAGGCCCCCTCGGAAGGACCCGAGGACGATGTCAACCGAAAAACCACGATCGACTGCTCTGAACAGGTCATCTCGCTGGTATGGTCGCTATGGTAAGGAAGCCTCCTGGCTGGTGCGGGTTCTTGGCAGCTTCATTTCTCGGGAACACAAGGCTCGCAACAGCATCAACAGCAACGTCCCTTTGCGGCCCATCGTACCTGCCTGACATTTCTTGATCGTCTCCAGCGAATCGTCGGACGTTGCCGTCAACCGCGTCACCCAAAAGTCGACCCTTGGCTTCCTCATGGAGATTTTGAACCCGGAACACGACTTCATCCCGAGCCTGGTCCAGGCTGCGGGCCAGTGCCTGAACACCATCACGGAGGAGAACCAGCCCTGCCACATGGCGTTCCAGGCCAATCCGCGATTCTGCGATCTCCTTGCTGCCATTGCCAACGGCGACATTGAACACTTCAACAATTGGGACGAAAACAGGATACAGATCCGGGTGCTGGCTGGCAGCATTCTGTACAATGTGCGCGATGCTATCAAGGTGCAGCCCCTCGATCTCTGCAAGCAGATATTCCCGGCCATCTCCACGACGCTCGACTATGATGTCAACCGCGCGATCGAGTTGGCCTGCAAGGCGTCGACAGAGGTACGGCTATTTGCAACGTTGTGAAGCGCACCGCCTTAAAGGTGGGATGTCGAACAGCCGGACCATCGAGGACATTCGCTGACTCGACGATTGCGTCGTCTCGTAGATCCTGAGCGGCGAGGTCCCCGAAGAATCGGGCAAATACGTCCGTCTTTCGTCCAAGAACGAGGTAGGACCCCTGTGATGGCTTGATATCGATCTTGAGCCACTGCCATCTGTCTTGATTAATGAACCGTCTTGTGTTTTTCCAGAATTTGATGGTTCTGCTGGAGGCCCATGTTGCCACTGTTCAGCTGGGATTGGAGCTGCTCGCCAATATCTGCGCCGACGATATCCCGGAAGGTAGGATCGAGTTGTCCCGGAGTCGCGGACCAATCTCTGTTCGCCGACATCGAGGGGATTCGTGACGAGAGGCCGGGCCAGTTGTTTTTACAGAGACAAGCTTGCCCACGAGCTATATCGGCTGGCACATGTGCTGCTTGGCTTTCACAAATCTCCTCGAATGAGCCACCAAGCACGTAGCTGACTTTGGCCGCTTCCCCGTCATCAGAGGAGAACTGGGAAGAGATGGACGCTGCCGAGGAGGAAAACGACGAGGTCGAGCTCGACGAGGATCTACAGGACGTCATTGCTTCTGAATCGCAACCGGCCGAGCCCGAGAACAACGAACGCAACCACCTTCTGGACCAGTTCAACATTCTGCCCCGGGTCCTGAAGCTTGCATCGGGCTTTGTGGTTCCCATCACCAACGATATCATCAGCTCCTTTGCCTCCGAGTTAGCCCAGCTGCAGTATCGCGCGCTCGGATGCCTGAACAACATCCTCGACAATGTGCCGGGCCCGTGGTACCAGTCCGAGGCACCCAAGCAAGTCTGGATATGGCTTTTTGATGTTGCCAATCGCGGCGCACAGCAGAGCGGCCCGAAGCTGGAAGGCTCGGCTCTCGAGCTCGTGGAGGCATGCGTCTCAGCGATGTGGGCGCTGCTGCGGGGACTCAAAAAGTCCAAGGCCGATGCGAATATTGTAAGCGCTACTTGATTGAACTGCGCTCCATCGCTGTGTTGTTTTGCACAAACGAGCTGGATAGCGCCGACCGGAAGAGTATTTGCGCATCCGTTCACTGTCGACGCCAGTCTAACACTCTGTCTGTTGACTGCCCTAGGTCCCTACGGAAGCCCATGTCGGTGCTCTGATCCACACTGCTGGCGGCGACGTCCCAGACTCTCTCAAGATCAAGTGCATTGGCGTCCTCAGCATTCTCGGACGAACGCAGGGCCAGATCGAGCTCAACAAGGTAGTTTGTCTGTTCTCGAGCTTGTGCTGTCCATCGGCGATCGTGCTTTGCAAGCAGTCCTGAACGCTGAACGTCGTTGTGCTCACGCTACCGGGTTTCCAGACCATCGGTATCTTCTTGGGCAACACCATCGAGTCCTCGTTGTCGCTGGCCGTCGCTGCAGAGTGCCTCGATGCCATCTATGACGTCTACGGCGACAAGGCCTACGACTACGACGGCCCTGTGTTTGTGCAGCTCGGTTTCCTGAACAAGCTCAAGCAGCTTCTACCGGTGCTCAAGGCCAAGGCCAAGGCCCTCGACAAGCGAAAGAGTCGGGATGTCCGCGGCCGCATCGACGAGGCTCTGGTGAACCTGCGACACTTTATTCTGTACAAGGAAAAGGAGCGCAGATAGCAGATTGCGCTGCGTGCGACTCTCCAGAGGGGGCGGGCTGGTGAGCGCTTGCCTTGCTCCGTCGATCCGTCCCTCCGTCCGGGATTCTAGGATCCTGTCCGCAATCAAATGGACCTCTTGCCTTGATCTCTGCCTGTCCTTGATGGAATATACACACCGCCTATCGCCCGCTGTGGTCAAACACAGCACTTGATCGCTGGTCTGACTGAATACATGGTGTTGGGTCGAACCTGTCGTGGCGCAGGCTGGACGACCGTGACGCTCACATGATCGCACTGTCCAGCCGCCTTCGTCCCTTCGTCCAGGGACCGCTCCGCGTCCCGATGGCCTGCCTGTCTGCCACAGACTCGCATCTGCCGCAGCGAACGTCGGCAACATGTCCTCGATATGGGACCGTCTGGCCGTGCTGGCTGTGATTGTGCTGATCACCTTCGTCCCGTTCACGATCGAGGTACGCTTGTGGTCCAGCCGATCCACCAGCCGATCCACCAGCCGATCCGATCCGATCCGAGCATCGCTGGCGTGCTCTCGGGGGCTGCGATTTCTGACGACTCCCTCTTCCTCCTGCGTTCCTCGTCGCAGTACTTTGTCTTTTGGCCATGGCTGTCATTCAGCTCCGAAACCAAGGCGCTTCTCTATCTCCTGCCGTTCAACCTCAGTGTCCTATCGATCTGGACAAACTACTACCTCGGATGCACAACGGATCCCGGGAAGGTCCCAAAGGAATACGACCCACTGCCGGCTGCGGACGTCTCTGTCGCCGGCCCAGAGAAGCGTGCCGGCAAGTCGAGGATGCGAAGACCGAGGCGATGCTACACTTGCAAGGTCTACAAGCCCCCGCGCAGTCACCACTGTAGCTACTGCGAGCGCTGCGTCCTGAAGATGGATCATCACTGTGAGTGAGAGCGGGAGTGCGACAGAAGCTGCTTTCAGTTCTGGACAGATGCCATCGCCCGATGGGCAATGCATCCATGGCATCGTTTCATATTGCATTTTGCATGTGGTCGGGCTACTCGGTGCATCGGCATGTTGGCCGCACCCTGCGCAGATCCTCATCCGCACCGACCTCGTTGCTCCCCTCAGGTCCATGGCTCAACAACTGTATCGGCTACTACAACTATGGCTACTTTGTGCGCTTTGTGTTGTCCGTCAGTTTTGCGAGCTCTTACTGCGTCTTCTTGACGGGCATGCGGATGTGGGAGCTTCTAGAATATCAGAAGCGCCAGCAACTCGACCCCTGGAACTCGATCCAGTATTACACGCCGCGCCTCCGAGACACCGAGGTGATCTTTATGATCCTCGACATGATCATCCTCTTCATTTTGCTCTTTACCGTCGGCATTCTGTCGATCTTCCAGACGTCGTATTTGCTCCAGAACGTCACGACCATCGAGAGCTTTGAAAACGCCAAGATCGAGGAGCTGAAGCGCAAGCAGGTCATCCCGCAGGATCGCATCTTTCCTTACGACCTGGGCTGGTTCCGCAATCTCAAGGCTGTCCTTGGTCCGCGCTGGTATCTCTGGATGTTGCCCTTGCCCGCGATCGGAACCGGCCTCGAGTTCCCCATCAATCCATTCATCAAGGACCAGATCAAGGCCGGGGAGTGGCCGCCCAAAGAATACTACATTTATAAGAAGGATCCGGGGCGCTTTTCGCAAACAGAGCTGCAGAAGCAGCGAGCCGACAAGCGACGCAACTACGGCGTCCACGTTCGCCGTGGCAGCGAGGGATACATCGTCCGCCCGGTTTCGGCCGAGGAGCGAGAGCGACAGATTCAGTTCTACCTCAAATCCAAGTCCGGCGACCAGCCCGATATCGACGGGCACGAGAACCCCAAGCCCCGACATGGCCACGACCACAGCCACGACGATCACCACGACCACGAGTATGACGAGCACAACGGGCACAACGAACATGAAGAATACGACGATTGTGAAGCCGGAAGCCTCTCCGAGGATGAATACATCCCCACCGACGACGACGACGTCGGTTCAGAGTACAGCTATTACGAGCACAGTGAATACGATGAGTTTTCGGAAGGAGAAACGCCCCTGCGTCTATCAAAGTCCGCATCTGCCGACACAGAGGTCCAAGACGACGACTCGAGCGACAACGAAGTTCTTGGTGTCCGACTACGGAAATACCAGGACGAGCGAGCGGCAGACAGCATAGATGAATAGCACGCCAAGATCATCTCCTTGACTCTGCCGGCACTGCTTGTCCGCAGTACTGATTTGAGCAAAGTGCGATTATAACAAAATACTCGATACAACAGCCACCGCGACCCCGATTTAGAGTGGTCGCCAGTGTATATTCGGAGAGTAACAGGACGGGCCACCATCAGATCCAGGGTGATTGAGTATTAGTGTGTGTAGAGCGGGGGTGGTGGTGCGAATCAGGAGAGATTTGCAAACGACAGGTGTGGCAGAAGGGAGGATTCGGCATCGGGTTGATTGGGTTGATCGGGATCGAGTTTGCGAAGATAGATATGTGTGCCTCTCCGCCTCGTGGGTGGGGAGTGCATCCCAGCACCGAGATCAACATGAAGGATCAACAGGCGATATCAACAAAAAGGCGCCTCTATGCCCTCTCTTTCTTCAAGATGCTCTCGGGCCGATCGAGGTTGCCCTGGAGAAGCTTGACGTCATGCGACAGAGCCACCACTATGGCTCGATCCGAGCCATATTTGAACTGGTCGGCGACAATAGTGCCAGCGCATTTGCGGATGGTGTACTCGTACAGCTTGCCCAACTTGATCTTGCGAAAGTTCCACTTGATGACGAAGACGCCGCTGGAGGTGAGGATCGAGGTGGGTTCGTCGACGCCCTCTTCACAGTTGAACTTTGCCGGCGTGAACTCGATCTGTCCACCAAGAAGAGTAATGTGCTCGAGCTTGAGCTGGAGCCGCTTTGGTGCCTGGCGGCTGTCGGCGCTCATGCGGGTGGAGAACCCGTTGGTGGCAGGGTTGTGCTTCAGGGATGTGTCCAGAAGCAGCAGGTAGTCGCCGCAGGTGATGAGCACATAGCGACCATCGTTGGAGGTGTCGATGGCCAGGATGGGGTCGCCCAGCGACGGAAACAGCGTCGTGGCTCGGCTTGCTGGCAGTTTGCTGAAGAGCCGGATGTCGCCACCGTCGCTGCCGACGGCCAGCTGCCCCTTCTCTGTGGTTGCGCATGAGCTGAACTTTGGGTTGCCAGAGTACTGCTTGGTGTCGCTCTCGACTCGCTTGTTTCCGGCGAGTCGCGGATCGATGCTGAAGATGGAGTTGGAGTTGAACGCAACGACCTTGTTCTGAGGACGAGTTTGGGCGTACTTGCTGTCCGGCACAATGTCGGTGATCGGGGTGCGGTCGTCGACTTGCCATTCCTCGACAATCTTGCCGACGTTGAGATCCATCCTGTAGAGCTTGGACGACTCAGCGGCGTCCATCATCAGCAACGACGAGTCGCTGTCGTAGAGATGCACCTTGGATGGGCTGAAGCCCTTGCGGCTGAGATTGGTGACGTTCACGGAGACATCAGGTTTGAGCTTGTTGTCGTCGTACTTGAGGACAGTAATGGTCTCGCCGCTGACGACATAGGACTGTTGGTGGCGGATGCCGATCACCAGCTCCGAGTTTGGAATCGATGGCCGTGACAGCGAGGACCGCTTTGAGCCGCTGGATAAGGAGCTCCGGATGCTGCGACGACGGTTTTTGTGCTCCTCCTCTTCCTCTTGCTCTTCTTCTTCCTCTTCCTCCTCAGCCTGGTTCTCGGTCTCGTCGCCGCTGTGGGCCGACTCGTCGGCGGCTCGGACACTTTCATAATGCCTTATAGTGGTCTTTGCAGGCGAGGCACTCTTGACGGTGCCTCGGCCGGGTGTGCCTCGGCCGGGTGTGCGGGAAGATGCAGACGGTTTCGCTCGGGTGCTTGTGGGTCGAGCTGGTGGCTTCTCGGGCTCATCAATATCCATGGGCTCGCTGTAAACCTCTCGGAGATAGTCGAGGTCGTCGCCAACGGGGACCTGGCCATGCTTGGCTTGCTGTAGGCAGCGCACAAACTGGGTCAGAAAGTCCCAGAAGGAAGCCTGGTCCGGCAGAGAAATATACAGCGGGCTGCGGATTCCGGAACCGCCGGAAGGATCTGGCGGAACCCACGAGAACAGCAGAGCGGCCTGCTCAAAGTGAAAATAGAGCGCCGGCGAAATCGGGACCATGGTGACTTGCGACGGGTTGTGGTGGACGGCGAGGGCATGGGTCTTGGATGGGCCGCTGATGAACTCGATCTGGACAGGCTGGGAGTGGCCCTGGACGCTCTTATCGCCGGGACGCTGGGCCGAGAGAATTCCGCTGAAGATGCTGGGTTGAGCCGCCATGGTAGGTGAGGATGTGTAGGGCGAGATTCAAGGCTGGGTCTTGGTCGTATATGCGGGGAGCAATATCCTGGCCAGTGGGGATGTCGTGCGGGATGCCGTGCGGGATGCCGTGCGAGTGAGATGCAGAGCAAGTTCAGACAGGATTGTGGAGATGGGAGTGTGCGGATGGGGCTGGAGAGCGGAGGGCGAAAGCGGCGGGGTGAACAGCGCGGCGCCAATACCGACGATCACGGGACAAGCGCGGGCTGATTGTGTCGTTGGACGATTCGGATGGCGAATCGGCGGATTGCATGATTGCAGGATTGCATGATCGCAGGATTGCATGATCGCAGGATTGCATGATTGCGAGCGACTGACGATCGGCGAGAGCGGTGGGGACAGATGAATGCTCGCCACCGAGGGAGTGGCAGCGACGGACAGTCGAACGACCGGGCCGAAAGACGCTCGCAGTGGCTGGGCGTGCAACAACTCAGATATTACAGCGTGCCGAGGAGATAATTAACGACATGATTGTTAAACGGCCCAAGGCTTTTTAACGACTCGGATGTATTATCCAGCGGCCGTCCGCACGCCCGGCGCCGTCTGCGCTCCCGCGAGCACATCCGTCGCGCTGCTGGCCGCAGAAGAACCCCCCCCCCAAATGTCTTCGCCGCGCTCCTCGCCTCCATCTCGCGGCCTGTTGCGCGGCCCCAAGCAACAGCCCATCGCCGTCTGCTCCCCATCGGCCTATGGCACTTGGCCCCATCGCTTCCTGACCGTCCGTCCTTTCCTCCGCACGTCTCCGGGCCCCACGGACTCTCTTCGGCTTTCCTCCTCGGCAGCAGCGTCCCCAGCACGATGAGCCCAACCAAGGATCAGTACTCGTTTCGGGCCGACTGGAGCGTCTTTGCCCTCCACTGGTCGCAGCGCCCTGGTCTCCTGCGATTGGGACTGGGAAGCTTCCTCGAGAAGCAATCTAACAAAGTAAGACCCACACGCCGACCGGCCTGCGGCTGCGAGAGTCGCTGGTCGTATCCTGTTGCTGGAAGCCCGCTGCTGCCGGACTTGATTGGATCCTTCAGCATGCGCACAACGGCTGCTGCTGCGACTGTGGCCTTCTCCGGGACTGGCTTGATAGAGGTCGTGCTCTGCTGGACGAAGCGAGAGCACACACAGTGTATCGGCTGGGTCCTGAGTCCTGGTGGAGACCAGTGGACCCGATGGCTCGGCCGAGCCGGCGTCGATACCCGATCGCCCCGAATGCCCCTCGCCCTCCATCCCCCTCCCCCGCTCCTGCTCGGCCTTCTGCTCGGCCCTCTGCGTCTATCCGTCAGTGTGGTATTGATCGATATGTCCGTTCGTCTTCCGCCTCTCGGCTTTTCGTGTCCGCCGACGAATCCGGGTCGCCACGGCAAACACATATCCTGACTGATACTTTGGCCGCCCAGCTTCAAGTCATCGAGCTCGACCCGGAGAGCGAATCCTTCAACATCGTCACGACAGCCGACCACCAGTATCCATGCTCCAAGCTGATGTGGGCCCCTCAAACGGTATTGCTTCTGGATTGCTTGATAACGGGAGCGCCCAAGTCCACGGCAGAGCCTTGGAGATGCAGCGACGGCTGAATGCTGGAATCGGAGCACGAGCACAGGCTTTTGGACCGGAGTGCATTGTATGGGACCACAGCAAAGCGTCTGGAAACGAAGCAACCAATTATTATGGCTCTCGGTGCTTGTGCTTGGCCGGCCCCTGGACGCAGCCTGGACGCAGCCTGGACGCAGCCTGGACGCAGCCTGGACGCAGCCTGGACGCAGCCTGGACGCAGCCTGGACCTGTATTCTAACGCACGCTCTCACTCTGTTGTACCTCAATCCATCCCGCTGCTGCATCGGTTGGGCGACATCCAGGCTCAACCGGGACCGGAGCTGATGGCCACAACCAGCGATTATCTGAGGCTGTGGGAATATCGAGGCTCCGACTCTGGCGCTCCGGAGCTCACGTACAGACTGACGCTCAGTAACTCTCGCAAGGGATCACAGGTACGGAGGCCGAGCTCAGCATCGATCACAGCAGCAGCAGCAGCAACAGTAGCCATGACATCGTCGGTGATGTTTCGGGAATGGGTCTAATCCTGAGAGCATCCTCTCTTGATCCAGCGCAAGGATCCGGCTCCGTTGACGTCCTTCGACTGGAACGACACCAATCCTGCCCTGTGCATCACCAGCAGCATCGACACGACCTTGCACCGTCTGGGACATCGAGGTACAGCGCCTGCGAGCTGGCCGAATGCTCGATAGCATGAAACCGCTATCGGTGATCATCGCCCGCTCGAGCCAACCATGCAATGCATCTCCCCGTGCTCCGCGCAGACCCAGCAAGCCAAGACCCAGCTCATTGCCCACGACAAGGATGTGTTTGACGTTTCGTTCAAGTCCAAGTCCACGGACGAGTTTGCGAGTGTCTCGGCCGATGGCTCGGTTCGGCTATTTGATCTGAGGTCCGTGGCACACCGCCGGCTGGGCACTGGCCCGCCGCAATACCTTGGTCTGCTTTGCAAGAGTCGAGCGTCACCCAGAACGCCTCTGGGCTGGTGCTTATCGAGCATTTCTGTGACATTTGCAACTCGATCACTGGACACTTTCTTTCGATCTGTGGTCGGGGCCTGGGTTTGCTGCATATCACGCTCTTCACTTTCTGACCGCATGTGTATATCAAACCTGCAGGGCACTGGACCACTCCACGATTTTGTACGAGGCTCTACCACTGGCGAACGGCGTCAGCCCCAGCACCAGCCCGGGTCTGGTTCGGATATCCTGGAACAAGCAGGACCCCAACTTTGTGGCAACGCTGCAGGCCGGGTCGGACTCGGTCATCATCCTGGATATCCGCATGCCGGGAATCCCTGTGGTGGAGCTGCGTGCCCATGGGGCACCCGTGAACTCGGCCACATGGGCACCGCACTCGACAACCCACCTGTGCACCGGAGGTAACTTTGCGGGGGGGGGAGATTGGGGGCGGATGCGGCGACTGTGGCCGTGGGCCGTATTCGCCGATACGGCGCCACAGGAATTCGCACATGGAATCGATTGTCTTGATTCCCACACGATCAATGGCCGCTTATCCATCTTACACTTTCCGCCGGACAGGCGAAGATTCCACGGCGTTCGTCTGGGACATTTCCAACTCGATGAAGCAGAAGGTCATTCAGAACCCAATTCTGGTGTATCAGACCGAGTCCAAGGTCAATCAGGTCTCCTGGTCCACGCAACACTCCGAGTGGGTCGGTGTTGCCTCTGGAAGAAGGGTCGATATCCTCAAAGTAGCCTGAGCGACGCCCTCCTCCCCTCGTCCGCAACCGGAGGGTCTTCCGGGCATTGCTCTCACAATCCAACATATCCGCTCTTCTGGATCAGCCGTTCTCCGCGCCTTTGCCTGCGCCTTTCGTGCCTCTACTTCGACCCCCCCGTTTCTTCTCGCCCTCGAGGACTCTGTCTTGACGATATTCCCCCAAAAGCTTCGCTTTCGACCGAGTTCCACTCCTCGCCTCTATTATGACTGCCAGACAATCCAAATACACCCTACATCGGATGGAATCTAGCCGTGCGGGAGGTGGTGCGAGCTTCACCAGTGTCCTGATGCCACGCAGCGAGGGGGTGTGTCGCAGTAATTGCAGGTAGCGACAGAGGCAGTGTATTGGCTTGGCACATGTCGGTTGGCAACCGCCGAGGCCCTACAGAAACCTGGGCGAGACTGGCGAGGCGTCCACCACAGCTTCGGAAGAAGGATTCGCTTGGGAAGATTGCGGCGGCTGAGGCGGCAGTGGCGGTGGTGGAGACGCAGGACTGCATCCCGCCTTCTTCTGGATCAGCTCCACATAGTTGGACGGAAAGAGACCGATCCGGCCGTTTTGCAGTCTTCCCAGCCACCATGTTGACTGCTGGCCCGTGGGTATCGGGATCTTGTTGAGGATGGCAATGAGCTCGCCCTTTCGGAAGGCCAGCTCATTTTGGGGATCCTGGGATTCAAAGTCGTACAGGGACCTGCAGAACTCGAGGTTTTGGATCTGATCCGGCGTCAACTGCGCTGGGTTGACGGGATCTGGTATGGTAGTGAGTTGATGCGATGTTGAAGGGTCGCATGGGCATCGGTGACGTTGAATCGATGCGCCGGTGTTTCGGAAGGGCGTTCGATGAGATGGGCGAGGGAAACGTTCGATAGTGTTGGCAATGTTGTCCGTGCAGGTTTGTGCGCGTGGGTGAGCAGGTTGGAGATGTCGTAGAGCATCAATTGGGTTCGGTCGAGGTTCGAGGTTTGAGGTTCGGCGTTCGACGTTGAATGGACAAGACAATCAAAATGCGGGAATGTACAGTCCGACACTAAACCCATCACGATCGTGCGGGCTCAGGCCCGTGTCTCCATAAACCGTCGTGCGGCTCATGAAGGCAAGATCACCACAGATGGCCATCGCGGAGTAAATCGGATACTTACATGCAGACTCCGCACCAGCCTGTGCGTTCAGACCAGCCTCCTCCAGCCGCTTGCGGTTGATGCGCTCGACCCACTTTGACATGAGCCACGGGAAGCCCACGAGAATGAACAAAAAGATCCAGAACGGTCGCTGAGAGCGAGCGGCCTTTTTGACATTCTGCTGCTCCGTGGTGAAGGAATCAAAGTTCTCGGCCGAGATGGACTCGGGCCGGACTGGGATCCAGGGCGACAGAAGACGAGTGACAAAGCTCCGGAGGGACCGGAACAACACAAAGGAGGAGAGGGTGTTGTGGAAAAAGGTCTTGAGGAACTGAAAGTGGTCGGCCAGGCCGATCATGGACATCCACGTGGCATGGGTCGTCTGGAAGGTCGACTCGAGCATGTGTGCGAATCCACCAAAGGTCTGGACGATCTGGTCGAGCAGCTGGAAGGCCGAGCGTGTGGAGGCCTCCATCTGGGCGCCGATCGTGTTGGGCATGGCGGCGTTGGGATTGTTGGGATCGTTCTCGCCGAAGCGGCTGTACGGGCCGAAGCGATTCATGGGGCTGTAAGAGCCGTAGTATCCAGAGCCGTAGCCGGAGCCGTAGCTGTTATAGCCACCGTAGCTCCCTCCATAGCTCCCGTATCCGCCATATCCTCCTCCGTAGCTTCCATAGCCACCATAGCCGCTCGACAGCGAGGAGTACGGCGATTGGTATCCGGCGCGATAGCCATACGAGTTGTAACCCGAGTCATAAGGATATGAGGAGCCGATCCGTGAGCCGAATGGCGAGAGTGCTGATGACTGATCCGGCTGGCCGGCGAGCAGCGAAGGCTGTGCAGGCCGATCGGGCAGAGGGGGCGACGCTAAGGCCGATGGGCTTGGTGCGGCAGGGTCATGGCCAGACGAGACTTCCCAGGGCTTCGGAGGCGATGGCATTTTGGACCAAGCGGGATAAGCAGCTGAAGCAAGCTGAACTGGGGGGGGCTCGGATGCAAGCGGTGGGCAGCAGAGCGGTCTGGTGCTGTCAGACGGCGAGCGCAAGGGCCGCGGCGTTGGCGAAGAAGAGGGCGATGGCGAAGAAGAGGATGATGGATCGAGAGGGCGACGAAAGGCGGGTTTTGTTGGTCCACGAAAGCACTCACATGAAAGCGAGGAGCGAGACGGGGCACAAGGAGCGAGATGCACACAATCCGCCAGCGAGACGCCTCTCGGCCAGCGAGAGCGTCACGTGGCGACCCAGGCTCCCGGAAAAACGGCCGGCACAAATTCCATGTGCCGACCAAGGCCATGGTGGGTGGGCCATGGGAGCATGGGCAAACAGCGCTCGGGCGAGGCAGGATGCCGTCCGCGCTGGGGGGGGGGTGCAGGAGGGCGATCCAAGCGGCCTTCTGCTGCGAGCCTGCTGCTGCGAGCCTCTGCTGCGAGCCCGCAGATGTGGTCTAGAGGCCGTCTTGGATTGTACCAAGACATGCTGGGCAGGCCCCCGTCGCTCCTGATTGGCAAGACTGTATTTTTGCATCCATCCAGTATCCAACTTGTTTGGCTCGAACGCTGGGCGATCAGTCGTGCTGCCAACCCGAGCAGTTTCGGCGTGGCAGGGCATAGTTCCCACAATGCTGCTCCAGCAACGAGATATGGTTCCAACGCCCGCTCCAAGAAGCAGACTCGAGTGCGTTGGTGCTCCCTTGGCCCGCAGCCGGCGGTGCAGAGTCTGCAGCTTGGGCTATTCTCGACTACTTCTGCGGACTACCGTGCTTTCACCACCACCGAGTGTGGACTTCCAGTCGTGGCTGCATCGGTATCTGGTACTGCCGATCGTTACGACGAAGAGGCGGCAGCGGTGCTCCATCTGCGTTTTACCGGTGCTCCAACGACACTCCAGCGGCACTCCAGCGGCGCTCCAGCGGTCGCTCGGGCAGCAGCCGCTGCTGCGATCGGCATACTCGGGCGATTGCGGTGGGATCGGCCGAGCACAATGGCTCTGGCGAGACAATGGCTTCTCGCCGCCGCCCCGCGTTGTCGGCCAGCTCTCGCTGCGTCTCGCTGCCCCTCGGCCCTCGCTCGTGCTCTCGCCGTTTCTGCTTTCGCCTTCGCTTCCGCGGTCGTCGTTGCGGTTTTGTCCTTCACCCCGGCCCTTCCTCGCGCAGCGGCCGTCCATCACCCCGTCCGTCGGTGTATCCCTCAGCCGCCTCCCCAGCCGTCTTCCCAGCCATCCCGCACCCTCCCGTGCCATGACAGACTACACTATTTTTGTCAACGAGGCGGGCGAGCAATTCTCGACCCTGAACCGCATCGTCACAGGTATTGCACCCTTGTCCGCCGGGGTTGGGTTGCTGGGATGTATTGCTCACCAGCCGCATCGACGGGCGTCTCTGACGGAATACGTCGTGATCTGCAGTCGCTGCTGCCTATCGATCACGTCGTCTCCATATTCCCGGTGGCGTCGGCGTCGTTGTCTGTGTCATCTGCGTCCTTGATTCTCTCTGTCCGTCGAGACGCGCGGGATGGGTTCTGCGGGGTCGAGGGTGGTGGATATACCTTGAAGGGACAGCCATAGCGTCCTCAAGCGTGATCAGATCGTCCGCGATCTGCGCCGGGCTAAGCCGAATACCTCTCCTGGCCCATCAAAGATGTGCCTGCGCCCATCACCGTTCCTCCCACGGAGGCCCAGTTCTACTCCAAGAAGGACCCCACCAAGCCCGACATCGACATGCTCAAAAACCTGTTTGTCCACGAGGGGCGACTCAGCGAGGAGCAGGCCCTGTTCATCATCCACGGCGGTGCCGCTGTTCTGAAACGGGAGCCCACGCTGCTAGAGGTGGATGCCCCCATAACGGGTCAGTTCTGCCTCCCCTGCCTGTGTTTGGCCGAGAGCGATCTTGCAAGGGTGCGGGGCCGCACTGGCGGGTGACTGCCCTCGTTTCTGCTGCCCCCCTGAGGAGCACCGCGCACGGATGCATTCGGATGCATTCGGATGCATTCGGATGCATTCGGCGGTCATGTAAGCCTGCTGACGACTGATTCTTGCGTCTGCATACCCAGTCTGCGGCGATGTCCACGGCCAGTTCTTCGATTTGATGAAGCTGTTTGAAGTTGGAGGCAACCCTGCCGAGACCCGCTACCTGTTCCTGGGCGACTATGTAGATCGAGGCTACTTCTCGATAGAGGTGTGTTTTCGACCGTGCAGCCTCTGCCCCGTTGGCGGGTGCTCTCGGCACCTTCACCGGGCTCCACTGGCCGGCACGCCATTCCTCCTGCGATCGCTGCCCGTCCCTCCAAAGCGTCGTCAACCTGCACCGCCGCCCTGTTGTGTGGCGCTGTTCGGGTCCCTCGTGGTCGGCGCTGGCTTTGGGCATCAGCCGCCGCGTGGTTCCTGCTGGGCTCGCTCACTCGCAGCCCGTTCGAGCTCTGCGAGACGGCACGCGGGATCTCGCATATGCTGGCCCATACGGCGGACGCCGCCTCGAGTCCTGCTGTGGCTCTGACGTCCGGCACTCTCCTCCGCCTCCACATTGTCGGGCTCGAGTCGCTGCGACTTGGACTGACGCGCTTTGCTTGTTTTGGTGTCTATAGTGCGTGCTCTATCTGTGGGCTCTGAAGATGTGGTACCCGGACACCATCTTCCTTCTGAGAGGCAACCACGAGTGCCGGCATTTGACGGACTATTTCACATTCAAGCTGGAGTGTAAGTTCCCCCCCATCTCGTTCGCGCCGGTGTCGGTCGCAGCCGCAGTAAGAGCTATTGCGTTGCATCCGACAGCCACCGCATCCACATCACCGATATCGATCTGCGCCACTCCTTGCAAACGAACCTCGAGTTGCTGATCCTGGAGCATCTTTCTCGCCCGAATGTGATCCGCGCACCGCACCCATAGGTAAGCACAAGTATTCCGAGAAGGTCTACGAAGCGTGCCTGGAGGCGTTCTGCTGCCTGCCCTTGGCGGCTGTCATGAACAAGCAGTTCCTGTGTATCCACGGCGGCCTCTCACCGGAATTGAACACTCTCGATGATCTCCGCAACGTGAGTTTGGAGCGTTTCCTCAAGCCGGACAGTCTCTCCTGAGACGACATGCTGCGAAGGGACAAGCTGCGCACCGTTACGCATCCCTCTGGAATCCATGGCGACGGGTGTTGCTGTTGGGCTGCGGCTTTGCTGCTGACTGTGCTAACTGTCCGAACGGGCCGGTGGGCTGTCGTCTGTCGTCTGTCACAGCTCAACCGTTTCCGGGAACCTCCGACCCACGGACTCATGTGCGATCTCCTCTGGGCTGATCCGCTCGAGGATTTCGGTCAGGAGCGAACCAACGAGTTCTTTGTCCACAACAGTGTTCGCGGCTGCTCGTACTTTTTCAGGTTTGTCTTTGGAGCCGTGTTCGCCATGGTCGTGTGCACTACTCTCGTCCAGGGTCGATTCGTGCATTTCCCTTCCCAAACCGTGTCGGAGGTCGAAACGGCCCTCTGCTTGTATCTCGCTGCCTGATGCTCATGTCTGGCGGGTCTATCTCTCTCGGCCAACTAGCTATCACGCCGCCTGCGCCTTCTTGGAGCGCAACAACCTACTGTCGATCATTCGTGCCCACGAAGCCCAGGATGCCGGGTACACCATCTATCTTGTTTCCTCCGCAGATCCGTACTCGCCGCGGCGTGGCCTCGAGCCCCTTCTAACGGCCTGATGGCACACCCACAGATATCGGATGTATCGCAAGACCCGAACCACGGGCTTCCCATCGGTGATTACCATCTTCTCGGCCCCCAACTATTTGGATGTCTACAACAACAAGGGTATGTGACCTCCATGGCATTGATGGGCTTTGCCGAGAGGCTGTATCAGAGATCGACTGCAAGGCGCTGTTCTGAGCCTGATTCTTATGACACCCATTGCTGTGCGCCTTGCGTTGCTGTCTCTGACTGATTGGCATGGTCAATCGCTGCTTCTGTTTATCACCTCCACGCTCACGCAACCCGCCTTCGTCTCTGCTTCACATCTCTCTCCAGCTGCTGTGCTCAAGTACGAAAACAACGTCATGAACATTCGGCAGTTCAACTGCACGCCTCATCCCTACTGGCTCCCCAACTTCATGGATGTCTTCACGTGGTCGCTTCCCTTTGTGGGCGAGAAAGGTGGGGAATGCCTGGCTTGGGCCTGTATTTGAGGGGTTGCAGCTCTTACACGCATACCTGGGCCGGCACCTGTGTCTGTCTGAGTCGCTGTGCTAATTATCGTGCTGATCTGCATCGCAGTCACCGATATGCTCTTGTCGATCCTCAACACCTGCACAAAGGAGGAGCTCGAGGAAGATACGCCCAGCCCCACTAGTCCCGAAAAGGACGGTAAGGTCCTGCGTTGTTGTACCGCGATAGCGCCAAAGTACTATCAGCCCTCCTCGATTGTCGATTTATTCAATCTTGTGTGCTCAACGTGTGATTGCCTTTGTGACGACAGACATCAGACAGAAGAAGCTGGCCCTCCGAAACAAGATTCTGGCCATCGGCAAGATGGCTGTGGTCTTCCAGGTCCTGCGGTAAGGAGCGGACTGCATGTGATTCGGCTCGGATGGCTTTGGCTTTGGGTTTGGCATTGGCATTGGCTTTAGCTTTGGCTGCCTTGCCACCCACGGACGCTGGCTAATACTGACACGATTTGATGTACGGCACAGCCAAGAGCGCGAGATTATCACCGAGTTGAAGAGCGTTATGGGTGTCGAGGCCCTTCCAGCCGGAACGCTCGCTACCGGTGCCGAGGGCATCAAGAACGGTAAGTCTGCCATGGACGCCAGGCTGGGTATCGATGTGCAGCTGCCACTTCGACTCGGCGCCTCCTTCAAGAGTGCTGCAATTTTGACAATGTTCACCTTCCCCCACTCTTCGTCCCACTCTTCGTCCCTGCAACTGAATCGCGGCCGTCGTGATGCTCAGCCATCGCCACGTTCGAGCAGGCCAAGAAGGCCGATCTCGACAACGAGAAGCTTCCGCCCATGCGTGACGGCGTCAAGGCTCCTGCTCCTGCTGCTCCGGTCTTTGGAAATCTGCCGGCGGCTGCGCCTCTCAGCAGGCCCATCAACGCCCCCAAGATCACAGGCGTCTAAGGCCAGAGATGGAGGGATGGCAGGGTCTCGTGGTTGGGCTCATCTCCTTCTCGATCCGGGAGGGAGAGGGCCACCACTCGGAGATGCCAGCAAGATATCCGGGGCATATAAGTGCTGTCCGATGATATTTTCGAGTCCCCGGACATCCTGGCTATAACCTCCTACGACAACGAGTTCATCTTGACCAGCCGGCTCCCGGCTTGATCGCTAGAAAGGTACGGCTCCAGTATGATCAGCAAGAAAGCACGAAAAAAGCAACACCCATCAAATCACACACACAGCCAAAAAAAAAAAGTTCTGCCAAACAATATCTTTGTGGAGGGGGAAATGTCGCTCTTGTTTTTGTTTCTCCCCCTCACCCTTGGAATCCTCACTCCCTCCTTCCCCTTTGTATTCACCCGTGGGGCCGTCTCCGTTTTCCTCGCCAAATCGATGCACTCTTGCCCACCTTCGTTTCTTGACTTTGAGGCTCGGTTACAGTCAATCCAATAAAAAAACGAGACGCCTTGGTTTTCGGTCATTGACCGAATAATTTGTTTCCCAATACCATCGCGTGCTGGCCATGGCCATTCTGCGTTACGATGCCACCTAGAAGCAAGGGAAGGGATATGCATCCAGCCCACTGAGACTCTGGTTCGCCACTCACACACCCAGGTGTGCTCGGTGAACGAGTTCAACATATCCCAGGTGTGCTCACAGTGCCAGGAAGCCAAGCGACTCGAGGAGGCCGAGTATCTTGATATCGATACACCAAGTGAATCCACCACCCTCTCACGTCGAGTGGATGCACCGCACTCCCACATCGCCACAGGGGATCGACTAGGTATATTCAAGACCATGCCAACGAAAACAGAGATTGCCAACCAGGACGGGAAACAATCGCATGGCTTGCTCACTGGAGCTTACGACTGACTGTAAGCGCTTCGAAAGGAAACCAGGGTGGAAGCCCGCCTCACCCGAGATTTCAGAGGACACAAATCAGCGTTGCGGGTGGGTGTTGAATATACACATATTTGTTCGTCGCATCAGAGGGATACACGGCTTTGGAGCCCGCGAATAGGCGGCCGTGCCTGGTTGTTTCGCCTGCTGGTATGGCTTATGGCACTAGCGACACCAACGACACCAACGACACCAACGACACCAACGACACCAACGACACCAACGACACCAACGACACCAACGACACCAACGACACCAACGACACCAACGACACCAACGATGCCACAGGCCAAACAATGGAAAGTGGCAAGCTTCTATTGTCGAGAGAATCTTTGCTCTGTTCCCACATCGCTCGTGATCCCCCAACCATGCTTTCTCACGCATCCGTCAGCCAAGAGTGATTACTTTCATCACATTCTTGGCTTCCTTGATCCTCCACCATCGTCCCAGCCGGTGCTCTTGGCCAAGGGCAACGGCCAGGTACAGCACATTGGCCGTTTTGTTTGCCGACAGCGCCGCAATCTGCAGAGCCTTTTCCATGCGGCTCTGCAGCTTGCTTGGCTGTGTCTTGGCTTCTGCCGCGGACTGGGCGGAGAGCGAGCCCTTGTCTCGGTCATCGTCGTCCTTGGGCAGGGCCGGGGCTTCAAAGAACATGAGCGAGTTGATGAATCCGGTCTGCAAAAAATAAGTCGAGCACGCAGGTTGAGCAAGTCCATCAGTCGTCTGAAGGGGTGGGAGAGCTCGTGTCCAGACAACCATCCGACCAATAAACACCACCTGCAAGAGTCAACAGCCGTGCTGTGGAGGAGGGAGGGGTCTCACCATCGGGATCTTGAGCAGCAGACCGAATGTCTTTTTGGTCTCGCTGAGCTTCCACAGCTTGAGCGAGCCATCACAGGCGCCCGTCGCAAACAGATCCGAGTACGGCACCGTTGCGATCGAGGTGATCCAGCCACACTCGCTGTCCGATGCCGACGACTTGAATGTGTGCTCAGCCTGATCCAGATCCATACCGGCCTGTGCGGCGGCGTCAGTCTGGGTCTGAGTGCTGCCGGGCTTGGTGCCATGCGCATACAGCTTGGTATAGATGGGCTTTTTCTTGTTGACGTTCCACAGCGAAAGCGCACTGAGGGTCCAAAAACCATAGGTCAGGATCGGCGGGAAACTACCTCTATGCCACCTGGCTGTGCTCGTTTGCTTCCTCGCCATGACAGCGCCCATATGCTCGAGTGGGTGTGCAAACAACCGACAGCCAATCGTCGGCTTGCGAAACTCACCCACTATCGCTACCAGTGAGATAGTTTTCCTCATCAATCATGGCGACGACATCCATAGACCCGCCAAACAGACCGGTGGTCTTGCCTTTCTTGGAGCCGTTCATGGGAGTCAAGTCATCCAGGTCACCAGAGCCGCCGCCACGGAAGACAAGCTGGGATTCCTCCAGGATCTTCCATAGCCGGAGTGTGCGGTCGCGGCTGCCTGTGGTCACACACCGCTCGCGCGCAAGGGTGGATAGAGATGTGATGCAGTCCTGATGCCCAAAGCTGGAGGCGGCGCGAGGTGTGTGAGCAATCAAGAGGGTTGGAGATATGGGGGCGGCGTATGATGCAGCGATAAAGCACTGCTGGGTCGAGCGGCAGGGACCGAGCGCGCCTGAGCACGGATACTCACAGTGTCTCGACGTACGACATCTCGTCGACATTCCAGAGCTTGACGGACCGGTCATACGAGCCCGAGTATAGCTGGTTGGTGCCCTTGCGGAACGCAACGGCCGAGACGACATCTCGATGCTGCTTGAACGTGTGCAGGTGTTTGTCTTCCAGGACGGACCAGATGTGAATAGACTTGTCTCGGCCACCGGTGGCCTATCGGGAATCAGCAGAGGGCATTACGGTGTGGTTAGGTCGAAGTAATAGACGCAATACGCTCACTGACCTGAGCCACACCATTTGCCATCGTGAAGACAGCCAGGGAAATGTGGATCAGGCAGGGAGACCCAGGGACGATATCGGGGGGGTGTCAAAGATGTGGAGCGATGGATGCTAGCAACACAAGCAGTTGCAGAAAAATGGAATCCGTTGTCACTTGCGCCTTCTGCCGAGTCAGGCAAGCGCGCGCATGGCAACGGCTCCTTGACAGTCTGTATCGACGCACAATTCTGAACCATACACGGAGGAGAAGCATGGCCCAGACTCAAAGCGCGATGGTTGCTCTTGAAACCTCTATCCCCACATTGCACGAGGCAAGGCAGGGCGAAGGAACAACCTCCGCATCTGGGCGAGCAAGCTCAGTCCATCGGCAGGCGTTCAACTTCAAGCTTCGACATTGGTGGACTCGGCACCTCGCTCGTCTCACAGTGGTTCATGGAAGATACACAAATCACAGCAAGTTACCCACCAGGAACTGTCCGTCGGAGCTGGCATCGATCGAGAGGATGTGGTCGTTGTGTCCGATCTGCTTCGCGAGTGCCTTTCCGTGCATGGCGCGCAGAAGCCGCTTGGTGGGCTTGAGGGCACCCGGGAAGACCTGGATCCGTCTTCCCGTCCAAAAATCCCATTTGATGATGGAGGCATCCTTGCTGGCTGAGTAGAGATACAACGGCTTGCGCTCGGCATCGATCGAGGAGATCGAAAGACCCTTGTCGGCAGCATGCGCAGCCAGCACCCGCACTGATGGAGCCGCAAAGGCGAGGCAGGTCAGGGGCAGCTGGTGTCCCTTGTTTCCTCCGCGGAACGTTCGGATACGGTCCTCGGTGACATTGAGTTCGGCGTACTTGTGGGCAATTTTGTGGAACATGCGACCTTGCGCTTCCAGCTGCAGTGGATAAGGAAAAGGCCTAGCGTCAGGACGGCATCGGCAGTGCAGGCCATTGCTCGCGGTGAAATGGCGGTGATCAGCCGACGGAGGCATGCGCGACACTTACAACGTCATCCCGGAGCCGCTCGGCGATCAGATCGCGATCAATATCACGGGCGTCAAACTCTCCTTCCGCATCTATATAGGTGCAGAGCAGACGTTAGCTTGGGCTCTGCTCCACACGGGGAGCTGCAGCCAAGAGACCACGCGGTGCGACTCTGGCAGAAGCAGGGGCCTCGGATGCGAAGCGCCATGCAGCCGCCCGGACGGCACAGAGACGAAAATCATGCGGCTGTATGGGGCGAGGGACGGGCAACAGACAGAGACGTCCAATTATCCCGCTTGGGCGATCACTAACCAACCTGGACCTTATCTTGCACTTCCTTGAGGTAGCGCTTGGCCAGTCGCAGGCGCTTCTGAGCGGCGGTCTCGGCCTTTTCTGCCTCGGCTTCGCTGTCGACATCGCTCTCGATCTGCTTGCGCTCGAGATCGAGATCGTCAAAGTCTCCGCCGAGCTGGTCGTCCTCGTCATCGGCGCCTTGCTGTTTTGACTTGCCGGTCTGCTTGCCGGTCTGCTTGCCGGTCTGCTTGCCGGTCTGCTTGCCGGTCTGCTTGCCGGTCTTCTTACTGGTGGCCGCGGCTCCAGCTGCCTTTTGGCTCTTCTTGCTGTCGCCGGGCTGCGCTCGCTTGCGCTTGGTGGCGGCCGCCTGCGAGGATCGGTCCTTGATAAAGAAGCTGTCCATGTGCGCCAGATGGTGTGCAGGAACCGGGAGATGGGTCTGTCTGCGTGGGCGGTTGGGATGCTCGCTGCGCTTGCTCGGCCAGGTCGGCGGGCTCAAAAAAAATTCGTCGGCACGGGACCCGCGTGGCTTGTGTGGCTTGGCCCAGCACTCCGAAACTCCGACCGTTCGCAGCACCGACCCAAACGTGCGAACGAACGAGCGAGCATTGATCCAGCGGCAGGCGGATTGTGGGATTTGGGAAAGGGTGGAGAGGAAAGGGCGGGAGAGTGGAATTCCAGCTGGAAATACAGCTGGATTTCCAGACCAAATGTGATCGGCACACAGTGAATGGCGGTCGTATTGTGAGAAGCCGGCATGACCATTGCCGGCTGCAATGTGTGTTGGAAAGCGAGAACCCGTCGCCTGTCTCTGCACCGGCTGGTCTGTCGAGCGCAGGAGCAGGACCGCGGCTGCCTCTTGCGCTACTGCGATATCCGTTTCGACTCACACTGGCCAGGTTCTGGTTCTACAGTTGCAAGACTCGCGAAACCCTTCCCCAACACCATCATCACCACTCCTCCCGCTACCACGGACATCGGCCGGGACTGCCGACAGCATCAATGGAAGACGAGCTCGATGCCATTCTGGAGAATCTGCAGCGAGGTAACGGTGCTCTGAACCAGCCATACCACCCTGTGGCGTGCGCATATCGCATCCGTCTCGCTCCTTGGCTGTGAATGACCGTCGTTCATCATTCTCCTTGGACACGGTTGAAATTGCGACAGATCTCTCGCAGGTTGGCGACCCGAATTTCAAAGGTACAATGTCTGCAAAAAGCGATCAGTTTGGAGTCTCCTATCGGCGCTTGACTGACCCGTAGGCTTTCATCGCTCCCACGCGAACAGCACATTGTCGACAGTGCCACGGTATGGGAATGTACCCGCCTGCACTGGCAAGAGAGGATGGGAAAGAGTGCGGCACACACGGCCCACATTGGAAGCATGCGGACTGTGCCAGCGCAGTTGAAGCTGCCGACTCACATACCACTCTGGTGCTCCCGCAGGCAAGATCAGCAGTCAAGAAGGGCTCAGCTACACCAACAACGACATCATCTTCCACTTCCACGAAGACTGCTTCGTCTGCAGTCTTTGCACCAAGAAACTTGGCGACGAGCCCTTCTACACTCACGAACAGAAGCCGCACTGTACCGCTTGCTACCAGATCAAGATTCTAGGAACATGCGAGCGATGCAACCAGCCCCTGGCCGATGGCGTGATCAAGGCGGGCGAGAAGCGGTTTCACCTCAAATGCTTTACGTGCTCGGACTGCAATGTGCCATTTGAGAGCCAGTACTTTGAAAAGACTGGAAAATACCTCTGCAAGGTGAGTTGCATCTATGCGGTGGCTGGAGAAGGGCCGAGGTCAGGTGCTGGTTATTCAGCGTGCGGGACGATCGGGGTTCCTCTTGGCGTGGCCTGTTGGAACCCGCCGCAACTCCATCCTGCTTGAATCTGAACGACGCTCCATCTACTTCTGGCGTCCGAGCGACCCATCAGCCCTGCTACGAGGCTAGTTTTGCCCCTCTATGCGAAAAATGTGGAAAGCGCATCTTGCCCGACCCGGGGACAACCACGATTACCTCGGTCACGTTCAAGGTCGGTAGCTGGCTCGGTCTGGATGCAAGCACTGCTCTCTGAGGCGACGACCCCACCGCCAGAGGGCAGCCATGCAACTTTTGCTAATGCTGCTGGGCCATTTGACGAATCCAGGGAAAGCCATACCATGCCGGTTGCTTTGGATGCAAGGTTTGCAATTCTCGTGCGAGGAACAATGCCCCCAGCCCTTGACTTTGGCAAGGGAGATTGCAAGGCATCGAACGCACTGATGGTACATTCAAGCCCCAAGCGAAAATGCTTGCCTGCAATACTGACACTGTCACCTTGTGCTCCACGCCGACTCTGCAGGGATGCGAGCAGCCTCTTCCGGACTTCAAGGGCTTCCAGCATCAGGACGAGATCTACTGTCGGCCCTGCTTTGACAAGATCCTCAATGCCACCTCCAAGGCAAGTGCAACGGCCGGCAAAACTCCAGGCAACACGATAGCGCCTGGTCCGTCCGGCAACAGCTCGAAATAAGATCCTTGGGTACGATTGGGTGTCGGGGTGTACGCCGCAGGATTATGAGCAGGATGCAATACATCGGGAACCTGGGTACGGCCTGGTATTTTCTGGAACAGCAGGAGCTCGTCCTGGGGCCAAGATTCCAGCCAAGATATCCACACACTTTGGTGCCCATAGATTCAGTGAAAACAGGTCCATGCGATGATTTTAATAGAATGTCCTTGGCAGTGTGTCTTGGACTAAACCGAGATACTCGACCCTATCGAGACTGGGATGGAGCAGGTTGTCCAAGGGAATTATGACATCGATCCACCATTTGCAGTATGTGCAGTATGTGCAGTCTCGTTCATCCTTCGACATATTCAAACTTTGATTGTGCTTTGGGCTGGGATCAAGCAGTCCGCGAAAACAATTTGATGTGCTGGACCAACGGGAGTTGCGTCGATACACACGGGGCTGAGAACTTTTATCTAAAGCACATCCGAAGCGAAACCAAACAAAACTGTAATGGCGTGATCAAGGACTACTCCTTCAATCGATACCCAACGGACGTGTCCATCAGTACCCGCCAAGAGCACCCCCATTGGCCCGCAGTAAAGCGTCTTTGCTTAGCTGTATGGTTTTATTGAATGTTAACCGCTCATATAGCGTAGGTGGGCCAGGAGTTGCAATGAAATTATAACGTTTGGAAAGGAATGTTGTCGGTTGAACCGAAAGATCTGGAACCCCGATTGAAGCAGAAAAATGGCCGTGGAATATCCGTTGAATGGCCAGCTCGATAGAGCGGGCAAGTGGGGCATGACATCGGAAATAGCCATCAGGGCGATGAACTGGCCATGCCACGGCGCTGCCTAGTCGATGAAATTACTTGGAGCAGCACGATCCCTTGGCCGGGGATGAGGCAGGCTGCTTACCCTTGGGCGAGGGGGCGGCGGCGGCGGCGGCGGCTTGACCAGAAGGACCCGGCTCGGTGCTGGATGAGCCGCATTGGCACGGCGAGCCAGAGCACTTGCATCCTGACGGGCATTTGCATTCACCTGCACAGGCGCACGGCTTGCCAGAGTCGGAGCAGTGGCACGACTGATCGCATTTGCATGGCGTCTGGTTGCAGCTGCATGGCTTGCCGCTGCTGGTGCACTTGCACGATCCATGGCATCGGCAGGTCGACGCGGGCTTGCAGACGCACTTGTCGCCCGACTTTGTGCAGGTGCAGCCCGAGGAGCACTTGCAGGACTCATTGGGCTTGCAGGAGCACGCTTCGCCCGACTTTGAGCACTGGCAGCCTTGGCCACAGGTGCACTTGACCTTGGACGAGCACTCGCAGGTCTTGGAGGACTCGAGGCATTTGCACGAGCCATCGCAGTGGCAGGCTTGGCAGTGGCAGGCCTCGCCGCTCGCGGTGCAAGTGCAAGCTTTGGAGCAATGGCAGGTTGACTTGACAGCACAGGTGCAAGGCTTGCCACTGGCCGTGCAGGTACAGGAGGCATGGCACTTGCAGGTTGAGCCCGGCTGGCAGGAGCAAGGCTTGCCGCCGGAGGTGCACTTGCATTGCCCGCCGCAGCGGCACGAGACCGTCGGGCCACAGGTGCAGGGCTTTCCGTCGGCAGTGCATTTGCAGCCGGATCCACAGCTGCACTTGGAGGACTCGGAAGGACAAGAGCAGGGCTTTCCGCCAGCAGCGCACTTGCAAGACTGATCGCAGTGGCACTGACTGCTGGCGCACTTGCAGATCTTGGCGCCTTTGGCGGAGTCTAGGCACTTGCACGATCCATCGCACTTGCAAGGCGAAGTGCATTTGCACGGCGCGCCCGAGTCGGTGCAGGTGCAGGTGCTGGCGCACTTGCACGTCGCTTGGATCGAGCACGAGCAAGGCTTGCCCGAGCTGGTGCAGTGACAAGAGACATCACAGTGGCATGAACTGCCGATGGGGCAAGAGCAGGGCTTGCCCGAGCCCTGGTTGCACTTGCAGCCGTCTGGGCATTTGCAGAGACCGGACTTGCACGAGCAGGGCTTGCCGTCGGCGGTGCATTTGCAGCCGGAGCTGCAGTCGCAGCTGGTCTTGGAGGAACACCCACACGGCTGGCCACCCTGCGAACAGGTGCAGCCATCGGCGCAGTTGCAGGCCTTGGGGCGCTTGTTGCTGGGCTCGCTCTGGGACTGGAGCTTGCGCTTGGAGCAGGAGCATCCCGCGGCACCGGCACCTTGGGAGCAGCCACAGGGCTTGGGGCAGGGGCAGGAGCTGGATCCAGAGGAAGACATGGCGGCCAGATGATAGGTTCAAATGATGATCTGAGGATCTGAAAGCCGACGAGAGCGAGTGCACGGTCTGTGAGCCGGGTGGAGAGAACTGGACGCGATCTGATGGGAGCGGCGGGACCAGATCGAGATCGAAGGGGCACCATTTGGGATCAGGAGCAGGAGCAGAAGCAGAAGCAGCAGTAGGATCTGATCAGAATGGGATCCGGTTAGAACAAAATACTCACAGGGGTCTGAGAAGGGAGCGCGAACGGAAGGATTCAGCCAAGAGAGGACTGGCAGGATGCGAACAGACGGGATCGGATGGATCGGATGGATCGGATGGATCGGATGAAGGGGGAATGCACCAACGCAGCGGCGGGTTGATATAGCCGGTGCGCGAATTTTGCATGGGACGACGAGAGATTTGTGCCGGCTTGCGGGAGAGTTCGGCGCGGCGTTTGTGCGAGGATGAGCGCTTTGTGCGCGTATGAGTGCCGCCGAGCAGCTTGTGCGCAACAGCGCGCAGCCGCACCAGATTTGCGGTTCGCCGATGGCTGTGGGGAATGTTCAGACGGGGCGCAAGGGCCGGGTATTGCTGAACTGCAGGGGAACTGCTGGGGACTGCGGTGGCACCGCGCGGGCTGCACGGTTGGCAAATGGAGGATTGTGCGGGCACGCCGAGAAATACAGCGTTTCCAAAATGAAATGCGACACCCCGTTTGAACCATGACAGTTGTTTTTTCTGTGAACTGAATACACCCACCCACTTATCGCATTCATGGCCAAACACAGCACCCTCGATTTCCGCATCACTGCACTGCGACCGGTGGTCTTCACTCGGAGGGTGTCCCATTTCCCCCTGAGTAAAGCGTAACCAGGCAGAGCGTGCCCACCGGCACCGACAAGCCGATGCAACCACCGCTCTCTGCGCCGGCCTTGTGCTCGATGTTCTTGTGGGCACTCGATCTCTTCCAGTCTATTCAGCCCGAGGCCGGGCCGCTGTGCATCCTTTGGCAATCACACGCACTCCCCGAGCGATCGATGGCCGCGGACCACCCTTGCTTCACCCTCCCCTGTCCGCCCACTCGCTCCAGTATGTGTCTCCTGTCGAGGTCGGAGGTGCCGTTCCGGTCTCAGCGACAAGCAAGCTGGACTGCCCGGCCCTCCAGATGATCCTTGTCTTCTTCGGAGCGAGGAAGCGACTCCCATCTCAGGAGCTGGCGGCCTGGCAGACATCGAGACCCGCGGTCAGTGGCGTGCGCTTGCGGCAGCAGACTCGGTGGTCGACGCATGTGCAGCAGGGATGTTCAGTGAAACACAACCCACCATTCTGATCCATTCGGTCCTCCGAGTGGACGCCTTCCGCCTGATTCGACACAAAGAAGTGAGCAACACAAAAGCTCACACACTGCCCAGCTCCTCGCATGGCAATTCATCATCCAGTGCGAGTCCATCATAACCGGAACCGTCGGCATTAACACAGCGCACCCGTCGAAGCAGCGGGTGCACAAGTGTGCCGCCCGTCCGCGAGCTGGCTTACATGAAACATCCAAAAATGTCCTGGACACGGAGAATGGGCCTGTGTTAGCGGTGCCGTCTGTGATCGACCGCACATGCTGTTGGCCGCATCCGTCAAGCGAGTGGCTCGCCTCAAGCACCGAGCGACAGAACATACCATTGTTGCATGCCTCCAGGCACTTTTCGCAGGGCTGGGTGACATGATAGCCCACGACATTCCCGCAGCCCAGACATGCCGCGTCTCTTATCCTACAGCTGTATATCATCGCATCGAGTCCAGCCATCAGAAAGCGCCGCGGTGCATCGATCGATGCCACCAATCAGTCCCACCACCGCCTCGGGCTGTCCAACAGTGGCCTGGAGCGCTCCGCCAGATCATTCACACAGCGCCACAGCCAGCATCGGAATACATTACAGGCAATTTCGAGTCGTATAGTCCAGATGGATCAGTTGCACGCCTCGAGGAGGCGTGTCTGTTGAAAACAACTCGACCTTGGTGTTGCCCAACAAAATGGCCTTCATCCCACGCTTGCACATCAGCGTCGCGCAGTGGTTGCAGTAGAGCTTGCACACTGCTTTCTCGCGAAACTGCGGGTGTATGGCCGGATTGACTGCCACGCGACGGAAGGGAATATGGGTATGCAGACCGGTGGCTCTCGTGGTTGTGGCCGGTCGTGGTGTCTCGGCAGGGTGCTGGCTCAGATCATCCGTAGGGATCGCCGTGCCCCGGGCCAGCCAGTATGCCCGTCGTTCAGGGGTGTTGCTGAGACTGGTGCGGGTTGTCGGCTCGGGCATGGGAGTGGGCTCATCCAACCGCACCTCGGAGGTGTTGAGGGCTCTCCAGCCCGAAGCGGTTGCTCCAGCGACCGAGGTCGAAGTCAACACCTGGGACAGAGCCGTTGAAAGGGCATTGCGGGCAGCGTTCGGCTCGGGAATTGCATTGACGGTCCCGCGGCTGGAGCCCTCACCACCAAGACGGCCACCACCGGAGCGCTCTTCGTGGCCGAGTTGGGGGTTCGTCCCTTGCGGGCTGGCCGAGTCGGATGCTGTCGACGCTTGTCCTTGTGTTAGCGTTTGCCGACCCTCAGAGGACACTGAGACGGTCGGCCCTGGAGGAAGTGCGGGGCACCGAGAGGGAATGAGGAAACATTGTGTGGATGAGACTCTGTCTTGGGAGCACGGCCATCACCTGTCAGGATATGCCGAAACCAGCACGAGTGATACTTTGATCCCAAAAGCAGGTGCATCCAGGCATCTGCCGTTCTCCCTATCGATAGCGCTGTTGGACCACCCTGGTCGACGACTACCCTGCCATAACATACACCCATTGGACTATTTCTCCGACGGCACCATCCACATCCATATCCACATCCACATCCACATCCATATCCATATCCACATCCACATCCACATCCATATCCACATCCACATCCACACATCCTCACACCCACCCGTCCAATTTGCCGCAACCACTCAACTCACCGCTCCCGACCCGGAGCCGCACAACGAGCCGGTGCATTGCTGTTCGCAACGCGTCCGACTCGTTGCTGCTGCGCTGAATCTGAACGCCAGTGCCATCGGTCGCCGCCGTTGCTCGGGTATCAGATCGCATCTCGATGACGTTTGTTGTGACGAGCTAATTGGCGGCTCTGTGGGTTGGCTGAATGTCGTCTAAGCAGGAAAATGGGCCGTCGTGCGTGCAAGGAGGAGCGCAAGGGGAGAGTATGCCCGGTCAGTTTCCTCTGTCGAAGTGGCAAGTGAGCGACTCGGCTCGACTGTGTATGGAGGAGGTCTCGGGCGAGGGTTGAGGTGGAAGCTTGAAGCTTGAAGCTTGAAGCTTGAAGCTCGACACAGACTTGGGTGTTGTCGCCTTTGAATCGCGGCGATTCACAATGCAGCTTCACTGTTATCGAGGCAGCAAGATGAGTGGTTCAGTCAGGGTCGGGGCGCTTGTCACTATGATGTGGAACATGCAATCTCAACAGCTCCGACTCTGAGGGGGGTGGAGAGCAGAATCGCGGGTTTTTCGATATGCGAAAGACTACCGACTCTCGTGGTGGCAACGGCCATATCGGCAGAGCCGGCGAAACGGTGCGGGGAGGGAGGCGTGTTGGACAATTGCAAGCAGAATGGGCAACGCGAATGGCAAGCGGCAATTTAGGAGCATTGTTCTCACGGGAGCTTACCAGATTATCGCGCGGATGGTATGCTGACGACGATGTTGGTGTCGATAGCAATCCAGACAGCGGATTTTGGAGGCCCGTCACGAAACGAAGCCGAGGATGGGGGTAGTCGAGCTGGGTTAGGTTGAGTCGAGCCGAGGAGCACAAAATGCACGAGCAATCGATCAACGCGAGGGACTGAGAGGAGCTCAAGGGGGGGAGGAGGATCGGAGTATTTTTCTTTCCCTGGTCTCGGACAGCCACTCTGTGTCCACCCAGCAGCAACAGGGGAGAAGAGAAGGAAATGGACTCGAGGCAAAGAAAGGCCGGCCGGTGCTTGATCAGTGGGAGAGGGCCACCATCGGTTGGCGCCGTTGCTTGGCTCGGAGGTTCCTGGCCCTGAACGGAAGCCCAATCTCTCTCTCCCGCTCACACTGCTTTGAGATAGAGGCCATGCAAGGAAGCAGGATATTTCACAACGAAGCGGGGCGCCCCGCACATGCTCATCATCATCCACGATAGCCAGGTGCTGTCCAGAAGACCGAATGCATTTTCTTTCTCACGACAATACTCCCCTCACACCAACACAACACAGGCTATGATTTCGTTCTGGGCGAGTTGTGGAGCCGTGACGTCAATGCCACACGCAACATGACTACCATCGATGGCAGCGACAGGGACGGCGGCCGTTCGCCCTTCACATCTCAAACAGTGATCGCTGATTGACAGTGGCCTACCAAGGCATCAAGTGCAGCACAGTCGATGATCAATGGTTGTGCGATGCAGCGTGCTTCTCACAAGTCTCCAGATCCCAACGCTGGGATTTCGACTGGTTTCAGCATCCCAAGCGACATTGTCCGTAGAGACGTGTGCTGCAGAGAATCGTCGTGATCAGGGAATGAGCTGTGTCGAGAGCAGTGTCGAGAGCAGTGGTCTGTCCTGAAGGATCCAGCGAATGACACCCGCAAACGACACCCGGCAAAAGCACGCTGCTTCGTTTCATCGTGTGAGCGCTGTATTCCGCGTGTCTCCGGGTCCAAGTGCGATCCCGCATTCGCTGTCAGCAGGCCCAGGAGCCTGAATCCCGCGCACGACTCTAGTAGATCTCGGCCATGATGAGGGCCACCAGGGCGGTCCAACCCGTGAATGGATGGGAGCGCTTGCCCTGGCCGTCGAGGGGAGAGTACTGCTCCCACACGAAGCCCTGCTCCTCGTATTTCTGATGGCAGGATCGTGACGGGGGACAGAGTGCAGTCGTTAGCGAGCAGATCAGGCGTGGTCATATGCCCCCCCCTTCTCGCTCGCATGTCGCCAGGAAGGCCGCACACCCGTTCCTACCTTGTAAACGTTCACGACGACGTTCTTGCGGAGGTGGTGGTAGATGGTCTCGGCCCGAGCCTTGTAGGGACCAGACGACTCTTTGAGGGACTTGCGGCATTCATAGCGGCCGGGGCAAAAGCGCAAAGGAAATGATGAGCGTCAGCTCGGCCGCACAACAAACTAGGCCATTCCGCGTGATTCTTAAGACGAGTCAAGCGCTGTATCGATGGTGTGGATTGGCCGGCGATCTCTCCTTTCTTGGTCGCCTGCCCCCTCCCGGATCGCTCTCGGTGCAGACATACATGCAGCCAGCCCAAGGTCAAGTAGTTGATGTTGATCCAGATCGGGCCGCGCCAGTAGTTCTCGCTGGTTCCAAAGAAGGGATCGCTCTTGGACAGAGACGCGATTCCAAACGGCGTCCAGAGTTCGTTGGGGTCCTCGATCAGGTCCAAGACGGCTCCGACGGTGTCCGAGTCGCCAGGAACGAGTCCCAGGATCGCGGGCATCAGACTGAGATAGCCCTTGTGGACCAAGTGAACCGAGTGGCCTGGAGGAGAGTATGCAAAATATGACAAACTCCATATGCGTGAGTTTAAACGTCCAGCTCTTCTCCTCGGAGCACACGGCCCAACCGGCGCAGTACCGTACCTTGCTCGTTGACGGAGAGATCGCAGTAGGACTGAGATTCGGGGTTCCAGTGCAACTCTGTCGGCCAGGCGCGGAGAGAAAGGATCAGCGACAAGGTCAGGAGCGACAGCGGACGGCGGGGACAGTTCACCAGTCGGATGCGCGAAGCGTTGCCAGCAACGTGGGCCTTGACGACAACCAACACAGGAAGCGCAGTGCTGACCTTGGATGCTCAGCTGGATGTTCTCGACGTCTTTGCGGAAACGGTCGGCATCCTCGTACTCGTCCAGCCGCTCGGCGACGGCCTGCAAGGTCTGAGCCATGCACCCGACCCACGAGATCAGATCAACGTGGAGCTCGCCAGAGTGAGGCGGCGATGCGCGGGGATAGTCATCGAGGCCCGACGTCAGCGTGTGCTGGTCGGTTCGCCCTCTCCACCGGTAGGCTTCGCCGCCGCGGTTGCTGCGTCCAAAGGAATTGCCCTCGCCCCACTGGGTGCGACGGAACCATTCGTACTGCTGCTTGAATTTGGGGTAAACCGCCACGAGATAGTCGACCATGCCATCTTGGTCCAGGAGCTTGCTGTGGGTCTGCCGGTACCAGCCATGGACGCTATCATCACCGGCATCTATCCACCAAGCGCGTACATCAGCCAGGGGCCATCAGAATCACAGATGCTCGAGGTAGCGGATGCGTGTCTCGCGCAGCCAGACCAACCAGAGAGGAGGCACGCTCAATGCCAACATGCAGCCCATCGGCCGACCCGACATAGTCACACTTCCCATCGCGGCAACAGCTTTACCCAAAATAGCTTGCACATCCAGGCCAGCGCGGCCGCTACTGAGATGCTGGAGTCGCTCGACGTGTTTCTTCAAGCTGAAGGCAAGGGTAGGGGGATTGGCGAAATGCGGATACTGGGTCTGGAACTCTTTAGGGACCTGGAGAGGGGCCATTCATCGTGGTCAGCTGGCGCAGGCAGCAATCCGTCTGCAGCAAAGAGGCACATTGAGCGTCCCAACATACCCGACTGCGAGCCTCGTCGCCAAGGATCTGCTCGCGCGCGACCCAGCCCTTGTCGTCGATCAGATCGGCCCAGTGCTGAATAACGTCCAAGCTTGGGTACACAAATAAGGACGAGTTGTTTGAGGAGCCATGCAATCAACGTCGCGGCGTCTCGCTAGCCAACCAAGGGCTCAACTGACATAGCTAAAGTCGGATGTGCTTCATATATCGTACCTCAAATCACTGTCCCAGGTGCCGATCAAGAGCTCATGGAATCCCTCGTCCCTACGAGGTCGCGTTTTGTGTTCGATTCAGAACCAGGTACGTTCTGCAGCAGCTTGACATGCAACCGGCGCTCCACCAATACATGTTCCACCAGTCATCAACTCCCACTCCATGACTCGAGCATTACCACAGGAAGCCTCGCGGGAAGAACGGTCGAGAGGGCACAGCGGTAAAGAGCGAGAAGGGACCCTCGAGCTGCGGGTTCGGCTTGATGGGCTCAATCTTTTCGCCACCAAAGTAGTCGTCATCATCATCGTCGGCTGTGTCCTCAACAAAGTCGTTGATCTCCTCGTCCTCTCGTCCTTCAAGAGCGCGGTCGACAATCGCAGTACCATGGAAGTATCTGGGATTGGAATCGAATACCACGTTCAGGCGGATTAGTGGAGTGGATGGATTAGTGGATGAATAGTTGGCATCCATTGGGTGCATTCTCTGCATCAGGCCGTGGCGGTCGTGCGTTGCCTGCGACCACATACCCCATGCCGCCGACCATGTTGCTAAGGAGGTGCTTGGCAAAGTCGATCTGGTCCGGAGCGAAACCCTTGTCTTTGAGGGCAAAGACGTGCTCGAATCGCTCGTCGAAGCGGGCAGAAGCCTGGCCCAGGGCAGTCGTCAAAGCCTTGCCGGACAGGTCACGGACTTGAGGGGTGTTGCATGCGTGACAGGAGCAAAGCGAAGCAGCAGAATTTCAGCCTGGCGGTCGCACGCAAATGGTCGGAGTAATCAACACATGTTTTCCGGAGCAGCCTTCCTGCGGCCCATCACGATTCTCACCCAGATCCACCGAGAGCTTGGAGTGAGGATGGGCCGACTGGGAGAGGAACACGACATCAAGCTGAAATGCAAGCAGGAGGAGGGGAATCATCGTCAGCACCGATGCTGGAACGCAGGCGTGTGGCGCACGGTGTTCGTCGACGGCTTTATGGTAGACATCGTCCGTTTCCGGGAAGAGACTCGAATCGCTCGTACCGTGAAGGGCGTCTTGAGAACACGCTCGATCACGGCAAAGTTGGGGTCGAGACTTCTTTCGCCAGAGAGCAGGAACAGGTTTTCGGGGGTGAAGCTGTTCTGGTTGGCCTGGTAGATATCCTGGGCTGTCTTCACGATGTTGCTTTGGACGATATCTTTTCAAGGAAAACGAGGCCGAGGACCATGAGGAACACAGCAAATCTGTGGCGACAGGGCTAGTGGCTCGCCAAAACCAAGCGCAAAACTCGCACCTTTGGCTCGCCACACCTGCTCGTGCGGAATCTGAGCAGAGTAGGTGAACATCTGTCGCAAATCGGGGAGGTTTGCGTTCCGAGGGAAGGCGCTGGGCGGGGGTTCGTTGCGCTCATCTGTGCATTAGCCGGGTCCAGCGATTCAATGTTGGAGACATGGCGACGTAGCATCGACAGAGGCCAATGAAGTAAGTCTTACAAGTCCAGAGTCGGTAACGAGGCGGACTCGAGACGGAACGAGCCGATTCACCGCACGCGGTATCGGAAGTGCTTCGTCAGGGTCGACAAACCCTGAACTGGACTGGACATACCGTCGACAACGACAAGGGCAAACTGGCCCAGCTCCTTGGTCTCGCCGCGGATGAAGGTCTGGTCGTCACTTTCCTGCGGTCGTGTGAATGTCAGCCAGGCGAGTCTGCGCGGCTCGCCAATGACCCTTATCGCATATCACCATTCCACGGACAAGTTGATCGGGCAGGGCAGAACCAACCAACCGCCAACCAAACTCATCGCTCTCAGTCACACTCACACTGTCGGCGAATTGGAGACGACCGTTGCCTTCGAGGCTGGCGTAGTAGTACACGGCGATGTGGGCATCTGGATGAACGAGGAGCGCCGTCAGTGCGGTTGGGTCCGAGGTAATCTGTGATCATGATCGTGATCGTGATGGCAATCGGGGCTGCAGGACCAACGGCTCTGGCTCGGGCACAATAGACCAGCCGATTCTCGGCCTAGAAGTGAGGCGCTTACCTTGGTCAGTCAGGCTGCTTCCGGAGATGCGGACGGCCCACTCACCGCCTGGGACAGAAGGACCGACAGGCGCCGAAAGGTCAGCGCATTTGATGATCGCAGCCACTGACCGTCGGCGAAGCAAGCGCCAGCATGGACAGCCACCGGGGACACGGCGAGTCCTGCAGAAGACGCACGGCTCCTACCGTGCTCTCCACCCGATGCCTTGAGAAACTCGGTCTTGATGAGGACATTGTTGCGGGTGTCGTGAACCTCCTGGGTACCAAATGATCGTCCGTCGTGCTTGAGCCAGCCGTAGCGCTTCATGTCGTCGCCTTGATCGCAGTTGTGGCGGATATCTAGCGCACACCGTGCATTTGCGTCCGCAAAGAGTGGTTGGGATCGTCAAACGAGGCAAACGGCGGGGATCGACGAGATCGGCGGGTTCCAGAGCACAGATGCGACGAACGAGTCCCACAGGATCCATATCCAGATCCGGTGCCCAGAAGGATGGCGATGCATCGCGACGCAGACAATGTCGCATATCGCCCGCAATTGGTGCTTCCATGCGACTGAGACATACTCTTCCAGCTCTCCAGATCCGAGACGCCATGCCACATCAGCCCTGTCAGCAGAGTGTCGGCCGAGCGGGTGCGAGTTCCGAAATAGAGCCCGGGCCGGTAAGTGCCCCAGAACAGGGAAGCATTGTGGGCGCTGAGCGAGGCGGCGGCGATGCCGACCGAGCAGCAGATTGTGAGCCCGATAAGCAAGAGGAGCCTGTGCATGTCTCTTGGGCAAGCAGGGCCAGAGGCGATCGGGGCAAGGGGGGCGATCAACGAAGCCAGCAGGCCACCGACGAGCTTATGATGGAGAGGAGGACGAGGGGCTGCTGGTGCACGCGGATTGGCTGGGCACAGCGCCACAGACATGCCAGCGAGAACGGCCCTCACTGACCTTCGCTGACCCTCACTGACCCTCGCTGTCTCTCCTGCTCGAGCTGTAGTGCATGAGCTGCAGTGCGGTAAAATAAGGTTGCATTTGGCCCGTATATATTTGTAGGTATGAAGCTCTGCCAGGATCATTATGAGCGGCGCAAAGGAAATAGGAGATCAACTCAGGGAAGGAAGCACGGAGGGGGTACTCCAGGGCGACTGGACGAGGTGGACTGGCGCTTAGCCGAGAACCTTGCGGATAGCGCCGCCAAAGTTGTTGTTGTTGTCAGCGTGGGCGGTGGACCAGAACATGACGCCAGCTGGGCGTTGGCAAGTGGACGGGCGCATATAAGGAAATCAAGGAGAAAAAGACAGTCAGTTCATGCCGCAAGGGATCCATGTGCAATATACCCGCGAGTCGGAAGAGCGACTCGAATGGGACGCAGAAACTGATTGACTGACGGACTGCGCTGGGCGCAAACAGCCACCTACCAAAGCGGGAGGAAACCGCCGAGTTGCCCTTGATCTCGCTGACGACCTGCGCGACCTGGTTGGGGGCGAGGTAGCCGGATCCAGCGACCGTCGAGGCGGGAAGACCCATGGCGATCTTGAAGCCCTTCTGCTGGGCAACTTGGTCCCACTGGGCGTAGTTGAAGCGAGCGTCGATGTTGGTGATGTCTCCGGCCTTGTAGTACTCGGCCTGGTTCCATCAAAAAGAGTGCGGTGGCGGCAGTGTTAACTGCGAACGATTCATGCAGAGATCACCACGATGGCGCAGAAAGTGATAGATAACAGAATGGCACTCACAGCACAGTAGTTCTGGTAGAACTGGGGGCTGATCCAGTCGAACTCTCCGCCGGCATTGTCGATGGCGATGTGCATCGAGGCGTCAGGGTAGAAGCACTGGGGAGCGGCGGTGAGATAGAACTGGCCCTTGGGAGCGAGGGCGCGGTAAGCCTTGGCAAAGGCGTCGTAGTTGTTGGGGAGGTTGTTTTCGACGTCAAGATCGAATCCGTTGAAGACAGCATCGCCAAAGGGTCGGGTGGGGTCGTTGACATTGCCGTTCAGGAAGGTGTTCCAGAGGCGGTTGGCAAAGTCAGTGGCCTCGCCGGCAGATCCCAGGCTGGACTGGCCGCCGTTGGCACCACCAGCAGAGAGCAGGACGGCAATGCCCTGGGACTGGCAGTACTTGATGCCGCTGGCAGTCTCGGCGAAGGGATGGTCGATGTGGACCTGCAGGGGAGCATTGTGGCCGTAGACGTCCAGGAAGGCTGCATCAACACTGGCAGTCAGTATGCAAATCACGTCGATGGGAAGCGGGCATTACACAGGCGCAGACCAAGATCGATGGGTGTGCTCATGCAGATGTTCATGCAGATGGTCATGCAGATGTTCATGCAGATGTTCATGCAGATGGTCATGCAGATGTTCATGCAGATGTTCATGGGCGTAGAATACATACAGACAACAATGACGTCGTAGGAGCCCTCGGCACAAGTATCATGGAGGTTCTTCTCACCGTAGCTACCGCTGCAAGCAGATCGAGCGGGGCAGGTGTCAGTACGATCGCGACAGGCTATTGGACAACCCATAACTCGAGCATCGATGGGGCGCTCAACCAACTGACGCGGCCGGATGGAGCGATGTCTTACTTGGCACCCCAGTAACCGATGACAAGCTTGCCCATGCGGCTGGAGAGATCGATGGGCTTGTAGGGGCCAGAGGGCGACGGAGGGGAGACGGTGGCCGAAGGGGAGGGGGCGGGCTTAGAGGTGGTCGCGACGGTGGTGGTGGCCTTGGAGGTGGCCTTGGAGGTGGCGGGCTTGGTGGTGGCGGTAGTAGTAGTGGTAGTAGTGGTGGTGGTGGTCTTGGTTTTCTTGGTCTTGGTGCTCTTGGTCTTGGTGCTCTTGGTCTTGGTGCTCTTGGCCTTGGTGCTCTTGGCCTTGGTGGTGGTGCTCTTGTGCTTGTTGGCGCGGGCCTCGAGAACCTGACCGGATCGGCACGTTCAGATGCATGTCTTGGTGAGCGTTTGCTCCAGCGTCGGCCAGAGACGATGCTGTCCAAGTGAGACAGCCACGAGACAGCTCCGGATGTTGCAACCTTCCCCACAGCGAGCCTCCCAGAACCTACCACAGGTCTGTTGACGCAGATAACCTGGAACTCGGCCTGGTAGCAGACCTGGCCCGAGGGGCACTCGCGGACAGCGTCGCAAGAAGTGTAGACGGGCGAGTGGCCGGTCTCCTGGCAGACCTCTCGGCAGGCCGGGGCAGCCAGGACCGCGGGCACGACGGCAGCGGCGGCGAGCGACAGGAGGGCGGAAGTCTTGAGGAGCATGTCTGCGGGGCAAGGACCAGCTTTCGGCAGGCGAGAGAGGGGAAGAGGAATGGGCGGGTCGGCTGAGGGGCGGATGTCAGCGGCCGGCTTTATACAGGCGCTGTGCCTTGCGGGGACACCTTTCTTTTTGCGCTCCATGGCCGCCTTGCTCTGCCTGGGTTGCCTTGGCCTCGATGCCCAAGATCGGCGCTGGTGCAGCCCGGGCGGCCTTGCTGCTCGGTGCTTCCCCTGAGGGTGCGCGCGGACGAGTGGTACAGCAAAGGATCGTGTGCGACCCAGCCCCACCTTGTGCGATGTCGTCTTGGAGGGCGTGGGCTGCGCTCTGTCTTGTGCGGGGTGTGCGGCTGCCAGTGGATGATTCTGCATGCTCCCGGGGCTCTCCCAGGGCTCTCCAAGGACGCTCATGCGACAGCATACGACCTGGCTGGCTGTGCGTGCTGGAGGGTGGGCCGCGACGCACACGGCGACAGCGATGCGCCATCCAGCCATGACGGACAGAATACTCGGCCGTGGTGCATTCGGCGCCATTGCTATTGCCACCGCCATTGCTATTGCCATTGCCATCCGATGTGCTGCAGCCGAGGACGGTCTCGTTTTCTCTAAAGAGTTGTATTGGCCAGGAACCAAAGTGAGCCAACGGGCATGACCTGCTCCGAGAGGGCACAAAGTCGGCCGCTCTGCGCCAGAGGACCGGCGTGAATCAACGCAGATGCCGGGCTCAGTTCTTCTTCTCGGGCGGCATGGGAATGTTGTCGAACTCGTCGCTTCGGACCTTGTTCATGGAATACAGGACTGCGCGACGAGAACGAATGTCCGTGTCGACGGCGACAGAGCCATTGATGTAACCGTAAGAGTCCGTGTCAAACCAACGCAGAGCCCATCGCTCTCGCCGACATCCAGCTCACGATCGCGCCAGGACAGCGAGCCTGCAGGACCCACTCCTCTCCTTCTCCTTCCCGCATCCATGTCTTCTCTGCGCGCCACGTACATGTGGCCAATGCAAAGGCAACAAGAGCCCCGCCAATCTTGATGTTGTTGTTGCGACGGATCGGGTTGATGCGGCCGGCGGATGGTGCGGCAGGCGGCGGCGGTCTCATGGCTGCGATTGTGCTTTCGTGCTAGATTCACATTCGGGCGATGCAGAAGCGGTGATGAGAATGTGCACAAAGGCGGCTGCATGATATCGATCGCTGCTTCCGTTGCTTGGGATGGATGGTTGGTTGGATGGATGGATGGATGGATGGATGGATGGATGGATGGACGGCCGCTTCGAAGACGACTACCGTGGGTGCAGATATCCACAGCGCCGAACATGCAGCCAGTCGCTCCGACACCAGACATGCTGCCAGTCGGCCCAGTATCGACGGCCTGCACTCTCGCAGGCGCTTGCGTATAACTTACATGGTTGGTGGTCGAGATCGGGCCTGGGTTGCAATGTGCGGTGCGCAGGACAGCCGTTTTTCTTTTGCACCCGCCAGCCAATGACAGCGCGCGCTGTCACTCTGCCTCATTGCACGTGAGGCCACGGGTTGGTATGCGGGGGCGGATGTCGCTGTCGCACACGCCTTGGCCTCCGCCCACAAAACGTAATCCATAGCCCCCCCCTAAAGCACACACCCTTTGTGTCGTCAGCTGTCTTTATTGGCGGCATAGTGATAGACCTTGACACATCCGTCTGTTGTCGATAATGGACAGATGCAGACCACCAATGTCAGTGCTCTCCCTTGGCGCTCAGACGGACAACCCATCGACATCGATCAAGCCGTGGAGCTTGGATTCGAAAACTGCATCTCCATTGACCCGCTGTGGTCTGCTTACCGTCCGCGCAAGAAAACAAAAGAGGCCGCGTTGGATGGAAGATGACATCTCGGACTTCGAGCTCTGTGCAAAGACAAGGCAGCGGCATCAGTGGCAAGTCCTCCCAAACCAAGCCAGCAGCATGCTCTTGTCTGCAACTACCTTCGTGCCCTCGCAATATCGCGCTCACATTGCCTGTCTGCATGTGGTAGATAAAGATCCGTCCGTCGCAGGTTGGGGCAGCCACGTATTTTTGGTTGCATGTCACCTTGGTCAGCCACGAGTTGGATACATAGCTGCATTGTCAGCAGAAGATAGGTCAGCCGTTAGGAGCTGCGGGACCGCAAAGGCAAATCATCCCGCCGACAATAGTGCTGCCGCGACTGGCCCGACTCTGGTGGTGGAGACTGTAGGCTTACTCGTCATCCTGGAACGACTTGACCTCCCGGATCTCAAACTGGCCGCCGAGTCGATTGGGATATATGAGCTTGTATATCTTGACCTTGTTGGGTATCGTGCCTGTGTCGATCGCCAATGTCCGTGAGCAAGCCGCAACAGGACGACGGCTGTCGCAGCCAACACATGCCTAACAACAAGAATCGCGCAGCCATCGCCATCGCCGTCATGCTTACTTTGCTGCTGCTCATCTTCCACGACTTCAACTCCGCGAGTCACAAAATATCCAAACATGGGCGAAGTGTAGTCGGCCCCTTTCCTCGAATCCAGCACTTGGTCCCACGTCGGCGGCGTTTCGAAGGCTGTCGGCGAGATGAACTTTGCGCAATCACAGTAGCAAGAGTACAGGCCATCGAAGCTCTGTAAAAGCTGTGGCCCCAGACCAGGTGACAAGCGATTCAAGTTTGGAGCGAAAATCACAAATGAAGCACCGAGATTCAACGATGCATGTCAGCACGAGGCAGTCATGCACCGGGAATTCGCGTTCCCAGAAAGCATTGCCAGCGCTAACCGTCGCGGTCACGGTCGATCACCCCGGTGCGGCCCGGTCAAGAGCGTCGTACCTGAGCTTCACCAAAGTCAAACAGTCGGACACCCGCATCACATGCGGCCAGAAAATACCGGTTTCCAGTGTGCGGCAGAAACGTTATTGTGAAGGCCATGCAAGTGATGCCGTCCTCCATTCTCTTCCGCGCGAGTAGCCTGCTGTTCCATCGACATGTAAATGGTATGGCCACGTCCGAGGTGTCGAGGGGGTATGCGCAGTGGCAAGCAGCGTCGGTGTGAGAACGAGAAAAGTATCATAGTCCTGATGTCGCGGTCCTGGCATCCGGATTGATGGTGCGCTGGCGCCAACCGCAGTCGGTACTCTGCCCAATTCGTTACAGCCCTTACCTCCAGTCCGATGCGATTTTCCACCGGATAATATATCCGTCCTGACTCGATGAAATGCAGTAGGAGTCCCCCATGTACTCCAGGTATTTGACTGACAGGATCTCTTCCTCGTGCCCTTCGTATTTGGCAATGACCTTGCCCGTGAGCACGTCAAAGACCTGGGGAGAACAGCGTCGTTAGTCTCATCGGCAGCGCCAAGCATATACACTGGGCCTTCACGCCACCCCTGGACACCTCTGTGCGGCTCGACGATCCGTTCTAGTGACGAGCAGTATTGCTGGAATGTGGAATCATCTTGATCACTTTTGATTTTGCACAGGCCACCGGTTGAATGGCTGTTTCCTGTGTATGTGTTCGATTGTTCCCAATTTCCGAAGGGCTCATTCAACACAGACACCCACCTTGAGCGGACACGGCAGAATGTGGTTGTCGTCATCCAGGGCAGACCAGCGCTTCCTATCCTTGAGCCTCCCTCCGACCACAATGCGCTTCATGTCCAGCGAGAAACGACCGACATAATACTCCTCAATGTTGGGCTCCTGAATACGAGCGGGAAACAGGAACGAACCACAACATACCGCAGAGGCAGGGGCGGAGTTACCCGACTGGATTAGTGCTGCCTCATCTGTAGCGTGCGATATGGCCGCCGAGGCAAGTTCCAGTCCGTGTACGTGATGCATCCAAATCAGGCTCTCACATCTGCATCTCTCAGGAATTGGATCTCTTGAAAAGTATCGAGGTCCCAGATCCGCACGCAACCGTTGTTGCAAAAGGTGGCAAGCATGGAATGATCCGGTGACAGCACCATGCTTGTGATCGGTGCTGTTGGATGGAGCCATGTCAATGACGATGAATGTCTGGGCAGCTCAGCGGGTCCTCTGCTGGGCTCGGATGCACCACGGAGGTATTCTGGCGCGCCATTCGAACATACCTGTGTCGCGGATATTGGCATCGTCTCTCAGGGCGAGGGGCTCACCCGCGTTGATGACAGTGATCGGCCCAGGCTCGGTCAGGTCGGCGACAGCGTTGTGGTAGTTATCAGGATACTTTGCAGACAGCATGGACATGGCGACTGAATCGAAAGGTGAGTGCTGGTCAGAGGAACGATGAAGGTCAGCAGAGACAAAAATAGGAGCTAATCGCACAGCACCGGTCTGGACCGATGCCATCGTGAGCGCCTGCACCTCATAAGCGGAGAGCCCAGTGCCGGGGCAAAGCGACAGAGGGATACTCACGACATGAGTCTTCTTGCGGGTCGCTCTCGATGTCCGTGCTTTGGGTTTTGTCTTCTCGGCAGCATCTAAGGGCTTCTCGGCTTTGGAGCAACAACATTCACAGTACCAAAGGTCAGAAATCGGGCAGCCGCAAACCAGACGCTGTTGAACGGCCATGTTTCGCCTGCAATGAGGGATCGCTGGGCAGGTTCCAGCAGTCCATTTTGCCGACATCCACACGAATGCCCACCATATTCCTTTTTCTTTGAACTCTTGGCGACTTTTGGCGGCTTCTGGGTGGGCTTGACGGGCTCGGGAATCGGCGGGGGCGTCGATCGGGGCTCGATCTTGATCGGCACCAGGCCGGCAGAGTGATCTGCATCGATGCTCTCGACGTCGATCTCCTCGTCTTCGTCATCCCCAGGCATAGGCAGCGCAATGATCCGAACAGGATAGGTTTGGACGGCTCTATCGACCATCAGGGGTTTGAACGGGTATGGGTTGGCCGAGCGGTGCAATGTCGGCACGAATGTCGTGGAGGTGTCTATCGAGGTGTTCTCTTGGAGCCGATCCGCGGCTGTGGATGACGGTGTCGCTGCCGGTGATGTCACTTGAACCGGCGCAAGCAAGGCCGTCGGCATGCTGGACGGCGACACTGGAGACTGGGCTTGGGCGCCATAGCGTTGGTTGCCGATGCCGCTGGACGGGATTTGATCGGATTCAAGAGACGGATGGACGGTTGCTGGCGACGCCGTGGGGATGGATGCCGGGGTACTGGACGGCTGTGGGCAGAGGGGAGGCGTCGGCTGGTCGGATGCAAAGGAGGCCGAGGTCAACGGGGTCATATGCATATCATCTGCTGAGGCGAGCTGGTCCGAGGCGGTCCGGGCGATGGACTGGGGAGATCAGGGCGGCGATGATGCAGGAAAGACGACGGACGGTGCTGCGCTCGCGAGCGCGGCGATGCAGATGGTGTCGGCGCTGGAGTCGATACCAATGTTGACACCGGTGTCGATACCGGTGTCGATACCGGTGTTGATACTTGTGTTGATACTTGTGTCGATGCCAATGCTGTGATCCATGGCCATTGATATCTTGTCCATGCTGTGATCCATGGCCATTGATACCTCGATCGCTGACGACCCACGTGAAACACATGTCGTCGGTGCAGTTCCCGCGATCCCCAAACCCCCAAACGACTGCGATCTCTCACCCTGCCCGCATTTGTCATCGCCGTCATGGGCGCAGGGTCGAGTATATCAAGCAGCCCCGGCCCTCTCTTCCTCGATCCCATATTCCCCAGACAGCACTGCTCGCCATGACCAACCTGGAATTCGTATGTCTCCATCCAGCATCCTCCTTCGTGGCTCTGTCGGTGTCGTGTGCTCGGAGATTGCCAATACTCACCCGGGCTGCTCATGGTCCCTCCATTTGCAATAGGCTATCGTCGACGCATTCGTTCCCAAGAAGGACCTTCGGTTTGCCGGCAACCCTGCTGCCGTCGTCCGCTTCCCTCAGGCTCAGGCCGGATTCCCCAGCGACTCTGCCCTCGCCGCGATTGCCGTGTGGGTTTGCTGCAGCCGAGACTCCCACCAACGCACCTCTGGATCGATCATGCAGCCGCAGCATGTATCTGCGCCGGCCACCATGATCCAAGCGTAGCGGCGACGGCTGACCCCGGCTGTGTTCTGTCCACAGCGAATTCAACGCACCGGCCACCTGTTTCCTGCTACCCCACCCCGAGTCCACGGCCAATGTCCCGAGCTACCATATCCGCTATGTCAGCCCCCACTACGAGATCCCACTCTGTGGACATGGCACCCTGGCCACATCCCATTTGCTCTTCTCGGAGCTGCCGGCGAGCGTCCATACCATCAGGCTGGTGACCCGGAGCGGCCAGATCGTGACCAGCCGTCGGCTCGGGGACCAGATCGAGTTCGAGTTTCCCCTCTTCCCGGTCCATGACCTTGCCGACCTCAAGCAGCAGGAGCACTCCACGTCGGTGCTGCAGAAGGCCATCCCGGGATTCACTGCTGCCGACATTGCGTCTCTGAAAACGGCCAACGGCACTGATCTGCTCGTCGAGCTCAAGGACTCGGTCGATCTTGAGGCGCTCAAGGTCGAGACTTCGCTACTGGTGAGCGCAAATCATGGCCACGGACGCTCTGGACCCATTGTGCAGCCAGCGGACCCTCGTGCAGTTTGCGTTTGTCGATTGCGATGCTCACATCGTCTTCATCCATCAGGAGAACCTTGGCTTCAAGCGGCTCACCCTGACCAGCGCCCGCCCGTCGCCTGCCCTCCCGGTCGCCGATTTCCAATCCCGAGTCTTCTACAGCACCGGAGAGGATCCGGTCTGCGGCGTGGCACACTCGCCCCTCGGTGTCTACTGGCAGACCCGACTCTCCAAGTCCGAGTTGGTTGCTTACCAGTCCTCTGGCCGACAGGGTCGTTTGGATGTGATCGTCGATGCAGCCCACTCGCGCATTTTCCTGAAGGGATACGGCGCCACCGTCATGACCGGCACTCTCTCTGGGGCTGCCCTGGCCTCGATCCTGTAATGGCATTTGCCCAGAGGAACGGGCTCCTCCTTTGACAGCGGCTATTCACTCTGATCCAATCCCAGAGCCCTTCGTGCAGTGTAGCTCGGCCAAGTGTTCGTCGCTGCAAAGCTGTTCATTCGAGCAATACACCACAGTTGCCGAGATGAGAGGCGCTTGCGTCCGACTACCCAAGCCTGGACAGCAATCGACCCGCTACTGTAAATCCTTGTGCCGATGTCAGATCACATAGACTCGCAGATCGTTGAAGAGGCCGTCCAGATTCATGCCGCCAAACACCAGGATGCCGCTGGGCACGGCATCCATCGGGATCAGCTGCAGGCCAGTATCGCTCGCTCTGCCGATCGACCCTCCCGCAGGCGACCAATAGCAGGCAGCATGGTCCAAGCGTCTCGATGACCCCTCGGACGGCTCGCGAGACCACGCTTCGGTCTCTGGTTGATGGATTGGATGTGGTGCGGAAGACTGGTCAGGGGACGCTTCGAGCAAGTAGCCCGCTCTGGTCCCGATGGCTGCTCATGCGATGCGGTGGCATGATACGACTCCATCCAACGGAGCTGCAGATACAGCCTCGCTAAACGCACCTGTGTCGAACGAGTAGATATCGCCGAGAACCATTGGATCATGGTGTCTGTTCATGCCGCCGATGACGTAGATGCGGCGACCGACGAGTGTGGCCGAGTGAGCCGATCGAGCCAGAGGCCAAGTCCCTGTGACATCGGGTGCAATGGCTCTCCAAGTCCTTCGCCCTGTTCGACAACCGAACATATAAAGACGACAATCGTATCAAATGACCGCCCTTGTATGCCCGTGACGGCAATGATGGTTCAATGAACCGTCATCTCTACACTGTCATCTCCGCACCGTCATCTCCACACAGTCATCTCCACATAGGCTCGATCTGCCTTACCGACATCAAACGCCCAAAGATCGCCAAAGCTAACGTCGCCATTTAGCCCTCCAAAGATGTAGATCGAGCTGCCACAGGCGATCACGGAGTGCCCCTGTCTTGGTAGTGGTCGTGGCCCGACCCCAGGGTTCGTCAACCGGACCCAAAGGAGGCTTTCTGGCGGGTGGAGGACGAATGACGCAAAACCAGACTCATCAATGTTGGAAACAGCAGCTGGAAAGATCTCTCCAGCTCGCTCGGAAGTGGGCAGTACCTACCGACATCCAGACAATACATTTCAGCGTCATCGACGGCCGCGGATCCGGACTGGCCTCCTCCGAAAACATAGATCCTGGACGAGTCTGAATGGGAAGCAATTGCACCCATGGAGTGCAGGGTCCGGGGTCTCGGGGCTGTCCCGCGAGCTTCAAGGAGCGACCAGGAGAACGATTCTTCGCAGAACGTTGAGACAGAGGCTAATTAGTCAGAGTGTCGAGCATGCCGATCCTTCACAAGACCCTTGCAATCGAGAAGGAAACGTGTACAACCAAATGTCTCAAAGGAGGAACTCACCAAAGTTGAATGCCCACAGATCATTGAGAACCTGCTCGCCGTCCGACCCACCAAAGACAAGCAACGTCGGGATCCCACGCCGATGCACCAAGCAAGCTGCATGCTCATATCGCGGCGGCGGCTTCGAGAGTAGTTGCGGTGGCCGGATCCATCGCTTGGTGGCTGGTTGCCAAGTCGAGTCGAAAATGAGGTCGAATTGGTGGTTGATGGAGAGGAGCGAGGTACGCCCCGTGAGAAACGGAACAGCGAGTCGAACACTCAACCCGATATATCCGCCAGGTTCCCGGATCTATCTCTGGGCAACGACAGTGACCGGCTGGCTTACCGAGCTCAAAAAGAACCAAGTCGTTTTGCGGGCCTTCTTCGTGACTTGCTCCCCCGAAGAGTGCCGCGACGCCCTTCTCCGGGACAAGTGTCAGCGAATGGCCAGCCCTTGGCGATGGCAGGAACGTCGTATCGACAAGCGCCTCGGAAACGTCAAACCAGGCCATTCGATCGACTTGGCTGGTAATGAAGCCGGGGGGGGGGAGAGATCTATCTGCTGCCCTCCTGCAGACGACGAGGAGGGCTGTTGCTCGCTTGGCTCGCCGCCAAGGGACTGGAGGTCGGCAATACCCGCCAACCCCAGTCTCGAAGCGCTGGGCGCGCATTCGATGGCGGCGAGCCACGAACGACGGGTCATCGCCGAGGCAAGGTTCATGTCGCCCGACCGCAGTGCCTGCACATGCATGCGCACTCGAGTCATTCTACAACCGCTGATGGAGATTTGATTGCGACGACGATCCACCGTGCAAATGGATGTATGGAACCACGTATGCTGCTCTCAACAAACGGCCGTTTGTTGAGAGTAGTGTGCGATAAGGGATGCGGGTGGCCGGCTTGAGGCTCGGGTCTGAGATCCAACATCACATCGGCAGCAATCCCATCCAGATACTGTCCAAGAAAGGCGGTGGATGATCAAGTCCAAAAACAAAAGAGAAACAACAGCAGTAGAAGAATGCACAGGTTTCAAAGTACAAGATGATTTACAACTCGACAATCAGGGAATCGTGCCAGCCCCGGCAGCTCTTCAGCCTACGCTTCTCCAGGATTCCACAAATCGGTCTGTGGGAAGTACAGTCCGCGACTTCTTTGCCCGTCCTCCTGGGCGGCTGTGGCTATTCCGAGACATCCGAGTGCTTTGAGAGCGAGAGGGGATCGAATCCCTCGGCCAGCGGATCGAATACTGTCGGTCCAACGGCTGGCTCTGCGTCGGTCCGTGTCGGTAGCTTTGGCTGTGGCTCGACAGCGGCCGCCACAGATACTCGTGTTGTTGAGGGAGGCCGGTCCGATCTGGTGGTCGTCGTTGTCGTCGTCGTCGTCGTTGTTGTTGTTGTTGCCGTCGTTGTCGAGGTGGCAGCAGGAAGAGGAGAGGTATGCCAGGCGCTGCAAGACCAGAACCGCCGTCAGAGAATGCCGCAAGTGTCAGGGGTCGCAGCGTAGCATCGGCGGTCCTCAGGCTTCGTCAAGAGCGGTCCTCCCACATACCCAAAGCCGTCGGCGTTGCTGCGGCCATCGCCCCAGACGTTTTCTTCAGCCGGAGGCGGGACCGATGCGACAAACCGGTATCCGGTCGAAGGCCCGGCCGGCGTCAGGTCGTGGAACTGGCCGAAAGCTCGTCGGCCGGGGCGGAACGTCGGGAACTTGGGTGGGGATGGTGTGATGGGTGCTTCCGGCAGCTGCTCTGGAGCCGCTTCGCTGTCGGCCGACGGCGGGTTCATGTCGATGAGGACCTCTGTCGCTGCCGATGGCGCAGGCTGAGGCCGGGTTGCAGATAGGAGGGGAGGAAGGACCAGGAGCAATAGGCAGGGTCAGTGCTCATCGTGACAGCGACGGCGGGATGGCGGCGCAGGAACATCCAGAGTATCGATACATGGCCCTGGCGTCGGCCTGCCTGAGCCAGGGATAGCCGATATAGCGGCTTCCGTCCTCGTAGCGCCGCCAAGGCTGTCTGCAGCGGCCAATACGTACTTGCGACGAGGTCATTCGGCTGATGTCCTCTCTGGTCAGCAGCTCGGCGTCCTGGTCATGGTCCCGCAGGAATTCGTCGACATCGTCGTGATCGTAATCACCATCCTCGTAGTCATGGTCGGCCTCCAGCGGCACCGGCCGATAGCCAGCAGGACCGGCACCTCGGGCGTGGCGAGCCTTTCTGGACCGGAAGAGCGTTGCAATTTGGTCCCAGACCGATCCGCTGCCGTGGCCCCCGCTGGCTGCAGAGCGGAACGACGAGGGCTCGTCGAGAAGAGACTCGAACTCGAGATCGCCGTCGTCGTCGAGATCGGCATAGTCCAAGTTGCGTGGATTGGAGAGCGAGCAGCACAGAGCACCCATGATGCGAGCGTCCGAGGCGACGAGCGGCGAGTGGCGATCAGGGTCAACCAGGGCGGCGGCCGACAGCCGAGGGCCGGCTGGGCTTGGCGAGGGCGCTGCGGCACATCCCTGTTTTCGAATCGACAGGTCGACTGTCGATCCGGTCTGGATTGCCCTGGCATATCCGAGCGCACAGGCCCGAGCACTGGGGTAATGTGGATGCTGTGTGGCTGAGTTGGTCACAGTCCGTCGAATATTCATGGTACACTTTATTCAGAAAAAAACGGGACAATATAGCCGTTTCCATGAACAGGTAGTATGTGCTGTGCTTGCGTCAAGCAAAGCCACAAGAAATAAAACAGATCACTTTGGCAGCCTCCGAGTGAAGTCCGCCGGTCGCTCTCCGATCTCCACAATCGACCTGCACACTATGATCATGTTGCGCGCCGCATTGACGTCGCGATTCCACACTGTCCGGCAGCTGGGATTCTTGCAGCTCCTGACAAAGTGGGAATTCGCAACACTGGGCGCATCGAGTCCTTCCAACCGAACTGGCTCCAGGCACTTGGAGCACACCTGCGAGGTGTTGAACTCGTTCGTCGAGGCCACCTTGACGCTTCCATGATGGTGATTGGGACGGCGTCGGTGGTGCTCGAATTGCTCAAAGTACCGAGCAAATCGCTGCCTCCGAGGGCTGGATGCATAGCCCTTGCCCTGTCGCCATGACGCATTGCCAAAGGCGATCACCACATCCTTCTCCCTCGGGGCGTGCTTCAGGACGGCCTTGCACATCCTGTCGACGGCCACTTGGCGCCTCTTGTGGCCCGTGAAGCGATGGTGACGGGCCTTCTTGCCAAGGTGGAAGTCGAGCTGCACTCGCAGCTCCGGTCGCAGGACATGGGTGAGATGGACCTTGAAAGCCTCCGAGGACGACACCTTGGGCGAGGGGGTGGTCGACATCCAGGTCTCGATGCCGAGTCGATACTTCATGGTGTTGTGCCACTTGGTGTTGGACGTATGGCCACACATGTGCTGGTAGTGGCCATTGGAGAATGAGACCACCTCGTCTTGGTGGCCCGGTGCTTGGATGACCGCCGTGAAGATGGAGCCGACTCCAGGATCGATGCCAATCCAAGTGGACTTGTCGGGGTCTGGGTCTCCGATGTGGGCCTGGATACGCTGCTCGGCAGTCGGAGGAGGCTCGGAGGTCTCGGTGTGATCGGTTCGAGGCAGAAACTTGACGAGACCGATGGTGCATCCAATGCCATCGGTGCTGATCTCGTAGTTGAACAGCTTCTTGTCCACGTCTCGCTCTTGGAAGAGGGAACTACGCAGCTTGAAGCAACTGCGCCAGAGACGATCCTAGTTGTTGACACCGTCCTCACCTTCTTCCTTGAGCTTGTCCCTGGTGAGTCCAAGGTGCTTCTTTGGACCCAGGAGCTCCCAGAGTGCGACGGTGTCGATCTTGACATACTTGGCCTTGGCTGTGCACAGAGGGACCATCGTGCACACGGACGGAGGAGTGTCGAGAGCGAGCTGCTTGAGGGCCCAGTTGATCCTGGCGGCCAGCTTGTTGATCTTGGACTTGGTGGTGCCGAGCTCAGACTTGGCCGTGGTGAACCTCTTGTCGTCGGAGGGAATGCCTTGGGTAGTGAGCTCGTCCAGCTTGGCCTGGCGCTGCAGCTCGGTGACTCGGAGGGCGGGCATGTCACAGTCGATCCACTTGTGGACATCGTCGACCATCTTGTCCCGGGCGAGGATTCCCACATGGTGTGAGAGGCGATGGAGGGCCCGGAAGCGGTCCTGGTCGTTGCTGTACCGAAACTCGTCCAGGACGTGGCCAAAGTCTGGATAGAGGAACTCGAGATCGGCCTTGGGTGGAGTCTGCCCTGGTTTCTCGAAGAGCTCAAGACAGGCCTCGATGGCTTCGTGCTTGTGCTTGTTGGCTGGGAAGACGGTAGCGCAGAAGCGGCGAAGGAGTCGCCAGTATGCCAGGTCGAGGTGGGTGGTGCAGTTGGTGGCATAGGCATTGACAGCGAGTGTGAGAAGCTGACTGTGAGCACCATCAGGCAGACGAGGGGCCGGAGGCAGGTCTGCGTGCCGAGTGGTCTGGTAGTCGCGAAAGGAAGCGACCAGATGCTCGTTGTATTTCTCGTTGTCCCCGGTCGGCGAGAGGGCATCGGCCTCGACAATCGTGAAGCATTGGCGGATGAAAGCAGGGGTGGCCTTGGAGATGACGGGGACGGGAAGATCCTGCTCGATGCACCGGAGGATGTGCAGGTTGAGCAGCCTGGATGCCTCGAACTGGATCTGGGTCATGGCCTCGACGGTGGCCTGGATCTTGTCGCGGAGAGCGGGATTGAGACAACAGCCATCCATCGTCTGCTTGAAGCAGCTGAACTGAGGGGCAGATGACCTTCCATCCACGAGTGGGACGACAGAACTCTTGAAGGGGTGATATTCGGGACATTTGCTGGTGTTGCAACGTTCGTGATCGGTGCCATCGCACTGGCGACATCGCTTGCCAGTACTCGAGGAAGTAGATGGACCAGGCTCGGTGGGATCGACATCCATTGGATCTGCAGAAGCAGTGGTGGTGAGCGACGGAGCAACAGACGACCAAGCATGCGTGGGGTCAGAATACGAACCAGAGACAGGCTCCGACTGTGACTTGGCTTTCTTGGGCCTGGGTGGCCGAGGCTGGCCATCACCGGCACCCTTACGCTTCGGAGGCATGGGGGCAGAGGATGCTGGATGCCTGCCAGTGGTACTGGTCAGAGGAGAGACTTTTTTATCGTACAATAGCGCGATGATCAGATCAAGGCGAGATGAGGGAAGAAAGCAGCAGGACGAAGGTGTGGCATTTATACCCGAGAGCAGGAACCCGACTGCGCGGGCTGGTTGGGGAAGTGACCTGTTCAAAAATCGCCGAGAGGTTCAAGCCAGGGATGTGAACGTGAGAATGGCGGCGTGATTGGGGACTAAACCCCAAATCGGTGGGGACTCAACCCCAAAGAAGTTCTCGATGGGATTGAAGTCGGGCGAGGCAGGTGGGGTGAAGATCACTGACCATCCTCGGCGCTCGATGCAGTCCAGGACAGCCATTGTCTTGTGCATGCTGACATTGTCCATCACAACCACAGAGTCGTCTGGGAAGCTCGCTCGCTCAAAGAACTCGACCATCGAGTGTGTCTTGAATGATGTGGGGATGTACATGCGATGCAGCACACCAGAGTGGTTGATGGCAAATGCAGCCGAGACAGACTTGTGTTTCATGTGATTGCGCTGGCGAAGCGGAGCACCCTTCGGCGAGTACCCGTAGAGAGGGAAAATGGATCTCCTGATCCCTGTCTCATCGACAAAAACGAGCCGTCGTGGGTCGATGGAGCGGACCTGGTCCCTGAACTGTGCCACTCGCTCATCCAGTCGCTTGGACTTGTAGAGGTGTGTTGCCCTCTTGTGTGAGAGACCTGCTCGCTGTATGGCAGTGTGGCAGAGTGAGAGTGATACTTTCCTCTGGAGGATGGACTCGAGCTTGCATCGCAACACAGGACCAGTCTGGAACGGGTCCTGTTCAATCAGGGTGCGAATGACTGGACATGCCTGCTCGAAGAAAGTGGATCTGCGAGCTGGGACCCGGGATGGGTCATCCAGCTTGCATCCTCGGTGCCATCGATGGATGGTGCTCTTGGATACACTGAATATGGAGGCAACCTTACGCAGGCTATGGATGAGGGCGTAGCATCGCAATGCGGCGGTGCGAAAGTCGGATGTGTGGCGAATGGTCATGGCCAGCGCGCGATAACATTGGGTAACAAAATATTCGATGAATGGTCAAAAACCCGGATGTCCCGTTTTTTATTGGATTGCCTGTAATAGCTCTGGTGTCCCGAGAATATAGTGGATGGATGACCAACTCGATACTTGACCTTGTCGTCGACGACCTGAATCTCAGCATCGAGCACCTTTTGCCATCCTTCAGCGCCGACTGGTCACTCTCCCCCCCCCAACTCTGAGCAGTGAGTACGGGTAGACCTCGCGGGATGAGCACCAACAGCTTTGGGTGCTCTACAGAAAAAGTATATTCCGCGCCGTGGCAGTCACCGTGCACCGACTGTGTTTCTACTTTGTCGGGCTCGTCTTCTCGTCGTTGCTCTGGAACAGCTCTACCACGATGGCCTCAAGGATCTCCATACATAGAATCAGGTTGAGCCGCCGATTGTGAAATATGTGACAGACTCGAGAGGCGCCCCGCTTGGCATTCTGCCGGCCCACAATGATGGTGAACAAATCGGGAAGCACTGTCTCGAGCTTGACCCGGGCATCGGCAAAGACTCGTGTCTGCGAATCCTGCTCGGCCGCTGGGGTGCGGTCGTGGGCAGGTCCGGTTTGCTCCAAGGGAAACGTATCGGGCAAGTTTGAGCGCGGACTCGGACTCGTGGGCGATATGGCGGGGGTGGGCGACCCGGCTCGAGTAGTGGCTCGTTGGGTTGGAGGCGGCGCGGATTGAGGAGACGATCCCGAGCCTTGCTGTGAGCGCTGCATAGAGGGCGAGACTAGCATCGGGACAACCAGCTGTGGCTGTTGCGGCTGCTGCGGGATGGCGAGGCTCTGGGGCTGCCCGGCTTCGGATGAGCTTGTGATGGGGCACGGACTCAGCTCCCCCGCAGCGAGGTCACTGAACTCACCCCAGTGCTGCCCAGGAGAGACAATGTCGGTAGGGCTTTGTGGCAACGGGAGCCTCGGCAAGCGCTCCAGTCCCGAGTCGGAGAGATCACTGTTTCCCTGGCCAGAGGTGGACGGTGATAGCGCCTCCCAGGCAAAGGGCCCACCGGCTGCCTCCGCGCCTGGGTTAGTGAAGGCGGGTGGTTTGAAAAACTCTTTTGCGGTGCTGCCTTGAGGGACGCTTGTGAGATGCGAGTTTGCCGCTTCGGCCGACGGCAGCGAGGCCGTGCCCATCGTGGTAGCCGTGGCGCCAGGTTGCCCCGTAGCCGAAGGCTTGGGACCCAGTTCCGGCCACAGAGAGGACAGGATGTAGTCCAAGTAGTAGGCGATGCTGTCGTCGTTGAGTAGGTACCTGAGGCCATCGACGGCCCGCCGCTCCAGGGCTCCTCCAAAGAGCGGTTGCATCACAGTGTTAAGAGCCGTCTTCCGCAGCCAGCTGTGCTTGTTGAGTTCGAAAAGCTCCATGAAGATCTGCAAGATCGAGTCCGAGACGGCGACGCTGCTGGCGCCGGCTGGAGCAGCACTTCCGTTGGACAGATCGGAGCCGATGCCGGCCAAGGTCATGGCCGCACTTGGTGCGGATGCCGCGCCATCGCCCTTGAAGAGGTCGGCCATGGGAAACGGAAGCGGACCACCCTCGGACCCAAATGGACGGAATTTGAGCAGCTTATCGATCTGATCTGTGTTGAGGAACCGATTCATCATGCGTTTGGTTGGAGACGGGGGCTGGTCTGCAGTGAGCACGCCGTTCTCGTATGCTTCTGAGAACACCTTGGCGATCTCCTGATTTCCAAAGAACTTCCAGATCTCGACGTCCTTGCACACTTCACTGTTCCGGAGAAGACCCTACTTGCACGCGTTTGCCAAGGAGGCCCCCAAGGCATTCGTAGCAGTGAGCGATCTGAGTCGCAAGCACCAGCGGACGCAGATGCCCGATGCTGGCTGCTGGATACCTTGCGTCGACACATCGCGATCCAACAGCCGGCGGCAGAGTCACCACCTGCGGGCTCCTCGTTGCACTCACCTGAATATACTTCTCCAGCCCGATCCTCCTGTTTTCGCCGCGCTGGGTCTTGGTGATCGCCAGCTTCGAAGGAAATTCAAGCCCAGAGACGACGTGCGGAAACTTGATGCGCATGTAGTTGTGCAGCTTGTTGAAATCCGAGTATCGCTTGCGCAGAATCCATGCCGCGCTGCTGGTGAAGGTCACGGCATGCTGCGCCAGTCTCCGGACTTCGACGTCGTAGGTGATGTTTTCTCTGCGTTCCGCATCTTCTCCTTGGGCGCGCTCAACCACGCTCTGCACAGCGATAGTCCCCTGTGAGCGCACCGTTGCCACCGCGCAGCATGAACAGATACCAAAGCCATGTCAGCATTGGTCGGTCAATGTGCAAGCATAGCACACTGTTATCGCAGAATCATCAGAGACGCCTCGATGCTCATTCAGATGCTGCAGCGACGATGCAACAGCGCCCTACCGGACACATGAACTGCTCGAGCTCGGCCTTCAGCAGCTGGTTTTTCTCCTGTTCCATTCGCTTGTACTCGACCTCAAGCCCGATCAAAATGAGCCTGAGTTTGCGCAGCTCCTCGATCGGACAGTGTTCTGCCTGGGCCGCCTTGATCTGGTTCTGGTATTCACCGATCTCGATCTTGAGCTGGGCTAGCGACTCGGAGCGGGTGTTGATCTGTTCGAGAAGCTGCTCCGCGGGAATCGTCGATGGGTTCACACTCCGCTGTGTTGTCGTGTCGATGGTGATGGCCTTGGATCCGAGATCGGGAAGCGGCGCCGCGGCTGAGGCACCAGTCGAGGTTGTTGGAACCATCAAAGGTGCTGCCAGTGCGGCAGGGACTGTTGTGGTGCTGCTGGCTACTGGGACAAGGCCCATAGCGCCTGTCGTCGATGCCGTAGCCGCCGAGATCGCCGAGGTCGCCGCAATAGTCTGTGGAGCAGCCTGAGTAGACACGACGGCGGTGCTTGCTGAAGGGATCAAGGGCGGCGCAACAGGAGCCGGTGCAACAGCGGTAGAAGCTAAAGTAGCTGCTGATTCGGGTGCTTCGGTCGTGACCGCAGTTGATAATCCAGGAGCCAAGGCAGTCGCGGCCGTTGGGAGATTGTCTATCGCAGGGGTCGCCTCGGCGTCAGGCTCAACTGCCTCGAACGGCGCCTTCGTGTGGTCATCCGGTAGGTCAAAAAGATGTGCCGCAGACATATCCGACTCGTACCCACGGGCAGGCTTTGGACAGGCTCGCTCGAGGCCCGTATCTGGGTCGTTATCTGATCCAGAGTCCTCGCCACTGCCGTTGGATCCCGCGTCTGTGATTGTGTTCAAGGCTACCGGCTGCGACATGCTTTCCAAAAAGTCACCCTTGGCTACGGCTCTGCTGGTCTTGGTGTATTTGACCGTCATTGAGGGTCTGAACTTTCGAGCTGAAGCACTTGTTCCTGGCTCGTCGTCCAACGGTTCGTTGTCAGAGTGTGCAGATGGCGGGCCTGGGCAGCTGTTTCGGGTCACAACAAAGCTCTCGCCCCGTCCTGCAGCAGGGTTTTCTTCCTGCTCGGATATGCTCTGATTGCTGGAGAAGTAGCGCTTCTCATCTTTGGAGGAGAAGCGGCCACTTTTGCCTGTTGCAAGAAAAGCACGGGCCGTGAGTGTCGGTGTGTATGCCGCTATGAGGCACGCCGCCATTTTGCCACGACCGACGCACATGCCACTTACTCGAGCCTGAGTCCGCGCGTCTGATAAACCACGGCTCTACAATTCTCTTCTTGCTTCGCTTCTTTGTCACCGATTGCTGGGCCTCGTCGTTCCCACGAGCGTCGTCTCCGTCGATCGATCGGCGCTGTTGCGGCTCGGTGTCGCTGTCGTCGCCGCCATCGGGGCGAGAAAGCTCTGGCTGCGCGGCCCGCCGGCGGATAGACCCCGAAATACTTGCGATGCCATTTCCGTGCTGTCCCTTGTCGGTCGTCGAGACGCCGCTGGAGGTGCTGCCGTTGGTGAGCAGCGATGCTGACGACGCCTCTGTTGTGACCGGTTTCTTCTTGGCTATCTTCCACATCCCAGTTATGATCGACGCGCGTTTGCGAATGGACTTGTCGTTTTCTTCATCCTCGGCGCCGCTGTGGTTGGATCGGTCGCTTTCTGCGCCGTTTTGTGCCGACCCTGTTCCCCGAAAATTCTGTCGGCGGCTGTTTGAAGCCCCGTTGTTGGCAGTGGGGGAAAAGAAGGTGCTTTTCAAAAACTTTGGAAAGTCGTCGGTCTCCATGGTTTTCCAAACGTCGTCCTGTGCCCTCCGTAGGAGCCGCATGATATGCACAGAGAGCACTTGCTCGTCTTCCTCGGTGATTGTGCCTTTCTTTGCGAGCAGCTCCTCGATATCACTCCTGGCACTCTGCTGCGGCTCGGACAGCTGAATCAAAGCCCCATCCGCCAGCGAGGAAAAGTATCGCTGGTAAAGCCTCTGCAACTCTTCGTGATCCAACTGCGGGTCCCGGGAGCTCTGTTCGGTGTCGCTGCGGTCCATGGAGCACTCCGCAGGTCCAGGCGTACCGATCTGATCGAAGCCGAAAGCTCGATCGGGCGAACGTGCATTGGACTCGATTGGCGACAGAGCTGCACGGTGGTTGCGCAAAGCCTCCACATCGAGAAAAAAGTTCAAATAATCGAGCCGCCGCTCCTGTGCGAGATACTCGTTGAACTGTTTCAGAAGTCGCGGTTCGGCGAGGCAGGTCCGGAATGTTGGAACGACAGACGACACAGAGTCCCTGGTCTTATGGTGGCTCTGCTGGGGGCGACATAGAGGGCCGTTAAGCACGACTGTAAGCTTCGATACGACTTGCTGCCAATGGGGCAACGCCCGACAGTCTACGAACACGCTACAATCTGCTCGGCCCACACGCTACCTTGCTATTCGGATGTGTCGAAATCTCGATTTTCCACTGCCCCAGTGACGGAAGCCGCGGTTTGCTCTTGGGCTCGGATGGCCGCAGGTCTGGTCCGACTTCGTCCTCCTCGAGTACTGTTGCGGTTGGAAAATGGGGGGCGACGAACGATTAGGCCAATCTTTTGCAGAATTCCTGCCATCTTCGTGCTCGAGGACCGGCCACGTACATAAATCCTTCCGGTGCGGCTCGGACTGCGCCGCGGCACCATCTTTTAAACGTGAGCTCCTTGTCGCTGCGTCAGCGTCCTTCTGCCTAGATGTGCGCGATTCATCAGCGGGCTTGCGAAGTTGCTGCTCTGGCATCTCGCCTTCTGGGTCCTGGTTGTCGCCAACAACTTCGCGGATGTTGAATTCGATATCCCTTTGCGATGGTACAGAATCGAGAGAGATGTTAGCAGTGGGAACGGTATCGGCTTTGATGAAGATTCCAATGCTGACAGCACGACGATACATCGTAAGCGTGGCCAAAGCTAAATGACTCCAACACAGCACATTTTGCGATGCAGTACAGTGCAGTGAATGGCATTGAGGAAAGGCCAACCCAGAGCGAGCGACGGAGGTGTCAGCGACTCAGGAGAGACATGATAGCTTACTGTTTTTGTTGGGTCATCCGATCGGCCTGGAGCGGGGCAAGTTTAGGTATCGAGGAGCAGCCCACGAATGGAATCGTTGTTAGTATGACATCCCCATCGAGATATGAGCTGCATCCCCATCGAGTTATGAGCTGCATCGGGCGAGCAAAAAATCGAGACGAACATGGCGGACACCCCCAAGACACCTCCAAGACGATATCTTACCAGTGCGTCGATCGACTGCCCCCAGAACAGCGGATCGGCGAGGAGCTCGATGATGGGATGGAGCACCCGGCAAGTCAGGATCTCGCGAATCAGCAGCGACATGGTTGAGCTCTTGAGCTCGTTCTCGGGACAGATTGCCGGCAGGATGGTTTGGCCAACCAGTTTCCTCAAGTGCGCCAGCTCTGCGCCCTTGGCCAAGTCGCGGGCAAGGGTGCCTCGAAGAGGAGCCTTGGACTCTCGATTCCGAAGATAGACTCGAACAATCTCGCGCTCGTAGTCGCTGGTGCTGTCGCGCTGGTCGGCCGAAGCTGGAGGATACGAGGCCAAGTGTGCAGTAACAAGAGGCAGGATCTTGGTGAGAATGAAGGACACCGAGTCGACCTTTTCGATCCGGAGGATCAGTTGGTGGAGGGTGGTCGAGAGGGCCTTCTCGGTCGTGGCGACGAAGCTAACGTCCGGGCTGATGTAGCCGGTGTACCAGGAGCGGACAAAGTCCCGGACGACGAGTTCGACGAGCTTGTCGAGCTTCTCCTGGATGCGCTTGTCCTTGGAAAACAGAATGCGTCGGGCCAGGCCAGCCGATTCCTGTCGACGGGCAAGCCGATGTGTCTCCCAGTTCTTGGACAGAACCAAGGGCAGGGGCCGAATGGCGGAAGCCGCAGCCTTTTGCATAGATGGGTTTGACGCAAAAACAGAGGAGTTGTAGAAGGGGTGGCTACGGCTCCCTGACCGATAGGCTTGCATGGCGAGGTTGAGAAAAGGCGCCCCGTACCAAGCCAAGAGCATCAGGGAGCCCACGAACAAGAGCTGGAACAGCAGCGACCGTAGGACGTATGCCCCACCGACCGTGAGCACCGACAAAGCTATGTGCATGGCCTGCGAGGCTCGCATCCGGGCAAAGTAGGCTGGAATTAGGCGGAGCGGCTTGAGCATGCTGCCGACGAACGGGCAGAAATGGGGGCTTGGACTGGAGGCAACGGATGACTCGGATCCCGATGCAACGACAGGGCAGCAGCGACGGACGGGCGGATCGGGGACGCGGCGACGGCGGCCGGGTGAATGGAGGAGAGCGCCGAGGACGGAAATAACAGATATCGAGACGGCGACGGATGTTAGGATGGATATTAAGACGGAGATGAAGGCAAAGGCGACAGCGCAGCGACGGAATCGCCGAAGCCGCTCAATCACGGCCGATGCATGGGCCGCCAGCCACCCGCTGGACTCGGATTGTCCTTCGTATCTCATCTCTCCCCCCCGGCCATCGCCATCCCCACCCTCGCTCGTCCTGCAGCCGTCCCTCCGACCGTTCCTTCAGCCATGTCCAAGCTGCCGCCCGATTCGTCCCGATGGTCGACTCCCCTGCTTGAGCTGTCGGTATCGTCTTGTCTCTTGCACCCAGGCAGCATGTGCTCATCAACGGAGCCTGTCCGCTCGCCTCCCTAATGCTGATTGCTCTCTCATCACACTCTTCCGACACTCTGGCTTCGGCTCTGCGTCTGCTGTCGGCAGAAAAAAGCGGCAAATCGACTCGCTCGCAGCCTATCAAATCACCTTCACCGAAACCCAAAAGGACACGCAATATCAAATCTCAGTTCCTTCGCAGCCATATGTCCTACTGCTGATCCTGCCTCCAACGTTTCCCCAGCAGCCGCCGGCGGTGTTGGTCAAGCCTGCAAATCTTCAGCATCCCTGGATCAATCCTCAGGGCTATATCGTGGGTCACGACAAGCTCCAGAACTGGAGCCAGAGCCATTCTCTCGGCCGTATTCTGCGAGACATCATCCAGGAACTGGCCGTGCGTCCGCCACAGAAACCACCTGTCCCGACGCCGCTCCGGTAAGCCCAGCAGAGCACCCAGCTCTATCGGCGAAAAGTCGCCGCTGCAAGAGTATCCATTTGCATCGGCGTTTGCTGATGCTTTCATGACCTCTGGCTTGTTCCGCAATCTCCACAATAGTGCCGACTCGCCAGCTCTCTACGGTCATCCGCCGCCTCGTCCGGCCGGCGCATCGGTTCCAATGACCACCGGTGCTGCTTCCTCTTTCCCGTCTGCTGTTTCCCAGCGTCCAGGAGGTCCGCCGAGCTACGGGCCATTGGCTGCTCCAGCGACGACGCCAATCGTCGGCGGGCCAACCTTCTCGCCAGCACCACGGCCCGAAGCTATCCCGCCGCCCATTCCACTTCCACCCGGAATGGCCCAAGAGTTTCCTGGAATCGAAAAGAAATCGTAAGTGGCCAAGACGAGACACATCCATGCTTGAGCATGGCGGGATGTGGAGATTGGCATGTCCATGGCGCCCGGATGGGCTCGGCGGATACTCCCGGTGGGATCGTGGACCGATTGGACTTGCCCACGGGACAATTTCGGACTGGTTGCTCTCAAATGCGTGTGAACAATCGAGGCGGCATATCGACGATGGATCTGCACACGGAACACGAAAGCCGCATCCAGGGTCAGCTCACCGCAGGAAGGACGAATTGGATCCAGATGCCCGATGGCTCTTGGCCGCTCTTGACCTCCCTCGCCTTCTCTGAGTGGGCTCCAGTTGTCCCTACACTCATCCATTCTCGTTCTCTCTGTGCCCCGGATATATGCGACTCTTACACGCGACTCTTAATGCGAATCGAAGCGTCGAGGAGATTGAGGAGCTCTTGATGGACGAGGGCGTCTTTGAGGAGTACTTTGAGACGCTTCCCCAGATCGCCAACATGAAATCGGCTCAAGAACAGCTGAAGACCGACACGGAACAAATAGCCAGTACGTGAGGTCCATGATAACTTTGGCCCAGTGGGCGGCTGTCAAATATGGGAGCGTGGAGACGGTGCAAGTCCAAGTTTAGGGACAGTAGCAGACCGATCGAGGAGCGACAGAGCGCTTCGCGGAGCAGTACGATCAAGCCGTTCGGGCGTTCAGGTACACATCGCTCATTCGTATTCAACGTTGGATATCCAACACGACTCTATTGTCGTAAGACCTGTCACTTCAAAAGGAAGCCGATATCGATAAGATCAAGGAGTCGATCAAACATCAGCAAGAAACGCATCGACAGGAGCGCTCCGTGTTTGAGGAGAAGCTCCTACTGCGACAGCGACTCATGATGGTATGTGTCTTTGGTCATTGTGTCATTGTGTGGAGATGCCGAATCTGTTTTAACCGAAAGGCTAGATCTTGAGTGGGATACGGATCGGCCAAACTTGGGCTCCGTGATTCCTTCTGTCCTAGCACCTCTCCAAATGATTCTGATTCTGTGTGCACGCTCGGTTGTTGTCGGTCTTTGGGAATTGCGCCGGGTGCAAGCGGTCCACTAACGATGGAACCCCTTTGCCTGGGCTTGACGCACGAATGATTTGCCGATGCGCACCCCGACTCGACCCACCAACAGCGATTCGATCCAGCATTCCTGTCTCAGCGGCTTGATGCCGGTATGAAAGAGAGTGATCAGGAATCCAAGGAAGTATCAAGGGAGCTACTGGAAGGGTCGCTTTCGGCCGACGATTTCGTGCGCAAGTTCCGCGCCACCCGCCAGATCTTCCACAAGCGCGCCGCCAAGGTTGAAAAGATCAAGACAGACAGCCGGGTACTGCTGGGATAGGCTGAAGGCCGGAATGTCGTCACCATTACCGAGTCAGGAACGAATCCGTTCTCAAATGGACGGAGCAGGAGGAAACAGGCCCCAGCGACATCTTGGCACACAACACCATGGGTGCCCTCCCAAAGGGATTGGATGATTTGATGACTCAGACACCCCTCAGGAATGTCGAGCACATATTGATGCCATGCTTCAGGCAACACGAGTCACCCTTGCACCGAGATAAGATCCACATCCATTGTAACGCTCCTGGAGGGGGGGAATAAACCAAGGTACTTCAGGACGCCCTGCGACTTGAAGCCATTTGTGGACATGGAGACAAGTGGGGAGCATTGCGCTCAAATGTCGCAATATCTGCATACGGCCACACCTGCACAAATGTCAACGTGGGACTATTAGACCCCAGACTCGGTTGATCTTAGACTCGATTGATCCTGGACCCGATTGGTGGAGCCGATGCCCAGCCGCGAGTGACTGTGAGCCATCCCAAGTCGTGACTCGGCTGACACCAAAACACATCACTGACCAGCGTTCACCATACCTCACGCCTCACACTCGCACCCATGCGACTCGCTCGTGCCACTTGTTCACCCTGTTCGCAAAATCGACAGCATCCATGGATGCATAGTGGATGCATCGAGAGGAGCGAAAATCACAGCCATACGCAGTTTTTATTGGGGACTTTCAGGATTGATGACAGGATATCAGTTCAAATTCGCGGCGCCTCTGGTTTTAGAGCGTCTTGTCGACATGACAAGGGTATTCGCTCCTCAAGCGCACCTGCGCAAAGTATCGAGACAAGCAAGGGAATCGAATCGTATGGTGTATACATAGAAGAGCGCTCAAGGGAGTGCCGAAGGGTGAGCTTAAGAGCGGTTGGATCCGCGGCGGGTGGTGGCCTTCTTGGTGGTAGTAGTGGTCTTCTTGGTGGTGGTGGTAGTCTTGGTGACGGTGGAGGTAGGAGGAGGAGGAGGAGGAGAGCCAGAGGGGAGGTAGCAGGTGTTGTGGGAGTTGGACCACAGCTTCTGGACGACATACGACTTGCCATCGGTGCCGATGACGCTGCCCTGCTGGGCGTTGCAGATATCACCGATCTCGCCGTTGGCGGCGTTGTACCAGGCAATGGGGGCAGCGATGGTGTTGCCAGTGGCGACACCGACAGCTGCATCGGTGATGGTTTCGGCAAGCTCGTGGGAAGCAACCGACTGGAGGTTGCTCAAAGTCGAGGCGTTGCTACCGCAGCCGCCAGCGCAGGAACCGCCCTGGTCGGGGACAACACCGTAGTAGAGGTACTTGGTCGAGCTGATGTCGGAGATGTCGATGGTGCCGTGGTAAGCACAGAAAACAACGCAAGAGGCATCGCCACCCATGGAGATGGAGTATCCAGGAGCAAAGTGGATGGGGTAGTAGGTGTTGGTGGTGGGCTTGAGGGTGCCGCTCTGGACGAGACTGCGGAGCCAAGTCTGTGAAAGCAAGACAGGGAATGGAACTGATGAGTAACGGCGAGCAAGTGCATATGATGAAGCAAGGGGTGAGGCACCAATGTCGGCGCAGATGCGAGACATAACATGCGCGAGTGTCTCACCTGGATGGCATCGTCGGTGGTGGAGGTGCTGAGGCCAGAGCTCTTGGAGATGGAGGCGCCAAAGGTGCCAGCGCCAACATTCTGGGTGGGGGTGCTGTACTCAGACAGCCAGCTGATGTACGACGAACCGGCAATCGCACCGTAGAAGGTGTCGATCTGGCTCTGGTAGTTGACACTGCCGCCGTAGTAGATGGGGTTGATCTGGACGTTGGAGACGACCGGGCCACCATAGTAGGTCAGGGTGTTGGCAGAGGCAGCAGCGGCGAGCTCCTCAAGGTTGGGAGCGGGGAAGACGCCCTGCTTGTACTGGACACCCCATTGGCGGTTGCGAACAACGGGGGTAGAGCCACGGGAAGAGGCGGCGACGACGCCAGCGACGGCGAGGAGGGCAGCGGAGGACTTGACAATCATCATCTTGAAACGAAGGAGTAAGTCAGAAGAAAGAGGCGAGAAGAGCAGAAGAGTAGAAGAGGAGGCAGGCTGAACTTGAACTGAGGGATCTTGTGATGGTGAGAAATGGGAGACAGGACGAGGGGAGGCGGGTATTTATATTCCATCAGGGCGATACTGTCTCCGATCTCTTGGCTGTCATGGGGTTCGGGTTTGGGGGCTGGCTGATCAGATGAGCAGGACGAAGGGTGCCGACTGACAGTCTGGCAACATCATTCAGAAAGAGACGGACACAGGAATGATGAGGTTTCGAGGACAAACGTCGCAATCTCGAAGCCGGGGGGGGGCATGATCCGGTGGATTCGGCAAAAATTACGCGTGCCGCCTCCTCTGATCTTCGAAGGAAAGACATTGAGTGCGGTACATTTGGTGCTGAGGCGTGTTTGGGAACTGAGACGCTCGCAGCGGGAGCTCCATGGATCACACTGCGGACACCAGTGCTCCTTGGAGTAGGGTGCATGGAGAAGGAGGGGACCACAGGCATGTGGGCGCAACCTTGTTGGGCAGCGAGCCGCCTCCGTTCCCACGGCGGAACAATGGAAGGACGTGTGGGCCGAGCCTCCCTTCCCAGTCGACAGCACGGACATGCATGTTCAACCGGACCGGGAGCAAAGGCGGCGCAGGATGGCCCGGCGAAGACGTCATCTGGTCGATGCAGCATCCTGGACACAGGGTCATCCGCCGCCCTTCTGTTGCTCCTCTGCCAACCCACCGCACCTCCACTGCTGGTGCGAGGCCGGGAGGTGGAGGCGCCGTCTCAGAACGGCAAAGGGGCCAGCGAGACCTTTGGATCCACAACCACCCAGTATGCAGCCAGCACGATCACGCAGCCGCCCGATCGATAGCAGGGTGGTCGTGGGAGCGGACGCGCGGTCCCTTGAGACGAGCGCCACCCGCGCGCCCCAATGGGCCACCCATGCGCCGCTCTGGAGCGACACGTTGCCTGTCCAACGCACATGACCGGTCCTCATGGGCCACATGGCATGAGGCTCGCCGTCGGATGGTGCTCAGCGGGGCTGCTGGTGGAGCAAACAACGGGCCACCGGGCCAGACCTGCAGGCGCCCACAAGGGCACGCTAATGCATCGGCAGCGACGGTGCCACCCGGGAAAGGGTGGAATGCGCTTGTCGAGCAGGCGTGGCCCGGGGTGGGCACGGAGATGGGCGCGGAGATCGCGTCGGCGGCAGATGACCAGAAGCTCTGGTGGGGTGGAAGCGAGTCGTTTCGCGAGCGCCGCCGGGCTTGCGTGCTGCAGCCAGCAGGAGAAATGAGCTCTGGGGTCCTCCACCTCCCCGGGTGGGCCTTGGACGACATGCAGCATCGAGCCAGTCGACTGTGCGAGGAGCGCTGAACAACCAAGCAACGGCGATTGCACCCCTGGCACCCAAGCGCCACCCAGAAGGGATTGGTCTGGCGTTGGCCCGCGACGAAGCCGGCGCCGTGTTGCGAGCGGATGGGCCGGACATGAGGCATGGGGTCTCGCCATCTCTATCTCCAGACGCAGCCCGGAGATTAGCGGGTGGAAGTGGGGAGGGGGACTGCTGCGAGTGCGTGCAAAGACCGACGAGACTGCACTCCCACGACGGGATCCGCAACAGAACATGTTGAGAGCGAAGGCAAGGACAGGCGGGTGGAAAGGAAGCACGCAAGCACCAGGAGGCGCTTGGACAGTGTTCCTTGACCGCGAAAGCGCATGTCAGAAAGCCAGCAAAGATGCCAGCGCACAAGAGATACGGGTCCGCACAGGAGGGCTCTGCTGGCGGTAGGCAGTCGAGCGGATCAGCGGGGCGAGCCTGTGGTCGTCAGCAACAGCCAGACCATCGGTCGAGGATCGCACGCACCGAGCGGATCTTGGCCTCGTCGACCGCACGCAGCGCAAACTCGTCCGAGGAAGATCCGCCCATGCTGAGGCGAGTATTGCGATAGGCCATCTTGGAGGCATCTGGGATCTTGATCTCGCCGCTCATGTGGACTTGCTGCATGGCCGGGAGGGCTTGGAGGATATCCGCGACCGTTGTCGGGCCGACTCCTGGATGCATCGCGGATGAATCGTGGATGCATCCGCGATGCATCGTGGGAACGGGCGAGGTAGACATCAGGTATGTTGGTCCTATCGACCACGGCTGAGGATGGCCGGGCTGGGAGTATCGGCAATCCGGGACGCTGTTTGGGTGATGATGTTGGGACTACTGACCTGAGCCAGGCATCACTTCTATCCGGCTGCCGGCAACTTCAAGCAGCCGACGGAGGAGATCTAGTCCGAGCGACGCCTTGGCCTCCTGTCCGCTGCGACAAGTACCGGATCGCCGCTCGATCAGTGCTTGAGCAGGCCAAAATCTGCACTAGATCGGTTCTCGGGTGCTGGCCAGTGGCTCTGCGTTCGCCTTTGCCATCCCATTGGCTTTGACACATGAGTGCATACCTTGTGAGGATCCGGTCGACTCCAATCTCAACGAGCTCCTCGAGCGCCTCGAGGGGATCGACCGCCATATCGAAAGCCCGATGAAAGGTGACGCCCATCGGACGGGCCAGCTTGACCAGCTCCAAAGTGCGTGCCCTGTCGATGCGGCCGTTCTCAAGCAACAAGCCAAATACAACACCGTCGGCTCCGAGCGACTTGGCTGCCTGGATAAATTGAGCACAGACAGAGCAGCGTAGCGCCATATGATCATAGGATAGGAAGTGTCTGCATCAGAGTAAAGCTTGGAAAAATGGTGAGGCCATTTCAGAGTGCATGATCCCTTCGCTGATCCTTTGGCTGGATGTGCGGGTCTGGAGGCGAGATCGGCAGCCGTCCATACCGCAATATCACTTTTCATGATCTCAAACTCGGTTTCGTCATATAGAAAGTCGCCGGATCTGCTCATGGGGGAGGGCGGGACGAACAACGGCGGCGGCGGCGGCGGCGGCAAGAGCCAGATCGATGGGTATATCAATCGAGGGGGCCAAGTGGTCAATCTCTGGAGGATTGTCGCACATCGCACTGGCGACCAAAGACTGGATCCAACATGCTCACCTTGGTCGAATCATCACAAAGATCGGAATGCCCACCTTCTGCTTTGCTAAAGCGATGGTGCCCGACGACGGCGTGGTGCCGCCTGTAAAACGATGCGGCGATCGTGAGCCCGATGCCGTTCGGTCATGCGCACCTGAGGCATCTCTATCCCTTTCTACTATCAAGCCAAAGTTCGATTCCATGCGTCCCGTATACGACTCGCATCTACAGCGGTGACTGGCTTTGCATCCCAGGCAGTGCCCAGGCCCCGGCGGCGAGAGACAATCACCTTGATCGAGGTTGGCGCACAACTCGATCCTTGAGGCACCACATGTCTCGGCTCGGATAGCAGACGCAACGGACTCGACGCAGACCTCGAGTGTCAGTGGCATGCTGAATCGAACGGAGGAGTTTCAGACACAAGCGACGGGGCGATCCGGGCGAGTGCGGAGGAAGGGCCGCCAGCAACCCCCGCTCTGGCCCCGAGACTGACTTGCCAGGGTTGTTGGTCTGGTCGCGCCTGCGGGAATGTTGGACTCGACCAGGGTCGGGCTCCCGTCCCAGTGAGGACTCTGTGGCCGACGGTGATGATCTCGAACTGCAGCAGAGCATCGGGCCATATGCCGGCTACTGCGACTAACTGCTGGGTGACCAGATGGAGGTCGCCACAATGGCAGCGCTTTGCATGAGCACACCGTCAGGGGATATTGTTCCCGGTGGTCACAGCTCGTCCTAACCTGACATGATGAGAGGGAATGCGGCCATTCAATCCATCATCGCAGGCATCCCACTCACAGATCCACCGCCTTTGTTCATCTGAGTCAAATATATTGCTTCAGATCAAAGTTACTATACATTAGGAGACAAGTGCCATGGAGAGCGATCAACGAGGCACATCACGCACAAGGGAGGAGTTATTTCAAGAGGCGGTCATAGATATACACGAGAGACAGGCTACCGCTTTTAGCCTTGGCGATGGAGGGGAAGGGAGGAGGGTAAAAGCGAGTCGCCTGCTTAGATGCAGACATAGGAGCCGGGCGAGCACTTGGTGCCCGAGGGGCAGACGGTGAGCTGGATCCAGTTGTTGACACAGACAAGGACGTCGTTCTGGTCACCACAAGCATACTGGCCAAAGGTGGGGCAGGCGCTGCCGCTGTGGGGGAGACCAGAGGGAGTGGGAGCCGAGGTAGTGGTGGTCTTGGCGGGGGTAGTGGTGGTCTTGGCGGGGGTAGTGGTGGTCTTAGCAGTGGTGGTGGTGGTGGTCTTGGCGGGAGTAGTGGTGGTCTTGGTCGTAGTAGTGGTGGCCTTGGTGGTGGGAGGAGGAGGGGGAGGCGAGCCAGAGGGAACGTAGCAGCCGTTGTGGGAGTTGGACCACTGCTTCTGGACGACATAGGAGTTGCCATCAGTGCCGATGACACTGCCCTGCTGGGCGTTGCAGAGATCGCCGATCTCGCCGTTGGCCGAGTTGTACCAGGCAATGGGAGCAGAAATGGTGCTGCCAGTGGCGACACCGACAGCAGCATCGGTCAGAGCCTCGACGAGCTCGTGGGACGAGACGGACTGGAGGTTGTTGAGAGTCGAGGGGTTGCTACCGCAGCCACCAGCGCAAGAGCCACCCTGGTCGGGCATGACACCGTAGTAGAGGTACTTGGTCGAGCTGATGTCGGAGACATCGATGGTGCCGTGGTAGGCGCAGAACTGGACACAGGACGAGTCGCCACCCATGGAGATGGAGTATCCGGGAGCAAAGTGGATGGGGTAGTAGGTGTTGGCGGTGGGCTTGAGGGTGCCGCTCTGGACGAGGCTACGGAGCCAGGTCTGCAATGGACAGGGGTGTATGCAGCCCGGTTAGTAATGATAGAGAGACACAGGTGTGTGGGAGACAGTGCGAGCCACGATCCAACATATGAATCGATTGCGTCAGCAATCAGACATATTGCCGATGAGAAGGCAGTGTCCTTCGAGGGACGGCGGGAAGGCCTTACCTGGATGGCATCGTCGGTGGTGGAGGAGCTGAGGCCGGAGCTCTTGGAGATGGAGGTGCCGAAGGAGCCAGTACCGATGCTCTGGGTAGGGGTGTTGTACTCAGACAGCCAGCTGATGTACGACGAGCCGACGATGGCGCTGTAGAAGGTGTCCATCTGGCTCTGGTAGTTGACATTGCCGCCGTAGTAGATGGGGTTGACGTTGATGTTGGCAATGACCGGGCCGCCGTAGTAGGTCAGGCCGCTGGAGGAGGCAGCAGCGAGCTCCTCGACGTTGGGGGCAGGGAAGATGCCATCCTTGTAGTGGACACCCTTCTGGCGGATACGACCACCCTGGCTGTTGCGGTTACCGCCGCGGGGAGCAGCAGCGACGGCGCTGGCGAGGGCCAGGACGGCGATGGCAGACTTGACGAGCATCATGGTCGAAAGAGGCGGAGGGTGGAGGTAGTCCGGAGGAGGGTTGGAGGGAAGAGGCCTGGAGGAGTGCGGTGAGGCGAAACGAAGCGGGGGCAAGACACCGGCCTTTTATATCTGCTGGGAGTCGACCAGGCCATGTCGACGTCGACCGATCACGGCCGCGCTGGAGATTGCAATCGCAGATCAGCCGCCCCCACCCCATTGCGTTTGTCGATCTACCGCATCAATACCCACCCGCCAAGTTCCCACGCGCAGCCCCGCAGCCTGGATGCGCCCCCCCCCGAACGTGACCGGAAGGCATCAAGGCCGCGGAGGATCGTGACCTGTACAGTACAAGGCAGCGTAGAGACAACGACGACTCTGCGAGCGCATGACCTGCGCCCATGCGATGGGGGAGCCGTGGGCTGGTGGGCAATGGGAACGCACAAGACCATGGGGCGACGATCACGCGGGGCAATCTCGTAAAGGCAGATGCCAGAACTCGCTGCTCGGTCGAACGAGAACGACCGGTGCGACAGGAACGTCATTAGATGGATATACCAATACCTCTCGGCGCTGCTGGATATCCCTCGATGTTGCTTGATGTATCTCGGCAACCCACACGGCGTCCGGCTGACTCTGCGGGACCACCGAGCTGAGCCCAGAGACCCGTCTGTGGTCGCCGTGTCTGTTGGTGCAGTCGTGGGTTGGCGCCGACTGTTCGCAGCATCGCTTCTCCAGCGCCCACAGGACCCGTTCCCAGACAGAGCACAGGTCGCCCGTGGCCTTCTTCCGGCCCTCGAAGGCAGACAACGTCGAGACAGAAGCCTTTGTTCCGTTGCTGGCGCTGTCGGGTTCTTGCGTTTTTTGGGCCATGCCGCCTTTGCGGTTTTTCGCTCGCCCGCCTGTGCTGCCGTGCTGCCCATGCGCCACCCACGGCAGACAAGCGCAATCTCCATGCGGCATCCACCAACCCCCATCTGCAGCCGCCAGCAAGCCGCCAGCCAGCCGCGGTGGCTCAGGTCATCCGGCGTTGTGCTCCAGCACGGGAGAGCCACCCAGGCGACTGCAAAACGGGTCGCAAATCTGCCGCGTGCTTGTGCCCTCTTGTCCAAGAGCACAGATGCCCGATCTGCCGCTGAGCTGCGCTGGCCCATGGCTGCTTCTGTCGCTCGGTCCGTTGCTGTGCCTGTCCATCTACGTTTGTGTTCCGGACCTTCGCTCGGGGGTTTGTCCATGCCGCGCTTGTTCAGGAGACAGGCCGGTCAGGCGGGCGCACACGATTGCTGGCCGGGGTCAGGTTCGGGTCGCCCTGCGGAGCGCCTCCGGTGTGGATCGATGCAGAAGCGCCTGGCTGGGTTGGACCGCGACCACCCCGCCATCGGATGCTGAGACAATGTACAGCATGTATGTCCAGGACGAAACGGGAGACCCTGTTCGGGTCGTGGCTGTTGCTATACTCTGGGTGGGTCTCGAATACACATGCATGTGGTTGCCTTTGGGAGTGTATCATGGAAACAGGGAAAGGGATACGCATCGAGCGACTCGAGCGACTCGATCGACTGGATTCTCTTGATGCCGAGAAGCCATGGGACTTCCACAGGATCGAATGCATGCACCACACTCCCGCATCGCAGTGCCAGTGCCAGTCGATTGGTGTTGATGTGTCGATGTGAGAGGGCGGTGCATCCACTCGACCCACTCCGAGCACACCTGGGATGTGTTGAACTCGTTCACCGAGCACACCTGGGTGGGTGGGTGAATTGCTCAAAGTACCTGGCGAACCTGAGTCTCCTGGGACTGGATGTATGTCCCTTCCCTTGTTTCCAGGAGGCATTTCCAAAGGCAATCACAATATCGTCTCCTTGGACATGCTGCTTGGCCATGATTGCAATGAGTAGGTGGGTGTATTCAGGTCTCCGCAAACAGCAGTCCCGTTTCATTTTGGAAACTGTATTCATGTTGTGCTAGCGGTGCAACAGAACGAGCGCAGCTCTGGAACTATTGGAAGGCTGCAGCACAATTTGACAACCCTCAAACCTGCTCCCTCCCAGTGACATGAGGCAAAAAAAAAAGGGCCAAGGCGGCTCTCAGTCGCTTTTGAGCATGTACAGAGTTCAAATTACGGCTGCGGGCTTATCGAGTGGCCGGAGACAATATAGACAAACACATGCATCGACAACGAGACGAGAGAAACGGGTTTGGTTATACACGAGACTGACAAAGGAAAGACGAGCACGCTTAGTTGCTCTCGGCAACCTGGCCGTTCTTGCCCTTCTTGGTCTTGGTCTTCTTGGTCTTGGTCGTCTTGGTAGACTTGGCGGGGGTGGTGGTGGTAGTGGTGGTGGTCTTGGTGGTCTTGGCGGAGGTGGCAGGTGCCGAGGTCTTGGGGGGCTGGACACCAGTAGGGGCGTAGCAACCCTTGTGGGAGTTGGACCACTGCTTCTGGACGACATAGGTGTTGCCATCAGTGCCGTAGACGGTGGCCTGCTGGGCGTTGCAGAGATCGCCGATCTCGCCGTTGGCCGAGTTGTACCAGGCAATGGGAGCAGAAATGGTGCTGCCAGTGGCGACACCGACAGCAGCATCGGTCAGAGCCTCGACGAGCTCGTGGGACGAGACGGACTGGAGGTTGTTGAGAGGCGAAGCGTTGCTACCGCAGCCACCAGCGCAAGAGCCACCCTGGTCAGGCATGACACCGTAGTAGAGGTACTTGGTCGAGCTGATGTCGGAGACATCGATGGTGCCGTGGTAGGCGCAGAACTGGACACAGGACGAGTCGCCACCCATGGAGATGGAGTATCCGGGAGCAAAGTGGATAGGGAAGTAGGTGTTGGCAGTGGGCTTGATGGTGCCGCTCTTGACAAGGCTGCGGAGCCAGGTCTACAATGGACAGGGGTATATGCAGTTCGGTTAGCAATGGCGAGTGCAGATGCAGCTTATCGGAGACATAACATGCGCGAGTGTCTCACCTGGATGGCATCGTCGGTGGTGGAGGTGCTGAGGCCAGAGTTCTTGGAGATGGAGGTGCCGAAGGTACCGGTGCCAATGTTCTGGGTGGGGGTGTTGTACTCGGAGAGCCAGCTGATGTAGGGAGCACCAACGATGGCGCTGTAGAAGGTGTCCATCTGGCTCTGGTAGTTGACATTGCCGCCGTAGTAGATGGGGTGCACATCAATGTTGGCAATGACCGGGCCGCCGTAGTAGGTCAGGCCGCTGGAGGAGGCAGCAGCGAGCTCCTCGACCTTGGGGGCAGGGAAGATGCCATCCTTGTAGTGGACACCCTTCTGGCGGATGGCAGGTGTGTTGGGGCTGTTGACGTTGCCACCACGGGGAGCAGCAGCGACGGCGCTGGCGAGGGCCAGGACGGCGACGGCAGACTTGACGAGCATGGCTGGGGGAGAAGGGATGAGGGCGGCGTGGGAGGTTCGAGGCTGGCTCTGGAGGTCGACGAGTGCCCGGCGAGAGGCCGGGATTAAATAGCGAAGGTCATTCGCAGGAGCCACCGGCATCATGAGAGCGGCTGGCAAGGACCTCCTGGGTGGCGGACGTGCGCCTGCCTTGTCCGCAGCGCCGACGGACGCGCGGCGAAGAGGAAAGGTCGACGGGCACAGGCGCGTGGAAAAAAGCGCAAAGGGCCTTGCGCGAGCCTGGGCATGGGCTGGACTGGCGGTGTGGAAGCGGAAGTGGAAGCGGAGGTGTAGAAGTGGAAGTGTGGATGTAGAAGCGGAAGTGTGGATGTGGATCGTCGCATTTGACATCTACATTTCAACATCCACATGTCATTTACAACTTGCATTTCAACATCCAGATGCCATTTCCACCGACATTTCAACTCTCGCGCTCGCACCAGTGTCCAGAGCCCCGTCTGCGTTCGCCCGGTCCGCGTGCACCATCGGCCAGCCGCTCTTGTTTGTCAGACGCAGCGCTGCCCTGCTGATTGTCCCGCAACAAGGCCATCTGCACCAGCCCATCCAGTCCCACCCCCACCTTCAGTTCCGTCCCCCAGCCCACTCCATACCGGCTGCCCAGCAAAATTGCATCCTGGCGCGATCCCGGTGCCCCCTCACGCAACATGTGGCCTCGGCGTGGCGGCTGGAGGCATACCATGGATAGCGAGGTGCAACCATGTCCATGCTGGCCTGGTGCTCATGCTCGGATCCTCGCCATCGGCACTTCGTCGCGCCGTCCCCCGTTCCGGGGCTTTCGCCGCGAGGCAGCAGCGGCTATATCTACTACGACGATGCGACACCCGTCCTCGCAGCCAGCTCCCGACCTCCGCCGTCATCGCTTTTGGCCCTCCATCGTCGTCGAATCTCCTTCCCCTTGTCGCGCATTTTCTTCTTTCCATCGCCGCTGCTCCAGCCTGCCTTTCCAGCACCTCCCCCGCCACTCAGGTCGCCTTGGATCGCTGTCCCGGGGCCATCGCTGCGGCCTCGCTCCTTTCTTTTTCTTGTGCTGCGCGGTGGTGCTGCTCAGCATGTCCTGTGGCCACAGGGCTCCCCAGGCATTCGCTCCTCCACCCCCGCCTGCTTCGACCACTCCGTGTCAATGCCATGGTCGCTGAAACAACCCCACGCATGTCCTCCCGGCCATCGTGGGCAGCGGAACACTCGTCTCTGTTGCATCTTTTGGAATGGCAGCATGAGTGCCTCCGCGATATGTCCCATGTATTCACGGCCGTGCTGCCGCCACATGACGAGCCACATGGCGGGCCACCGACTGCCGGCCGATGCCCAACCATTCAGCTCCCTGGTCTCGAAACTTGCTGCACCGTTCCCTTCCTTCGCTACTCGTAGCAGAGCCAAAAGTTCGTGTAGTCAAACGTGAGGTCGCCCGCGATGCTCTCGAGACTGCGTTTCTCGAACCCGCGCGGTCGTGACTTGCAGGCGACTGCAGGAGTGCATGCCTCGCCCCACTTGAGCTCGGCCGTCGCTTCTGGATCGGCGCCGTCGGGTCGAAAGTCCCACACCAGCAGATAGACCTGTCCCATCTCGACCTCCGAGGCCGACTCGACTGTGCACATGATATAGCTGCCACTCGAGTCCATCGTGACGTCCGTGATGACCTCGGTCGGCTTGATGTACGTTCCAGCGGTATGCAGGTAGGAGCTGCTTTCGCTGAGTCGGTAGAGCAAACGGCCTTCGCAAATGTCCCATACGCAAATCTGAGGCCGCCATCCACAGCACCGAGGGACAATCAGAAAGCGTAAGAATATGCTACGGGGCAAATCACGATGCAGCTCCACCGTGTGGCAGTCGTTCACACATCGTGCCGTCGTTGGGCAGCACTTTGCACCCTCCCCTAACGGTGCTGCTGCAACTCCAACTGTCAAGCGCATGCCAGTCTGGAGTAGCTTGGAGTAGCTTGGCGACCGAGCAAGACTGTGCCTCTTTCTGCGCCAGCAAATCCGGCTCTCCAAAAACAGCAGCAACAGCGACAAGCAACAGAGCCAAACCAACCTCGTTCCATCGAATGCCGCGAGTCACCAGAATGGAGTTGTAGAGCGACAGTACTGTTGGATACGCTGACGAATCCAGCTCTTCCCGAAAGTGGCTCGAGGGCTCCATAAGCACACGAATGTGCTCGCCAGGCTTTGTCGATACAACCAGGAATGTCGTGTTCTGGCAATCGGTAGAACGAGATGCGATGTGAGAGCCATTGCAGGCCATCCATTACTCCTGCCCACTGCCCATGGTGAGTTGTGTATCAGCATCAGCGAGCGCTCTCACCTCGAATCCGCAGACAATGTTGGTCCCCCAGAAATCAATCTTGACCTCCTTGGCGAGAATCGACCGGTCGATCTGATCTTCATGTAGCTTCAGGTCGATTTGCTTCAGACACGTCTTTGTGCCGATATCCCAGATGCAGATGATGTTGTCGTTGCTGTAGGTCACGAATACCTCCTCGTGCACGGCAACGTCCAGACAATCGACACCCGGGAAGTAGCCGATGCACATCCTCTTCGACAGGTCCCAGACCCGGACGTCGTGGTCCTCGGCTCCGGTCACGGCAATATTGCGCTGGTTCGTCGACAGGCAGATCAGTGCCGCCATGTGGCCCGAGAGGTATTCTGGTGTGTGGCCGTTCACTTCGCAGACCGCGAGATTGGTATCCGAGATCCAGCACAGGTATTTGCCGCAAAGCCGAAGGTTGACTGCGTATCCACTACAATCATCCCGCAACATCCGAGGGCGATGCAGAGGGTTCGTTGACGGGATATGGACGGACGCGGAAAAGCAGCCGTCAGCGATACATCATATCGCGACGAGGTGTTTTGCAGCCAGCAACATGGCTCGCCGACCCAGCAGCATCCACTCTTCTTTGCACACCAGCATCCGCCAACGCACGATAAAGCCGTGAGCAGAGCACATCATGGGATCGGCATCCTGATCCGTCGCCCATGAACCGTGATCGCCACGATGCCGGTGCCAGCGCTGCCCGCCACCGACTGCAGGCCCAATCCAGTACTATGCCGCATCCTTGCTCGCATCTGCTGCCATCGACTCGTACCTGGTTGCCTGAGTAGGCTGCCCGCATTGGAGCACGTAGCGGCGACGATCACGCTTCACTCCGCGGGCACGACATCCAACGTCTGCCCGCAAATTGCCACCCTTTCGATTCATCTGCCGCTGCGGACTTGTCTGCCGTTGGTGCTGCCAAAGTGCGCCGTCGTGATCCTGGCGATGGACATCTCGCTGCTGCTGAGAGTCATTCATCAGATGACGTCGATACGACTCCTTGTAGTCCATCACGATCATGAATCGATAGTTGCCACAGTACACGTTCCAAAACTGCTCGTAGATGTCCTTCCACCGGAGGGTATTGTCGATGAAATATCCGGCCCAGGGGCGCTTTTCGGGCACAAACGAATGCCCGCTGGCTCGGCCGGCTCGGCCTGCCCGGCTTTGCTTCTTGTCCGAGAGCGAGAGGGACTGTGTCTCGGCGACGATATGGCTCAGCTCTGTATGCGCTCGCGGCTCCGACTTGGAGATGGCAGAGTGAGGGTTGATGCTGAGGATGTGGTTGTCGTTGACCAGCGTCAGCCAGCGAGACTCGGTCAGCGTTCGCCAGAGCAGTTGCTCGTACTGCAGGATCAAGCGATGGGTTCGTCGGTTGGTCTGCATCATCTTGCAGAGGGTCTGGCCGTCCAAATAAAGCATGATCCGAAGCAAGATATCGTCGGGCAGTTGCGTATCCTGAGCGCGCAAGAATGGCATTGGTGCAGGGGATTGACGGTCAGTCCACAGCAGGCACTGTCGCTCGTCATAATGCTCCTGTGGCCTGCGCTGGTGCTGCTCGACGGGCTGCTCCATCGAGCCAAACTTTCGGCTGTTCCCAGAGATCCTGGCCACCGAATACGGCCAAGCTCTCGATGCTGCCTCCTTGGCTTCCCCCGATTCCGCCCGCTGCGTGATCGCAGCTGACATTCAGCCCAGTGGCTTGAGCCACGCCAGGTCAAGCCAGTCCAAAAGCTCGATGCCTTGCCGACTCCGCCCTTACCTCGTCGTATGGATCGGCTATTTGCAGGGTGGCCTTCATTTTACGGATGTAATCTTGAAGCACAGTGAGCTTTGCACCTGGCGCCAAGCTCTCATGGTATAGCGTCTGCTCCATTGTCTCTACAAGCGAGGCAAGAGTCTGGTTGTCGGCTGTCGTCGATGGGGATCGACAGCTCATCATGGCGGCGATGTTGGTGTTGGCGCCGGTGTCGGTGTCGGTGTCGATGTCGATGTCTATAGTGATCGCAAGCACGGACGGGAGCGATTTCTTCAGATGGGATGGCGCGGCAAGATGCAGATATGCAGGGGATGCGGAATGAGGAGAAATGGGAGCGCAAACGCTGCAAGCCCTCCGAAACGGCTCTGCTCTAGGGAGGCGAAGAAAGGGTGCAAGGAGAAGAAAGGGCGGAGCGGGGAGGGCCAGCGGGAGGACAGCGCCAGCGACAAGATTGCGATCGAATCATCCCGTGCTCCCCCGTTTTGGGCATGCATCGAACTGCAGCCGGCACTCGGTTCACATGAAGGCCGACATCTGCACTGCCGACATCTGCACAGCAGACTGCATCAACGCAAACAATCTATTCAATCTCCTTGGCGATAGCGGCGGCCTCGGCGACAGAGCGAGGCAGTGGTCGGATATCGGGAGCGACGCGGCTGGACGGCAAGGACAAACGAACGTGGTGGACATGGAGGAAAAGGGATGGGAGCATCGGTCGACATGGAGACATACGCAGCCACAAATCAAGACCATCGATCAGTCTACGCCGAGCAGGTCGCTTCCGTCGACTTGGGTCGATGATGCTTGTCCTCCAGCCATCCATGGAACGGCGTTCACATCCGCACCAGCACGGCTTACCTGCGTTTGGCCTTGGCGCTGCGGATGTGCTCTTTGGAATAGAACCTGCCGATGTAACCCTGGTCCTCCAGGAACGGATATCGCTTCAGGAAGTCGAGAAAGTCTTCCTGGGTAGCCCTCGTGGTAGCCGAGCGGGATTGACCGTCGTCTTGTGTGCGCTCGGCGCTGATGATCAAATGAAGCATGTCGACGTAGAACTGCGTGATGGTGTCGTTGTAGCCGTGCGTGATGAGATGCTGGTTGGCAGCGTTGTACTTTTGGATGCCCTCTCTGTGCGTTGATCAGGAGGTGGGTCGTCAGCATCACCGAGACAAGACATTATGTGGGCGACGGCGCTGCATCGGCTGGAGTATCTCGAAGATGGGGGTGGGCCCATCAGGCCCTTACCGAATGAGTGGATAAGCGTCATTCTTGCTCTCTGCTTCTTGGAGATAGATCCATGCCATCCTAACATGCCGAGAGGGGATTGCGTTGAGTCGATGGAGCATGGACACCGCAGCGATCGACCCGCAGCGATCGATCGAGGGGGCGGACCTCCTGCTCAAGCAATCATCATAGTGCTTGGATGTGGGCCGACCGCGACTGGATCGCCTACCTGAGATGGGCCCGGTGTGTCCACTCGTTGAACGATAGCCAGCCCTCCTCGAATGCTCTCATAAAGACCTCGTCGCCGACGCTGCGAAACGAGCCCTCGTAATGCAGCAGCGGATCGCCCTTGCAGTCGAGGTCTCGGACGCCGCCGACTCCAGGAATGACCTTGACGACTTCCCCATACCACACTTCATGGTCGCCCACGACCTGGGAGGTGAACGACTTGCACACGAGCGATCCCAGGCAGCCCATCAGGATCAGGTTGCGGTCTGATTCAAAGTAGTGCGGGAATGGCGCAAAGTCGCTCTGGGTCGACGGCGACGAGAACGTGAGGGCATGAGACACCTGCTCCTTGGAGAGGACATTGACGACAAAGTTGTTGGATCGCTTCAAGATGGCCGACGTCTGTGACGGCACGCGGATGCTGAACGAGACAATCGCTGGCGAGAGCGAGACCGAGGTGAAGGAGCTGCACGTAATGCCTCGATGGCCGGCCGCTTCATTCGGATCGTTGCTTGAGGGCTCGGTGGTCACGACCACAACTGGCTCCGATCGACGGGCAGACATAAGAGGCCATCAGAGCGAGTCATAGCGTTCCAAGTATCCAGATGCGAGGCTGAGCCGGGGATCGGATGCGGGGATCGGCGCGATGGGATCGAAAGCAGATTGCGGGAAGCGAGCAAGCTTGCCTCAACGGCATCGGTCCGAGGATTCGAGCCGATGGCCAAGCAAGTCGCAATCGATTTCTGCATCTCCAGACAGCTCTCCGTCTGTACCTGGGAAGGGAACTCTTCTCATCAGCGCCCGGAGTTCCTTGCCCAGAGGGCTGATAGGCGCTGGAGCCACAGACCCGGCCATGCGTGCACTGACGCTGGACCGGATGCTGCCGGAAAGGAGCTGTGTGGGCAGTCGCTGCAGCATCGTCCGGGCGAAGACAGAACGGATCATGGCTCCCGAGTCGGTGCGTTCCAGGCCGATCCGGTGGCAGGGATCGAAGCAGAGAGTGCTGCGGCTCGATTTCGGCGAGCAGATGTGCTGAAGCAGCCCGCAGCCACCAACCAGGCCCAGGGTGGGCACAATGGGCACGATGCCTGGAGTCCCCACCGCGGGCACTGCGGACCAGAGATTGCTGTGGATGGTTGCTGCATGCTCGTGCTGTATTCAGGGACGGGAATCACAAACGAAGACCCTGGCTCCAGTCCCTCAAAAGCGATCCACATTGGCTCTTGCGTCGGCGACATCAAGCCCAAAGTGTCCGACTCCATCTTGTATATGTAGACTCCACTCCGCCGTCAAATGCAATCCTCAATCGAGCGCGACTCGGATTTCTTGCGCTTCTTTGGCTTTTTCTTGAGAAGTCGCCGGCGGCTGTTGATGAACCAGCTGGAGGCAAGATGATGCCAGCCGTTGAAGCGACAAACGACATGCAATCGCGAGTAAGCACATGGGCACCGATTGGCACATTACGGACACACTGTCGACACATCACGGACACACTGTGGCGAGTACTCGTTGCATCGTGGTCTACGTACTCATTGATCTGTTGGATACTCAGCCCCGTGCCATTTGCGAGTCTGTTCTTCTCCGAATCGCTTGGATATGGGTGGTCATGATGCTCCATCAGCCACGATGTGAGGATGGCCCTGGCTTCGTCGGAGTGATTCGGGCGCTGGCGCCGAGTGTTCTTGGTCGCTTGGGCTCGAGGAGGAGGAGGCTTCTTGGATGTCTTGCTCGATGATTTCGACTCTCCGGGCCTCTTGAAAGGCGCCGGCTGATAAGGCTGATTTACTGCAACTGAACTCGGGTCTTTGGAGGCATCTTGGGTGTTGATGATGATGGTGGATTCCGAGTGGACCGAGGAAGCATCATCCGAGTGGCTCAATGCGGTGTTAATTGGAACAGAGTTGCTCGGCTCTGGGGGACAAGGGAGTCGAGCTTCGGTCCAAACGGGGTTACCTGAGTACCGCTCGCTGTCGGTGATGCTGGGTGCGATAAAGAGCGGGGTACCGTCGATACTAGATGCCAGATTCAAGGATTGGACCTGTCCAGACAGGTAGCGGCTCACGCAGCTGGAGCTGCTGGACAGCACCGACGCTTGAGCCAAGTGCACGATAGCGGCCCCAAAGACTTTCTCCTTCTCGATTTCCATCCAACAGATGGTCAGTACATCAGCCATGATGTTGGCCATGAGGGTGATGCGTTGCTGGAGCCGCGGTGGCCACGGATCTCTGCTAATGCAAAAGGAGCAGTCGGGAGCCGAGAGCAGACCAGCGTCGCAGCAAAGCTGGCAGTGCGTTGGCGATGCAAGGACCGAGCGACGGAGGGAGCCGAGATGCTTGCCGGCTTTTTGACAGAGGTCCGTGAGCCAGACCACAACTTGTTTGAGTCCGTCAATGCTGTGTTTGGCAGACATGACTATGGCGAGCTTGCGCCAATACAGCATTGTAGCGACGATGCTACTGAGGTAGCTTTCCGAATCGCTGAGCGCCGGGAGAGCCACTTTGGCCCCATGTAGAGAGGCGTCGTCAGGGGCATCCGGCAAAGCCGAGATATTGTCGAGCATTCTATCTGATGCTGAGGCGGCAGGACGGCAATCGAGGAACGGGCAAGAGCCAGAGATATATGGCTGGTCGGTGACAGGTTTCGCCGATCGACTTGACCTCGATCATCTGTCAACCCAGTTCTGTCGAGCCGAAACCGTCATGCTAGTCGTGCCTTGAGAATCCTGTCATGCCAGTCGTGCCTTGAGAATCCTGTCATGCCGGATATTTCGTTCGCGTCCTTTGGCCGAGATGCTCCCACGCAGCTATCGCCGTGCCAGTTGAGTTTCTTTGGAGCAGCGAGTCGAGTCGCCACCTAAACCACGCTGAAGCGGAACGGCGATTCTGTCGCTGATATTTCGGCCTGTCCAATGAACTACGGAGGTGCCACCCGAAGAATCCCTCAAGTCGTCGATGCTTCCGGCCTCGCGGCTGCTGTGGAAGGGAGGGGTCATGCCGCCATCTCGGTCCACCCCCGCGGATGGCATGGTTCGCTAGCTCCGGCCATGCTGATGCCACTCAAGGTCCAGCCCTCCAGCGAAAGGAGGGGTGCCGCTGCTGCTTGCTCTTGTGTCTGAGGAGTTTCACGGAGCGATCGGCGCACCACCCGGCCTCCGTCTGTGCTGCACATCGATTCGTCAGCGATGGCCGGCGAGGGGTTGGCGTGGGGAGCTGCCAGATGGGTATTGGGCATTGGGCATTGGATATTGGATATTGGGTATTGGCGTTTGCATTGGACTGGGGGGCTGGCCGGGGGCAACATGGGTGGGCCGTCAGCTGCTGCCCTCGACATGGGCGCTCCGGGGACAGACGGGTCTGCATCCTTCATGGGCCTCTGCTTGGGTGGCAGCCGCCGGCCTGGCGAGCGATTTTTGCTGCAGCCACGGCCCCGTTGCATTGGTGCATCGGATGACCCCGTCGCCCGGTGGTCGCAGACGCTATGGTTGTGCTGCTGCTGTTCCCGCCAGCGATTCGTTGCACGGCATCGCCGGGGACTCACTCCCAGCATGTACTTGACAACGGACACCCGCACCCACCCGCCAGGCTCTGCTCGGTCAGCCGCCAGCAAGGCGCCTGCACCACAGATCCTGTGGCCCCGATACGACCTGCGCAACCGCCGATGTGCTTGCCGATGTGCTTGCCGATGTGCCCGCCAGCAAGGCGGCAAAGATCGGGGAAGGTCTTGTGAGCGGCAGTCTGGCTGCGCTGCTCCCAGCCGCCTTTCCCTGCCTTGCGCTTTGGTTGCAGAAGCAGCTGCTATTGTTGTCCAGCGAGCAGTGCGCCTGTCCATGTGGGTGCTTCGAAGCAGCCGCTTGGTGCAGCAGATATGGACGGCGCATCACATGGCCGCAACACCAACGAAAAAATGAGAAAGAACTGCCGGGGTGGCGCGAAGGAGAAAGGAGCCACGAACATGCTGCAGCTCGAGTTCACCCGAGAGGCTCTGATCGGCAGCCCGGGCACATCTGCAAAGTATAAAAGTCGTTCGCTGGGCAGCCGACAGCGTCCTCGGCACCGGCACCTCCAGCAGCAGCTTGACTCTCCCAGGCCCAAAGACCCCATCGCTCACGACCTCGCGCCATGTTCTGCACCAAAGTGTTCTCTGTCCTGCTCGCTGCGCTCTTTGCGCTCCAGGTCCATGCCTACCCCAACGGCTCCCCCGTCTGCGACTTTGGCAACGGCACCGAAGTCGCTGAGCCAATGCGCATGCAAGTCCAGGCGCCTATCTTTGCGTAAGTGCCCTCCTGCGACGACGGAACTCGTTGCGGGCTTGCGTAGCTGTGCAATCAACGACTGCTGAACTACTCGGGTGCGGTCAGCCACAATGGCCTCAGATGAACGGCAGCAGCCGCCATGCTGCCATGCTGCCATGCTGCCATACTACCATGCTACCATGCTACCATGCTGCCATGCTGCTGCCAACGATCCCTGATTGTTTGGCCATGTCCCCACCCCGCACATCCAGCCTGTCCTCGTCCTCGGCCGCCTATACCCCCGGCTCGGCTCTGAACATCACCCTCAAGAGTACCACCAACAACTCGGCCGCGTTCTTCACCGGCATCCTGCTCTATGCGGTCGCTGGGGACGGCTCCCGCGTCGGTACTTGGCAGCTCTCGTCCGGTTACAAGACTCTGTCGCAGTGCGACTCGACCAACGCTACCCTGACCCACTCCAACAACAAGAACAGACCCTCCGGCACCACTCTGCGCTGGCGGGCTCCCGCCTCGGCCGTCGGTAGCGTCACCTTTGTTGGTGTCATTGTCGTTCCCAACTCGCTTCTGCCTCCTCTCCACGCTCGTGCCGCTGCCCAACAGTCCGACATGAACGTTGAGGTCCTTGCCAACTTTACTCTGGCTGGTAAGCGTTGATGTTCGAATAGTCTCGCCCGAGCCATCTGGTTGGACTTGGGAGTTTACTGTCTTGCTGTGACAGAGCCTAACTCAAATGCCATTGCACTGACAATCGACTCGACTCTCTCATGCTCGTAACCGACCCATCCTTGCCTCCAATTCACCTTCCATCAACGTCGCTGCAACTGTTTATCTCCACGATGCCATCGCGGTCGATCAATCTGCATCGGCCACAAACACCCATGAAGGTCCCAGCTCGCCCTCTTCCTCCGGCTCCCCCAGCCCTTCCAGCACTGCCAAGGCCGCCAGCGCTGCCGCTGGCTTCCAGACGACCACCGCCTTGATCTATGCCCTTGCGATTTCTATGACCTTTGCTTTGTACTTTGTTCAGTAAACCTAACCTCCCCGGGACACTGGACCTCTCGCTATTCTATGATCCTGTTGTCTATGAGCACATCCTCCTCGGGACGAGGATGGTAAATATCGAAATGTAATACATGAACGCGACTGCATTGTGCAGGTCAGTGGCCAATAGCCAATGGTCAATGCCTGATCGCTGACAGTTGATGGCCAAAAACTCGGTTTGCAATGTTGCGAAGCCGTCCTTGATCGCACAGCGAACGCAGAAACCCCTCGATGACCCTTCTGGCGTGGAAGCCGTCTGTCCGTTGTGTCTGGCCGATGCTGAACCGAACAGTAAAGTGTGAATCGCAGCCTGCGACCTCCTTCCAGAGTCCCAACCAAATGATTTCGCCACCCCTTGTCGTCAGCTCAGGAGCTCCTCGATCCGAATCCGGTCCTTGTCGGTGTAGATCTTGCCCAGTCTGATCTTGCCATGCTTTCGATCCAAATGCTCCTTCAGACGAATGGCATCGATGGAGTTGGACTGTCCCTCCACCAAGAACTGCAACTCGGATTCCTGCAACGAACGGGGACAGGACGACTTAGACACGAGTGGAGGGCCACATCATCCCGAGCCATACCGTTGATGCTCCAATACCGCTCCTGCTCGTACGTCATCCGCTTCTGCCCAGCTGCTGTCGATGGTCCAAACTTACCCTGGCTGCAATCGCTCGTTCAATCTTGCCTTTCATCCGATCCACGGCCTTCTTGGCTCCCAGCGTCCCTGCCTTGCCCTCCTCGCCAGTGCAGACGAGCACGCCTTGCTTTCGTCGCTCCCATCGCTTCAGCACGCTGCTGACCCATTCGTTGGTTGCCTTGCGCTCCGCAACTTCCCACGAGCGCGCCCGTCGCTCCGAGTCGTTGATCTGCTTGGCGCACGGCGGTGCGGGCGGCTGGTAGGCCAGGTACTTTGCCTTGGTGAGTGGATCCAGGTTTTGGAACCTTCGCCGTCCGATGCGATTCGGGGAGAATGACGATCCATCGCTGAGAGGGAACGGGCGGTATTTTGCGCTATCGAGTGAATCGATCATATTGTTGTCGGTTTTGCCCTGAGTTTTGCTGTCCCCCTCGGTTTGCGGCGACTGGGATCGACCCAGACCGGCGGCCATTGCCGAGGATGTCGCCTGGCCGTCACCTTGCCCCGAGGGCCCGCTCTTGAGTGGCGGCAGAGTGCCGGCCGGGTCTCCGCTTGCGAGTTCGCTGAGCTCATTCCTTCTCTGTCTCAATGCAATTGCTCGCTGAAATCGATTTGACAACAACGCTGGGATGTGCGTGGTGATCGAGGGCGGCAGGGCATAGTGATACTCGCTCTCGGGACGAGCTTGGGTTTGCGTTTTGCTGTTCGGAGATACCTTGGGCACCAGATCGGCCGCAGGCAGCTCCGAGGGAAACAGGGACGGCGTTCGATTTGCTCCGCGGGACGGCATCGAGTAGAGTCAGATCTTCCAAAGAGAGGATAGCCATGGGAATGGGAATCAATCGATAGACTGCATGACGACCCGGTGCTCGATAACGCAACTTGCAGATACCTCCGTTCGTTGCGCACAGCCTCTACCGTGATTATACCACTGTATCAAGCAGTGGCGGATTAGTCACATACCAGGCAAAACCGATCGGGGTGCGGTGCCGATGGATGCGAGAGGAAAGGGTGAACTGGTGGCTGTTGGGAGAAAGGCGGCTGCTCTCCGTCGTCACGCACTGGTGATTTGCCTTCGTCTCGGAAGCCGAGTTTTGGCTGGATGCAACGGGCTGGTGGGAATGGACTGGGTCCTCGCTCGATCGACTGAAGGTCCCTGCTAGTCTTGCTCGTCGGGTTGTCTGCGACAATCGCTCCGGTGCGGCATCACTCGAATTCCAGAGTTTGGACGTCAGCGCCACTGGGCCGGTGGATTCCAATCAGATGTTGCAGGGGCTGGGTGGCGATTGGGAGGGCCACGATATTGTTGGGTCGTAACAGTTGCTACAAAATAGATTTCTTTGGATGCTGCTGAGAGCGAGGCAAGTCCACTCATTCCCTCTGCTCTGTTGATGATTATTGTTTCAGACTGAACGAGAAGAGTGTATGGCATTGTGAGATGGATGGGATCTGGTGGATCACCCCATAGCTCAAAGGGTTCACTGCCATCATTGCAAAGGAAGTGAGAGATGGGTGGAGGGACGGAATGCTGGGGTCGTGGGAGAGGGAAAGGAAATGCCAAGCTCTGCTGGCGGCGCATTCAATGTTGCAGCGATAGGCCGCACACCATATGAATCAATCGAAGAAAATGGGACACCGCTGGTTTGTATATTGGATGTATTGGATGTATTGGATGTATTGGATGTATTGGATGTATTGGATGTATTGGATGTATTGGATGTATTGGATGCCAAATACAACATCGCCGCTTCATCGGAACCATTGTGGAATATCACTGTCGGTACCATGGTGTCTGGGATGGATGATGGCGGCGCAATTTGCGTGGCTGACCGTTTGCATGTTCAGTATCGGAATGTGATGGTTTGGGAGTGGTACTCAGTGGATCACGGCCACTTGCCGAGATGCTTGAGGCTGTCTATGGCACCTCGATGATCCTGGTAAGCAGACTTGCGATACCAGAAGACGGCAGTTTCCCTGTCTTCGGGGACACCAAATTCGCTTTCAAAGCACACGGCAAGAGTATACTGTCCGTATCGATTGCCCTCCTCGGCCGACCTGCGGAGCCACTCGACTGCTTTGGTGAAGTCCTCGGTGACTCCATGTCCATAGAAACGGCACGCACCAACCATCCACTGTCCGTAGGAATTGCCTTGGTAGGCAGACTTGGTGTACCACTCGAATGCCTTCGAGTCGTCCTCTGGTACACCCTGGCCACGGTAGTAGCACTCTCCAATCCAAAACTGGCTGTCGCTATGGCCTTCGTTGGCGAGCTGTTCGAAGTCACCAGCTGCCTTTTCCCGGTCCCCAGTGGTTCCGAATCCAAGGTGCAGACATGCAGCCATCAGGTGCCTGCAGAGCCAGTCTCGCTCCGATCCCAGCCGACACAACTCAAAGAACTTGCGAGATGTGGGCGAGTCGGATAAAGTCGAATCACCAGCCAGACATTCCGACTCTCCGAACTTGAACTCATGCGATTTGTTCACTCGAATGATCTCGATGCCCTTCTGCTTGTCCTGGACAGTACCCCGGCCGAGGTAGTGCATCCACCCAACCATGTGAGTGGCGATGGGTTTGAGGACAGGGTTGTTGGACCTGGTGCCAACTTCCTGCCAGTGGTTGAAGGCAACTTCGTCGCTCTGTTCGACATCGTGGCCGATGAACGAGAGCCATGCTCGGAGGAGCTCGATGTGGAGTCGACCATCTTCACTGCCCTGATCCGCAGGCTTGGAGTACCACTCGATGGCGGTAGTGAAGCTCTGATCGACACCTTCACCATACTGATAGCAACTTCCGAGAGCAATTTGGGCCTGAGAGATTCCGCGATCTGCAAGACCCCGATACAGCTCGACAGCCTTGGTGTGGTCTTGGCTGATTCCAACTCCGCTGCGATAACACTCGGCCAGTCGGAACTGTGCCATAGGATGGCTTGTGTTGGCGGCGTTCTCCAAATGGCGGAAGATTCGCTGGCGGATAGCCTCTGATTTGTCTGCAGACTGATCGATAGCGAGATCGACTTGAAGGATCCGTGCCAAAAAATACGATGATGATGGGTTTCCTTGGTCTGCTTGATTATTCAACCAGGATCGGTTCGCTGTCACTTGATCCTTGCAATGAAGCGAGATGGCAATCTGGTCATTTGGTGTGAGGCCGATTCGCATCTGTCCGTCTGGATTGCACAGTCCTTCCTTCTGACACCAGGTGTGGAGGCGAGGCACCTTGGAGCTCAGGAGAGGGCGGGTGCGCTTGCACACTCGGAGCAGGGTCTTGATGGTGCTGTGATCGAGGGCGATCTGGAAACTGTCGTTGAAGCACACGATTGTGAAGATATCTGGGCTGTGTTGGAGTGGGAGCTGGGTGATATCGGGCATCGACGAGGTTGTGCTGGCTTCAGTTTGGCTTTGGTGAGTGGCAGTTGATGCCGTGGCTGAAGCAGGCTCGATCATGCTGGCCAAGTTGACGGAGACAGGAGGGAGGCAAGTGGGCGATGGAGATGGACATGAGACAGAGAGGCATGTTGTGGCGAAGCAAGCCAACACTGGCAAGCCAAACCCTGGCCATCCAATACCACACACAAATCTGGCTCGATTCGTTTGTTTGCTGGCTGGAGTCGTTGTTCCTCTTGCACTGCCACAGTCATTGAACATGAATCGATCATGAAATCGAATGTGGAATCGAAGCCGCATCCTGTCATCCAAGTATGTGCCTCATATATTCCATATCAGACCTGCCGGATCCATCTTGGCAACCACCTCTGCTTCGAACAGCCAGTCCTCATTGCCCACACTCGGAAGGATGTCAAGGTCAAATCCGAGATCAATGTCGTCACAAGGACACCGAACAGCCCACCGACTCCCCGAACTCCAAGACCATCACCCTGCCCCGCACCACAGTGCCCTGCCATGATGGCCCATGAAAGATGATGAAGTGTCAAAGGCGAGATTGTGTGCTGGATTGACCAGAGTTGAGTGCATTGCCACCCGGCTCCAACCTGGATCCACCCTGGCTCCATTTGGCTTCACTGGCAGGTTGATTCCCAAAACTGGTGGCGTCTCCCAGCCTTCTCTTTCCCCCTCGCCTTCTGTCAATCTGCCTTCCATTGACATCGCCTGTCCTGAGACTCTGCAATGTCGGGAGGTGAGTGTCGCATCGTGGCAGGATGGTGGACACTTTCACAGCAGCTGACTGGTGGCTTGCCCTGAACAGACGACTTTGATGCTTTCCTCAAGCGATATGGACTGGAGAGAAACAGGCAATGTCTGCTGGATAACGAATACGACACCATCGACTCGGTAGGTGCTGATGAGGTGGTGGAGTGTGGTCGTTGCCCAGTGGCTGATCACCTTAACGATACAGATTCTTCGGATGTCCGAGTCCGAGATGAATCAAATTGGGCTGAAGCTTGGGGCCATCAACAAGATCAAGTTTGCTCAGCACGATTATCTCAAGCAATCCACAGCCACAACAACTCCCACTGCCCCTCCAGTCGTTGCCATCTCTACCTCGACCCTCACTCCTGCCTCCACCGAGCGAGAATACAACCCGCCTGTCCTCAATCCCGAGTGGACTTGCACCAACGGCTTCCATATCCACGACATCTTCATCAGGTTTGTTGGTGGCGCTTGTTGTTGCCCGTGATCCATTCACATCCGTCTCGCATCCATCTCATCGATATCGCATCCATCCAGCTATCGTGTGGCCAGTGAGGAGGTGACTGCTGTCAAACTCCACTCGGCCCTCAGTGTTAGCCGTGTCGGCGAGCAGCACCCCTCCCATGTCTACCTGGACGCCCGATGCCTCGAGAACGGACTGGACTGGGAGGATGGTTTCATGAACGGCCTGGCCAACTCCAAGGTCATTGTGCTCCTCCTTTCCGAGGCTGGACTCGAGAGAACCAAGACTGCTGGCACCCGCCCAGACAATCAATTCCTCGAGGTGAGTGTCGTCGATCCAGTCCAGCACCACCATCACCATCCACTCGCCATCTACTCACCAATGATCCTGTCCCAGATCGAACTGGCTCTGAAGCAGATGAAGGAGACCCAGAACACCCGCTCACCCGTCCAGATCCTGCCGATCCTCATCAAATCAAGTGTAATGATCAACGGCACCAAGTACATCAAGGACTGGTTCCCCAACACGAACGACTTTCCCGATGCCATCCACTGCCACAGAGCCAGTCCCTCCAACCTGCACCAGATCAGCCCTCCCCTCACTGTGCGCCAGACTCTCGAGGAGTTGCTCAAGTTGCAGGCGCTGATTGCTGCCGATGACTATGCCGTCACCAAGTGAGTGTGTCTGTGTCCGACTTACTGATGGCATCCGTCTCATCAATCAGTCAGTTGATGCAGACCATCCAGATGCTGACTCACACATCCACAGACTCGTCCCCGAGATCCGCGAGACTTGGAAGAAAACCAACCTCGTTGCCACCGTGCCAACTTATCTCCCGACTGGATCGACTGTCCTCACTGCCAACGAGAACCACGCCCTGCGACTCCTCCTCAGTCCCATCGACTCGGCCCTGGACAGACGAGCACTCGAGAAGCTGTTTGTCGAGGGCACCCGCCAATGGCTGTTCGACCAAACCACCGACTGGGTCAACCAGGACACCACCGACACTGTCCTGTGGGTCAATGCCGTTGCTGGAGTGGGCAAGTCTGTCGCTGCCGCCCAGATCGCCAACATCCTCCAGGCAAACGCACAGTTGGTGGCAGCGCTGTTCCTCAAGTACAACGACACCCGCAAGAACAACCCTCGATCGGTGCTGAATACTATCGCATACGGTCTGTGCAAGTGGTACTCGCCGATCGGCCTCAAGCTGCTCGATGCTGGCCACTCCAAGGACAGTCTCGACAAGATGAGCATCAACGATCTGTTCAAGGCCGTGATTGAGGATCCACTCGCGGCTGTCGGTGGCTACAAACCACAGGAAGCGATCGTGATCATGGTGGATGGACTGGACGAGTGTCATCCCCGCGACGAGATCCTCGGGTTCCTGGCCAGTGGACTGCAGCGACTGCACACGAAGCATCCGTGGCTCAAGTTACTGCTGACATCCCGTCCCGAGGACGATATCAAGGCAGCATTCGATGGAGTCCCGACCAAGACAATCGAACCCTCGAGCGAGGAGAACATCCGTGACCTCGAGGTGTTCATCCGCCACCGACTGCGAGTGTATGACACTCTCACTGACTCGGACCGCACCAAGGCAGTCGCCATCCTGCTGGACCAGTCCAAGACATTCGTGTGGATCAACCTGATCCTCAACACCGTCGACGCAGCATCCAAGGACGGCCCAGTGACACTCGCCACGATCAAGGACATCAACGACAGCGCTGCCGATGTCGGGCAGCTGTACCACAAGACATTCGCCAAGATCCACTCGCAGTCGAGCCACCCGGCCGAGCTGGTCACCCGGCCGAGCTGGTCACGGTGGTGTCGGCCATCGCCACGGCCCAGTCGATCCTGACCCCGCAGATCATCGCCGATGTGTTTGGACTCGAGATCGGCGTCGTTCGCGAGTGTCTCAAGAGCCTCAGTCTGGTCCTCGATCCTGGCGCCAATGGACTGGGTCCCCGAGACAGCCAGTCCACCAACACCGAGGTCAAGTTCAACCACAAGTCGGTGGCGGACTATCTCCTCGGCGACGCATCGACTGGCCATCCGTGGCATGTATCGAAAGAGTTCCACACGGTGTTTGCCAAGGGATGTCTCGGTGTGATCCTCTCGCACGACCCAGTGATCAACATCTGCGACATCTACGACTTTCACGACAAGATCGCTGACCTAGAGGACAGGGTTGCAGCCAAGATCACACCGTCGCTGCGATACAGCGTCGCCCACTGGATCACACACTTTGTGTGGTGTGTGGACGGAGTGGCCGAGTCGAGTCCGGTGTGGCAGTCGGCCGAGATGGTCGATGTGGCAGCGGTGCTCACTCGGTTCGTCAAGACGCATGTGTTCTTCTGGCTCGAGTGTGGGTCGCTCACACATGTGGTCAAGCCGATCATCGAGCAACTGGCTGTGCTGCGAGGAGTGATCGCCAAGGCACCCAGCACCATCGTCGACGACACCACGAAGGAACTGGTCAAGGACACGTATCGATTCATCCGCGAGTTTGCCGATCCGATCATCAAGAGTGCACCACAGGTGTACAACTCGGGGTTTGCATTCACACCGAAGGAGACGGCGATCTACAGGGCATATGCCAACCAACTCGAGGACAAGATCCCGTTCCTGGTCACCTGCGGTCCAGCACCCACCTGGGAACCGTGTGAGATGACACTCACTGGCCACACCTGGGATGTAGTATCGGTGACGATCTCACTTGATGCCAAGTGGATTGTCTCCGGCTCCGGTGACAAGACAATCAAAATGTGGGATGCAACCACTGGCCAGCTGAAGAACACTCTCGAGGGACACGCAGCCGGTGTGCTCTCCGTGGCGATCTCGCCCGATGGCAGGTGGATTGCATCTGGCTCTGATGACAGCACCATCAAGGTATGGGATTCCACCACGGGCGAGGTGATGCACACCCTTGAGGGACACACAGGCGGTGTAAAAACCGTCGTCGTATCATTCGATGCCAAGCGGATTGTCTCTGGCTCTTGGGACAGCACGATCAAGATATGGGACATTAAAACGGGCCAAATGAAGCACACTCTCAACGGACACACAGCCGGTGCGCTCTCCGTGGCGATCTCGCCCGACGGCAAGTGGATTGCATCTGGCTCTGATGACAGCACCATCAAGGTATGGGATTCCGCCACGGGCGAGGTGATGCACACCCTTGAGGGACATACCGACCCAGTAAACTCCTTGGCGATCTCACCTGATGGCAAGTGGATTGCATCGGGCTCCAATGATATGACCATCAAAGTATGGGACATCTTTTCTGGCGAGCTCATGCGCAACATCACGGAGCACCAAGATTTTGTAAATTCGGTGGCATTCTCGCCCGACGGCGAGTGGATCGCCTCCGGCTCGACTGACAAGACCATCAAGGTATGGGACTCCACCACGAGTGAGGTGAAGCACACCCTCGAAGGACATACCGACCCAGTAAACTCCATAGCCATTTCATATGATGGCAAATATCTCGTCTCGGGCTCAAGTGACGAGACTGTCAAGGTGTGGGATATCACCACACATCAATTGAAACTCGCTCTCGACGGACACTCAGGCGGTGTGAACTCCATGGCCATCTGGCCCGACGGCGAGTGGATCGCCTCCGGCTCGACTGACAAGACCATCAAAGTGTGGGATGCCTCCACGGGCCAGCTGAAGCACACCCTCGAGGGACACACTGACACTGTAAATTCCGTGGCCATCTCCCCCGATGGCAAGTGGATTGCGTCCTGGTCATTTGATAGAACAATCAAAATCTGGAACACAAAACAATGGAATTTGACTGACAACATCAATGTCGAATGGTATCCTTGCCAGAGCCACGGTCAGCCAACAACCTGTTATGCTGCGAATGGGAAATTTTCGGCTGATGGATCATCTCTCAGTGGAGTGTTTAGCCTATATTATCAAGGGCAATCAGGGACTGAATATTTGGAGAAGAAGATTTACTGCTGGCTACGGAATGGGAAATTGACAAGCATAAACTCAGATGAGCCACATTCCTTTGTCGCGGCATCCGGGTCATCCACTTTGGTCGATTGGATTGATAATGACCAAGCAAACAGGTTCCAGTGGATCCGACATGGTCCATACATCCTCCATATTCCATACTCCTTCCTCAACTCCCGATATTGCTTCTCTACAAAATTCGGGGGTTTGATTGCGATGAGCAACGTTTTCCCGGTCCGGCCCCTTGTTATCCTGGTAAGTCCATATATCTTCCAATACTCTTCTCAGTTTTTGACTAACATCCTTGCCCCACAGCCAATATACATCAGCACGCAAGAGATCCATGCCGAAGTTGCGAAATGCAAGGAGAGTGGAGTACAAACAATCCAGCGCTTGTTGCAATGATGCGGAGCACCGTTCATTCTGTATTGTCGCCAAGTCCTCTTGATTGTTTTTTTTTTTTTGTTTACGGTAGTTGTATATTCAGGAATATTCAACAAGCCATCAGTACCATGCGGTACCCGGCAGTGGGCGTACAAGCAGGCTCACACACCCCTGTTGCGGCTCTCGCCGACTCTCCAGCCCACAAGGCGGACCATGGGGTGATCACTTCCTCCAAGAGGTCCCAGAGGAACTCGCATGTCTCCGGGTCCCGCTCGAGGCCCCTTACTCTGGCCATGGGAGCTCCGCTCCGGGATCTCCTCAAAGCCCATTGTTGGGGTCGCTGTCATGGCCTCGTGCCGCTCAGCGCCCCAGTCGCTCTGTCACTGCTCGGTGTGGGGAGAGGGCTGCCTCTCCTGCTGGTCGTTGGGAACGGTGTGTCTCCGAGTCCGAGGTCGTCGTCCGAGACCAGGTCTGGACTCAGGTCGGCATCGTCGATCAGATCGATGCTTGGTATTGTGTCCGAGAGCAAGTCGACACTCTGGTCGCTCTGCCAATCCCTTCCGTGGCTGGGCAGGTCGTCGTCGATGTTGGTAAGGAAGGAAAAGTCCAGATCTCTCTCCAGATCCAGGTCCCAGTATGGCACCGAACTCATTTCGGAGCTCTTGTCTGTTGAGTCGTCGTCGGTCAGCCGGAGTCGCTCCAGTCGTGCCAGCACCTCTCCGTGTGTGTTGGAGGGGGTTTGTTACATTCGTCAACTTAATATAGTCAGACTGCCTATCAGGTCCAATAGGTTGGTATCCTGAACGTTATGTCCATAGGCAAGCCTATCTACTCTTGCTGCGGCTTGCGCTCTCAGCTACCCATAAGATAATCGATCATGGGATCGAATCCCGCATTCTCGCCATCCAGGGTCAGATGTACACTTTACACATTACAAATGGGACACATTCCCTATCCCATATGATAGCGAAGTATGCGATGTGCTTGCGTCAAGCAAAGCCACAAGAAATAAAACAGATTACTTTGGCAGCCTCCGAGTGAAGACCGCCGGTCGCTCTCCGGTCTCCACAATCGACCTGCACACTGTCTCGGAGTGCCAGCGATGGATGGTGCTCTTGGACACACTGAATATTGAAGCAACCTTACGCAGGCTATGGATGAGGTCGTAGCATCGCAATGCGGCGGTGCTCTTGGACACACTGGCGAATGGTCATGGCCAGCGCGCGATAACATTGGGTAACAAAATATTCGATGAATGGTCAAAACCCGGGTGTCCCGTTTTTAATTGGATTAACTGTAAAGTGTATTGACAGCCGAGAATAGCCGCGAGAGCATTGGTTGCAGCCACCAAACCTGGCTGGATCCTGTCCTCGCTCTCCGCCGAGACGCACCGAGAGGCGCCGAGAGCGGCCGCGAGACGCCGCAGCGAGATGCCGATCCCCGTTGGCCTCGCTTCGCTGTTTTCGCTCTTTCGCCCCATCTCTGCTTTCTATCGCTTTCGTCATCACGCATTCGTCATCACAGCTGCCGTTTCAGCCGCCATCGCATCACTCCCACTGCTTCCGCACTCGCCTGCTCTCCCGACGACTCTGCCGATCGATCAGCTGCGCTCCAGCGCCGTCCCCTTCCATCCGCCACCCGCTCGGTCCTAGTTCGCCTGAATCGCCCGCCATGGATCCCGCCTTTCAGTCTGATGTCGAGGCCGACCTCAACTCCTCCTTCAAGGCTGCGGCCCTGGCCCTGACCACGCTCTACAAAGACTCGCTCAAGCACAGCAAAAACTCTTACAACCAGGGCTACTCGCAGTGTCTCCGGGACATTATGACGTTTGCATCGCAGCAAAGCCACCGCCTTCCAAACACCAACACCCACGTCATCAACGTCGCCGATCTCGTGGCCTTCATGACGGCTAGGGACAGCGAGCTGCAGAGCTTGCATCAGGGCTCTCCTTCGCAGCGCCGCTCGCACCCCGCCCCTCACGTCTCTGGTAACTCGGCCGACACCCTTCCGCCCTCCAGCCTTAGCGCCCCCGTGCCGCCATCCCAGCCGGCGGCCCAGTCAATGCCGACCCCCAGCCCGCCGAAACCGTCGCCCGTGGAGCACCACCCTAATACTTTTTGCCCGCCGTCAACTTCGTTCACCTTCACCAGCACTGTAACGGCCGTCGATCCCTCCATCCCAGGCATCCCACTTATCCCAATGACCCAGGCCATCTTCCATCCGCCGACACCACCCGTGGGCTCGACCGAATCCAGCACACAATCTGTTCTGGGCCACAACCAGATGATGGAGCATGCCATGGACGATGGCCATTCGGACACAGGATATCCGCACCATGGTGAACTCAAACGGCGCTGGAACCCAGAGTTTACTGCCTTTGGCCGCTCGCTGGGCCTGGATGAGCAAGCATACAAGACACTCATTGGAGATCCGTCACCCAAGCGTCAAAAATGGCGACGGGACGACCGCATGTCAGACTGAATCCGCTTCGGCGCCCGGAAACACCCAGGACGCATGCGTGGATCTCATCCCGCACGCATGCTCCGATTCGTTTGGGGGATGAGCGCATCAACGAAACCTGTGTCTGCATGAGCGTTTCCGTATGCTAAGCACGGCAAAGCACTTCACGTCGATTCGCGGCGTTGGATCGATCAACTCAACGGCCGAAGATGGTGCCGCTGCCTTCCAATCTTGGTCGTTTGGACGAACCAGCTGCTCAAGACACACGGACAAGCGACGGACCTATGCCCGATAGATGGGCCATTTTGTCGCTCTCGTTTCGGAGACGACTCGGATCTTTTGCGCATCAAGTTGGTCGTCTCGCTGCGTTGGCCACTGTCGCTTGGCTCGCCTGGGGTCTGCTGCCACCTAGCTGCATACACTCTGGGACACTACGGCCCGCACAGTCATCACTGTCGCCACAACTTGTCATGGTTGCTCTCCCAACACATCGTCGCTCAACGCCAGTGGTTTCGTTCTCTCATTCGATCTGCCGGGTCTGCCCAGATCTCGTCTGCCCTCCGTCTTGCTGGACCTAATGCCGCCTTGGCTTGACCCCCCCCCCTGCACCTCCCGTTTCTATCATGCCTGTCTGTCCAGCAAGTATGTTCAGCCACTCTATCCCTCGTTTGCACCATAAGCCTTTTTCTGTTTGCATAGTGCATATCTGCACTGGTCGATATTTACAATATAGACTCATGGCAATGCTGCGGCTCCCGAGCTGTCCTGGCCGTCCTGGCCGCCCTGATCTCCATCGACGCATCCTCGGCAATTGTTTCGGGCAAAGGCCGAGTGATTGGGGCTCCAACATCGAAGGCAACAAGCGGTGCCGTCGAATCCAATAACGCATTTTGCTCGCCTGCGTTTCGCTGACCCGCATTGCTTGCTCGCTGCATCATCCGTCCACATCCACATTCATCAACAGAGCTCTGCTCGCCTCCTCGCCATCCAGGCTCGCACCCCCCCCCGCATCCGCTGGATTCCGCCGCGTCAGCGCCGGCTCACCCGATCTCCTGGTGCTGGCTCAGCCGTCGGAGCCCTCGTTGTTGGCTCTTTCCCGCATCTCGCCGAGTCGGTCCTTTATCGTCCTGCAGCGTCGCTGCTTACTGCATATCCACCGCAGGTTCCGCTCGCCAGATCTGAACCAGGCGTGCAGTTTTCTTTTATTCGGTCTGTCGCATCTGACCCTGCAAGCAATCGTTTGCTGGACCCGCTTTGCCATGGCAATCCGTCGGCTTTGTCGGCCCAGGCGTCCCCTGGCGCTCTCCTGGCCTCTCCAGGACAATGCGCTGGCTGGGCTAACTCGCTTGCCTCTCGTCCCCCATATCAATAGACAGCGGTGCAGTTCCAAGTCTCGGCCGCATCCGCATTGCCCTCGACCACACAGGCCATCCCGTTTCTCCAGCCAGTCCGGCCGCGCTTGCCAGAGTCGCAAGTTGCTCCCATCGCTTGTTCGGCCCCTCGTCTCATCAATCGATTCCTGTCCTTGATCCTCTGATCCTTAAACCCTGCTCTTGCATCTAATCCGCTGCGGCTCCCATCCACCCCATGTCTTATGTCACAAAGCGATGTCCTCGCTGCCGAGGCAATGGCCGAATCCATCCCGTCGATACTACTTTTGAGTGTACGTTTTTGCCGACGTGTCCGCACTGCGTCAAATGCAACAACTGCATCAACGGCCGGATCGTCGGTGGAGGTGACAGCGATTCACCGACTCGGCCCGTCTCTGTCCGGTCGCCCTCGAGACCCGTAAGCAACTTCATCCCGACCGATTCGCCTGGCCAGGCCCCAATTGCAAGCAGCAATCCGGGCGTGGCTGCCACCAGCCCTGGTCCTGCTGCCGTGCCGGCCGAATCATCCGCAAACCCTTTGATATCGGCCCCTCCGAGCTTAAGCCTGCTGCCAGAGGCGCCCGTTCTGCTCCCGAAAGCACCATCCAAGGACAAAACCCCGGTCGAGATCGATTTCCGGTCGGCCCTGGCTCGTAAACGCAGGGACCGTGAAAAGTCGGGCCAGTCGCAAGCAGACGACCCCAGGGCATTTCCTCACGACGAGCCGAGCCAGCTTTCGGCCTCTCCCGCACCTGCGTCGACCGATACCTCGGCCGCAGAGGCCAGCTCGTCCCGGGCCGGGTCTGTCTCTGTGTCTGAATCTCCTGGCTCGTCCTCAGCGATCCCAAGCCATGTGCGGGTCGCGATGCCACGATCGTCCTCTCGCCGGAGTATCGACGAAGGGCTATCGACCCTCAACCAGGAGCAGGAACGGCTGAATCGGTTTGTAGCTGAAGAACTGGCGACCCCGGTTCAGGCCAAATTGGCTGCCTCGCCCGGTCCCCAATGCGCCTTGCCTCCGACCGAAGCGCCTGCTGAGACTCCAACCCCGACCACAACTCGTGCGCCTGCAAGTGGCTCCGAGCCCTCGGGCCAGACGGAGCTCGTATCAGTCAAGCACGACGATGCCGAGCCCTCCAAGAGTCCCTCACAGATCGAAGCAGAGGCAGACGCTATCAAATCGCAGGCCAGCACAACCGCTCCGGCGCCTTCCATCCGATGCTCGCCAGATATGATTGCGACTGTTGAAACTGCTGATACCGCTGATACCGTCGCTATTGCCAGTGTACCAACCGCTCCGGATCAATTCATTGCCATTGCAGCGCCAGTGGTTTCGCCCAACGCTATCGCACTCGCAGACATCATGCCCCCATTCGAAATCACACCAATCGAAGTCGCTGTCACAGTTGATGTTGTGATGGCCAGCCCTCGTCACTCAAACGCATCCAGCACCCTTGCTGCCTTGATTCCACCCTCACTGCTAGCTCGCCGACAGAGCAGCATCAAGGACCGCATCGGCGACTTGGTCATGTCGGGGCTATCGCCATCAAACATCTCACCGCCCGGTGCCCAGTCAAACACCCACTACCGCTCGATCGAGGCGCTGCATGACACAGCCCTGACCTCGAAGCACAAGTCTGTCTTTGAGGAAGTGCCGGGAGATCCACAGCTGGCCAACAAGCAGGCTGCTGAGGTGCCGGGCGCGCAGCACGATCCGAGTATCGAGAGATCAAGTGTGCATCAAGACAAACCAAGCCCCGAGAGGCCCAGCATCCACCCCGACAAGCCCATCTCGGGCCTCAAAAAGCACTTGAGTCTATCCCACATGGCCGCCTTTTCGCACGAGCCTACAGCAACGGGTGTCTCTCCCCCTGGCTCTGCAGCCTCTGCAGTCTCTGCATCGATGCGGCGCCGGAGCGGCGAGCTGTCCTCGACCCCAGTTTCGCCAGAGGTCGGCACCGGTACCGGTACTGTCGGCGTCAAAAAGTCCACCAAAGACTTTTTAGGGTTCGGTACGCGGCACGCCAAACGGCCGGACGAATCCATGCGGCTCCGGACTGGCATGAGCACCTCTCATGGTGACATATCCAAGTTGGTGGCGTCGACGACAAGCACCATCCCGCTGTCACCCACCCGCAGCATCTCGACGAATGCAGGAACCCCGTCAATACCTGGCCCCCAGATTACGACGATCCCCTTGGCAACGGGCGACTCGTCTACTGCCATCGGCCTGCGCAAAGGCCGAAAGGGGCAGTATTCGACCCAGAGCATCAACTCACTCAACTCGGGCGCGGCATCGGGAGCGGCCTCGACTGCGAGCATGGCAAGTGGCCAGTCCAACGGTAGCATCAATGGTGATGCACCGGCAGGTACGTTGAGTCCAGACGCCACCGTGGACCTATCCACGGACCTAGTCTCAGAGGAGCAAATGCGGCAGCCCTGATTCTGTGGTTGATTGTGTAGTCGATTCTGCGGTTGATTGTGTGGTTGATTGTGTGGTCAATTCCAGCCCATGATAGATTCACACACTTTAATTTGTCCATAGTGCCGATCAAAAAGGCTTTCAAGAACTTCCGCGAGTGGCACTCGAGCTTGGTTCTTGGTAAGTGGACAATCCAGCATGTCAAATTGACTCGCTCGGCTATTGTCTAACAGCCAGTTGCCCACCACTCTGTTCCACAGACTCTGCACATCGACCAGAGCAGGTTTGTGTTGCCCGTGGCTCGTGCGTCTATCTGGATCTGCTTTGAACTATCGGGGGAGCTCGTCTGGGCTGGAGTGCATCTGTAGCATGGCTGAGTGGCAACCCCCCCCCTTGAATCAATGCGATTGACTGACCATCCACCTTTCGGAATCTTGCCCTTAGGAAGAATACACCTTTCCTGTTAATATTATGCTCAAGACGCTGTTTGGAACAAAGACATCGCACGGTAGGTCCCAGTGGCTCAACCTCAGTACTCAAGTTTGGTCGAAAGCTCCGATTCCGCCCCGCCTTCTCGGAAAAGCAATTAAACGCATCATTAATCCGTAGATCCAGCCGATCGCATGTCCTGGGCAGCCCGATGCGTCCACACTTCTCGCCAGGCCGGACTCTGGGGCCAGCAGCAACAGGACGCCATATCACCTGGCACGGGGCTATCCGAGCTTGGTATGTTGGCGTGACGGTATATCGACGCTGCTTCCCAATAGTCAGAACTGTATGATTTTCAAGGCTGACGTGCCTTTGGTCGTGATCATGATCAGATGCCAATCCGGAGGCCGAGATCCGCTATCGTGTGCTCGATATCTTCCAGGGTAAGCAGATGAATTGAGTGCGCTAGTTAGCATCGATCATAGGCGCTGTGTAATTCTGTTGGTAGAGTTCCGAATGGAGGCAACTTTGCTCAAAGCGAAACTACTGCGCTCGTGTCTGGTTCGGTATCAAATATGCAGACGGCAAGCTCGACAAGATCAAATACGAAGAGATGGATGGGCTGCTCTATGTCAGCAGCGGCACGGCATATGCCTTGTTGGATGCGCTGATCTTTCCTCTGTCGCAAGGTACGCCGTGAATCGGTGGACATTTCCCATATCGCGAGCCATCAAACTGTTATGTCGTTGACTCGCTGCCAGTGTTCCGATCGCTGACTCATGGCGCTTTGACGACTAATCCGTGGCTCACTCGCTGGCCCACTTGTCACTGGTGACGCATTTGTCACGCTTGTTGCATCGCTCCACGCTTGTTGCATCGCTCCACGCTTGCATCCAGATATGGGATATTCTGAGGTCTTTTTGGCCTCGTATCGCTTCTTCATGTCTCCTCGGACGCTACTCAACTCGCTTGTCGAATGGTACAACGTTGACCTCGACGAGGACGCAAGCTCGTCGCAGCACCAGTTCCTGAAAAAAAATCGCCGTCAAATCCAGGGACGAGTCGCCAAGATCCTGCTTCACTGGATCAAGAAGTTCTGGCACGATTTCACCACCTCCAAGATCCTTCTGAGGGAGCTGACGATCCTTGTCGACCAGATCTCGCAGACATCCTTTGGAGATGGACAGAAGATCACACAGGCGATTCGCGAGCAGGTGCGTGCCCATACTGACCGTGACACACACATACTGGTTGGCGCATGCTATGAAGCACATAGCGAGCAGGTTTTATGCAGGCCTGTGTGCGATAGTCGGGCTCGCTGCGACCGATGAGGCTTCATATTTACTGATTACGTATCGATTACATGCACTGCTGTGCCCGCGGGCGCCGATCTCCACAGAGATTGGCTTGGTTCACGGCGCAGTATATCGCCCCCTTTCCGATGAAGCCCAGCGGCCCATCCAGCGGGAACATGCCCCTGATCAGCGATTCCCAGAGCGCGCGGCAGTACATTGCCAACCTGGAGCCTGAAGACCTGGCCCTGAACCTCACTACCATCGAGCGCTTCTACTTTGGCCAAGTGACGCCGTCAGCCTATCTCCACGTACTTCACCGACCTGTTCCGCAAGCTGGCGCGGGATTGGATCCATCGCTCCGGGTCCTGGTGGATTATATCACCTGGTTCAGCTCCGTCTCGACGCTTGTGTCCAACTATGTGGGTCTCGAAGATGGGTCCAAGAAACGCGGCAAGGCCATCAAAAAGTTTATCAAAACAGCAAAGGTGTGTTCTGTGATAAGGGCCACTTCCTTGGGCAATCGATCTGGTCTGTACTCGTCGCTCACCTAGTAGTCCGAACCGCGTATATAATGTCAGGAATGCAAGAAACTCCAAAACTACAACACGATCTTTGCCATCATCCATGGCCTCAAGCGCCCGTGGATCGTAAAGCTCTCGGGTGCATGGGAGTCGCTGTCGACCAAGCATCTGGATACCTTCCGGGACCTGGACTCGCTTATGGATCCAACGCGTGGATTCCACAACTACTGGCTGGAGCTTGGAAGCGCCAAGGTCCCTCTTGTGCCGTGCTTTGGTAGGTCTCTGGCGAGTTACACTGTCCACCAGACTGGCTCATTGGTCAACGGTGTCGTACTGGCTGCTGGCTATGCGCTGGCCTTCGAGCGACCATGCGCAAAAGTCCGCGCGTACGTACACTGGCAGCAATCATGTGTTGTTCCCAAAATGCCCATTGCCCCCCCCCTCAATACCAGACCTGCACGAGCTGACAGATACTGCATTCAATACCTGTTTCAAGCGCTGCATATGCACGAGCTGATCGATGCGTTCGAGGAGCACTTGACCTACGAAGAACCCCAGTCGCCTGCCGCCCCAGTAACACCGTCATCACTCGGAACCCCGGCCTCATCGATCGCGCCGGACTCGCTGACGGACGACCGCGATTTGATTCGCATCCTGAACTTTAACAAGTTCTATGTCATGTACGAGATCATCACGGACCTCGAAATTTATCGCAACACAGCCTATCCGAAATTGACGGACTCGGATGTTGCCGGACTGGTGCTGGCATGTGTGCGCGAGCTGTCTGCGGCGGAGGTGTTTGGACCGGCTGGAGAAGACCCGACGCTGTCGGCCAGCCACAAATCAGCGCTTAAATCAGGCAGCATCAATCTGAAGGAAAAGAAGCGGGAATCGGCGACTACAGCATTTCCAAAATGAAATGGGACACCCCGTTTTTGACCAGGACAGTGTTTTTTTCTGGAATATGAATACACACCCACTCATCGCATTCATGGCCAAGCACAGCACCATCTTGATATCGAGAAACCACACTTTGTCCGGAGCTGTGCAAGCTGCCATACGCTGTGGGATCGAGACATTAATGCCTCAAGGAACATGATCTCGGTATGTCAGTCGATCACCGCCCATGGAGATCGACCGGGTGTATTCAAGACTGTGCTCCCGAAACCAACCAAAACCACTCGATTGCCAACCAAGACGGGAAACAATCTCACGGCCTGCCCGCTGGGGCCTACAGTCAGTCAGCGGGTTTCAGACATCTGAAGCCAGGAAGTGACTGTCCCGTTTCTTTCTGGACCGACTGTACCAAGTCATGATGGACAACGCCGACCAGCTCTGCAGCCGGAGTTGGACGTCCTGCCCTCCCCCTGTCGAGCCTGTCTCAATACAAAGAGCACTTTTAGCACGAGCAAAAAACATCCGCCTGAAGCGTTGCGGCAATGCTGCCATCGCCATTCGGGACAATGCGCCGTGTGGGAACCGCTCGCTTTCGTCTTGAGCGAGATTGGGCTTTGTTGTGTCTTGGTCACGTGGATGCTCTTCGCAGGAAGCGATTTTCTTGCTGGGCGATGTCCATCCACTGCAATCTGCCCTCTGTCGAGTGCAACGACGCCATGTCCATCAGGTAGGCTCCGCAAGCTCTTTTGTTCATGCATTGGTGGACAGAAATGCTTCTCCGATAAGGCCACTGGCACTGACGATGGCAACGCTGGCGCTGCGGATCATCCAGAGACTTCATCGATCACCGGAAAAAGTCGGGCCTATCATGGTGGGTAGATCCGAGCGGATATGCTCATTTGATGCTGCAAGAGGGTGGGGCTGCATCGGTCAACATGAGCTCAGTCTGACCAGGTGCTGCTCATGTCGCCGAGGGATTGTTGGACTTGGAAGGGCGCTCGTATCGGCCGGTGCTGACCCGGATCGAGCCCGCTGCGGATTATCGAACTGATTCGATTGGAAATCTGATTTTGCGCCCTCTCTGCTCTCCCACCCATCGTCTGCTATGGACGCTCGATCCAAATCGGCAGGGACGACTTCAATGCCATCCGAGCCAAGAAGGATGACAGCGACTTCAATGAAGACCAGATGATAAAGGTGAGTGTTTGGCCGGCGAGGTGATACTGGGCCGCTGGCCTGAATCGTTGGATATCACGATAGATCTCTCTCGTGACACTATCGAGCGGTTTGAACGGCCCTGTTGTTGCCGGACTGTCGTACTGAGGCTCCTGCCGATCCATAGTATCGAAAGAAACTGGACCAGGAACGGCAGGCCAAGCTGGACTCGCGGGCCAAGGAGAAGAAAGAAAAGTCCAAGAAGAGCAAGAAGAAGAAGGACAAGGACAGGGACCAGAAGAAGAAAAAATCCAGTAGCAGCAGCAGCACCAAGAAGCGAAAGAAGCACGACAGTAGCGACGACTCGAGCGACGACTCGAGCGATGACGAGCGCCGCGAGCGACGGCATGGCAGCTCGGATTCGGACGATGAGCCCCGCAGACGAAAGCAGCGAGAGGCCGCTGACGACTCGGACGAGCACCAGAGACGCAGAGATGCTGTCGAGTCTGCTGATCGCCGCGATCGTCGAGAGCACAACGACGAGCAGAGCCACAGGAGCCCCAGGGACGACGGTGCTGGCACTGAAGCAGGGCGGTCTCGACACAGTCATGATGAGCACCGCCGTCACGACGACCACGACCGTCGTCAACATCACGGGCACGACGGACAACATGGCGATCGCCATGACAAAAGCGAACCGTCCAGGCGCGATGACCCGATAGACAAGAGCCACTCGAGCCGAAAGAACTCCCCGAACGATCGTCAATAGCAAGCGCGGTCGTATATCTCCAGCCGAGCGACCCCATCTCTGGCGCAGCTGGCGCTCCGGATACGAATGAAGCTGTTGCCAGTCTGCACACTGGTCCGCTGCTGGCACAGCAGTTTGGTGATGTTCTGCACCTTGGCCTACCAAGTCTGTGCCAACGGTGCCGACGGACATGGCGCTGCCGATTCAAAGCGTGAAGCATCTTCGTGTCGCTGCAGCGACGACAGACCCACAGCCTGGGGCAAGGCCGGATCAGAGTGCACTATCACGCTACTCTCGGTCCCTGAGAACCCGCACCGTTGTCGCTGGGGTTCGTGCACACTTTCTGGGGCGGGTCAGGCCTCCTCAATATATTGATAATCCATCAGTGGGCATTATCGAATAGCGGCTTCATGGACTCGTCATCGCATGTGCCAGCTGGCGCAAGGCATCGTCTATGTCGCCATAAGCATCGCTCCGAGGCGCCGCAGTCCGAGTGCTGATCGCTGTGGCTGTTCACACAAGCACAAGCGGCGGGAGCATGTTTCCAGAAACCCAATGCTCTGCAAACTTCTCAGGATGGTAGAGATGACACTCGAGGGTACCCAGAGAGCCAGAGACATGGTGACGATGTACCAAGGAGGATTTGTATTGCAACATCCGACCATCACGCAGACAAATGCTCCTTGATTGCAACTCGCAGATTGTAATGGTGTCGGGGATGCAAGTGGCAGGTTCGCACCGGATGCATTAGCCCTCCCAGAAGGTGGGCAGCTGGTTTCCAGGGACAAAAATGCGCTCGACCCCTCCCTCGGTTATTACCGCCAAGCGAATACAGCCACCGGACGAGCCATCTCTTGACATTGCCAGCGCGATCGCTAGTGCCGTCGGTTGAGCCCAGAAACAAGCAGAGACGTCATCGGCGATGCATCCGTCGACAATGACGAGGAGTGGGTGTCAGAATCAGATTGTGCTCGCACAGCGGGTATACAGGAGCTCTGCTTCTGGAATGCGGCTCAAGCCGAGTCCACAGACCATGCGCTCGACACACCAAAGTGCACCGGAAACAGAGGTGCACTGTCTGGCTTATCAAAGCAACTTCGATCTCGCATATGGGCTTACCGCTCTTGGTGAACTCGATGGCCTCTTCCCGGGTGAAGCCGTCTCGGTAGTGGGCATCGCAGTAGCCATAGATGTAGGTCGAGCCCGATCCACCAATCGCAAAGGGGCCCTTGTGCAGCGAGCCGCCCAGCGGAATCGAGTAGACGCTTGGCCCGTCATGCTTGTCCCAGCCGCCGACGATGATTCCAGCAGAAAGACTGTCCTTGTTTTGATAGACAATGTCCTTGAATAGTCTGGCGGCCGTCTCGACACGAGGGGCCTCGCCGTGCTGGACACTGGGTCAATCAAGTCCGAGAGGGGTCGATGAGCTGGGCTGGCTGGCCATTTTTGCACCCACCACCGTTCAGCCTGTGACTCGGCTGATCCTGGCGACCAGCCCAGCGAGCATAAATATCCGAGCGACGTACGTGTAAATTTGAAGGTAGTAGTGGATGATGTCGGCGATGGCTTGGGTGTCGGCTGCACTTCCACTGCGGCAACAGAAGATGCGATCGTGGATTGGTGTCAACTTGTCGGTGACTCTGTTTGCTACAAGGCCATGGAATGGGGGATACGGGTGAGTCGGAGCTCTCGGCTGCAGCGACGATCGGATCTGCACAGCCCTCGCCCAACGATTCGAAGCCAACGGCTCGGCGCAAGCAGAAAGGACCAGCTCGGTCGATGCCGGTGCGGTGCCTACCGATATAGGAGCCCATCGTGGTTCTCGAGTCAGCGCCAACAATGACACCGTCTTTGTACTGGACCGCCATGATGGTGGTCTTGAATAATCGGCACAGGACAGGTTAGGTCAGCGCGAGCTCGGCGATATCTTTGGGCTGGCGGATCAACAGCCAGGCGATGTGCGCCTGCAAAATGAGCGACTGCTTTGGTTCACGATGCTGAGGAACACGGGGCGCGGGACACACTTACTCCCAGGTTCATCTCTCCGGGCTTCAAACGCTCCATCTTGATCTCGCTTGCTGGTAGGGTGCGGTGTTGGTGTCGGTGTTGAGCCGGTGTTGAGTCGGTGTTGAGCCGGTGTTGAGTCGGTGTTGATGCGCAAGACAGAGGCCGTTCGATGATCAGGCAGCCAGGACGCATCTGGCCACGTCCGCGAGCGAGCCAGGGTCGCAAACGTGGGTGCACGTGACTCGACCCATGCTGTGGCGCTGCTCCGGCCAGGTGTGGCGATGCGCCCTGTGGTTGTGGGCAGAGCCAGAGCGCCCTGTGGTTGTGGCAAGGGCAGAGCGCCCATCGAAACAGCAAGCATGTTCAATGAGCTACTGAGACCCGATTTCGATTTTATTTGAGCAAATGGGGGGCCATGTTCGGTCAACTTTGTCATGTTGAACAGCGCGCCAAAGGAGGTGAAGCTAAGGGTGCTGTGAGATCAGGTCCATTGGCGAGCCGAGATAGCAAACGGCAGTCTCAGTGTCCAGGACTACAAAGCTCGCTGTGATCGAATACAATGAGCCTCTGGATGGTCTGTACTTGCAATTAGAACTTGATGAGATCCTTCAAGGACTCGGCAGTGTCCTCGTGCAGCTCAAACAAGTAGCGCTGGGCACCTGTGCCAAGACTCCACATGGCATAGCCTTTTCTGGTCTTGTGGAGCTTCCGGGTGGATTCGGTCGAAATCGAGGTGACCTGCAGATCGGCGGTCACAGAGGAGCGCGACACATCAAACACCTGGCTGTTTTTGAGTCGGATGTCGGCCGATGAGCTCCTCGCATCAGGAGGACTCTGTGTACGGATGAGGGACGAGTGTTTTAGTGATGCAGGGACGGAAGGGGCAGCGAATGCAGCGTGAGCACAACGTGCCAGTCGAGTTCCCAGCGATTCCTCCAAGCGATGCCTTTCCCAGCGATGCTGGATACAGAGATTTCAACAGCGGGAACAACACAGCACATCTCTTTGGCATCTGTCCGGCCCTCCCGGTGCTGCCTGAATCATACCGTGTGCGTAAACACCAAGGTATTGTTGTCAACGACGTAGAGGTGGCAGTTGACGAGAACTTCGGTGCGGCCGCCACTGATGGTCTGCTTGTATAGCGTCACCGAGGGCAGGCAAGCCACAGGGCGCAACAGCTCGTCTTTGTACTTGCGAGCACTTCCGTTACCCCGAGTTCCGGTTTTGAGGGCTGTGGTGGTGCTCATTACTCCAGCCTTGGAATCAGCGGCTTTGACTCCAATGCTGGGATCGACTCTCAGGAGCGAAACCATGACAAATGGGATCAAGAGCGGCATGGCTGCGATGGCCATGAGGAAGTAGTAGACGAAGAACAAAGAAATGCCCGGTAGCATCATCATGAATATCGACAGCAGCAGGTAGACCACCGTCAGATTCCTGCGTATTCAAAATCAGAAGCAAAAATCGTAAGTCGACTCTGGAGATCTTCTTGACTGCCTTGACTGCCTTGACTGCCTTGACTGCCTTGACTGCCTTAATGGACTTTGCGGCTTGCGCCAATCGAGACATGCACCGCAGCAAAACCTACACGGCAGACACCAGGACAAACTTTGTATCGTATCTGCAGTTTGCAAGCAAATAGCGTGAGAGACAGCATGGTTGCTGTGTGAGCCTCGGTATCCGAATCACGCCAGCATCGGCGTCAGACTTTCCAAGGATTTCTTACGCATAACATTTGGCATTGCGGGTCTGGAAGGCGAGGACACTGGCCAAAATAAGCCAGGCAAGATTGAAGACCAAGTAGAGCAGCGACACCATCATTTCTGTCGTCGGGTCCGTTCCCGCACAAGTCACGTAGATGTCGAACTCGGTCTGGTAGATGTGCAGCGCATACGGGACCATACTGCCAGTCATTTCTCTTCCAACCGAAATAAGCTGGTATTGGAATGGTGTTGTCGGGCACGATTGGAAAAGCAATCAAGCCAGTCAGACGGTGGTGTTCCCTGGTGCATCTTAGCAAGCCACGCAGTCCTCAACATCAAAGGATTGCCGATACTGCAATATGAGGGGCGAGCACGGTGTGCAACACTGTGTTGAGCTATTACCACATCCATTATAAACGTCGCCGAGCAAATAAATACGGGCAGGAGTGTTGGAAGCTTGGTTTCTTTGAGAGTATGTGACTTCGACGTTTGCAGATATCCTAGCCGCATTTGACATGTAAGTCTGTTGGACCAGGAATGCATCCAAGCAGATCGGGGGGAATATTGGCTTGTAGCTTACGTATAGTCCTCGAGAGAAGACACCTGTGCAGAGTTTGGCATATCAGTCAATTGAACTGGTAGATTCTCATCTTTGCGCTGTAGTATGGCGAGAGGCATCTTACCCATGCACGAAGGACATCATGAGATTGACCCAGAAGTAATACTCAACGATGCAGTTCCTCCTTGTCGGCACGCCAATCTCGGTAATCACGCAGATCATACACAAGATAATGTAGGCGTTCGCTGGCGAGCCAGGGATATCACGTCAGAAGCATGGCATCTTCATACAGGGACCGTTTCCATGGGATATGGGCTGGCGGCAAGCCAACTGGCTCACAAGTAATGCGGCAACTCACCAAAGAACAGATAGAGCAAATTGAAATACTTCATTGTCTCGCTGCTTGTCACGGTGAGGAAGACTGCGTATATGAACAGTGATGCACAGGCAACGATGATTATCACGGCGATCGTTGTGAGGGCAGTGGCCCCGCTGCTTCCCCACTGGACGTTGAGGTAGTTGTACGGCGGATAGTCTGTCGGCAGCTTCAAAAGCGGCGAGGAAGTGTTCGTGACCGACGTCCCAAAGGTCGTCGTGTTCATAAAATAGATCTCGCAGCTTTCAGGCATGAAGTTGTCGACAGTGACATAAGCTTCGACCGTGTCGGTTATGTTTCCCATATTCAGTGTCTGTACAACATTTAGAAAGTCAGGTTTGTGATTCAGCTGAAACAAACCGCCTTGTGGTAGGATCTTACCTCGCTGTGGACCGAAAAAGTTCTTGTGGGGCGTTCATAAGTGTCAGTATGATCGTGAAATCTGTCAGCGTACGTTGCAGTGACTCACCCAGTAACACGGTTTCCGAACGCTGGGACGTAAATGAAGAGTAAGAACACCGGTGAGTGGTAAGAACATGTGGGGCAAGCCAACATTCCGAAACTCGCTGTAGAGCGGCTCGACAAGTGTACGCACAGTCATAATCCAGGACTCCGGAGGCGCCACTAAAGGTCAAGTTCAAGAATGATTCTGTGGACAGCTGGCTCGACGTCAACGTGTTGTTTGCTATGATGCTGAAGCTGACGCCAGATTTGAGAAGCTTGGAGTTATGAAACCAGGTTCGACCGTACCAGCGTTAGTTGTGAGCACATAGCAGCAACAGAACGATAATGAGCTTGCTCGATACACATGCCAGAGACCGGGAGTGTACTCACTCGATCAAACGCCTTAGCGGCTGTCATAACACAGTCGTATGTGAGACTGGGGCGGTAGATATAAAAGTATGAGAATACATTCGTCACATGGTTGGTGGGCGTTGCTGCGAATCGATGTGTGGCATACGATAATACGTACACTGCGACCGGGAGCAGGTTCACTTCGGGAAATCCAAGTGCGCTGACTGAGTTGTTGTACTCAATGAACGAAGGCCGTGTTGGATCCACAGTCTCGGGGCCGTATCTACGCCATACGTAGAGTGATGTGAGATCAGTGCTCTCGATGCAGCGGGACTGTCAATCCATACAAGAGCTCGGCTATACAAACGCGCCACAGCAGAATTATCTTACGCATAAAAGTTCCTGCACCATTCGGCGATATCGGTTTGGGTGGTGAGTGGTGAGTGGTGAGTACCGGATCTGAATACATCGCAATAGATGCTGTAGACCAGTGCAACACTTCCTTACATATTGATCCCGCTGTGGAGTACGAAAAATGGTCAGAATACTTTGGCTTGAATCAAAGTCGAGCAACAAGCCGCAAGTCTCGTTGAATGCGGAGGCGGCTCAAGAAATATGTGATTTTGGTATCGATGCACACTCACTAGTCGCGCACGTAGGTTCCATTGATTGGTCCGCCTGCTTGAGGCACCAAAGTTGTGTTGAAATTTGTATAAAAGTTGACGGACTCGAGCAGGGTGTTGACATCCGAGTTCATAAGGCCCTCATGAGTCAACCATGTGTATTGTGGTGCGTCCAGACCGTACCTATCAATGTATTCGGTGGAATGTAGTCAGCCGGATCAGCAGCCCCAAGCCACTCGGGCTCTCAGCGTCCGATGCGCATTCGGGTCGTGCTTACTTCTTGCCCTGGGAGTATTCGCGATAGTGACATGGAAATGTGTCGTTTAAGCATGTAAGTGATTTTGGATGCCGCCATGGTGTCAGTGCAGCCAAGTTATCAAGTCGAGCGCTGGTAGCAGTCCTTACATAGAGATAGGATACCGTGGCGGGGAGGATAGAGCACATGCAGACGATCACCCGGACGTTGGAGTTTTTAACGGTTTTCAGCTGAGCTGTGTAGTCCGATGTGGTTGCTCCTTGTGATGCAATCGTTACTTGCGGATACACATTGAGCCCGAGGATTCCGGCCTGGTCCAGAAACCCAGGCAGAAAAGTTGGTCCGACTGGATCAGAAACCGGGTCCTGAGGTCGGAATCGCGGTTAGTTGAGTTTGTGTTCATACGTGGCAGACTGATGCACGGACAACGAGATACCGAACTGCAACCATCACGGCGATTCGACGGAGGCCCATGTTGTAGAGCCAAACGGCCATCGCTAGAATCGGAAATCAAACGAACATTCAGCTCTTTCGTCACTCTACGAGGGAGTGGCTTGCAACAGATCGCACTCGCAAGTCACTCAAGATGCAGTGCTATGATCTTATTTCCATTTCCACGCCTATGTCATGGGAATGTGCAGGAATGCGTGGGCCCTGGAGCGGTGGGCATGCCGTGAATGTGGGCCAACCCACCTCGACCCTTGAGCTCGGCCTGAGGAATGGTGCGATAGAAAGTTGGGTATGTCTGTCGATTTTGGAGCTACACGAAACATGGGTGAGATCAAGGGCCGTCTTGATATCGACGGCGTACGTTCTCAGGTTGAAGTGCATCGCATTTGGGCTCACTCACCGAGCTGTCCGAAATAATAGGCGAACACATCTAGAGTGGCGCCAGATCCGCATCAATAACCATATTTCTCGAGCGGCCAAGCTCCGAGCGTACCGATCGACGTTTGCGTGCACTCTCCTTTCATGTGGGCTCGGCTCCAAGATACACACCGGAACATTCTGAACTCCAGCCCAAAGCGCCTCCATCTTCACAGAGTCACCCGCCACGATCGAATCTCCGATGAGTAGATTGGCGCCCGAGTTGACCAGTGCGCGTGCAGCCATGAGCTATCAGAGAGTAAGGCGGTTTCGATGAGCGAATGTGCATGCTGTCGAGGGTGCCAACCAGCATTGGGGTGATGAGCTGGGAGGAGGCAGTTGGATGTACATACGCCCTGTGCCGTGTTTCCAAGCGAGCCGTAGGTATTGGCTGTATAGCCGACCAAACGCTGTGGAGGTGCCAAAGCAGCCGGATGTGAGACATGGTTTTGGTCAGGGGATCCACGGCCGGGTCAAGAGAGCCAAAGCTGCGCCAGACTCGTATCGATGCAGCCTTGCTAATCGTCTTACGATGCCAGGGAGGATGTCGTCCCTGCGAGCCAGGTCAATGGAGACGCGTGTGAGCGCAAATCACCGCGGGACCAAGCACAGGACAGTCCAAGGGGCATACCTGGTGTTGATGACATTGATCGCCGCCTGCATCCCAGCTTGCCTGGAGGAAGGTCCGCCGGGTCAGCATCGTCTCGTGAGCACAGATGCATATTATCACCCGTTCAGGCACGGCAGAGGCATTTGCGCCGCAGCTTACATGAGCTGTGCCTCCAGGGACGTATACCACACATAGTAGGCGTATTGGGGTGGAGCATTTACGCCGATGAGACTGAAGAAGGCCATCGAGCCGATCTTGAGGACCTGCGTGCTGTTGGTGACATTCTTGCAGCGAACGAGTGTGCACAAGAGTGCGAAACAGAGTGCCCCGTAGAGGGTCCCGTTATGCAGTCGCATCTTCGCAGGTTGAAGCTAATTATGCCGTGTCAAATGTATCAGATCGAACCAAGAGGGGACCGGGGTGGAGAGTGCGGTGGACCGTGGAGAAAAGTGGGCCGAAGAGAGAGTGGGACCGCCGGAGCGAGCAGCGCCCTCATCGTGCGCAGGTCCGATTGGCAAGGGTGCTGCGAGTGGGTATGTGCGATATGGCATCGCTCCTATGAAGAGGACGTCAGTCGGGCACTGTCGACGAGGGCCTTCCAAAGGGACATATGTACCACCTTGAGAAGTGATTGGGGGGTGACAACTCTATCCACTGCCGCCATCGACACTGCTCAAGATGCAACGGATCACGTCTCTCGCAATGACAGGCCATACCAACGGAATACGCACCCACCAAGCACCAAAACAGACACAGGATCGAAGGTGGATCGACCCGCACGCGTGGTGCCCAGGAGGACCTGTGGGCATTCGCGATCCCAGAGAGCGGGGTGACCGCGTCCGAGTCACCACTGCTCTCGTGCCCTGGTCAGGTGCCGGCGTGTCGTCGCTGCGCACACACGTGAGCTGCGCAGCACGCGTTTCCTTGTGCCGGGGCCTTGTTGCGGCGTGCGCGTGTGCGCGCGTGACGCCTGGCCAATCGCCGGGCCCGTCCCTTCTGCGCCCGCGCCGGCTCTTTGGCCACCCTCAAAAACCCTGTGGGACCAGCCTGTTCGGCCGAAAACCTGCCCGCTCTTGCCTGCTCTTGCCTGCTCTTGCCTGCTCTTGTCCGTTCTTGCCTGCCAACCCATCATCTGCACGTCCCTCGTCTCGGCTCGATCTGCCTCTCATGGACAAGTACCACAAACACCATAGCCACTCTGGCGCCGGCTCGGCGTTCTCCCTGCGCACTCTGCGAAAGTCAACCCTGTTCAAGCTCGCGGCCGCGGCAGCCATCCTCTATGTTGGTCGCTCAATCTTCTTCTCCCCGTCCACCGACTCGTCCTCCCGGCTGCAGATGCTTGCCGAAGAGCCCGTCTCGGAGGTTGTTCAAAGTAGGCCTCCCCCGACCAAACAGTCGCCACCATCTTCGTCGCAGCTCTTGCTTGTCCTTCACGATGACCAGCAATCTGCATCCTCCTCCAACGCTGCCACAACGATTTCTCCCCCCCCCCAAATCACTGACGTGCATGTTCATTTCTGGCACCTCAAGGCCCTGGGGAATACGTTCCTGACCTGGATATCCTCGAAGACATGCTCGTTGGTACGCTCGACCTGCCAGGCCGGATCTTGGGTCGCCCGCTGCTCTGCCATGGCCTCGCTGCTCACTCACCGTCATCTCCAACCAGACCCCACCAGCTCGCACGGACCCACGCCGTTTCTCCAGTCGATTAGGTAGCGATGCTTGCGTTGGTCTCGTTCGGAGATGGAGCCAATGGGACCGCCGCCACCCGAAGGCCGCACTGCCATTTGTCGTCTCTGCTGACATGCTGCCTCTCCCCGCCATCCTCCCAGGATCTGTATGTGGCACGATGACGGACCCAGCGACGGAACGGGCGGCGATAACCCCTCGCTCTCCGTTGGTGCACACATGACCGCTGCCGCCGAGTGGGTGAGTGTTTGGTTGCGTATTACCGAGGCCAAGACGCTCGCAATGCCGCTGGAGAGACTTGTCGCAGACGACAAGCCGAGATGGACAAGCGTTGTTATCGCCCTGTGGCACGCAATCGCTCATCATGGCAACGACTGGGTCGTCTCCTAACCGTGCTCCCACACCCACCATCGCCAGGTACGAACCGCCTTCCACGACGCCGCGACATACAACAAGAACGATCGGTCTGGGGGGCTCGATGGCTCTGTTCAGTTTGAAGGAACTCGAGAAGAGAACCTGAGCAACCTCAAGGACTCGGGCGTTCCGTTCAACGTCGAGTTCTTCCGACAGTACATGGCCCCGGGTGTCTCTCGTATGTATGCCGAGCTGTCCGTACAAGCATGGTGCGGCAATCATATCAGGGTCGCTCCATTGCCGCTCCATTGCCGCTCCATTGCCGCTCCATTGCCGCTCCAAGACGGCGCCTGTCGGGTGATTGCTGTGCTGTATGCTGACTGCCGATTGCTATGATCAATGTGCCGACGCATTCAAATGTCCAGTCGCCGACATTATTGCCTTGGCCGCCGTCGCCTCCGTCAAGGTCTGCAGCGGGCCCGCTGTTCCCTACAAGTACGGGCGAGTCGACGCCACCGCCGCCAACGAGCCCAATCTGGTTCCGCTCGAGACAGAGCATGTCGACAAGCAGATGGACAAGTTTGCGCGCATGAACTTTACCAAGGAGGAGGCCATTGCCATGGTGGCCTGTGGCCACACGCTTGGCCGTGTGCATCACCACAACAAGCCCAAGCTCGTTCCCAGCAACAAGTACTACACTGGCTTCTTTGATGACAGCTATGCTCGGTTTGATAACAACATTGCCAAAAACTACGTAAACGGCGGCGGCAACATTGTGAACCCCCTGGCCAACCCGGACGGTCCTCGAGAGCTCGGCGCCATGTCAGATGCCGATCTCTTTGCTTCTGACAAGAACGTGACAATCAAGAGGTGGGATCTTGAGTCGAAAGCACTGTCCAGCTTGCCGTAGTCTTGGCTCATGACTAACTTGATTATGGCGGACGGACTCGGCTCTTTCTATGCTCCTTTGCATTGCAAATCTCCGCCAGACTTGCCAAATCGTCGACATACTTTGCGGCCACCTGCCAGAGGGTCTTTGACAAAATGATCAACGGCATGACCAACTTCAAAAACCCCAAGCAAAAGACGCTCCAGGGCCCAATTCGTTTCCGGACCCTGCGTCTGCCTTACTACGACTGGTCCCTGGACCCGTCGAGCTCCACCTTGAAGGGATATGTCAAGTACTTTTCATCCAGCATCCCGAACAACGAAATCATCCGCCTCGAGATCTTTTACACCGATGCCAAGATGGGCAAGATCGTGAAGGCCCTGGACCTCATTGCCGGCGATAACTGGAAGCCGCCGGTCTATTCGATGGAAACAACCCCGGTCTGGGGACTGACGACGCAGATTCCGGTGTCGTTCACGTTCGATGCAGCCCATGGCGTGGTAAGTTGGGCGGCATAGCGGTCATGCGGCGGGTGGTCTTCTGGAACGAGGGTATGCGGTGTGTCGCTGTCGACGATGGCTCTAGTCATGTCCAATGTGCTAACCTCGCTGCCTCCGTATGCCTTCTGCAGCAATACGTCTTTGCCCGCTCACACGCAGCCGACGGCACCGTCGCCTGGTCCAACTCGTCCATCACTGGCAAGGGCAGCTACGCTGCATCTATTCCGCCCCTAATCTAATCTAATCTAATTCCACGCCTCCCCCGGCCTTTGCACTGTGGCAGCGGCGCTCGATTGCCCCGCTTGTTCGTCCCTCTCTGCTATGAGCTGCCCGAGATGTCCAGCGTGTTTGGATGGATGAGACGATGTGTCCCGCTGCTCATTCAACACGCTGTGGCCGTATTCCTTGTTTTGTGTTTCCCAGCAACAGGCACCGGCTGGATCCAGGCCCGCCCCGGCTCCAGCCACTTTGTCCACGTGACGATGATCGGGGAAATTCTCCGATTGGTCGATCGCGGCGCGCAGCACACTCGTTTTTCTGCTCCAGCCGGCTCGAGTGCACTCGAGCCAGGTGTCGGTGCGGCGCCTCGCTCGCGAGATAAATCCGTCGGTGCTCGCCATTCTCTTTCTGCCCTCCCTTTCGAATCTCGCTGTTCAACTTCGAGCGAAGCCTTCACTGTCCCCGATTTCCCTCGGTTATCAACAGAACATCTCTCCAAAATGGGTCGCATGCACGCTCCTGGCAAGGGTATCTCCTCCTCTGCCCTCCCCTACCGCCGCACTCCCGCCTCCTGGGTCAAGACCACCCCCGATGAGGTCATTGAGCAGATCCTGAAGCTCTCCAAGAAGGGTCTCACTCCCTCCCAGATCGGTGTCATTCTCCGGTGAGCTCCCGTGTGCAGTTAGAGAGGCCGATTGGGTGGTCTTTTGCTCCGGGAGACGGACAGGACTCGACTGGACCGGACTGGACTGGATCTCAAACCAGAACGCGGGACCAGCCCGATTCGGCAGGATTTGGATACGGAACCTTTGGACGAACAGAGGCTCCCCGACCTGGTGGTCTGGCAGAGCTTGAACGTGGCTCGTCCTAATCGACCGATGCGCTTCTGTTGCGACTCTGCTCCTCAGTGACTCCCACGGCATTGCCCAGGTCAAGTCCGTCACCGGTAACAAGATCCTCCGTATCCTCAAGTCCAACGGTGTCGCCCCCTCCATCCCCGAGGATCTTTACCACCTGATCAAGAAGGCCATCCAGGTCCGCAAGCACCTCGAGAAGTTCCGCAAGGACATGGACTCCAAGTTCCGTCTCATTCTGATCGAGTCCCGTATCCACCGTCTTGCCCGCTACTACAAGACCGCCGGCCAGCTCCCTCCCAACTGGAAATAGTATCCTTTTTGAATAACCGCGCGGTTCCTTGCCGCCGCTGCCTGATTGCTGTCTGCCGCCTGATGATGCCTGCATCTGCTGTTGCCACTGCTGCTTCATGCATGCCTCTGATCAGAGCGCTGCTGGGGCCCACCTCTATCATCGGTCGTTATTGGACATTACGTGAGATGAATCTGCCTTGGCCCGGCCCCCCGGTGCTGGGGCGATTACAGGCTTGCTAATCGTCGACTTCCTTAACTCAGCACTCACCTTTCTCTTCAATCAACTCTAGCGAGGCCGCCACTGCCTCCACCCTCATTGCCTAAGCGGCGACGAGTGCGCCGGCTCGGGAATCGCCCGCTGCTTCCTGTAGCCCGAAGGAGAACGCCATGGCTTCCGAGCGATATTGTATTCAATAAAGCAAAGGAGCGTACATTCGCAACCCCTGGGATCCTTGCATTTGTTCCCTCGCATCGCCGATCTGTGGCTCACAGATACATGCGGTCGTATTTGCTGTCGTCGGTGCTGTAGCTGGACTGGACGACGGGCGTGGCTGCGGCGCTCTCTGCGGAGAACGACAGCCCCAGAAGCTGACACAGCGAGTCTGAGAACTGGCGGATCTGTTGCGGTTGGGAGTGCCGCGCGAGGGAAGCATTTGTTATCGGTGCCGAACAGCTGCTGTGGTTGCGAGTGTGCATATATATATATGCTCAGTCTGGCGCACATACCTCCTCCGTTCCATAGCGAGCAGACGGCCGCTCGCGCTTCGTCGGCAGAATCAGGCCTCCGACCTGGAGCCCCTGTGTCTCGAGCGCCTGGACGATGTGCAGCGCAGTATGGTCGTTGACATCGGCGCTTGTCTTGAGCACAGGAAGATTCGCTGTCGCCGTGGGCACCGGCACCGTTGGCAAAAGCGCCGTTGGCGGTGAGTTCATTGACAATATGCCACTTGGCCAGCGCCATCTGAACACAGACAATCACTCATTGCCGCACCCGCTTGGCGAGCTGCATGGTTGTTGCGCTGATCATTCTCACCTTCGGCAGGATATCCGTTGAGCGAGAAAAAGTGGGGCTTGGACGGATGCGAGGCAACATCGACGGCAGCGACGACAAGCACCCGTTTGGCTCCGTGCTTGTGCAGGAAGCGAGCTAACGACACTGCAAAGTGCGGTGCCTTTCCGGAAGCAATCTTGGCGGAGACCGAGACCAGCGAGACCTGCGTGGACAGACAACAGCAGCCGCCCGCTTGAGCACCCTACGACCGTTTGATGCGCTGCAGAGGCGATGCGGCCGAGTCAACAGGGACATGCGCGGAGCAGACGTACATGGATCGACGATCCCTTGCTGACGGTGGTGATTTGGATGGGGCCCTCGACCTCCTCAAAGCCGCACCAGGTGTATTCGGCGGCATATGTCCGGACTGCCTGGGGATCGTCGATCTCCCGGAGCAAGCGATATGTGCCGGCAAGGTCGTTGAAGGCCACGACGACAAATTCATCGAGACCAGGCACAGCCTGTGCGGACGGGCACGGGACAAGATCCAGCAGCAGTCGGGAATCCATGGTAACAGAACGGTGATAGATCGGAGGCAAGGCGAGGCAAGGCAAGCGAGGCAAGGCAAGCGAGGCAAGCGAGGCAAGGCAAGCGAGGCAAGGCAGGGCGATGCGGGGCGGGGCGGGGGCGACAGATCCTGGGGTCTCGGCGGAAATAGTCAAGGCAGCAGTGTGCTGATGAACAAAAGTCAACCCAGAGCAGAGCCAGCCTGGTCCAGAACAGGCAACGCCGATGCAGGAATGCCCCAAGCCGGGGTGGCCTGGTCGATTGGTGCTGCGCACATGCCCCAGCTGCGCAGCGCCCATGATTTCTCGGCTCTGTCGGGTTCATCCCGGCCACAGGTCCTCGGCCCGATCTGCGTCGTTGGGGGGAGGGGAGCCTGCGCTCGTCAAGCACGCATCAGACACCCACCAGGCGCCCCTCGAGCGTTTCGGCTGGAGCCGCTGCTTCGAGTAACTCCCCGACCGCTGCATCGAGTACCTCCCCGACCGCTGCATCCCGCGATGGCCATGTCGCCAAACGGCTCCCGATCCATGTCCAAGCTCGATGATGCCCTCCATGCCGTCCTCCTGAAACGAGCCGAGAGCGGCCTCTTGCGCGCACTGATCGAGCCGCCCAAGATCGACTTTGCTTCGAACGACTATCTGTCGCTCGCCCGCAACCCGTCCATCCATGCCAGGGTCCTTCGGTTGCAGCAAGATTCATTCAACCGCAGCCCTGCCCCATCGCCCCCTTCCGGCGGATCGACAGGCTCACGTTTGCTTTCCGGAAACTCGGCGACGGCTTCCTTGCTTGAAGGCCATCTTGCTCGGTTCCACCAAGCACCCGCGGCCCTGCTCTTCAATTCTGGATACGATGCCAATCTTTCGCTCTTTGCAACGCTGCCCCAGCCCGGCGACTACATCATCATCGACTCTCTCATCCACGCCTCTGTCCACGACGGATGCAAAATCTCCAGAGCCAAGCAAGTTCTGCAGTTTGCCCACAACTCTGCTGCCGATCTCCGGCGCCAGATCGACGCCATCCTCGCCCACCACGGCCGCCAAACCTCGACAATGCCCAACATCGTTGTCGGCGTCGAGAGCCTATATTCAATGGACGGCGATACGGCTCCGCTCCGTGAGCTCGTCGAGGTCTGCGAGTCCTTCACCAACGTCCATTTGATTGTGGACGAGGCGCATGCGACCGGGTGCTATGGACCCAGCGGCGAAGGGGTTGTTGTGCAGCTCGGTCTCCAGGATCGCATCTTTGCGAGGCTCCACACCTTTGGCAAGGCAGTTGGATGTCATGGAGGTGAGCATCGTTCGTTGTACCTGCGTCCGGTACCTGCATCCGGTACCTGAGATTCGCATATTAACGCAATCCGTGTCGTGCCTATTTTCCACCGTGTCCACAGCCGTTGTTGTCGGTTCGCCGATCCTGAAGGAGTACTTGATCAACTACGCCCGGCCATTGATCTACTCGACGTTCATGTCCCATCACAATCTGCTCGCCATTCGATGCGCATACGACTATCTGGAAGAGCATGCCTCCGAGGTAACGCCGCACAGGGTGCTGATGACGAGATTGCGGCTGTCGCTCTCGATAACTACTGTCCATCATGCGATCTGGTGGGCTGCGGCTTTGCCTCGTTCGCCCCTGGATCTCTGACCGGTCTGACACCGTTCTATTCAGCTCCAGAGTCGGCTCCACAACCTGATCCGTGAATTCAGAGAATGTATCCAAGCCACAGCCATCCCACCGCATTACATCCTCCCTTCCGATAGTCCCATCCAGGGCATCATTGTTCCTGGAAACGCCGAGTGCTCATCGGTTTGCACCCAGCTGCAAGGCCTCGGCTTTGATGTTCGGCCCATTCGCTCCCCAACAGTCCCCAAGGGCGAGGAGCGTCTGCGCATCTGTCTTCACCTCCACAACGATTCGGCCCAGATCCATCAACTGGTGCGGGCTCTCTCTCAGATCCTGGCCCGTACCAACTCTCCGAGGCCAGTGCCGCGGTCGAAACTCTAGCTTGCCATGCGGCCTCTGTCAAGTCGATCGAACCCATAGAGTCCAATACATAGCACGTTCACGCATGAGCCTGAGGAAGGTCAATGCTTTTGCTCAGAAACGTGGGAAGGCTTGATGACAGCATATTCAGAACGAAACGGGACAGAGCGTCCCTGAGTTTCCGCGGTGGGAAGGCCATCGGATTGCACTCTTGTCTTTGTTGGCCATGCAGCGACTTGGTTGGTTATGAGGGGGGTATCGTCTTGAGGAACTCGATCAATCTCCTGTGACGATGGACCGGCATGCATTCGGGACTCTGGATGACTCCATGGCTTCTCGACATCAAGATCGTTGGGTGACTCGAGTCGCTTGGCTTCCAGTCTCGCTGAACACACAGGTTGGTCATGATAGGATGGGCAGTGCGTGTACCCAGGACCGGAAAATGGGAAGGCCCGGACTCAAAACAAGGTGTCCTGTTTCAACATGGGTGCGCTGAGTGTTGGGCCGGGTGTGCATCGCAGCTTGCTGCTCCCGGTATCGGCACTGATGTGCTGGGCTGTTCCCCACAATGCTGGACTGCTAGAGCTCAACCGACGTCACCGAATCAGACCCGCTCCCGCTGGCCAACACCCGAATCTATCAAACTTGACGCCAGACCATCGACCGACTCCACTGCTTCCTGTCGAGCGATCGAATCCTCCGAGATCGTTCATCGGATATCGGCTGGGATATCCCGACGTTGAGTCGCGTCGAACTGCACCGCTGTTCCCAGGCCCGGTGCCCAAATCAACTGCATCCAGCTGTTGCATCGAGCAACTGTGTCAGACTCTATCATTTCCCTCTCTTGGAAGCAATATCTTATCCAGACCGCGACCCCCCGCTAACATATAGCCATGCCCCCCAAGAAGAAAGGAAAGGGTAAAAAGTCCGGCGGTGGCAAGAAGAGGCGGAAGAGCTCAGGCATCCGAATGAAAGGAAAGCCGCTCACGGCCGAGCAAGCGTCGACTTTGATGACATATTTGCTGTAAGTTCCCGAGTCGGTATCGACGCCGGGATGCCTTGCCGGTGGACTTGGGGGGGGGGTCGGCAACATCATTCAGGGCTACGACCGAGAAGGACATGCAACTTTACATTATGTTCCTTTCGCTTTTAGAGTCGAGTCTCGGAAACAGTCGATTGCGCTCTACAAAGAATGGTGTCATGAGGAGTAAGCCCAGCGCACCGTCCTTGCACACCCACAGCGTAGTTGGCTACAATATCGCCGCCATCATCCCAGCCGTAGTTCGTTTCTGAGCCCGTCAAGTGTGGGATAAAACTCGCCGCACGGAACTTGGCGGAGCTGATCAATTGTTGAGCCTTGTTCTTGTGCTTGCACTCGACACAGAAAGGAGACAATGCGTCGGCTACGATCGAAGCTCAAGCACATACAACAGGATCAGGTAATCGCTTGAACCCAGATCGAATCGATTCTCTGTGTCTCGGCGCACTTGCTAGACTTTGTCCAGAGAGGCTATCCATGTGTTTCCCGCCATGCTCAAGTTCCAGCTGCTTGTGCATATCACTGACTGGATAATGAACATCTGGGTGGCGTCTGGCCGCAACAGTACGAAACCATCAAGAGCACCGTCGATGCCACCGAGACGCTGGACAGTCGCATCATCACCACCGAGAGCGAGCAGGAGCAGCTTCCCGAGATGTCGATCGACAGGAAGCTCGCCCGGCAGCGCGATGAGATTGAAGGTAAGCCGCGCTACGAAGCAGCCAACCAGGGGCTAAATGCTTGACCAGTATGCTGAATCGACAGCATTCATAACTGGCCCGGACAACCCAGAGCTCCAGACCACCCTGGATCGCCTGGAAGAGGAAATGAGCAAGATCAAGCTCAACAACGAAGACATGACCCGCTTCCAGAACGAGGGCGGTGCACTGCAGCTGGAAACAGTCCTGTCCCAGCTCAAGGAAGACGCCCTCTCTGCCCGTGACCGCCACGAGGCGGAGGTTGAGAGTCTCAAGAAAAAGCATGAGAACAGCTTGATATCCACTGATAAGCGGGCCGAGCGCATCATCGAGGACCTCGAGACGGTGGCTAGCAAGGTGAGCGAATGGCACCACATGCATTGCGAAAGCTTGGGTCTGTCTGGGAGTGATGAGCATAAGTAGGTTCTTTGCTTGGCCCCAGTAAAATGCGGTCGCCAGAGGCGCTGGTCCGAAGCGAGTCGACCATGCCATGCGATGTGCATATCCGGGATACACCAGAGCATGCATTGCTGACCACCCTGTCGCTCTTTCTCGGCGTAGCACGTCATGGGAGACATCCCGGACCCAATTGTGACCATGGTGCGCAAGAATCGGCAGCTCAAAGCCAACTTGATCACCATTCGCCAAGAAGAGATTGAGCTGAAAAGGAAACTCCAGGGCCTCGAACAGGAGAACATGACCCTTGTCGAGCGGAGTATACAGGTCGACTGGAACATGCTCTACGGAGACGACGGCAGTCTCGAATTTGGCGTCCCAAGCTCCTCCGAGTGCGACAGTGATCACAGCCCGGAGGAGCTTAGCGACGACAATGACGATCAACCCGATGCACAAAGTCTGCCATCGAACCCTGCCCGCTGTAAGCCAACTGCTGAAAACGATGTCGACGAGCCCTCGGTTCACGATCCCTGCACACACAGTCGCGGGAGCGCCAAGCGAGTCCGCTTTAACCAAGTCCCTGACCCCACCCCGGAGGAGCCTCAGCCCGACCAACGAGAGCCCGCTCGCCCCACGCATCCGTCTGGGCGAGTTCTGGCTCCGCTTTCGTCCTTTACCTCGTCGACGTTCGCTTTACCGACAGTCCAGAGTCGGACGACCTTACTTCCACTACCATCAAACCTCGATCTTGCCATGAAAGAAGTCATCTCGCTTGAGATGGCTCGCCGGAAGAAGCAAACTGAGCAAACAGGGGTCAACGGAATGGCAGTGCGTCTCGGCAAGCTGGACTTGGAACTTGGCGGTCCGCCGAGATACTACTCCAAGCTTGTCAATACCTATCCATACCCGCCCATGCCGGCGATTTCTCCTGTCAAGAACAAATGAGTGGCGGCACCGCAGACCGACTGCCCGTATCGTCAACTGCCCATAAGCGTCGTGTCTGACGGTGTATCCTTGGTCACTGGAGTCACAAAATCGAAGGGAGCATCCCATTTCAAGTCAGCAGTCAATTTTGTCCTAGATCTTGACCACACTCCTAGCACACAGCGACCATGCATTGGGATTTTGTCCGAGGAATATGGCGGAGGTAATGAACATGGTGGATGTGATGGATGTGATGATCATGGTGGATGTGATGGATTTGACGGAGGAAATGGATGAAATGAACGTATTCCAGTCGAGAACATTGCGTTGTCTTGATTTGAACACACTCATTCTTGGGGGGCAGGTCATTCAAGTAGTACCCCCCCCCGCCTGGAGAAGGAAAAATGCAGGGACAATACTCGTTTTCGCTCTGGTTTCAGAGGCCTGAACCCCGTTGAACTTCCGTAGGTTCCAACGATCAAACCGTGCGATTGATTTTGTTGGTTTGGGAAGCATGGTCTTGAATATGCCTGTGGCGACCATCAATTGACATACTGAGATCATGTTGGTGGTTGCGTTGGTGTGGGAGTGGTGCATACATCGGAACATCCGAGCACCTCTGTGGTCTCTCGATATCAATATACTCGGGTGGTTCGAGTCGCTTGGTTTCCAGGCACTGTGAGAATACTGTTTGGGCATGGTTGCGATGGGCGGTGGGTATTCACGTTCCAGAACAAAAAATAGTCCTGGCCAAAGTAGAGTGTCCCCGTTCCAAAATGGGTATGCAAGAAAGCGGAATTGATCGAGTTTGGGTGACACTCCTATTTCGTCGAGGACAAGCCGTTGCGACAGCACTCAAAGCTGGAACGCACGAGGCAATCAGCTGAAGTTTTCAGAAGCCACTTCAACATGCCCAAAGTGGAGAGGGCTCCCTGTTCCTGAGCCAGGGTTGTCGTTGTGGCCTGGATCGTGAATACACTCCCATCCATCATGACCAATCAATGTGCCAAGGAAATGGGAGTCGGAGCGACCGGAGAAGGTCGAGTGTCTTGATATCAAGAATAGTTCGCACGAAGCTATTCAAATGCCGGATGCATACAGCCACACCCTCACATCGCAACATCCATGCCAGTCAACCAGGTGCGTTCGAGTTCTGGCTGGGTGACACATGTCCCGAAACAGCAGGTCTGTATGAGGACGGTATCATCAAACGACACCATGTGGACGGAATCAACAAGCAAGCAGCACATCGCCCCTCAAATACCCCCACTGTCGCCTCTGCTCCGCGTCGTCTCGCCTCTCAGATCGGCCTCGGTCTGTCTCCCATCTGCGGCCTGTCTCCATCCGCCACGCCGGCTTCAATCGAAACTATGAGAATCATACCTGGTCGAGGAGGACCTCGCTCGCTTCGACCTGCTCACCATCCTGGTCACAAGTCTATCGAGTCCCTGGAAGGCATACCGAAAGTCCTTCCCTTGGTCACATGGGTTAACCCCAGTAAATCCATTCGACTGACTTGGCTCCATGGACTGTCAAATGTGCCAATGCTGCTTGAGCTAGACATTCCAACCGATATCGAAGGCATCGTGGATGTTCCCGAGGAGCTCCCGTCTCTCACCAAGCTCACAATATCCTCGCACATGCCCCACAACATCTTGAACCAACTCCCAACAATGTCAAAGCTCAATCATCTCGTCCTCTCAACTCAATTTGTGAGCCTGGCCGATCTGCATGTGAATCAAAGCTCCCTCACAGTCCTCGACTTGCAAGATTGCTGCGAATTGAAGTCGTTGGATGACATTCCCTCGTATCCCAAGCTCGAGATTCTTTACGCCCCTCGGTCGATAAAGAGAGTCAGCGGACTCGTCGACAAGCTTCCCTCGCTCAAGACACTGCACTTGGACTCAAGTATGAGGCCATCACATCATTCCCTGTTGGTTGACACGTTTGGCCGATATGCTGGCTCTTTCAGACTTCGAAAGGTGATTTCCGGGCTTCCGAAGGGATGCCGAGTTGTGTTCAACGATTCGTTCGAGTACACCTTTGGCCGATTCTTGAGGTAGCTCGGCATGGAGCTGCTCAATGTCATGTGCTTCTTTCTCCAGGTTGTGTACTCGATACTCTCCATTCCACTCCGTTTCGGTTTGTTTCTTCTAATTCAAATTTCTATCTCACACTTCCAATATCTCACTTCATCCGATCAGATTGTGTGATATTCGTACTGAAGGACGGCTCTGGTGCTGCGGTGTGAGACGAGCCTGCTTTGTGGTTGCCGAACCCGAAGCGAGTCCAAATCCCTCATAATCTATGACAGTCCACACACCGCACTTGGCCATGGACTCAATCGAGAGCAGACACCAGTTGTCGTGGACATCCTGGGGCACTGCCTTCTCCCGCATTCTCGCTGGTGGATCTCCGTGAGTGATGATGGTACATTGCAAGGAGCAGTCCACCCAGACCCCAACGAGATAACTGTGGTGTCCTCGATGCACACCCCCATCGCCACCATGATCGAGTATCCGTGGAAGCAACGCATGAGAAATGACAGAGGATCGAAAGCACGCACCACACTCCTGCATTGCACGTCAATGCCAGTCGAGACCATGCTCCCGAATCCAACCGCCACGTCCAACCGATCATTGTGAGGAATTGCTGACGCGATTGTCCTTCTTTGCTCCCAATGAGCTCTTTGTGCTGTCCAATCCGGGCTGCCATCCAGTATCACGTGGCTATGCGCAGTACAAACAACGCGCTCTCGTGCGCGCTTGTTTCAGAGTCGCGCTCCCAAATCGAGCAGTGCCATTTGCCTGTGATACAGCCGCTTGCCATGTCGGGTGTCGATAAATCCTGGCCGCTGTTCCATCACCATCGCCCTCCAGGTTTCTTTCCACGATGCCCGTGCTCGAAACTGCCGCTGCCGTCGCTGCTATCGCTGCACTCGCTCAGCATTCCAGTGGCTCCTTCCAAGGCCTCGCCCAAGCTGCCAAGACCCTCTTCACCGCTGTCCAGTAGGCGGATGAGAATCTAAAGTCGTGGGAATTCCTGGTCAATCCTTCCTGCGATATTTTGCTCACTCTCTCCCGGTCTCGGACAAATGCGCCTGGGTTCTCCGAGCAAGCGGACAAGCTCACTACCTTCTTCAACACTATCCGTGACTATTACACCAACGAGGTCCAGTCCCTCCACAAGGTCCTGCGAGTCTTCAAATCGGACAAGATCCGCCGCCGAATCGAGCAGTACTGTCGACAACTCGATTGCCTCTGTCAGAATGTCGCCCTGGAACTGACCATCGACAGCAACAATCGTCTCAATGACGCAGACCTCCGCCGAACCCTGCAACAAGACGAGAACCAGAACAAGACTCAGATCAATGAACTGGCTTCTCTGATGCAGCAGAACCCCGCCATGGCTTTGCAGTGGCTCAACATCCCAGTGAATGGGCAGCAAGACCAGCAGCGGCACCAGGGAGCCGCGGCGCTTGAGGAGCTCCGGGATGACAGCTCAACCAGTGCCGATTGGAAGAACAAGGCCATCATCCCCCTTCTCGAGACGCTGAAAAGAACATCTCCTGCCGCCGAGTCCGCCCAACCTGAAAGCTGGCGCATTTTCCCAGCCTCCATCATCAACCGCTCCGCTGAACCCATCTTTTCTGGTGGCTTTGGTGATGTTTACACTGCCACGTTGAAAAGCGCCTGCGTTGCCGTGAAGCAATTCCGACGCAGCTTCCTGGATAATGAGATTGCCGAGTTCCGCAAAGAGATTGGGATCTGGCATCAACTGAGCCACAAGCACATCCTCACACTCTGCGGCGCCTGCGACACTGCGGAGAAGCCCTTCATTGTCTCCCCATTCATGAAAAACGGCACCCTCAAATCGCACCTGGGTGGGTCCTCCCATCGCTCCCTCAACGAGAAGCTTTGCTTGATGAGCGAGGCGGCTTCAGGCATGGCGTATCTCCACAGCAAGAGCATCATCCACGCGAACCTGAAATCCTCCAACGTCCTAATTGGACCAAGCTTTGAAGCGCTGATTTGTGACTTTGGCATGTCCCGCATCAAAGAAATCTCGTCATCGTCGACCTCTCGCACACCTGCCACACCCATGGACGGAACGCTGATGTACAAGGCCCCGGAGATGTTCCAGGCTACCAATCTGAAGCGTGCCTCCCCTGCCATCGACGTCTACGCCTTTGCCATTCTCTGCTGTGAGGCACTCAAGAATTGTAGCGCCATATTCTTGGCCACACAGAAAATTGAACGTGATGTCCCCAATGGCACGCGGCCCCGCCGGTTCGATGGAGTGCCTGACCCACTGTGGGCACTGATCACCGAATGCTGGGACCAAGATCCAACCAAACGCCCAGCCTTTGAAGTGGTATCCTCTCGGGTGAGCGCCATCAGATATGAAGCAGCCGCAGGAGATCCGGAAGCGCAGTTCACCATTGGAAAATCGGTTTACTTTGACGCGAAGAGCTACCCCGATGCCTTCGAGTGGTACACCAAAGCCGCCAATCAAGGGCATGCGCAAGCCCAGTACATCCTCTCCGAATGGTACCACTATGGCTTCTTTGTTACCCAGGACGATGCCAAAGCCGCAGAGTGGTGCATCAAGGCCGCGAAGCAGGGACATGCAAAAGCCCAGTACAAAGCCGGCGAGTACTGTGAGTATAGCGTTGGTGTCACCAAAGACGATGCCAAAGCCGCCGAGTGGTACATCATGGCCGCGGAGCAGAAATATGCAAAAGCTCAGTACAAAGCCGGCGAATGTTACAAAAAAAGCAAAGGTGTTATGAAGAATATCGAGACTGCTCGATACTGGTACAGAATGGCTGCTGACCAGGGCTATGTGTCCGCCCAGTCCGCACTCGATCAGCTCCCTGACAACCAATGATCCCGCAATTTCCTCCCATCCGATCGACTTTTGGTGCTTTCACAATGACGATTACATTCTCGGATTATTTTATGCTACTCACACCCACGGGCACAACGAGACTAGTGCCTTTTGTTTATGTAGCTCATCCTTGTGTTTCAGTTTGAAACCATCGGTGCCTGATCGGTGTCTGGTCGGCGCATGATTGGCGCTCGCAGTTCGGGATCTCAGGGTTGTTTGGAAAGCAGAACGACAGATAAGAAGATCGATTTCTTTCGTCTTTTGACTGGACAATTGTCTCGATATGGCGGGTGATGTGGCTGCACTCGAGGTGCATAGCTCCGAAGATGTATTCCTTATGCCTCGGAACACTTCCGTAGCTTCCGAGTGAGGGTAATGGCAACGCGTGATGCTCTTGGGCAACAAATGTGTGGTTCTAGGTCCATAAGGCCTGTAATTTTCCGGGAGGCTGTGATTGAATCGCTAGTGTCGGAGGGTTCATTCCCATGCGCTCTCACCTCCAAACCTCAAGTCGGGCTTCCTTCCTCCCGTCGCATCCATCGAGTGGGCTGTCTGTGCCTCAAACGGCGATGAGTGCTCCCGCGACCCACATGCCCTTCCGCCCTGTGCTCGTGCTGTGGTCCATCTCACTCATCTTGGGGATCGCAGGTAGGCGACTTTCTTTGCTCCTCCGAGATGCCATCAATGATCGCCCCTGATACTGATCCCACCGTCCGGCCTCAGGCGCATGGGAGCAGATTGACCCCGCGCTCGTTGGGGTCGGGGCCACCTTTCCAGCGTCGCTATACTCGACGCTTGCCCAAGTATACTCTGAGTACGACAGCGTGTGGAGCTACACATTCACCGGTACGAGCTCTGGTGCAGGCCGAACCGCCCTCATCTCGGGTGCACCCAACTTGACTTGGGCCGCCTCGGACACCATTCCGCCAAACACTTCGTTCATTGGCCCTGGAGGCACCCTTGGACAGCTGGTTCCCATTCCATCAGTTATCGGGTGAGTCCTGAGCTTCCGGGCGTAGCCAGGGATGCAGTCAGTGACGGGCCAGGGATGCAGCCCGAGGTGGAGTCAGAGATGCAGTCCGACGGAGCCGACGCGCATTGGTCTCATTTTTTCCTTCCTTTCCCTCGGTTACAGTGGCATTGCCGTGGTCTACCACCTCAACATAACCAACCTTGTTCTTACTCGGCAGAATGTTGCCGACATCTTCACGGGAAAAATCGCTGCCTGGAACGACTCGCGGCTCGTCCAGAATAACCCTGCGCTGGCGAGTATCAGCGCGCCGATCCAGACAATCGTGCGGAGCGGCTCGTCTGGAACGACTTCCAACTTCCTCTGCGCCCTGGGGTCATTCGATCCAACCCTCAACCTCCCCTCCATGCCTACTTATCCCCTTTCCTCATGGGGATCGGCCAGCCAGCCTTTCTTTGGAACCACAAACACCATGGTCTCCAATACCATCCAAGTGAGCCCGTACACGATCGGATACGTGGACTATTCCGATGCATCCAGCACGCTGGCGTCGCTAGGATCTAGCCAGAGCATGTACTCGATTGCTCGCATTGTGAATCGGAACGGAGATGTCGTTATGCCTTCAATTGGGGCATTTCAGGTAAAGATCCTGCTGCTCATGCTCTCCAGCCCAAGCTCCAATGATGATCCCGGCCAGCCCCGATCCCAATCGAGTGCATGACTGTTGACGAGCCTGTTGCTCCATCAGACCGCCCTTTCAATACCGCCGGCCCAGAATCTGTCGTCGGTGCCGCACTTCTCGGACGACGTTGCAAGCATTGTGCAATCGCTCTATATCGACTCGAGCGTTCCGGGAGCATACCCGCTGTTGGCGCCAACATATGTGTTTCTGCGCCAGGATTCGGATATTTATGGCGTCGCCGAGCCAAAGATTCGAGCGACGCTTCGGTTCATATTCTGGATGATATTCGGAGGTACTGAGCTGGTAAGCAGGGCAGTGTTGCGGCCGTGGTGCCGTTCGCCAGGCTCTGCAACACGGATCAGTGTCCGTGACGATCCACACCCTATTCCACGCACTTGATACACCATGCAGCTCAGTAACGCACTCGTCGACAGCTGCCCTCGCCACGACCGACGGCCTCGCCCTCCACCGAAGCCATCTTCACGCAAAATCAGTTTGTTCACTTCCAAGACCGCACCCTGCTGGCTTTTGCTTACGACGCCCTCAAACTCGTTACCCATGGTGGGGTCGCTCTCTTTGATCCCCGCTCGCCCTGCAACCCAGCCTTTGATGCAAATGGCAGCTACGTCAGCGCCAACTCGTGCAAGCACGGGTACTGTGTCGTTGACGGGCCCTTCCAGGATGCCTCAGTCGCTCAGTGTATCTGCGACGTGGGCTTCTACAACAACGAGCACACTGACTGCTCCGAGCCTGCCGAGCCCTTCATGGTGCTCTTCTCGGGGTATCATGCATTCAACTGCGGAGTCATCGCCCTGCTTTTGGCCGCGGGGCTATGTAACAGCGCCATACTAGTCCTCCTGATTGTGTGGAAGGACAAGCCCGACATCCGAGCCATTTCGCCAAACTGCTGCTACATCATCGTGGTTGGATGCCGTAAGAATCGAATCGATGGCTGATTTGATGTCCTTCGCACCGAGCAGGAACGCGTCTAAAGAGCACATCCGTTGACATAGTGTGTTGCCGGGTCCCTGGAATATCATGATTTCCCATCGAGCTGACAAGGCCTGTGCACTTCCGTCAAGTCCTTGGTCAGGTCGGCGCACTCTTCTATTCAGCCGAGCCGAGCAGCATGGTATGCACAGCCCGCATCTTCTTCCCCGTTGCTTCTTTCTCCTCCGTCTTCAGGCAAGTCCAAAGGCAGTCATAGTCCTTGCATTGCGGGCCGGATTGAGCCACTGGGAACCCCCAGATGCTCGAGTCGATCCAGGGCCACTGCTCCGCTGCTGACACTGCCTCTGATCATCGCACTGCTCCCGCCACTCAGCATGCTGCTAATGAAGTCTCTGCGCATATACATGATATTCGAGAACAAGCGAATGCGTATCTTCAAGACCCCCGACTGGAAACTCATGCTTGGGACAGCGTTCGTCGTTGCTATCGAGTTGGTCATCTGCACCTTCTGGGTTGTCTTTGAGCAGCCAAAGGTTCAGGTGGAAGGCAGTCTCTATATTTTGACTTGCAGCACTCCTTCGGGATCGACGAATGTACCCGAGGTGCTCCTCTACGTGCTCAACGGAGGCATTATGGCAGGATGCGTCTTTGCGGCCTACCTCACCAAGAATGCCCATCGGCGCTTCCAGGAATCCAAGGCCATTGGGCTCTGCAGCTATCTGGTGCTTATCACCCTTCTATTGTGTTTGCCCATCGCCTATGCGCTCACAAACGATCCCGAGTCCTATGCGCTCTATGCTATCGGGCGAGCTACTCTGTCGTGCGTGGTGATTGTGGTCTCGTTGCTGGTGCCGCTGGTGCTCTTCAGCGGTCGCCTCATCCGCACCCTCTTCAACCAGCAGAGCGAGCTCGAGCCTCGCTCCCAGGTCAGTTCTCCGAAAGCAACCAGCGAATCTGACCAGGCGAGTCAGGGCATGGCTGCCACAAACCTCTTTGCCTTTGGCTACGACTGCAGTCTCCGAGGCTTCAAGTTCGGTGGTGCCTGGGTGTCATCCACGGTGCTGGTCTTCACGAGTCTAGATCTGATCGAGTTCCGGGAGCCGAGGATTGATGGATGCGTCCAAGCCAGCTTCCGCTTCTCGTCTTGCCAATGCAGACCCTGCGAGACGACCAAGGATCCTGATTCAGAGCAGGGGGCGACGAGGAGCATCTGGCTTCGACACAACAAGACTCTCTTCACACTCGAGTTTGTCTCCAAGAGAAGTGCAGAGCTGTTCCTCGAGAATTATGCCAGTGCCAGATCCCGACCAAGCGTCGTTTTGGGCCGACTGCAGCACGATTCAATGATGGCGTCGGACGATGTGGCGGACATGGCCACACACAAGCCCGAGGAGACGATCCTGGCGAGATTCAGAACCGACAACCGGCCCATGCCGGGAGCCAGCCCCACCTCCGGTCTAGCCGGCATCATCGGTTCGGCCCTTGACTCCTAAGGCGGCGCATGATGCGTCCGGCCATACACTCGCCCGGCTGAAACCAAGACTGGCTGTTCAGACACTCCGTGGGAACTGTCTTGACACGGAGGCCGCCAAAGGCACCGAGTGCCAAAAATCAGGGACGGAGCAGGACTGACCAATGCTGCAAATACATACTGCAACCACGATGCAACAACCTAGAGTCCTCGATGTAGGTGCCCGGCGATCCCCGATGCGGCCAGCGGGAAATGCGGGGGTCTTTCTTGGCGATGGGAACGTCTTCCTTCCGTCGCCAGTGATTCCCCAGACGGAGGAGCTGTCTCCCCGGCTGCCCCTCGCCGTCCTCTGGCTGGCCAAGGCACTCCCCAGCGACCCCCCTCGCCTTCCCCGGACCTGTCTGCCCGTTCCCGTCCGTTCCCGCCTGGCGGCCGCCCTGTCTGCGGGTCCGGGCACATGGCCTTGGTGATTTCCCCCAAGTCGCCCGCGACACAGCCGTGCCACAGCCGTGCCACACCTTGCTGCCCACCAGCCTCCCCCCGCCCTTCCGGCCTTGTTTTCACAGCAGGAAAGTCGCGGGTCTGTCCCAGACTTCCTTAATTAGCAGGGTAGGTTGCTTCCCGCGGGAGCCTGCTAACCTGGGGAAGCAGGGATCTGCTGTGAAAAAAATCCCCCCCCCTTTTCATCACGGGCGCTGGCCTGCATCCAATCCTGCGCAACCTGGCTCATCGATGCTTGGCATATATATATGTTGCTATCCGCCGCAGCTGCCCTCGGTATCCATTCTCTGCACCCCCCGCCTCCACAGCGTTCGTCCGCCTTCCCCATCAGCGTTGCGTACCTCTGCATCTGCATTTCTCCATCCTCACTCGTGTCTGCCATTCGCTGTCATCATGGTCGAGTTGTCCGATTTCCTTGGCGTGTTCTCCATCCTCTGCTGGGTCGTTGTCATTGCCCCGTAAGTAGTGCTGGACCAGCCCGGCCCCTTGGCTGTGGTCGTGGCCGTCTCGACCCTGCATGCCCATGTGTCTCTGCCGCCTTGCCTGTCGGCGTGTCGTGTGAATCTGCATGTCGTTTGCCTGTCTGCAACCCATGAGTGCCCTACACGCCATGGGTGTGTTGCGTCTAAAGACTCTGTCTATCGCTATCGTTACTTACAACATGCACCTCCGACCATGCTTTTGGCGCTCGTCCGAACATTCCAACCCATCCACTCGACCCGTCATCTGGACCCACCTTCTCGATCCCATCTCCTTGATTCCCACACATCCGCCTCCGTGAACGCCACCGTCCCCACCACCCTGTCCCTCGAACCACACAGCCAAGTGGTCGTCAACTACCGCCGCAAATCCGGCGAGGGCGTGTCGGAGATCCTGCTATTCATGTGGCTGCTTGCCGACTTGTTCTCGCTCGTGGGATCCGTCCTCAACAATCTCTTCTACACCGTCATCCTGCTGGCCATCTACCACCTCGTCACGGACTCGATCCTGACCTTCCAGCTGTTCTTCTACCGGTACCGCAACCGACGCCTGAACCCTGCTCAGAACGGGCTCGCCGCCTCGGACCTCGAAAAGTCCAAGCCCGATACCTCGTCGTCTGCGCTCGTGGACCATGAGGTCGAGGGCTCGGAAGAACACTCGGACCCCAAGACCAGCGACTCGGACCTCGTCGAAGAGCCCCGCGCTGCCTCCGGCATGCCCACCCGGATGCTGGTCTGGACGGGCCTTCTGGCCCTCAACTTTGCCATGCATTCGTATTCCGCCCAGAGCAGCCTGTCGGCATCCTCGGGCTTCTCGGGTCGAGTCTTTGCGGTCGATGCGGACACGAGTGCCAGCTCGGTCTCCGGGCCCACCTGGCAAAGCATTGTGGCCGATGTCACGGGCTACATATCGGCAGCTCTCTATCGTGAGTACCAGCCGATTGTCTGTTGTCCTGCCCCGTCTTGCCCCTCCTTACCCTGGTCTGCACGGCCTGCACGGTCTGCATGGTGCAGAGCCTTGGTGGCCATACCGCTTACCTTTGCTTCTCTCTGTCCCATCCCGCCATTGTAGTCCTCTCCCGTGTTCCTCAAATCGTCAAAAACTACCGAAACAAGTCATGCCAGGGACTATCGATCCTCATGTTTGTCTTCTCCGTCCTCGGCAACGGCACCTATGGCGCCTCCATCATTTGCTACTCGACCGAGTCGTCCTATCTCATCAAAAATGCCCCCTGGATCCTCGGCGCAATCGCCACCCTCCTGCTGGACTTTGTCATCTTTGCCCAGTTCTACATCTATCGCGCCAGCCCCAGTGCCTAGGCAGCGATCCCAGTCGCTGTCCTTGTCCTGGTCTGGTCCTGGTCTGGTCCTGGCCATCCGAATTGCGCCGCCGGCATAGTCTCGCCGTGGCAGTAATACGACCTGCCCAAAGCGTTTGCCGGCCCAGGCCATCGTCCTCCCCGATGCACTCGGCTCTCAGTGCCACGACCGCGATGGAGCCTGCATACCCGAAACACCCTCCTCTGGCATGTTTGCTCAACTCGAGCCCCTTGGCTTGACTGAGCGACCGGCTCGACGACAGAGCTTAGCCGCAGAGCTCCAACTTCTATCCAAGTTTTGTTCCTTTCTATGGCACCCTGGCTGACACTTGGAGGCTCTCTTGCGCTGCTACGGCCGCGCCGGATCCCCGGGCCATCTTGCATTCTATGCCACCCATGTAAACACTGTACTTTTCTACTGGACTCGATAGCGTCCCATCCCGAATCAAATATAGCTTGTTGGCAAGCAAAATCCGAGTCCTGCATATCAGCGCAGGTGGGGCGAGGGAAGGCTGTAGAGTCAGTCCGGAAAGAAACGGGACAGTCCTTCTCTGGCATCAGCGATGCAAGTCTGCTGATCTGTAGGCTCCAGTGGGCAAGCCGTGCAATTGTTTCTCGTCCTGGTTGGCAATCTCTTTGTGTGGTGCATTCACTCGATGTGGGAGTGTGATGCACTTACTCGACCCTCTGGACAGTTCCATGGTGCATCGATATCAATATACTCGGCCTTCTCGAGTCGCTTGGCTTCCCGGCACTGTGAGCACACCTGGAGATCGAGTCGCTTGAATCGCCGTGGCTGGCTGGTGCCTTTCGCTTGCGGGGAGCCATCTGGGCGAGAAAGCGTCCTTGATTCAGATCCAGAAACACATCACTGAATGGTCATAGCCAGCGCGCGATGCGTTGGGTGACAGCATTCAACAACGACCAAAATCCGGAGTCTCCCATTTGTATTGGACATACATATGTATGTGTCCACTGCCAACACCGAGACCAGACCAGGCACGCGAGATGCAACTGATGGGACGCGTCGCACAAGATGATCAGTTGCGATGCCCGCGTCCAGGGCAGATATATTTCAAGACCACGGCCCAAGACTCCAGGCGGATGCGAACGCAACATCTGCTCGCGGTGCGCTGGCATCTCAATACGCCTGTCCTGTCGGTGGCATCTGACACTCGCCCTCCCCTGATGCCAATCGATACCAAGCCCGACATGCTCACCACAAGCCGCTGAACGCTGTATGCGTCAGGTCCGCTCTCTGGTCGAGTTGCGACCTGGCCGGCAACACCAACAAGAGCAGCTGGATGGACAACATATCGTCTCGGTGCTTGTCGTCGTCGGCAATCAGCACCACGATCGCCGACCAACGGCCGCCCGCCCGATCTCGCAGCAACACATCGATCCCCTATCGATTCCCCATCGATGCCACATCCATCCGCATCATCGTGCGTGCATCCGCATCCGCATCCGCAGCAGCAACGGAGTCGCCGGCATCGGATCCCGCACGCACGCCGGGACGGCATCGTGCTCGGCGCACATCATTGGACGGCAGGAGATCGGGCAGCAAGCTTTTCGTTTGGCCGAACGGGATTGCGATGCGGGAAGGGCAGCCTTGCGACATCACACATCTTTGCTGCCGCTCAACCGTCGTCGCCCAACAATTTTTTTTTCCTCCTCCCGCCGACCAACACCTCCACCCAAGCACCCGACACCATGCGAAATCGTCGTGGTCTTTTTTTTTCTCAAGCCTTGTCGGATCAGCTGTCCTTGTCCTCAAGCTCCACCCCTCGGCCGCGCTGCCGGCGCCTTTGCTGCATGTATCCCTGCGCAGCAGCCCATGTCCTCGCCGCTCAGCAGACACCGGTCCTGGCCAGGACAGCAAGGCCCATCTCACCCGGCGGCCTTGCCAGAAAGCGATTGAATCGGGACTCTACACCGGACGCAGCACGGAGACGACATCGACTCGGGCGTGGGAATCACATCGTCAGCAGGAACGGTGCGCCCGTCCGCATTGCAGTTGCGACACCAAGTCGCCAGCCCGACAAGCGATGCGCACACCATGCGCACAACGCAAGCACTTGCACGAGCGAGCTGCTCCAATCGCGGACTGGTCGTTCCTGGCCCTTCCCACCTTGCCATTTATGGCACATGTTGGGGCTCAACATCGGCACCTGCGTCCTCCCTGCCAATGCGTCGTGCCGCTGAGGGGGGGGGTGGAAGGGTGACAAACAAACCTTTGCGCCCTGCCCGGGTGGGTTCCCGCACGCGCCAGCCCAACTTCTCTGGGTATATATCGGCCCAATTCCCTCGTCAGATCGGTGTCTCCAGTGCCAGCCTTTGCTCTTCCAAGTTTGAGCATCCACTCCTCCAGAGATCTGCTCAGTTTTTGTCACCCGTCTCCCCGACCCGCGCTTGTCATTCCCACCGCACCATATCGCCGACATGGTTCAGCTCTCGGAAATCATGGGCTTCTGTTCCATCGGTTGCTGGATCGTTGTGATTGCTCCGTAAGTTGTCGGCACTCAGTAGCGCTTGTCAATCAGGGGTTGATGGACTTTGCGCCTCCTGAGTCACTCGTGGCGCAAGTCCGGGCTGAGTGAGATTACGATCCAGTCCCAAATGCGGCTGGGCGGTAGACAGGAGAAGCTCTCGCCGATTCGCACAGCCCGGGATGCATTCCATTCATCCGTTCTCACGCCTCCTCGGTCTCTCCATGCACTGCATACTGCATATGCACACACAGCCAGCTCGTCGTCAACTACAGACGCAAGTCCGGCGAAGGACTGTCGTTGACGTTCCTGCTGCTGTGGCTCTTTGCCGATCTGTTCTCCCTGACCGGCGCCATCCTCAACAACCTCTTCTACTCCGTCATCCTGCTGGCGGCCTACTATACCTTGATCGACTTGATCCTGATGGCCCAGTGGTACTACTACCGCTCGGATCTCTTCAAGCGCTCCCGTCGCCACCGCCATCGTCGAGCCAGCGTTGCCAAGCACCTGGATCCCGAGCACGGCTTGGGCTGCAGTGCCGCAGACACCAGTTCTGGTGACCGCAAGCTGGCTGACGAGACCAAGACCAAGACTGCTGTACCTGGTGCGGCTGCCATCGACGACAGAGACGACGCCATTACCCTGGTCGATGAAAAGCCCAATCCCGTCAAGTCGACTGCCCAATCGGCCGGGCGGATGCTCCTGCTGATGGGCCTGGTGGCCGTGAATGTCTACGGCATGTCCGCTGTCTCGGCTGTCTCGGTCAGCTCCGCGACGGGCTTCTCTGGACGGGTCTTTGCTGCAGAGTCTGCGCCAGTGCCTGCTCAGACGGAGCACCTGATTGGCGACATCATGGGATACGTTTCCGCCGTGCTGTATGGTGAGTGGTTGCTCGATCCCCGTCTCTTGAATGAAAGCGGGCCCATTGGCTGCTCTTGCCCGCATGTCGCTGTTGCGCACGTCCTGGTCTCTGCATATCCAGCAACTGTGGACTGCTGCATCGACCGTCCGACTGTGACTGACGTGACTCGCCCGGCTCTCTCCAGTCTCTTCGCGTGTCCCGCAGATCGCCAAGAACTTCAGAGAGCGCTCCTGCGAGGGTCTGTCGGCCCTGATGTTTGTCTTCACCGTCTGCGGCAACCTGACGTACTGTGCGTCTATCCTGTGCTACTCGATTGAGCCTGAGTATCTTGTCAAGAACACCCCTTGGCTGCTCGGAGCCCTGGGCACGCTGCTGCTCGACTTTATCATCTTTGCACAGTTCTACATGTATCGGCCAAAGAAAGCGCAAGCGTGAGCAGGCACTGCCGCACCTGCGCTTTGATTCATGGGATGTACAACATCTCTGCAGCATATCATGTGCCATCATTTCCACTGCCCCCCGCGCACTATTCCCCCTCACACAGTCTGCTGTTACCATGTTTCCATTTGTATGTCAAGTTGCTCGACACCATAGCTGTCGTCATGTTCGCACTGTTGTCTCAGTCTTAGCTGGGTCTCGTTGTTTGAAGATTGCCTTTGCTTTGTATTGCATTATATGGGTACTAGCACATCGACTCGGACCGCCCGGATTGCGGAGTGCCCTCAGAGTCCGTGCCCCATCCCAAGCATATTCATCGGAATACACTTTCCACACGCACATAGTCGGCCCTCTAGTTCCGCGCCTTTATCGCACATATTTGAATGGCAGCCATTTGTGCCCTTGGCTTGTGGCGTTCTGCCATTGAGACCACTGTGACAAGTTGGGGGTACTTCGTCGCTTATTCACGTTCAGACGAGGACGGCCGACACCCTGGGGTGCCAGAGCCCCCCGTGCCGGCTCAGACACATTCCAAGCGAGCGAGCTACCAGAGCCATCGGCATCAACCGCAACAGGCCTGCACACTCCATGCTCAATCGTCCGATGATCGGGCTTTCTTGCCGCGGCCGCCACTCTCTGCAAGGCTCTCTCGCGCGCGCTTCTTTCCCTCGGCTCTAAAGAACTCCTTCTTCTTCTCTTTGAGCTTGGCATCACCGATCTTGTCCTCCCGAGCTTGCTTCTTTTGATGCTCGGCACGCCTCTCCGCCGCCTTTTCTTTCCGCTTCTTGGTTTTCTCGTGCTGGAGGGTGTTGATCTGCTGCATCAGCGTAAACACCTTCTTCTCGTCTGCATCCATGACAACGGCTCGGCGTTGCAGCAGCCCGGGTCGCTTCTGTTTGGCCAGGAGCTTGGGTTTGCTGGCGAACGGGAGCTCCGCCTGCAGACTCTTGGAGATCTTGAGCGGGTTGAACTTGCGAGCGACTCGCTCGATGGGCTGTGCCGATCCACAGCGTTAGTAAAACGCCATGTTAACACAGCATAAGCGAATGGGAGATGGAAGCCAGCTCCCTCTCGACCAAGGCATAGCGAACCTTATAAAACGAATCGGTGTTCTTGGGTGTGGCAACGTTGAGGTCCCGACGAAGCTGGCCCGTTGTTCTCGCACCTGTCCACTCGCTCTTTGACGACAGCAGGAGCGATGTCACAGGGGTGTAGAAGCGCTTGGGTTTGACAGGATACCAGGCCCGCAAGAATACGATGTCTGATTTGGAGACGAAGAAACCAGTCGTTAGTCGGCAGTTCCGCGGCACGCTTAACGAACACCACGAGCACCACGAGCACCACGAGCACCACGAGCGCTGGCATACCGCTCTTCAGGATCTTGTCTTCGAACGTGGCTCGGAAACAGCCCTCTGGATTCTGTGGATGGACGGCAGTGTCAGTAGCAACCCAAAATTGTGATTGTGGGGACAGATCAATGCGCATCGGAGACGGATATCCATGTTTGTCCCCGCCCAGGCCATTGCATTGCTCCCTGAGATACACGCAGCATGGAACCCGGCACTTGGAGCACTTACGCCGACGTGCTTCTTGACCTGTCCACGGATGCCGCTGACAGTTCGGATCTTGGCTCCCTCAAACTTGGCCACCTCGAGAGCAGACGTGAACATGTCCTTGATGAAGGCGGTGTTCTTGAAGATCTTGAAGGGCGTGCCCGTCAGCTTGAGTTTCTTGACGACCTCGGTCGATTGGTTGATATCCACAACGACGCCGGTTGAGCTCACGCGGAAGGAGCTCTGGTTGATGTGATGAGCATGGAATGCGCGTGAGCGAGGCAGCGGCATCCAGACCGTCTCTGCAACGGATCTTGCATGTTTTCTTCAGGATTATACGCTCCTCCCTTTCTTCCCAACTTACGCTGACTTCCGAGACGGACTGGAATGTGCAGAAACCGGTGTTTGGGGGTGTGACGGGCCCTATGAGTACAAAGCGCGGATCGGTACAGGCACGGATCACATGAGGATATGGTGGTATGCGGTCAGAAATTAGTCATCAGCAATCCCTGTGCATCCGACCAGTGCTCCCACGGTGGGCGGCTCGGCCATCTCGAGTCCATCCAACACCGTGTGATTGCCACGCTTACGGCAAGCCCGTACCGTAGAACGTCGCTATACAGTGCATATGCTCTGGCGTGTACTTGAGCATTCGATTGCGTGTGTTGTTTTCGTTGAGCGAGAAAACTGGAATACTCTGGAATCGACGCCAGCCCATCGAGAAAATGAGGGGATCGTTGTTCTTGAGGACTTTTTTGTACCATCGGTGTCGCTTCAGGCGAACCTGTAGTGAACGACCAAGGACGGCATCAGCTACCCACTCAAAATCCACACTTCAGGAGCCACGCTTACGCAGCGGGCACGAGTGCGTATCGGATCGTCTCGGGATTGGCGATAGTATGAAGCTACAGCAGCAACAGAAGCAGCAGCAAAAGCAATAGCTGTTGTAGCTGTGGCAGTGAGCTAGACACTCACTTGGATAAAGCCAAAAGACTCTTCCGACGGAAGCAGTCCTCCGATGACGACCGGGAACGCCGGATCAAAGTTCTGAATAAACTCCATCGGCATGTTTTCAAGCACAATGCGGACGTACATGCCCGATCGGTATCCCTCGACCTTGGCTCGAGTGACCGGGTCGTCGTCCTCAAACTCCAGTCGGTTGATTTCCTGCTGCTTGTTCATCTCTTCCTTCATGCGATCAAAGACGTTCTTGCTCTCCTCTTCGTCCGACTCATTATCGTACTCGGCATCGAATCGTCTCTTCAGCTCATCCTTCTTGATCGCCAGCTCGCGCGCCTCATCTTCAGGCGTGAGAGTCTTGGGGGCTTCGGCGCTCGTCTCGTCGGTCTCGTGCTTCTCGCCGGTCTCGAGATCCTCAAAGTCTCCGTAAACTTCTTCATCTTCGTCGCCCTCGGCATCTTTGGCATCGGCAGCATCACGCGCAGCTTGGGCTGCAGCAGCAATCGTTCCCGTGATGAATCGCATCTTGATGGAGTTCAGCGTCTGTTATGGCACAACAAAGGCTTGCAGATCAGATCAATGCATTGACACGGTGCCTGTGGTCGTGCTGTTTGGGAGGGAGGGCAGTACTCAAGCGCACGGTCCATCCACTTCATCCAGGATCGCTGCACCCTTGTTCGGGTGAGACAGCCCCCAAGTCAAACTCCCGCGGCTGCACACAAACCTCGTCATCGGCCCATTCATCCAAATCCTGGGTTTTGATTTCTGTCTTGGATGTGTCGACGCTGGCCATGGTACCTGTGTGGTTTGTCTTGACTTTTTTGACTGTGAAAAGGTTTCCTTCCTCCGAGTCGCCGTTGGCATCGTCGTCATCGCCGTTGGCATCGCTGTTGCCAAAGACGTCGTAGTCTCCGTAGACGAGATCCATCAGGCTGATTTTTCGGTTTTTCAAAAACGCAGCGGCAGCCTTGTCAGCAAGACCCTCCTTCCACCGCAGACCGCCGTCGAGATCCTCTTGAAGCTCGTCTTGATCGTCGCGTTCCTCGTTCTCATCTTCACTCTCATCCAGCGGATCGGATTTTCGTCGTGGAGCAAACTCGTCGCCGAGATCACTGTCGCTGTCAGCGTATGCAACGTCATCGTGGTGAGCGGACTCTTCGCCCATCATGGCCAGCCGCTTGCCTACACGGCGTCGAACGCGGCCGTTGACTTCGACCTCCTCGTCCTCATCCTCGTCATCTTCATCGTCGTCATCCTCTTGGTCGTCGTCATCCTCATCCTCATCTTCATCCCCAAGCTCAGACCCCAGGTCGCTTTGATCCTCGTCATCGTCTTCATCATCATCATCATCATCGTCATCGCCATCCTCATCAGCACCTTCGTCGTTGGCAGATACAGCGCGGCGCCGAGTCCGTCCTGATGCATCAACCTCGATGACTTCCCTCAGGTTACTGGCACTGATGGGGGCGGATGATTTGAAGATACGCATTTCGCTCGACTGCATCTTGTCTGCCAGCGTGTCTGTCGTGTCCTGTAGGTTCATGACCATCTTCTCGCCTTCACCCTGGTCCTCGTCATTGTCTTCGCCATCGGCCTTTTTGGTGAATGTTCCGGGCACCTGGATATACACGGCATCCTTGTCGTAAAGAATACCGCCAACATCCGCCATCGGCGCATAGAGGAGCTTTTGCTTATCGTCGAGCCGTCGCTTGACTTTGTCGGGAAGAGGACACGGGTCGGCGAGCATGCTCACGTCGGCAATCGTGAAATCGCCGGCGCCTGGGATGTGGACTTTCATGTTGGACTTGAGGTTGGTTCCGCGCAGGAAGCCGTACAGCGAGACGGTGCGATCGCACTTGGGATTGCTCTCGATCAGCTCGGGGTCGGTCAGATCCTCGACACGGTCGGCAAGGCAGTACGGATGCGAGTTTCGCCAGACAAGCGGCCGGAACTTCATGACGGAGATGAAGCGCGACAGATTGAGCACCTCAGTTTTCGGGTACTTGCCGTTGATCAGGCCAGAGAGATAGAAGAGCTTGGCACCCTGGTAGATCTCGGTCCAGAAACGGTGCTTGAGTCTCTTCTTGGTCTTGCGCAGCGCTTTGTTGTCCTTGAACTTGTCCAGATGCGTCAGGACGCCCATGACCTTCGGGAAGCCGTGGATCTGCAGGATATTGAGAAACTCGAACGTCTCCATCTCAAAGCCAAAGCTGGCGTCGATGAGCAGCAGCACCAAATCGGCGACCTTGCCGATGTCGATCATGCTGTTCAGGTCGTTGTTGCATTCCATGAACGTAATCCGACGCTTCTTGCCGCTGATCACGGTGATGGGGCCTTTGATTTCGTTCAGGTTGTGCTTGGTGTATCTCTTGACCAGCGATCGAATCAGGGTTGTCTTGCCGCACTAAATGCCATCCGAACGCAGGTCAGCTCGGCGCATTCACAACCAGGGCCAGGACAGCACTCCGGCAGCGACTAAGACCAAGCTCGGTGCTGGCGGGACAGGCGCTGCTGCGGCACACCAGCGACGTTGCTGGCAGAGATGGGGATGGGAATTCGACTGCTTACCCCAGGTGGCCCGACCACAGCCACAATAATCGGAGGCGGCTCGATGGGTGTCCGGTCCACAAGCGGGACATGCATGCGCTTCTCTCCAATGTCGGCATTGCGACGGGCGCTCTTCTGGGCACGATTGCGGGCTGAAAAGGTGAATGCCTGCAGCATAGGTGTGGTCAGAGCAAAGCCAGAACCGGGGGTAAGGAATCAGGGCTAGAGCCGGGCCAACACGTTTCGCAGACCGGCATGGTATCGCATCGAATCGCCCCATATATGCCATATTGCCGAGCGGCGATGGCTCTGTCGGCGCGCCAGTCTGCGTCGGCCGCCCCATCACACAGCCGAATGATACATGGCCAGGACCGCCGGCCACGAGCCATCCGGGACCGTACTTTTGGGTTGTTCTTGGCCTGGTTCTTGGTATGCCGGCTCTTTTTCTCGGCCTTACGCCCGGCCTGCCGGGGCCGATGTGATCTGTTTGCCTTGTCTTCCATGGCTGCGTGTGTCTGCAGCTGCAGACAGGAAAGGAGTGTGGTGCGATGTGGTGTGGTGTGTCTGTGGCTAGCTGGCGAGCTGGCTGGCTGGCAGGTTGGGTTGGGTAGGGTCGTTGAGTTGGCTGGGTTGGATCGCTGGGTTGGCTGGGTTGGGTCGTTGGATGCTGCTGGCCCCACCAAAAAAAATTCGCAGCCGGGTGCGCAGACCTGGCCAGCAACAACAAAAAAACAAAATGAAATCACTCAATGAGGCCAGCGGCTGCCGACAAGGGGGCAGCGCGATCAAGCACGGGACTCGTGTGGCTTGCGTGGCTTGGCGCGGTGAATCCGGGAGCGCTGGTCATGTGATGAATCACGTGTAAACCGTGTGCCACAGAAGCCGGCCCGTGCCACACAGCCGTTGCGCACTGCCACCAACAACCCTGGGTCAACTCCCACGATCAATTGTTTCCTGCCCCTCGAGGTTGCTCATCTCGAATATGAAGACACGCTGTAGACCAAGATGCAGCAAAAGTTGGAATCCGGCCATGGTCGGTTGACGGCATTTGGTATCACCTTGAGCCGATTGACGGTGGTGGTGGGCGATTGGTGTGGAGGAATGACCAATTGTATCATTGTTGGAAGCTCCACTCCGATTGCGGACAAGAACCACCACCATCTGAATCTCTCTGGTTGGAAACCTAGTCAAGCGTGGCTGTGTGTCAGTGAGATGACATGATCGTTTGGCTATCAGGCAAGACTCACCTTGACAAGATGTCTTCCCACGACTGATTGAGCGAGCGATGCGTTTCTGGATCTGAATCAAGGACGCCACTGTGCAGTATCTCTGCCAGCCCAAAATGCGCTGGTTTTGAGGAGATTCTTTCTTCCCCAAGGGCAGGACCAGCCATCGTCGCTATTTTCTCGCCAGATGGCTCCCCGCAAGAGAAAGACACCACCCAGGCGACCAAGTGGATCCAGAGCACCCACAAGATCCTTGGTCTGCAGCAATGGATGAGCACCACACCAAGTCCCAAGATCCTTGGGTTGGCTTCCTTCCTGCAATACATTCGCCATGTGTTCGATGGAGACATGCTGGAGAAACAGCTGTACTTCAGCCTGACCCGGCGACGGCGATTCAAGCGACTCGATCTCCACAGCAAGCGACAGCGCACCGTCCACGAGATGTGCAAGCAAGTCATCGACCAGGCACCGAAGGAGACCGAAGTGGTGATTGCCTTTGGGAATGCATCCTGGAAACAGGGGAAGGGATATGCTTCCAGTCCCAGGAGACTCAGGTTTGCCAAGTACTTTGAGCAGTTCCACCACCACCAGAGACGCCCACCAGACCGATCCGTCTCCAAGATCTATGTGTGCTCGGTGAACGAGTTCAACACGTCCCAGGTGTGCTCACATTGTCGGGAAGCCAAGCGACTCGAGAAGGTCGAGTATCTTGATATCGAGAAACCACATTTTGTCCGGAGCTGTGCAAGCTGCCATACGCTGTGGGATCGAGACATCAATGCAGCCAGGAACATGATCTCGGTATGCCAGTCGATCATCGCCACAGGAGATCGACCGGGTGTATTCAAGAAATTTTTTCATAGTGTCATGGTCTGTTTTTGAGCTGGGCTGTTGTTTGTTTCCGAATCCCAAGCACACGCCCGTCCACCACCAGAGACGCCCAAGAGCCAAGCGCCTGATTCTGCTCTGAGCAAAGCTGCAGTGGCCTGGATTGCCTCTGTCCTCGGCCGCGCTGCAATACATCTCCGTCTAGTGCATGCGGCTCAGCTCCTCGACAATATGCATCATCTGAAACTCGCTCAGAGGCACAGGCTGCATGCCTGGCGCCTTGCCTTCGATGAGCGTCAGGCGATCGTCTTGGTCGAGCTCAAGGAACTTCTCGATGACATCGCCATCCAGGAAGTTCTTTGCCGGCTTGACTCGGTATCCATCCCAGTAGCTTCGCCAACTGGAAGAGAGTTGCATTCCGAATGAGCAGCGCTCCTGTGGTTCGATTCCGAGTCTCGATTCCGAGTCTCGGCTCCTTGTGTCGATCCACCGTTCAATCTCTCCTCCCCAGCCAAAGATATCCCGATCGACAAGTCCTATCGACGAGACTCTCACACTGCGTCCCTCGAACCTCTCCAGGTGACAACCGCCATACGTGTGATAATCCAAAACCGCAGCAACTTACTCGGCCAGCGATATATCGCCAATACTCTTGATGAACTGCGAGAGGTTGGACTCGAGAATCTGTAGTGCGTCGGCGACCGACTGGTCCGCGATCTTGGATATCACACCAATCATTCCATTCACGGTACAAAAGACGAGCGAGTCGTCGACCAGCTTTTCTGTCTCCAAGGCCGCCCGCGTGAGAGAGCCTGCATCACGGCGTTATGGAACACGAGCAGATGTGTCGAGACAGCGTGGTGATGTTAGTAATGGATGGCCGGTGCCCCTCAGGCCATCAGAATCTGATGAGTATACGAACAAAGGATGTACCTTGCTTGATCTGGTTGACCATCTCACCGAGATGCCACTGTCCGTCTTGCTGCAGAGCCTTGGCGCCAGGCTCGTCGCTGATGACTTTGCCAAAGGAGAGCAGGTTGAAGGTGTGGTTGGCGGCAATGTAGCTCGCTCCAAGGTGGTTGACCCGTGTGATCCACAGGCTTTGAAAGTCACGATACGTTTCTTCCAGAATATGTCGCTCAGGCACATACTCGAGGAGACTCACAGACTTCATCAAGTCACCGACGATGATGGTGTTGCCTTCAACCTTCATGTCGACTGCTATGGTGTGGGCGTGGTGGCTGCACACCATCTGGAGAGTGCTGTCTTTCCACTGGAAGACAATGATCTGATGACGCGCAGGTCAAAATGTCAGTGGTGTCAGCGGCATCTGGGTGGTCGAGACGCCAGCATCAAGCATCCGCTCAAACTGCTCTTGTTTCAGATCGACAGCTCACCGAATTGCTGACGGCAACAGCCAACAGTCCGCAGCTCAGCAGTCCAATGCCGTAAACGCCGCCAGCCACAGGTACGGAGCAGTAATGGCGCAGATTCTTCATATCCGAGATCTCAAACACCGAGAGGTAGCCGGTGTTGATCTCGCCATCGACTACTTCGATGCCAGAGCCCAGGACGAAAAAGCTCTGCATCTCATTTGGGAATTGGACAGCAGCGATACACATCCCAACTTCGTTCGGTCTCAGCGCGTGCGAGCTGGAAACTAAAGGAGCGCGGGCGAGCAGTCAGATGGTGCTGGGCCAGGAAATCCAACCCATATCGTACACTGCACAGTGTGCACCCAAAATTGTAGAAGCTGGGCGACTGCCAATGCCCTTAGCTGTCTATGCCCTTAGCTGCGAGCAAATAGAGAGGCGAACAGAGGCGAGCGATACCTTGGTATGTTTGGTCGTCGAGGATGCGGAGGTACGACTGCTCCAGAGCGATCCCATCGGCGGAGCCGTTGCTGCCGCTTACGATGTGATGCGTAATCAGGCCAAACATCCGCTGGTCCTCGAGGTAGGCGATGCGCCGAGGCATCTCATCGAGGCTGACCTTTTGGATGTGGATCTTTTGAATTTCGTCGATCAAGCCAATCTTCAGGCCCGTCGTGGTTGCCATTGCAAGTGCGCCGGGGAACAGCGGCGTGCTGAAGGAGCAAACCGAGCTGATTTCCTAATTGCATCCATCGAAATAGACAATTAGCGTCAGAGGCTATCCTCACACTTGGACACACTTGGACACACTTGGACATCATCGGATCCAGGTCGGAAGCACAGCGCAGCCTCGACTCACGATCCCATCGAGCTTTGCGCATCTTAGTCCCTGCCCCCCCCCTCCAGCACTCCATCTCCGCTCGTGGGCTACAACCTTGGCATTGACGGTGGAATATCCCAGCTTGCGGTGAGGGGTGCCAGAGATCACCGTGGGTCGGTCGCAGGAGGCAAAGATGTGGTCCTTTCCGTTGGACCGGAACTGACACAAGTTGACGGGGCGGTTTCCCAGCCGAGCGCGCTTCTTGTCCGACAGCGTGTTGGTGCTGGGGTCAAATGCATAGTTGATCAAAGAGCCATCGCCTAGGAGCGCAAAGGCACAAGCACGGAATGCAGAGAGCGGCGCCCGGGTTAGCCAAGATCTTGTCCACGTCGCAGCTTGAGTGTGCAGTCTCATCCAGTCATACCAAGCGCCACGATCACGTAAAACTCGGTTTCCATTCGGCAGAACGTGAGTGAGCGAGGAACAGCATCTAGAGATCCGATGGGCAAGATCCATCAGTAAAAGTAGTTGTGCGACTGATGTTTGCTCGCTGGGATGCGGGTGCTGCCGGCAGCCTCAGGATTATAGCCATACCTCCAAGGGCTTCGACTTTCAAGGCTTGGAGCGATGGGAACGAGAGAATATGAACGCACGCGTTGGGTCCCCAGAGTCCGACACTGCAATACCGAGCAGCCGTGCCATCGGCCGCTTCGAAAAGGGCCAGATCAACACACGAAACCTCCCGACCAAAGTTGGTGCGGCTGGAGACATTGAATGAGGGTCGACCGACACATTATGGAGCCGAATAGCGTCATTGGCCAGAGACAAGCAGAGTTAGTCGCGACGAGACTGTGATTCTCTAGCTTACTGCTTGTCGTTATACCCGGAAGCAGGGAACTGGCAACACGCCGGGGCGGCCCGATGTGATAGCGGCCGGACAGAACCAAGGACGCAAGCTCCAACCACAATCTCACCCGGTGGAAGGTGGCGATTGAGGAAGCGGGAAGATTTTCGCCATAGACAGCACACATGGACCACTCGTGCTCCGATTTCACTCGTGCTCCGATTTCACTCGTGCTCCGATTTCACTCGTGCTCCGATTTCACTCGTGCTCCGATTTCACTCGTGCTCCGATTTCACTCGACCCCCAGAGTGTCCAGAATAAGCGCAGTAGCTCTGTGATTCTCGCACCTACCCGATCTGCTGGATTCGGGTCGACTCGACAGAGAGCGCAACAACTTCGCCTCTACCGAGTGAAACTAGGACCGAGGACGCCTTGGCGCTGGCGTGATAGATTTTCATGCCGCTCGGAGGCATCCACTTGCTGTGGGCTGTCTGGCCATCGCCCGAGATGAGGAAGACGCCAGAGGGAACAACCTGGATGATATTGCCGCTGGAGTCGTTGGACGCCCAGAGGGTCGGTTCGTTCTGGACGAGGTTGTGTCGCGGCGGCTCCACGAGCTCGTTCGCAGCGAGGGTCAGGAGACGAGTTTCGTTGATGAAGGACAGAACCAAGACCTCGCTGCGGTCGCCAAGCACAACACAAAGAGTGGTTGCGTAATGAGTGGAACAGGCACGCATCGCTGCGTATGATTCAGAGGACCCAGCACCACTGGCATTCACATGGACCCAGACACTCGCCTACAAACCTTTCTCCAGCAGCTGACTGTAGCGACCAAATCAACTTGAGGCCAGGCATCTCCAGCTCTGCGTATTCGTGGATTCCGATCCCGTTGCGGATGATACGAAGCGAGCCGTCCAGATAGCCACCACAGCAGGCTACCAGCACGTCCTAACGAATCAAAGGCAGGACACCATCAATATTCTGTCTGGGTATGCCCTTCAAATGGACTTGGGAGTCGCTATGGGAGGCGTCGCCGCTGTTAGCCGTGCCGATCGGCAAATGGTCACTTGAAGATGGCCTTACCTTGCCCTGCTTATCGCTGTCCACGAGACAAAAGTCAAGCACCGGACTGATGTTGGGGAACAGCTGCTTGACCGACACAAAGCTCTTGTCCTCCAGCGGACGAGTCTCCAGCTTCACGAGTTGCGAGTCGCCAAAATGCGAGCCGATAAAGGCAAAGTCGTTGTCGATGTAGGCAATGCTTGAGGGTACTGAGATCTGAGTGTGCGGCATCACGAGAGTCGGTCGGCCATTCAGCGGGAAGGGTAAGAGCGAGCGGATATTCCCACAGGCAAGAATCCATCAAACGGTCTTGTGTCCGCGCTACGGTTCGCCATCTTTGCCTGCGCCGCCGCAGCATTGCTCTCACCTTTCCCAGCCGTTCCATGGTCAGCTTTCGCATGGCGCCGCCGGCAGAGCAAGTCAGTAAAAGGATGTGTAGGTTGCCCATGTAGTCTCCCAGGAGGTATCGATCGCCCTTGGGGCCCAGCCGAGCGTAGCTGATCGAGGTTATACGGAAATGGGTTGGGAAGAGAATGGGGATAAGTCGCGATGGAGAAACCTGGCCTTGTGCCCAGGATGAGACGCTGCTGACAACTGAACTCAGAATATGTGCGATAAATACCCCTGCCGGTGTCTGTCGCGGCAGCCCTCTGTAGCCCCACACTCCTTATTGACGACCACGCAGCAAAGTTGCTGACCGAGCGCCATACCACTTCACAATCGTTGGTCCAATCTTGATAGAGATGGTTCCGACGTCAAAGCCACGCTGCAGAGGATAGTAGGTGATGCTCGAGTCCGAAATGGCAAGCAAGCCACCCCCAAGTGATTGCTCGACAGGGATAAGCATCGAGGTGGTGGGGTGGACGTCAGGACACTCGATGGCAGTATCTTCAAGCTCCGAATCTGATATGTTGACTTTGTATATGCTAATGATGCGTTCGGAAAGGGAGTTCTCGTGCAGAACGGCAAGCATGGGCGGCGGCAAAGGTACTGTCTGGGCGACAGACAGAAAGACCATTGTCAAGACCTTGAGGCCTTCCAATCTGGTCATCATTGGGACAGGACGCAAAAGACGCATAGGCAGCAGCATGAGTGCGGATGCAGAATGCTTGCGCCTCCATCTCTGGCAGGGCACAGTGTCAAGTGCGATGCAATAGCGATGGCGCATGGCGGACAACTACCTCATGTTGAAAGCTGTGCCCAGGACTCCAGCCGCTCGGCTGGCCCGCGTTGAGCCCCGGGTCTTTCCTTTGCTCTGCGCGGACGGCGGCCTGTAGAGCGAGTCTGTCTCGGAGAAGAATCTGCTGTCCCACTGCGTGCTGGGATGGGAGATGGGAATGACCTTGAGCAGCCCTTGATACAGATGCAGGCCGATCATCCGGTGCTCGGGATCAATGACACAGAGCTGCCCATAGTCGGCAGGGCGGCTGATGGGATCTGAAAGATTGCCCTGGGCGTCGGTGACAATCTCCCCCGAGTGTTGGTTGTAGGAGAGCACAAAGAAGTTGTATCGCTCCGTGGTGATCAGGAGATGATCGGTCGCAGCTCCCTTTGGTGCAGCACAGAAGCGAGCCCGTTAACGATGCCGTCCCTGGGCAGATCGAGCCGGCAAGCCGCGCGAGGCTCCAGTTCCAGGATCATGAGGAGCAGCGCTGGGTCGCCGCCGACCGAGACCCGACGAAACAAACCTGGGGCCGATAGAGATGCATCGTGGCGATCCGCCCATATATGGGCACGTCTTTGACGGGCTGCAGGCCGGCTTCTGTTGCAACATGGATCTCAAAGCGGGATGTTTTGCTGTTGCCAGCGGATGCAGAGCTGCGTTAGCGGCTAAGCAGCCCATTGCCATTGCCGGCTGTCGTGCTCGTGCCGAGATTGTGATCGACTCGACTCGCCCATGATCAGAGAAGCTGCGCGGTAGGCACCTGAGGATAAGATTGAGATCGTCTGGGCCCGTGAAGTTGCCGACAAGGGCAGTCGATACCGAGGTCGGCTTCTGGGCGGAGGAAACGTAGTGCATCCGGAGGAGCTGCTGATCGCAATGGGGGGCTGTGCTTTCTTGAGGACGATGGTGCGCCGACGGACAACGGCGATGGCGGGAGCAGCAGCCTGCAAGTCCAGCGATAAAATGGGATGTCCTGGCGGTGGCCCCGTTGACGATGGCGACGGCGATGATGATGACGGCGAAGGCGACGGGCGGGTTGTTACGAGGGGATCGGCCCTCGTCGGTTGGGCGAGGAGCGAGATGGAGGGACCGCGCAGCTCGGCTGCCGAGCGATACGGGGCTCGGCCGACGGTGTCGACGATGTCTGCAGAGCCAATGCTCTCGGCAAAGACGATGTGCATATCCGAGACAGGCTATCAGCACTCGGATGCTAACGACCACAACTGGTGATGCTCTGCGATCTGTCGTCCGAAGACTCCAGGGGGGGGGCTCGCTGCCCATCTCGCCAGACGAGACGGCTCCCGCCTTCCCATGCAAAACCTGTTGCATTCCTTCGGCTGCACCGATCCAGCTCGCTGCATTCCACCGCCAGCCCGCACCTGCGCATCCAGCCGTTGCTGCGGCATCCTCGGTGTCGATCGACTGTCTTCGTCTCTGTTCGCAAGGGCCAGCTCGATTCGTGCAGCCCCCGCAATGACCGATGTCGACGGTAGCGACCCAATGCACTGTGCACCATGCCCATGATGATTGCTCGACACCGATACATCCATCCGCCGAGTCGGTCGCTGTTTCATCTGATCGTTCCATCTGCTACATATCCCATGTGTTGGCCAGATCTGTCCGATAAGCGCGATGTGTCCTCCTATGGCCACTGGTCCGTGTCTTCCTACAAACAGGGATTCGGCGTCGACCAGCTCCAAAGCGATTCGTTTGAGCATTATTGGCAGTAAGGATGCCTGTTGGAACAGCCGGGTTGCCCCTGGCCGATGATCGACGGATCCGTTCCCAGTGATCCGCCGCTCTGCTTTTGCTTCGATGCGAGACGATGAAGACTCTGATCGCAAGTGGCCATCAATCCGTCGCAGATCCGACGGCCCGCAGCCGCACTTGCTGACCATCAAGTTCCCAAGACGAATACCGATCCAGGTGTGCAGATCGCTCCGGGGTGGAGGGCACATATGCGCGAGCGCGAGTCGCCGATGCTGTACCGGACGGTATTTGTCCATCGCATGTCTCGATCTCTATGGATCGCACGACTCAACAACCATCGTCGATCTGTCTGGTTGGCCCCAAAGCAAATCTCCTTGTACCTGGACTTTAAGCAGGACGAGAGCTACACCCCAAGCCGGCTGTCGATCCGGTCTGGCACCAGCTTCCAAGATCTGCATGTGAGCCAGACTTGCCGCAATCTCTCTGTGTTGGCCATGACCAGGACACCGTTCACAGCAGTCGCCGAGGAACTGGGTGCTGACCTGTTCGCATGCGGACTGGCGCAGGAGCTGAAGCTTATCGATCTGGACGAGCCCAGCGGATGGATCAATGTCCCGATCCAAGAGGATCCTGACACCGAGTCGAGGTGAGACGGGGGTCTGGGCGACGAGGCTTGCCGGTGCGGGATGCGAATCGGGGATCTGGACGCAGTCGGGCATGTGCTCTCTCCCTCTGTTCTCGTTGGGGTGCTTGGGGACATGCGCTTCTCCGTCCTGGATGTGTGTCCGAGGAGGATTGGCGCTGATGAACGCATGCTGATCTGCCGCCGGGATTGCTCGCTCATGCGGGCTGGATTCGACGGTGTGGGCAACGGCAACCTGCAGCAAGCCTCTCAAGACTCAGCTGCTGCAGATTGCGGTGCTGGCCAACCATCAGAACGGCAAGGACACGCACATTCGGCAGATCAAGATCTTTGGGCCGCCTCTGTGAGTCGGACGGCATGCCGTCGCAGCGATGTGGCGGGGGAAGATGCGGCCATGGACCATGTCGACCGCACGGCTTGCCCTCCTGCCCGCTGAGGATGCGACATGGAGTGTGTTTGCGGCGCTTGGCGGCCAAGCCGCTGCGGCTGCCGTTGCGACCGTGCTGACCCCCGGCGTTTGTGTCGATGCCACCAGACGGTCAATCTTTGAAGTCGAGGGCTTTCCGGCGTTCTCATCGGTTGAGTTCCAGATGCGTATGTAGCTTGCGACAGCCCGGGTCCGAGATCAGGGGCACATGCGGTGGACAAGCGAATGGCAATGGTCCCGGCAGAGGCAGTGCGCACAGATACAAATGGCGGGGAGCTGACAACTCCGTTGTCTCGGCCGCAGACTCGACGATCCGTTGACCCGGACCGACAGCGATTGCGACCAGCAACGCGATCAACATCAACATGATCAATATCAACATGATCAATATCAACATGATTAACAACATCAACATGATTAACAACATCAACATGATTAACAGCAATGACATGATCAACAATGGCATGACCGGCCATTGCGCCGGCAGCGGATCCCCCTCCCCAGCCGCATGTCCCGCAATACACCACCGTCTCCTCCTCCCGCCAACACGTTTCGCTCGTCGGTGCATGCGTTGCATGCCAGCCCCATTCGCGGAGCACAAGCCCGTCGTTCGCGTCGGGCCCTTGAAGCACCAGCACCATTCCACAAGCCCCAAGTCACAGGCGCATGGCCATGCGCCCGCTGTCACTGTGGTGCTGGTGTGCTGGCAAGCCGATCGGCGCGGCGCCATGCAAGGCAGGGCATGTCCCTGTCGGTGTCGCGCCGATCGCAATCGCAAGCCCATCTGCCCAGACCGAGCGATGGGTCAAGGTTGGAGCAAGCAGCCGGGGCCGTCCAGGAGGGCACAGCCTTCTCGCTGCATCAGAACCCCAAGGCCCGCCCCCATCAGAGCACCGGGCTCGTGCAGAACGCTGTTGATCCGGCACCTCGCTGCCCCTCCTCCACCGCTTTCCGCATCGGCGCCCTTCTTCCTGGTCGCTCGTCGTCTCGCTCCTCCATCTCACTTGCTTCTGCATTCAGGCTCCGGTGGTCTTACACTTGCATTGTTTCTTTGTCTCGTCAAGCCGCTGGTCTGCCTCGTAAGCCATCCGGTCTCGGCCATTGCACCTCGTCCTCCAAGCAGTCCCAGAGCCCGACAACCAACCAGCCAACCACTTGGCAACTGGAACCCAGCCACCCAAGTACCCAACCTCCCAACCACCCAAGTACCCAACCTCCCAACCACCCACCACTCCGTCCCAATGAGCTCGCCTGGTCGTCCAAAGTCCATGTGGTCTGGGCCGGCCTACAAGCCCATCAATCAAGTCGATGTTGCCCCGGTCCAGCCCAGTCTCCGCAAGTCCAAGAGCCAGGCCGATCTGCAGTCCAGGACCACCGCCACCGAGCCCATTCACATCATTGGCTTCCCGACCAATGTCGGCAATCCCGCTCGGCGACACCACCAGCACCACCAGCACCACCAGCACCACCAGCACCACCAGATATCGCCCACTCGGTCAGACCACGAGCAGCCGCGAAGCTCGTTTGCCAGTGCCTACTCCAAGACCGCGACCGACTCGGCCCGACCCGAGCATCAGGACTTCAGCCCAGATGGCTTCCGCAGAGTCCAGGTCTCGGCTCGGCCCGGTAGTTCGCCATCGTCGCCCAGCTCCATTCGCCGCAAGTTCAGTCTGGATCCGAATACAGCGGCCTTGGGTCCCGGCACCGCGCTCTCCAACGGGCTCTCCCACAGCATCCAGCTCAACAAGACCCAGCCCACAGAGGAGACCCTGCGGGTTATCCAATCGCTCCAGGTCAAGCGCAAGGATAGTCTACCGAACTTTGGGCCCACCAGCCCGCAGAGCCACTACGGCAGTCCGCTTCCGTCTCCCGAGCGGACCAAGGCCGAGGTTCTGCCGGCGCCAGAAGCCAAAAGCACTCCTCCGTCCTCGCCGGCTCTGCGTCCGATGGGGCGAAGTACCTCGCAGCCTTCGCTCACCAACCGGCTCAGGGAAAACTCGGTAACTGGGATTCATGAGCTCGTCAGTGCCCAAATCCCCCGCTCGGTCCTGAACCCAATGCCCCAGCCCCTCGTGGTGAGCAATCGACTGGTGCACACCAAAACCTCGACCAGCCTGGTGGCCCATGCCAGCAGCAGCTGGGAGTCTCGCATCGGCACCATCAACTGGCATCGGCTCGTCATCCAGATCGCCTCGGAGTGGCTGACCAAGGTCGAGTCGGATCTGTACTGGAAGTTGGCTTTCCGGCGGCTGCCTGTCAACAAGTACCTGCCAAGCGAGACCGAGCGGCTCTGTCCGGCCTGCGGCGAAGAAAACGAAACGATCGAGCACTTTTTGATCGGATGTCGCCGAAGCCGGACCTTTTGGAGTCTGTTCGAGAGCTTCCTCTTTGCAGCCCTGAACATGGATGAGCAGCCCATCGGACTCCGCGAGCTGGTCTTTGCATTCCCAGAGCTCTACCCCACGCTTACGCTGCCGCAGCAGTATCTTCTCACAGTCCTGCACGCCGCGGGTTTGTCGGCGTTGTGGACCAGCCGGACCTTGGCCTCAAAGGAGCACCAGGCCCGATGGGATACTTTTGTACGCCACGTTCATGAGCGCATAGCCTACGATCGCTCGACCCTGAGTCCGAATGAGTTTGCGATCCTGTGGAACGACACCATCAAAATCCTGGAGAAGCTGGACCGTCGCTGAGCCCTGCCGCTTTGGTCGTCGAAAGCATCCATCCGTCTCTTTCCTCCATTTCGATCTCTCTCTCTCTCTCTCTCTCCCAGACACAACCAAGTTTGTCACTTGCGCTGCTTCGCCTTCTCCTTCAAAACCCCGTCCTCATAGGCTCGTCCCAAAGCCAGGCAGCACAAATATCGTGGTCCATGGCGGCCACGAATGTGAATACCTCCCTGTCTCTGTTGCTGTTGCTGCCCTCGCCTGAACCCACCGCCGCCACCGGCGTTGGTCGTCCCTTCATTTGCGTCCACTCCGCTCTCCTTCACAAGGCTGCTCTAACAATCGAGCTCTCAACAAGTTCTTTGTGTGTAAATGACCCCTATCCTCTGATGGTTCCTATCCTTTGGTGATCCTTATCCTTTGGTGATCCTGATTTTCTGATGGTTCTTATCCTTTGATGATCCACATGTTCTGATGTACCCTTTCCAATCCCTCCCTCCCTCACGCTCCCCAAGAGTGGTGGAGGCTCTGTCAGTCCTGATGTAAAGCAAATCTACTCCTCCCCTCCCGCCAAAATAAAGTTGAAATCTCGGATAAATCTCGCCTGTGTTAGATCAGCCTCGGCTCAAGTTTCCAGCATGCATTTCGATTGATTCGGGAAATGTGGGGATTGCGGTGGTTAAGTATTTGGAGAATCAAGTACCGCATTTGTCTTTGCTGTGATGCCGCTGTTCTAAACTGTGATTTACCCATGGAACACACGAAGCGGAACATATAACAGCATGTATTGAGCATTCAGGAGATGAAAGAAAAAAGCCAGGGAAGAGTATGGTCGCTGGCGCATAGCAGTCAGAGGGAGGACACCGGGCTTTTAGAGCGAGCTCTATAGAAAGGACAAGAGAAAGGGAGTCTCGGATATCGTAACACAGCTGGGTTTCGGGGGGGGGGAAGCTACCAGGTTATTTAGGAAGCAGAGTTGTAGAAGCGGGACGGTAGTCGCAGCTGGCGCCGACGAGCAGACTGACAAACACCATGATGTACGCCATCACCTCGTGGGTGACAATGTTGCGTCCCTTGCGCATGTGGGGGTTCATGGCTTCGCCAAGGGCCCACAAAATCAGGGCTGAGTACTCATACACATCCTGTTGCAGGGATTGTTCCGTCCGACAGTGGATGGGAGTTAGTGCGAGTATATGTACATGGTATCGACCCTACGCGACTGCCACAAGACAAACCGAAGCACTCTATCATAGCTGCGACGGCGAATGGCGGCAGAGAATGATCCTTACCTGGTAGAACTTGTAGGTGGTGAAGAAGGCAAAGTAGACAATGACGCCGGCAATGATCCAGCAGATGATGCAATAGAGAACTTCGTAAATGGACTGACCGTCGTAGTCCTTTTTAATCGACCGACTGTAGACTTTGTTCTCTGGAGATGTTTTGGACGCAGGGTCAGCGGCATCGGGGACAGGGGGCTGCTCAGTGGGTTTAGTCTGACCGTGTTTGTCCTTGTCGTCGGCAGCTTCGTTATTTTGAGAGTTATCCTCGACAGCAATGGTGTGCTTTTCCTCGTAGAAGTAGAGATCTTTGAGTTTCTCACGAACCCACTTGGGGGCAATCATCGCGCAGCCAACAATGACGGTGAAGAACGCAATGATGCCGCCGATCGCTTGAGGGAGCCAGAAGTTGAAGCTCGGATTCTTACACACGTAATCGAAGCCGATCGCGACATGTTTGTTCTTTGTGAAGGCCCACACGACGATGACTGCTGCAACCTCGATGATTGACATCACGATGATTTGGAGGTTGGCCCTCCATGCTGGTCGGACCTTGATCAGGGCCCACCACTCGTCGCGTCCACTTCCAACAGAGTACACCTCCGCTTCCTCGATAAAGTGGGCAGCGCAGGGTGCACCCTTTGGGAAGAACCCGGCTCGGACGAGCAGCAGGCGCGAGGTGCTCATGGAAACAAGCGGACCCATTCCGAGAACGGCCGTGAGGACAACAGCAATGACGATCTCGATGAGTGATCTGAAGACACCCTCGTACCACTCGTAAGTCCTCTTGATTGAAAACGGGCCGGCGTCGCCGCTGTGTTCGGCGTGGGCGCTCTTGAGGTTGTTGACGGTATCGAGGACGGCGAGCGAGGTCATGAGATTGGAGAGCGAGTCACGGCTGTACCCGGAGACGACACAGTAGCGATCGAACTTGGCAGCAGCAGCGGCAGACTGGGACTTGGCAGCAGTGGCAAGGTCGAGGGTCTTGAGGGTATGTTTGGCCGCCTTGTAGGCGGTATAGTGACGGAGGAGATCACTGGAAAAGCTGGTGATGTCGCCAGCATGAATGACCTTGTGAAGAACCCGATCTTCAGGAGTCTCTGTCCTCAAAGCGCCCGGTGTGCTGCTGTTTTGGATGCTTGGCAGTTGGGGCGGAGGGAGACTGAGCGTCTCCGGTGGCAGCTGGGGAGACAGATATGCGGACGAAGGGATCGGAGACGCGCTCGGGGTCGGAAGAGCATAAGTGGTCCTATCATCATCTGTCACTAAGCAACGAATGAGTTTTTCCTTGAGGCCCTTGTATGAGTTGGAATCAAGCCCGGCGATCTGATCTCGGCTGAGGGACAGGATGGAGGAGCTCAAGGCCGATATGGCACGCTTGTTGGCTCTCCAAACGAGGTCAGGCTCGGAAGTTGGCTTCTGGGCCGAGCCGTCCCAGTTGCAGAGATCCCTGACCAAGCGCTGGCCCCAGACGTCGATAGGATGCTTTTTTTTGTCAGCCGTCCCCTTGCACTGATCCAGGGCGCGCTCCCAAAGCCCCTCGACCAGATCGATGAGCTCCTGGCGGCTCAGCGACCGAATGCTTTCCTTGTACTTGCAAATCATATACTTGTTCTCGTTATCGGATGTGAGGCCCTTGAGGAACTCCGTGACAGATTTGTCCGAAGCTGGAGCTGATGGGGTGGCGGCTGCGGTGGTGATTATGATTGTGTCTGTGGCTGGGTCCGCAGACAGCGGGGGCTCTTGCCCCTGACGAGCGCTACTGCTTTTCTTCGATTCTTCCGGATTCACTTCTGGGACATATCCGAGCATACCGAAGGTAGCATGGGCCCATCTGCCCATTTGATTTTCGGCGGCTTTCAATTTTTCCGCTGACTCATCTAGAGCAGCCAGCCGTATCAGCAAATAGCAAACGCCACAGCCGGCAGAGACAGCCAGGGACGACAGCAGCAGATTGTAGCAGACGGCACGGTGACCTACCGGACGAGTCTGAAATCGGAGGCGGTTTTTTATGGATGCTGCACAGGATGCCACTCTCGTTCAGCCACCCCAGCACTGTGAGCCTCTCAAATTTGGAGAGGCCGCGATGGAAGATGCCGCAGTCGGCCGAGGGAATGATCTCCTCGACTCCGGGAGCATGGTAACCGAGCAGGCTGATGGCGACCGAGGGTTGGTTCTCGGCGAGGGCACCTCCCTTGATGCCCTTCTGCAGGGCAGCAACGAGGACACCGACGGCGATGAGGGCTCCGTTATCGCCTGTGGTGGACATGAGCGGGGTATGCTAGAGGGGACGCTGGAGGCGAAGGACGAGGGGGGGGGAAAGGAAAGGCAACCGCAGCTGGACGAGAGACACGGCGCCGGCTGGCATTAAATAGCAAGGAAAAGGGAAAAAACGCCGCGGCCAGCTGTCGCACCCCACAGAACATCGAGCGGTACTGTGGGAGGGCGCGCCTCAAAGCCAGGAATGAACACACCGCGCAGGAACTCGAGCCAGGACACGCGTCTTCGTGCGCGCCGCCGCGCGACCAGCACCCCGTGCGCTGTATGACAAATGTACACTGCGCTGCATGTGATTGGACGCGGTCGCGTGGCTTGACACGTCGCGCAGGCGCTCTGCCAATCCCGGCGAGCGAATTCTGGCCAATCGGGTCTTCTGCACCGTGAGGTATGCTGTCATCCCACGTGCGAGGCAAATGCAGAAAGCAGATTGGCTCGTCGCCCAGCAGTGATACCTTGCAGTGATACCTTGCAGCGATACCTTGCAGCGATACCTTGCAGCGATGACTGGTGCGTCGCGAGATGGGAATGGGACACATCGTCATTTGGACAAACACGGCGTTGTCGGATGATATCACACACCTGGTGAGGCTGGTCAAATCATTCCCTGTGTGAAGGTGTCCCGTTTCAAAACAAGTTTGCTTTATTCGCCGTCGCGACCCACGAAGTAGCCGCCATTTTCGCTGTATATTCTGTGCGAGCCTCTCTCGCTCCAGCCTCCGGCTTCGCTCAGGCAGTAAATGCCTGGATGCCGGTGATGGCCCTGCCCAGGATAAGGGCGTGGATGTCGTGGGTGCCCTCGTATGTGTTGACGGCCTCGAGGTTCATGACGTGGCGGATGATGTGGTACTGGAACGCCAGGGACATGTCCCGTCAGACACGGTTGCGGCGACATTGCATTCACTTCGCCCCCGTCCTCCCAGCTATGCCGGCTGCCTACCTCGTCCGAGATACCGTTGCCGCCGAGCATGTCTCTGCACTCGCGGGCAATGTTGAGCGCCTTGCCGCATGAGTTACGCTTGATCAGGGAAATCATCTCAGGGCTGATCTTGCCTTCATCCTTGAGGCGGCCAACCTGCAGACAGCCCTGGAGGCCAAGAGCGACCTGAGGACCAGGTGCGAGCGGACGGCACAATGCGAGACGAGTCGAAAGTGAGGTTGGTGAGCTGCACAGAGATAGAGATCGACGAACGCCGCCGTGTCCCAGCAGCAGTGCTATCCGGCCTACCTCAGCAACACCATCAGCGAGCTTCTTCTGGATCAACTGGAACCGAGCCAGCGGAACACCAAACTGCTTTCTGGAAGTGTTGAGGGAGTATTAGGCCTCTTCGCTGACTCTGTTCTTTGATCGGTCCAGCTATCCATCTCCATCTGCTGCCACCAAAGTACATCCAAGGCTCCTGCAAATGTGACTCACCGGTTGAGAGTGTACTCTCGTGCCTGAGTCAAGCAGGCCTCGGCGGCACCAAGTGCACCCCAGGCGATGCCGAAGCGAGCGTTGTTCAGACAACCAAAGGGTCCCTGCAGAAATGGACAGATGGTTATGAACTGATGATACAGAACCATGTGTCCGAAACTGGCAACGTCCGCTCCCCACAATGTCGCAGTCGATCCGATACCCAAAAATACGGCCCCGCCGACACCAAGGACGAGTCTTGGCAAATATTCTACACACCTTCAGTCCCTCGACGTTGGGCAGCAGGTTCTCGCTGGGCACCTCAACGTCGTCCATCATGATCATGCCGGTGGCCGAGGCACGGAGCGAGAACTTGCCCTTGATGTAGGGAGCAGAGAGACCCTTCATTCCCTGCGCAAGTGGCAAGCAGCAGTTGTGAGTGTTGTTCTACAGTGCCGCGCTGTCGTTCCTGGTTCCGGGGGCCCAATTACCGGGCAGTATCAACCCGCCCTCGATGTATACGCACCCCCTCTCTTCACTTGCAGCGAGTCATGCCGCCAGAAGTTGGCCCAATCCGACAACGGCTTTCGTCGGCGAGCAGGCCTCACCCTCAGGGTCATGCGGAAACACGCACCTTCTCAAGAATGAATCCGCGAATCTTTTGGTCCTCGGTCTTGGCCCAGACGATAAAGACATCGGCGATGGGCGAGTTGGTGATCCAAGTCTTGGATCCGTTGAGGACGTAGACGTTGCCCCTCTTGACAGCGCGGGTTTCCATGCCAGCGGGGTCGCTTCCGTGGTTGGGCTCGGTAAGGCCAAAGGCACCAACGATCTCGCCCTTGGCTGGAAGAGCGCAACACAGAACCGTGCCGCGGGTTGGAGAGGGAGGGAAGGCCGAGCGGGTGAGTCAGGTAGAATTGCCCTACACTCGCGAGAATCATCGACATCGCCAGATGTGCTTGCGGGACGCCTCCAGACGATCATACCGAGACGGGGCAGATACTTCTCTCTCTGTGCCTCTGTGCCGTAAGCATAGATGGGGTACATGACCAGCGAAGACTGGACACTCATGGCAGAGCGGTAGCCGCTATCGACTCTGATTGTGGGAGACGGGAGCGCCGAGGTCGGCGATAGAAGGGACCAGCTGCATCAATACCAACCGGAACACGGCCGACTTGATTTGGGAACCATCCGCGAATCGATCGGCGTGGAGGGAGCCTCCGCATCGTGCCGAGTTGATATCTCTTGCCCTGCTTGAGATCCGCGGATCGTGTGGCAGCTCTTGCCCCAGACGATGACGGAGCTTCCGGGGCACTCGACCTACCTCTCGACTTCGCGGGCAATCAGACCATAGGCCACAGAGGAGACGCCGGGGCAATCATAGCCGTCGATGGTTGCACCGAGCATGCCCATCTCGCCCATCTCGTTCATGATCTCCCGGTCAAAGACTTCGTTGCGGGCGGCGTTGGTGACACGCGGCAGAAGCTTGGTCTGGCAGTATGCGTGGGCAGCATCCCGCACGGCCTTTTCTTCTTCGGTCAAGAGGCTGTTGAGGTTCAGAGGGTCCTCCCAGTTGAAGGACGCAAACTTGGCGGGGCCTTGGAAAGAGGCGATCGCACGAGAGGGAGCATCCGATCAGCGACTGCAAATCGTCATCGCATCGCGGCGCGATAGCTGCACCAACGACGTAGCAAAGCGTAGCCAGGAGCATACCCTACCTTGAGCGAGGCCGCGCAGAGCCAACGAGTCTGACAGTTGAGCGTGCAGAAAACAGAACACGGAGAGGGATGAGTGGAAGGGCGGAAGAGCGATGCACGACAAGGACGAGCGCCGATCTTGGTGCCAGCACGGGCAAGAGCAGACAAGAACAGACAAGAGCAGGCGACAGCGGTGGGCCGGATAGTTACAGCGAGTCCGGAGGAGCGGGGCCGAGGGCCTGGCGAGGACACCGACGGTTCTTGTGAGCATGGTTGCCGACGCGCAGAGGGAGGGGGTGGAAATGTGGGGTATGGGTTCCGCAAGCAGAAGCGCAAGAGACCCGGATTCGGCGCATGAGGGAGGTTTTATTGCCCGGCAGGCCGAAGCGCAGCAGGCGGAACACCGGGGGTCTCATGATGCGGCGCGCGGCCACAACGGGAACAGAGGCCGGGGGAGGACGGGCCAGGAGCCACACGGCGTGATTCCAGCAAGCCGATAGGCCAGAGGGCGTATCACCAGCGGCAACGGCACGGAAGGACGGACGGCGGGCCGGAGAGGGGTGGAAATGTTTGCACGGGGGGGGCGCCGACGATGGACATGTTTCTGCTGCTGCTGGGCCGGTTGGTGCCGTGGCAGCCGGCTCTGCATCACAGCGAACTAATTTTGAAACGGAACACCTTCACACGGACGACTTTTGCCTGGGGGGCAGTGTGGGCAGTGTGGGCAGTGTGGGTTGTGTGGGTTGTGTGGGCAGTGTGAACCAGACGACTTGGATCGGCATCCGAACTTCATGCATCTCCCTCACACAGGGGATGATTTGACCAGGTGCGTGATATCATCCGACTACGCCGTGTTTGTCCAAATGAGACGATGTGTCCCTTTTTTCTTCAACGCGCTGTAGGTCTCGCTGCTGCCGTGCTCGGCGGCGAACACATCGACAGAACACCAGCCGCACTGGCACATGAGGGGTGTCCATGGTGTCCATGAGCGATGCGTGCTCATGAGCAACGCCCACTGCCAATGGAGATGCCCACTGCCAACGATGCCGCCCAGATCCTCCGCACGATGAATCTCCACAACCAGTGCTCATATCCTCGCATCACAACCAAGCACCACAGCCGGGCACCACAATGCCCATGACGAACCGCCTCGGCCAGCAGCCTTGTCGCCGTTGGTTTTGGGGTGTTGTGCAGACAGAGTCGGCGCCGGTCATCTGTCGGGCCCGGAGCCAGCCGCCTTGCCCAGCGGCAGCATGCCGCCCACGTGGACGCGCGGCGATTGGCGCGGCTGTCGCCTGTCTTGGCTGGAATGGCGACTGCTTGGGGCTGGCGCGCTCGCCGATTGGCTGGCCCGCCGCGCTGCGCACGCCCCCCAAAACGGCCTGGTCACGGGGCGAGGCCGCCCGAGGCGCACCGAGACCGCCCCGAGATGCGAAAAACGCAAAGGCGAGACCACACACACACGCGCACGCGTGCCTGCCACACACACACACCGCCCCTCATAAGCCCAGGCAGAATCTCGCAGGCCAGCCGCCGACCCTGCATCTCTTTTTCGCCCGCAGATCCGCACACCCTGGCTTGCTGTCACTCCCATCTCGCAAAAATGGTCTTCGTTCCTCCCTCCTACTCCAACATCGGCAAGGAAACCAACGACCTGCTCGGCAAGGACTTCCCTGCCGGCAACGTCAAGCTCGAGTTCAACTCCACTGCCTCCAACGGCCTGGTAGGTCGTCCCTGTTGACCTTGACTCTCTGTGGGTGGGGACTGCTGACCGGCAGCGGGACGACAAGCCCCTAGCCCCGAAGCTGGACCAGCCAGGGCGTTCCCGGCGATCGAGATTACCTCTGGCAATCTCGCCAGCAACCAGAGCGCCGTGTGGGGTGGCTAGATCACACACGATCATCGGGCAGGGACTTGCTTTCGCGATTCCAAACACCGTCGAATCACTCTGTTGACCGTGTGTGTGCCCCATCTGTCTGTAGAAATTCACCGTCACCGGCTCCAACAACGCCGGCAAGACCGGTGGCATCATTGCCGACATCAAGAGCAAGTTCTCTGACAAGGCTCGCGGTATGCATCCGAGCACACTCCCCTGTCTTTCCTCCCTGCTCTCGTTGGCACTGGACCCACACCCGCCCCTGGCTTGGCTCGGTTTGGCTCGGTGGCGCGCACCGGCCGGTCCGGATCCGCATTCTCTCCCGCCTGACTCCCCCGCTTGGTTTGGTCTGACCGTTCCCGGCCTTTATCCGATCACCATGCACCAGGCTTCACCTTCACCGAGTCGTGGACCACCGCCAACGTCCTCGGTGTCCAGCTCGAGCTCCAGGACAACATTGCCAAGGGCCTCAAGCTCGATGTCAACGCCTCCATCCTCCCCGCCATCGGGTATGTACCAGTCGCAGGCTCATATTCACGTTCACATTCACGTTCACTTGTTGCCGATTGCATTGCGACCGGCGACAGGGATCCCCGCCCATCGCCAGCCATGTCCCTGACTCTCGCAGCTTCCCCAACTCCAGCTCCAAGTCCGTCAAGGCCGGTGCCGAGTACAAGCAGGAGTACATCTTCACTCGCGCCAACATTGATCTCTTCCGCGGCCCCACCATTGCCGGTGATGTCGTTGTCGGGTAAGCCGTCGTTTGGAATCGCTGTGGAAGGATATCTGGGCGACTGGGCATGCGGTTCGTTGGATTGCTGCACAGCTACTTTATGCGTGGTATCGCTTGCAGTCGTGTCCGATGAATGGGCGAGAGTGGCAACACACTTTTTTACGTGACGACATGCTCACGCCCTTGGTCCCTCGCCTGTCTCCAGCAACGACGGCTACATTGTCGGTGGTGACATTGCCTACGATGTCAACGATGCCAAGGTGACCCGCTACAACGGTGCCGTCGGTTACGCCAACAAGGAGTACTCCGTCACCCTCCATGCGTAAGTAGCATCGGTCGTCGACGGTCACAGCGGCGCCTGTGTGTGTCCCTGTCGCATCGAACAACGAGACATGTCCAGTGATCCTAATGCTGCCGGACCTCGTGTGCCCCCCTCCCACAGCACCAACGCCTTCAACACCTTTGCTGCCTCCTACTTCCACCGCCTGAACCCGGAGGTCGAGGCCGGTGCCCGCGCCGTCTGGAACAAGTCCTCGGATGCCAACGTTACCATCGAGCTCGGCTCCAAGTACACCCTTGACAAGGAGGCCTTTGCCAAGGCCAAGATCGACAACCACGGCCGCCTCGGTCTCAGCTACACCCAGAACCTGCGCCCCGGCCTGAAGGTCACCTTTGGCGGTATCTTTGACACCTCCCGCCTCCAGGAGAACGCCCACAAGGTCGGTCTCTCCTTTGTTGTTGATGCTTAAGCCAGCCACCACACTCCTCTCCGTTCACTCTCCTACAAGCCCTGTGCTGCGGATCTTTTGCCCTCGTACCCTCCTGTTCACATGAACGAGTAAATAGATAAAACACATCTGAACTCGCAGCTTGTTGTGTCTGTTCGTGTCCCGTGTGAATTGTGGCAATGTGGGATGCGAAAGGAGGGGAGAGCAGCGTGCGACCTTTGGTTGCGGTGCCGCGGCCAACACCCGTCGAGTTGCAGCCGCAGAGTCGCACCCCTCGGCCATCAGGAAAACGACACGTTGCATCGCGATTCCACGATAAACAGTAGTGCAGTGGTATGCGGGGTGTATGAAACGCAGGGCCAATATGTATGAATCAACTGTATTGAACTGTGGTCTTGTAGATTGATATATATGATGGGGAAGAGGTGAATCAAGATCGGTGATGGGGGGGGGAGAAGTGGAGGATGTACGGGCCTTGGAAGATGGGCGCTGGAAAGCAAGCAACAGATCAGATCCAACAGGCAAGAGTGGATGAGGGGAGAGAGTCGCACGCGCTGGCGTGTCCTCCTTTCAGTGCTCGATGCCAGGAATATCAGACTTGCTCATGGTGGTGATCTCGCTCAGGGCGCGCTCGATGATGTGGATGCCCTTGGACAGATCCTCATCCGAGATGCACAGTGGTGGAGCCTGGGAAGGGCGGCGGGTACGTGTGTTGAATCGTTTCGCCAGAACACAGCAGACGAATGAGCGTTAGCGGAAGCACCGGCAGCGTCGCGGCGGGTGTGATCGGTTTGCTCCAGGTGACAAAAATACACAACGCACAGACATGGCCAAGGAAACCTTACCAGCCGGATGATGTTTTGATGGGTGGGCTTGGCAAGCAGGCCGTAGTGCTTCATGAGCAGGCAGATATCCCAAGCGGTTTTGCCATTGAGCTTGGACTCGTCGATGACGATGGCGTTGAGCAGACCCTTGCCGCGGACTGGATTCGATCGACAATGGCGTCAGCACACACGAGTCGGAGCTTCACAGTGCAGCTGGCTGGCGGGGCTCCGAGACAGGATGCGACAATCACACTTACTGGTGGAGATGTAGGGCGACTTGAGATCCTGCAGACCCTTGCGGAACTTCTGACCCAGGACGTCCGAGCGCTCAGCCAGCTTCTCTTCCTTGATCACCTCGAGAGCGGCGATGGCGACTGCACAGCCAAGTGGGTTGCCACCGTAAGTGCTGCCGTGCTCGCCAGGCCGGATGCACAGCATGATCTCTCGGCTCGACAGGACGGCGCTGACGGGGTAGAAGCCTCCCGAAAGAGCCTTGCCGAGGATCAGGATGTCGGGCTTGACGTCCTCGTGGTCGACAGCCAGCAATCGCCCGGTGCGAGCAAGGCCAGTCTGGATTTCATCGGCAATGAACAGCACATTGTACTGCTTGCACAGCTCATACGCACGCTTCAGGTATCCATCGTCGGGGACAAAGATACTACACGACCGAGATCAGGGAGCAGAGATTAGCATTGTGCGGTACACAGGCGGCGGCCACTCTGGCCGCAAAGCGCCGTCACGAAACGGGTGGGCGAGCAGCCAAGAGACTCAGGATAAACTCTTGTCCAATGACCGACCCCGTACGCAAGGTCGACCCCGGCCCCCGACATGCGGCAGGACTTACCCAGCCTCACCCTGGATGGGCTCAACGAGGAAGGCTGCAATTTGGCTGCCGTGAGCCTTCAGGGCGGCCTCGAGATCGCCGAGGTCGTTGTACTTGAGGACCCTCTTGCTGACCGGACAGACGCATCCGACGTTGGGCAGGAACGGGCCGAAGGTGCTTGTGCAGTCGGGATCAGAGGACATGCTGATGACCGAGATGGTGCGGCCGTGGAAGTTGCCAGTGCAGGAAAGCACGATGGCCTTGTCGGTGGGAATCTTTTTCTGGAGAAGCGAAGCACAGAGGATCAGGGTCAGGGATAGGCCGACGACCATGTCAAAAACCAGACACCAAATGCTGAATGCTGAATGCTGGATGCTGGATGCTGGATGCTGAATGCTGCAGTCAATGTCCCGCTCGAGGGAGGCACACGCAGCTCACCTTCATGTATCCCCACTTGCGAGCCAGCTTGATGGCTGTCTCGACAGCTTCGGCGCCGGTATTCATGGGCAGAACCATTTCAAACCCAAAGTACTGGAGAGAAAGCGAGCGGCATGGCTGTCAGTGTCTGGCTCCAATGTCGGCGTTTGTGGACGCTGCCATTTCGCCGAGAGACCCCGAGAGGACGTCCGTGTGCAAAACCCCTACCTCAGTAACGTATTTGGCATAGACACCGAATTGGTCGTTGTAGAAGGCGCGCGAGCTCAGGGCCAGGCGCTGAGCCTGGTCAGTGAAGGCCTGGAGGATCTTGGGATGGCAGTGGCCTGAGGATCCCGGCGGAGGTGAATTCGGAGGATACCGGCAGGTCAGCATGCCGATCAAGCCCGAGAGACAACCCAGGGCGACGGATGACGCGGCATGAGCCAGTCCGAGCTGCGCCGCCGATTCTTGCACTCTCGGCAGCGGAGACTTGCACTCTCGGCAGCCGAGACTCACCTTGGTTGACGGCCGAATAGGCCGACAGAAAGTCGAGGTATTTGTTGCCTTCGGGGTCCCACACATGCGCACCCTCGCCGCGGCTCAGGACGACTGGCAGAGGGTGGTAGCTGGATTATCAACGAGAGCAGGACGAGGGGGGTCAGCAAAGGGCAGAGTCACTGAGCTGGAGGGGTGGGGCCGCCCACTCGGGACTGGCAGGCTGGCGCATCGAGACGGTGGGAATGGCAGCGATCCGGAGGACCGCCGACACTTACTTGTGGGCGCCGTAGGTGTGCTCCAGGTCTATCAGCTCCTCAGTCGAATAGGAGTGGTTGTTGACGGCCATTGCAGCAAATCAGAATCGAAGGGAAGTGGAAGAAGGGGTTGGTTGGAAGGGCCGGCGAATCGGGGGGGGGCCAGTGGTCGGGCAGAGGGTGGTCGATGACGAAGCAGAGGAGACGGCAGCGGGATGGACGGCAATCGAAGTCGCGAAGGGACAGAGAGACGGATCTCGAGAGGAAAGACCGAGTGCAGAAAAGTGTTTCGGGAATGGTTAATTCCAAAGAAGCACGCAGGATGCTGATTGGGAGAGGAGCAGCGGCGCCGGCCGCTCTTTTATCTCTGCGGAACCGGGCGATGCGGGGAGGGCCGAGTCACCCGGGCCGGGAAATCCCGCATTGCAGCCAAGCGGGGTGCCTGGCGTCTGTGGGGTGGGGCCGTTCGGCGCGGCTGTAACGTCGTCGTCGCCGTCGCGGCTGTTGAGCGGGCTGGAGCGCGAAGGGGCATGCATCGCTGCAGCGCCGTTGGAAACCCTGCGGGCCGGCCTTGTGGTGATGCGGTGGTGCTGGGCGTAGGTTGCTGTTTGCCGGTCGTGGGTTGCTGTTTGCTGATCGCAGACGGCAGGTCGATATCTGCACGCTGTTCATCGCTCGCCGCTGGTGTTGATTGCACTGCCGATCGTCTTTGGCTGCTGACCCGCACACCGTCGCTTGTCGCTGTGGCTCTGCGCAAACAGCCCGTGTGTGCGCAGCGGCGTCACGCGCTGTACGGCACCAGGCACGCTGTCCACTGTGCGGCTGCGCACACTGTGTCGCCGTGTGCGCGCGTCGCCTCTTGCCAGTGGCCGCCCTTGCCAGCGCGCCACGCCCCGGCGGAGTCTGGACCAGCAAGGGCTGCCCCGCCGCCACTCCGCCGCGCAGCAGCACCGCCGCGGTCACGTGTGTTTCCCGCACAAATCCGGCAAGGCGGGTTTGGCCGGCCCGAACCACTGGCCAGTCCCAGCGGGGGCGCGTGCGGGCTCTGCAGGCCTGGTGCGGGATGTATTGGGCCGGGGCGCCAGGAGGATGCGGGAACGCAGGGATGGGGCAAGGCGGGAAGACGGCGTGGGCCCATTGGTCTGCCGCCAAAGCAGGTCGGTGCCGGCGGCAGCGGGATTCGGGATCGTTCCGATCCTAACACACCGCACAGGGCAGTAGCTCACCGTCCATGGCAACCCATGCAACTCGCGGGATGTTCAAATTGCAGCGCGCCCAAAGCGATGGCCCACGAAGACCAGGAACTGTGTCATGGTTTGCCCACCGGACCTCTGATACCAGAGAAAATGGACTCTGTCTCACTGTTTTACTGGAACAACTGCACAGACATGTTCTCGTCCCCTCCTCCGGCACAAGGCTGTCTCTGTCGAGTATCAGTATCAGTACGAGTACGAGTACGAAGCAGCCCATCGATCCAACTGATCCAGTAGAGCACGCAGCAACACCCCGACGGTTCGACACAGCTTTCAACTCCATGGCACTAAGATCACTAAGGCTCGATCGGGTTCTGTTCGCGAGCACCGCCGTGTGCTGGGCATCCAAATGGCACCCCCAGCTCAAGCAGCTTGCCGTACGCTGCCGCAAAATCTCGGAAGAACAGCGCTTGGTCGTCGGCATACATGCGCACGAAGACGGCAAACTGCGGGTCGTGAATCAGCGCCATATCCGTTGGGAGCTGCAGAGATCACGACGGGATGAATGTGAGAACCCCATGTTACTCGTCAACGCATGTTCGTGGACAACAGCAACGACTGCCGTGCTGCTCCTTCTCGAGTCACCCACCATCATGAATCGATCCTCGGGGTCCTGATACTGCTCGAGCCCGTCCCACTGCTTGCGTGTCCACTGGACAGTCGACAGCAGGACAAAGTACTGGTTCGTAAAGCGGGTTGGCTGGGAGGTCCACACTGCGGCCATCAGTTCGTGTTAGTGGCCGAGTGCTCCAACATCATGATGCATGCAGCGCACCCAGAACCTCAACGCCTATGGGCCATACCTCCTGTGTAGCCTGTGCGGCAGGGATGGCATCTGAAATCATCGATACGTTTGCCAGATTAGCTCCGAGTCTCTGTGGTGACACCCGACTTGTTGCAACCTAACCCAGCACAGTCCAGCACAGTCCAGCACAGTCCAGCACAGTCCAGCGCCACACGGCTTTGCGAGTTGCAGAGCTGACCTTCCAAGTGTATGCGCTCCCGACAGGGCAACGATCTCGCGGTCGCTGAAGCCCATACGGTAAAAGACCTGGCGCAGGTGCTCGCTCCCTTGTGCAGCGTCAGGGAGCAGGCCCGGCTTGGGGACATCGATTTCCTGAACTTGAGAGGCATCCACGTCACGGCGTCCTGGAAAGAGATCCGTCAGCCAGAGGCGTCCTCATGCACATGCACTTCCCTGCACCCTGGCGCGGTGCCATGAAGCACCCATCCCCGCTTTCCCAATATTGCATGCCGCACACACATACCTGGACGCCAAGGCACCTCCGGACCACCCATGGCTCGGATTGCGACAACCCCGGCCAGCGTCCACAAATCGGCATAGCTGATCCAGGGGTGCTTATCCTTCACAGGCTCAAGGTACTCTCTGCAAGCCAATCGAGAAACGGCGATCAGCATCAGTACGCCCAAGCACGAGTGGTCGCCTCCCCCTCCCTGCGAGGTTCATCGTGGCAGTCCGACGCCCTTACCTGGCCCAGTCCAGGCCCTGGACGTCGTCATCCGAAACGGAATTGGTGCTTTAGCAAGTCGGTAAGGGCCACTGCCCTCTTCGCCAAATGCCCTCGTCGCCAAATGCCAGCGGCAAGCTTGCGTGCCAGACAGGTACTCACATTGTTTGCTTCGTCGGTGGACTCGGGCTCAAACCGCATGGTGGCGCCATTACTGCCGCCCCGGCCGGTCTTGCGGTCGTATGTGCCAGAGGCATGCCATGCGAGACGCACCAGCAGCGGGCCCAGCGAGCCGTCGTCCCAGTCGGCCGGAATGATGTCAGCAATTGACTGTCGCACTGGCTCGTAGCGATCCATGGACACGGAGTTTGGCAGAGGAGCTGGTTGGTAGATGAGAGGGGATGGGCAGCAGGGACGAGGTGCTTGGTGGCAAAAATTGCTCGCCCGTGCTTTTATGCTGCCGATTTGTCCGAACCAGCCGCAGGCGTTCCCACCCGTCGCCAATCGCCCATGCAGCGAGCTCGACCGAATCGTGGGGGTCTCATGAGCCGTCCGAGCGACTGCCCACGTGCACACGGCCCTGCGAGAAGCGACCGAGACGCGACCGAGAGGCCTGCGAGATGCAACCGAGAGCCGCCATGTGACCGCTGCGCACTTTCCTTTCCCGGCGAAAATGAGTTCCGCCGCCAACCTGCTTTCGCATTCACTCGCGATCGGCGGCCTATTCCCAACGACGACCATTCAGCTCCCCCCCCTTCCAGCCAGCCAGAGCCAAGAGTCAGCGCAATCCATCGTCACGAGTCTCTACACAGCAACAACCCCCACCATGGCATCCGAAAGCGCGGCAGACGCACCACGGACGATCCAGCACGGATCCCACATGGATCTCGTCATGGAGCGATACGGATTCAACCCGAACCACTTTCTGCAAGAAGTCACCGACTCTGTGAACGAGGCCGTCGCCGACAGCATCCAGGTCCTGGAGATGTCGATACGGGGCGGCTTGGGCGAGGACGTGGTCTCCACGACCGAGTTTGAAGACGTATGTGGCTCTCGATCGTTTCGCTTGCGTTGTCTCCACGTCCGGGCATCGCTGCATAGTTTGTGGCGGCGCTCCTCTATCAAAGTTCTGACGGACATGCCGCCATTGCCATCGGCTACAACTCCTGGCCCTGTTTCTAGGGCCTGCAATCCCTCGAAACCAGCCTGTTCCAGGCCACCGATATCGCCACGGACATGTTTGAGACCTTTATCCCGGGCGTCCTCTTTGCCGTTCCGCCGGATCTACCGAGCGTCGCCCTCCCCGAGCTCGAAGGAATGGATTTCACTGCATCGGAAAACGAGCTGGACGAAGAGATCAGTGCGCTCGAGAAGACCCTGACCAACGTGAGTTGTCTGTACCCAGCTCGGAGGGGAGGGAGCCCGCACTTTCATCTGGTGACTTGGGCCTTCTCAAATCGGCGCCGACTTGATCGCGGACGGATCGCTCTGGCCCGTATGAATCTTACAGCCTCGACGAGTGCCCTATCAATATGGGCGGAGAAGTATCGATGCCTTCCACAGTATCTGTGCCTTCCGACACACCGATCATTGCTAACCTGCCGCTGCGTCCCATCCCATCCTGTCCCATCTCATCCAACCCTATCTCAGAACATTGTCTATCTTCAGTTTCTGCGCGATCATAAAAAGGAGGTATCCGAGGACATTCGTCGGGTCAACCAGGTCCATGCAATCTGCACATCGGTTGCCGATAAGACCAGCCGGCATCCCATGTGGCCGACCTCGCAGTCCTTCAACGAGCTGGCCGCCCTTGTGCGAGAGGCTGTGGACCTGAAAGACTATGTCGAGCTTCGCCAGCGCAACCCAGCCATCAGTCGCAAGATCCGGGAGATGGCTTCCGACAACAAGGTCATTCAGGACAATGTCATGCAGTATCTCAAGCTGAAGCAGGAGCAGGCGGCACAAGCTCCGAATGAGGGCCTCGCCAGCATCAACAAGCCGACCGATCCTCGCATCCTCGCCACCATTGACACGGACTCTTATGGAGTGGAGCAAATTCTGGGCTCGATTGCTTCATAGATCCCTCCCTCTCCCCGAGTTTTTCTGTCATCGCTGTCCCTATCTACCCACTCCACTCTGCCCTTTGTTCTTACTATCACAAGAGCATCTAATCTTTCGAGACGGCCGGCTCTCCATCAACATGCTGTGTATGTGTGTTGCGTTTTTTTGGCATTTGCACGGCGTCTCTTTGGAATCTGCGACGCCCTGCATCCTTGTATCCTGGGCAGGCGAATACACCTCATGGCCATCGCCGAGTCCTCTGTCAGTGTGCGGTCTGTCTGGCGCTGGTGGCAATCGCGGGAGAGAGAATCTCCTCGAGGCCGCAGGTCGAGTCGCTGGTGCCGTCATGGGCTCGCTTGATACCGGCCCGGCCAACATGGAGACTCGTGCGCCGCATGCTCTCCTTGGCAAATGGCCCAGCCCGTGCCCTGTCTGCGGCCAGGCTCCGAGTCCATCTCGCCCTCTCAGACTCGCATCCCATGTCCTCGCCGCCGGGCAAACGACTCGGCCCTGCACCCAGACGATCCAGCGTCATGAAGTCCCTGGAGATGCTCAAGCACTTCTTCTCCCCGGCTTCCAAGCCCGAGGAGCTAGATCAGAAGGCATGTCCCCCCCCCTCTCCCCTCCTTGGTCGCTGCGTTTGGGCCGGCCCAGCATCGCCAGCCACACCGTTGCTGCACTCGCCAGTGATATGTCCAAGTCTGAGCCGAAAGGCTTTGGCCTGAAGCTGGGCAGCGACTCCCTCCGGCCAACGCTCGCATAGCTCCAGCAATTCCCCTCCCCTCGCGCAAACGACACCAGCGCCGCTGACCTCGATCCAATCTTGATCCGTCGAACTGCTAGATAGCCGAGGTCCACTCACTGGTTCTCAACCAAAGCACCCTGAATAACGATGTGACTCGCGAACTTTTGACGACGATGGACGTTCCTTCAAGCGCTGTGTTCCTCAACGAGTGGAATGAGGCTCTGGATGGCATTCTGATGGACCTCGATCCCTCCATCTCGCTCCTTGGCTTTGAGAATGCTGGGAATACGTAAGGCCACGAGAAGCAGACGGGCCATTGTAGTGCTGGCCAGTTATCTCCATCTTGCCCGGTCGGACTGGTGCCGACATTTCGATGCCCTGACCGATTCATGCTCTCTCTCTCTCTCTCCAGATGCTACCTCGATAGTCTGCTCTTCTCGATGTTTGGAGGCACGACCGTCTTCGACCCGCTGGTGACCAGTTTCGCGGAGGTCAAGGACAGCGAGTCCGCCGCCCTTGCGAATCTCCGGACGAGGTAAGGCTGTTCGGTTCGGTGCGGCGGCTCTGTATGCCGTCGGGCGACGGCCAATGCAATCGAGTTGCGGTCGTGGTGTGTCAATGCCGCTGTTGATGCATCCCATGCTCACTCCAACCCCTTGCCTCATGTCCACCCCTGGCCATCCAGCCTCCGCATGGTGATCAACCGGCTGGTACGTATCGCCTGAAACATACCCCGGGGCATGACCTCCACGGACACCTGGAGCATATCCGCATTCTAAAGCTCGTCCAATCTTCCCCTCCCCACACAAACCTCCACAACTCTATAGCGCGCCGGCAAGCTCGTCAAGGTCCCATATGTTCACCGACTCATGAACTGCCTCATCGCCGCCGGATGGTTTGGCGACGCCGCCAAAAAGGTGCAGAAGCGAGACGCTTTCGGTCAGAGTGGGAAAACTGCACGATGGCTCTTGCTTGGATATTTGTCTCTCGAACTGATCCTGGGCGAGCATGCCCTTCCGCCGCCGCGCACTTATTTCCCCAAACCCGACCACCTCTCTAGAAGTACAACCAGGAAGATGTCTCGGAGCTGTATCTGTTTCTGATGGACAAACTCGGCGCACCATACCTGCCCTTTCAACAGGCGTTCTTCCATGGCGCCATGGATGACCAGGACGATCTGCGAATCGTTACTTCGCGGCTCTTGGAACTGGCCATGCCTGAGCCGCTCAAGGAATCGGATTCGAGCAAGCCCTACAGCGACGCTGTACATCTCGAGGATCTGCTCGTCGACTACTTTTTCAGCTGTGAGTCTGCTGCTATGCGTCACTGGGTGCCGCTCATTGCTGGCGATGGTGGCTTATTGATGCCATCTAATGCGCTGCAAGCAGCGAGTCTGGGCGTCGAGCAAGCCCATGGTATTGGCTATCTGTGCTTGTGTCTGCGGCAAGCGCTCGAGTTACTGTCACTCACCGTGCGGTGCTTGGTGGCTCCACATCACCTCTGTTGCCATCTTTGTCATCAACGAACCCGCTCTCAGCCCAAGTGAACGTCCACCGCCACCCGGAAGTGCTCGGGGACTCGGATGAGAAAACCCGAACGGTGGACGCCTGGCGAGCCTGGCGCATGTTGCCCTTCTTTTCGTCCCAAAACGAAATTGGCGAGAGCGTCACCGTCAAAGAATACGAGTTTCATCACCGAATGATGCTGCCAATGGTCCTGAAGGTACTTGCTTGCAGCAGGGTTTGTGGTCGTATACCTGCGCTCTATGCGCACATTTGGAATCCCAAGTCCCAAGAATGCATACTCCAGGCTGGCCTGCTGCATTTTTATAGCTGAGCCGCTGACCATACCGACGCTTCCTCTGCGCCAGCGCTACGTGAATACCGAGACGTCGGTGCACAGAATCGATCGCCAAGTGTTGATACCGACCCAAATTCCGTTCGGCAACTTTATCCTGCCACCCGAAAGCAACTCAGACCGTCTGTTTGAGCGCATCTCGTCCTACCAGCTTTCGCTTCGGTCTATCATCTCTCATATCGGCACAAGCACTCGCAGTGGCCACTATATGTGCCATACACACCGGCACGAGGCCACTCAGGCTGAGCCGCCCTCGTCTGAGCCTCGACCAGCTGATGTGTGGTACCAGTTCGATGATCTGCGCCGAGTGCCTGATGCCAAGAGCAACACAGCCTCGCCTCCTGAGATGGCGTTTGAGCGCACCGTCAAGCTCGAGACCGTCGAGGCTGTCACCCAGATGCTGGAGCTGACCAGCGGCACGGCGTACTTTTTACTCTATGAGCTGACCCAGGGCGACATCAACGACCAGAAGCTCGAGTCCGACGAAGTGGCCGAATGGAGCGACTCTCAGATGGCGCTGCATCTGCAGGGCATGGAATACAAAAAGACGAGCAAAAAGAAGAGGGCGTGCGTCGTTATGTAACACCATCGACGGGCCTGCTGCATGACGAATGGCTGGGCCAATCTCGGTCGCATCTTTGCACTTTGATGGCCCCTGTTTCCGCCTTGCTGAGGGTTCTTTGAAATACAGCTGCCCGAATGTATACCGTGGTTTGGAGTGATGGGGTCCACTACTGTGATGGAGCTCACTACTGTGATGGATCAGAGTGGTCTGAGACGCATGCTCGGCATCAAAACTGCCAACACGAGCTTTCAGTGGATCGGACTTTACTCCTTATGAATCAAAGGTAGTATACATGGCATCTTCTGCGTCTCATTCCTGGACCATTGGTGTCCAGCCCGCACGCGCCCGCACCCTGGCATCTACTTGGAGTTCTCGCCCTTACCAGCACCACGGTCGCCACGGCCTCCGCCTCGGTTTCCGCGGCCTCCACCTCCACCTCCACGGCCAAACTTGCCGCCTCGATCACCGCCTCGACCCCGACCGCGACCACCACCACCACCACCACCGCCTCGACCACCGCCGCGACCACCACGCTGCGATCCGCCGCGACGGGAGCCGCCGCGAGAGTCCCTTCCGCCACGGCGGCCCGATCCGCCCTTGTCCTTCTCCTTGAATCCTCCAGCGGCTCCAAAGGCACATTCATCGTCGTCGTCGTCCAGGTCGACGCCACGGGCGTTGCAGGGATACAGGAGCTCGAGCGATTTGAGGAAGAGCGGCAAACGCCACAGTTCCTTGAGGCGCACGCTCATGAGATCAAAGGCGACGCCGACAGTCTTGGTGGGGTCCTCGTAGACTGGAAGCTGAGGGTATCGCTGCGAAAAATGCGTCAGCAGCACCGTTCGGGCGCGCATCCGCTGCGCGACAATGATGGCCTCGCCCGTGGTGCAGTGGCGCTTGTCCTTGGCCTCATGCAGAAGATCGTTCTCGAATGTCGCTTCATGGATCAGCAGATCGGCATCGGCTCCAGCCTTCATGAGCTCGAGGTTGGGGCGGCAGTCTCCAGAATATCTAGAGGCAGACCGCACTCATTAGCGCCAGCACACAAAACCCTTGGGATCGACACTGCGGTGGTGATGTGTCGAACCAGTGCGCTCCACAGAATCCGCAGAGGCGACAAACTAGAGGGGCCGCCCCGTTAAGCGCGAAAGACAGACCAGGAACAGCAGATGAGGTGGGCACAGCAAGCCCAGCGGGCGCCAGGCAATGTAGGCATGCCGCCACTTACACGATCTTCCAGCCATCCATACTCTCCATGATGAGCGCGTAGGCGTAGTGACAGTGCTCGACTTTGATTGTGGAGAGATCCTTGAAATTTAAGTTGCTTTTGACACTGGGCCGAGGCAATGCACATGGGTCGTGAGCATCGAAGCTACCGATAGCCTGCCGCAGCGACCGTGTCTGGCTCGGATCCACCGCCTGTGTTCCACGATGGGCGATGATCGGGGCAAAGCTCTATCGGCCTGGGCTCATCCTGGCCGAATGGCGTTGGGTCTTCACTTACATGGCTGTCTTGGTCGCTGAAGCAGCCTCCGGCTCGTTGAGCAGACAGGAGTCGCACGGAATGAAGCAGATTGTAGATGGATCCATGCCAATGTCTTCGCATCCGTTGTACTCGTCGAGCCACATCCGATACTGAGGCGGGCCGATGATCGTGAGCGGCTGGAGCGGTGTGCCACGAGATTCAAACAACTGGGTTTGGAGCGACAGTATGTTGGCAGGAACAGGTAGGGATAGAGACAGTCAGATATAATAAACACTCGGCATTAACGGATGCAGAAGTGCACTGGTGGTGTACTGGAGGAATAGGGCACTCGCAGCAAGGTAAAGCCCACCTCCTTTCGCTTCCTTAGGATATGAATGGCGCCAAGGTGATGATCGGCATGCATATGCGAAATAAAGACGAGCTTGAGATTGACCAGGAGCTCGTCCAGCTGAGGGCCATTGTTGTCGGGCGACTGGAACCGTCGATAGAGCTGACCATAGGTTCCTTCGCCTGCATCGAGCAGGATGGCTCCGTATCCGGGAATCCAGATCAAGGTCGAGCTCACTGGATTGTCGCCACGTGAGTTGGCCAAGAATCGGCGATTGATCGCGGCGTTTGCCGCGTGAGAAACGAAAGGGTAAGCGATCGAAACCAAGAGCACAAGAGCCGCAGGAGAATAGGCGTGCCAATCGAGTGCATCTCACCGTTGCGGTATCGTGAGGGAAGCGCGGCCCCGGTTCCAAGTGTGGTGACTTGGACATCAGCACCCCCGTGTTTTTGGGAAGCTGGGCTCTCGTTTGCATCGGCAGCTTCGAGAATGGCAGCGCGAACCCTCTCTGCTTCCTGGCGATAGGCCGATAGTTTCTTCCAGCCAAGGGTGACTCGGCCCTCGGGGTCGTTTGGGTCCAAGACGGCCCGTTGTTCGTTAGCGTTCAGTTTGGGTTGGGGCTCCAAATCGTAGATAAGCATGTGTGCTCCCACGATGGTTTTCTCGGGAACGTCTGTCAGTCACGGGGATGCGAATGTCGCGACCGCAGTTAGACGAGCCTGCTCGATCAGCCTGTGATCAGCAAGGAGCGGCAACCGAGACTCACCCGAATCCAGGGGCGCAGGCACATTGGTGTAAAAAGGCAGGGTGAATATGCTGGGATCCAGCACGTTCAGGCGGTACTGGCTCAGGGCACTGCCTTGGAACACGATCGGCTTGGCACAATACTGTGGGCTTATGACGATGTGCTGCTCCGGGGGAAGAGCGAGGAATGAGATTGGGGGTGTGAGGTGGCGCAGGAAACAGCCCTCTGCATTCAAAGCATGGGGCGATTGAGCGGCCTGGAAGGGGTGGGTCTGTATGGCCAGACACGCAGATCGGCAAATCGACAGGGCAGGTGCTCGTACCTGAGTGTGTTGGCCGAACCGCTTCATCCATTCTTTGTAGCTGGCATTGAGAGCGTTTGGACCAAGCATGTGCACGATAACTCTGACGTAGTTCCTGGAAACGCCATCGTAGTGCGGAGCGAAGGCTTCGTTGTGGATCAGGGGCTGAACATACTCGGTCGAGGGACAGTCCACAATGATGAAGATCTGGATGGCGCATGAGGCCACCGTCGAATGCGGTGTGACGAAAGATGTGTCAGTTACTCTAGCAGCCGTTCACCGATTGTCGGGTCGGTATTGCATTTTTCAGGATGACCATGGCCTTGAGATACATGACTGCATCTTCCAGCTCCCCCTGACGAGACAAAATAGTGACGTACCGATCCAGGTTGCTCGGGCCCCATGACTTGGTGCGGCGCGATCTTTCGGCCGTCGGAGAGAGTCAGCGTCTCGCCATTGTACAGCATGCCATACTCTTTGCCGGGCTTGGCGCCCAGAGCCTGGGCTTTTTCGGGCGAGAATTTTCCTTTGACGGAGGGGCCCTGGCAAATGTACGTCAGGACGCCAAGGTCCGGCTTGGTAGGAGGAATGGGGACGACTCGATCGGCGTTTCGTCGGCCGGCAAGGACGTTTATCTCGGATGCGAGATGTGCGGGCTTTTGTGATGCCGACTTATCGATCTGCAGACCACCGACGCCGCTCGATCCCAGAGCCGCGCCCTTTGAGGAGTCTTTTCCTTCTTCGCGATTGACAGGAATCGAGAGCGACTCTCCGTTCAAGAACATGCGCGAGATGATGTACCGTTTGTGGGCAAGGGCTTCTTCAGGAGTCAGGCTCTGCACATCCTCTTCGGAGTCGAGCGTGGCGGCTTTGCGCTTTCCAGCCACAACGTTAATGGGGGTCAGATTGGGGTTGTCGGAATCGCTCTTGACCTTGAACGATACAAAGTTGGGATTGAGATCCGGGGGTGGGTACGACGGTGTCTTGGAATCAACCTGAGGGGCGACCACCCCATCCACGGCCCGCTTGGCTCGCTTCACAGGCACGTTAACATCCGCTTCGAGTACGTGCTCGTGGTGGACGGGATAGATGGCGACTCTCTGGATGTCCAAGTTCTCGTCCTTGAAGTTGGGCGAGTAGTCGTCCATCTCGTTGGTGCTGACGGCCGAGTCCATTCTACCAGATGCGCCGTTGAAGGAAAGTGTCAGTCACGGACGATGAGCACCATTTACACAAGCACCAAACAAGGGTGCCGGATGAGAGAAAGGCGGCGTGGGCATCCATTCAAGTACAGATACTCGAGTCGGTGCGTCTGTCGATCTAGGCTTTCACAGGCAAGCGGCGGAGAGACGATTGGACCATAGAACTTTGAATAGACCCGGCGCGACGCCGACAGCCGTTTCACATGCACACTACCGGCGTTACCTGAAAACAAAATGACGGGTCGAAGCCAAAAAGTGGGTCAAGTTCTTCCCGCCATGCAAAGTGATGCGCCGGTTTCCTGCATCGGCCAGACTGAGCAGCATTCCTGGATTTGGCGACGACATGCGAATGACGGACTATCCGTTAGCTCGTGCGCTGGTCATCAAAGTACTGCGAGCATTGTGAGCACTGCGATATGGCCGTCTGCTTGGACGGCATCGATGCCGCATTGCTGGTCAGGCGAGGCAGAGGAGTCGATACGGGATCGCGGATCCAAGCTCGAGTTACAAGGGGCGGAGGCCATCGGCCAATGCAGCGCCGACAGTGTACGAGAATGCAGTACCCGGAATGCCGCCGCACGAGCTCCAGCGGATCTTGGTTAGAAAGATGTGCTGCAGCTTCGAGAGCCGGACCTTGTTCTCAATGCAGAAGCGCTGGGTGCCCTCGCCGACATTGAATAGGTACTTTTGGGTATCGAAGCAGGCGAGCACCGAGGGTGTCGAGTCCCCGGTCTCGGTTCCCAGGATCTGGATGAACGACTTCATATCTCGCGGCAGATATCGGCGATCTGGATCGTGGTGCTGGCCGGTGGCCGCTTGGGTGCTGGTGCTGGCCGACGAGCGGGCGGGCAACAAAAAATGTTCAGGGGCAGCTATGAATTAACTATTAATATGCCCGCTTTTGTGCCCGGTTCGCCGCCATGGCCTCGAGCCGGCAGGCAGCCTGGGAACCGACGCAGTCCATTCCAGCAGCAGCCATCCCGCAGAGGTACGAGAGCAGCAGAGACATATGCATATGCAGAGGCAGAGACGGAGGCGGGGGCAGAGGCAGAGGCAGAGGCAGGGACGGAGCCAGGAGCAGACGCCCACGGCGGTATATCGGATGCCAGCCGGCTTGCGCTGCGGGCGACACGAGGATGGGTGGCGACAGCATTTCGACCCGAATCGAGAGCTCACCCCCGCTTGACCTCCTGCCGGATGCAGCACCCACCGACCGAACCGAGCTCATCCTGGACCGTGCCGGCAGTCTCCAATGGCTTTTGTTCTTCTCGAGCGATGGAAAATCCATGTACGCATCTCTGGCTGCTCCGGCGGTGCTCGTGCTCGGCGTTGCATACGCTTTGTCTGAACTTGCCCCCCCCCCGAATGGCTGTTGTCTGGCTCGTTGATTTCCGGACCGAGCCACGAACCGGGCGCACGACGAGGACATGCGCTGACAGTGGCGTAACTTGGCCGGCAACACCAGGAAAAGATTGGATCAGGTTCCTTCGGAGAAGTCTTTTCAGCGGAGGATCTCGAGACCGGTGCCGATGTGGCCGTCAAGCGCGAGCTCATCAATCCAAAGCACACGGCATACATCTTCAACGAATGTAGCTATCGAACGGCACCATCGACGCTCGCATAGGGCAGGCTCGGTCACTCTGAACTGGTGCTATTCAACGGTCAAGCACCAACCACTTACGCTTTTCGCTCGTTTCACTCGTCCCAATCGCCAACCACACTCAACCCGTCCCTGGCTTTCGCTACATCCACCCGACTCGCGGATGGTGCTTTCCTCCCGGGGCACTAGATGAGTGCTACAAGACTCTTGGAGATGCCGACGGCTTCCCGAAGGTCCTTTACTGCGGATCGATCGACCAGTACAATGTCATTGTCATGACGATGCTCGGTCCCGACTTGCGGTTTCTGCTGAAGCGGTCGCGCTCAGGGACGCTGCCTATCAAGACTGTGTTCTACTGCATTCCAAGGATGATTCAGCGGTTACAGTATATCCACTCCCAGGGGATCGTCTTTCGAGACGTGGTGAGTTGCGGTGCGGGTGGGGTATATGCGAGGATGTGGCTGGGGTATATGCGAGGATGTGGCTGGGGTATCTGTGTCGATGCAGATAGTGCATATATCGACACAGCCCGAACGGCTCCGTAGCAACATCAACACGGCCGCATGCTCGGTGCTGATGCGTAGCTAGGTGGACTCGGTGTCGAGACAATTGAATATCTCGGTAGCTAGCAGTGGCTCTCGGGTGATGGAGAGCGTCGAGCTGATCGTACTGGCACTTGCTGGCAGCTGACGAATCGGATGAAACAGACGCAACCACACCGAGCAGCGCGATGCAGGCGGCGGGCGACTGATGCCTATTTCTTGCCATATTTTCTCGCAACAGAAACCAGACCAGTTCTGCATCGGACGCTCCGGCGAAAACGGCCACATTGGACCAATCATCTACATGATTGACTTTGGTCTTGCAACCCGCTACATGCATGACGGGCGACACATCCCCGAGCGGAAGCATGCCAAAAATCGGCCAAAGACAGGAACGGCCCGATATGCGTCTGTTAATGTGCATCTTGGATACGACCATACGCGCCGCGATGATCTGGAAAGCCTGGCCTATGTGGCCGTCGAGCTCGCCAAAGGGTATGCCTCCTCATGGCGAACCATAATGACCTCGGTTCCTGATGATGCTATCGCCGCTCGTTCCGGAGCCACGGACATTGTGGTTTCTCTGGAAAGCGCCAGTCACTGACGCCTGGTCTTTCTCGCGCGCAGATCGCTGCCATGGGCTGGAATCAATGCGCTGAGCTCGGTGCAAGGATGGAGAAAGGTCGGCAACATCAAGAACGAGGTCCTGATTGCGGATCTCTGCCAGGACCTCCCGGATGCCTTCTCCCAATTCCTAGAATACGCTAGAAACCTGGGGTTCGACGAGGAGCCCGACTACGGCCGCTTGATGCGGCTATTCACGGACTTTTACGACTCCAACTGGAAAGACGATGTCCTGTTCTGGGAATAGTCTGCGCACCGGCCGTTTTCATCGGACCGGGTCACTTCAGCGCCCACCCCCATGCCTCTCGCCATTCATGTGCTTGAGGCGCTCTGTCCTATATCTGATTGCCGCCCATGTCGCAAAGCCTCGTCATTTGTGTTTCCACCACCGCTACCACCACTACCACTCCACTACCACTACCACTCCACTACCACTACCACCCCACTACCAATCCACTTCCACTCCACTGTCATCATCATCATCGCTATCGCGTTTGCTACATCTCATGTGGCCACGCAATGCCTGTCGTTGCAATCCTCTCCCCCATCTTCCTATCACTCATGTTTGTCCAACGCACCATGTACAGTATTGTCGGCATAGATCACAGCGTCCAAATAAAATGAAGTAGTAATGTCTATTTTGAATTCCCCACAACTCCGGCAGCTGCATATCGCTCTACCGTGATACTGAGTCAATCTGCAGGATGTACAACAAGCCTCCATCTCTGGCGGAGCTGGGTCGGATTCGGGAAGGAAAGTACCGCAGCGGCCAGAAATGCAGACTCCTCGTCTTCGCCAAGACCCGCATAGCTGAATAGCTCCATATACACCACCAAGAGCACAAGCAGCATGATTCGCGAGCAATCGGTACCATCACCATCCGGTGCTTGCTGGAGACTATCGGCCCTCCAAGGGCCAATAGCTCCAATCAAGCATGAGTCCAGTAGATCGCAGGTCATCAAAACTTTCCGAGAGGTCCGTAATGAACTCCTCTGGTTCGGCTGGAACCCACCTTGCCTCTTTATCCGCCATCCTGCTCCGGCACACGCCTTAACAGGACCCAAGAGCCAACCGATCCCAGCACCCCACTGATTCCAGCTGGACAGGCGACCTTGGACAGCTGCGATGAGATGCTTCATCATTCTCGCGGGCTTTGTTGCCTTCATTACTCTTTTCGCCGTTGGGACCAATGCCCATCCTGTATCGTGCAACACGAGCCTCGCAGCACCCGGCAGCGCAGCGTGTCCGTTTGCAGACGGAGCGGCGGGCATGCGTCTCGCTAAGCGCGACAGCTTCATTGGTATCAGCATCAACACCGGAGTCTATGCAAACACTGTTGCTCAGGTTCGTACTCCCTCATGCTGGCGAGCTTTGCCATCCAAGCCATGGTCGTGTCCGCTCATTTTGGTGTCGACCCTGGTCTCGCTGCGTCGCGTCTGCAAGTAGTCGGGTTTTCCCACGCGCCGGGGTGCCTGCTGACAACGACCGCCGCTGGCGCACCAGTCTGCGGAAAATTTTTGCTTCCTGATCTCAGGATACCACACCATCACCGATTACATGAACGCCTTGAACTCTGGCAACATGGCAAACGTTATCCAGCTTCTCCTGGTATGGACTGCAGCGGAATAAATGTGGCGTGGAGCCAAGTCGGCCGGGGCGGCTGGGGCGGGAAGCGCTGACACCGCGGCCACTGTAAATCGACTTGTGATCTCCGAGGGCATTCCACGCGCCTGCATGGTTGAGCCGCAGTAACGTGGACAAAGTTGCGATTCGTGCAGGAAACCTAACTATCGCGTTATGGATTGCGCTCCGTTGCGATACCAGGGTCCCGCTATTTTTATCGGAATATGCCTGATCTTGCTGATCCTCACGGTTGTTTTGACGAGTTGCGTCGGATGTTGCCGGTGCTGCAACAAATGCGGTGGTCGCGCTCCACGGTAGGTAATCGGGGGGGGGCTGCCCATGATTTTGCACAGTGTATGAGGGCAAAGCTGATTTCAAGTTTGTGATCCAACCGAAAAATAGACGTGGTGGATATCCGTCCAAGAAAATCACCATGTACAACGTATCCGTGAGTGCCGGAGCTGTCCTCATCTTGTAAGTGTCGAGGGATTGTCGACGAGTCTACTCATGGGGAACCTCACTGAGCCACCCACATGATCCAGGGGCAAATGGCCCGTGTGCTGGTTGCCCTTCATGCAGACAACCTAATGCGAGAGCTAATTCCGATGCTATTGCCATGGAAATATACTGGCACATTTCAGGGGACTGTCATTCACTCTCTGGGTGAGCAACACCACGATCGGTCCGGCCTACGGAGACTTTGGGTCCGGCTTTGATGGCCTGCTTGGGGCAGTTACCAACCTCATATCGAGCTTGAACACCCAGCTGCAAGCCGTTGGCCCTGGAATCACCGCGGCGCTTGTGGCGCTCCCGGCCAAAATCCAAACCGTCACCTTGGCCAGTGCAACATACTACAACAATCAACTCTGCACTCCGGCGGTTACGTTGGCGCAAACCAGTGCTAGCAACTATGCGAGTGCAGTCTCGCAGATGCTGAGCCAAGCGACGAGCGTGAGAGCCCTTGCAACGCAGAACAGCGACACAAACACTGTAAATAGCATGAATCAGCTGTTGCAAAACATCCAGGCCATCAACAGCACCAAGGTAACCGTGTGGGGCACAGACGCGGCCAATTTACTCAACCAGCTGCCCTCCACCATGTCCAATGGCGTTGTGAGTGCCTCGTCCAGCGTTGGATCCTCGGTATCGATCGACACCAGCTCCGTCAATCTCAACAGTCTCACCAGCATGGTCTCGTACCGGGTCCAGCCGTCGATGAACCAATACCAATCCTACTGGCAGTATCGAGACTACGTCACCAAGGCCGAAATCCTGATCGTTGTGGCGCCGATGTTTATGAGTCTGATCGCCCTTGTGCTCAAACAACGCAAGATACTCGCTCCGTGGGTATTGCCAATCGCTATCGGGGATAGATTTGTCAAGAAGAGAGATAGGGGCGTTGGGTGAGAAACCGCAAAGCGTGCAGTCTCGCTGCCTTCTGTAGCTAACCCACCTACCCATTCACTTGCGCACCAGTATTCCGTTCATTTGTGCTTTCTTTGCAGCGCTCTACTGGCTTCAGGCCATTATCTACTTTGTTTTGGGATTCCCGCTCACGGAAGCCTGCCGCGATGTCATGTCGAACTACATCGGCACGACACAGCTGTTTACGTTTTCGGGGCACACTATCCATGTCCTTGGCTCGCAGATTCTTTCGAATTGCCAGGCTGGCCAGTCGCTCGTCAACATGACTCTGGGAATCAGCGCCAGCGACTCGCTCGGCGGCATAGTCGGCAATACTGCTCTAGTGAGCGGAAACGCCCAGGCGATCGCCAGCTATGTCGGGGGTCTTTCGGCTGTCGCCAGCGTCACGACTTCGGTCAACTCGTCCCTCTCGTCGAGTGCGACGAACGTGCAGAATTCCATCAGCGGCGAGCTCTCAAACTCAAACTACATCAGCCTGACGAGTCCGGTGACATCCATGGATCTGACGGCAGTGATTGCAGCTTCCAGCTCCAGCGCCGTCAAGACCCAGCTGCTTGTGCTTCAGACCTACCAGACCAACCTGGCCCAAACTGTCACGGCCCTCACTGCAAGCGCCAGCCAGCTCAACGGCACCATTGCCAAGATGTTTTCGATGGTCTCGACTGAGATGCAGGGAAATTTCAGCGTCATATTGTCGAACAGTTTGCTCACTGCAACGCTGCCGCTGATCCAAGCCGGCTCATGCAGCTCTGTTGCCGGACAAGTCTCGACCCTGTTAAACGCCATGTGTTCCGAAGCCAAGGGCGGGGCCAACTCTCTCTGGTTCATATTCTTCCTCCTGGCTCTTGCTCTGGATATCTTCTACATCATCGTGATGAAGGCCCGAAAGCGCATAGGGTCTCCGCGACATTCAGTAAAGCCTTCGGCAGACACCAATCCGGACGGGGACGATCTCCATGATACCAAATCGCGGCCGCAAACCCAGGATAACTTTGGTCCGCCGGGTGGAATGGGTCAAGGCGTGTATGTCAATGTGATTGTGCCTGCCGGTGCCCAGATTGTCACGGGACCTGCAGGTGGACCGCAAAACAAGTTTGGCTACACTCCGCAGCCGATTATCCAGGACACCAAAATCGCTACGGCTGAAGAATACTAGCAGATGATGGCGATTGGCCAGAATGGAGCCAGAGACGGTGGCGTACTTGAATGTCACTGACTCGATCGATAATTGCATGATGCTGGCTGTCTTTGTGCTTGATGGTGTGATTTCTGTTTCTGTTTCTGTTTCTGTTTCTGTTTCTGTTTCTGTTTCTGTTTCTGTTTCTGTTTCTGTTTCTGTTTCTGTTTCTGTTTCTGTTTCTGTTTCTGTTTCTGTTGCTTGGCTGTTGCTTTTGCGATGGCACTGCTTGCACTTGCCTTTGAAATGACGATGGAATGCTTGTTGGAGCAGGGTCACTCTGCATCTGGGGCTGTTTGGAGCACGTAACTCGCAATACATCAAGTCCCAGTGCGATGAGATGCCCCACGTCGATGAGAGACACCGCTACCTCCAACAACCCATGAGAGGGGGACATGCACCGCTCTAATTGCGGTGCTGTGACCATGACCTGGCCGGTGGCAGTGCGGACGCCTGGTGGCGACGCGTTCTGTGGAATCCAGACACGTGACTCGGAGCACGGACCGCGTGGCTTGGTTCCGGCCAGCCGGACGCGAGGCAGAGAAAATTGGGGGCAGCGAGCGGAATCTTGGGCCTCTCTCTCACATTCACCTTACGTCGTCGAAGAGCATCTCCAAGATGGTTAGTAGCGTGCCATGCCTGACGCACCGACGCCAGGCCGCATCGATGCAAGTCCCACATACCAAGGATGGATAGATGGATGGATGGATGGATGGACGGATGGATGCATCGATGGATGGATGGATGGATGCACACTCGAATGGGATGCGCCGACAGGCTGGAGCAAGCTCGGAATTCACTCGACAACCGACGCCCTGCCGGTGTATGGCACACAGCGCTCAAGACCACCCGCCGCCAGCGGAGGAAGTTGGGGCCATCTGGTCTGCACATCCACTGGCAGGTCCTGAGCCCCAGACCAGCCAGACCCAGCAGGCGGACAAGCAACCGGGTCGACGGCGGGTCCATTGGACGGCCGAAGGTCCGCCGACGAACCAAGCCGATGCGCGGATCCTCGATGCGAGATCTGGAATACCAGCCATCTGATTGCCGCTCCAGCGTGTGATGCTCATCTGCTGTTCGTATGAATCACATTTGACATGCAGGCCGGGAAGAAGGACGACAAAGCCACAAACAAGGCCAAGCCCGCTGCTTCCAGCTCTGGCGCCAAGGCCAAGAAGAAGGTTGGTGCTTCCGAGTCAAGCGATGCGATGGGATGCAATCTGTGGCGACGATGGGGTGGTATCGACTGGATGAGTGCTAATGCAAATGCCTCGGAATGATCTGCGATCGCGGCGAGCAGAAGTGGTCCAAGGGAAAGGTCAAGGACAAGGCCAACAACGCCGTCGTCCTGGACAAGAACACCTACGATAAGCTGTTCAAGGAGGTTCCCACCTACAAGCTCATCACCCCCTCGGTCCTCGTTGATCGTCTCCGCATCGGCGGCTCTCTCGCTCGTCTTGCCATCCGCGAGCTCGAGAGCAAGGGTCTCATCCGCGCTGTTGACACCCACGCTTCGCAGCTTATCTACACTCGCGCCACCAAGGTAAGCAGCGCGGCTTCAGATGCGCTCTGGCGGTCACTGCCATGAGGATATGTGCGAGTGTGGTGTACGAGCCATGAGCATTGCTGCGAGACCCATGCCAGCAGGCACCGGAAGCTGATCTGTCTCTCTCGCCTCGCCTCTGCAGACCGATGATGATGCTGCTCCCCCCGCCAAGGCTCCCAAGAAGAAGGCTGCTGATGATTCTGACGACGAATAAATCATGAGCTAGTTTATTTCTCAATACATTGGACCCACACCCAACAGCCCTGTGCATTCGAGTGTGTGTGTGTGTGTTGTGTCTGGTTTGATTGGTTGGTTGGTTTGGCTGCCTCGAGGCCGGCCACACACCGGCTGGCTCGCTGCTGCGCGCACGTGCCGAGATAAGCCGTGAGTCAGATGACGGCCGCGGTTGCACAGTCGCCCGCACAAGGCCGCGGCCGCGCTATTTCGGGCGCCGCGGTCGTGCAGATCTTCTTGCGATCCATCTGCTCGGCCAGCGCAACCGCATCTGCTGCATCGGGTCCTTGTCGGCTGCTGCTGCTGTGTCGTGTCTGCCCTGGGCGTTATCAGCACTGGCCTCCCCGCTCGCCTCGTTGTCCATCGGCATCCTCGCACATCCGCACCGGCCGTCTCGATTATCTGCTCGCTTGTTGCGCAATCTTTGGCTCGTTCCCACGCATAAAGTCCCTGTGTTCCCCGCTCCCTCGCTGCTCGCTTTCTCCGGCCATGGTCCTGCGTTCTTTCGGCTCGTCCTTCCCCTCCTCGTCCCCCGCCATGACCGTCCCGTACTTCACCAACGGCTCCCATCTGGAGCAGTCGCTCGTCGTCCAAAAGTTTGGCGGAACCAGTGTCGGCACCGCCGAGCGGATGCTCAACGTCGCCAACATTGTCAAGTGAGTGCTGCTGCCCTGGTCGAGTCTCCGTCGCAAGTCATCCATCGTCGTCGCCGCAGTCGAATTGCGTGCGTCGGATGTCTCGCCCAACGAGCCATTCCTAATGGGATTTGATCCACCCAGGTCCACTCTGGAAAAGTCCCGGGTCGTAGTTGTGCTTTCTGCCATGAGCAGCCTCAAGAAGAGCGAGGGCACCACCAGCCGGTGCGTACCATGCCAAGTCGATACTGTTCTCAGCACACAGCTGCATCTTGTCTTTGTCTTTGTCCTTCTCGACACTTGCATTCGTCGGGGCTTTGCGTTGCTTTGGTGCGTCCGCTGCTCGTGCTGATTTTGCGTCTCGATCCAGGCTACTGGAAGCTGCGGACGAGGCCTTGATTCCCGAGTCGGTTCGCTTCAACGACATTGTCGACTTGATCGAGTCCACGCATCTGAAATCCGTCGAGGAATCCATCGTCGGCGACTCCGAAGCGATGGAGGCCCTGCGTGAAGAGGTCCGCGCCGATATCGCTGCCGAATGCAGGAGACTCAAGTCGTTTCTGGAAGCCGCTTCGGTATGTTGCCCAACTTTCCCGATGCATACTGTCGCCCGGCTCTCCGCAAACACTCTATCAGCCCAGCTGCCGCCCTGGTCGCCCGTGTGACTGGCAGATCGCCCCCGAGCCAAACCCACTGGCTCGTCCATCACCCGGCCCAGTCCTGTCCTGGGATCCTCCAAACAACCATGCGTTTGTTATCTTTGGACCCCTTCTCCGGCTGACCCGTGTCTTGCTCCTATCGCCTCTGTCCCTTGGCCACCCAACCCGCGCTGCCTTGGCTGCAGGTCATCGGGGAGATCTCGCCGAGAACGAAGGATATCGTCATCAGCACGGGCGAGAAGCTTGCTGCTCGTCTCTTTGCCGGCGTGCTGAAGAGCCACGTATGTGACTGCTTTGTGCAACTGTCTCTGCATGCAATTCCAAAGGCGAGGTTGGCAGCCGCGCCATGAGCGCTGGCTGCTGCTGCCCCTTGGCCGCCAATGATGCCTCTTGCGACTCCACGGCGCTCTGCTGGCATGGTCAGGCCGTGCGCCGGCTCGAGTTGGCCCCTTTCCTTGGTGTGTCTCCTTGGTGTGTCTCCTTGGCCGCTCCCCGAACTGGATCGCTCTGACATGTACCTCCCGCCGTATTCCAGGGCGTCAAAGCCGTCTATGTGAACCTTGAGAAGCTCATCAATCGCTACTTTGACGAAAAGGCCATCGACCAAAAGTTCTACGACTATCTGGCCATGCGTCTCAGCGAGGTTCTCCACAGCGCCGCCTCGGCATACGATGTCGTTCCTGTCGTCACCGGCTACCTCGGACCTGTCCCCGGATCCATCCTTACCACCATCGGTCGCGGATACACCGACCTGACAGCCGCCCTCATTGCCGTTGGTCTGAGAGCGAGTGAGCTCCAGATCTGGAAGGAGGTGGACGGCATCTTCACCGCTGATCCGCGCAAGGCGCCGCTGGCCCGACTCCTGCCTTCCATTTCGCCCGCCGAGGCTGCCGAGTTGACCTACTACGGCTCCGAGGTCATCCACCCCTTCACCATGGAGCAGGTGATCCGCGCCAAGATCCCCATCCGCATCAAGAACACCTTTTCCCCCGAAGGCGAGGGCACCATCATTCTGCCAGAGGAGCAGGACGACGGCGCCGATGCGGACGAGTTGCCCATGTCGCCATCGGGTCGCATCCGCATGCCGCCCCCGCGCCATCCTACGGCCGTTACCATCAAGGACCACGTCACCGTCGTCAACGTTCATTCCAACCGCAAGTCGGTCTCGCATGGCTTCTTTGCGCAGATCTTCATGACCCTGGATCGCAACGGCATCGTCGTCGATCTCATCTCTACCTCGGAGGTGCACATCTCCATGGCGCTGTCGCCCAACGTGCGCGAATACAAGCTCGAACAGGCCCTGACGGAGCTGCGCAAGTACGGCGAGGTCGATGTCATTCCGGATCTGTGCATTGTGTCGCTGGTTGGCCGACAGATGCGCAACATGGTCGGCGCCAGTGCCAAGATGTTCTCGACCCTGGCCAAGAACAAGGTCAACATCGAAATGATTTCGCAGGGAGCCAGTGAAATCAACATCTCGTGTGTCGTGTCCATGGAGCACGCCCAGGTGGCCCTGAAGGCCATCCACGATGACTGCATCCTGGCTAGCATGCTCCTGGCCGAGGAAGAGGAGCACGCGCGGCTGGGCAAGATCATCCCGGCCCTCAGCGTCGTCGATTCGGCGTGCGCGCTGGCTTCGGAAGAGGGCTCCGAGCAGTAGCGGCGAGCAAGTGGATGAGCCTGCTGAAGCCGATCAAGGATCTGCTTTGTCCCCGGGTGGTGCTGACCCCAAGTTCGTTTTGCATACTCCACCGCCCACACCTGCCATGACGGCACATTTGTACAACTGCAGCACTTCCCCTACCCACCTACCCACCCACAACACACCACGCACGGGCCCCCAACGACTCACGACCATCACTTGCATGAGATGCGACGCTCCTCACGAATACATGCTCCACCGGCATCCCGCCATCCTCCCTGAACTCAGGAACAACTGTTCGTCTGTTCGCTGCTCGCCGAGCGACAGGAACTGGCGCGCTAGATCGTTCTGCTGTGGGGGGTAGTATGTATTGACAATCGGAGAGTTGCCCAGCCGCGGAATGAGTCGGTGGAAATGTATCGTGTGAGGTAGGGATAGTGCAGATATGTGCATCATGTTGGTATGTGCATCATGTTGATATTGCAGCGCCTCGGCGACCGTGGCCGCATGGGTTGCCTGGGGCTTCATAGCCCGATTCTCTTCACGAGTGTTTCGGGGGCGCAATTCCAAAGACCGCCGCCAAACTGCAGCGTTCATCCAAGCCCAGGCCGTGTTTCGGATTTGGGACGGCCAGTCCGACAAATGAGCATCAGTCCGGGTTCTGCGGTTGGTTGTCCGCTGATCTTCACCCTCGCCCCCCAAAAGTGCTCTTGCGCATGGTGCCGCTGTGCCCGCTCGGCGCTATGCATACCTGGGCGCCACCGAGTTGGATTTGAGAAGCATTTCGTCGTACTCGCCCTCGGGATCCGATAGAGCCACGATGGCTCCACCTGCGCCAATGGATACTTCTGAGAGTGACAAGGTCAAAGGCTGCGTTAGCCCCTTACCAGGGACACACATGCTGGAGGAGAGACTCTGGTTGGACCGCACACATTTTCCCGATGGCTCCCGCTCGACGACAGCTTCGCAGACTCCACAAACTTGGCTGCAGTAACGGCGGTCAGAACTTACCTCCTCCAGCAAACACAGCGGTGCGGATCACCACGTTCATCTCGGCCGAACCGTTCAGCCCAATCCAGCCGAGGCAGCCGCTGTACACACCCCGCGGCATGTTACCCTCCAGACCTTCGAGGATCTCGACCGTGCGGCGCTTCGGGGCTCCAGTCATGGATCCCGGTGGGAACGACTGCTTGATGGCATCGATGCAGGTGAGATCCGGTCGCAGGTGGCCCTTGACGGTCGACACGAGCTGGTGCACCGTGGCATAGCTCTCGATCTGCATCAGTGCCGGGACGTGCACTGTGCGCGGGCGTGAGATGGTGTTGAGGTCGTTGCGGATCAAATCGACAATCTATCCAAGGACACGAGTACAGTACAGTGCCATGCAGTGCAATGCAGTGTAGTGTATATGGAGTCAGCGAGTGTCGGGGCAGGACATGGCGGCGGTTGGCCGGCCGACTCGCCACCCGCTCGAGCTATGGCCTCGTACCCACCATCAAGTTCTCGGCTCGGTCCTTCTCGTTCGATTCGAGGTTCTGCTTTCGCCGCTCGTCTTCAAGATGAGCCTCGGCTTCGGTCATGCCGTTCGATCCCGGGTACACACGGGCCACGGTGCCCTTGATGGGCTTCATTTTGACCCATCCGTCGCGCTCAACCTTCAAAAACAGCTCCGGGCTTGAGCTGGTAACAGTAAGGTCCTCCCCGAACCGGATGAATGCCGCGTAGGGCGCTGGATTGCGGCGGCGCAAGTGCAGATAAAAGTCCATGATCTGCGAGGGCGACGGCGGCGGCAGCTGTGCCTTCATCTGTGTTGTGAGGCACACCTCGTACGTTTCTCCGTCGCGAATGGCCACGAGTGAATCTTGGATGCTTTGCAGGTACTGCTCCCGGCTCTGTGCCAGCTTGAGCTGGTTGTTCCGGCCCGGTGCGTTGGGGTCGAAGCGGATTCGCTTCGCATCTGGATGCGGCTGACCCAGATGGTCTCGCTGGCGGCTCTGGCTGCGTTCTTGCAACCCAGCCAGACGCTGCGAGCACACTTCCAACCAGTTTTCGTTCTCCTGGTTGCCGACATCTCGGACGTGGATACAATAGATGTCCCGCTGCTCATGGTCAAAGACCAGAATGCGATCGGCAAACATGAACGACGCATCCGGAACGGACTGGGCCGAGACTGTCTGGAACCTTCGAGAGGCTTCACCAACATGGTTGGTGCTATCGCAACTGGCTGCGACGTGCATGCTCTCGGTCTTCATCTCGTATCCAAAATAGCCCACCAAGCCGCCGTGAAAGTCGAACGGGATTTGATCCATACTCAGATCTGTCGGCTCTGTGACGAGGCGATCGCTCATGTCCGGGCCCATGCCAAGGTGTTGCATTCGGTCGGTGAGCCAGGCGAAAAAGTCCTCATGGACGGTGCGGGCCAGCGAGACGACCTCCTTCTTGTTGGGTATGGAGCCGAGGTGCGTCAGAGTAACCTCTCGCGTCAGCGTGGAGTATTGGGCCGTGAAGCTGTTATGTATGGAGTTACGTATTCGTCGGGAGTCGTAATCAGCCACAACTCAGTGCAATGTCGCATAAGCAGTAAAGCGCTGGCTGCAACGACAGAATGCGATGCAAAGCGATAGCCCAATAGACTGACGACTCGGATCGCACCTGAGCGGGCCGCCTCCAGCGCCCATGAATGTGAATCGACTTCGGTTCTTCTCGACCTACACGTCCCAAAGCGCCAATGAGCGTGCCGAGACAAGATTGGATCCATCCGACGCTGCATCGACTTGAAGCCCGCCGTTCAAGCACTTTCAGCCCGCTCGCCTACCTTGGCAGAGTCCAGCCAGTAACAAACTGGCTCGTCCGAAAACATATCCGAGAAGACTGTTTCACAGTCGCACCATGTCTGCGCAAGCTTCTTTACAGCGATTTTGATGTTGCTCGGGCGCCGGGACTCGATGCCGGGACACAGCGGGCCTGGAATGGCGGTAAATTCGCTGAGGGACGAATGCGGCTCTGGTCTGGGGAACGACACGCCCTTTGGGCAGCGGACATTACCGATTGTGAGCGATCCATAATACATTCCAACAAACAAAGATATAGAGCGCGAGCTGGCCTCGGGTCGCATATGGATGTAAGGCATCCAGGCGCACGGATCCTCACTACAGCTCTATGCTGTGAGCCTGACTCTGTGGTATACCTGCCGCTTCAAGTACTCGAATGTGAGGTCGCGGAAGTTGTCGAGAAGAGTCTGCCCAAACGAAGTGCAGATGGATTCGGGATGGAATTGGAGACCCCAGAGCGGCTTTTCCCTGTGCTGGAGGGCCATGATGATATCACGGCGATCAGGGTCCGAGCCGGGGCAAGAGGACGACCATGCGATGGGCACAATGCACTCGGGCAGGTCTGTGTCGAGCAGCGCATCGAGGATCCAAGTTAGTTGTCAGCGTGCGAGTACCAACTGGGATATAAAACCGCTGATTTGACGGCGAAACTCGACTCGGCAGCGATATCGGAGATTCATACGGTTGCCTGACCAATCCCGGCCGGTCCTCCAAAAAGTCGAGTCCATAGTTGGTGCACATACCGGCTGGAGAAACCACAAGTGAGTGGTATCGCACAACACTGAACGGCGACGGAACGCCATCGAAAATGGACTTTGCGAGTCCAGGCGATGCCAAGGTATCGTGATGGAATACTTGGCTCAGTCGACCATGGACCGGTTCGTTGGCATGAACCACCTGCACCCGCAGGTCGAGTGTTCAGGCGTCGGCGTGTGCATGTGCATGTGCGAAGAGAGTTGTAACATTGCGAGATCAGTTGTGAGATCAGCTGCAGCGACTGAGATCGACTGGACCGAGTCGTTACTGAAACGTTGGCTCGTACCTTGCCACCATACACCAGTGCAAGACCCTGGTGACCGAGACAGACTCCCAGGACCGGGATGGTGCTGTGGAGCAGCAGCTGCGAATTGATGCCGAAATCCTGCATGGCAAGCACGCCATCGTCGGAAAGCAAGCGGCCGGCAGAAGGAGCAGAATGATGAGCGCAACAGTCAGCGAGGAGCACCCAGTTAAAGGTTGAGGAAGTTGTGCTGCATGTCGGTCGCGGTGGCAGGGAGGCACTTGCCTCGGGTCGGTCGGGAGATCCAGGGCCTGGAGAGATGATGACATTGTCGACATGCGGGAGAATGTGGTCGCGTACAAACTCCCTGCATTGAACGCAGGAGCGATAGAGGAAGGAACAGAGTCTCAGCATGTGTCCGATGGATGCGATGCGACGGCCGAAGCGTCAGACTGGCGCAATGGAGGCAGAGGAACGGCGTCCCAGAGCAAAGGAAACGAGACAAGCGCATAAGGATCGCTGACCAGCTGAATTGGTCGTTGCGAATCACGACTGGGAGAGGTCCGCCTTGGACGGACGCATATTGGTACAGATTGAAGGTGTACGAGTCATAGTTGTCGACAATCAGGGTCCGGATGGACGCTTTCATGGACCTGCAGTCGGTCTGCATCTGGGATTTGCTGGAACGGATGTGCATGGGTGCCATGCTGGCGAATCAAAGCAAGGATCTGGAATCAGCAACCGCAACACCGAAGCAGCAGGATGGAAGCCGCTGGCTTGGAAAGGACGTGAAAAATGCTCCATGCTCTCTATCGCGCGGATGCAGCGGCCATGGCTGTGTAGCCTCCCTCACCTGCACGGATGCTCAAGCGAGAGGAACACAAATAGCCGACTCGGGGCAACGAAACGAGAGCGAAAGGATCAGAGCCACTCCAGCGGACGGCAGGGAAGGACGGCAGATGCCTGTCGAGGGTGAATCGCAATCGCCGATGCCAGGGACGACGAGAGGCAGTGTACCGGCCCGACGGGGAGTGTGTTGATGTTTGCGGCGTCTGTTGGGGAGGCTGAAAAAAAGTTTGTCGTAACATTTGTCAAGGGCCAGTGGGGTGCGTGTGAAAGCGAGGCGAGGCGACCACAAAAGGCAGGCCGTTTGCCCTGGAAAGGCAACCATCGAACGGCGCTGCTGCGCACCTCCCCAAAGCCGCGGGGGGCTCGCCGTTGGGGGTCGGGCAGCATGTGCGGGTGCGGGACGGTGCGAGGCGGGCCGGGAAGGGGCTGCATCCATGGCCGAGACGGATGTTGATTGCTGCTGATGCTAATATTGCTGTTGATATTGCTGTTGATATTGCTGTTGATATTGCTGTTGGTGCTGTGGGCAGTGCGACACCGGCTCGATCCAGCACGACACCGGCTCGATCCAGCACGACACCGGCTCGAGCCAGCACGACACCGGCTCGAGCCATATCGGCTGCGTCGCACCGCCGCGTGACCCCGTGCGCAGCGACCACAAGACCACGCCACCGCCGTCGCACTCGACCGTTGTCCTTCGTCGACGTCACCCCCTTCGACACCATCGCCAGCTTCGGCCCAGCTCCATCGCCAGCTCCATCGCCAACACCGTCACCGATATCGGCTTCTCCACCAGCCGCTGCCCTCGGCCGAGCCTCGATCGCCTCCTTCTCAAAGCCGTGGTGCGTTGTCCTGCTCGTGCCGCTCCGCGCTGCGCCTGCCTGTCCTGGTCCGATATCCACCCGGACGGTCTCATGTCCGCTCCGGGGGAGACCCTCACCCTTCGCTGGACAGGCACGCCGATGCCAACGTCCTGATGCAGCATATGCCTCTCCCTTCATGCGGCCGCTTTTCGCCTCGTCGCTGGGCCGCCCATATCAACGGACACGGCAATGTCTCGGCGGCAACTAACCCGATCTCTGGCTCACATTTTCCCCATCTGTTCGTCTTTCCGCTCTTCATCGGCTCTCTGGGGCTGACTCGCACTCGGGACCTCGTTGGGACCCGCATCGCCTTTCATCTCGCTGTCGGAACCGCCGTGGCGTCCAACGTCCGCACTCTCGAACGATACGCCTCGCCGTGGCAACCCTGGCTTCGTCCTGCACAGCTTTCGTTTGCCTCGGAGCGCCCTGCCTCATAAATAGCACTCGACTTTGGCCCCGCTTTGCCCTGTGTCGTTCTCCTGTGCTCCAACTGCCTCATTCCATCTCGCGCTCGCATACGCCTTCACGACACACAAGCCTATCCGCGAGAGTTGCCCATATCTATACAAGGCGTCCTTCTCGACACCACCCTGAATAGCAGCAGCATGAAGTTCTCGACATCGATCCAGGCGTACCACGCTTCATCCCAGAGCCGCCAGAGCAAGCCTGCAACGGCGCCGGTCGATATCACCGTCTCGCTTCCCTCTTGCCAAGACGGGTCCACGGATCTGCTCAAGTCCCTCGAAAGCTGGTTCCAACTGGCTGTATTTCGGTTCGAAATCACCTCGGGGGTCTATATGATGGAGCCTTGGGAAAAGATCACTTTCTGTGAGTATTGATGATCGAGCGAGACCGGTGTCCGGGCTGCCGCTCGCCGACACCATCGGCGGCTGTTTGTTGTTTGCATCTGCAGCTCTGCTACGCTCCCAGGCACTTGTGTCTCTCCGATGGTCCATAGCACCTCCCCCGATGGGTCACGACGCACCGCTTTGATCGATCTCCAACCGAGCGCCACTCGGCGACAAGATGGATGTATCCTGCACTTGCGTGGTTCTACCATTTCCTGTGTCGGAAGCCACTTGATGGAGCACCGGTGCGCTTTATGCGCCATATGCCTTGTGTGCATTCCCTCGCCCACACAGTCGCAGTACTGAACGCTCTCCTATTTTTGCCCTTCTAGACGGTCTGATGTTCCTGTTCTTTGCCCTGGCGACCAATGCGATTTACCACCACATGCCCGTAAGTCCAGATGATGCTGTGGTTGCCTCACTCTTCGATGCAAGTTGCTGAGTATCGGGTGGTGAAAGCAGCACCGTATCCGAACTGACGACTCTGGTCGTGCCCACCATTCTCAGTCCTGGACACCCTTAGCCGGCCCAAGCTAAGAAGCCAGTCTGTTCGATCTCGGTGTGCCCAAGTCGTCCCGACATGCAATAATTATCTAGCGCTCGCGTATATGCCAAGCCGGGCCCGGGCCTCACCGTAGTGGTATCACGCGCTCTCCGATTGCCGCGATCCTGCCAGCAAGGTGCGGCGCAGACTCAGAGGATCAAGTTGGTAATGATGATGGCTGGATGCAGATGAGCCCTTGTAGTTTTTTCTTCCTGATTGGTGATATCCTTCTCCCTCTATTGCCTTGCCATCAATCGCTTGCGCCGGAAGCCGATGCCGGCCCCAGCGTGTTTCCCCAGTGATGTTTTTCAATCCCCTTAGCCGAGCCATGCAGTGCTCGCAAAGCGAGACGGGGTACCCTGTTTTGGAGGCCATTGGCCGATATTTTTTTTTTTTGGATTCTGAATACACACCCGTTCATGCAGTGTTTCGGAGGAGCATCGCCATGAGGATGGGTCTGGTGTGGTTGCGCCCATAGTTTCCAAAGTGCTGAGTGCTTCGGTGCGACTGGAGAGCATCTCTCTTTCTCTTTGAAAGGCCCGGTTCGTTGGTACCGGGTCGCCCGTCTTCAGCGAGCTTGGCATCTGAGTATCTGGTCATCTGGGTGAATGCAGCCCGTACCAGTGCCCAAGACATGCTGTGTGGCTCTGGTGGGAGCCGTTCTTGGCTGGCTGGACTGGCGTGGCGCAGGCAGCACTGGACATGGCGCAGCTCAGAACGTGACTTCCGCCTGACTGCCACGGTCACGGGACCGGCCGCGCTCGCCGTCGTCAAGGGCCGCTTTCGCTGTGCTCTGCCTCTGGGTCCGCATCAGCACCAGGCCCGCAACGCCAGCCCAGCAGTCCGGTGAATCCGATCCCGCCAAGGTTCGATATCGGGTGTGTGTTTCGCAGCGAACGGCGCTGTGCTCGTGCCGATGCTTTTCCGCTAAGGGGTGTGCCATAGGCTCCATATTCGGCAAGCGGACTCGCGATCTCGGGCCGCTCATCGTCGATTTCCCTCCCCCTTCCGATTTCATCCAGAGCCGACCAAGCGCTCAGCACCCTCCCTCGACGGCAAGACACTGATTCATCTGGGGTCGCGACTCGCACATTGCCAGCGTGAATAAGCTTGGCCAGGAGATCTCGATCCAACGAATAGCATCCGCACGCATCGCACCAGCCTTCGATCGCATTGACCCTGCCGACCTCGTCGAGATATATCCAAGCAAATCATCACACAAAAAATGCTTCCGCTCAACCTGCTAAACGCTGCCGTTGGCCATCCTGTCCTGATCGAGCTGAAAAACGGTAGGGTCGAGGGGGAGGCGGCGCATGGCAATCGATGGGAGCGTCTGAAGGGCTATCTGGTCGAAGGATTCGGGCTGTGCAGGATCGCATCGGGCTGCTGAAGACAATCTCCGAAGTGCGCTCAGATAGGGCCATGTATATTTCTGTTGGAGATATGATCTGATGCGATTCTTTGGTATCCTCGCTCGCGATTGTCGATGCAATCGATCGCTTTGCTCATTTCCTGGCTCACCCCTTCACTGATACCCGAACGACAATCAACCCAATTCAAACCCATGGGGGCTCCCGACCAACTGCTTCCACCATCCCGAAACGGCAACACCGACGTCAACACCGATCGCCGAATATGTCTCTCGATGGACGCATGCCGTTGTGCATGGTATCCAGGCGAGTCCTACAACGGCATTCTCGTCTCATGCGACAACTGGATGAACGTCTCGCTCCGCGAGGTGATCCAGACCGGGGCCGACGGCGAGCGCTTCTGGAGGCTGCCCGAGGCCTACATCCGCGGCAACACCGTCAAGTATCTGCGACTGAAGGATGAGGTCCTCATCAAGGCCCTCGAGAAGAAGCGATACGAGCAAAAGTCGGGGGGCCACCACGATCGCGACGGAAACAACAACAACAACAACCGAGGACCTGGCGGCGGACGAGGCGGCTCATCAGCAGGATCGAGAGGCGGCCGTGGTGGCCAGCGCGGACGAGGCGGTGGACGGGGCGGCAGCCAGCAGTAGATCCACTCCGCCCAACATCTGCTGTCTTTCATGGAACCGACTAAACCTTGGCTGCCGGATCCGCTGCAAGACAACCAGTAATACAGTGTGTTGAAGTGGCAATTGGACACATCGTCTCATTCGGACAAACACGGCGTGGTCGGACCATAGCACACACTCGATCAAGTGGGTCAAATCGTTTCCCTGTGTGAGGCAGATGCATGGAGTGAGTGAGTGGGCACGATGGGGACCAGCGAGCCGCTACAGATGCAGTCACTGCAGGCCAGAGCAAGAAGCCATATCTCAAATGAGGAAGGAAGAAACCAGGGCAAAGAGCAATATCCCTGGTTTGGGTACAAATTAAAGTCGCTCAGCCAGATCGATCAACATCAACCGATCAACAAGCCATCAGCGTGTCAAGATTTCCTGTTTCACAATGAGCTCGCAATAAAAGCCAAGGCGGCTGCCAGCCTGCCTTGGAGCGGCTCCTCCCCTCTCCTCCTTTCGTCGATATCAATCCCCTGCATTGGTTTATTTTTGCTCGAGCGGATCTGCAAGCCCTCCGTATTGCGCATGGTAATGGTGAATCTATTCATGGGAGATGGACAGCCAAAAGTGCAAACAAGAAAGGAATAACCCCGCCTGATTCAGCGGATGTCATCGAGTGTTGGGAAGATGGTCTGCGGCCGCTTCATCTGTGACCGGCCATCGCAAGTCCGTGACAGTCCCCAGCCAGAGAAGGGCATTTCGATCTTCCCCCTCACTCTGGCTGTGCTGTCCCTGCTTCTCTAATGCATGCCTGCTCCTCCTCCTCCCCCGGATGTGAATCTGCTCTCGGTTGCGGGACGGATCGAGTGACTATCGCCTCCTTACAATTGGCTTGGCATCCAGCGAGTCGAGCGACAGGCTCTTGATGCGGCCGGGTGCGGGAGGCGGAGTTGCTGAAAGCGCATATCGCCATCCCAGTCCAAAGCAAATCTAATCCGACTCAGCAGAGAGGTAGTAGCGGGTCTTGGACATGACGTAGCTGGCCTGGTCGGGGAGGTAGTGGTGGACGGCGTAGACCATCAGGGCCAGGAACAGGACCAAGATCGCATCTGTGCAGAGGAGGGTGGGAGTGGCAGGGGAAGGAGGGCCTGATTTCAGCAACGGCTCGGTGTTCGACGGTTGGCGTTGCGGGTGCATCCGTGCACACCGCTGGTCGCCGGTGCAAGAGGCAGAATGTGCATTCAAAGGAGTCTTTGGCAGGCTCCCTCGGCTGCTCCCTCAGGCCAAACAAGCCGCCAAGCAAGCAGGCGAGCAGGAATCCAGCCCGCCAAGAGGCAAGAGCAATCGATGTGGAAAAGCGTACTGAAGATGGCCTTCTCGATGGGCTCGAGCATGTACAGCCCCAGGGTGAGCTCGTACTGGAAGATCTTGACGCTGACGGCCTTTTTGATATCGGAGAAGACACCCATGATGTGCGAGCGGCTGCGACGACGGCGGATGTGCGCTCCGGAAAAGGTAAGGTGGATTGATGAGGACGCAGGGCGGGTGACGATGGGAACGGGCTCTGGCGGGAAGAGGAACGCGGCGAGACAGGCAGGACGAGAGAGGGAGAGGGAGAGAGGCCTTCTCGCTGGGCTGTGCAAGTTGCCGCTGTGCTGTCGTCTGTGCTGTCGCTGCATGCTGTTGCTCTCGCTCTGTGTCGGCTTGCTGCGCGTCACACACGTGCGACCGCGTCCGTGAACGCCGCGCGTTTCTGGCACATGTTGCGAGCGAAACGACACCAGACCAGACAGCCTTGGTCATCCTGAGGCATTCTGGATGGTTCCCTCGCCAGTGAGTCTGGTGCGGATCGCAGCGTTTGTTGTGTGTATAGGAGGGGTTCTCAATGCCTTTTATTGTGGATGAGAGTGAGACCGTGAAGCCGATGCATCTGCTGGCGATACACTTAACCGTCCTTGGACATCAATTTCTGCGAGAGACCGGGAACACCGTGGATCAGCACCGCATGACCAGATACGATCAAGTAATCTGCATCGAGGACCCACGACTGGCTGCCAGGCGGTGCCGGCTCTACTCACCTTGATTTCAGCAATGGCCTTGCCGGGGTTGAGTCCCTTGGGGCAGGTGCGGGCGCAGTCTGGGGTTCAGAGCTAGAGGGTAAGAACGACTGGCCATGTCGTCCAGTGTGTGGGAGGGAGGCAGCCCGCTGGGAGACACCTCGGAGCCACTGTAGACCTATGCAGAGTTCACAGCAGATCACTTGTCGCCGCAAGACTCGGCAAAGGCAGTGCTCCGGTCGTTCCAATAGCTCAACTTACTCATGATGGTGTGGCAGCGGTAGACCGAGAAGGGATCCTGCAGCTGCTCGCGTCTCTCGACACCAAAGTGGTCGCGAGAGTCGATCATCCAGCGGTAGGCCTGCATGAGAACAGCGGGGCCAAGGTACTTGTCCTGGTTCCACCAGTAGCTAGGGCACGAGGTCGAGCAGCAAGCGCAGAGAATGCATTCATAGAGACCGTCCTGGAGACACCGGCGAGATAGATCAGAGACATGAGCTCGCGGATCGCGATGGATTTGCATGGCTGCACGCTCCGAGACATCAGCCACAGGAAAACATATGAAGAGTGGTACTTGCCAGCTTCTGGCGGTCAGCAATGGTTTGGAGGTTTTCGCGCTCGGGAGCGGGGGTCTTTTGCTTGAGGAAGGGCTCAATGGACTTGTATTGCTTGTAGAAATGGGTGAGATCTGGGCAGGGTCGATCGTCGGCACGCAGCCACAGAGCCAGGTCGCAGCTGGTAAGTTTACGGCTCATTCAAATCTGCCTAGTCGCCGCGTCGGTGCTGGACGAATCAATGCCCGTTAACTTGACCGATGAGTCGAACACAACGCAGGCGATGCTCACCGGGTACGAGATCCTTGACGATGTACATTTGAGGAAGAGGGTAAATTTTGGTCTCGCTGGCGGAGCGGTCGATGCGGCTGAGACAGGCAAGGGTATTACCGCCATTGATGTTCATGGCGCAGGATCCGCAGATACCTGCTCGGGCCGAGTGTGGAATCACAATTGCACATTCGATCGCGTGGATGGCCGTGAGCAGGGCAGGTGATGAATAGCAGAGCATACAGGTTTTAGAAGAGCGCAACCTTCGCAACACACAGCCAGCGCTTGCAGAACTCGACCGAGGCTCCATCACATAGTGCCCAATGGCGTCGATATTACCTTCACGGCAGGAGCGGCGGAAGGTAAGAGTGGGGTCGATTTCGTTCTTGATCTTGATCAAGGCATCCAAGACCATGGGGCCGCACTGGTTGAGGTCGATGGTGTACGAAGCCAGGTGGGGCTTGGTGGCAGGGGTGTCGGGGTTCTGTGTGCGCGTGCGGATGCGACAGAAACGAGGGATATGGGTTTGGTGAGCAAAACCACAGCAGCAGTTCCGAATCGGCTCGATCAACATGATGAGCGCGCCAACGCGATCCACCGATCCGATATGCAACAGATATCGGATGACTTGGGTGGGGAGTCGATGCCGACGGCCATGACGCCACTCGAGAAGGCCAACGGGTCCAGCGCTAGTCGCAGCATGAATAGCACGGAAGACAAGGCGCCGCGGTTGACGCTGATGTTGGCACGGCGAGATGCATGCGTGCATCTGCTTCGAGCCCGGGCTCTGGCAAGGTTGCTTACCCAGCGGTAGATCTTGAAGGTCTTCTTGTGCTCAGGCTTCTGGGTGGTGGTGGCCATGGAAGCAGCACGGGGAGCATTGAGAAGAGGAGCCTGCATGGGAATCACAGACGGTGTCAGCACAGGAAATCACCCACGCTTGCTTGGCCAGGGCCCAACACGACCGTGTCTGCACGTCAATCACTGGGCCAGACGAGCAGCCTTGACGAGCAGTCATTCCATGTCCCGGCATGAGCTATCCAAAGGATGGCGATGACGAAGAGCAGACAGATCCAACGGCGTTCTCGGGCTCGGAACTTTGGACTGCGTCGCGGATAAAGCTCGGCTCGCGAAGACACCCTTGACAACACGCCCTGGGCCAACGGCGACGAATGCTCGCCAACCTGGCATCGCCGTGACGCAAACAGCAAACCGGCATCAATAACGTACAATCAAGGCGCTGCGGGACTGAGCCACAGCTCTCTTGGAGGCCAGGGAAAAGGCAGACATGGTCGAATAGCAAGCGAGGCGATGGAGCCGATCGTCCGAGAGGATGGGAGAAGCGAGAGAGAGGTGCGCTCGGGGGGTTCGGCGGCGACGTTCACAGGGCAGCGAGTATGGCTGACAAGAAGAGAGGATGCGCTTGGATCCAAGGGCTCTGTTCTTGATGCAATGCGACGAGAGCGAGAGATCTCCTGCCGACCAGACTCGGACGTCCGTTCCTTTCTCTGTGGAGGAGAAGAAAAGGCCAAAAATCAGACGAAGCGCAAGCCTGTGGCAAGCGGCAAAAAAGCAAAAGCTTGTGGGCGAGCCGAAGCCGCAAGGCACACGCGTGTGTGTGTGTGCGGCCGCAGACAATGCCCGTGACGCGCGTGTGTGTGTGCTGCTCTCGCTGCTGGCTCGCCAGCCTCTCGCTGCACTCTCGCTGGCCTCGCGCCTCGCCGAGGCGGTGCGGTCACATGCCCTCGGAGCAATTTGCCTGCGCAGTTCACGCGCAGCCATGTGCGGATGTGGATGTGGACGGCCAATTGGCTGGTCGTCGATGTGCAGGCCCCGTTTCACATCCTATCGGCTCTCGTCTGTCGAGCACTTCATGTGGAGCTATATTGCATTCGATCGTTTCACCCGTCCAGCGCAATGCCGCGGATTCCTGCCACTCGGCGAACCATGTCCAGATCCCCAAAGGTGTCGTTCTCCTCGGCTGCCTGTCCCGCCAGCTTGGCCGCAAATTGCGACTGGTACTCGTCGACAGTGGCTTGGAGCAGGCCGCAGAGTCGCCGCAGCGACACCACCAACTCGATATCCATGGCATCGTAGACGTTGCTGATGTAGCCGATATCTGCCAGGAGCTGCTTGCGTCCGTCTTCACTCAGGCACCGAATGCCCATGATAACATTGACGTACTGCACCATGCTGCCGCGGCACACCGACGTGATCCACAAATGGGTCGCCTCGAGGCTGTCGTCGCTGGGGTCAGCACCACTGCTTTCCGCTCCGGGCTCGCTCGCTGGAGCCTCGGCCTGAAAATCCTCCTCCTTCAGGTACGGCAGCCCCCGAATTGAGAAGGCCAGGGCTTCGTCCTCCAGGTAGAGCTCCAGCTGATGGGGCAGCGTGACCAGATACTCGCCGATCCGCGTTATGTACGGCTGCGGCGAGAAGCTAAACTGCGGCACTTGCAGATTGAAGGGGCCCGTGGTCGTCGGAAGGGCGGCTCCCCACAAAGGCATTACCGGAACGTCCATGAGGTGCTTCTCAATCATGCTGAACATGGTATCGAAGACGAATCGCTGTGCATATCCAGTGAAGCCAGCAAGGGTGCTGCGGACTTCGGCGGAAAACCCGGGGATGCCTTCGGCCACTGTGCGTTCGCCCACTTGTTCGTAGAGGCTCGAGAGGGCAAACGAGTTGAGGGTTGAAAGGCGCAGCGAGCTGCGTGCACCTTGGCACGAGTCTTCCTCGAGATCCAAGGCATCGGCCTTGGCGGGATCTCCGGGCTCTTCGTGGATAAACTCGACCCTTCGCTTCATATGCGCCAGCCAGGTGCAGAACTGACCCTCAAACACCTTCATGCGCTTGGAAAAGGAGCAGCATACTCCGAGGACCCGCAGACCGACCTGGAAATTGGACCACTCCTGGGTGGCCAGATCGGAGTTGGCGAATTCAAGGGCATCGGACGACGCCGTTGCTGTGCCGGCGGCAGACGAGTGAGCCCCTGTGCCAGTCTTTGCGCCGGCCTTGCTCTCGATTCCAATGTCGTATCGCGTTTGCTGCACGATTGCACGGTACTGATCAACGACCTTGACAAAGTAGTAGCGCAGACTTGCAATCAAATCGAGGGCTCCAAAGCCAGAGGTCAGGGTGCGACATCGCGCAAATGCCCCCTCGGCAATCGTAAAGATCTGCCCGGTAGTGTCCGTCATCATCTGCGTTGTCTCCATAAAGTCGGTGCGTGCGTCTGTCTGCAGCACCTCGAGCAACTGGCGGACGAGCAGCTTCTTTTCCTGATCGCCATAGTGCGTCTGGAAGGACAAAAAGGGCTCAAAGAGCGCTGTCTGCCATCGGTCGGAAGTCAGCGACTCACTGCTCCCAAGATGCGTCGACAGGGCATACGCGCTCTTGAAGTCGATCTGGATCATGGACAGCAGCTTCTCGATCTGGCAGCCGAGCTTGGATGCCGACTGATAGGCTTCGACGATAAAGAGTAAACCGTCGTCGGCAGCGGCCCTCTTTGTGAGCACATTCGCGAGGCTTGGATCGACGGTCGCAAAAATTTCGTACAGCAGCCCATTCATGATCTGCTTGGCGTTTGGGAAGACCAAGGCCGACCAGGTGTATTCCTTGTTGAGCAGGATCAGGATCTGCTCGAAGAATTGGCCGAGGGCGCCGGCGCGCTGTGTATCTACATCGTAGAGCGAGCTCGGGCCGGGCGAGACAGCGGGGCTGGCAGATGCCACGCTTGTCCAAGAGCGCATCAGAGGAGTCTTCTTGGATAGAAAATAGTAGTAGAAAAACTGGTCGCTCTTCTGGATGTTCTCGAAAATCTCAAAGAGCCGCTTGACCGTGTCGGTGTCGTGCTCGGCAAGGGCAGAGACTAACTGTGTACTCGAAGTGATCTCGAGCTGATTCTGGAGCTTTGTCAGCAGCTCCAGGCGAGCGCTGTAGTCGGCCGTGTTGGCGAGGAGCCCGAGCGACTTTTGAGCCTCCTTCAGTCGCAGCGCGGCCTTGTGGTAGTCGCCCGAGTCAAAGAGACCCTCGATCTCGATCGACAGCGAGTTCCAGTTCTCGGCTTCTTTGAGAGCGTCGCGAGTCTGCTCCATGCGGCCCCGCACGACGTCGAGGCGACCGAGGTGATCGATGGCCGAGCCTGTTTGGGTCTGTGTCGACTCGAGCTCGAGCTTGGCGGTCTGGATCAACGCCTTGAGGGCTCTCGAGTCCTGACGGATGTATTCAATGTCGTGATAAGATTGGGAGATGCTCCCAACCATGTCCTTGGCGAGCTGATGCAGCTTGTAGGCGGCATCCTGGCTCGAAAGGTGCAGCTGAGTCAGGAGCTGGGCGACGTGCTGCTCCGTCGAGAGTCCGGGGCCGGCAACTACACGAGAGGATGAGTCGCTGCTTCCCAGCGAGAGCTGCGAGTCCGACTGCGTCAGGATTGGATCCGATTTGGCCAGAGCAGGCGCGGCCGCGGCGGTTGAGGAGGCAGCATCGGGCCCTGTCGCATTCAGGGCCAGGTTGATCCAGGACTTTGGGTCAAAGCTGGGATGGCCAAAGTCGGCGAGATCGATGGCTGGACGTGACGCATACGGCTGCTTCTTCAGCAGGCTCGGCAGAAGCTGCTCGGGCGAAGCGTCGTCGCCGGCGACAGAGGCTGGGTCGATGGGCAGGGGCATTGGCAGGACGGCATGGGGTGAGAGGGGAGGAGGCGGATTGATGCCGCGCCAGATGCAGGGCTTGTTCGGCGAGCAGGAGACACCAGCGAGACGCGAGCGAGACACCAGCGAGACGCGAGCGAGACACCAGCGAGACGCGAGCGAGACACCAGCGAGACGGTCTCGCCGAGACGCCGCCCAAGTTCCGACCGTGCCTGTGGATCGAACAATCCGGTGGTCCTGATCTCGCCCTGTTCGCCCAATGGTCTTGATCTCGCCTGCGAACCCGGTTGCGGCTCCGTCGACAAGTTCAAACGACATTGGCTCTGACGATCCGTCGAAGACGATCCATTCAAGCCCGATCCGCTCGGCCATCAACGCACGCCTCAGCATTCCAACAGTCGCTCTCCACACCACAATCCATCCGCTGCTGATTCCATGAGCCGACCAGCCAGCCTCCGGGCCCTCGCCCTCCTGCGCCCATACTATGCATCTCTGCTGTCCAAGCCAGCTGTCGCATCGGCCTCTGTTCTCCCGCGGCTCCCATCGGTCATCCGTGGGCACGCCAGCCCCGTTTCTCCGTGTCCTTCGAGCTGGGCGCAGTCCAGTCCGAGTCTGCGCTATCACTACTACTCGTCATCGTCCTCGTCCTCGTCCTCGTCGCCGTCGTCTCCGGCAAGCGATTCCACCTCCCAGCCGGTTGGGCAAGTCAAGGCCAAAATGTTGATCGGGTTCACTTGCAAAGTGTGCCAGACCCGCTCGCACAAGTTCATGTCCAAGGCATCCTACGAAAAGGGCGTCGTCATCATTCGCTGTGATGGGTGCAAGAACCTGCATCTGATCGCCGACCACCTCGGCTGGTTCGACTCCCAGTCGCCTCCAGGTACCATCGAGAACATCATGAAGGCCAAGGGCGAGACCGTCGTGCGCTTGCACACCAATCTGGAGGGCCAGCTCGAGGCCGCTAAAGAACACGGTGCCAACGTCGATGACTTTGTCATGCCCGCTGCCGACAACTCGATTGCTGACCTGCAGACCCTGGCCGACCAGGAGGATGGCATGCTGGAGTGGCTACCGAAGGCTGTTGCTGAAGCCGATGAGTTCATTGCTGCTGCAAAGAAAAACAACGAGCTCTGAGGCGACAGACACATCCGGTGCGACTCGCGATCATGCTCACAGTCTGGACACACTCGACCATGCCTCTCTCCCTCACCCGGATTCTGAGATTAGACTGCTTTCTGACTCTTGAATACAAGCACCGTTTCATCACCGTTGTTGGCACCGACTACCCATGGCTGGCTTCTGGACCGGGCAAGTCCTGAATGCACGAAACCAATCTCTCCGACGATTGACGATCGTATCGTGGCCAGCTTCGCGCCCGTTGGGACATTGCCGTTTCGACCGGAACGCACCCGCAGCAAGTACTCGGCATAGTAGCGGGTGGAATGGTGCTCTAGCTACAACCGGTCGGCATAATTGTATTCGGAGGCCAGAAATATGCGAACACGGCTCTAAGCAAAGCGGCCTGCTGCACCCGATGAGTCCTGTCAGCTGTGGGCGCTGTGCCGACAAGGCTGACCTAGCGGCGATCCACAGTCCAATTTGGGTCCTGCAGCCGTCGGTTGCTTCGCAGGGTCATGAGTTTGAATTGCATCGATGAGCGGTTGCTGCCTCGGGCCAGCGCTGCTAGCTGTCCTTCTTGGTTTTGCCAACGCTTTCCTTCTCCTGTCGCTGCTTCCTGCGCTCTCTCCAGTACTGAAGTAGTGCCGAGAGGAGAGGCACCGAGATCGGCACAAACAGCGGCATGTAGACGGCAAACTTGTGTTCATCGGGGAAGTAGAGCAGCGACACCATGGTTGGATCAAAGAAGGCGCTCTCGGATAGCACGATTGCGGTGGTTGCGTGCTGGGAGGCTGCATCGATGTCGCCGCGAGCCAGCGCCTGGTAACCCTGCATGATTGGTCATATGGAAAACGGGTGCGATGTCCAGAATAAGCCCGGGCAACGCACGACGGACAGCATCACAGCACAACGACGCGAGACACATTCGTCATCGACTGACCTGATCGAGGGCCTCGAGTGACCCCACAACCTTGGTGCGAATCTCGTCCAGCACGACCATGTTCTCCATGTCGCTGATGAGCGTCGCCAATGAGTTGAGCGTCGCAATCGCGTCGAGCAGGTTCTGAGCCGTTCTCTTCCGAATCAGTCGCGCAAGTTCCCACTGAGTGATGCCCTTGGATGGAGACGATTCCACGGTGATCTCAAAGTCGAATGGAACGGTCCGGAGCCGTCGCCCCAGTCGCGTGGCTTTGATGCCCAGGAGTCCACGAAGCTGCCCCAGGAATATCTCCATGATGGGCTGGAGCTCCCAGGACCGAAAGTGCCTATGCTCTCCCAGAGCAATAGCGGGGTTCTCGATGGCGACACCACCCCACTGCGGGATCAGGAAGGCATTGGTCCCAACGATGTGTTCTGCGAGAGGACAAGACAGAACCATGGTCAAGCTAGCGGACCGATGCATATGACCGCGTTGCTGGCTAAACGCAATGCCAGCACTGGAGGCGTGCTGCCGCTGATTGACCAGAATCGACTCCGCCATTGCCCACCTTTCGAGTCGAGCAGATACAAGGGACTTGAGGAGTGCGAGGGAATATACAGAAGAAAATTGAGCGGCGGATTGGACGAGACTGCCGAAGCTGTGTGAAACAGGCAACTGGATGAGCCATTACGAAATGGTGGCCCACCCGAGCATGCGTTCTGGGAATTCACGAGTCACTGCCGGGAGCAGGCTGCAGATTCTTCAGACACAGGCTGGAAATCGTATCTTGGTCAGTATGGCTGTCAATGGCGTACCCAAGTTCCATTCGGCCGAGTTGACGAAACTCGGGAGCACATCTGTTGGCAGGACATGGATTGCTGTGCCAGATTCCGGAAGCACTCGCCGGCGGGGAGTCACCGAGAGCGGAGCATAATTCTGAATCTGTTGGGGGGGGGGAGCCACACACCCAGCGCGCGATGGTTAGTCGGTCTGGATCCACCGCTATCTGTGCTGCTGATGCATGGCTGCCCGGCTCTCGTACACCGCCAGGGACGATCATGGAGCCACCAGGGCAAAGTGCGTGCATGGACAAACCTGCGAGCCCACTTTGAACTTTGAGATGCCTTCCAGCTGATCCAGGAATGGTGCAATATATTCTGTATGTTGAATACGAGGGGTTGTATGAATAGTAGTCGGTGCCGCAGAAGCATCAGAGTACCAATGATAACGACTGGGAGCGGCTCGGAGAAAGTAGACGAAAGGGCCTGCTCACCATTGACGGCACCACGGATATCCCAGCTAAAAGTCCAGTCAGCGGGCTCGCTATTCAGAAGACTGAACGTGATCTGGTACTCGGGTGCAAACTTGATGGCTCGCATCTCGTCGTGGTCACGATCATTGACCTGATCGACATGTTGGATGGTGTTATGCCAGATGTGTTAATGCCACCCTGGAATCGGGAAATCATCTAGCCGACCCGCCGATTGCGTTGCAGTGTCTTACAGGCTTTCGAATACGACCCAGAGCCTGTGCCTCTTCAAGGAAGAGCTCCGCAATCAGGCTCGACAGCACTTGAACGACCAGATCTGCGTTGCAAGCGAAAAATGGCCGGGGACATCGTGCTCGTAAGCGACCGATCGTTTCAAAGGCAAACTGGATGGACAATCGACAGAGTCGACAGCCATGGAAGCGCCGACAAACGACATGCATGGGTGCTGCCGAGATCGTACTTTCATCCTGGCAGTCATCCTGAGCCAAACCCACTCGGGCATGCCTCGCTTCCTGGATGTTCACGAGTCGCTGGGCGTTGCTATTGCACTCGAGACTGACAAAAGAGTGGCTCTTCGAGTCGAGCCGTGATTGCGGCGCTGCCGCTAAGGTGTCTTCAGCCAGCACCTTGAACTTGAGTCGGGCCGACGGAGCCGCCTCCGCGGTCGAGTTGTAGATGTGGTTTACGGCGTGCTCGACTCTCTGGGCGATCGAAACCGAGTCGAGCGGCGACGGCATCGACACAACGATGCTATTCACAAACACAATCTGTTGTTTCTGGTGCGTAATCGTGCGAGCATGGATTGGTTAGAATGGTGGTCGACTGGATTCGGACGTCGAGAGGCTGAAGCAGAACGCTTTGAATTGCGCTGGACTGGGCTTGGAGTCCGTCGCTCGATGAAGAGGATGACTCCGGAACCAGTCGAGGCTGCATACTGCATACCGCTGAGGACTGATACGAAGGGAAGGAACATGCACCTACATCGATGTCGGACCATGTTCTGATTTGGCTGAACGGCAGAGGAGCCCGGTGGACCTTGGTGGTGATATACCAAATCGGAAGACAGAGCAGCACCACAGCCCAAACGCTGCCGATGATCGGTAGCCGGTCCAAAACTGCAGACAGGAAAAGGACGCAGGATCAGCAGCAGCAACAGGCGATGATGCGTAAAGCGACGGAGTAGGATGCAAGTGATCCAGACCCTTCATCGAGGCGAGTTCGGATGCCACGCAGAGAGCACGGAGCGATGCGAGATGCTGGCAAGAAGGAGGTGAAAACAGCGACTGGGTTCGCGGTCCTGGTCAATCCGAGTGTCCCTGGCAATCACGCCCGCCCCTTCCGCCTTGACTTTGGTCTGCCGGTCTGCCTCTGTCTGCCTCTGCCTCCAGCCCCTGCAGTCTGGCTGAGACCACATCGCATGGCTCTAGCTCATTGGCCGTGGAGTCGAGCGGAGCGATACCCATACCTTCAGCCTCTGGCAAGAGTCGAGAGCAAGGACGATGATCCAGTCGACAACACCATCTCTACCTTCATGGTTGGCCGGGTGCGCTATATTGGACAAAGTACCCATCGAGGCGAGCAGAACGGTGCCCAGGTCATTCGAATGGCGAATGCTGAACACAGTGACAGCCAGCACTGGCTCGGGTACTGCTCCCAGCGCTGCTGGGGTTGGTGGCAAGCACCTCGAAGACATTCCAGTGGTCCAGCAAATCAGCCAGCCAAGACAAATCGTATGGAGAGCTTTGTTTTGGCGTGAGCTACAGCCATGGACAAGTGTCGTGAGCGATGCAGCGAACGCATTTGAGTGGTTTCGCAGGTCAGTCATGCGTTGCAATCGCTGTGGACAGAGCTGGGTCAGGACGTGCTGCAAAAATGGCTGGGGTGTTGAGAAGGGTATCGATGAGGCTGTCGACTGGTGCGTAGAGCTGCGGAACAGGGGACTTGGGTCGTCTCTCAAGGAGCACAGTGAGATGGAGTCGTATACTAATCGACAGCATGGATGCCGAAATCAATACACACCGACATTCACTCCATGCCCAAGCACAGCAGAGGAAAGTAAATAGTGGAGAATTGTATTTATTGGCAAGTTCAATGGGTGAAAGGGGATACATGGAGGGGTAGGTGGCTATCTGAGTTTGCTGAGGCTGGTTTGAGCGTTTTTGTTGCCTTGTGCAGCTGCTTTTTGGTACCAGGATCTGGCGGTCTCAGTGTTCTTGGGGACACCTTTGCCGTCACGGTAACAATCGCCGAGCCAATCCTGAGATTCTGCATTCCCCTGACGGGCGGCCTTGGTGAGCCACTTGATAGCTTTCGCATAGTCCTGGGTGACGCCTTCACCTTTGCAGTAGCATACTCCAAGGGCAAATTCAGCATCTGCATTCCCCTGATTTGCAGCCTTGGTAAACCACTCGATGCCCTTGGCATGGTCCTGGGTGACGTCTTCACCTTTGCAGTAGCAGCCTCCGAGGGCAAATTGAGCATCTGCGTTCCCTTGATTTGCGGCCGTAGTGAGCCACTTGATGCCCTTGACGGGATCCTCGGGAACGCCGAGGCCCATGCAATAGCATTCAGCCAGCGCGAACTGACTAATACTGTAGCCTTGATAGGCCAGTTCGTGCATGATCCCAACAGCAAATTCTCGATCTTTCTTTACTCCAAAACCTCCGAGCATGCATTTTGCGACGAGGTGTCTGCAGAACCAGTCATGGTCGGATCCAAGTTGACAGAGTTGGAAGAACCCCACTGCCACTGGCGAGAACGACTCGGTCTTACCATCTCCATACACTAATAGCCGTCCGAACGGGAATTCTGGTGTCATGCTTTCGCAGAAAAATTGATGGGCCCTGGATTCGTCTAGCTGGGTACCTCGACCAAGGTAACAGCAACAGCCCGTCATAAACATGGCTATGGACTTCATGATGGCGTTCGACGACTGGCTGTGGACCAGATGCCAGTATGCGATTGCCTCGATGTCACTCTGCGCGATGCCGATGCCAGCAAAGTGCAGCCAGCCGAGCTGGAAGGCGGCTTCGAGATCCCCCTTGTCGGCGGCTGCCTGGAACAGCTCGGCAGCGGTGGTCCAGGCAGGATTGTTAGCTGGCTTTCCGTCCGACACCATGCGGGCCGCAGTGAGGTGGGCATCGACATCACCTCGCTGGATGCCAATGAGCACAGCTCGTGGGAGGCCAAAGTTGGTGAGTCTCTGGGCCAGTGTCAGGGTCCCGGAAGACTGCGACGAGCCAAAACTGCGCCCCTGCGAGGATGTTGGTCGAGATCTTTCACGGCGCGGTGAAGGGGTGGGGGAGATATCAATGCTTTGCATCTGCTGAGAGAGGTTACCAATTGGGGTTTGAGGCGGCGTGGCACTCCTGAATGAAGCGAGAATCGATACGATTTCCTTGAAGGCAGGGCGTTTGGTGGGGTCTTGATGCCAGCATTGCTCGATGAGCGACCAGAATTGGTCGGGGATGCCTTCGAAGCGGTCAGGTCGACGGCCATTGCAGACCAACCGCTCGATTGCGCGCTGGACCAGCGGCTGTCCATCGCCAGACGTCCAGATGCTGCCATCGTTCTTGAGCGCCTCGTAAAGCATGATACCAAAGGCGTAGACGTCGGTCTTCTTGGAGGATCCACTTGGACTCTCTTCATCAAGCAACTCCGGGGCCATATAATCCAGCGTTCCACCGACCGACTGGCCCGGCCGAGCGGTGGAAGAGGCTGAAGTATGTTTGGTGCGGGCCATGCCAAAGTCCGAGATCACAGCACGGTATTCTCCATCCAGCAGGACATTCAGCGATTTGAGGTCTCCATGGACAATGGCGTTGCCGTGGAGGTAGGCCATGCCTGAGGCGACCTCGTACACGAGGCGGAGGCGATCGTCGAGCGAGCGTGGGTTCTGGCGATCGGAAATGTACCGCTTCAGGGTCCCGTTCTTCATGAACGGCGAGACCATGAAAGGACGCTCGGTAGTATCGCATGCACCGTGGAGAGGAAGAATATTTGGGTGGCTCAGCTTGTACCAGACTTCGATTTCACGGCGAAACTGAGCAATCTCAGTCTCGGGGTAGCTGGTCAGGAGCTGCTTGACGGCAACATCCGAGCCATAGTAGGTGGCGCTATAGACCTCGCCAAAGCCGCCGCGGGCGATCGGTTCAAGGGAGCGGTTGGTGATGGAGCCGGCAGGGATGCGCCATAGCTCGTGCTTCATGGAGCGAGAAATTCTCGACTGGCTCTGGAGCATGTGGAGGAGCGGAGCGACAGCCTTGTCGATGACCTGTTTGTCAATCTTATTGTCCTGGAGAAGGTCATGGAGGGCAGCGGTGGCTTGGCGAATCTTCCACTCCTGCTGATTCAGACGAATGTCCACTTGGTCCAAGACGGCGGCATTGTTCTGCTGGAGGAGGGTGGCGATTTGGGCGATGAGGGCCACGTTCTGGGCTTCGTCGTGCTGGACAGCCTGGCGGAGGTCAGCTTCGTTGAGCATGTCGTTGCTGTTGATGTTGAGGGCCAGCTTCACACTCTGCCAGAGGACACTGAGCTCTCGACAGAACTGCTCGATTCGGCGGCGGATCTTGTTGGCCCTGAAGACCCGCTCGACCCTGTGGAGGGCCTGGACCTCGTTGGTGTAGTATTCCTGGATGGTATTGAAGAAGGCGGTGAGCCTGTCCGCTTGCGAGGAGAATCCAGGCGCAACGGTCCGAGACTGCGAGAGAGCGATCAAAATGTCGCGGGAACGACGGGCCAGGAAGCCCCACGACTTTTGGCTCTCGTCCGCCTGCTGGACATCGGTGAAGAGCGCCAAGACAACTTGGACGAGGCCTTGGAGGGAGCGATCGGAGTGGTGGGCGAGTGCAGTGATTTACTGGCGACGACGGTGATTTCGAGGATCGGCATGGTTGGGAATCAAGCCTGACGAGGGAGATGCAACGGCGGAGCGGGCTCGAAGAGGAGCGGAGGCGATACCCTCCATGAGGCTGGTGTCTGTGCTGCGCAATGGTCACGCGGACATGCGCAGCAGTGTCAAGCCACACCGCACAAGGTTCACACAAACGATTGGGCAGCCCGAACAAGCAGTCACCATCTTCCAGAATGGCATTCCGCATCACGACAGCGCACAACATGATCATCTTGGGCAGGGTGACAAGGACGTTGTCGAGACGACCTCGTTAATGGCACACGACGTGGTGCATGCACAAGCCATCATTCGACTCTCAGCTGGGATCGGGAGTCGTCCCATTTCGTTCGTACCAACCACATCACTACCGAGAGTATATAAGCGAGCCTCACCTCCCCACATCCCTAGTTCCCTCTCTGCCCTTCGTCGACTCTACCCACTATGACTTCCGTGGCCCGCTCACCTTGCATGCTTCTCGGCCCTATTGCCTTCAACATTGTGTTCATGGAGCAGCAGCAGAGATTATGGGCGATCTGCCAACACACTCTCTTCCCAATGGTCCCTGCCTCTCATTGACTCCATTGCACTCCTCTCTTCATGCTTGCACCTTGCTCTCACTCCCACGCCTCACAGCCCGACTGACATCTGCGCCTTCCATTCCATCAATGAACGACGCAATTCCACTCAATCATCTCATGTGTGCCTGGTTGTGATGTGGCCAGTATTGTTGTTCCTCGGGTCGATCCTCCCTCACACTCTCACCAAATCTCAGTCCATACCTGCATTTCATGACCGAGTCTGGTCGACTCTGTGCTGTGAATAGGAAGGCTCGATTTCATTTCTGATTCCACGATCAATACATGTGGCAGTACATGTGGCAGTGCACGGGTAACAATGCGTCCAGCCAACAAACCATCGGATCGAGCCAGGCTTGTGTGTGTATGTTCAATGTCCAGGGTTTGGCTTGCCAGGGTCTGGCTTGCTTCGCCACAACTTGCCTCTCTGTCTCCTGTCCATCGCCATCATCCACTTGCCTTCCTCCTGTCTCCGTCAATATGGCCAGCTTGATCGAGCCTGCTTCAACCACAGCATCATCTGCCACCCACCAAAGCCAAGCTGAAGCCACCACAGCCTCGTCAATGCCCGAAATCACCCAACTCTCACTCGAACACAGCCCAGACATATTCACCATCATCTGCTTCAACGACAGCTTCCAACTCGCCCTCGATCACAGCACCATCAAGACCCTCCTTCGTGTTTGCAAACGAGCTCGACCCCTCCTGAGCTCCAAGCTTCCTCGCTTCAATACCTGGTGCCAGAATGCCGAACTGTACAATCCAGACAGACAGATGCAGATCGGCCTCACACCGAGCGACAAGATTGCCCTCTCGCTGCATTGCGAGGATCCAGTCAAAGTTGGCCGATCCTGGCTCATTGCCCAAGCAGACCAGGGTAACGCTGCTTCATCGTATCTCCTGGCCCGGTTCCTTCAAGCAGAACTGGTACGTCAAACCTTTGCAAGCAGGTCCAGGCTGATGCAGATCAGCCAGCGAATCTTCCACCTCCTCGAGGCAGCGGCCAACGCGGACCACGCAATGGCAAAGTTCCACCTGGCTGGATGCTATCACGATGGCATCGGAGTCGACAAAGACCAAATCAAGGCTATCCAATTGTATCGCAGTCTTGCAGAACAGGGGATCCCTCGGGCCCAAATCGCTCTCGGCCAATATTACGAGAGCGGCGAAGGTGTCGATCAAGACTTGAACACAGCCATCGATTGGTATTCCAAGGCTGCAGACCAAGGCAGCGACGATGGTCGACTCCACATCGTGTGCCTCCGAGGATGGTTCTCGTTCCTCGGTCATGGTGTCGAACAGAGCGACGAAGCTGCCTTCAACCGCTGGCAGGAAGTCAGAATCCAGTCCACCGACCAAGCCCTCAAGTCGATCGCCACGCATATGGTCGGCTGGATGCACTATCTCGGCCGGGGCACCGTGAGAGACGAGCAGAAGGGCATCAAGATCATTCGCGACAGCAAATCGGACCGATTCCCCTTCGGAGAAGAAGAATGTTTGGCAAATGAATACGGAGCATCCGCCATCTCCGACTCCCACGCATCCCAACAGTTCTTCGGGCTGTGCCAACTGGGATCAGACCGAGACTGGCTCTGCATGCATCTCATAGCCGTGTGCATATTCTTTGGCTTCGGAACCAAGAGAGACCACGAAAGAGCTGCGAGTGTATTCGAGCGGCTTGCCAACGAAGGCCGCAGTGACAGCCAGTTCTGGATTGGAGAATGCCACTACGGGGGCCACGGAGCATCGCAGGATTACGAGAAGGCCTTTGAATGGTACAGCAAGTCTGCCAACCAAGGCAATTCGTACGGACAGTGGATGGTTGGTGTGTGCTTCTCCAACGGCGAGGGAGTCGCCAAGGTCGACGCCAAGGCAATCGAGTGGCTCTGCAAATCGGCCGAGCAGGGCAATCGGTACGGACAAGATTGGCTCGGCGACTGCTATGAAGAAGGCTGGGGTGTCACCAAGAACATCGACACAGCCGTTTTCTGGTTCCGCAAGTCGGCCGATCAGGGATATAAAGATGCCATCTGTAGCCTCAAATGTCTGAACAAATGGGAGTGAGCATCAAGCACCTCCAGAGCACCACACATACCCATGCCATTGTCGTTCTCCTCAAAGTCCAAGCAAGGCGTGCAGCCAAGCCGGCTACTCCATCAACACCCATCCCGAATGATGTTACAATGTGTTCTGAATGAAACGGGACCGTGTCCATTAATGCCCCAGATCAACCGCTGAGAGGGAACGATCTTGGAATGTAATATGTATTCGACCATCAGAACAGTTCCGTGGCTTCTCGACATCAAGACGGTCGGGTTGAACGAGTTGCTCGCTGCTGCTCTGGGGTCCTGGGCATCGTTGGTGTCGGTGATGGGACTGCTCAAAGTGCTTGGTGAATGTGAGTCTGCGTGGGCTCGATGGGCACTCCCTCCTCTGTCTGCAGGACCCAGAGAAAGCGACTCCCCGACTCAGCGGCAGGACATCTCGTTTCTGTTCGGGTGCGCTGTCGATCAAACAAAGCCCAGAACCACAACTCCGCCCCGCCCATGCCGCTCTGCTTTGGGGCGAATCAGCGGCTCTGTTCTGCCATCGCCTCGGCACCATCCGCACAACCAAGCCGCCGAAAGCAACGCAAATGAGCACGGCCGGTCTTGTCGACATGGACTCATTCTTCTCGGACCGATCGCTGGACGACAACGACGAGAAGCCGTCGATTGGTCCCGTTTCAATACAGGGCCCGCCGCGATGGTGATCCTCTTGACGCACTCGCCCCCTCACCGTTTTATCATGTGTTTCGTTGCCGTCGGCGGCCTTGCCTATCGTCTTGCCTATCGTCTTGCCTATCGTCTTGCCTATCGTCTTGCCTATCGTCTGGCCCATCGCCGCTCACTCATTCCAGTCTCCTGACTCATCCGGCTCCAGCGGCAAAACAGCGCTCCTTTTCCAATACGCCTATGCCCATGCTCTGCAGTCGCCATCGAGCCACGTCCTGTTCATATCGCCGGGACAGGACCGACTCAGCGGCCTCTTCCAGACACAGATCGAGGCACTGGGTTCCTTTCGTCACCAGGATGAGGGCAGTCGAAGCCGATATCAAAGTCAAAATCAAAATCGCAACCGAAGCCGAAGCCGAATCGACCCGGCTGTCATGAAGCGCATCCACCACCGCTACATCGACTCGGCATTTACGCTCTCGTGCTTTCTCTCGTCACTGACACTGCTCGGGAGCGAGCCGCGGCTGGCGGAATACCCAGCCTGCATCGTTATCGACGACCTTGTCGAGGTCTTTGCCCCAGATGAGCTCGAGTAAGACGATCCCGATCTAGAGACTGCTGGGGAGTTCCGGTAAAGCGGATTGTGACGACGCCGATGAGGTGTGGGTATCGTCGCTGACTCTTGGCTTTCTTGCGCTCTCCTCCTGGGGCTGCAACATGCTCGTCAATGTCGTCTGTTTCGGTTGACCCCGCTTCCGCCCCGACTTCATCTCCTCGACGGCGATATGCGTTTGCGGTGGGATATCGGTCGGCGAAATACGACCGCCCACCAGAGCTGACTGTGTCGTTCGGGTCTTTGGGCTGCTGAACGATACGATACAAGCGATCCGACAGAAAAGCAGGTGAGGAGAGAAAGGAAACGTAGTGGCCGAGGGCTTTGAGTGAGTCCTCCCATACGTAACTTGCCAGGGCAGGCGTCGTCGCTGCTCGAGCTGAAGAGACGCATGCTCGCTGTTGCCAGAAACCGTTGCCAGGCCGTTGTCGGGTTCTCTATCCCTGGAAACAGCCAAGTCGCCGCAATCTTTCACAAAGCCTGTCGCCGATATACTCGTTGGGAAGGGGCGATCGAGCCAGGTAAGCGCTGCCGGACAGACAAGCCCCTCCCCGCAAAGTTGACCGCTGAGCCTATCGAACGAAGGTTCCAACCCAAACCACGCCGCGGACCATGCTCTAGTCACGGCAGGGCTGACGGGTGTTGCATTGGTCTGGGTGACAGATCCCGCCAGACCCAATGTCTTTCGGCTGGTGTTTTCGCAGTCGCCCCTCTTTGCCAGCCTCGGGAGCGATGATCTGGACGAGACACCCGACCTCGATGTCGCTCTGGAGACGCCGGCGCCACGCGGGCTCTCGGGCCTCGAACAGACGTACCAAGTCACCAAGCCAAGCAGGCCGTGATTGCTCGAGCGCCCGGAGGGATACGATGGGTTCGGCTGAGACGCAGCAGTCCTGATGCAATTCACCGCAACGATGGGGATGCGATTCGCCGCAACGAGGCGGATGCCATGGATGACGAGTCGCACACAACGGCTCTCTGGAATCCGTAAGCGACGCAGATGCCAGGAAGCCGGGTACACATCCCCCCCCCTCTCGCTCTTGGTTCTCCTGCCCTGGAAACAATACACTGACCGGGTCTGCTCGTCAAACAGCGGAATCTCGAGGCGAGACGACGGAGTGCGCGCACCAGCCGAGCCCTGGCCATGGTAATGGGAAACGTGATGGCCGATGGCTGATGGCGGCTGCAAGCCCAGGAGCAATCCTCGGCAAGGTTGGCTTGCTGTACAGCCCGGGATTGCCTTCGCCGACAGATCCGCAAGCCGAGGTGGATTGCGAGCAGCCACTCTGCCCACAGGACCCGAAGCACGTTGGGGAGGGGACACCGCGACGAGAAGGCGATACACAGACCTGGGCTGTGACGTCAGAGGATCGATGGCGACGGACACATGGCTGCCGATCGATCGGCCAGCAGGACAGATTGCGCTTTGGCCGAGCCATCCCTCCAAGAGGCGATACCGACGAGATGGCCGCGAGGCAGGTGGGGAGCTGCAGGGGGGGGGTTTGCCTGGCGAATCCAGCCCCAGGGAGACGACGAAAGCCCAGGCAAGGATGGCGTCAGACGGGGACGCGCGGTGGGGGGCCGAGAGCCTGGCCGCCAATAGCGCTGACGCGATTCGCCGAATTGCGCGGCGTGGACAGCGGGGCCAATGGCAGGCCGGGGGCGTGGGTGGCTGGCGACGCGGTGATTGGCTGCATGTGGGCTGTCTCCATGGCGTGATTGGCCAGACACAGGACAGGGCTGATTGGCTGCGGGCTGGCTGCATCGCCGAACGTGTGCATCAAAGCCGGGTGACATGTGCGCGACAGGGCTGTGGGGACAAGCCCAGGCAGGGACAGGCGCGGGATGTGGGGTTGAGATGTGGAAGGAGCAGCAGACCGGCCAAGCAGCGCAGGAGGAGCACGGCCCGGAGAATCAGGGCATGGCGCAAGTGCCGCGAGGAACGTGTGCGTGGTGCCGAGCCGTGTCCCTTTGGCCATGTCCCTTGGCCATGTCCCTTGGCCATGTCGCTTTGGCCAGAGTTGCGACCAGGTGCGACGACCACCATCGCCCTTGCGCTCCGGGCACAGACACATCCAGCAAGCACCAGCAAGCACCAGCAAGCACCAGCAAGCACCAGCAAGCCCAGCAGGCCAGAGCAAAGATCGGCGCTGGCTGAATTCGGGATACAAGGAAGTCGCAGAGGCACCCGCCTGGCAGCCTTAGGCATTGACTTGGTCTGTCCGGACGGGGATGTGGTTGGTCCAATCTGCAGCAGTCGGAACACAGCGAGGCCATGGTAACGCCGGAGGAGGTGCTGGCTGCTTCACCACCACCGCGCCAGGGAAGAAGGACAGCCGGACGGTGAGGACAGCCGACGCCGACGACTGGACGAAAGACACCGTTAACAGGCTAAATAGCGCCTGCAGCTTGACAAAGGGATGAACCAGCGTACACCGGCGATTTGCCAAAAGAGAGTGAGAGCGAGATCCGGCAGCAGCGACCAACCCTCGAGGAGGCCGTGCTGGATGCAGGCAGCCGTATCGTATCAGCGGCGGAAAGCGCCGTCGCCACGCATGGCCGTGCATGGCCGCGCGGTCAGAATAATGCCGGGGGGGGGTACTTCCCGGGCAGCACGGGCCACGCCGAGACCGTACGGTCTCGGTGGCCAATCGCCTCGGCAACAAACGGAAACTGGTCCACTGCCCTCGGCTGCCACCGGGTCCAGGCCCAGGCCCAAGGACGAGGCAGCGCGCACACCCGTGGCTCTGTGGCCGGCCAGCGAAATCTTGTGTTCGGTCGCAAGCACCCGCACGTTCCGGTGGGCGTGTCGGTCTTGCGGGGAGGGCGAGGGCGAGCGACGGGTTATAAGCCGAGGACCAGCCCCGGCCAGGCCGGGCAAGACCACCGCTCTGGCCGCGCATCGATCTGCGACGACTCGGGCATCTGTTTGAAGTGTCGCACTCGCCCGACCTGCGTTTATTTAAACTGCACTCGTTTGAACTGCAGCGTCGCATTTGTTTGAACTGCAGTGTTGCATAGCACTTTGCACACCGCTCTTTGCACATCGCATCCCGACGACTCACCTCGCACCCACCTCGCATCGTTCTGCATCTTCCTGCATCTTCTTGCATCTCCCTGCATCTTCTTGCATCCCGTGTCTGTCTGCGTCTCGGCTGTGTCGCTTGTCTGCGCTGCTTTCATCGATCTTGCCTGCGTTCCCGCACTGCCACCTGTCTGTCGTCGGCTCCACCGACCGCTCCTTCAGCACCCCCATCGAACCTCAGTCATCGTCCATCCCGGCGTCCATTCCAGCGCCCCTGTCCGTTGGCCGTTTATCAACTCCGTGTTCCCCCGCATACCCCTCGCCTGTTTCCTCGCCTTTCATGGACCCCAAAGACATGCGCGCTCCACGACTGCGATCGCTCTTCATCCGCAAGGAGGGCGCGAGCCCCAAGCTCTCGCACGCCGTTTTCTCAAAGTCCAAGAGCATGGAGACCATCAAGGAGGACCCCTCCTTTGCTGATCCCGACTCGATCGTCGTCCAGGGGTTTCCGCTGAATGTCCACGAAAAGGTCCCCAAGATCCCGTCAAAGTACCAGCGCAGAAGAAACAACTCTGTCCAGGATGGCTCCATCGCGACCTACATCGAGGGCCGCCGCACCAGCGACACCTCCACGACCAGCTCCATTGCCAGCTCGGTCTCGAGCTTGAGCTCCAATTCCTGCCCCAACTCCAACTCTGGCCCCTCTGGCTCGCCCAAGGAAGTCAGGCTCACGAGCATTCTACGAAAGCCCTCCAGCAGCACCCAGCTCTCCGGCACGCCCTCGGCCCTGGTCATCTCTCGCTCCACCAGCTTCACAAGCGACCGCTCCTACGCCTGCTCCGATGCCCACTCGGTCGCCATGTCGCCTCCTCCTCGCTCGCTGCAAGACCCCGACGACTCGGCCGGCTCCTCGCAGCCCGATGTCTTCCGCTGCTACATCGAGTACTTGCGTGCTCCCGCGGACTCGGGCCTGCGACGCGCGCGCTCCATGGCCAACATCATGGCCGAGCCCGAGGTCGTGCTGGCCCCGAGTATCCGCAGCGAGCCCGCGTCGCCCACCGATTACGACTCGTTCTCACGCCTTGACGAGCTCATCGGCACCGTCCGTGCTGAGATGAAGTCCTATGTCGGGGTCCTGGACCACCCCTCGGCCGCACCCTCGCCCTCGTCGTACGGCCGCCCTATCGTGCAGGAGCATCTCGACAACATTCTCCAGCACCAGGTCAAGCCCTTCCTCGACCACGCCGCCAACCGCTGGCTGGCTACGGCTGGAGCCATCGACTGGAGCCGCGTTCTCCAGCTCGTTGCCTCGCCCGGCCGCCGCTTCCCGGACTGCGAGCTCTACTACAAGGCTCTCATCCGCCAGCTGCCCGTCAACATTTACCTGGCCAACCGGACCCTGCGCCGATGCTACAAGTGCAGCGACCAGGAGGAGGACATTGAGCACTTTTTGATTTCGTGCTCCCAGGCGGTCGAGCTCTGGGCCCTCTGGACGACGATGCTTTCCGAGGCCATTGATCTCCCTGTGCCCTCGGCTACCCTGCGTGACGTCCTGCTGATGTTCCCGGATCTAGAGCCCGCGCTGTCGTCGACCCAGTTCTTTATCCTGACCTGTTTCCATGCCGCTGCGCTGTCGACCCTGTGGAAATGCCGCTCGTACCCACAGAGCTACCGCTTTGTCAACGAGATCTTCAAGCGCCAGGCCGCCGAGCGTCTCCGCACCGAGCGAGTCAATATCTCGCCAGCAGTCTCGTCCACCATCGACTGGGGCCACATTGACGCCTATATCGAGGCCAATCTACCCTAAACCAAGAAGGGGAGACACCGCAGCCTCAGGGACAAAGCCAACAAACATCAAACAAGCAATCGAAACAGCAACCAAGAAACCGAAAAACATGAACCCAAAGAAAAAACTCCATATGAGGAACCATGCCGGGGGGTCTGGTCACCCAACTCGCTTTGGCCTCTTCATTTTTTAACTCACCCCTGTACTTGACAAGCATCCCCCCCCCACTTCCTCACATATCTCTGCCATCATCAATGCGATTTTTGTCTCTTTCGCGCCTGGCGTCACATATATCTCTCTTCCACTCGGCCATCCGTTATTCTGCCTTTGTCGCATTCTATTCCCCCCCCCATCCTCTCAATCTTCACGCATATCCCCTCTTTCCCCTCTTCCTGCCTCGGCACATCGTGCCGGCGCCGTCCGCAATCTCGCTGCTTGTCGGCGTCTGCTTGTGGCCGCCGCCGCCCCCCATTGTCCCCGCGATATTGCCACTCCAGGCTCGCCGCACCGCTCGGTGCGGTCGGTTTTGTCCGGCCCCCCCTCCACCGCTTCAGCGTTGAGTCAGCCCAGCCCCCAATCCGTTGGGGCAGCACTTGCTCGGTTGTCTTTGCTGCTCGGGGTGGCTGGGCCCATTGCTGTTTGGTTGTTGCTGCTGTCGTTGACTTTGTTACTTGTCACTGGTTTTATTCTGCTCTTTTTTTTTTGCTTTCCTTCATTTGCTATCTCACTTCGTGTATTCTAATGCCCTTCTATGCGCCTTCGATGTCCTAATATCGGCATCATTCATCATCGCAATACAGCGCTTCATTTGCATCGATCAGATAACGCTCATTCCGCTCCCTCCCCCTCGACTCGACAGTCGTCCTCTTTTCGACAGACACTAACTCTCTGCGGTGTGCCGCTGACGATCGCTCGCTTTCATGTGCATGTATCGCCAGCAGCAGCGAAGAACAGTCAGACCGGCCACCGGGGGGCAGGGGGCTGTGTCTGCTTCTGGGCATCGATGTGTGCTTGGGGCTTGCTTTGTTGCACCTGTTGGCCGTTCTGACAGCCATTGGCGCAGGTCGCCATCGGAAAAGGAGGAGCAGGACCCCCTCCATCCTCGTCCTTCCGACCACAACAAGAAGTGTCTTGATGCCGGGTCCTCTCAGTCAGCGAGCGGTGGGCGAAGCAAGACAACGACGGCAAGGCAGTGACAGAGGGTGACGACGAAGACATGGCAGGAAGAAACGGCAGCAGCGGCCTGGACAAAGGCGAGCAAAAGCCCTCCCCCCATTTCTTCTCACCTTCTCTCCCCCCGGGCTGTTGCGTTGTCCCTCTTGTCTGGACAGTGTCGCCGGAAGACTTGTGGCGGGAATGAGTCACGGAGATCGTCGGAGAGACGAGCGCCCCCCAGAGCCGGGGTCACCCTGGGTTGGCTCGTGGTTTCGGCGACATGTCCCGAGCCGAGCGGGGGCTGGGGACCATCATCGATAACGAGTGGGGCATGTCTCGGTTTGATCGACAGCGCACCCGAACAGAAACGAGATGTCCTGCCGCTGAGTCGGGGAGTCGCTTTCTCTGGGTCCTGCAGACAGAGGAGGGAGTGCCCATCGAGCCCACGCAGACTCACATTCACCAAGCACTTTGAGCAGTCCCATCACCGACACCAACGATGCCCAGGACCCCAGAGCAGCAGCGAGCAACTCGTTCAACCCGACCGTCTTGATGTCGAGAAGCCACGGAACTGTTCTGATGGTCGAATACATATTACATTCCAAGATCGTTCCCTCTCAGTGGTTGATCTGGGGCATTAATGGACACGGTCCCGTTTCATTCAGATCATGTCTTTACCGCCGTGTCCTTGTGAGCCCAACCAGGTAGATCCAGATGCTCACAAAGACCCCGTCGTATCCAACGCAGTGCACCGATACCGAGAACTCGGCCGTCTCGTCAAAGTTCGAGTGGACGTCGGTCGCATAGACGGCCTCGAGAACGGCGTCCATGTCGGTCAGGGTCATATGCAGCGGAAACCCCACGATCTGGTACACGGCATGAAGGGCGGCAAGCTCCCGCTCGAAATCGGCCTCGGCGGCCATCATATGGCCTTCCAGAAGGCTGTCCTCGAATGTCACCAGGATCGACTTGAACACCCGAGCGCAGAGCCTGATCCAGAAGCATGGTGTTAGCGGCCACGAGGAGTCAGAGCCGCGCACTATTGTTGCATGAACACCTTTCATGACCACCAGGACCACAGCACAACAGCCACGGTCCATGCCGTGTCGCTCAGGAGAACAAGCACCATGGGCATGGTCAATACCCTCCTAGTCCACCATGATCCTGCTCCATCACGCTCCATCGTGCTCCATCGTGCTGCATCCCGCTCCAAACCATACCGATTCCATCGGGTCAGTCGGTGCTTTCGCCACTCCTCGATCTTCTGAACGACGCATCGCTCGATTTCCTCCTCGAGTATTCTCAGTGTCGTCTTGGAGGATCGCTTGTAGACCAGCTCCTCCTTCTGCGTATTCAGGGTGTCCGTCCAACATGCGATCGTAAGAATGCAAGTCCCACCGGTCTTGCCAGTACCCCGTCTGCTAGTTCAAGGATCACTTGCGATGCTGGTCGACAGCCCTTGCAGATCGCGGGATGTCCAACACACTCCCCTCCCCGCCGCTCCTTCCCTCTCACCTGGATTGATTCCATGTTGATGGGCGGAAATCCTCGTGTGAGCAGAGGCCTCCACAAACTCTGGTCTGTGATGTTCCAATTGATGCGCTGCGGATCCTCGTACTCTTGCTCGTTCGCCCAGATCTGTGCCCACAGCGGTTTGCAACAAGAAGTGTCGAGGGAGAAGGGATCTCTGTGAGTGGCATGCAAGGCGCCTGTGATCGATGAGCAATGGGCGATATCGCCTTGACGGGGTGACAAAGTCCTGGTTTAGCATCTCCACTCACATTGTCACTGTTGAAGACACACTTGACGACCACGACAGGGTTGTGTGGATCGATTGGGGCATGCCACTGTCCAGTTCCAGGATTCACAATCTTGTACGAGACTTCGGCGGCAGACTCCTCCTTGGCTTCCTCCTTGGGTCCCTCTGCGGGCTGCGGGTCACTTGTGGCCTGAGCGTCCTTGCTATCCTCGCTCACGACCACATCGGCCTTTGCGTCTTTCTCGCCTTTGGGTCGGCCGTTCCAGATGCTCAGGCGCGGCCGTGCTTGCTGGAGTGATGAATCGCTTCCGGCGCGGCTGCCGCTCGCAGCAACCTTGGGGATCTTCAGCCCCTCGACAATCAGCACGAATGCCACCCGGGTTTCCAGACGGCCGTCCCCGAGCAAGACAAAGGCATTCTTGCCCAGATGCAACAGATAGTTGCACAGCAGGATGGCATGCTCGATCCCGTCGCCGGCGCCCACGTCCAGCACCTGGTCGCTTGTCGACCACAGCGAGCAGTCAGCCGCCAGGGCCGTGCGATTGGGGAGGAACGGAATCAAGCTCACGTATCGCGCGGCGTGGGCGACGGTGGTGCATGAGCCGGGCGGATTCTGCGGGCGGATGAATCGGGTAATGAGCGTGATGTATCCGTTCATGTCGAGACAGGTGGCTTTGACGTTGCGGGCTGGATATTTGAGACTGGTCTCCCATTTGCGGAAGGCCCGGAGATGATGCGGCTCTTCCCTAGATTTGAACTGCAAGCACAGGGCAATGGATTGGGCAAGCAGAATGGAATGTGAGCAAGGCATTCAGCACACACTGCCGAGGGACAGAGTAGAACCTGCGACGACATACAGGGGATCGAAGCAAGACCCTCCATACTCGCACAGAATTGCCCATGCAAGCCCCGCCGAGACCACTTACCACAAGATTTAGGGTGCTTGGTTGCATCAGAGGAGGGTCGAGGGTGATGAACAAGTGCAGCGACGCCTGATTTCCCGAGTCAACATTGATGTACACGGCGTCGTCCACGTTGGTGCCGGCAATCTTGTCGTATCCCAGGAGGATCGGGGGCAGCTGCAGGGCAAAGTATCCCTCCATCTGGGTGAGTGAGTGAGTGAGTGAGTGAGTGAGTGAGTGAGTGAGTGAAGGAGTGAGTGAGTGAGTGAGGGAGGGAGGGAGGGAGGGAGGAAGGGAGGGAGTGGGTGAGTGAGTGAGTGAGTGAATGAGCGGGTGCGAACACAAGGTTCAAGTTCATTCAATCACTGCATCGGACATGAGCAAACTGCACGGGGAACGGACGATGGCCACAGGGACCACATTCACGAGCTGGAACAAGCGAGTTCCTCCTCTATTCAACCATGACCGGCCCAGTTGTGGTGCAGGTACCTACCCGGATTCGCTCGTGGATGGTCGTGAACGGAATCTGGAGGGATCCCAGCCAGTTGCGCTCCTTCCGCTGATGAATGTTTCGATCTCGATCTCGATCATCCTGGCGTGGCGTGGCATGAAATGGTTTGGAGACAAGGGAGTGAAAGTCCATGTTGATTTGAGTATATGGTTTGCTCCGGCACACTCGAGTAAGATACTGCCTGCAAAAACAGTAGACATCGATACCTCCAGCAAATCCACAATGTACTCGTCAAAGACGTTGATGAACACGATCGACGTTCCAAGCTCGCTTTCGAGAAGACTCTCGGGCCGAAAGTCTCCGTCCGTGGGCTTGACGTTCAACACCAAGGTTTCGTTCCAGTGAGGAAACGGGCCGTCCCCGGTTGAAGTGCGAACCCGTTCTTGGAGAAACGATATTTCGACGTACGGCCGCACAAACTGAAGTCAAGCAGGAGGAGGGAAGGGAGGGGCGGCAAGTAGATTCAGAGGATGGGTTGCGAGATTGCGTGTCAGAGTGACGCAGCGCCGCTGTCGATCGAATGCAATGACACTGATGAAAGCACCCGATCGATTCTAGCAACATATGAACTGGGTACTGAGCGTCTGGCCACGCCGATATCCATGGCTCCGCACTACGAATCAGGGCACATGCAGTACTCCAAATCCCATCTGCTCGATGACTCTTGGACCTGGCGGTCCTCCCAATGCCAAGTCAAGGGGGGAATGTGGTGCCGAGAAAGATCATTGAGGCGGTGGATGCTTACCGTGGGCTTGCTGTCGTCCACAGGCGCAGCCGCATCCACGATGTTTGAGTTTGCGTTTCGGATCGGCAGATTGAAGCCGCGAATGACATGCGCCAAGATCTTGCAGGTCTCAGGCTGACTGACCGCCATCGAGATGCGATCCAAGCGCTTTGGCTTGAGCGGCCGGAAGGGCTTCAGAAACTGCAGAGTAAAGACTGCCTGTGGATCGGCCTCGGTGAGACGCTCTTCCCGCACAAAGTCCTCGACGCGCTTGGGTCGGTTGACTCGGGCGTTGTGGAAGAGCTGGTGGGCCCGGATACGCTTCATGAACTTGGACCGAAACTGCGGTCTGATGAGCTCGCCTTGAGAGTTGAACTCGCCGCGCTTGGTGTTCTCGGTTTGTTCGTCCTCCACCTTGTGGATGGAGAGAATCCGGGTGAGTTCAGCCAATTCAGCAGCCACCAACAAATGATGCCCCAATTCCACAGGATACATCGACACCGTCCGTGTTGCAGCAGTAATAGCACTAGTAGCACTAGTAGCAGCAGTATCAGTAGCAGCAACACACCAGACTGCGGAAGCTATCGACCACATTCTCGTAGTTTGACGGCTCGATTTGCTCGTCGTAGAGTGGAACAGGTCCGTGGAACGTGATCTTCTTGTCGAACCGTTTCGTGAGCAGCTCGAGTCGGTTGCTTACAGGCCTGCCATTGTATTCGAGCTATACGGCATGGTCACACATCGGGGTTAACATAGAAGCAGTTGCAAGGCACAAGCATGTGGGCAGCGTGGCGCACGGTATCGGCGTCTCGGTTTGCCAGCGAGGTCGCAAACCGCATCAAGCCATGACGAACGGTGCGAAACGGTGCTCGAACGGACTTGAATTGATCTTCAAAAGCAGCGCACATGACTGCCGCCCTTATTGGGGCCTCGATACTTACCCCAACACCGAATGCGGCATCCGCAAACATGCGCGGGATGCGGAAGCGCATGAACCGCTTGCTGGACCAATATTCGTGAAAAGTCTGCCCTCCCAGCTCCGTGCCGCTCGTTGATGCAGTCAAGAGCTGCTTGAGCTGGAGAATATGGCTATTTCGTGGGTCGTTCGGATCCATGGACAGGTCCGATATCCATTTCTGTGGCAAGGGTGCTGAGACGTGAGGGGAGCTGCACAGACAACCCATGACAGGCATGCAATTGCGAGTCACTAGCGCCTTACCATGATGCTTCTGACATTGATCGTGCCATGGATACCGCCCTTCGAGAGTGGATCAACGGTGAGCGCCTTGCTGAGATCCTCGCCTTTCCTGAACAAGCACCAGATCCCAACCTGTATGAGTCTCAGCGATCGAACCAAGCACCTCGCGCAGCAGAAGCACCAAGATGCACTCGCGCCGTATCCATCTTCATTGACTCACAGCTTCACAGTGGGCCCAAGGCTGTTGCCCTTCTCGTCAAACCCCCAGGCCACACTCATCCGGATGGTGCCGGAGATATGTCCTTGCTCAAAGAGCTGGCCTTCGTCCAGCGTCATGAGATTCCGCGAGCGGATCATCGAAGTGCCAGTGAATTGGAGTTGCTGTGGCTCCCGATCCAGTGCGCTTGCGTTTTCGGCTGGCTCTGGGATAGGAACGAAAACCTCGCCGAGTAGCCTGTCCCCCATCACACCCTTCCGTGTGGTAGTGTCAGTTGGCGGCGTCAGCGACAGGCATCGATTTAGGCGGCCCTTTCCGTAACTAAAGCGTCTCAAGAAACGCGATCCCAGCTTAGAAAGATCGAATAAAGCGACCCTCCCCTCGCACACGAATGATGCGGCTGCAGCGTACCATTTCATAGAGCTGCACAGAGATCTTCTCGGGCACTTCGTTGACTTGCACGGCAAAGGATGCTTCCTTGAACTGACTCGACCACGCCTTGTGGTTCTTGGACTCGTCTTCGAGGCCCAGAAAGGGAACCTTGAACGTCGTGGGGTTGATAAACTGGGGCTTGGTGCGAGTCACTTCCTTGTCGTTGTACCGAATGCAGGCGTACACATGGCTACTCTCGACCTCTCGCCGGCGGAGTTGCTCGTCCTGGTACCAGGGGGAGGGAGGTGGATTAGAGCAGCGAAGCAGCAGCGCTGCTGCCGCTCGTCTCAATCTCACCTTTGGACAACTTGAGGGTTCGCTCACGGGCTCGGTGTGCATTGCCATGATGACCAGCGAAGGAGCGCCGATGGGCCGGTGGCTGCTTTTCAGGCGCTGTCGGGGAATGCGAGGTTATGATCACCGCAAGTTACAGCAGCCTTGGCCAGTATATTTGAGCCAACTGCTCTGGATATACCCCAGTCTCTGCGATCAGCAGTCACGGTCACAGTCACAGTCACAGTCACAGTCACAGTCACAGTCACAGTCACAGTCACAGTCACAGTCACAGTCACAGTCACAGTCACAGCCGATGGATGGGTCAGGCGAGGTTACCTGTTTGATCCTTTCCTTCTCATCCTTCAGCTCAAACTTGGGCAGTGGAGGGATGCCGCTGAGTATGTCTTCGGACCGCAAATCTTCACGGCCGTGCCTGAAGGGCGACTTTTTGATCCGTGCCTTGCCTTCGTCCTTGCCGATGTCGCTCTCGATGCTGTTTCCGATTTTGCGCGACTTGCTACTCAGCTGCGTGGTTGAGTCCCAGTTCAGCACATCAGTCTCCTGGATTGATTCGCGGACCACTGGTGCCCTCCCTTCCCACACACGCTGAGCAGCTTGCTGGCCGATCGGGATACCACCGCACATCGCACTGCCATAGTCAGTGCGAGCCTGTTCGTTGTCGCGGAGCCACATGAACCCACCCTCGATGCTGACTGGTTGCTCTTGGATCTGGACTTTTTGCGAGACTTTTTGTGCTGCTCTCGCGGTTTGGACACTTGTTCGACAGAGGTGGCAATGTCTTCGTCGGACACCCGACGGCGCGACGACCGCGAGTACCGCGATAGAGAGCGACTGCGAATCTCTCGGCGCTTCTCTCGGCGCTCTTGATGTTCTTCGTTGTCATCGTCGTCGTCGATCGGATTCTCGGCCCCGTCCCCTTCTTGGTCTCGGGAACCATTGTCGCTGTCGCTGCTTGGGGACTCGGGTTCGGTTTCATGGACAGAAGGGTGTCGCTCTGCCCTGCGCGTCTCCTCATCAGCAACCAGGCGCTTGTGCCTCCACTTCTTGATCTTGTATTCCTCTGCAAGCTCATAGAGCTCATCTTCGATCTCGCGCTTCCAACCAGCCTTGTCCTGCCCAAACACAGTGAATGAGCAGTGGTCGATCGATGCCCCATGCCAATCGATCGGACCTACCTCTTCGGGGCTCCGCGGCTTGCATTTAACGCTGACTTTGAGGCTGCTTGTCGTGAATCCGCTCTGACCTCGGATATGTTTCATTTGCTCCCATTTCTGAAGGATCTTGAACTCGAGCAGCCGGTCGGTCTGTGCCTCTGTATCCTAGACACAGCATCGTGGGTGGAAAGTTGTGTGTTCAAAGATGTGAGTCGCAGCCCGCTCCCAAAACGCCAACTCGCACCTGGTACTTTGCTCGACGAACACACTGCCTTTGATGGGGTCTTGGGAGACCTACCCGCAACAGACGTGTGGCTCGGATGTTCTCGAGCAGCTTCAGGTACGCATTCTCCTGTCGCTCGTGTTTTTCACGCATGGCACGGATTTCATAGCTGTGCAGTTTTTGTCGGCTTTGCGGCTGTCCTTCAGCTTTGGACTGCCCGGATAGCTCTCCGATCGGATCCTCGGAGAACTCAAAGTATGGGTGTTCCCGCATCTGCTCCCTCAGCGACTGAAGGCAAGCCTGTCAGCTTAATGACTCAGCCCTTCCGCTGCATCGCATCCTTTCACCATCGACAGCAGCGAGCCGAGTTCCCTTTAGACCAACCTCGAGCTTGCGTGTCAAGAATGTGACAATGCCGTTTCTCTTGCGCGATCTGAGCAATCGGACCCAGCTCTCGATCTCGATGGCCAAGCGCATCTCCTCCGTCATGAGCGGGTGCTCATTCAGGCTGATGTCGACCAAATCGATGATCATAACGTACGAGCCGGTTGGGTTGTCCAGCACGGGCTTGAACGACATGGATCGCACTGCACTGCGTCGCTCGATGTGCGTGGCGTCGATCGCCTTGATCTGCGGGGCACTGCCTGGTTCACAAAACTCGAGTTCTTCGAAGAAATCGCCGTACTTGCGTGTGACTGGGGTGAACGGCACATCGCGGACATATCGGCGCGGACGATCGACTCGCCAAGGTATGGGCTGGAAGCAGAGTTTTTGGTCTGGCCCAAACCACTTGCTTCCGCTGTGCATCGACAGTCGGTGAGTGTCTGCTCATGCATGACTTTTGTGTGGCTTCGAGGAGCGCTGTCAGGTCGCTCTGTCTGAGCGGTTTGCACACGAAATCGCTCTACTCAACTAGTTGGGCTCGGTCATGCGTAAACGAAACTCAAGCTTTCGTAGGTTGCGTGGCGGAAAGTAAGGCGTCTCTGGCACAAAGAAGCCCTCTTCTTCGATGAAGTAGATGGACTGCGATAGCACGGACGTGAGCTTTCCAGTTCATGGAGAGTGGGGGAGCACACCAGGCATCCTGCTAAAGTACCGAGTGCGGCAGACGACCATGCAAAACGATGCAAGTCACTCAGAGCAGCACCAACTCACCTCTTGCAAACTCATCCAAGATTCTGTTGTTGGAGTAGTAAAAGTTTCCGGATCAACCAGTAGCTGTTTTTCCTGTCATGGTTTGATGCAGATATAGTGCTGTACCGAGTCCGGATGGTGTCTCATGCATATGCAAACACCCGCGGCCACTCATCCGCTTGCGATACAGCGCCCGACACTGCGAGACCTACCGATTCAGCAATCTTGGTCCAGCACGGCACCCACTTCTCGAGCGAAACATATGTTGATATCTGGCGCTTTTGGGCAGCCAGCTGAAGCGCATTGACTTCGTATTCGTCCTCTGATGCCGTAGATACACAACACATATGAGCGACATTGCCGTGACGGCATGAACATGGACATGCCAGCAATGGAATCAATGAGGCCAGCATGTCCACGAAGTGCTCAGTAGGGCGTTGTCAGGAGGCAAGCTATGAGGCGTTAGTCGAGGGATCAAACTGACCATAGCTGGGCGGCTCTGGCGGCACCGATGGCCTGTCCGAGTCCTTCCTCTTGAAGAGCGACCGCTTTCTTGCCTTGGAAGAACTAGGACGACCTTCAGACAGGCGCTCCTTGACACTTCCTCCATCTGCTCCGGCTTCTCGAATGTCCTCGCTTTCTTTGGGCACGATGTTGTCAGGCACTGCATCGCTACCGGTCTTGTCCTTCTGCTCGGTTTTGTCCTGCCGTCCAAGGATATCAGTAAAGTGGCATGCACAGCACAAACCTGCACCGACTCGGTTTACGAGTCTCTCCAAAGTGTCCGGGTGGCTATTACACGGACCGCCACTCGGCCGTACCTTGGTCGATCTTCTCGAGAGTCGCCGTGTGTATCCGCTGCTGGTTTCTGCCGGTGGCTTGGGTTGCTCATTGTCACTCTGTCCAGCAGGATCAGCAGGCAGTCGGCTCTTTCTGCGTGATCGAGATGCACCTCTCGCAGGCTCACCGCCTTCGATGTTGGTGTCGTTGCGGATGTGCTCTTCCTGCGAGGCATGTGCGCTGCTCTGCTCTCAGTAAAACCAGACGCATCCGCAGAATCAGCACCGTCAGTAAGTGCGGACCAGACAGGTGGTCAAAGTGACTCCCTTCCCACAAGCATGTCTTGTCCAGTGCGCCTCAAGAAAGTACTTACACTCTCGGGGATGCGGGAGCGCCGTCTCGTATATGCTCCTGCATCACGCATCGACTGCCGCCGGTATCGCGGGGAGCCGAGCGATCCCGCCAATGCGTTGACGATCGGTGGGGTGGGATCGGCCGAGCGGTGCTGCAATAGCTGGAAACGAAAGAGAGATGCCATAAATGCTCGAGATTGGTCGAGCCTCCATGAACGGCATGAGCCGAATTGAGACCTACCTCTGCGAGCATCGGTGACGATGCAAGTGTGCCATTCGAGCTGGGCTCCGCCTGGATTGCAAGCAGCGATGGCGGTATCGGATGAGCTCGTAGTCGGACTGAGCGCAGATGGATGATGCAAAAGTCATACGGCCTACCGCATTCGCGATCGCATTCCGGGCATCTCCGGTGACGGAAAAGTTGAGTGGAGACTCTGGATTCTTCCTTCGGCTGTAAACGCGAAGCTTGGCTCGCTCAAGCGCGGCCAAGTGGCCAGTGTTGCTGGGTTGGCGAGGGCAGATAAAGGGAGTGCATAATCGACAGTTCACAATGAGCCCGGCGCCGTGGAAGTGCGATGCTGGCGTCGGCCATGCTGTGCACGGGCCGGACCGAATCGTCAGAATCACTTACGGCTCGGTCTCACGGGTACTCATGGCGGCGGATGCGAGATGTGTGCTCGATTGCTGCGACCGATTGAGTTGAATTGGGGCAACAGCAACCCTGCAGTCCGGCGAGACAGCGGCGGTGGTTGTTGGATGGAGCAATCATGTCCTGAAAGGGCGCCAAAGCCGCTGCACTTGCGCGGGCACTCGACTCTTTCGACAACCCTCTCTCCTGTACTCTGATATGGGCCGAACGCACTTTCATCGACTTCTCGCCCATGCCTGTGTCCATGTCTGTGTCCATGCCATGGTCGGCGTCGATGCGAAAGTACTCCTCGCTTGGATTTGATGGATCATGGCGGATGGCCGGCCTTGCGCAGCACCCAGATCCACCACCACAAACCAGGCACCAACCCGCACCATCCCAGCCCGCATCTCGATCTTCATCGGCCCTTGACTGCCCCTTCCTCCCTCTTTCTCTCGATCGCTCAGGGAACAGACATACCGCCGACTCTCTCCGATAGACCCCGTTACCGCCGCCGATCTCCGGTCCGCATATCCACGCAGCTTGCATCATGGCCCTCACAACCGGCGCGATGGCCAGCATCTCGCTGGAGGACAAGCGCAACGCTTACTTCTTGATGGTAGCGTTCGAGAGCTGCTTCTCATGTCGATGCCTCGCTTGCGTGTGCCTGTTTCGATTCGAACGGCTCAGTTTCGCTGTATTGCAACTCTCTTGGCTGACGATATCGTCAATGAGCGCCATCACTCAACCTCTCTCCCCCTCCCACCAGTTGCGATCGCCCACAACAGCCCTGTTCAACCCCGACAGCTGGGCATACAATAAGCGAGACGACAAAAATCCAGCCTCGGAGGTCCGATCGTGCGTATCCATTATCCTGGACTCCAATCCCGAGGACGGGCCGGCGATCTTGGCCGCATTCGTGGATTATCTTGTCCTGGGGCTCCTGCGGCCGCTCCATAGCCAGCTCACGTCTCCAACGATGATCGAATGTGTGCTCGAGACACTTGCCGCCATCCTCAGCAAAGTGCCCCCGGGCTGCATCAGCCCGCTTGCTTTCCATGAAGCTCTCCTGGCTATTCCCAAAACGCTGGGTCGCCGGCTTCAACGGCCCCCGGTGCCATCGCCATCGCCATCAGCACCGACATCGGCACCGACAGAACAGGCATCGGTCCTGCGAGATTTTTCGTCGATGCTGTCGGAGGAGGCTGTGTTGGCCGGAGTTCGATGTCTCGAAGATCTGATGCGGATCGCCGAGCGGCCCCATGACGATCTCGGCCTCTCGATCGCACCCGCCGAGGCCTCCAAGGAACTCGGAAAGATCTCGTTCCAAGAGCCCCTGGCCTTTGTGATATTCTGGCTGCTCGACATCCTGGACCGACAGAAGCGACTCGAGCTTCACACGGCCGCGTGCGCAACGCTGACGGCTCTCTTTCGCAGAGTCGAGAAGGTCGACTTGCTGGTCAACGTACTGCCGGGTGTCTGCTCGTCCTTGAGCAAGGTCGTGTGCAAGGCCGAGTCCTCGAACAGTCGACTGCTGATGGCATGTCTCGACACCCTGGGGGATCTCATCTGCCACGCGCTCTCAGACGAACAAAATAGCGAATTCATCGTGCGGGCCCCTGCAACCTGGGCTGATCTGAAGGATCCCAGCGTCAGCTCGAATGTCGATGGTGTCGGCGTGGAGGCTGATCTCGGCAGCCCGTCGACGGCTGTTGTTCGAAGCGATATCTCTCGAATCGGCGACGGCGATCAGGGCAGCGACTCTGCAACTTCCAAGCCAAGCAGGACGCCCCGGCTCAAGCGCTCGGCCCAATGGCTGAATCAAGTCGACGAACGCCTCTCTGGTCTGTTCAAGGCGGTCAGCCAGAGACGGAACCATCCCCAGTGGAAAGTGCGCGATTGCTTTGCTCAGCAATACGGGCAGATGGCGGTGGCATGCTGTCAGTCGCTGCCTGCGACTGTCTCTGTCCTGATCGAGACGCTTGTCTTTTATGTCGGCGATCCATACCCGCAAGTCCGTCAGCAGTGTCAGCGCCATCTCCACGAGCTTTCGCTGCGGTCTTGGTACGAAAAGTCCTTCCTGGATCTGCTTCGAGCCAGCCTGCATCACCGGCTCCAAGGCCTGGCCCAGACACTGACCAGGAAGACCGAGAGCGAGGAACAGAAGCTCGATGCTCTCCGGATCGTCAACGGGTACATGATCCTGCTCAAAGACGCCTCCTCGGTGGTTCTCAGCACTAGCCTGGGCCAAATCTCGCCGGGGCTCATGGAACTGGCCGTCATGGATGTGTCGGACGTGCGCATTGTCGAAGATCGAACGGCCTTTGGTCAGTACGATGCCTTTGTGCAGCCATCCACCGACGACGGCGTTGCCACCATCCATCCAACTGAACCAACTGGATCGACTGGATCGACTGAGCATCCAAAGCGAGACACCAATCGCAAGTCGATACCGTCCAAGCATCCGGAGCAGTTCCCTCGGCGCAAGTTTGCGCACTTTCACGACGAGCGCATCTATCGCGAGCTCACACTCACCTGTCGCCTCATGGCACGCTATGGCAATCCCCTACAGTTGTTTGATCACTTTTGCTCATACTTGCGCGAAAGCAGTAACAGCAGCAACAGCAACAGCAACAGCAACAGCCGCAGCAGTGGTAAAGGCGGAAATAGCAGCAGAACCAGCCACGGCTCCGAAGGCAGTACCATCGCCAACGACCCAGACGTCCGATCGGACTACAGCGTGCAAGCGTTGTTCTACTTGAACGAGCTCTGTCTGGGCGTAGGTGGTGTTGGGTTGGGTGATGAGCCTGTTCAAGGCCAGGCAGATAGAAAGAAAACCGCCCGGGCACGCCGAATCGCACAGTCGATCGTCCAAGAGTACATCAAATGCAAGATTATGGACGCCCCGACACATGTCAGCGAGGCCGAAGCCGATTCGGGCACGCAGCACGACCGTCCTGGCCCGAGCGGCAGTAGCAATGCTCTGCTCTTGAAGGGACTGCCAACGTCCCTCGAGCAGCGCCTCCATATTGTCGATTTGCCAAGAAAGAACTCAGTTTTGTCGTTCAATCTGAACATCACCCGAATCAGTCTGATCCTCGAGGGGCTCGCCAACTGCTCTCGAATCCTCAAGCGAGAGTTCCGGCCGCTGCTGATGGACTGCGTCTATCAGATTCTCGAAAAGATCGGGCATACCAACACCATCGTGAACGCCTCGGCGAACGCCGCCCTCTTGGTGATTGCAGAGCAGTCGGGCTATGCGACCCCCAGGGAGCTCATCCTCCAGAATGTGGATTACATCATCAACAAAGTCTCGTTGCGGCTCGGACCTCACTGCTTTCATGCCAAGGCGCCTGTCGTGCTCGATGCAGCGATCCGAATTGCCGGCGGCAGCATCATCCGCTTCATGGCAGACTCGATCGACGAGATCTTGGCGACCCTGGATGCCTACGAATACTGGAGCCAGCCCGAGCTGCTGGTGGCTCTGGTGACGGTCATGTATCGGCTCACGTTGGCGATGGACCCTTCCGAGAATGCGGCTGCTGCCCCAGGCCATCAGAGTGTCCGGACTGAGGCCCCAGGTGACTCTGACGACAGCAAGCTCGGCAAGGCGGAGGACACTGCCTCACCCGGGACCATGTCTCCAAGCGATGTGGCGGCTGATGTGGCAGCGTCTGCACGGGAAGAGATAGAAACAGGCTCTGAACCGGCTAACGCAGCTGAAGAATGCGAAGACACTGAACTGGCAGCCCCAGGCGTCTCGAGCGAGATCCAGCAATTCTGTCTCTACTACCGCTCGGCCATGGAAGTCGATAGACAGGAGGCGGTCTCGGGGCCTGCGAAAGACGGCAGCGAAGATGCCGGCGGCTCGAGCCCCGAAGATGTGCGCGACTTTTTCCTCGGCCATCTCAAGCAGAAAGAAGCAGCCGCAGCAGGAGAAATCGGCAAAGACGGCGAGGACGGCGACGATCCGATGGGTGCTGCCACTGGCGTACGCGACCCCGATCCACGCAAGTCGAGCTGGGAGCAGGATCTGTGCATCCGGATAGTGCAGAAGCTTCATCACTTTCTCGCGGCAGACTCGGCGCAACTGCGGGCGCTGGCCCTGAAGACGATCCGCAGCGCCATTCCGGTGCTGCAGACCCACCTCGACGAGCACGGGCGCGAGAACGAGTTCCTCAACCCACTGATCCACACGATCTGGCCGCAGATCCTCTCACGCCTGGACCGAGACCGCGAGCACTTTGTGCGGCTTGAGGCGCTGCTGCTGATCAGCACAATCTCGGAGCACTCGGGCGGGTTTGTTGCCAAGCGACTCCGGAGCGACGTCCTGCCGCGGTTCGAGCAAGTGTTCAAGCAGTGCCTGGAGGTTGTCCCCCGCGGCACAACAGGGCGCCAGCGGCCTCTCGATGGCGGTGGGCCAGGCACATTCGCCGCTGCTGCCGCCGCCGCCGACCGGGACCTCGACATGACCAAGCCCTTTGGTGTGTTGTTCAAGATCCAGTACGCTGTGCTCGAGAACCTGTCGGCGATCCTGCGATCGTCCAAGGCCATCGGGCTGACGAGCAGCGACTTTGATCCGCTCGGCCGCTACATCTGGAGGTACCTCGACAGCAGCGCCTACCACGCAAGCATCCAGCAGAAGGCGCAGGAGGTGCTATTGAGGGTGGCGGGGGTGGACGCAGACGGAGTATGGTACCTTGTCTCTGCCCTCCTCACCGGCATGACAAGTGCAGCGCAGGTCACAAGGGGCGCACGACCGAGCCGACAGGGGAACACCCCGCTTGTTCGTGTGAGTTCGTGGGAAGCAACGACAAGCCCGACTGCGATTGAGGCGATGCAGCTGCTGACCAAGGACAGCGCGAGCAAGGCCACGAAGGACAGCAAGGGAGCGTCGTTGCCCAAGACAGGCGTTGCTGACCGAGCAAAGGCAAGCAGCGCAACAGCCGGGGCAAGTACAACAGTGTTTGGGCCGTGGACAGCCCCCACGGACGCCTTTGTGGTCCCGCAGATCCCCCACTGGGTCTTTGACCGGGCTGGGCTCGCAAGAGAGCACTCGCTGTCGCATTTCCGGCGCAACCTCGAGATGCTGGCTGCGAGTCTGTGATGGCCCGCGGCTCTGGAAGCAATGCCGGGCCATGGCCGCTGTGGGCAGCGCTACGGGACGATGGATGGCTGCAGCGCAGACGATGTACGGGGCGGTTGTATCGGGCCTGGACGAGTCTGGCTTGCCGAATGCCTGGCCTTGCATCAACGTCGCCTTCTTGTGAAGTGATTGTCTTGGTTTGGGATGCCTTGGCTTGTAGTGCCTTGGCTTGTAATGTCTTGGCTTGTAATGTCTTGGGCGACGCAATTACAATTCCTTTGGTTCCAACCTTTGACTTGCGTCTTGGTTCTCAACCTTCGGTGCAATTTCTGTTAGTCAACTTGGCTGCACTGTTAGCCGGTACACCCGCTTGGGTGACAGTGTCTGAGCAATGATATCCGAGCTCGGGCTTGTAGCAACAACAAAAGTAACACATCTGCATTCGCATTAACAACGACAACCGGCAGCGACGCACTCGCACAACATGTCTCCAACATGCCCCCGACCGCCCGCTCAGCTCTCCCATTCCCTCCCCCCTCCACGCGGACCTGCGTCGTTGCCTTTGAGCCGAAACGTCGTGCTGGGCATGCGCGGCGACAGCGCTGTGCATTTGGCAGTGCCTCCGCCTGGGCAGCACACATCCACCCAGCAGCCCCGGACGCTCATCCCCCACCACCACGGTTTCGGATATAAGCTGCCCTCCGCGACCGGTGCGGGCTGCGAGCGTCCTTCCTGGCCTTGCCCTGATCGCAGCATGAACTACTGGCCCCAACAGGACCCCGACGAGCCCCCCGGCCACCGCCCAGAAGCTGCTGCTGCTGCTGCTGCTGCCGTTGCTGCTGCCGCTGTCGCTGCTGGCCGTCCCGATCTCACCGTCCATCCTCACAACCTCGTGGTGAATCCGCTGCTTGTTGGCCCCCCGACCCCGACGAGCACCTATCTCGATCCATCGCCGACTGCCGTCGACTATGCCGGTCTGCCCCCAGGCATGGGCCTCGACGCCGCGGCTCTGGCCGCCCCTCAGTCGCTGCCGCCGTCCTATCGGCTCGCCCCAGGCACCGCCGAGCCCGTTGTCGCAGAGCCCCAGTACTTGCATTCCCACCCCCCCAACGCCACACTCGACCGGTCGTCGGCCTCGTTTCCCGATCTCCAGCAGCCCTCATATCATTACCTGCAACTCCAGGCACCCCATCCGCAGCAACTGCATCGCCCACCCCACCATCATCCGCACCAGCAGCCCGAGTACCATCCGCAACAGCAGCCTCAGTACCATCCCCATCCGCAACACCACCACCCGCCGCCGCATCTGGCGACAAGCTATGAGCAGGCTCACCACAGCTATCCGGATCTGCATCTGCCCCACCACCACCAGCAACACCACCAGCATCACTATGGCGCTGGCAACTATCCCATCACAACGCACTACCCTGCCTCGCTCTCGTATGCACCCGCTGTCCCGGCCAACCACATGAATGCTGCCAACATGAGCGCCTTCCCCAACCCTGCCGCCTCAACCTCGACGTTCCCCCACTCGTCCTTGGCCGGTGGTCTCACACCTGCTCCTCTGCCCGTCGATCCGTACGGATCCGGCATGCAGACTCCCGACAGCCCCGACGATCGCCCGTTCAGGTGCCCCGACTGCCCCAAAACCTTTCTCCGGAAGCAGGACCTCCGACGGCATGCCATCATCCACGATCCAGTGTCCCCGGGATATAAGTGCACCCACTGTGGCACGAGCTTCACCCGCAGCGACGCCCTGTATAGACATGTCAAAGGCAAGCGGTGTCTATGAGCCTCTTTCACTCTCTCCCTCCCTCGGCAAGCCGAGCTCCTCCGCCCCGCCGTTTCTTTCTCTCAGCCTCCGTAGACGAGGCCGAATCGCGAGCCCCATAATTCGAGCCAGCACACCCGCACCCACACCCGTTCGCTCCGGCAGATCGGAGTGGCCAACAACTGCTGCTGCGGTGTCTGTGCTGTCAACCAGAACTTCATATCATGACCTAATTATCGATGCGCCTCTCTGCGATCGGCGAAGGCGAAAGCCGCTCTGCTGATGAAAATACACCTGTACAGCTTCTCTGCGAGAAATCGTGGGAACACTACCACATTGCTGCCGCACACACCCCTCCGCGAAAAAATCAAATCAAACCCTGCGGTCTGCCTTCCAAACTCGCTGCAGTCCGTGCTTTTGGATGGATCTGCATCCCGAATCCACCTCGCCGTGCACGAAGGCTCGCTCCGGTCCAAATGGCCGATGCACCCAGACGATCCCGAGCAGCCAGACGATCCCGAGCAGCGGATGCGGATCTCCCCCGCTCTGCTTTCGTTCTTGCCTTCGCAATCTGTCGCCGCATGCACAGGATGCCTCCACCGCCCGTGTCCCGGAGGAGAGCCTTCCAGGACCTTCGGCGAGCGGCACCCCGCCTTGGCAGGATGGCGGAAAATGACTGGAGCCGTGGAGTCGGTGGTGGATGGCGCTGTGGCGCAGTGGGCACGGCAAGAACCCTCTCCACCACCACCCCGGCCAGCAAGACAAGCTTGAGCGGCAAGAGCCAATTGCCCCAAGCGCCAGCGGATCCTGGCCAAATTGGGGATGGGCGAGTGCAAGGAGAGGCGAGGAAACCGGTGTGTCAGCAGCTCGCATCCGCAGGAGCCCTTGACGGTCGGGAGGAGGTGAGCCTTGAATCAACAAGACATGCAAGGCTGCGCTTGTTGTCAGATGGGACTACCAAGGATCCCCCTCCACATGTTGCTCGATTGCAAAGTGCTCCACGGTCGATCGGGTGTGGGACAGGAGCTGGCTTGGAGACGAGTGAAGGGCGAAGAAACGCAGCCGGGAAGGAGTGGGGCACATCCACGCAAAAGTAAGTGACCGACGACGGGAAAGTTGGATTGCTGACTGAGACGAGCTCGCGGTCGGTTCTGTCGAGACGGGCACCCCCACAAGTACCGCGGAGAGGAAAGGACGGGGTGCCAATGATCAGACGGGCCTGTCGAGGATAGCATTGGTACATGTATTGCGACGCTCAGGGAACAGTGCCTGAGTGATGGATTTCTCAAGCACAGACAAGTTCACAGGCAAGCGGCGCAGAGGTTGGCATTCGTGTCAGGGCATACCAGCTCGACAGCAAATGGCACTGCCAAGGCGTCGGCAAGCGGCAGACAAGTTAAGCAGCACAGCGCTGGTGCCAAGTCTGCAGACGATCGGTAGAATGCAGCCTCGGCTCTCGAGTACGAAAGAGTGACGGATTTGGCCTCAATCTTGACAGCTACCGATGTGGTCCAGCAACAGTGCCATGGCTGACTGCTCGCTTCGCTCGGGTGTTGACTCGAGGACGGTCGGGAAGAGGTAACTACGGCGACATGATTGTGATCTGGTTGCCGTAGCAGTTGACGGTGATCGGCAGGGCTAGCTGCAGGTTGGGCACGGTGTTGTTTGCGCCGTAAGCACCAGCCGAGTTCTTGCCGGTGCTCTGGGTGGGAGCGGCCAGGTGCTGCCACATCAATCCTCGGTCGGGCTGGCCGCCGTCGAGAGAGGTGTCGCCGGTGGTGATTTGCTTGATCCAGAGCTGCTGCAGATTCGACAGCCAAGCGAGCTCCTGCGCACCGCCGGACTGGGCAGCGGTCGGGGCTTTGGCAGTGACCTTGAGCACCACAGACTCCAGACCCGAGATTCCAGCGTTCAGGGCAATGTCGTAGAGCTGACCCTTGCTGATGGGCAGGCTGAGGTTGTACTGGCGCGAATAGGACATGGCGAGGTACCAATAAGCCGAGTCGGTGGTCGAGTCCGAGAGGGTGTTCCAGGTGGCAGCAACGTAGTTGGGATTGATGGGACCGGCGCCGGATGGACCTCCTCCCTGGCTGACGACACTCTGTGCCAGGCCCTGCAGACCCGTGAGTGCCGACGAGCCGCTCTGGCTCAGGGCAGCAACGTCGGGAATGTACTGCACCAGCGGATTGCAAGGCTCGAGGGCCTGCAGGTGCTGGAGGAACACCAAAAAGTCGCCCGTTGCCGTCGTGAAGCCCACAAGGTTGATGGTGTAGCCTCGGCCATCGCCAATGTCTTGGATGTAGCTGTAGGCCGTGTACCAGGGCACAACCCCGGCAAAGTTGCCGTTGCTGTTCTCGGCGACCCAGACCAAGCTCAGAATGGTGTAGATCTGCGCTGGCGTGAGGGGCACACCGTAGCCGCCATCGAGATTGGCTGGGAAGCTGAGCGGACCGGCCGTTGACCATGGGGTGGGCGGAGTGCCGGGACATACGGCCGGTGGGAACTTGGTGTTGGACGACGGCGTGGTCGCCTCGTGGCAGTTGATGTAGTTGAGCCAGCCGCAGTCACCGACGACGCCGGGATAGGGATTCGAGCAGCTCTTGAGGGCCGGAACGTTGGTGACCGAGCAGCTTGGGGAAGCGGCCGACCTGGTTGATGTCGAGCTGGATTTGGTGGAAGACGAGCTGGATTTGGTGGAAGACGAGCTGGATTTGGTTGATGTCGAGCTGGATTTGGTGGAAGACGAGCTGGGCTTGGAAGGTGCCTGTTGGACATTGATCTGGGGTTGGCCATGCCACGGGAGCGGTCAAGCGAATAACGATCATGAGAACGGGCATGCGAATGTCAGCCATGAAAACCCGGGACAGCCAAAGCCGACGCGGCGGCTCTCAACAAGACGTCAGTGTCCAGGTCGACGAGATCGGCAATCACTCACATCTGTGCCGCAGTATGCACTGCTTCCGCTTTGGATGCATACGGTGCCAGTCGGGCACCGGAAAGATACTCTCCTGCCGTGGTTGCATTGGTAGATCTTGGTGAGCTTGCCCGAGGCAGCACACCTATGGCCCTGGAACTCGCACTTGCGAGATGCCGCGAGGGCCACGAGCGCACACAGCAGGAGCAGGACGGACTGGATGGTTGGTCGCATTGGGGGGGGGAAGGCTGTTTGGAGCAATTCCGGCCGAGCGACGAGGGTGTCGTATATGAGCATTCTTCGACAGCGAAACGCCGCTCGAGGGTCGACCACAGGCACCTCGGGGTCTGTCCCTTCGACCCCAGAGCCCGAGACAACGATTCTGTTGCTCGAAACAAGCAAGCGCGGGGACAGACAACCAAGACCCTGGCGTGGGCCCTGGCCAAGACCCCAGCAGCGACCCTGACCAGCTCTTCTCCCGATCGCCATGCGCTGGGTGTCGATGGGACTGTTTGCCGTCCGCAGGTTGGATCGTTGTCGCATCGTCCAATAGACTGTCGGTGCGAGTCCCGGTCGATCACCTTTGCCGCGACGAACCCCGAGTCCAGATCGCCCGAGATGCCGACCCTGGACCAGCCGGTCGCTTACGAGGATGTCACGGACGGGGCGGTCGATGGAAATGGCTGCATGTAGGATTTAATGGCACTGCGTTGTTGGATGGGCGTATCCAGAGTGTGCTCGAACAGCCACGGCGATTCGCACCCGATCTTGGTCCTCATCTGCATCGGCATGCTGCACCTCCGGTCGAAGGATCTGCCAACGATGCTGCACACTTACAACATGCCGCATCTCCAGACACATATACATCAGCATCAGCACCGACATCAGCATCAGCATCAGTATCCACACCGACATCCAGTGCAGGCGTCGCTGTCGATGCTGGTGCTGTCCGCACCGCATCCCGTATTCGCTGCCGCTCCGGTTCCAACCTGGCCGGCAGCCAATCGGCGGCCGCCTTTGTCCGTTTTCTTCATCGGCTTCGGCTCGCCGATCTGCATCAATACCGCTGCCTCCCGCACATCATCCAGCAAACTGCCTGTCTGTCCGCCAGCGACCCTCGGCCGGCCTGTCGATCCCCGCCCTCTATCCAAGCACCTCCCCGCCTGCAGCCTCCCCTATGCACAATGGAGCGAACCGCTGCGGTCCTGGAGCAAATATCCAAGACGATATCGGCCTTCCCCTTCAGCATCCAGTCATCGCCATCCCAGGGTGTCTTTGCCACAGCGACCAGGGCCATCCCAAAGAACGACACGGTATTCCTGGCCAAGCCCTATGCCTACGCCATCTTCGACTCGTTCAAGAAGCGGGTCTGTGCTGTCTGCCTCGAGTACACCGATGAGCAGCCACAATTCCAGCTCCACTGCCGGTCCTGCGACCAGGTCTATGTCTGCTCGGCAAAGTGCCTCTATGCCCTCATCGCCCTCAACCACCACCAGGTCTGCCAGGGCATCCGTAAGCTCTCCACGATGAAGACCAGTATCCACGAGAGGAGTATCATGAAGATCCTGCTCTTTACGCTGCAGACCCGGCAGCGGGAACTGCACCGCGACCTGTTCCAGTCGCCGGCATCATGTCTGCACGATGCCCTTGGGTCTCAGTCCGACTGGGACCATCTGCAGAGCCAGCCAACTGTCTACTCGTCCCTCAGCCGGTCTCGGTCGTTCTACACCAACAATCCCTTACATCCCTTTGACTATGTCCTTGATGCGGAGTTGGAGGACGAGCCACTCCTGCCGACCAAATTGCCGCCTTGCATCGCCGTATCCGGACCATCCCCGACCGAGCCGGTGCTGAGTGTCTGGACTGAGGTCGAGCTGCTGCAAAGCCACTATGCGGACTGGCCCGAAGACGATATCAAGGACTGGAGAAAGTGCGTTCGTTGCTGGTGGCCGCTCTCGGCTTGGTCATCTGTCGCTCTTGCTCTGCCGCCTGCGCTTGTCGGCTCTGGCCTCACATAGCAGCATTTGCTGCACCAGCCATTTTGGCCGGCATTCGCCGAACAGCCGATGCGATCTGTCGGCGCCTTGTCCTCCCCCCTCCCCTGCCCATGTATGATGCATCCACGCTGATCCTGACCCAAAATCTACTCCACCGTATTTGCAACTCGGTCTGGCCCAGGACGAAAAACTTTGTCGCCAAGCTGCTGGAAGAATGCGGGCTGCTCGACGAGGACTTGACCAAACAGCCCGAGTTTGTGCTCCACATGGTCTCGCAGATCGAGAGCAACGGATTTGGCATCTTCAACCGCAAAGGCGTCTGCGTCGGCCGAGCTATCGTCCCGCACGCCTCGTTTTTCAATGTGAGCTGGTCGCTTGCACAGCTCCCCAGCAGATGTGGTGACAATCGCCGTAACGATACCGACTCCACCACGAGACTCGGAGTCTCTGGAACGTACTCCAGCAATGCTGCGCGCCAGTGCCTCATCAGCCATAGGAGTGATCCCGGCAGACCATGCCATTGGCGCCCTCCCTCCCAATGAGTCGTCAAGGGCCAGGCGATTGCCAAGTGCCGCACAAGTACGCCACTAACGCAAGTCCATATCTTTTCATTGCTGCCTCCCCACTTCGCTAGCACTCGTGCGATCCCAACACCGAATGTACCCAGGAAGGCTGCACGATGGCCTTTCGAGCAAGGCGAGACATTGCCGAAGGTAGTGTGGGCCGGGATAGGCACGCCGACCCTTGCACTTCCAAGAACGCAGATACAAAGAGCACGAATGCATATGATTTTAGTCGATGGAGCTGGCGCGAACAAGACTCGACAGAGATAGCAACACCAGTGGTCTAGCTCGGATTGTGCTTCTCTCCTAGGAGGGGGTGATGGCACGCTCTCTTGCTCCGGACTGCAACTGTCCTGCTCACTTTGCTTTGTTTCCTGCTGCGTCCAGGAGAGGAAATCACCATCTCGTACATCGACACCAATATGCCCGTCCATGCGCGCCGCCAGAAGCTGATGGATGAGTACTACTTCACGTGTGCTTGCAAGCGATGTGTCGCCGAAGCCTCGTCAACGTCGAAACCCAAGATCACTTACGACAAAAGCTCCCGCGGATCGAATCGTGGCCAGAGCGACAGCACCAACGGTACCAATGGCATCAATGGCACTAACGGCATCAGCAACAACAACAATAGTAACAGTGCACCCAGCGCCCCACAGTCCAACCGAAACAGCGCCGGCTCCGGCTTTGGTGCGAGCTGGATGCCGATGCCGTCGTCCTGGGCTCCTCCGCCCGTCGGTCCAATGGAGTTCCTGATGCAGCCGCCGCCACACCAACCCATATCACCTGCGCCGCCGTACTTCAACGCCGTCGGCAACTCGATGCAGAGTCCGTTTGCGATGAGAATGTATCCGCACCCGGTCTATCCGGCCGGGATGGACATGATGGCCAATCTCACCCCGGGGCCTCCACCGCCGCCCCTATTCGGCGCTCTTGATGTCACCGGCACTGCACTGACCTGGCCGCCCCCAGTGCCGCCCAGCAGCGGCGATGTGCCGTTTTCGCCACACCCGGACAGCTTTCACATCTATCCACCGGAGTATCCTATCGGCCCGGTGGTGAGTCCGGTGGGCCGCGGTCTCGATAATGAAATGAGCCCTGTCGAACGACCAGGGCCCTCAAAGTCGCCCTATGGCGACAACAAGGGCAGGCTGAAAAAGTCCAAATCCAGTGCCTCGACCAACAAGCGAAACCAGGCCGCAAGGCAGCCCGTCCAGCGCGACGACTGACATGTCCAGCTTCTTGCCGTCCTGGAGAGTCTCTGCTATAGCGCTCGCCAGCCCCCCCCCAAAAGAAACGGGAAGTATGCCTTCCCTCGTCCCTGTTTTGTGGTCATCGACCACCTTTTTTCTGGATCCTGAATACACACACACACTCATTCCATCATCCATAACGACCATCGACTGAAAGTCGATCACAGCAAACGAAAAATCGACCTGTGAGATTCGCACACATTGACGGTCGAGACGGCTCGACAGCAAACCAGAATACATTATGCATCGCACTGAGGGACTCCAACCGATATATTCGTGGAGCAGTTGATAATCATGCTCCGTTTGCCTCCCTTCCATCGCAGATTCTCGTCGACTCGCGGAAAGGGCACAATATTCTGCTTCGGGTCTCGATCTGACTCCATAGTCACACGCTTGTTGAGAGAGAGGGAGTCGAGTCCGGCAGGGCACAGGCCAAGGAGCATGAAGACTCGGCAGGTCGGGAATGCAATCGCGATGCACCGAAGTCATTTTACGCAGACTTGTCGCAGACACGATGACAAAAGTCAGTATGGCCATGCACCCCTTGCCGGAAGACTATATTCCCGCCTCCATGATTGTCGAGTATACTGTTGAGTAGACGGCCTTGTTGTGAACGATGAGCTTGGACATCTTGGTCGATAGGGTCTCGATTTCGGGCACAAGTTCGCCGAGCCCGTGCCGTCGAATCAGGTCCCGATCGAGGTCGCCATTGGCCAGGTAGTACTCAAAGTAGCCGCCAATGCGTTTCTGCATCATGTCGTAGAGTGCCGAGGACGGCGAGAGCGTCGACTCGACAATGCCCGAGAGCGTCGTTTTCTCCTTCTCGGAGAGCGCCGTGCCCCGAATCTTGGCGGCATCATCCGACATTTGCAAGCACACGTGCGCAATCGACGTTTCGTTGTCGTTGAGCAGAACCCAAAGCTTTTGCTTGACCTCCTTGATGGCCCCCGGGCTGCACTTGGGCCCACACACCTGCCGAAACAGAATCACCAGCGATCCGAGTATGGTGATGTCTTGCCAGTCGTTGTAGTACTGGACGATGCGCGACTGGTCCATGGACAAGGTCTCGGGCAGGATCGTGTCGATAACATGGGCCTGCAAGACCAGGCTGAGGAAAGCTTCGTTGTAGAGGACGTTGAAGGGAGGCAGCTTAGTGTTGTCGTCGCCGAGGTCGATCTTGTCGGCGAAGATGGACTTTGTGGTCTTGTTCCGGAATCGCAGGACAGCGCCGTGGATCCACGAGACAGTTTCGTCGACCTTGACGGAGCCGAGGTCGAATCGCTCTCGGAACTGCTTCCATTCGTATTCTACGGCGTGCTCGACAATGTGAGGTCGGAGTCGGTGGAGCTGGTGGTTGGCATAGTCCTGCAGCGGCGCGGAGAAATCGCGGAGAGTGAGTGTCGCAACGGAGGAAGGGCAGGCATCGTCACTCGGACGACTGTCAGAGTCGATGTTCGACACAGAGGACAAGAATCTTTGGTCGGCATCATGAGTGTGCGTGGACGGCCTGAAGGACAGTATCAAAGTGGCGCCGTTGGCGAAGCCACCAGCCGTCATAACAGGCTCGAGCCGAAATCAACCATCTCACCAGTTTCATGTACTCGAGCACGTCGAAGCAGATCCTCAATGCTTTGATGGTTTGGCCAGCAAGGGCCTCCGCCTCCATGGAGTCGACAAGCTCATCTCGTGCAGGCGCACAGTTTTTCTTGAGCAGCTCGGCAAGATACTTGATCAAGCCAGCGGCATTGAACACGCCATGATCCAGCTCCTGGGCCAGCAGATTGACGTCGAGGTGGTCTTCGATGTCCCGTTTGAGGTCTTGCGAGGGTGGCAGCAGCTCAAGCAGAATGGCAAGGACCTCGTGTAGAAGCAGCGGGATACGATAGGTCGATCCCTCGCCAAGCTCGATGTCGACCTCGGACCAGTAGCGGTCGGCTTTGGCCCGTTTTTGCTCGCCGCGCTCGCCGTCCATGTTGGGCTTGAATTGGAGGTCCGGGTCGAAGATGATGTCGTGACGAAGCTGGCGATTGGTGAGAATCTCGTCGAGGTCAAGCTCTCTCAAAGTAAAGCGGGTGATCGGAGGCAGCAGGTCCAGTAGCAGCATGTATTCGGACTCCTCCATGGACTGGTACAGCTCGGGGGGCAGCAGTCGAACCCGCCGGATTCTGTCGGTAAGAGACTCATCGTCGGAGGACAGGTCGCTCTCTGGAGAAGACGGCGATCCGGATGAGCTTGACAGCGATTTTAGGAAACTCGCTGTTGATGGCGATATCTTGCTGGGAGACACCTTGCCGGGCGAGAGTTTCTCGGGCGACGAGGCGGGAGAGTCTTTCACGAGCACGCCGGTATTGCCGACCGCTGGGCTCTTTGCTCGGGGTGGCTTGGGGCGCCGGGACTTGGACTTGAATCTGGATTTAGACTTTGTGAGGTATAGCTTGGTGTCAAAGTCAAAGTCGTCTCGGTCGGCGTCGGCATCCATGGACTGACGCAGTAGCTCGTCGAGCTCCTGGGAAAAGGTCCGGCGCAGGTCGACGTACTTTTTGAGCTTCTGCATCATGCAAACTGTCTGTGCGTGCATCACACGGACACTGAAGCGCTCGGCTTTGCGTCGGAGCAGGGTCTGGCGCTTGATGGAGGCAGACGAGAGGCCATACTCGAGCCGGGCTCTGAGTTTGACGTTGCGCAGGAGCTGGCGCTTCTCGTGGATGAGCAGCTGGTACGTGCTGTCTTCTCGCCGCTGCTTGAGCCGCTCGCTTCGCTCGTCCAGAAGCAGATTTCTGCGCTGGAGGGCACGGTTCTGCCGTTGGTTCAACTTGGACAGCATCTCCTCGGGCGACTTGTTGCGCATGCTTCGGTGGCTGTACTTGATCTGCCGCAGAATGAACCGGTTCTTGGCACGGGTGCGTGAGTTGCTGAGACGCCGCTGGACATGCGACTTGATGGGCGACCTGGGTCCGGATGGAGAGTGCCCAGAGGATCCCTCGGCCACGGGCGATATCAGGTCGAGATAGAACGATATCGAGGCAGATTTGCGCAGGATCAGCTTGGCGTTGGTCCCTTCGAGAGGCGAGGCGGACAGAATCCGGCCTGTGGCGGTGTCGGCGTGAGCGGGACCCAAGGCCGCCATCGCTGTCTGGACGCCAGCCCTCTTGCCCTCGCTGGTATCGATGGCGATGCGCTTGATTCCGCTTGACGAGAAGGTCTTGAAGTTAGCCGGTGCAGTTCCACTCTGCCCAGATGCCACAGGAAACAGCTTGGGGCTCGGACTAGGGCCGGGGGCAGGGCTTAGTCCTTGGGTCACGATGTTGGTGGGCGACAGGGATAGGCCGAGACTCTCCGATACAGCAGCAGGATCGCCCCGATTCGACAGCAAGGTCAGGTTCTTTTCCTCCATATGGGGCAGGGATGCTGTTGCTGGCTTTGTGGTCGAACAGAGACGGGGAGGAGCCCAATGGAATCGGCTCTGAGAACAAGACAGCGAGCGTGGGAACAGCGATGGTTGTTGCTATTGCAAGCGAAAGCGTCTCAGGCGCACGGCTGGCAGAGGCAGATATTCTCTACGGCTGGATCGAGCTGAGAGAGCCGAGTTGGTTGTGAGCAGAGCCGCTGGGGATATTGGCTGCGACGATCGCTGCGTGGGCAAGATCAGCCGGCCTCGACCGGCCTCGACTGGCCAGACAATGCACCGCCGATCAACAGGTTCTAGAAGGACTGGCTGACTGGAGGCTGCGGGGATGACGCCCTTTCAAGACCGGAACGGGCCACCTAGACATGCAGACGGCTCGTGGGTGTTTGGATAGAAGCGCAATGCCGTTGGCCGTGAACTGATCCCGCCTGCAGAGTGCATTTCACACGGCAGGCCGACCAGATGTGCACTTTGCCCTGCTTCCCGGGAGGGATTGTGCGGCATCGCCTCTCCACGTGCCAGCCACCTGACAGGTCAAAACCAGGACGGGTCCAGTCACTTGGCAGGCACGTGTGCAGAGCCGATCTAGAAGCAGCCTTCTCGGCGTCCTGGATCTCTCCGACAATCTCGCCTCTCATCCCCAGGCACAACACTGGCCCAGGACATCCATCATGGCTGCAAATTTTTGGGAGTCGTCACATGCGTAAGTCTGCCACGAGTGGACGATGTCTGTCCGCTAACAGCGGAATACAGCGGCGCATACCCTGCGTCGCCATCATCGTCAAGGGGCAACCCCAACGACGCCGACCCGACGACGCTAACCTATGCACTTGCTTGACCGCTTCTCCGGATCGAGACAGCAAGCAGTGGCTCTTTGATCGAGAATCTCTGCAAAAGACGCACCACGAGGACCTCAAAATCTTGACGCCTCGGGAGCTGTACAAGCTCGATATTTTCTACAACAAGGGTGCGATTCCCCTTGCCGAGCATCTCTGGCCTGCTCCTTCACACCGATCGTCCAGGACTGCTCTCCACCGCCGAGACTGAGCCCGGCTGGCTCAAAGATCCCACCCAGATGATTCGGGCATTGATTTTGTGTCTTCTGCAGTGATACTTTCGATCGGAAGGAGGCTGAACCTGCGACAGCAAGTTTTGGCCACGGCGCTGGTCTACTTCAAGCGATTCTACACGAGGTGAAAGCCAAAGAGCTGCAACCATTGTCTTCGAGCCCATGGCCGGGGCACGAATGTTTGGGCAGACAGTGGAATTCAGACTGGGCGCTAACCATTCCTGGAACCGGCGGCATCTGTGTATCGATCGTGCTCAGAAACAACTACAAGGACATTGACGGTTGTCTGGTCGCCATCACGTCTGTATACCTCGCTTGCAAGATCGAAGAGTGCCCATTGAATATCAGCAAATGCCTGGAGCTTGGAAAGCAGGCGCTGGAAGGTAGATGCCATGGGTTCGACTCTGCGAGCGCTGGCTCCAAATGCAGGGTGCTCGGATCGACCATCTCAAAGCGTCTTCGAACATCCGGACTACCGACATAAGGCGTCGTCGCTGACCAGCACCCCCGTACTTGATGCCCATACCCAGTCGACCCCGGCTTGCTCGTCAACTACTCGGTCCAAACGGTTGCCGAGTTTGAGTATTACTTGCTCGAGGACCTGAACTTCCACACGATTGTCTTCCACCCGTATCGGCCGTTAACGCAGTTCTACACCGACCTGAAGCTCGAGTCGCAAGTGCTCCAGACAGGATGGGGAATGGTGAATGACACCTACCGCAGCAACCTGTCGCTGATGTATCCCCCGTTTATGATTGCGTTGACGATCGTGTATCTCACGACTCTATTTATCGGCGACGAAGCCCTGCGGCTGCATGTGAAGGACTGGTTCTGCAATCTGAACGTCGACATGCTCGAGGTGAGAGACTGCCGTCTGTCCTTGGCAGTCGAGTGGCTTTACTGACCCGCCTTTGCCGAACTCTATCAACACCATCGCCAAATCGCCATCCAAAGATTGCAGTCATCACCCAGGAGATTATCGACATGTACGAGGTCGCGACCAGCTACGTCGATAAGGAGATCCCGCCGCTTTTGAAGCGATTGAACCCGGAGCTGATCTCGCCGCCGCTGTTGGCTGCGATGCCCGAAACGGCGACCCCGCTGGCAACAAACACGCCAGATCCTCGGTCATGACGCAACGCAGAGGCAGCGGTCTTTGGACCAGCACATTTGGGTTTTTTTATTGGGCGCTATGGCGTTTCTAGGCTTGCGGGGAGGGGACAAACAAATCTATAGTGTCGAGAAATACAGCGCTGGCGACGAGCCAAAAAGTTTTGCACATGTCGAGGGACGGACCGGGCTCAAATCACTAGCGGCTCCTGGTCGAGCCCCAGCCACTGAACGACGTTCTCGCACTCGTTTGCCTCTTCCAGATCCTCGGTGGTCTGCCGTCGTCGTTGATGTGTTTCAGAGGGCAGGACGAGAGCGTGGTTAGGCACAGTACATCGACACTGATGTGTGCTGTGATGGAAGTCCAAGCGACAACGCTGGCCGGGCCATCAACAGCCGATCCCACGAAAGCCGACTCAACCAGAGCAAGCCACGCCATCGGGGAGTATACCAGGACAGCGATCGCTGTCGGATACGCACCCCTTTGTATTCGCCATCGACAAAGATCTGAGGGAGAATGTTCTTGCCGCTCTTCATTCTCATGTAGTTCTTCTGGTCCCTGGGTGAACGTGATGGCCGCGAGCAAGCAGCATTGCGCAAATGGCATTGGTCATGGATGCAAACGAGCCAAGGCGTGTGACAGAGCAGAAAGTGACGACTATGGGGATGCAGGGCGATGGCGACACATCAAGCAGCAGGCAGCGGGAGTCGAGAAGGCCGTCGGGAAGATGGTTGGGAGGAGCCTCAAGGCTGGACAATCAGCAGACTCGGCCCGTAGCAAGCACGCAGAGACGACGGGTTCATACTCTTCGGTCGAAACATCAACCATGTCGAATTCGACCTTGCGCGCCTTCAAGATATCCTGAACCCGGACCTGGTCCTTCTTCAGCTGGAGTGCCGGTGAGCCAAGCGAAAGTGCTGTTAGCATGCCGGCTGAGAACGAAACCGCAAGCCTGGGACGGCTCCTCGACGCTGCTGGCGAGGCGGGATGCGCACCTTGAGGGTCGACGGGACAGACGAGTAGTAGAGGATAGTGCGGGCGACCATGGTGTCGGGGGCCGGGGCGGGATGGAGGGGAGAGCGGGTCTGGGTGGGCTGATCGCTGGCTGGGCGAGCGGGAAGAGGAACGAGGCAGATGCCGGGTGGCATCGTGGGTTGCACGGGGCCAGGCGGTCTCTGCGCTGGCGTGCTGTTCTGGGCGACATGGACGGACCGCAGTATCGGCCACTGCATGTATTCAGGGCCAGCATCGGTATCGGCCCCCAGAGGCCTTGGCGGCCACTGCATGTATTCAGGGCCAGAAACCCATTATCACAGATGGCCAGAGTCGCGGCTGCCCCACGGAGCAGCAGCTCAGGTTCCTTCGTGGTCGACAAGAATGCCCAGATCCGTCAGCGAATCGATGCTGTCGGCGGACACACTGGTGCACAGGGCAACATCGACATAGGTCAATCTGGGCATTTGCTCCAGATTCCTGAGGCCGTCCGCCGTGATGCTGTCGCAGAGCGAGAGTCGCAGTCTCCGGAGGGACCATCGAGTAAGCCCGCCGGCGAGGTACTCGAGGGCATCGTCCGTCAGGCTTGGGTTGCAGCACAGTACAAGTGTCTCGAGCTGACGAAGGGAGCGGGCCAGGTGCTGTATGCCCTTGTCCGAGACATTGGTGCACCACTTGAGGTTGAGCGACGATAGTTCTGCAGGTAGCCCACAAATGCCGGTATTTAATTAATGCCGCTCTGGGGTGTGCCCGGCTCGACTCTATCTCACCTTTGCAATGTCGGGCAAGTGCATCGCACGCCAGGTCGGTGATTTCATCGAGCCACTGCAGATTCAAACTTCGCAGCCTCTGGCAGCGCTCGGAAATGGCAATGACGCCCCAGTCGGTAATCTTGCTGCAGGACGACAGATTCAGCGAGCGCAGAGATCCGGGGCAGTGTTGGGCCAGAGTGATGATGCCACAGTCAGTCAGGTTGGTGCTGCCCCCGGCCGTGGGAGAAAGCAGTATGACAGGAATATCGGTTGGTAACGGTCAGCTTGAGCGCCGACATTGAGCTGCTTCCACGAACATAATCGGGCAAGGATGCTCACCATCCACTCAGGTCGAGATCCATCAGCCGGCCCGCTCCGATCTCGGGATCGATAGAAGCAAAGCGGGTGCGTCCCAGGATGCCCAGGGTAGTGTCGTCGACAATCGATCTGCCGCACCGAATGAGCAACTGTTCAGCCACGGAATACTATGCATTGGTGTGGCTGTTCTCGCAGCTCGTCAGTGCGGCGACAATCCCTGCATGCCATCGAACAGCAAACCTGAAGGGCTCCAGCGATATCTTCCTCCACAGCATCGAGTCGTTGCTGGCAGGTGCGAAGAAATGGTCCAGCCACTGGGGCATCAGTCGGGGGCAAATACCACTCCCCCCCTCCAGTATTCCCACGTCGATGCACATTGCCTGTCGATGGATACAGTCCGCTCACTGTGGGGCTCTCATAAACCCATGCGGAGCGCAAAGCAGGACTGGAGCGGCGACCGAACCTGACTTGCGAGAACCGACGAGAGACCCTCTGCACTGTGACCTGGTCAATCAGCGGCAGATAGTGGATGATGGCCAAGACGACCTCGTACGGAAGAGCATCGAACCCCGAGGCAATGTCGAGCGAGGAACCTGATTCAGTGGAATCGAGCATTTCAGGGAGCCAGAGGAAGGGAGACGCCCCCCAAGGTGCGCCGTTACTTGGTGTGGGAAGTCGAGCAGAGTGCTTGTCTCGGCTGGATCGGTGTCTGGGTCTCGACGATCGAGTCTGACACGGATGACGGCCAAGAAGACTGCGATTTGCTTCTGTCTCGGGTGTGTGATGTTTGTCTATAAATAGACGGCGTCTGGAAAGAAGCAGCAGAACCACCAACAACAGTGAGAGCGTGTGTTCGGCAAGGCCATTGGTGCATTGCGATATCGATCGACGCTTGTGGACTGATGGCTTTGATTTCTCGTTCACAGTCGCTGCAACAGAGCATGCCATTGGTGAACTCCTTTCTCATGTACGCCGAAGATAGTGGTGGATCGGCACGGACGGCACATGCCACCTCTGGGCCATTCCGGTACAGTCACAGCCCAGAAACTCATCCATAGCATCATTGTGAACAATGGATGTGTGTATTCTCCATCCAAATGATTAAATGAACGATGAACATTGAGTGTCTGGCTTCGTATTGCGAGGGTTCTATCGAGACATCAACTCAGATCGCTGGGGCTCCTCCCATTCGCGCATCTCCTCTGCCTCTTCCATGTCAGAGTGAGCCAGCAGCTCGGTCTTGGCTCGCAGGCAGATTGAGTGCGGAAGAGGGATCGCCGCCGTGGGCTGGGAGAGGAGGGGCTACTTGACTGTCTTGCGCGCCGTGCCGATTTGGCACGCATTGACCTGGAAACGACGGTAAAGCAATATGAGAGGAGAATTCTTGCCGCAGACACGGAGGGCGGAAAGAGAGGCTCGGCGTGAGCTGAGCAGCAAACCCCACGCTTGCTTCGATCAATACTAACCTTGGTGGCAAACCGCAGCGAGCACAGAGTCTCCTGGACATTCGACGGCAGCGGCGAGATGTTCACAAACATGAGTGTCTTGCTGTTGCCTCCCAGTGAGTTCTGGAGCAAATAGGTGAGCTACAGATAGAGGCAGATATGGATATGGATATGGATATGGATGTGGATGTGGATCAGGGTCATGGATACGTATCGGGAGCGAGCTTGGCGGTACTCGAGCACTCCAGCGTGAGAGGCTGGTGGGCTGGATTGTTGAGGGGACATTCGGGACATATGCAATCAACAAAGACAGAGGTGGCATCCTGGGCGCCATGGGAGGGCCCGCTGGACGAAACCTCGCATACCTTGGAGTTGCGGTATGGCACATGAGAGTCTTTGTTGGCCAGGGCATAAATCACATCGCCGAGACAGCTGAGGCTCTTGTTGATGGCCTGCGTTTCCTTCAGGCGATCGCCCGTTGCACCCGACGACGACAGGCGCTCGGATCCAGCCAGATCGATGAGGTGCAACAACCCCTCGCTGACCTCCTCGGTCAAAGAATTTTTGCCGTTGATCTTGAGGGTGAAGACACTGCAGGCGCAAGCAACAGGGCGGGGGAGGAGGAGGGCCGGCAACAGAAAGGTCAGCGAGCCACACGGAGTCTCTGGTCATAGATGTCAGCGCAGTATCGTGTGCACTCACCTATGGCTTCTCGACGAGCGCTCGTTGCACAGCGTGGCTCCAACAGCCCGGTTCTGTGAGGCTTTCTTCAGCGCATTGTAGACTGCCTTTGGGGTTTTGAGCGAAACTGAACCCCACAGGAAAGCGATCCGAGTCAGGGGACCATGTGGCCACAGTGCCTCTCGATGGGTGCATCGAGGCGAATTTACAGCCCCCCAGACGGAGCCCAGGTTCACTGGTCGGTTTGCCATCGTGTGAACCTACCAGAAGCAATGTCGGTGACAGTCGTCTTTCCAGTCTGCGGGTTGTGCTTGATCTCATGTTTTCGCGAGCCATCGTCGTTGCTGAGCAAATCGCGAATGCTTTCGTTGTAGATCTCCACAAACTCTCCCTCCATGGAGTAATCCCAGCCCTTTTCCTTCAGAGCCTCGGCGGTTTCGAAGATCTGGCAGACCGCTCGCGGGATCATTCCCATGGAATCTTCGTTGTCGATGCCGTTGTCAGGTCCTTCCATCCTGTCGCGGTGATACAACGCATATGTGTGGGTCACTGGCATGCTCTTGCCCAAGACTAGCGCAGGCGGGCAGTGCTGGATTTGCTGCACAGATGAAACACCCACGTGTATGTCTTGCCACTGCCGGTCTGGCCGTAAGCAAAAATGCAGACGTTGTAGCCGTCCAGAGCAGATTGAACCAGCTGTGAAATTTCTTCAAAGACCTCCTTCTGCTGCGTTGCCGGTGGGAAAACCTGAGGACGAGCAGACGACGATAAGGAGCTGGATACAGACCCACTATGATATCGCTGGCTCGATGCAGAGCAACCTGTCTGCGTAACTGCGATCCACCATGCCGATGATGAGGAAGCTCATCAGGCGCCCGAACGAGCCGCGCCATAACTAACCCGATCAAATGAGAAGGGAATGTTCTTGGTGATGGCCTTGCTCGTGGAGGATTCCTGAGATCGCGGTAAGAAAGTGAGTCGGCAGCGCGTGGCACCCACCACTGTCGCCGTGCTTGCTTGCGTGTCAATGCAGTCGAGTTTCGCCGTCTACGAGGCTTTCCTCCCGATGAGACAGTGCTCTCACCGAAGTCTGGATGATCTCGATGGATCGGTCGTCCTGAGGCGTAAAGGTGATGTGGCTGAGCGCCGATTCTTTGTCGTTCTCGGATTCTGCGATATGGGGGGGAAGTTTATCAGCGCATGAAGTCATCACCGAGCATCTCCAGTACACGATCGCGCTGTTGGATCGAAAGTAGTGGTGGAGAACGTCGTCTGTGTATGGAAGGCTGCCAGGGACAGCACGGCGAGCGCGAGCGGCCGAGAGTCTTACCGAGCGAAGGCCGGACACGACAAAACACTCGGATGTTGCCCTTGAGCTCCTGGATCATGTTGTGCAGTTTACGGCGGTTGGTCTCCTCGAGCCGGACCTTGCCTTCCAAGATCGAGATGTCTGCCAGGGCCTTGGAAAGCGATCTCTCCAGCTCCTCGACGCGCTCCTCTCGGATTTTGAGGGTTCCTTGTGTCGTCTGCGATCAGCGGTCAGGTGTGTCAGCGGGAGGGGGGAAGCGGTACCAGCCGACTTGAAGTGGGTACAATTCAGCAGTTCGGCGGCAACATGATCATGGGGGACGAGGACAAAATCAAATCTACCTCAAGCATCAGGCGAGTTGATCGAAGATCGCTTTCGATCGTGTACGTCGATGCGGCTTGCTTTGACAGGGTATCCTATGGGGCATCGGGGAATGTTGCGAGGGGGACGAGTCAGTCCAGTGTGCCCTCACAAGTTGTAAAGGTGTGCATCTACACAAAGTAAAACAGGAACCCCCTCGAGGCTCCCGTTCCAAGATCAGGTTCTGTATCGCGGCCATCCCCAGAGACAAGCGTACCTTGTATGTTTCAATCTCCTGCTGGGCTCTCTTCAAATCGCGGGAAAGCGAGTCGTTGGTGCTCTTGAGGGCTTGGATCTCATCGTCTCGCTTGGTGATCTCGCGTTTATGTGCCGACTGGATCACTTCGATTTCATCGGTGTGCTTTCGCTTGCTTGTCTATGGAAGCACCGAATCCAGCACATGGGGGGGGGGACGAGTCCAAGTTCCAAAACAATCGTGAGTCGCATGGCTCGTCGTCGATGAAACAGAAGCCTTAAGCAGGATGAGGTTGCATCCCCGAGCAAACACGTCGGGCCCAAGAGTACATTCGCAGGAACAGAACGAGAGCAGAAGACCGATTGGTCTGAGCATTGGCCGCGGCCGTTGGCAACTCACATCGTACTCGTACTTGAGATCGTTCAGCTCTCGGATGATGTTCGAGTTCTCTGTTTCTTTGACCTGGACAGTCGTTTGCAGACTCGTTCTAAAGTTGATGAGCTCCATGACTATCAACGCAGGGCAGACGATCAGCCCGGTTCGTCAGCATTGAGGAGAGACCAACAGCTTGGTGGCTCGGCAGATATACTCAAACACGCTGGCCGCCATCAAGAGTGGATGTGGATCCAATGCGCAGGAGGAGTTGCGTGTTCCGCACCAATCGCCCGAGGTCGCGGTTCATCTGATACATACTCTGGTGCCGGCTTGACCGCAGCTCCTCGCCAAGAGACTCGATCTGATCCTTGGAACTCGTGAGCTGCTCAACTGTCTGTCCATACTGCTCCTCCAGATCAAACAGTCGACCCTTCATCACGAGAGTTGAGTGGCATAGGTCAGATCACACGAAGCATCAGGTGCATCGGCCAGTGGCGGGTGAGGAGGCGATCGCAGCTGATGCTGTCCAAACGATCGCCGCCTACCTTAGTGTCCCAGGCTGCTCGAGATGGCTTTTTGTATTTGGAGGTCTCGGTTCCGTTTGATGTTGCCTTGGCGGCCGCGGCGGGTTTGGCAGCTGCAGCCGGAGCCGCCCGGGTGGAGCCTCTCGATACCGGCTGTGCAACGGGGCGCCTGGCCACGGTCGATTTGGCGGCGGCAGAAGCGGCAGTCGTCTTCATCGAGGTGTTCATGCTCTTTGGCGCTGGCGGCTGGGGCTGTTTCTGAGAGGCCTTCTTGGCGAGACTCGAAGCTGTGGGCTTCCCGATGCGGGAAGCAAAGGGCTCAGGCTCGGGTTCGGGCTCAGGCTCGGACGCCTTTGCAGACAGCCCCTCGCTCGATTCAGACGACCGATTGGAGCCGCTGTCGACGGCCATCAAGCTGGCTCGGGATCGAGTGATGCGCACGTTGTCGATGAGACTGGGGGACGACTTGCGCTTCAAGGTCAAGTTGCTGGTGTGGGTAATGACTTCGTCGGAGTGACTGCTTGGGTGTGGGTTTTGGTTCTCTTGGGATACGGGCGATCTGGGTCGGGGCTGCGATTGAGCAAGTGGCGGGAAAGCTGCAGCGGTTGCTGCTGCCGGTGCCGAGAACTTGGTCGGCTGCTTGAGCAGCGACGGCGAGGCGGTTGCGTGTGCTGCTGGGTTCATGGCAAGGTGACTCTGCGTGACGGAAACGATGGCACAAACGAACTGTGAGACATTGGGTGCAGGAGCGATCGGCGATCGACCCAGATGTAGCAAGTTCGTGAGGGCAGATCCCTAGGGCATCAGCGGCGCATCGGCGGGCTGGGGTTGCTGCTGGATCGCCAATGCAGCACCATCATCGCGGCATTGTTGTGGGCTGCACACGAGCGAACCTTGGACATTCTCAGGATTGGCTTGCACAGAGTACTGTTGAGCCAAGGCTGGGTCGACACGGGCTGTCCTTAGAGAGGGAAGGGGAGGGTGCAAGGACTCGCTCGGGTGGCTCTGCCGATGCTCTTGGTTGGAGTGATGGACGGAGAGAAGGCCGCTCTGGGAACTGGAGAAAACGGGCTGGGAAACAGCGACGCCTTCCATTTATGGCCATATCGATTGGGACAGCACATGGCCGCACGTGACGGCTGGATTTGGAGCGGGCCAGGATGTGGCTGGCCAGGTTTGTGGGCGAAAGCAGTTCGATTGGTCGACGAGACAATTCGGGGGCAAGCATGCGACACCGAAGGGAAAGAACGGCACAAAAGCACGAACGAAAGGGTGGATGGATAAAATAGTATAGTAAAAAAAGGAGGCAAGGGATGAAAGAGAAACACGGAGTGACGGGCATGGGCGTCAATGGACAGATGAGAAGAAAAGGGCAGCCACGGAAGAAAAGGGCAACCACGGAAGAAAAGGGCAGCCCGCTACAAGTCCTCCATGTCGTCATCGATCTCTTCGTCGACGAATTCGCCGTCGTCACCTTCTTCAAAGAGCTCGTCGTCCGATTCTTCCTTCGGGGCGTCGTTGCTGAGAGCCTCGCGCCGCAAGTCGTCCAGGAGGTCGTAGCAGTGGCTCAGGAGCTCGTGGAGGATACCTTGGCCTTCGGGCACCTCACCGCTTGCGCTCAAGAACTTACCGTCCCGTCGCTGGCAGAGGGGACATCGGTGTCAGATTTGCCGAGAAAGCCCGGAGTTCCGCGCAATTCAGCAGCAGCAGCAGCAGCAACATGAGGATACTTACGCCGTTGTCAATGGCAGCAAGAGCAATTTGGTAAGGAATGAGCTCGCGCATGGACAGGGTAATCTTCCACCGGCACAGCGACATTAGACACTGGCGGATCGACTGCAGCTTGCGGAGAATGGGCATCAGGTCCTCCGAGACAGGTTCCGAGGACATTTGAAGTTTCTGGATCAAACGGTAGCACTGACAAAGGCGCGCGGGAGTGGTAGCAAACATGCAGCCAGTCAGTAGTTGCTTTAGAGGGTCGGATTCCGAGAGACTTCTCTAAAGCAGGGTCCTCGGAGAGGCAGCGGTCCAAACAGATCGGATCGGATAGGATCAACTGCGACGGGGTCGATTCAGTTTGTGCCTGATCCGTGCGGCATATCGCCACCGAGCGAAGCAAGGCCATAGACGCTGTGGTCGCCACGACAGAATATGGTCACGACAGAATGTGACCACGGCCGAGTGTGACCACGACAGAGAGCACCCATTGATACACTCAACCCGATCCGATTGGGCTCGTTACAGGGAGATTACCTTGTGGATCAAGAAATGCAGGATGGCCTGGCCCTCGGGGATGTTGCCGTGCTCGTCCAAGAACTTCCCGTCAACGCGCAAGTTGTCGATCTGGCCGAGCTCCATCTGCAGCGGGACGAGGTCCTCGGGACGAATGGTCCACCGCCGTACAAGGACCAGGTCCTCGAGACGGGCCTTGATCTGGATGAGCTTTTCGTAGACGCTGCGGAGGGGGTTGTCGCCAGTGACTTCGTCTCGCTGGGCCAGAAGCTCGTGGCAGTCCTCGAAGCAGTTCTCGAGAAGCGTCGTGACGTGCGCCTGACCGGACGGGATCGACCCGTCTGTCGATGAAACAAAAGCACCGTTGATCCGGAAGGAATCGATCTCGTTCAAGTGCTCCTGCAGATCGTGGATCTCGGAGAGGGAAAAGGCAGTGGGGTGCGACTGGGTCAGCAGGCGCGCCAGCTCGCCCTGGATCTCGACGAGCTTCTCAAGGATCGGAATGAGGGCAGCATCGATGTTGGAGAGATCGGACTTGAGCTTGGAAAGCAAGTTATCTGGAAAGCAGCCAAGGTGCGGTGTCAGATGCCGCATTAGCTGCTGGGGGGATTCGAGACAACCGTCCGCGTGCAGCATTCCTGCGTCGCCAACTTTCGCAGCCACATCCTCTGCGTTCAAACGTATCGAGCAAGCAGACAGGTTCGTTCACATGCCCGTGATTGCAATCCCAGGGCCTCGTTGAAAGCTGGCTGGTCGCAACCACACAGGAAGCAACACCGAGGAGTCACCGCCCTCCAACGCCGCATCAAAGCAGCAGATCGGTGGAGCATGCGCAATACGTACTCGCTGCCTGGTATTTCTCTTTCATATAAGACATGCCCTGCAGATAGCAAGCGGCGATGCCGTCCTTCTGGCCGGCGAGGGCGGCCTCAATCGCGCGAAGGGACTCGGCGAGCTCGGCCAGGGCGAGGACATGTGTGGACAGGATTTGGCTCGTGAAAAGCCCAGATTGGTTCAACTGCTTGAGGGCTGCATGAAGCTTGGACAGCTGGACGTAGCCTTGGGAGCACGATAGAGAGTGGGATGTGTGAGGCGCACATACAGTCAAAGTCATCGAGGGAGGACATAGCAACGGCAGAGTGCGATAGAGTACACCCAGTCGGTCATACTGCGGTAAAATCCTGGGGGGACCTTCTTTTGCTGTAGGCCAGTGATGATGATGCAAGCGAGAATGCGGGCGATACGATGCGATGAGTCGATGGAAGGACACGAATACTGCTTGCCATCCAAGTAACATCCTCCGACGGCGGGTATTGCATCGACTCATGGCGGCGACGATGGCGGCGACGACGAAGGGTCACTTACTTCCGTCCACAGCTTGAAGAATAGCGAGAGCACATCGACCGAGACCTGGTCGACTTTGGTCGGGGAGTCGGTGCTCTGCTCAAGAAGCGAGATCAGGAGCTTCCGGTTGACCTCGGACAAATCCGCAGGAGCAAACTTGGGGTGCCGGCCAAGACTAGAGTGCTGCGAGTGCTGGCCATCGTTCACGACCAGAATCGAGTGCGGCTGGGTCGAGTCGGCGAGGTGCTTAGGCTGCTGCTGCTGTTGTAGTTGCGGTTGTTGCTGGGGCTGCGATTGCGCTTGCAACTGCGATTGCGATTGCGATTGCGGCTGTGGCTGTTGGGGCGGCTGGTCGCTCGAGGCTTCACCCTCAACCTCTCCGATGGCGATTCCAGTGCGGGACTGGTAGTGCGACTTGACGGCGCCCACATAGCTCTTCCAGAGTGCGCCAATATCGGCGTCGCTCGGGGTGGAGCTGCCCTTCTTGAGCAAGGTGCGATGGCGCTCGAGCTGGCCCCTGATCTCAACGAGGACCGGCAGAGCCACGGCGTCTTCGGGAGGAAGTGGGCTGGACGTGCGGAGGGCCGTGATATCGAACGGCATGCTATGACGGATGCGGTAGTGAACGCTGGGGGGGGGGCGTTGTGCAGAGGCGAGGAGCGGCTCTGGGCAGATGATGATCGATGCGCAATCGGGCTGAGGACAGACCAAACGCCGATTGCCGAGCCTGCCGGGGGAGCTTGTGGCTGGCCTCGGATGTGGCTGCCTGCCTGCCATTCGCCGACTTTGGACCAGTGGGCTGGCGGGGTGTCCAAGACGGGATGGGCGGGACTTGCCAGGCGCGATTGTGGGTTGATCTGGCCGATTCGCACAGGGCAGCGTCTGCGAGATGCAACAATCGCAGCCCGCTGGAGGGGGAGCGGCGCTGAACATACACATCCCGGCATCGGAACGCGACATGACAGGAAGCCAAAGGGTATGGGTGAATGCGATGACCGAACATGTGTATTCAGGATCCAGGAGAAGCGATCTGGGTGACCCCTCTTAAGGGCGCCGTGGTCGATTCGCCCGGGCCGAACACACGCCAAAGACAAAGAACGATGGGATTTACAGGCTGGGCTGGCCAGAGATGAAGAACCACTTGTCGACTGGCAGGGAGGAGATAAAGGAGCAGGCGTGTGAGCGGCCGACGCAGTAACCAACCGCAAAGCCACAGCCACAGCTACAGCTACAGCCAGTTGATTTGCTCGAGAAGATTTGCACAATAACACACCTGACGGGTCGATGGGAGCAGCGGGCTTTCGCGATTCAGCGGGAATGGAAGTGTAGAGAGCGTTGGACTCCTCGAGGCGGTAGGGGCTGTCGGCGACATGGATGTTGGAGCTATAGTAGGAACAAGCGACGGGTGTGTCAGCGACGATAGGGTGCGACGCCACGGGGTAGTGTGCTGTGGTTTGGAGCTCGCGGATCCAACATGAAATGGTGGGCTCGGCAAATCAGATCAATCAGACCAAATCAGACCAAAGCAGGATGCCTATCCCTCTCCCTCGCCGCACTGGCACACGCCACGTACACAGAGATATCGAAGCGGTCGCTGGCAGGAACGGGGTTGGTGATCAAGCGTCTCCAGGCCTCGTGGGTCTCGTGGACGATCTCGGTGGCATATTTTCGGTTCTTGGCCTCGCCAGAGAAGGCAAAGTTGTTCTCGGGCTTGCCGTCAGGGATCTTGTAGATGCGGAACCACTCGTTGGTGGCACGGAGAAGACCAGGGAGATGCTTCTCGACGTCCTCGATGTCTATCCGCCAAAGCAGACACGGGATCAGCCGCCATAGGCAATCGAGATCTATCGACAGGCACACACACACACACACGATGCAGTATCAGAGATGGGGGGGGGCATCCTACCGTTCAGCTTGGCGGCAAGAGGGTCCTTGATATCAATGACGATGAGCTTCCAGTCGGTCTCGCCCTCATCGAGGAGAGCCATGGTGCCCAGAACCTTGACCTGCTTGACCTGGCCGACGGTGCCGACGAGCTCGCCAATTTCGCAGACATCAACCGGATCGTTGTCGCCCTTAGCCTTGGTATCGGGGTGGGTGTGGTTGGGGTCCTCCCAGGTCTAAGGAAGGGGAGAGGTGGATATTAGCAATCAGATCGTAGGGCACATGTCTGGAGTGCCCACAGGTTTGCCAATCACATCCGCACGACTGTGTGCCGGACTCACCTGGGGAAGGGCACCGTACTGCATCCGTCATGTCGAGGTGGAAAGTCGGGATTGAATGCGCCACGCCAAGGACGCGCCAAGGTGAGACCGGTTTGGCCAGGAAGAGCAGACATTAGCACACACGATCGATTGATATTCCCGGGTTGCCGGATCAGAGTCCCGCAGGCCCCGGGTGCACGCAGACGACAGCGCACTGAACAATATCCAGCTGCCACGGTGGTTCCCATGGGGATCGAGCGATGGGCGGGTGCCGTTCACGGCGCAGTCTGCAGTCGGGCAAGTGCAGCCAACAACAGATCTGGCGACGCGGTGCATATAGTCGACGAAACACTTACGTTCCAGATGTAGCCATGGTGAGGGAAGCAGTTGCGGACGTAGCGGAGCTTGCCCTTCTTGGTGTCCTGCTTGATGGGGTTGAAGGACTCCTCCTTGGAGATCTGCAAGAAGGGCACAGGGCAGTGATTAGAAGCCAGCCAGACGATTCTGGCGACGGAGCAGCGAGTGCAGCAACTGAGACGCTACAGCCCAAGCAGACCCACCTCGAGCTTGGCGTTGGTCCATCGAGGAATCTCAACAACCATGTTGAGGATGGTCTTCTCCTCGTTGGCATAGAGAGGAATGTCGTGGAAGGGCGAGACGACCTTGCCATCCTTCTCTGCGGGACGATCACAAGTCCGGGGTGCGTGAGTAAATGAGCGGGCAGGTGCATCCGAACCCAGCGGGCGCTTGTCGGTGCTCCTTAGCACACCTGCTACCGCTGCAGATTGAAGCAGACGCTTGCTCGCCGGGGCCAGCGGAGCAAGATGCAGTGGGATCCTCACCAATGAAGACGCGGTAGTCGATGGTGTTGGGAGCGCCAACGACGCGGGTGGAGTACTGGGTCATGATGTGCCTGAGGAAGGATCGAGACCAGACCCGGGGAGCGGGGAGGCAGGCCGAGTAGGCCGGGAGCGATCGGGTGCAGAGGCGAACGAGCATCGGAAGTGACAGAGAAAGTGTGCCAGAGGACGCCAAAGAGAACCAGCCGACGGATGGACAGAGGAAGGTTACTCTTTGAGAAGAATTGAGCAGACAGGCCCGGGCGAGGCAGCAGGCGGCGGCGGCGGCCGAGGCAGAGCGGGAGGACTTACCGGGAGGAGGAGAGGGACTGATGGGCGGGGAGCGGATGGGCCGGGGAGGGAGAAGATCAAAACGCAGAGGGGCGAGCGGGTGCTTTTTGTAGGCAGTGTGCGACCAGACCGGTCGCATCTGGGGCCCGCTGGGGAGCAACAAGGGGGCCGCGAGCGAGAAAGGGCGAGGGCGGGCGAGGCAGCCGACGGGGGCAGCCGACGGGCCGGCATGTGGATGCGGGAGGGCAGCCGGGACGGGCGCGGTCGCTGCCGTTGCTGCTGTGAGCGGTGCGGCGATGATACTGCGGCAGCGGTGTTAGTGGTGTTGATAGTGCGGTGGTGGTGTTGTTGCCGCGGTGCTGGGATCATGATGCTGCTGATGGTATTGCGGTCATGATCTGCATCCGGATTGCAGTCGTTGCGCTGCGACTTGGACTCGGCACTTGCACTTCCTTGGTATCCGCCCAGCGAGAGAGCCGTCCTCGCATGGCCCTCTCTTTGCCTCGCAGGCTTGCTCGGCGCCAATGTGTTATCGCGGCCATCACGGACGATTGCAAGCCATCGCAGTCCATTGTTGCAGCCCATCGCACACACCGCCGCAACCCACTGCAAACCATGGCAAGCCATGGCAGCCCAAGCGCCCGCTGCGATGCAGACACCCTGCCAGACCCCTCTCTCGCCCTCAGCGTCTCCCTGCAGTCCGCTCCCCTGCCGGCTTCTCGGTCGCTCTCTCCGCCCAGGCCCGTTCCCGTCTCGCCCTTTCCTCTTATCGCACCGAAACACAAAGCGCATCGGCACTGCCGCCGCGTCGCCATCCACAGGCAGCCGCCGCCCAATGGCAAGCACGCAGGCCACTGCCACCGTTATTGCGCTTCTCGCCGCGTCCCTCGCTGCCTCCTCGCCGCCTCCTCGCCATAGCTTGTGCTCTCGCCGACAGCCGCCCCGATGGCGCAATCCGCCCTTGTCCTCGCGCGCAGCACCGCCCTCGAGTGCGGCTGCATCCGGATCGACCCATCCCGCCTGGTTGTCTGCCGTGAATCTGTCTCCGGCCAAGTCGGACCCAGCCCCCCTGGTCAAGTCCATCGCATCCACATCGCATCCACATCGCATCCACATCGCATCCGGCGCCAACCCTCGCTGTCCTGTCTGCCGCTACCAGCCGCATCCTCTGCCATGGTCTCGAGTGAATCCCTGTTTTCAGCAAAGGCCCTCAAGGATGCCGCCCGCAAGGATCTTGTCCGGCTTCTTGACTCGGTATGGCCACATCCCATCCCATCTCATCCCATCCCATCCCATACCCCTCCCTCGTCCAGAGATTCTCGTGCGTCCATGTCGCCGTCGCCGACACCTGCACTAACTTCCGCCCGCCTGCCGAACCGGGTTGCATCGATCCCCGGGAACGCCTCTTGTCCTCGCCCATCCCGCGGCTCTCCGATCAAAGGTCCAAGGGAAAAAGTCGCTCGTCATCGATCCCAGCGTCAGCGGGCCTCTCAGCCTCATAGCTGAATTCAGTCTTCTCAAGGTAGGCCAATGAATCATGCAGCATGCATCTGGCTGTCAACACAGCAACGTCCCTCGGCTGGACGGTCGGCGAGGACCACCGATGCTCCGACACAGCGACGCTCCGCACCGGCGAGACTCCAAGCCATCCAGCCCCTCCTCCGCCATGTCTGGCCATGACCGGAGCTGCAGGGTCAATGACAAACGGCGGCGACCCATTCCGATGCATGCACGTTCGCCAATGTTACCACGATATCGTAGTGGCTCGCCCCTCACCGGCGCCTTGCCGTCTCGCTGCCTCGCAGGAACATGGCGTCGACAAGATCTATCACTTGCAACCCACGCCTGCCGATACGGGCGATGCCCGCTGTCTGATATACCTCTGTCGGCCAACCCTCCGCAACATGCAATGGATCGCCTGTGAGTCAGCTCTGCAGGCCTCTGCTTTTGGCTGCGCTTGAGCCTTTGCTCCATGGCGGAGTCGCCGATACATCCATCCAGCCACCGCTCCGCCCTCCCACCGCTGAAGGCACTGTTTGAAACCACTCCGCCATCATCACTCGGCTGGTTCTTGAGCGAACAGTCGAGATGCATCTAGTTTGCACTCATTGGCAAACGTGAACTCATCTGACTGCTTCCCTGTTGTTTCCCACTGTCCCCCATTTGCAGCCCAAGTCCAGCAGAACGCATCAAACGGCAAACGCATTGAATACCAGCTCCTGTTCGTACCCCGGCGCTCCGTCATCTGCGAAAAGCTTCTTGAGGACGAAGGTGTTCTTGGTGAGATTCATATCGGTGAATACGAGCTCGACATTGTCCCGCTGGATGAAGATGTGCTCTCACTCGAGGTCGAGTCGGCATTCAAGGATATCTATGTGGTAATGGCTCGGTGTTCAGGCTGTGGGCGTCCTACCTGTCGGCCTGCTTTGCAAGCTTGGATACTGGACGCTCTGCGCTGGGCGTTGGCATATCGTATAGGATGTCGTATAGGATGTCGTATAGGATGTCGTGCCCAGCGTTGGTGCCTTGGCGGATCGACTGTCTCGGCTCACCGCGCATCACAGATCTCGACTACCGGATGCGCATAAGCACTAACGCCAGTCTTGTTTGGTTTGCCTTGCGGATGGACAGGACGGCGACACCTCTTGCATCTACAGCCTCGCCAGGGCACTGATGAAGCTGCAGTGCATGTTCGGACTGATTCCCCGCATCGTCGGAAAGGGTGCCAAGGCACAGGTGGGTGTAGATCGTGTGCCCCAACATCACGACGACCTCCATCCTCAGCATGGGTGCGCTTCGACCTGCCTTGCTGCTAAGCTCCATGAAGCTCAAACTCACCCGTGGATCCATATCTGTCGGCTCTCCTCAGATGCTCTTTGATTTGCTAATGCGGATGAGACGCCAACTCACTGCTACTGCGGCCTGGAAGAATGTTCACGATCCGTTCCCTTCATACTGCGAATTCGACTCGGTCCTGATTCTGGACCGATCCGTGGACTTGATCACGCCCATGTGCACACAACTGACATATGAGGGACTCATTGACGAGATCTTTGGAATTCGCACAAGTATGCTCTGTCCCTCGTTGCAGTATCGGGGAAAGGCAAAGTTGGTCTGAGCAGCATGGAAGCGACAGAGCGGCACCATCACGCGATCGGCTCGTTTGGCTGGTTCGTGGCTGGTTCGTGGTTGCCTCGTTGGTTCAGCCGGTCTTGCTCGCCCTCCGTTGATGCCTCGACTCTTTCTTACCCTCCACGGACCCATCGCCACCCACTCAGCCTTTGCCGAGTTCGATAGCTCTGTTTTACCGTCGACAGCTGCCCCTAGCACTGGCTCGACGTCAGCAGGGCCCAGCAGTTCCGCCTCTGCGCCTCCCGCACAGGCCCCGACAAAACCCCGCAAAGTTCCTCTCAACAGCACCGACAGCATCTATCAGCAATTGCGAGACTCCAACTTTACCATCGTCAACGGAACCCTCAGTCAGCTTGCCAAGCGGATCCATGGAGACTATGAGGCAAGCACCACGAAAGAATTGCGCTCGCATCGAGTGCGGACAGTGCGTCTGAGCATGGATTATCTGGCACGCGGATCGGCCTCCGATTCGTTTCGAGTGTCGTGTCTGATCGGATGCATCGGCGCCCGCCATAATAGGAGCGCCATAAGGCTCAAACTGTCACCCAGATCAAAAACTTTATTGGCAAGCTCGGGACTCTGCAAGTTGAACACCAGTCCTTGCGGCTGCGTACGTGCTGCGTTTGCTGTTGGATCTGCATTGCCCCGGATGGCCGTACCAGACGAGCCCCTCCCCCGACACCAGCCGTTCGGGTCATCCAATCGGCTCCAGAGAGACGTCGCACACTAACACACTCTAACTTTGCCAATAACTGCGACACAGATATCAACGTCGCTGAGAGGATCACCAAATACACCCAAGATGTTCAATTTAACCGGCGCCTTGATGCCGAGCAGAGTGAGCGACCTGCCGGCTGGAATTGCTGCTTTCGGTCCTCTGGCACTGCGTCGGCATCAACTCCCAATACCGGCGGCAGGCTGGCGGCTAATGTGCGTGTGTTTGATTCACCAGGCCTCGTTGCCAACCTCTCACAGGGCATCCAGCTGGAATACATCGAAGAGCTGATCTGCAAGCAAGCGCCGTTATCCTTCACCATCCGGCTGTTGTGCCTCTACTCTTTGGTCAATGGCGGCGTCAAGCCCAAACATCTTGATCACCTGCAGCGTGAGATTGTCCAGGTGTGTGTCGCATCGCTGGTCTGTCGTCGGGCGGTGCGTGCAGAGCGCATTGTTGGCAGCATGCCCTGTCGCACTCACGTTGTCGGTCATATCGGCAAGCGTCATGAGCGCCACTCCCATTGCTCAGCATGGCTCACTGCCAACAATGTGCTCTGCACGCACCGCCTGCCGAGGATGTCCGTGTCTCCGATCAATACAGCATTTCTAATGCCGCCATTTCTGCGGCGTCGTCGTCGGCTCTGCATCTCGGCCTCAACAGACATATGGAATCGAGCATCTCCTGACCCTGCAGAACTTGGAAAAGGCCGGCCTGCTCACACGCCTCGAGTCTCAAAAGAACGGATACCCTTCGATCCGCAAGTCGCTGAGGCTGATCGTGGACGACGTCGATGAGCAATCGCCCAACGACATATCGTTTGTGTACTCTGGATATGCCCCCATCAGCATCCGGCTGGTGCAAGTGGCCACGACCAAGAGCGTCGGTGCCAGCAGCGCCCCAATCCACACGGCAACGGGCGTCGCCAGCGCCGTGGCTTCTGCAGCCGTCAGCGTGACGAAAAATGCGGCCGCTGTGGTCACCGGTGCAAGCAGCATCACCACCACTACCACCTCCACCACCACAGTCACTCCAGCCACTACTATCAATGGTAACCCTGCCCCTTCAGGTGGAAGCGGAAGCGCAAATGGCAGTGGAAGCGGTCCCTCGCATGCAGTCCCAGGAACTGCGACTGTCGTCAACCAAACGGTTGGATGGAAGGGCTGCGACGAACTGATCCGAGCGGTTCCTGGAGCTACCCTGGAGGAAGTGCAGATTGCAAAGCCTGGACTGCTGCCAGCGAGTAAGCATCGACAAAGAATGCTGCGAGGCATATGGATATCTGGCCCGGAGTACTGGACAATGCTGAGTTACAACAGGCACCCCGACAGATGTTGGAGAGTTAAGCGATCGGCACACTCGACATCGCTGAGCCGAACGTTTGGCCAATGCGGCGGATGCTGACGGCCTTCGCACTCTGCCTTGTAGGACTCAAGAGCCAGCAAAAGATCACCCTGGTCGTCTTTATCGGTGGATGCACTTCCACCGAGATCTCGGCCTTGCGCTTCCTGGCGCGAAACGACCCAGGTATGCGAACGGCATGGCGAACCGCAAGCACGCAGAAGGGCGATGTCTGCGAACGACAGCGAGTAATGTGTGGAATCGACTGCATTTTTGTTGAGGGGTTTGAAACTGACCCTGCGTCTGCCTCATCGCTCCCGCCTCGCTTCCTGCAAAACAGCTGGTCGGGAATACGTCGTGCTTACCACCCATGTCCTTAACGGAACCCGGATGATCAGCGAACTCAGCGAGAAAGTTGACAGATCATAATCGGCGGTGACGGTCCTGGATCTTGGCGGGTGGGGGGCAGAGTCAAACATGAGAGTCAAACATGAGAGTCAAACATGAGTGTCAAACATGAGTGTCAAACATGAGTGTCAAACATGAGTGTCAAACATGAGAGTCAATACCACTATCCCGCTGCTTATGCCGTGAGGTGTGAGTGGCAACGAGAGCCGGGAGGTGTCTGCCCAATTGGGGCATGTCGATATCGAGTGAGCCAGAGCAGAATCGCGCGACTCGCCAGGGAGGAATCGAACGCGGGCCGTCGCCGTTGATGACGTAAGCGGGTTCTGCTGCCTTCGCCGTCCGGCCAAAACGAATGCGGAATGCGTTCTGTCCGTTTTCGCTCGCCGTTTTACTCTGTCCTCGGCTGCCAACCTGCCTCTGGTGCTGTTCAAAAAGACCAGGCTCAGACTTCCAAATATAGATAAAGTAAGTATCAGCAGCAACATCGTCGCCAGCAGCAGTACCGTCGTCAGCAGCAGCACCGTCGCCAGCAGCAGCACGAGCAGAGCAGCACGAGCAGAGCCAGGAACCCGACACCATGCATCTCGATCGCTGTGGGGTGCGTTGGGGTTGGCCATTATGGAATATGGCTGTTTTTGGATGAATGGAACCCAGTGCTCGAATGCAAAGGCCTCTGAGGGTTGCCGGTTCTTGCTCTACCTAACCTCCAAGCCTATGGTCTTGGGTATCGACCACAACCGGGCGCTGTACGATCGCTCGCCGCATACAGTCAGTGTCGATCATGGAATCAGCGGGCGGTCAAACTGTCGACACTATGATTCTCACACCGGGTCCTCGATCCCTGTCCTCTTCACCCTCCCCCATCCTCCAGCGTCCACCGATCCCCCGCACAGCTCAACAAACGAGTGCCGTCCTTCTTGAGGTCTCCTCCAGACCAACCGAAACCCCTGTCTTGGATCAACCGGCCCAGTCCGATCGGCCACAATGCTGCACAATTGTCCTCGTTGCGGCCCATGCACCACCCAAGGCAGCGCGGCCCTGGGCCACACAGTCTGCTCAAAGTGTGGCTATGTATGTGATCGCCCTCGCTCTATTGACGGCCTGCGTCCGCTCTGGCCGTATATCGCTCGTCAAAACAGCTATCGACCCGGCCCGGCATCGTGCTTACACACCGACGCTGGAAAGGCGTGCTTTGCCTGATGGACGACTGTGGGTAGTGCTCCGGTTCCAATATCTCCATTAACCTGTCTCATCCTGGACCTCAACCTCGGCTTCAACTTCGGCCTCATCCCGGACTTGTACACTCTCCTACTTCCTCTCCCATCCAAACACCAAATCCTGTTTCCCCCCCCCAAAATAACACCAACAAACACACAACACAACACAACACAACACAACGCACAAACTAACCGGCCGTGCTCTGGATCCACAAATAGGTCTTTGAAGAAAACGAGGTCGTCCTCGAAGTAACCTTCTCTGAAAATGCAAACGGATCCGTGAACATGGACGGCTTCTATGTCGGCAGTGGGCAATGTAGGGATAGCAGCCCGATATTGATTGCAGCGTCAGCATCGAATCGAAGCAAAGAAGGAAGAAGGGAATAGCAGACGCATCCAAGATGCATCCATGTCGTTGGAACAGGGGGTGGTTGTGCAGTGTACTGCTTACCGCTTGCTGATGTTTGTGATGGTCCATTTTTATGCCACAGCACGAGCACGCGACCTGGTGGTTGGACGATATGGCCAGAGCTCGGTCGAGTCGCGGCTGGCCACGATCATGAGAGGTAAAGCGCTACATCCCGAACGACGATAGTGTGGTATCTGTGCCATGTGTGTGTACACATTGTGCTTGGGTCAGTCAGCGGAGCTGGGTTCGGGCTCAACGACAGCAAGCGTATATCCGAAACACTTGCGCTCAAAGCAGACGCATACACCCCGATCTTTGTCCATATCCAAGCGTGCTTGCCTGTATGGGGACCAGAGTTCCGCGAATCTCGTCATCTCACCATCTCACCATCTCACCATCTCACCATCTCACCATCTCACCATCTCACCATCTCACCATCTCACCATCTCACCATCTCACCATCTCACCATCTCACCATCTCACCATCTCACCATCTCACCATCTCACCATCTCACCATCTGCCAACAAACCAGGCAACGCCGTCATCCAAAAGATCGCCAACACCCTCAAGATCCCCGACAAGCATGTCGAAATTGCTCAGCGCTACTATCAGACAGCGGTCAACCAGCACTTTACCAAGGGCCGGCGCGTGCAGATTGTGGCATCGGGATGCCTGTATATTGTCTGCCGCGAGGAAAAAACGAGCACGATGCTGATTGACTTTGCCGATGTGACCAACGTAAGCTTGACCAAGTAAACCCACCGGGTCTAGTTGGATCTAGTTGGGTTTAACAACGCCCGCTGTCGCCGATGCCCGATCAAACTGCGGTTTTTGCTCACGGGCCTTACCCGTCTCTCCATACAGATCAGCATCTATGCGATCGGCGCCACTTTCATGAAGCTGGTGGAGATGCTGCGACTGAACCTCCCGATGGTGGACCCCGCCCTGTACATTGCGCGCTTTGCCTTCCGCCTCGAGTTTGAGGAGAAGACCCAGGACGTCATCCGTGATGCCACTCGGCTGGCTTCGAGAATGAGCCGTGACTGGATTCAAACAGGCCGCCGACCCGCCGGTATCTGCGCCGCATGTAAGACCACTTTCTCGAGCCCAATCCGGCTGCCTGTCTGCGTTTAAAGTTTTGGTCCTCCACCAAAGTGCCTGGGCCAGCTGTTTTGGTCAATTTCGATGGCTGCCAAACAGCGCTGGCTCGCCCCATCCTCTGCCTGTGCACTTCGTCGTGCTGAGTCGCTGCCTCGATGTTTCGTTGCGCTCTCCCTGCTAATTGGTACAACAATCCGATTCGCCACCATCCGTATCTGCCTCCATCTAGGCTTGTTTGTGGCCGCGAGAATGCACGGGTTCAATCGGACAATCCACGAACTCGTCCGGATCGCTAAGATCTGTAGCTCGACCCTGAAGCATCGGTATGGAATTGGGTGGAGCGCGCGAGCCTGATCTCAATGAGGTCTGATGACCGAGAGGACGGTGGTGCATTCTCATCGTAGGCATGCATTGCTGACGTGCCCCTCCCCACAAACTTACCTAAATCCGTATTTTTTTTTGGGAACCTCCGGCCCGTTTAGCCTCGAAGAGTTCAAGTGTACGCCCTCGGGAAACCTCACTGTCACCGATTTCCAGACCATTTGGCTGGAGGAAGGCGCAGATCCTCCTTCTTACTCGCAGATCCTGAAGAAACTCCCGAAGCGGCAGCGAAAGTCTAAAAGCGCCGACGAAGGCGTAAAGGAGGAGGATGAAGAGAGCGATGCAGACGAGACTAAAAATGAGGACAAGGACGACGACGAAGAGACCCGCGAGCTCGAGAACGAAGTGAAAGGGCTGATGGATGCCGATGACGTCCTGCGTAGCGCCTTGCGCGAGCAGAATGCGCAAGGTCGGGCCTCTTTGCAGGGTTTGGCCAGTGGCGGAGTTGCGGACCAATCGGGGTACCGCTCGGTTGAGGAAGCATGGGCTGACTTGATCCTGTCATCAGAATCCCAGGATGACGAGAATCTCGATGACCTGGACAACGATGAAGAAGTCCAATGCTTCCGTCTCACCGAGGCTGAGGTCGAGTTCAAAACCAAGATCTGGACTGCCGAAAACTGGGACTGGGAGGTAAAGCAACAAGGTAAGACTGTGCTGGGCACAAGTGCGCAGACATACGGTTCTGTAATTGGCCACGCTGCTGACACATTCTGGACCGATACCATCAGAAAAAGCCCTGCGGCATGGCGGAGCCGCGCCACCGAGACGGGTAAGTCGAGGAATTCTCTTTGTGGATGAGGCAGCGATCGAGCATGGCGCACCATCATTTTGCCGCATGGCCCGGGCCCGACGTCGCTGTAACTCCACGTACCGCCTTCCTATCCTGAACCTGCCGTGCGGAACAACAGGCACGAAAACCCAAGGCCCAGCAAGCCCGACTTCCGGCCGCGAGCTCGCCGGCCGAGGCTCTGCGCAACTACACCGCTAGCCACAAGAAGGCATTCTCGAAAAAGATCAACTGGGACGTGTTCAACAAGATTGACGAGCCGGTGAGTTGCAGCAGGAGAGATGGATGTGACTGGCACTGTGTGTTTGTGGTCGTGGGCTCGACTAAGTGACTCTATGTCGTCTTGACTGCTCGGCCCGATCTTCGTATGATGTAAACTCATCGACACTGTGCCGGCTCTTGCACCCTGGATGCATCATCTTCGCGCTCTATCAACGGGCCAGATCGACGAGTCTAAGCTCGTCTCAATCGAGGGTCCGATCATTTCCATTACCAAGTCGGAGACGATCTGAGTGTCTCCCACGTCGGTAGATATATCCACCATTGCTCATGCGACCCCGTCGCCATCATCCAATATATGCATTCCTCTCCCCTGCAGCCGCATCTGTTTCGATCTGGTATGCTGGTCGGCGAAATGGAGCCCTTCGTGTAAATGCTGGACTGCGTCAGCGAGCCGGCTTTCAGGATGCATGTTCCAGTCGTGCGTCGAATCCGGATCCGCTTGGAATGGGAGAACAGAGACCAGCAAAATGGGAGCATTGTCACTGGGCTGCCTTTCACTGCCTCGTGCCAATCACTCTCCCCAGGCCAACTGCTCGTGAGCCAGCCCACCATTTCTTGTGGGAACCGCGCCAAGCTTGCCAAGCTGCCAACATGTACCCACAACTCATATCATATCTACATGTCCTTCATCAGCCGCAGCTTGGACTCGCCATCCCGGGCTTGCGGCTGCGCGACCCTACCACGGACTCGACCACCACCGATTGCACTTTCGAGGCGATAGCTGGGCTCATGCCACCCGGCTCGTGAATCACGCTGTTCATTGACTCCACCATTGAAACAATGAGTCTTCTCAGTGGAATTCCCGGCTGCATTTGACAATAGACATGCCTCATTACAGAGGAATCGTTGGAATTCCAATGATCTGATCATTATCATGGCCGAGATTATATACCTGGACATCCTCCCTCCCTGAGAGAGCGACATTAGATACATAGACCATCGCCACGTCCACTGATCTTTTGCTACTGTCGTCGCATCTTCCTCTGGCACTATCGCTTTCTTGTTTCTGTTCCCGTCTGTCTCTCTCGTCTACCGACAGCCAAAATGAGAAGACCCGGATACTTTATTGTGCTCACGCTCTCCTGCACGCTGGTGTTCCTCTATGCAATCGAGCTTTCGCTGCGCAACTCCTGGCGCTCGTCCGAGGATATCGTCGTCCGGGCATCGTCAAAGGGCAGCATGGCTCCATACAAGATCCATCCCGAGCAGTTGAAGATCAAGGATCTGCCGTATCGGCATGTGCCTGGTCGGGAGAATGCTTGCATCATCATGCTGGCACGCAACTCGGACAGGGACGATGTCGTCAAGACCCTCGCCACGTTCGAGCCCACCTTCAACGCCCGCTTTCTGTATCCGTATGTGTTTTTCAACCAAGAGCCCTTCGATGACGACTTCAAGGCCGCGGTCTCCAGTGCGACAGAGGCAGAGGTCCGCTTCGAGCTGATCCCGCAGGATCAGTGGTCCATTCCTTCCCGCTACGACCGATCGGCCGTGCTGGAGTCCTTCAGGAAGCAGGGCGAGCGACCCGGCCTCAAGGCCGATTTGGAGAACTACCATCACATGTGCCGCTACTTCTCTGGGTTCTTTGCCACCCATCCAGCCCTGAGGGAGTTCAAGTACTACTGGAGGGTGGGTTGCGGGCCGATGGCTCTCTGTTGTCTGCTGCCTACTGTTGGTGTCTGCTGTCGGTGCCTGTTGTTGATCCGTCGGCTTGCGACAGTCGACGGATATGGGAGGTCTCGGATGGCATTGTCGATATCCTGGCTCGCATCGACACTGCAATGGATCTTGTCGCTGAGCACTAACTCTGTTGCGGTTGCGACACGATTCTCGCCTCATTCCACCTGTGTGGTCAACTTACATCCCCATCCAGATCGAGCCCGACGTTTCCTATTACTGCACGCTCGACTATGATCCGTTTGAGCTGATGCGAAAGTGGAACAAGACCTACGGCTTCACTTTTGTTGGGGTCGAGGATCCGTGGACGGTGCCGACGCTTTGGAACTCGACCCTGGAGTATCTCCACTCGCGCAGCCGGAGCTTTCCACCCCACCTGCGGGCCTTTGACCAGCGAACCGGCAACGAGCCCGAGTCTGAAAGTGACTACAACTACTTTTACTTTTTCAACAACTTTGAGATTGCCGATCTCGATTTTTTCCGATCCGACGAGTACCTGGACTACTTCAAGTTTCTGGACGACAGAGGCGGATTCTTTTTCGAGCGATGGGGAGATGCCCCCGTTCATACCCTTGGGGCCGCCCTCTTTCTTGATCCGAGTCAGATGCAGTATTTCCATGACGTTGGTGAGTTGCTGGTGCTAGCTGCGGATTAGACGGTGCAGTGGCCGATTGGATGCGCAAAGTGGCTGCGGCCGTATGATGAGTGATGGCATGGACGAGAATCGTCTCCAACTCACTCGCTGTGTGATATAGGATACCGACACGGGCCAATTACCCACTGTCCCGCGAATCTTCCAGAGTACGGCATAACCAACAAGAACTGTCACTGTCGGGATCGAATGCCCGAGGTAGGCCGCTCATGGGGATGTGTGCTTGATGCTTGGTGCCTGGCTGATGCCTGGTTGGTGCCTGCACAACACACATCGCTTCCGAGACTCACCGACTGCGATTTTCATCGGCAGGACCCTGACCAGCGCATCTCGGAATCACCCTGGGATGACGCTCTCAAACACTACCTTCGCGTTGTCCCCGAGCTCAGCCTCGAGAAGCATCTGCGCTGAACGCGCTCGTCTCGAGAGCCCACATCAGACGCAGGACTGTGGTAGCCAGGTCTCCTTTGGGGATGGTGCCGCACTGGCAGGGCTGTGGGTCCTGTGGGGAGTCCCACGCCGTCGCAGTCTATCCTGCATTGTGAGCGCGGTGCTTCGTGTGCCAGATACTCAAAGTGTAGCCGTGCAGCGCCGCTGATGAAGACGGGCTCAGGAAAGCCCAGGAAATGTACTCTGCATTCTCGTCAGCTGGAAGGGCATCCCAGCCATCGGGAAGATGCGCAGCATGTGTGGCACACGGATGTCACATGTCGCCTGGCGACAGCCAATCAGGCGCCTGTGGCACCGCCCCGCCACCAGCCGCCACCAGCCGGAGCCAGCCGGAGCCAGTTGGCTGTCCGGTGCCAACACGCGCACCGTCGCACAGGACGTGCCCATCCCTTGTTGTCCCTTCACCGCCACACACACACAGTGTCACGCGCTGTGGGGCCGGGCTCGTGGTCCGCGACCACCCGTACATTTCGTACATCGCCGATCCGCCGCTTTCTCCCCCCCCATAGTCTTCTCCTGCCTCGTTGTACCTGCTGCAGACCCACCGCCGTCACCCGCTCCGTTCCCAGTCCGAGACAGATCCAGGCCATGCCGACCACAATCCGAGCGAGCAGAAAGTTCCTGCTTCTGGTCCCCGTCGTCGTAATGCTCATCGTTGTTGCTGTGATGGTCATGTCGGAAGACTTTGATCCCCGCAGCAGCTTCTTTGGGCAGCAGTCCTACGACCGCCAGGCCGATGAAAACGACCAAGGCCGCCAGCACCGGCACGGCGACCACCAGCAGCATCACCACGACCACCATGGAGCCTACAACCACGGCTCGAACAACCCTGTCCCTCCCGTCCCACCGAGCTACCAAATCCCCGACGACCCTCAGTTCTATCGCTCCCAGAGCGGCCAAGACAGATGGATCCTCAAGTGGTTCCAGAACGCCACGCAGACCCGTATTCCTTTTGCCGGAAAGGGCGTCTTCATCGAGTTTGGTGCTCGCGATGGCCTGGACGACTCCAACACCTATCTCTTTGAGTCGTCCTTCGGCTGGCGTGGCATCTTGGCCGAAGCCATCCCCCAGGAGCAAAAGTCGATCATGGTCAACCGACAGAACTCTGCTGTCGTCGACGCCGGCATCTGCAACACTGGCAAGGCTCAGTTCTATGCCCTGGACAAGGCCAGCGGATGGAACGGCATCGTCGACTCGTACGATCAACAGCGCAAGGACAAGATCGATACAGTGGCCTCCAAGATCGAGGTGTTTTGTGTCCGTCTCGACACCCTCGTCGAGTACTTTGGCCTCCGCCGGGTCAACTACATGTCTGTCGACACCGAGGGCTCGGAGCTGTCGTCCCTCATGACCTTCCCGTGGTCCAAAGTCGTGGTGGATCTGGTTGGCGTCGAGATCCTCGTCGGTTCCGAGCCCGGCAGAGCCGAGAACCGCCAGCAGATCATTTCGTTCATGGGCCGCAACGGATATGAGCCTGTGCATGAGTTCACCGTCGGAGGCGACACCCACGACCTGTTCTTTGCCCCTGGGCCACACCGGTCGCATCCCGCTCCAATCGTCTCCGACAGCGACTTGTTCATGGACCAAAGCCATTTTCTGGAACAGCGTCGCATGTGCCAGCTGCTTGGTCGCTGCCTCTAGTGATGCGATCTGACACTGGAAGTGTCGTCGTCGATAGAATCGGTTCTCGATTTCGGTTGGAACATAGATGACAAACGCATGTGGCTATGGCCATAGATAGGACGCATGCCCCCCTTTCTGAACACTCCCAAACTCAGCTGCAATCAATCGCACCCTCGCCATCTGAATATAGCCTGCTTGAGCGCATGTACGTCTCATTCAGAAAACAAACGGGACACCACGCCCGCTTCCATGAACATGTAGTATGTGATGAGCTTGCATCAAGCTATAAATAAACAGATCACTTTGGCAGCCTCTGAGTGAAGACCACCGGTCGCTCTCCGCCTCCGCAATCGCTTGCTGTGGAGATCGAGTCGCTTGAATCGCCGTCGCCTGGGTGGTGCCTTTCGCTTGGGGGAGCCAGCTGTGCGAAAAAGAAGCGTCGATGGCTGGCTCTGCTCTTAGGCAAGAGTGAATCTCCTCAAATCCAGCGCATTTTTGGGCTGGCAGCGATGCCCACAATGGCGTCCTTGATTCGGATCCAGAGTCGCATCACAGAATGGCCATGACCAGCGCGCGATGTGTTGAGGCAACAACATATTTGTTCAACGCTCAGAATCCGGGTGCCTCGATTGGCTGTAGTCAGGCTGCGTCCAACACCTCCCGCCCTGGCTCTCTGCTGCTTGGATTTGCCCGGCTTTGCTTTCCGTCATTGGCCGTCAGCAGCCGAGAGGGAGTGGCACTGGCCTGAAACACGCGCATCCCGGCTTCGATCTCCTCCTTCCGCCCTTCCGTTGCAATCTGCCGAAATCCGTCGCAGCCAGCGCCTTCCTCGTTGCCGGAGCCGCTTCTCCAGCAACACTGACTCGGTGGCTCTATCAGAATGACCCAAGTGGCATCTGCATTCATCAACGAGTTGCTTGGCGTCAGCAATCCGGAGCAGGTGAATGGCGGCATCAGCCGTTGCCACTTTTGCTGTCGCTGCTACCCCTCCTCGAACCTCGGGCACATCCGCATCGAACCCCAAGATGTTTAAACCACACGGCGGAGCCATTGTCCGACAGCACCGCCCTATCCATTACCAGACGGCATCGTCCTAACCATCTCGCCAATCGCATATCGCATCAACCATCTGTCCTTCTCGTGTCGCCATCATGGCATCGGCTCGGGATGGAATGTCACCACAGGTTGATCTTGCTCCGGCCGGGGCCGAAGTCGCCGACTCGACTGAGGACCTGAACAATTTTTCGTACGAAGAGGTCGACGGTATGCCGACCCTTGATGGCATTCCATCCTTGATGGCATGCCTGCCCCTTGATGGCACAATCTCTTGGCCTTGATGCAGCTCCTGGACTGCTCTGACCCTGCAGTGCTTATGGACATACGGCAGCGCTATCGTCTTGATGCCCTTACCTCGTTTGCACCAACTGATAATCGCCCGCATCTCGAATCGTGTGGGTGGGTCTGGGCCGGACTCCAGACAGAATCAGCGAGTTCCAGGGCGACGACTTGGTTCGAGAGGCACTAGAGAAGGTAAGAGCGAGTTGGCTTGGGCCAGGGCCTTGACTCTCTGTCGGCCGAGGCAATCTGTCTCATGCCCTACCCTCATACTGTCCTCATACTGTCCTTGCTTTACCCAGGGGCTCGATTTGCGTGAATATTCGAAAAAGACGCAAGAGGAGCTGAAGGCGTTGGAGCAAGAGCACATTCTCGACTGTATGTGTCGCTGTGGCCCTTGGTTGCCGTCAGCCGGAGAAGCACCGCTGGAGCAGTTGGGTCCGACCACGCCGAGCTAGACTTGGCCCGACCCGACCAATCTAATCGATACTGCCATCAGATGCCAAGCAAGCCCAGGCTCTGGTTGATTTGTACAACGAAATCGAGGTGCGTCTTCGAATTCTCCATCCACCATCCAGCCGATATCCAGCCGAATGATGATAACGAGCAAGTTGTGCGGCTCCTGGCATGCCTACCCGTCCTAACAACGGTGTGTCCGATATGATCCGCTGGATTGCTGCGACCACAGTCGTGCGACGACATCCTCGGCAACATGCAAAGTCTACTGACGGGGTTCCAAGAGAACCTCGGCCAGATTAGCGGCGAGATTGCAACCCTCCAGGACAAATCAAAGGAGATGACGATCAAGCTCAAGAACAGGACGGTAGGGTGCTGTGCGGCGCTTTTCAGTGTGCCTGGCATGTCCTCGAGCTGCTGCATCAAGCCTGAGATGAACGGATGAACGGCACACAGGCGGCCATGGCCGGCATCAATCTGGCGGTCACACCGGACTGATGCAGCTGCCATGGGTTTCTGTTATCCACTCTCCAACATCAACCAGTTGGCCCAGTCGTCACTCGGATCCTCGCTAGATGGAATAGTCATTGGCTCAGACTTGATTATGTATGTCGTGAGTCGACCAAGCGCATCCCCGATCCTCGGTTGCGCATCCTGCGGATACTGCAGCATGCTGATGTGTGGCGGCCCTCCTGGTTGCGTTCTTGACGGATCCAGCAAAATCTGCGAAGGCGAAGTCAATGAGTTTTTCGTCCAGCACCTGTCGGATCTCAACGACAAGATGACATACATGAAAGCCCAGCAACACAACAAAGTCCCTATCAAAGCCTTCAAGGAACTGTTTCCAGAAGTCGAGAGGCTGAGACTGAGGGCAAGTGCACATCCGGAGCATCGGCTGAGCGGACAACCGAGACGCTGGTGCCACTCGCTGCCTCGGCCAAGCTCAGTATCAGCCAGGCGCAGTTTAACTTCCTGCGATCCTCACATTGGCTCGTCTCGTCTCGTTTTGTCTTGTTTCATTGTATCACACATCGATATCACCATTACTTGGCGCGGCAGGCTGCGGAAAAGTCTCGGGACTATCTGCTGAAAAAGATCGAGTCTCTCAAGTCGCCCAACACCAACATCGTCATCATCCAGCAAAACATGCTGCTCAAGTTCAAGGAGCTGTATTGGTTTCTGTTCGAACGTCACGGCGAAGCGGCTGCTGAAATACGTGCCAACTACATCATCACAGTGGGCAACTACTTTTTGGCGTCCTTCGACAAGTACATCAAGTCCATGCAGAAGCTTCAGGTGAGGACCCAAGAGTCCGGTTGTGGGCCACGCCCGACCGTCGTTGGCATTCAGCGGCCGGGGCATGTGCAAGTCGGGACCCGGCTCGCCCTCAGTCCGACTTGCGGCAGAGCAATCCATGCGCGCGACCATGCTGGGTTTATCCTCTTGGACGGGACTGACAGGATTCCCTTGTGGCTCATTGTCGAAACCTTCAGACCATCATAGCCGATCGACTTGACCTCATAGGCTGCGAGGAAAGCGCCAAGCGAGGTAAAATATCGGTCGTGCGATCTCGATCGCTTGGAGATTGCATTCTCTGTAGCAACGGTGCTGGGCTTCGCCACGGATCTGAAGCAATGCAGGCTGATTATACAGCTCCCTCCATACACTGGATCCCATCGCCAAGGTCTCTTTAGCGGGAAACTGGCACTGAAGGACAAAACAAACGTCTTTACATTGGGAGACCGCATCAACGCCCTGGTGAATCCGGACTCGGGCATCATTCTGGCGCATGTAGCTGAGGAGCAGAGCCTGGTAAGCATTGGCAGCGTGTTCCGATCAATGTGCAGCTGTGGAATAGTTCGCTGCCAATCTCTGCCAAGGTCAGCTGATTGACATTGGACGACGGCTCGGTCGCCGTCTGGGTGTGTTGGTCCAGAAATTCCCGTTTGAAGCAGTCTTCAAGAGCGTCAGCAGGTTGCTGATGGACAATTCGTCATCCGAGTACATCTTCACCATCGACTTTTTCAACACTCCTCGCAAGTCCAAGCCGGCCGGGATGACGCTCGAGCCCATGGGCCTGGCATTCACCGAGGTCTTTGAGCCGACACTGAAACTCGTGCAGGTGAGTTGGCGACGTGACTAGCGGCCGCTTTGCCCGCCTCTTCTGCCCCACCCACGATCTGGTGGCCAGTGATCCCATGTCGCGACGCACATTGCGGCTGCACACTCGACTGCTGCCGACGATGAACTTTGGTGTTGTCCACAGGGATACATCAAACAAGTGACCGAGAGCAGCTTCGACGCCGTCGGGGTTCTGCTCTGCATCCGCCTCAACAACCAAAACATGCGCATCATGCAAAAGCGGCGGATTCCGTGTCTCGAAAACTTCATGATGGCCATCAACATGCTGCTGTGGCCGCGCTTTCAGTTGATTTTGGACATGCACATCGACAGTCTGCGAAAGGCAGTGCCATCTCGACTCATGGCTGTCAAGGACGTGACGCCGCACTATGTGAGTGGTTTTGCGGATTTGCAGCACCACCAGGCTCGCGGTGGAGCATGGAGCGTGGCGACAGGGACGTATCCAAATCACTCAGACGTCTTCCTTCGCAAGATCACACGGCGCTATGCCGAGTTTTCGGCCTCGATTCTGACACTCAACCAAGGATATCAAGATGCGCTTCTGGTTCACAGGCAAGTGCATGGTCAATCGCATGGATAAGCCCATCTGCACTATTCGCTGAGGCGTTGTCTCGCCAGTGGCCTGGGTGAGAATCCAGCCGACCATACAGCCCGTGTATTGACAGTGGTTTGGGCTGGGCTATCAGCCTCCAGAGACTCCGATCCGAAGTCGAGTCCCTGCTTCTGAGGATGTCTGTCGAATTCTCCGACACGAAGAGCAGGGTGATTTTCTTGATCAACAACTTTGATCTCGTTGTGACGATTCTCAGCGTACGTACACAGGCCCGCTATGCTTGCTCATGGGTATTGGCCTGCGTTGTTTCTGCTTGTGCTGCTCGCCTGGCATCTGGACTGACCTGACGACCTTTGACCGCCCCTCCAGGAATACACGGCGTCGTCGTTCGAAGAGGAGAAGGCCTACTTTGCAGGCATTCTCGAGAACAGAACAGATGAGTTCGTCGAGGAGGAGCTGCGTCCCTATTTCGGAACGTTGATGGGTCTTGTTGCCGAAGGCGAGCAACATCCTGACCTGCTCAAGATGGACGGTGGTAGGCATGCAGTACGGTTTGGATGCACCTGGCTGTTTCGGATTGCAGGATCGCTGCTGGCTCTGCGTGTCATTGACGCAATCCTGTCTATCCGCGGCAATGCGCCCGCGGCCCTCAGACAAGTTTGAACGCATCGCCGACAACTTCAACAACTCGTGGAAGCAAGCCATCGGAACAATCAACAACTCCATCATCCAGTCCTTCACGAACTTCCAGAACGGCGCCCGCATTCTGCAAAGTGCCCTGACTCGACTGCTTCTGTACTACAAGCGGTTCCTGGTTCTGTGGGAGAAGCGATTCGGCAGCCGCAAGCAGCGTGTACAGCCCGTGGGTCTGCAGAGCGTCATGGTGGAAATCAAAAAGTTTAGGTGAGTGCATGGGCGACATCAAAGACCTGCGGGGGGGGGCGACGACGATGATCTGCGGGTGCGACGGCGAGGATCTGCGGGAGCGTCGTGGGAAGCGTCGCGAAGCTGCCAAGACCAACCCGTGTTCATTGCTTGCGTGGTCTCGTTGGCGTGTGGTGATTCCGATGTGTCATCGCCGCCAGCTCGCTAACTCCATCCACCCCCCCCCACACCAACAACCAGATCCAATTTCCAGTAAAAGCTGCTGGCCTGGCCGATGCGATGCCCGCCTCGGTCCGGATCATAGATAGAATGGGACCAGAGACACCGCACAAGTTGCAATATCACATTGTGCTCCGGAAGTGCCTGATGCTCGCCTTGATCTCAGCGGACTAGCAGCGGATGGGGTGGAGACAGAGCCGCTGGATGTGATCGTCCCAGCGCCTCGCCTCGGATGTATCGGATATGTGCCGGGCCGTCGGGCTCGAGCTCGGATGGGCGGAGAGAAGCACCCTGGAGCAACCGCGCCACGCTCCACACCTCCGAGATGGCGCCAAAACAAACGAGGGTGGATGTCAGGTGACCGCATCCACCCATGTCCGGCCGCGGTGATTGGCTGCCGCCGCTGGCTCGAGCCGGCTTGGCAGCTGAAGCCCCAACAAGGCGCGACCAGTATTTGAGGCAGGGGGAAGCCGAGGGGCACTTTCACCTCCCACGCCCTCCCCCGTCTTCTCACGCCCCGCCGTCCTCGGTGCAAGAGAAACCGCGATCCGCCCCGAGCTCGATCTCAAGTGATATCCGAACAGTCTCGCTCTGCTTGCATCTCGCACGTCCCTTGATTTGATATCCGAGTCCGCTCGTCCCGCCGTCCAATTCAAAGCCAGCAAGCCAGCAAGCCAAGCACGTAACTGATCTACCATGGTAAGCCATGCGCTCGCGCACTTGGTACCTCTATGAGCGACCGCGTGGTGGAGGTGATCGGCCAATACCAAGAAGAGCCTCGCCCCCGCGTTCGTGGGTCGCTGATCTGGGAGCAGAAAGCGTCGCGTTTCGAGCGATTGATCGGTTCAGAGTTCACACCGCTGGTGATGCCCGCCGCGTGAGCGATCAGCATGCGCGACATCGATGTGTATGATCTCCATGCGTTGGTTGATCGACCTGAATTCATGGCGGAGCAGTGGCAGGAGCCCGTCTGATCTTTGTGGGGCCGTGCGGTATTGGCATGGGGATTTGCATTGCGCACGTACAGCATCGTCGGGGCGATGAGCGCCGCGGTACGGGATTCACTCTTGTTTCTCGTGCAGCCCGCGATTGTGTCTTGCCCGTTCAATATCGCATCTCGAGGCCCCGCCAGGATCAGCGAACGCATGGGCCGGTTCATACCCAAGCCCAATAGCTCCATCGTCCTGGTGGCCGGCTCTCCTTTGCTTGTCTCTCTTGCTGCGACCCCATTGCGGCTCCTCCCATTGCACCACCACGAGGCCGTCGCTATTTTGATTGCGTTACTTCGCGTATTGCTGTGTCTGGATTGCTTCTCTTCCACATTGGCGCGGCGACAGGCTCGATTGCTGCAGTGTGTATCTGGATCGATTCAGACACTCTCCTCCATACATCTAACCCTTCTCGGACTTGATTGCTCCTCCCGCAGGCTAGTGGAGTTGGAGTTCAAGACGCCGCCATCGAGGCCTATCAGGATCTCAAGATCCGCAAAAAGTACCGCTATGTGGTGTACCGATTAACCGACAACGCGACCGAGATCACCGTCGAGCGAAAGGTTGAGCAGGCCAACTACGAGGACTTTGTCAACTCGCTGCCCCCGAACGAGTGCCGATACGTGGTTTACGATTTCCAGTACGAGACCTCTGGCGAAGGCACTCGCAACAAGATCCTGTTTTACGTCTGGTAGGTTTGCTATTGATATAAATATGGGGCCGTCCTCGACTGAATTGGAAGCACACGGAGGCCGCCAGTGTTCGATTCCTGGGAACATGGCCCTGACCACCAGGCCCAATTCACGGTCACTGACTGGCCCTGCTGCGGTGAATCTACAGGTCTCCCGACTCGGCCAAGATCAAGCCCAAGATGCTGTATGCATCCAGCAAGGATGCCCTTCGCAAGAAGCTCGACGGCATCTACACCGAGATCCAGTGCACAGATCTCTCCGAGGTCAGCTACGAGGCCGTTTTCGACAAGGTATGTGCGCTCTCGACTGCAACAGGCAGTATCGGAACGGCTCCGTGAGGCAGCCTGCCCTGCATCCAGCATGTATCTTGGCTGTGGTCGAGGCTCCATTCCTAACGCCCCTCCGCCCCACCAACTCTGATATGTGCAGGTCACTCGTATGACAAGTTAAGTGACCCGCTGGCTTTCAAGGCCGACACCGATCCTCGTTGACGAAACCCCTCGCCAACGGGCCGGCCGGCGGTCATAATACGCCACCTCACCTCCAATGTATGCCGTGCGCGAATCTTGTGTCGAGTACGGACAGCGTCAGTTGCCTTTCCGATTTGAATACGTGTGCATCCGCCCTTTACACTCCGCTCCCATCCGCTCGTAAAATGCATGGATGGCCAGGACTTTTTCTTGTGAGGTAGTGATGCTTGTTGCAAGTGAAATACAATGTGATACAACTCTTCCAGACGATAGTTCCCAGGCGTGTGAGAGAGATTCCGGCACGGCTCTGTCGTGAGTGCTCTGGATACTCATGGGAATGGATAAGCGCCCCTGTATTCAGCAGCCAGAACAGAGCAGCTGGTGAAGAAATGCAGGATCTGAAATCCCAGGGTAGCATTTTGGCTGGGGTGGAAGGGAGTGGTGCGTGGATGAAGCGCCGTATCAGGGCCTGGTGCGGCACCAGCCGTTGGCGAACCACTCTCGGGGCGAAGGTGGCATGCGATGCGCCCAGATATAGCCTGGGGACTAAGTCGAAGCGAGGCTGTGCTTTGGTTGGGACTACGTAGCGAGCGAACCCGCAGATCGCTTCACGAAGGCAAACGCAAGGTAGAGATCTGCTCGGTCCCATCACAGCAGATGCATTTGCGAAATTGTCAGCGAGACCATGCCATGCATCTGCAGAACGACGACGAAGCGTCCCGGAGCACCTGGATCGAGCTCGGTTGTACATCTGGTCTCACCATGAGACTGCTGTTAACAAGAGTGCGTACCTGCAACCCTCCACTCATCCTCGGCCATGGTGCCCTCGGAATTGACGACCTTCATCCTGTCCAAGAGGTGTCGGGGTTCGGACTCTTTGTGCTTTTCTTCATAAAAGTTGAGGAATTCTTTGTTGTAAACGAGCTCAAGGCCGTACTCTCTCGCAATCAGCTCGAGAACGTTCATGGGAATCAGGTATTCAGGACAGCTGTCGATGGCATCCTCCAAATGGAACGTGTACTTGGCCCCAAAGGTGGGAATGCTCTTTTCGCTTTCGTATCGCTGGGCAAACTTGACCGAATAGATGCTGTTGCCGAAGGCGCCGTCAGGCGTTTCGAACAGTTTCTTCCTGTGCCGATCGAACCAAGGTCAGGATCCGAGCCGCAGCCAGCGACGACAGACGACAATGCACCAAGCAAGCCCCGGCTCGCATGAGCGGCTGTAATTGCCAGCCTCCAACTGCCCTGCTTACACCAGCCGGTATGCATTCGGGATCGTGCCGATAAAATGGCCGCCTTCTCTCAGGCGAGACGAGACATTGCGCATCGCCTGGCGTGCCTGCTTCTCGGTTTCGAACGAGTAGTGCAGCGAGAACTGGCAGCTGACGAGATCGAAAGGACCCAGGTCGCTGTCCTTGGCAAACAACTCGTCCTGGCGAGAGACGAATGGGATGGCCACAGTTAGTCCTGTCCGTGGTTTCGAGAGCCCAGCGACAGCGACAGCGAAACAGTCTCGGCTCGCATCATGCACGTCGCTAACCTTGAACGCATCCTTGACGATAAACCGATAGCGGAACTGAGGCGGGCTTTCCGCGCAGCGCTGCTGGGCATGCTGGATCGAGACATCTGCGATATCTACACAACCAACAGAAGGCACGATATGTCACCGGTGTCGCTCGCAGGACGGGCAACAGCCACACGCCTTCCCGACAGCGAGGAGCCCGATCGCCGACGTTCTTTACCTACGCCGACCAGGGAGGCAATTCGGCTTTTATCCCATTTCTGCAGATCGCCGCCTTTGCCGCAGCAAAAATCCAGCACATTGTCGCCGGGCTTGCAGTAGGTGCGGATCAAGCAAGACTTGACCCAGTTGTTGAAGTTTTTGAGGTGGAAGATGGGCGACCGCTGCCGCTGAAAGCGGTTGACCTGTGGCCGGGCGTTGTAGTGGCCCGCCACAACTCTGGCGTTGCCATCGCCCGGAAATGACATTTTCGGAAGCTTATGGACGGGGCTGGTTCGGCCCAGAAACGAAGAGGCTGAGCGCTGGGTTGATGCCACCAGAACACAGATTTGCTCGACTCGTTCACACTATGCTTCCCTGAACAGCTCGCTCGCCCGTGCTCGCGCTGTCACGCCCTGGTGTGCTGGATCGGCACCCTGATCGCTCTGTGTCGGCCTAATGCCGATATCTCTCAGCCAGAAACAGGATGTCGCTGGTGAGGAAGGGCAGATGGGAAGAGAGAGCGCAAACGCATTTGGGCGTGGCGAGACCGAGCCGCGAGACGGCGAGGAGCGGGCGAGGAGCGGGCGAGGCGTGCCAGCCACAGCGCGGCCGCCTGTATCCGCCCTGGATTGTCTGTCCATCCCATCCCATCCATCCGACCGATCCCACCCATTCGGCTTGTCTCGCTTCATCGTCGCATCCATCGCATCCATCGCATCACACCACATTTCATTACGTCGCATCGCATCGCATCTCGCCAGACCCGCTACCCCAGCCATGCCCACCGGAATCCTCAAGGTCACCGTCGGCAAGTACATTGCCTGCGGCACTCGCACGATCCGGCTGGATGCCATCGACAAGCATCCAAACAGCCGGTTCCATCGGCCACAGCAGAGGCAGCAGCAACCAGGCCAGCCCGGGAGGAAATGTCGAGTGCATCTTGTCCGCAGCGCATGCAGCTGACTCGCTTGGTGCCGTCTGCGTCGTGCTTTGATGGCTGCTTCTGCTGCTTCCTCCTTGATTGCCACTCCAGTCGAAGCCAAGAAGCTCAAGGGCGAGGACTTTCTCGGCAAGAACGACAACTTTGTCGTCCTGGTGGGTGGCATCTGCCTGTCCTCCCGGGCGCACTCTGGCCGGCTCTAGTTGTACTATTGGGCATCCCGAGGACGAGCTGCGACGACGGGGAAGGGAGTCGCCGAGGCTGGCCCGGCCGTCATTGCGTGCTTGTGCGGATATCACCCCGTTTTATGACACCGTCTCCTCGCATCCATGCTGCTGCTTGCAGTACGTCAACCCAGCACAAAAGTTCCAGACCTCGGTCAAGTACAACACCGGCGCCCAGGCCACCTGGAACGAGCACTTCAACATGTAGGTTTCGGCCGCAGCGCTGCAGTCCACTCCAACCTGTGCCGGATTGGATTGCTGCTGTCGCCCAAGCCGCATTCATGCGGAAGCGAGCGTCGTTCCGGCACCCTTCCTCACCAGCCGCGTTTTCGGCGACTGCAATCCCCATCGCCGCTGCTGTTGGCACACTAGCCCCGTGAATGGCGAGGAGGAGCTCCACATCTATGTCATGGACAAGGACACCTTCAAGGATGATGAGGTTGGCAAAGCCAAGTACAACCTGAAGGAGATCGCCTCGACCACCCAAGGCAGTAAGTATCCATGACTGGTGCATCCACCGACTTGCGATGACAGGGCTCTGCGCGCTGATGCGACATTTGAAGCCGTGCATCAATAGCGCCGTCGAGTTGTCCTCGTCGTGCTGACCTCGTCGTGCTGACTGTCTGACTCCCGTGTGCTTGTCAATCCGCTGCCGCCGTTGAAGTTGATCTCTGGATCAAGCTCCCCGCCTTCTTGTTCATGTCCGATGGCGAGGTCCGCCTCCGACTTCAGTTCCTCAAGCAGTGAACCCTTCTCGCTTAGTTCCCAGTCGCCCACGCCAGAAGGAGCTGACGGCGCAGCAGGCGATTGAGCACTTTCCCGAACCTGGCACTCACCCAGGGGTCTCAAGTGGCTTGCTTCATTGTCAAATATATCCACGCTGTGCTTTCAATTGCCTTCGGGCGTGCGCATCCAGCCATGGTGACCGAGGAGAAGAGAAGCAAGCAAGCAAGCGAGCAATGCACCAGACACCGCCCTTTCGCTCTGTTCGAATGAAAATAGAGAGATATATTGCTATGATGCGGAGCAGATGGCTCAACGGCGTCGCTGGCTTGATACTCAGCAAGAGGGCTCCAGAGCCGCGGAGTGCCCGTCATCCCCCCCGCGGCCGTCCGCCTGCGTCTCACTTCTTCTCTTTCGACTCATCCTTCTCGTCCGGCTTCTTGTCTTTGTTCATGGACTGCAAGGCGTTTTGGATTCTGGGATCGCTCGTGTTAACACCGGGGAGATTGCCCAGGACAGAGCTGAGGTAGTTGGGGTCGTTGAGGGCGGGTTGAGGCTGCGAGCACGGCGTTGGATCCGATTCGGTCAGTAAGCAGAGAGGACAATGGTCCTGCTCTGGTATCCCCGGGCGAAAGACCACGAGCCAACAAACCCTGCGAAGCGCCCATCCGCGCTCTATCGGACTCGATTTGAGAGATGCGCGAGGAAGATACGATCGACCACTGCAAGGCAAATTGAATGCCCAGCAGGCCGGACAGAGTACGCGGCGCTCGCTCTTACCTGTTCACCCTCGCCCATGGACAGAGCAATGGCTCGCTGGATCTGCTCGTCTTCGGTTAGCTCAGTCATCTCGACATCTCCCTCCTGCAGGACGCCAGTAAAGCCCAGAGGGAAGATGTTAGATCTGAACGAAGAAGCGCAATGGATTGCACAGATGCGCCATTCACTTGCTGAGAGGCCGTGCAGACTGCATCGTCTTACATGGGTCGCTGGGGTTTGCGCTTCGCCGCCCATCGACAGAGCCAGGGCCTGGGCAAGGAGGTCATCTTCTACCGAGGCTTGACCCTGATCGACAGCCATGGCGGACGACTCGCCCTCGGCCTCTCCAGGGGTATCTCGAGTGGCCTTTTCCTGTCGCGCACGCTCTTCCTCCATCGAGATTCGGAGCGCCTGTGGATCATAATCCGGAGATAGAAAGCAATGAGAGTCGCTTCTCCGATAGTTGGCCTGCCTGTAGTCTGGGGGTGCAGTCGGCCGCGAGCGCATATCGGCGGAAACATTACCAGGGCGAGTTCAGGGTCCAGGTTCGGATCGACACCAAACTCAAATCCACTGCCACCAGAAAAGGCGGGCGGAGCGCCGTCCTCGCCCGCGATGATCGGCGACGATAGCAGAATGTCGCTCAGGATATGGGGTCCGGGAGGGATGGTCACCAAATGGCTGCCGATCGACGGACACATGCAGGACGATGCGGGACGATGCGGCGGGATGCAAAGTCAGGTGTGAGTGAGAATCCGGGCCGTATGACAGCAGTGCCACAACAACGCCGAGGCTGTGAACCGCAATCGCCACCAAATGAAGAGCACTCAACACATATCGATAAAACACAGCTCGTTGGTGCTTTGTGTAGTTGCCGAAACGAACCTGTTGTCGCTGCTGTTGATGGCCTGGATGAAAGCGTCCAGCTTGGCAGTGTTTTCGGCCTCCTCTCCAAAGTTGATGACATCGACTGCGACGTTGTTCTTCTTTAGCTTCTTGCCCAGCTTGACCAGAGAGGCCTCATCTTCAGTAACTGGGCTTCCCACAAACACGATGATTCTCTGGCGTTGATTTTTGTTCTGGCGATGCTTCAAGGCGAGCTGCGAGGCATATTGAGGCGTCAGGAAAGCAGCAATCGAAGGAGAATGTGGCACGATGCGACGAAGAACATGGCGATGTAAGGCGAGAGGATGACGTTGGGGGGCCACCCGGGTATTGACTCCAGAGGCAGTCGACAAGGTTCCAATATCTCCCTCAATACGGAGCGCAAACGGTCCGATTCTATACCTGTGCAATCTGGATTCCGGTACTGATATTGGGGCTACCAGAGAGCTTGATTTGGTGCAAGGCCGTCAGGATCTTGCCAATGTCGGATGTCAATGTCACGAGAACCTCAGGACTGACGGATGGTTGAGGAGACAGTCAGCGGCAAGCTACGGAATCGAACCGATCGGATAATAATGGGGGCAGATCCGCAGCGTGCCTCGGTCGTAGACCACTTGCGGCTGCCTCAGTCGACTAGCTCTCTGGTACATGCATCCCGCCGTCGCTGTCGCTCAGCACATGTCGGCGCCGCCGAGAAGCCCACGGCGTTGATGGCCTGGAGTGCGACAGGCCCTGAGTCGCCCCGCACAACATCGGAGGTGCCCTATCGATGGATGCTCTGCGAACCTCTTGCCCGACATCGTCATCAAGGCGACTGTGTTTTCGGGGTTTGATTGAGTCTTGGCGTTGAAGAGCAGCGTTGCAGCGTCATTCTGCGCCTCGATGCGCGTGGGTGTGTAGTCTCCATTTCTCATCCACTCGGAGTTGTCCAAACTGACGAGGCAGTGACAATCATTGCCGAGGCAAGCAGGACCAGCAAGACGGGCAAGGCGCACGTCGGATATGGATACGGGATCAGAGAGGACAAGGGTCAGCAAAGGCAGCATGCTCTCGATGCCGCTGACGAGCGGCGATCTGGATTGGCCGCTCCTGCCTGGAGCTCAAGCATCCGAGCCGGCTGACGAGGCAGGCGCAAATACAGGAGACATTGCACTCATCTGCGCAATCAGACGTTTCTCGGGATGCTGGATTGTAGCGTGCTGTTGGCGGCCGAGATGCGCAATATCGCCTACACTAGAACGGTTGCTTCCAGGACCATGGCGGGCTCGTCTCAGGCTCGATCGGGCTGCTCGCAGGCTGTGGGGTGTTGAATGAGGGGATGGAGAATGCGTTGCTTTGGCAGGGCACCGTCTGGGCACAGGAGAGCGGACTGGTGGGTAACTCGGCTGGCGAAGCAAGGCGGATCAAGAACGAGAAGAACCCGGGCGGCCTCGCATTGGGCGGACGTGCCTGGGCTCCCTGGTCGGCGGGCGCCAATCGTGCACGTGAGGCGACCCTGGCCGTGGCGATCCGCCCCGGTTCGACACACGTGTGCGATTATGTAATGTGTGTCGGTGTCGGTTCTGTGTCGGGCCGGAGCCGAGAGGGGCCTGGTTTTGACGGAGCGGCAGCGGCATTGCCTTTCGATCCTCCTTTTTTCTCTTAATTCCATTTTGAATAGGCAATATGGGCAAGTACGTATCGCGACCGAGCAGGGCCGGATCGGGCCGGATGCATGCATCCATCCGCCCATCCGTGCATCCATCCATCCATCCGTCCACCTGCACATCGCTGCGGTTGTCTGGACCTCGCTGGCTGCGGATGGTCTGGGAATGCCGAAGCCGCTTGGACTGAGAGGGGGGGGACGACGGTCTGGCGGAGCAGCAACAATCAACCACGAAGGCCGGGTACGTGATGGCAAGTTCGACGACAAGCAGCGGTTGAAGCGGCAATGCCAAATCCAGAGCCGCCGGATCTGCTGGAGTGCCGAAGCGCTTTGATGGGACGGGCCAGGCCAGATTGTATCAACCGATGCCAACACAACTGGCCACAGCATACGGGATGGCGTTTGCGGCATCAACTCCGAGGCTGCAACTATCTGTCAGTCGCCACCGATACCAGTGTCGGTGGCAACTGGCATCGCAGCAGCAGCAGAGAGACCTGGAGTCATCACAGCTCAAGAGTCATCAACTCAGGAGCACGGCGATACGATGGGATGGGATGGATGGGATAGGATGGGCGTGATCACGAGGGCAGCAGGCACTCCCGTATGCGGCAGATCCAGACACCAGACCCAGTCCGCCACTCTCGATCCGCATGCCCGCTGGGCCTGGAGCACATGATTAAATGCTGTTATTGGTTTGGATTGCAGGAGCAAGCCTAGAGGACACAACGCCGCGCGCAAGATGCGCACCCACCGCCGCACTGAGCGCTGGGCCGACAAGGTCTACAAGAAGACCTGCCTCGGCACGATTTACAAGTCCCCCTTCGGTGCTTCCTCCCACGCCAAGGGTATTGCCATCGAGAAGATGTATGTACAGCCCACTGTGCTGGCAACGCAGCGCTCTCGCTCGCCGTATTGCTACGAACGAGGACGCTCGAGACTGATGCGATGTTTCTCCCCCTCAGTGGTATCGAGTCCAAGCAGCCCAACTCTGCCATTCGTAAGGCCATCCGTGCTCAGCTCATCAAGAACGGCAAGAAGATCACTGCTTTCGTTCCCATGGACGGTTGCCTGAACTTCATTGACGAAAACGTAAGCCTGTGCAGATAGCATCGATATGGAGGCGATGCTTCCGGCGCCGACGTGGCCCTGTTGGGATCGGGATCCCCGCCTGCGTAGTTGTCTCTTAACACCTCCCCGACATCGACACCAACAGGACGAAGTCCTTATCGCCGGTTTCGGTCGCAGTGGCAAGGCCGTCGGTGATATTCCCGGCTGTCGCTTCAAGGTCGTCAAGGTCTCTGGTGTCTCCCTCCTCGCCCTCTTCAAGGAGAAGAAGGAGAAGCCCCGTTCGTAAGCATCTAGCCCCCTCGGATGTGCTACCAACAGCAGCGGCGACAGACAGAGCCTTCTCTCTGTTGTCCTTGTCAATACACGCATAAAAACAACTGTGCGCCTCTCAGTTTAGCCTCTGTCCATTTGCGCCGTGCGTGTGGCAATACTGTTGCCTCTGAAGGATATCGTGGTGCCACTGTCGAGGTCTCCCGCAACATGGGCGGCCAAAGAACATTGAGCCGTGGAGCAACTCCTTCGCGCCGTCGCTCGGCTCCGTGGGAACATCGGCCTTCCGCCATCAGCACCCACGGCCGCCACTGCCGTCGTCGCCGATCACGGCCGGCCTTGCTTTGGATCCCAGTAGCGTCGTCGTCTTCGCGCCTTCCCGCCATTGTGCCCTTGGTCGATTGCCAATCCCATCTGTTGCCAATTGCAGAGCAGCCCAGCGCCATGTCATGGAATACGACCACACAGACAGCGGATCAGGACGGAGTCCGTCTCTACCCAAACCGGAAGAGACACTGTCAACGGGCTCCGACGCTGCAAATCTGGGTGTGTTCGTCGCTGCTTTGACAGTGATCGTGCCCGGCCGTTCTCGTCTTGATCCTCTTGGACGAAACAGCTATCCCCTTGTCATCCGCAACCCGCCGTATATCCGCTTGATTGAGAACGACGAGCAGACGGCGATGGTCATAAGCAAGCGATCTCGCCCGAGTTGGACTCTGTCCCCGGAAGCATCGCGACTCGCTGCAAAGGTAAGACTGGAAATCCTGACTCCTGAATCTGTTGCGTTGTCGCCATTTCTGTCGCCACAGACATCAATAGGGGCGATGTAGTAGTGGTTGTGTGCGAGCAACCCGTGCGAGCAATTCGTGCGGTCCCGAAACCTTTTGCCAATCGGTGAGAGTTTTTCCGGGGCACTCATCGCCCACAATCCCCTGGGAATCCGCCCATAAAACCTCGTCGGGCAGCGTGAACCTGCACAACCAGTGCCACAGGCTCGCTTGACATCAGCAACAGCCCCCAGGTCAAATGCATGTCGATCAAGCGCACTGGAAACAAATCCTGCATCTCGATGGGCATGATCCTGCAAGGCCCTTTGCGATAGAAATGGCGAGGCTGTACTCGTCCAACGCCCGCGAGTCGCTGGCATATATAGAGGAGTTGCTGTAAGTTGAAATTCTCCCCAGCGATGCAGATGTGCTGCGGTCGAGAGCTGCTGTTCCTGCGCTGCCGATGGTGTCGCCACATGAGCGAGAGTCGGCAACCGAGAGGGCCTGGATGCCCTGGATGACCTGGATGACTTGGATGACCCGGATGACTTGGATGGTGCGATGACGCGGCTTTCTCACCGTAATGCTCTGTCCGCGGCCGCACGGGGCGGGCAAACGGGCGGGCTCTGGTTGCTGTTGAACCAAAATAAGTACCAAGCAGGAGCCAGGATTCCTGATTCTCTTAAAGCGAGAGGCTTCCAAGCTCAAGGTTGCTGCCGCGACGCTTGGCTTCACCCGGATGAAGGGCCTCTGCTTCATTCTGGAGCAGTACAGCGATCTCAAGGATCCCGACAATACCTTTGTCGTGTCTATCGAGACCACCGAGGCCGTCCGGCGATCACGGCTCACGGTCTTGGAGGTAGTCTGCGAGTTTCGCCGGACACAGGAGTTTCTCCAAACTGCCCTTGCGATCGAGCTGGAGCCGTACGGGTCTCTGTCCGGACCCCTCGACTCGCGATCAGAATAAATTCAATTGTCATATCTGCGCGATTCTCTCTGCTGCCTGCTCCGAGCAGCACACACTCGCCGCTACCACCGGCAACCTAATCCATTCTGGCGTGTGTGGATCCAGTTCAAAAGCAAAATCGGTCTCAAGGTCCAAGATGCTGTTGCAGCAAGTAGCTCTCAACAACAACCATTCAGGTTGATTGCCGAGATACAGTTCCACCAGCAAGCCACTCTCTCCCTGCACCCAGCTGCGTTCGTTCCGCCCATCTCTCCAAAGGCAGGCCGCATCAACAATTGCTCTGCTCGACCGCAAACGATGCCGGGTTGTGAAAGCAGCCAAAGCAGCGGGATATTTCAGCGACTCGCTGGTGAGGACAATGGATTGGAGAGCGCCACTGCAGACGCAATAGAAAAACACAGCAAATTGCCTGCCTCGGATCTTCTTTGGTTGCTCCCTTTGATTGGGGTCATCCTCCAGACCCCAGCTCACTGCTATTGCGTCGACTCTGTCCATCGCATCGACTCGGCTCGCCGTACCAGGCCAGCAGAACAGAGTGTCGGTCTGTCGATCCGTTTACTTGCCCTTCATGCTTGCACTGCTTGCAGGAATGCTGCTCGCAGCAACACCACTGCCGGGGCGATGCGGCTGCACTCCGAGGTGCATCCGAGTATGCATCATGGTCTGTTGGATCACGATCCCACCACGAGCTGCGCCATATCGCCACGCTGGTTCCAGCCAGCAGATCGCCCTTCAGGCCAGGCCAGGCCACGTGATCCCATAATTTACCTTATATGGCTTGATTTGTTGGATCCGGAGCAATGACAAATCGCCTCGCCGCTGAGTATATGAGGCCAACCCAGCCGCTTCACACTCGCACCCCCGGGACCGCTCTCCTCGTCGCTGCCAATCCCATCCCCTCCCACCGATTCTCGAGGAGCCGCATCCAGCCAGCATGTTTGTCTACAAGAGAGGTGAGTCCCCAACGTCCGGCTCGGTGCCGTGGCCGTCGCTGGCGCCGCCTCAGTCAATCCCGCCCACGGCGGTCTGGCGAGCGGCTTCGCAGGGGGCTGATCGCTGGCCAGGCTCCGTCGGGTGCTTCCGTCTGGGCCGCGCTTCCTGCTCTTGCATTGGATCTTTTCCTTTCCGGTCTCGCTCGGCTTCCTTTTCTGCATCGAAACTCCCTGATCATGGCTGATTCTGCCTCCGTGTCGAGTCTTCCTGACATTGTTTGCGTTGGTCCAGACGGCCGCACCGAAAAGGTTGCCTTCGACAAGATCACCTCCCGCATCACCAAGCTCTGCTATGGCCTGGACATGAACTTTGTCGATCCTGTCCAGATCTCCATCAAGGTAGATCTCTGGCCCAGCTTGCCCGACGTCCGCTGCGTCTTGATCGTCGAGATGCGCTCTCTTCGCGGCTCTCCTTTCCAGCTCCGGCCACTGCTCTGGCAACCGCGATCGCCCCGGAATAGATCTCTCACCGACTCTGGCTTTTCTCTGCAATCTTAGGTGGTCAGCGGAGTCTACCAGGGAGTCACCACCGTCGAGCTCGACAATCTTGCCGCCGAGACCGCTGCCTATTTGACCGTGAGTGACGGCCGCTCGATCACTGCACGCTGGGTTACCGAACGCAGTTTCAGCAGGCGCTGCTCGATCCAGAGTGTGCCCATCCGCGGCAATTTTGTCCTTGTCACTGTATCATTTGATCCTTGCCACTGTATCATTTGACTGCCGTGTCTCACTGGTCTCTCGCTTTGCCATTTCCCAGACCAAGCATCCCGACTATGCCATCCTGGCCGCGCGTATCGCCGTTTCCAACCTCCACAAGGAGACCAAGAAGCAGTTCAGCGCTGTTGTTGAGGATCTCTACACTTACGTCAACCCTGCCACCGGCAAGCCAGCCCCGATGATCTCGCAAGAGACCTACGAGTGCATCGTGAAGCATGCCGACCGCTTGAACTCGGCCATCATTTACGATCGCGACTTTAACTACAACTACTTTGGCTTCAAGACCCTGGAGCGTTCCTATCTTCTCCGCATCAAGGGCCGTGTTGCCGAGAGACCCCAGCACATGCTCATGAGAGTCGCTGTCGGCATCCATGGCGAGGATATCGATGGCGCCATCGAGACCTACAACCTGCTCTCCGAAAAGTACTTCACCCATGCCTCTCCTACCCTGTTCTACGCCGGCACGCCTCGCCCCCAACTGTCGAGTTGCTTCCTTGTCGCCATGCAGGAGGATTCGATCGAGGGTATCTACGACACCCTCAAGACCTGCGCCCAGATCTCCAAGAATGCCGGCGGCATCGGTCTGCACATCCACAACATCCGCGCCACAGGCTCCTACATTGCTGGCACCAACGGCCAGTCCAACGGTATCGTTCCGATGCTCCGCGTCTTCAACAACACCGCGCGCTATGTCGACCAGGGCGGCAACAAGCGTCCGGGCGCCTTTGCCATCTACCTCGAGCCCTGGCACGCCGATGTTTTTGAGTTCCTCGATCTCAAGAAGAACACCGGCAAGGAGGAGACCCGTGCCCGCGATCTCTTCTACGCGATGTGGATCTGCGATCTGTTCATGAAGCGCTGCGAGAAGAACGAAGACTGGTCTCTGTTCTGCCCGGCCGAGGCTCCCGGTCTTGCCGATTGCTGGGGCGAGGAGTTTGAGGTACGTCGTCGTCGTGGTCGTGGTGGTCGTCGTCGAACCGCACGTCGTGGCTTTAGTAAGCGCCTCGCGCACGCACATGCGCGCTGTCGATTCAGATGCTGAGTTGCCGTCGTTTCCCTTGCTTCCAGGCCCTCTACACCAAGTACGAGAAGGAGGGCCGCGCTCGCAAGGTCGTCAAGGCCCAGAAGCTCTGGTATGCCATCCTTGAGTCTCAGACAGAGACCGGAACGCCCTACATTCTGTACAAGGACTCGTGCAACCGCAAGTCCAACCAGCAGAACCTCGGCACCATCAAGTGCAGCAACCTCTGCACCGAGATTGTTGAGTACTCGGCCCCCGACGAAGTCGCCGTCTGCAATCTGGCCTCGATCGCGCTGCCTTCGTTCGTCGCGAACAAGGACACCTTTGACTTTGCCAAGCTGAGGGAGGCAAGTACCTCGTTCTTGACTGCATCGCCTGCATCTGTGACCAACGCAATCAACAAACCGTTGGATGGCGAACCGCGACTGCAGCCCAGCGTTTGCTCGAAATCAATTTGCTCCTCCGCGTACTCTGTCTGCCGCTGCCGCTGTCCCTTGGGACGGCTGCCATAGACTTGCATCTGACTCCCTTCTTGATATATGGTCCATGCGTCCATGACACGATTCTGTCTACGGATTTCTTCCGCATTTGCCGCGAACGCGTTCACAGGTCACCCACGTTGTCGTCCGCAACCTCAACAAGATCATCGACATCAACTTTTATCCCGTCGAGCCGGCCAGAAGATCCAACTTCCGCCACCGCCCTGTCGGCGTCGGTGTTCAGGGCCTCGCCGACACCTTCATCAAGATGCGCATGCCGTTCGAGTCGCCCGAGGCCTCGACCCTGAACCAGCACATCTTTGAGACCATCTACTTTGCCGCCCTGGAGGCTTCTTGCGAGCTCGCCGAGAAGTACGGCCCCTACGAGACCTACCCCGGCTCGCCTGTGAGCAAGGGTATCCTGCAGCACGACATGTGGGGCGTCGAGCCCAGCTCTGGTCTCTGGGACTGGGACGCCCTCCGGGCCAAGATTGCCACCTATGGCGTTCGCAACAGCTTGCTGGTTGCCCCCATGCCCACCGCCTCCACCTCGCAGATCCTCGGCAACAACGAGTGCTTCGAGCCCTACACCAGCAACATCTACCAGCGCCGTGTCTTGGCTGGCGAGTTCCAGGTCGTTAACCCGCATCTGCTCAAGGATCTTACTGAGCTGAACCTCTGGAACGACGGCATGAAGAACCGCATCATCTCCGAGGGTGGATCCATCCAGAAGATCGCCTCGATCCCGGACGACATCAAGGCCCTCTACAAGACCGTCTGGGAGATCTCCCAGGTAAGCTGCGAGCAGCTGAGCGCGCGTATCGATGTACACCGAGCAGATGGTGCACCAAGCAGATGGCGCGCCAGGCAGATGCGTATCGCACACTTATCTTTGTTGTGCAAGCGATGGCAATGTCTCTCTGCTCACCCGTTTGCTGCATATCACAGAAAAAAATCATCGACATGGCCGCAGATCGCGCTGCCTACATCGGTAAGCATGTCTCGCCCGTGGTTGCGTGCGTGGACAGATTTGCCTGTGGCTGTACTTGCGGATGTGCTTGGCATTTGTGGGTGGGTCGTGTTCATCACCATGATGGCGATGCACTTTCAAGCCACACAGCACCATCCCACTCGCTCACTCACTCCTCGCTGCCCCGCTACAGACCAGTCCCAGTCGCTCAACATTCACATTGCCGAGCCCAACTACGGCAAGCTGACGTCGATGCACTTCTACGGCTGGAAGAAGGGTCTCAAGACCGGTATGTACTACCTGAGAACCCGCCCCGCCGCCGATGCCATCAAGTTCACTGTCGACCAGCAAGCCCTGAAGAAGGATCTCGACACCGAGGCCGCCTCCCGCAAGACCAACGAGGACGCCGTCGCCTGCTCGATCGACAACAAGGATGCCTGTGTGATGTGCTCTGGTTAGATTAATCGTGCGTATGTTGTTCTGGCCAAAGCAAAGCCAAGCCAAGCTGGACGGATGGGATGGCCGATCGAGCTTGTCCTCCCGCCCCGTCACTCTACCGCAAAGCCCAGTCTTGCTTCAGCGGACGCACTCCGCCCCATTTATGTCCCTGCTGTGCTCTTTCTTTCATGCTCCTGCATTCTTCTCGTGCCGGTCGTCCCTGCCGCAGCACACCTGGCTGCTCGGCGATCGACCTGGCTTTTGTCGTTGCACTTTCTGTTTGCTCTGTATGTGTCTTTTTGCGTTGCTCCAATAATAAACTGCTGTAAAATACCCCTGCCGCCGGCCGAGCGAGGGAGGGGAGCTGCTGTTCAGGATGGAACCTCATCCGTGGCTGTGGCGATCCGTTGGTGCTTCGGAGGCGCTTCGTTGCTGGTCCCGCCTCCTCCGCCAAGCCCGCCATCCAAGACCAGCAGCCCCGTCCTCGGTTGTGCCCATCCTTGTCCTTCCCCATCTCTACCGTCGCCCGCCACTCATCTATGAGCAGTCCTCCAAGAAACCGCCCGACAGGCTCCGAAGAGGAGGAGCAGGGCCTCCTGAACGACGAGACCGATTCCCTCGAGTCGTTCTCGCAGGTAACAATCGCCTATGCTCTTTGCCACCGCATGTCCAGAATCCCCCGACTTGCCCGAGGCGTCCCTCTGCCTTGGCAGATGAACCCAACCGCATCGTCTCTCGTCCTTCGATCGCTCCTGTTCTTGCTGATCATTCACTCTGACCCTCCGTTGTCGTCAACACCAACGTGCCGACTCGACAGTGGCCCAGACCGCTGCAGCCGCTCATTCGGCAGTTCAGTCTCCGTTCCAAGGCCTTCTTCTGGGCCCTGGCTGCCCTGTCGTCTTTTTTCATCGTCCTCTTTTTCTTTGCCCTGCGCTCGTCCTACGACGAGACTGTTATCTTGGTCTCGCTGGACGGATTCCGGGCGGACTATTTCAGCCGCGACCTCTCCAAAACCCTGACACAGCTCAGCCGAGACGGCGTCAGGGCCGAGTACTTGAAATCCTGCTTCCCGGTGGGTTTGCAATGACAGCCAGATGTCCGGCGGGTGTGCATCTGGACTGCGTCTGGACCGCTCAGAGTGCTTGCTCTTGAATCGCCTCCGCGGCCGTCCCAAACGCACATCAACTCGATCTGGCTGACGGCAGCCGCTAGCCGCTGTCGGTTTGCATGTATTCTGCTTTGCCTGTGTTTGTGCTCGAACGGATCGGCGAGAGTCTGCGTTGCCAACCCCGGTGTCCTGGTTCATCTTTCATCAGTCCATCACCTTCCCGAACCACTACTCGATCGTGACGGGACTCTATCCCGAAGCCCACGGCATCGTCTCCAACGTTTTCTATGATCCCGATCTGAACGAAACCTTTGTCTACACGGATCCCGCCAAGAGCAGCGAGGGCTACTGGTGGGGCGGAGAGCCAGTAAGTCATCGTTGTTGCCGCAGGCCCTCCAAGCTTAAGTTCAGGCAACATGATCCGAACCCTTCGCATTTGCGGCTCCATGGCTGTTTCGACGATACACATGTTTTGTGGGGGTGCCGGCCAGTACTGTCACATACGTCCATTCGCCGGCGACGATCGGACCTGCCGTCGCTCAGCAGCAGTCTCCCTGACCCTCTGTCCTCGATAGATCTGGATCACCGCTGTGAAGCAAGGCAAAAAAGCAGCCTCGTGCATGTACGTCGGCGGCAACGCCGAAATCAAGGGATATCGGCCCACATATCACCGCGATTACGATTCGCACGTCACTCTGGCCGAAAAGGTCGACACTGTCCTCGGCTGGATCGACCTGCCCAAGCGCAAGCGGCCCGTTTTCATCGCCATGTACATCGCCGACGTCGATTCGGCGGGCCACCAGTTCGGCCCGGGTTCTGCCGAGGTATGGGCCTGCCTTGGCTCCTGGGCAGCCTCTGTGGTGTCACCCCATAGCCACAACCTGCTTGCATTTTCCCCGCTTCGAGAGCCTCGTGTGCCACTTACACTGTCCTATGCTCTTGCTCTTGCATCCCTGCGTAGGTCAACGACGCCATCAAGCGAGTAGATGTTGCCCTCCACCAGCTCGTTGAGGGAATCCGATCCCGAGGGCTGTCTCACAAGGTCAACATCGTTGTCGTCAGCGATCATGGCATGGCTCAGGTGCAGCGCGACCGAGTGGTCTATCTCGACGACTATATCGACCCCGATCTTGTTCGGGTCGAAAACAATGGCCCGATCCTGACGCTCGAGCCTCTGGATGCCTCCGGTACGCATGCGCATCGGCTGTGGCCTCGTTCCGGACTCGGAGGGGGGGGGCATGAGACTGGTTCAGAGATGCTGGCGGGTCGTGTGCTGCGACACTAATGCCATGCCGGATCAACATATATGCTTGATCGTGCAGATCAAGGTAGAATCTATCGCACCCTGAAGAAAGCCGCGAGCGAAGATGGCTTCTGGAACATCTGGCACAGAGAAGATGTTCCCGCAGAGTACCACTACTCCAACAACAAGCGCATCGGCTCGCTTGTGCTCGTCGGCGACGTGGTGGGTGGCTGCTGTTGCTGGATCTGTCGAGTCTGTCGAGTCTGTCGAGTCTGCTGGTGTCGCAGGGTGTTGGCTGGATGCTGGTATCGCAGGGTGTTGGCTGGATGCTGAGCACCGGAGTGAGCTTCGTGATGGGTGAGCTGCTGTCGATAGCGGACCACGCATTCGCCCGCTGATAGCTCGTCTGGCTCGCCTGGCTCGCTCAGGGATCTCTCTTCACCTTCCGGGACAAGCAACATGCCTCCACGATTCCCCAGGGTGCTCACGGCTACAACAACAGCGCTCCCGAGATGCATGCCATCTTTGTCGCCAGCGGTCCGTCCTTCAAGCCCTTCAAGAGTCGCGAGCCTCATCCTCCATTTTCCAACGTCGAGATCTACAACATCATCGCCCGGATCCTCCGTCTCGACCCGGCCCCAAACAACGGCACCAAGGGCGGTGCGCACCCCAGCGCCTATCTTCTGTAGCTTGTGAGCGAATTGCGCACACATGCACATATACCGGACCCTGAGAGATGTGATGCTCCAATACAGCACTCCGCGGCGGTGCTCTTGTCCATCCGAAGCGATCATCCAGCGACCGTCCAGAGATCGTGTGGATGCTGCTGATGATTCCAGACGCCTTCGATCGAGGCTCTGCCATGCAATCCCTGCGCTCGGCCAGCCAACCCACGGGGAGTCCGACTCAAAGACCGGATGGCATGGCACTTTCGTTGGCTTGCTGCCTGCGCCGGTGGGAAGCTGGCATGTCCGAACCCGCCCCCAAAGCCCGCTTCCCGCTCCGCCTTCCATTCTCCGTTCCTTGCTCAACCTTCCCGCCGTCACATTGCCCTCCCCGGCTACTCTGCCATCACTCTTGTCTGCTCTCCCTCTCCACCACCCATCCATCCAGCCACATACATGTTCGCCTCTCCTGCTCGCGCAGTCGCCCGTGTTGGGTGCTGCATGCTGTTGATCCTCGTTTCGGCCCGACTTGCGCTCGCCTGGGGCGCATTGGGCCACCAGCTCACCGGCCAGATTGCCACCGCCTATCTGTCCAAAGAGGCCAAAGAGGCCGTCGATGCCCTGCTTCCTGCCCGATGGTACGGCAACCTCTCCCGCGCTTGCACCTGGGCCGATGAGATCAAGGGTCGCCGCTACTACGCCTGGTCGTCCAAGCTCCACTACATTGATTGCCAAGTCGACATGCATGCCCGCATATGCTCCGTCGACCTGGACCGCGACTGTCGCAACGGAGCCTGCATCGTCGGCGCCATCTATAACTATACCGAGCGCCTTGATCCTGGAAACGGCTACCCGCTGGACCAGCAGGCCGAGGCCCTGCGTTTCTTGATCCACTTTGTTGGTAAGCGACGGTCGTTGTGTTAAGCTGCGGCAGTGGGAAGTTTGTCCGGACGCAGGGCGCAGATGCAGGGCGCAGATGCAGGATCTAGATTCAGGATGCAAGATCTAGATGCAGAATACAGGGCGCTCGGCTTGCGTCGTTGACAAACTCTGTCTATGCAGGCGACATGGCCCAGCCCTTGCATGCCAGCGGAATCTATCGAGGCGGCAACGACTGGCACGTCATCTTTGACAACCGAACCTCTCACTTGAATGGCATGAGCATCAAGCGACCGTACAATATGCACTCCATCTGGGACTCGTCCATAATGGAGAAGGACATTCGTGAGCACCACGGCGGACAAGTGTCCAACTATATCAAATCCATTATGTATGACTTGGGTAAGTGCTGGCTGTCTCGGGCTCAAAGCCATCGCTTTCTGATGTCCTCCAAGGCAGGCGATCAGTCCAGTAGAGGAATGTGAGGTCTTTAGCTCGAGCTGCAAGCTTTACTCACGGATGCATGTTTGTTTGCTTTCTCTGCTTGGTGGAAATCCAAAGAGTACGGCCAGTGGGAAGACGAAAAGTACGACTGGATCGAGTGCAAGTCGCCCTATGTGACCCGCTCGGGTCGCTCGACTCCAGCCTGCGCTGTCGAATGGGCCAAGATCAGCAATGCCCTCAACTGCGAGACCGTCTGGGTCGGTGTTGAGCCGCGGGACAAGGTGGACTTGGGCGGCGAGTACTATCGTCGCAACGCCCCGATCCTCCGCAAAACCATCGCCCAGGGCGGCATCCGCATGGCGGCTCTGCTCAACTCGCTGTTTGCCAATGAGTCCGACGATGCCGAAACCTGGTTCCAGCCCGGCCGCTTTCTCATCGTCCAGTGAAACGCACATACCCGCTTAGATCTGCGGCAGATTGCTAGTTCCCTGTTGTCGTCGTTTGTGCCCAGGCATCAGCCACGTCGCCCTGCACATCCGCACCGTCTAGCCCTGCACTCATTGGAATACGTTTCATAAAACTCGCTGTATTGCGTTTGAGCAGATTTCTCTCATGCCAACGCTCTATCAAAAGATCAGGTCACAATGTTCCAGCCGAGCAGGGTCTGAGCGATAAGAGAGGGGAGGTCGGCCAAACCACCGATCAGAGTGCAGTGCACAGCTGACAGCCAGCTTGCTCGGATGTGCTTGATTCTCTGGTGCTCGAATATGCTTGGTGCTTCGTATGTTCGTGCCCCGGTATTCTAGTGCTCTATAAAGTGCGTGCTACACTCGTGCATCGCCCGGGCAGCAAACTTGGTGTCGGACTGGGCGCATTTGAGCGAGCAGATGTAGTGAACGACGGATGATTTTGGAAGCGCCAGCTGATACAGTCGAATCGAAGTGCTACAGCAGACACCCTTGCAGTTGCGACAGAGATTGACATTGCGCACGAGCCACTCTTTCAAGTGATCGTGCAGCGGCATGAGCGGCAGTATCAAAGTCAAGGCTGCATGGTCGCCGTCGAGGGGGCTGTTGATTTCAGAGATGCAAGCCATTTCCATGTCCAGGGAGGAGTTGGATCGCTTCCGTTGGTTGGATACGCCTTCGCTGGCCGTGTCCATTGGCGCAAGCTGATCAGCGTCCATGGATACCCTTGCGGCTTCGCTGCTGTCGCTTTGTCGAAGGTGTGCGCTCGGCTGTGTGCGGGAGCCACGGAATGAAAACAGGTTCGTTAAAGAGCTTGGGAGCAAGCTGCGGCTGCGCTGACTCGCCCTGTCTCTTGTCAGAGGCTCGATGTCATCCATTTTGGCACTAGAGGAGCCTGGATAAACTAAAGTTGGCGCATATTTCAGGTACACCTTGTGGTCAAAAATGCACTTGCGTGCTAGTTCAGCAAGCGACGGGAGGCTGGAGAGCGTGGGTAATCATGTGGTGCAAGTGGAAGTATGTCAGCGGTTGGTGATGGAAGGGCGGATTGGCGATCGAAGCGTTGGCATTCAGAACAGTTCAAGAGCAGTTCAGCGAGGGATCGACCCAACAAGACCAGCACTGTCAAGCGAGGGTGGTGACTGAGCTCCAGCTTGCTCCATTGTCGAACTAGACTCACCCTCGAGGCTTCAGGTAAATTGATTTTTCATCTGTTTGGAGAATCGCGCCATGAAATCAGCCCGGGCTGGACGTGGTCGTGTGCGATTGCATCTCGGACTCACCATTCTTTGTGAACTTGGCGAAGATCTGGTGAGTGTTGTCCGGCATGATTAGCGGTTGTCGGTTCGTACCGGCGATCAAATGGCCAAGCGCAGCGCGGACAAGTGGCAGTCACAGGCAGATTTCCGCCAGCTTACGTAGAAGAGTATGGCCCAGAGATCGTGGTGCTCTGACACCTTCTTCGAGGCTTCAAAAATATGGTGGATGCCGCCGCTCTCGATAACGAGGCCCCTGCATTTCTCTGCACAAGCATGGCCAAGAGGGAGGGAAAACAGCAATAGATTGGTCAGCCGCGCTCAACGGGACTCTGGAGATGACCGCAAGGCGCAGCGCGGGATCACCATACCGTTATCACTCAAGTTCATGAGGGCGACAGATCCAAAGAGTTGCAGGAGAATGTGCTTCGAATATGCTTTGGAGTGTCCACGGGCGTACAGGACCGGCTCCGGACCAGAGTTGTCGTCATCGTCGTTGTACCCCTCAGCGTCCTCCAGATCGCCTTGACAACCACAGCGCAGTGCGTGGAGGGACGTGCAGGGGTTTGGGTCAGGCAAGGCGATGCAGTCGCTCTGGGTTGCTGAGCACGACTCTGTGTTTCAATCTGTCGCCTTGATTACCTCCGTCACAGCCAACCAGTTGCATACTCACCCGAGTCGATGCCACTGTCTCGTCTTCCATTCAGAATACTGCTTGACTTGCTCCGCGGGTATTTGCGAGTCATGGCACCTATGATCTCCTGGACGCCGCCCATTTCATAAATCACCTGTCGATGGTCGTCTGGAACGCAGGCGAGCGTGTCATAAAGTGGCCGATAATCGTGCCATCGTTTCATGTGTCCCAGCTGGCGCACCCATCTGTCTCTTACCATCGTACATGACTATCGAGCCCAGGGCGAACAAGGCTGTGGTTTGAAGCGACTCTTGTTGCGGAAATCGTCTCATCGCCCGCAGGATGAGCTCGATGCCGTTGTATCGCTTCAGGAGCTGCGAGCTGGTGACTTTGTGAGTCACCCATCGTGAGTTGGCGTTTGGAGTGCGCCCGGTGGTAGCCGGTTCGACGAGTGTAAGTCATTGGTGATGAGCCAAGGCACCCGCTGAATGAAGGCAGCCATGCAACTACGCTCATGGGAGTCATGTTCCCACAGTCGCGCTCATACAATCAAGCCCACGCAACCACGCCCAGGCATTCCTCAATGTATATGCATCATACCATGCAGGAAAGACAGATGTGCCAGTGCAAAGCAGGCAGTGATCTGGAATATGTGGTTGTTTTCGAAAGCGCGCATGGAGTTGAAGATCATGGACACAACCGCGTCTCGGCTGGAAGTGAACACGATCCCGGCGAATGCCAGCGATCCCAGAGCATTGCAGGCCGCTGAGAGAGGATTCGTGGCGACGTGATCAATACAACGATGTCATATTGTGGAATGTTAGTCAGCTGCACGACAAAATGCAATCGGATGGCAAGGTACAATCGAGTAGGAAAGTTCAATCGACTGGTCGCTTTCACCTCCAATCAGATCGACATCATTTGGGTGGTTCTGGACGCTCTTGAGGACCATTTGGATAAAGTCGTTGCTTGAAAGGGAGTCTCGGCTGTACTTGCCCAAGCTCGAGAGCGCGTGAAACGCCTGGATCTGCAAATCCACCTGGCTCACGGTTCAGCACAAACCAGCCAAGCCGGAGCATGTGTGTTGGTTTCGGATCTGGTGCTGGCGCTCATGTGGTTGCCGTCTCTCGTCACCAAGCGCAGAGCAAGTGAGCGTGCGTCGACCCTGTGTTCGCACCTTGTCTTCGTGGAGCCTCATACAATCCAGAATCAGAGCGCATCCACTATTTTTGACGATGTAGGCTGCATTGTTTTCTGGATATCCGCATGGCGCCGAGGGTTAGCCATTCGCACAAAACCAGGCCCGATGGGCGGGCGATGCACGCTTCGCATCAGCACAAGCCCAAAGACATTTGGTGTGAGAGCGGGCCGTTGCATTCGCCAGCAGTTGCTGTCGATGATGCACATAGGAATGAGGAGGAATGGTACCGTGGCAAGCCAGGTTCGCCAGGGTGGCGCACACTTCTGTCTGAACGCTGGGCGAGTTCATAAACTTTGTCATATTCTCCAGGATCATTTTGATGCATCCGTCCTCGAGCATCTGCGAACGGTTGGTTTCTGGATTTGCCGAGCGAAGTGTGTGAGCGCACGAATCGAGCGCACGAATCGAGTGCACCACCTGCACGATTCAGCCCCGCCCAACGTACCGACGGATGCCAGATTGGCAAGCGAGGCCGAGCAGTCGACCTGCAGCTCGATGCACAGTGGATACGATTTCATGATCTCCAGGATCATCTTGATGCCCATGCTGTCGCCGATCCGCTTGGCAACTTGGTCTGGCAGTCCAAACCCCGTGCGAAAGATCGTGCCGTTCATGTTCGATGATAGGTCGACGCAGACAATACACGAAGAGCATATTAGAGATCAGTGGACAAATCTGGTGTCAGAGCAGCGTTGCTGGCCAAGAGTATGGTGTTGCTGGCCAAGAGCATGGGGCTGTTGGCCAAGAGTATGGTGTTGCTGGCCAAGAGTAAGAGCATGGGGCTGCTGGCCAAGAGTATAGAGTTGCACCTCGAATGGAAGTGTTTGAGCCTGTGTGACGAATCGCCTTGCCAATGGCCCCATACCTCGTCTGGAGAAGATGCGGATGAGCTTCATGATGAGGATCAGACTCTCTGTTAACTCGCCGAGCTTGTTCTCCGGCATGTTTAACGCATGCGCCGAGTGGATCCTGAGGGCTTCCCATCCATAGTCCATGGCAGTCTTGACGAACGCACAGCATTGACTGAAGTGGATCCGAAAGTATCGCTCGCTTTTGATGTCTGCGTTCCGAAATTGGCGGGGAATGGAAAAGAGAATGGCACAGGCATGGTGAGTGTATTTGTGACGCCGAACGAGCCATGGCCGACGTCCTGGCGAGCAGCCCTTGATTGTTCCCGCTCCAGCCGAGCGAATGCCGCCGATGCGACGCGAAACCCGACAGCGGCGAAACCCGGCTGGGCCGGTTCGTCGCGCATATGCGGTCGGCATTGTGGGTGCAGATGGCGAATTGCAGGCGCATGGGCGGGGAGGAGAGCATATTGGAGCGTGGGAAGCATCGGCGAGCAGCGTATGCAGGGTGGATATATCGAGCAGCCACACGCCAGGCAGCGTCGGTTACATTGGCGAACATTCAGGTAGCTGTCGAGGAAGGCTTGGAGCGCCGAGCGGGCTTCGTCCACAGACATGTCTTGGTAGCCGTCAGGGATATGGAACATGGCGATGGCAGACGGCGGGATATGTGAGCTGAAGGCAGACTTTGAAAAGAGAGTGCCCATGCTCTGGGCCAGCACGACGAGGGAGCGAGAAAACGTGGCAGAGCTTTCGTCGACGAGAGCCGGACCCGATGCGGGCGACACGGCAGACGGCAGTGCTGTGGAATTCATCGCAGCGATGCAGGCAGGGATGTGGAGATGGCAGGAGCGATGTGACGACGTGTGGGGCGACGAGAACGGGTGGAGTTCAGGGAGTTGCGCGCGGTCGAAGGGCCGGGCGACGCTGGACGGGATATGGGCGACGCTGCGATGAAGACGCTGGTAACGGTGAAGCTAACGACCGGATTAATGGCCAGGGCAACAATCAAAGTAAAAATCAAGGTAAGAATCAAGGTAAAAATCAAGGTAATGATCAAGGTAACAATCAAGGCAATGACCAAGACAGCGCCGGGCGATGGCCAGGGCAGATGCGGGCAAGAGAGGACTTCCCACGGGCGGCGGTGAGCGCTGGCGGGCCGCTGCCGATCCTGCATCGGATCATCCAGTCGGATCGTCCATCCAGGTAATCACCCAGTCGATCACCCATCTGATCGTCTATCCAGGTAATCACCCAGGTAATCATTCGGTTGATCACCCAGTCGATCATCCTGTCGACTGCTCGCGGCCGAGCCATCGCGATCGCATCTCTTCTGTCCTGCTCGCCGCCGACGGTCCCCAGATCCGCTTCGCCCTGATCAACTCGTCTGCCAGCACATCCGCCCATTCTCGCCGTTCTGCAGGATCCACTGCCGCACCGGCCCTCGCTCCCAGCGCCTCGGTCGCACTTTCCCTCCCCCGCATCCGCATCCGCCTCGCACTCCATCCATCCGTCCATGGCCGATTGTTTCGAGCTCTATCAGGACTCGCCCGAGTATAAGCTCGAGCTGGCCCTGCTGAACTCGCACGCCCATGCCCACCACTCCATTCTGTCCCACAAATATATTTACAATCCCCTGCAATATCCAGTGTTGCCGCCCGACCTGCTTCAGCTGCACAACTCTGGCGATGGCGCTGTCATCGGCGGCAGCCCAGAATACCCTGTCATCAATGTCGACAGCGACGATGAAGCACACAGCGACGATCGCCACCATGCCGCCGCACCTGCAATCCCTCGGACACGGCAGGCCCTCGCCCGGATCTCAGCAATCGGCGAGCCAACGGCAAAGCGCTTCAAATCGACAGCGTCCGCTCCTCCGTCGATCGCAGACACGCACATCAGCATCTCTGACAACGACGATAACGATGCTGAAGCGGATCGCGGCGAGACCAGCCACAACGACACACCGAGTCGATTGCCTCGGCCGATCCAGTACCAGCGCAAGCTGCTGCTCATCCTGGATCTCAACGGCGTGCTGATAGACCGTCTGGTAACATCCCAGGACAAGTCCGCCGCCCAGGCAAATCCCTTCAACCAGCAACTGCCCAGCTTTTCCTGCAACCAGTGCTATATCCACATCAGGCCATTCCTCCGAACCTTTCTCGACTTTATATTTGAGCACTTTTACGTCGCCACCTGGACCTCGGCAAAGCAGCAGAACGCAAAGAATATCATCTGGATCCTGTTCCAGGAACGCTGCCATCGACTGGTCTTCAAGTATTACCAAACAGAATGCACCGACTCTGGCCGGGTGAGCGGCCGGGGCAAGCCCGAGTTCATCAAGGAACTTTCCAACATCTGGCGAAACCCCCTATACTCGCAGTGGAACCAGGTGGGGGCTCTGCAGCATCGACTCACTTGACTGGATGGCGGCGCTCGAGGTTGTCAGGATGTCGCTGGGTCCTCTGGATAGTGTCTCGGCTTCCGTTGGAGTGTCTTGGCTCTTCCGTCGGATTGTCTCGACTCCTCCATCGCTTTGCCACCATGGCGCTGACTCGTTCCACTTGCATGTATGACTGCCTCGTCGACGCATTTGCCAGAGCAACACTTTGATTATCGACGACAGCAGCCACAAGTCTCAGCTCAACGCCGCCAATTCCCTGCTTGTGCCCACCTTCACCGTGAGGAGCGGAAGCATCGACTGCTGGAAAGACACTGGGCTTCTCTCGATCATGCAGTACCTGCAGGCGCAACTCCAAGACATCCACTGCGACGATGTGCAGCAATGGCCACCCTTTGTGGATGACACGACGGGCCGTATCCTGCCTCCGTTTCAAGTCACGCACATCCGTGAGGATCTCGAGAAGGATCGCAACTGGGGTGTGCTTTCTCTGAGCCAGCGAGATGCCCTCCTCAATCGACTGCAGTTCCAGCCGTAGCTACTACTACTGGGTCTGTCCGACAAACACGGCTCTGTTGGAAACCAACGGGAAAGGTGGCTGGGCCGTGAGCATCCGACCAGAGCCACTGCGTTGACGAGCGCGATCCAGAGTGGTGCCCGAGTACCTTCAGAGGGCAGAGGCATGTGCGATGTTCAATCAGCAAAGCTGTATGTATTTGTCTGCCAGGAAGTTGATCTCACTGGTCTGATTCAAGATATGAGGATGCAGAGCCACTCTGCAGAAAACTCTTTGAAACGAAACTGCCAACATGCACAAGGTTCAGCGAGCAGGAAGACGAGGGTGTTTATGTGACAGGCTATCATAACATCCAACATCATCGCCCACAGACCATCTTGCGATTGCCACCCAGTTTCGCTGCCGTCATTCTACTCTGGTTTTATTTGGGAGAGACTGTGTGTTGTTGCGGCGACGGGTACCATTGCATTTCGTCCTTCTTCTGACTCAGCGCGCTCGAAGCATCAGCGATGCCCTGGTCTGCAGCTCGTTGGAGCCACACTTGCGCCAGCGGCTCATCTTGGGCGGTGCCTCGCCCCTGCAAGAGCGCCAGACCAATCCGGAATTGTGCCTGGGCATGGCCGTTGGTGGCAGCCCACAACCACCATGACACTGCCTGGGCCTCGTCGACCGAGGTACCATGCCCGCAGTGGAATGCCAGTCCTGCCTCATACTGCGCCTCGACGCCTCCTTCCGTTGCGGCCTGGAGGAACAGCGGGAAGGCCCGGTCGTAGTTGAGCAGGACCCCGGTGCCGTTCTTGAAGCATTGCGCCAGCCGGGTCTTGGCCTCGACGTGGCCGGGGGCCGTCACCACAGCGAGGTGATAAAACTGCGTCGCCAGCACTGGGTCGAGCGGGGCGTGCTGACCGGCCTCAAAGCGCTTTCCGAGCGAGACCATTGTGTCGACATTGCTGTTCGCCCGAAGGGAGGCGCACATGCGCTCGATGTCGCTCTCGGGCGAGGCGCTTGCGGACGCAACGTCAAGCTGCTTCTGCTGCCTGTTTTCCCCCAGGACCAGCCCCTGCTGCCTGTTCTTCTCCAGGGCCAGCACTTCATTTATGATCGTCTCCTTTATCAGCCCCCGTTTCCTCTTGGCCTTTTGCTTGATTTTCTTGGAGTGCTCCTTTTGCATCTTGCGCGTCATGGCCTTGCTCAGGGGCCTTGCAGGTGCTGCACTGGTTGTTTTGTTGGCTGTTTCGCCAGCTGCCTTGTTGGCTGTGCCGCTGGCTGCCAATTGCGCTGCCTTCTTCGCTGCTCTTTTCGCTGCCCTCTTCGCCGCTCTCTTCGCCGACTTTGTTTTTGGTTTTTTTGTTGCTGTTGTCGCTTGATTGCCGTTGTTGGGTACTGTTGGGTCTGAATCGCCGCTTGGCATCGATCCATTGGCGCTGACCGCGCCGGACATGTTGTTCTGAACAGGAGGCTGCGAAGGGTTCGAGTTGCCATTGTTGTCACCGGCCGCACCAGCCGACGGAGTGTTGTCTGTGCGCTCGTCGCTATCATTTGAGGCGCCTTTCGGCTTTTTGGATTTGTTGTCATCGCTCGGGACTTGAGTGATACGCGGCGCAAGGATCTCGAGGCGCCTGTGGGCCGTAGGATCCTTCTTGGCCGCCGCCTTTTTGTACCACTCGATGGCAGTTGGGATGGATTGCTCGAACCCTGGGGGACCAGTCTCGAAAAGCAGACCCATGCGAAGCTGGAATTTGGCCGAGCCCACGACTGCTGTGGACAGGTATCCGCGCAGATCATCGATGATCATTCGCCGGAACTTGGTGTCGCTCGCGCCCATAATGCGGTTTTCAACGAGCTTTGAATTGTGGAAATGGGGATCCGTGAGCCAGCGCAGGACCTGTGGAAATTCGTGCCGTATTTGCTTTGTGTTGTTGTTGCAGATCGCCATGGCCTTGATGCGGCATCCTCGATGCCCGTGGCTCAGCCCTCGCAGGTACCATAGAAAGGCAGAGGATAGGCTGACGGGCAAGCCATATTGACCGGTTTCGTAGGCCTCGCCGATCCTCTGGTACATGACAATCAAGTCTCGGGGTATGTCCTTGTCGGCGTATCGGAGCCGCGAAATCGATTGATGGATGAGCTGCTCGTCCAGAATCGCAGTCCCGGTCGCGAGCGAGCTTGCGGTCTTCTTTTGGGAGAAGCGAGTTGCTACGGCAGCGGCATTGCTGCTGTCGTTACACTGCACCGAGGCATCGATGGCCGTCGCTGTCCTTTGAAGCACGCTGGCGAGAGAGATGGCGGTGTCGGTGCCTCTCTGGCAGACAAGCGCCAATTGCATCCGGGCGGGAGCATGTCCCTGATCGCTGGCCATGGAGAGCCACTTGATGGCCAGATCTCGGCTTTGCTCGACAGGGTTGTGGTTGTGGGAATAGAAGAGCCCGAGGATGAACTGGGCGGAAACGCTGGTGTTGTCACGGTCGGCGAGATCGACGAGCCATTGGATGCCTGTGGGTGGGGTCTGATCGGACGTGAACATTTGCGAGAGCGTGTGGCGGTCGGTGTGGAAGGTGGGATCGATCTCAGCGGCCGGATCCGAGACTTGATCGTCGCTCATCGAGGCCAGATCAATGACGATAGTGTTGTTGTCGTCGTCGTCATGGCAGATGTCGTCGTCGTCGTCGTCGTCGTCGTCGTCGTCGTCGTCGTCGAGGTTGATGACTTCGACGGGCTTGAGTGGCAGAGGAGATGCATACAGCGCCGGTCCAGGAGTGAGGCCCACCGTCGACAGCCAGACGTCGAAGCGATGGAGAGCGAGGGGCTCGTCCGTCTGGGGCGGCATCGGGATTTGGTTCGGAATGCTGGGCGGATCCCGAAGCGCTGGAAAGAAACCATGCAGAGGCGAATGATTGTGAGGCAGGAAAATCCACGTGAGCGTCACAGGGTGCAGAGGCGTGATCGGCTGCTGCGCATCGGCCCATGAAAACGAGGTCGAGGCTTCATGGCGTTCTGGCTCGAGCCAGCATCCTTGGCTGAGGCGATGTGATGCAGATGAGCGACGAGGGCGGTGCGCCGAGACGGGCTTCCATGCAGGTCGGTTCTCGATGCAGCTCTTGACTGAGGGTGCACTCGTGGGGATGGATGTTGTCAGCTGGATGGGATGGGTGCTGTCGATAGGTTGTGCTGCATTCCCTCTGTCGCTGGGTCGCTGGGTCGCTGGGTCGGTCGTCCGCCAGAGCTTTCTGTTATGTCCATCGAACTCGGCCCAGCCCAGCTCGGCTATTCGGCTCGGCTCGCGTATCCCTGTCGGTCGAAATGGGATCCAGCACCGGTGGGACGGGCGCCCAGAGCGGGCAATGCGGGAAGCATGCGCAGGCCGCGGAGCACGGCCAACAAAGGGGAGAGAGAGTAAGATACCCAGGACAGGAGCACGAAAGGCGACAAAGATGCAGAGGAAAAGAATGAAAAAAAGGAGAGGGGCCATGCGTGGCACAGACGAAGAATGGGGGGGGCAATCGGCTGTCCATGGACTGGACTGGGCTGAGCTGGAAACGCGATGCCGGCAGCAGCACCGACAGCAGAAGGCAGCAGATTCGTGGTGGCCACGCAAACTCTCTCGAGAGCGCACAAGGGAGGCACGAAAATTTGCCGTGGCAGTGGCGTGTTTCGCAGCGACGATGCACAGCCAACCAGACACAAGAAAACGAAAGGGGACGGCAGGCACACGACGATGGCAACGACGATGGCAACGACGATGGCAACGACGATGGCAACGGCGATGGCAACGACGATGGCAACGACGACAGCAACGACCACGACGACAGCGGGCATCGCGTCATGTCGGGGAGGAGGCGAGCGGATCCAGCGCCGATGTCGAGGCCGTCGTCTCGCAGGCTAGAATGCTCGACACGGAGCTCGCAAGGACAAAGACGCAGGAGAGCCGCCCTGCTTCGGTCCGCGGCTGCGTTTGTGTGCTGGCAGGACCACCCCCCTTTCGCGACAAGCACTCGCACCCAAGGACCGAGAGCCAGGCAGCCGGCGCGCGTCGGACATGGTCGCACAGTCTTAGCGCGTGCGACCGCGGTGGCGCAACGGGCCGGAGCAAGGAGGCCGCCCAATCAGCGCACGGACACGTTTCGGCCAAGAAATGACAGCCACTCGCTGCTTTTTGGGGATGGGAGGGGATGGGATCTTATGGGAGGGGAGGCTCGACACCGAGATTGCCACCGAGATTGCCACCGGCTTTTGGCATTTGCGCTGCCATCTGCATTGACACCAGCACCGTCATCCTGATCGATGCCATCAGCAGCGGTGTCGGCTGCAATGTCAGGAAAGGACACCGGCCGGACAACGCGTCGATGGCAAGTGCGCGTCGCTCCTGTGTGCTCGGCATCTCCACCCCCTTCTTGGCTGCCCCTCTCCCAAACTGGTCCTGCCCTGCTCTGCTCTGTCTTGTCCGTCAGGCTGATTCACCCGTGTCGAGGACGGCGCCGCCGGACATGTCTATCCCTCGCGCCTCCCATGTCATCCGGGCGACAGCAGAGACTGGCTCGGTAATTCCTCGATCCGTCCACATTCGACCGATAGATGCATGAATGTGTGTTTGTGGGAGGCGGATGAGAAACAGAGGAGAAACAGAGGAAACAGCAGAACAGAACAGGTCGGTCCGTGGCGATATCTGGAACGATCTGCGAAAGGATATTTCCGAACCACAAGTGCACAAAGTGGCTATCCAGTCGATTTGGAGTAGAGCAAAAGAAACGAGCAACAGAGCAACAGAGCAAGACGACAGAGAAACGATTGTCAAAGCCGAGGGCGACTTACTCACGGCGGCAAAGCCATATCATCGGCCCGGCCCAGCTGCAATAGACTGTCCGCATGCAGTATTCGAGTCCTTTCAGCGGCGATGGGGCAAGGCATGCAGTGCTCAGATTGAATATATGTATATATATAAGACAATCGAACGAGAGGACAAAAGAAATAGGAAAGTCGAGAAACAAGACGGAGAGCGGGAAAACGGGGAGGGCGAGGATGCCGAGAGGAGTGGTGGTTGAATCCAATTTTGAGGGGGGGAAGGGTGGGTGATGGGAATATAATAGAGATTAGAGAGTATTATCTAAGATTAGATGTCGGGCTTGCCCGCGCCAAATACAAGATGGAAAGGGGAGGAAGGAATGTGGCGACTACCGGTGTTGCTGCTGGAGTGGTAGTAGTGTCGGTGACTGGAGAAGAGGAAAAGGTGCCAATGCAGGAGGAGTAAATTGAGAAAAAAGATGGACGATGCGCCTTGAGGGGGGGAGGGGAGGAGAAGGAGGAGGAGATGGAGCACCGGGTCGACTTCTCCCCCTGATTACGGAACCAAAAGACTGCTTGACTGCAATTGATATACTGAAAGACCGAGAACGAACGGCGTGTGGTGAATGGAGCGGCGGTGGCTGCGCGTCGACCGAGTCGGGTTTGAGCTAGATCATCGGAGAGTCGTGAGCAAGCCATCGAGGGCTTGCAGGTCGACAGCATCGACGGCATTGACAATATCGTCAGCGTCGGTACCGACGGTGAGATCGAGCTGGATGGCACTGGCGGACACACAGTCCATCTTGAAGAAGAAGAAAAGAAAAGCAACCAAAGAATGATGGATAAACGAGCAGAGGGTGTGTCGAGTGGACAGCATCCGCTATCCGTGACATTCGCAGTCCAGGGGCCAGCACAAAGCGAGTCCGGAGTCCAAAAGGCAGAGAAAGGAAGAAAAAACAAGTGAGAGGGGGGGGGGCGACACGGTCGTTACTTGAACAAAAGTCTGACACAGCCGCGTTCGATTGCACAGCATGACCAGGGAGGTGGTTGGATCGGTCGGCAAGTCCGCCAGTGAGTCAGTCAGCAGATCGGTAATTGGTCAGAAGGAGGGAGAGAGCCGGCGCATGCGCGACCGCTTCTCAGTCCTTGAGACAGCGCCGTGTCTTGGTGTGCCGATACAGGGCATCGCTTCTCGTAAAGCCCGTCCCGCAGTGGCTGCATTTGAACCCAGCCGAGTTGGGGTCGTGGATGAGCGAATGCCGCTTCAGGTCCTGTTTTCGGATAAAGGTCTTTGGGCATGCAACGCACTTGAAAGGTCGGGCGGGGGTACTTTCGCCAGGGGGCTGGCTGTCGGAGGCCTCTGTCTTGAGCAGCGGCTGCTGAGTCGCTGGGTCGCAATAGACAATGGCATCGGGATGCGTCTGGCCGTGGTTGCGGATGCTGCGGGGAGGCTGGGAATGCGCCGAGCGTTTGTGGGCCAGGGACGGCGGCACCGGAGACGAAGGCGAGAACGGAGGGACAATGGGCATGGAGGACATAGACGAAGCCCCTGACAGATGGAAGGACACTGGCGGAGGCGGAGGGAGGCTTGGGTCCTTGAGGAGGCTGGCATTCATGCCCATCGGAGACGATGGGTTGGAGTTTGGAGGTGAGGTGCGGTGGATAGCCGACGAGTCGAAATGCGATGAGGACGAGGACACGGAGGGCGGCAGATAGTGCTGGTACTGCTGCGGGTGGGAGTAGTGCGACGAGCCGTAGTGCGAAGAGCTGCCGTCGGAGAAGGAGTAGGGCGAGACCGGAACCGAGCCCGAGTAATGGCGGAAGGACGAGGCGACGGTCGAGGGCGTGGGCAAAGGCGATGACGAATACACCAAGTTGGAGACGAGATGGGAATGGGGTGGCGGGACCGACTCCATCTGGAAGGAAAGCGACGAGTACGGCAGGGTGGTGGCCGGAGCAGAGGGGTACGACGACGTATGCATCTGGGCAGGGGCGTGCATCGACGACGACGGTTGCGGAGGGGCCAGATCTGGCCGAGAAGACTGCTGCGGCGGATAGCCGTCGTTCGAGTCAAAATAGGACGTGGGCGGATAAGACATGGCGTTGTACATTGGCGGATGCGCAGCGGGGCGGTTGGGATTCAAGTTGGAGGACGAGGAGAGCCGGGGGATCGTGTCGAGCAGGGACGGATAGAAACCGCGGGACAGCGACGATGTCGATGATGACGATAGCGGGGGAGGTGGCGACTGGGACTGGATCGAGACGGGAGGCGACAGGGGCTGGGATGCCATTCTGAAGGCCGGGAGCACGCCAAGGGCCACCGAGAGAGATGCGGGAATGGCCAAGATGGAGGACGGGTTAGTACAAGTGCTGCCGGAGATCAGAGGGAGGGAGAGAGGGAGATGGCTCGGGGTGATGGAGGCGGAGTTGGGACAGGAGTTGATGGTGGAGTTGGAGCTGAAGTTGATGGAGGAGTGGGGGGTGGTGATCGTGTTGGTATGGGGGCGGAAGAGGGCAGCATCGATGGACATGGATATGGAGGGCGATTGGGCCGAGGAGCGGGACTGATGCCGGGTCGGGCTCGGAAGGGGGCTCATCATGGGGGATGGGGAGATGATGTCGGAAGTTACAAGTGCAGATGGCAGCGGAGTGTGGGAGACACGGAATGTCGTGTTGACGGGAGACAGATGATGACAAGAAGCGGGTGCGATGGAATGCGATCCGATATCAAGTGACCCGGTGGGAAGGAAGTAGTGGAGGGAACGGAGGAGGGAAGCCAATGTCGGAGGCAGCGAGTGGGCACACAACCACGGACGATATCGCCGATGCAGCCACAGGCGATGTCACAGGCGATGTCACAGGTGCGATTGCAGCCGCGCAGATCGGAGCGGCAACTTACAGCGATGGGAAGAGATGGGAAGCGCCGCCTTTGAGGACCTGGAGATGAGCGGGGCCGGCCGAGGCGATGGAGGACGCAGATGAAATAGACGGTGGGGTGACGGGGGTGTGGGGTGGGTGGGTGAGCAGGCGAGACGACGGACCAGAGGAATGAAAGGGGGGGGAGCGAGACGGGATCGGCGGAACAGCGCCCGATTATATGAGATGGCGGGGGAGGGAGAAAGGAAGGAGGCGGGCGATGTGACGTGCCAGAGCGCGGATGTGTGCAATGCGGGCGCACAGCAGACAGGCGGCTGTCCAACAGAGCAATGGGGCGAGCGAGGTGCGACGAGGGATGGGCCGAGGAGGGAGAAGGACGGGAGCGAGAGGAGGCGAGAGGGAGAGGTGGATGGGGAGCGAGAAGGCAAGGCCGGGTCGAGTCAAGGCGTGTCAAGCCAGAGAGCCAAGCCGATTCCGCGACAGTGCAAGGCCAGTGCGAGTGAAAGTGCGGGTGAAAGTGCGAGTGAAAGCGCAATCCAAATGCAAGGCCAGCGAAAGGCCAGTGCAAGGCCAGTGCAAGTGAAGGTGCAAGTGCAATCCAGCGCCGATTCGGTGCAATCCGCAAGGCCAGCCCCAGCGCACATGCGAGCGAGAGGCCAGGCGAATGCGCTGGGTCCCCTGTGCGTGTGTGCGTCCGCCAGGGCCGCCTTTGCCAGCCAACGGGAGACCGAGCGCACACCTGTGCCCAAGGGCGAGTGCCGGGCGCACAGCGCAAAGAAAGGCCCAGCGCTCACACGCCGGGCTGGGCTCACAAGGAGGTCGCGCGCACGGGGGCCCTCTGCATCTGCCCGCGGGACATGGAGCAGAGGGAAAAAAGTGTGCTTCTTGTTCCCTCGGCCGGCCCAAAGAAAAAAAAAGCTGTGTTGCATCGGGCCTTGCCAGCACGAAGCGAGCAGACCAAGGGGGGGGGAGACTTGCTGACAGAGCTCGCGGATTGTGCATGAGTTGTCAATGGATTGTGCATGAGCTGTCAATGGATTGTCGCACGCTGTCGATGCAATGCCGATGCATTTTAGATGCAGTGCTCACACCGTTCACACATTGCCCGCACATTGCTCGCACACCGTTTACACATTGTCCAAGCGCTGTCCAACGCTGTCCAAACGCTGTCCAGGCGGCAGACACGGCCCCGTTGTGGTGCGATCCGGCGGACACATGTACAGCCCAGCAGACCAGAGTGTGTGTGTGTACGGACATGTGCGTGTTTTTGGTGAGCGCGCCGGATGCGGGGTGTGACAGGGTGTCACAGAGTGCGTTGTCGCGGGCGCGCCATCGAGCTCGCGCCATTCGACTGGCGCTGATGGTCCAACAATCCCACAGCAAGACCAACACAACCCAACAGCAAGACTAACACAATCCGATGGCAAGACTACCACAATCCAACTGCACAAGTCCAGCATCGGCTTCGAGCAATTCATCTCTCCAACATCCGACCGAGTCGCCGCTGGCAGAGCGCCCTTGATGTCGGCAGACACAAGCCCACAAGGAAAACGCAAGTCTGCGCGTCGGCCGTGGGGACATTTGGAGCCAACCCAGGCTGGCAAGCCGGCCGAGCATGTCCCCACGACGGGGCTCCTTCAAGCGCTCCAAGCGCCGGTTTGTGCGATCCGTTTGCCGACAGAAAGCAGGTCTCTCGTCGCAGATGGGTCGCACTTTATTAATGCATCGAGCGCATGCACACCTGCCTTGGCTCGCTGGCTCTGCCTCGGTCTCCCTGGTCTCCCTGGTCTCCCTGGCTCTCCCTGGCTCTCCTCCCCCACCACCGCCATCACAATCAGCATCCAGCATCGCGCAATCCCTGGCGGCAGCAAGGCCAGCCAAGCCCTTCGTCCCATTCCCCATGGCCGCTCGCCCCTTGGTTGCTCGCCCCTTGCCTCTCCTTCTGCCTGAATCGCCCTCCCGGCTGAACGGGTGAATCCTCTTGTGCTCGGTGCCTGTCGCTTGCTCCTGTCTGCATTGGCCTCGTGCCCCTCGCCGGCAAGGCTCCCTGGATGATCCGGCCGATCCTTGCCCGACTCACCAACTCCCCATGCATCCATGGCATCCATGGCATCTATGGCATGCTCCTCTCGTCCTGTCTCGTCCTGTCTCGTCCTGCTCTTTCGGCTGCTCGTCAGCGCCTGCCGCAGTCGTCCTGGTCCCTGTCGTTTCAGGATCATTCGCAGGCGCCCTCGCCACCACCGGCTTGTGCTGGGCGCAAGGGGAATCGCCCCCGGATTGCACCAGCCCAAATGCATCGTGCTCGCCTCCTGCGCCGCCGTCTCCCAAGGCTCGCCACCAATCTCAACCGGCTGCCCTGTGTTTCATTTTGGAAACGCTGTATTCTGCTTCTGGCTGCTGATTTCCTGTTGTTGAGTTCCTGCTGTTGGCTCCTCCCTGTCGGCTGCTGGGGCCCATCATCGCTCCTCCCGATATGCCATTCCTGATCCCCACCGTCCTTGTCGTCTGGGCGCCCATGCACCCTCTCGACCACTCGGCAGGCTCGGCTTCGGGCTTGTCGCTCTTGGTCCATCTCTGCCGCAGGTGGATGTCTCCAGGCTCCAGGCGTCGGCCACACGTGCCGGACTTGCGCTCGGCCTTCCTCTCAACGGCGGCTGGGATCGGGCTTCTCCCGGTGGATCTGCTTGAGGAGCTGGGTGATCGACGAGGTCGGGATGCCCATGCGGATCATCTCGAGGATCTGTGCGTATATCCCGCGTTGCCATGCTGGGGGTCAGCCAAGGTCGCTCTGTGCTGTCTCTCTCTGGTTTCTCAACAACAACCCGGCGTCCGGCTCACCAGGAAGAAGGTCTTGGGCTCAATGTCGATTCCTGCAGAGTGTGCCAAGTCGTAGAGATCCTGCGTGACTGCGATCAAGGCATATCAGCGCATTCCAGACCCCGGCCGAGTTAGCAGCCGAGCCAACGAGCTGTCGTCCGGCATTCAACGAACAGCACAGCACTCCAGCACTCCAGCGCCCCAGCGCACCTTGGAGGTTGCGTTGCGTCAGCGAGTCGGCCGTGACCCAGTCGGCCGAAGTCGATGTGATCCAGACCGACGACGACATGCCGCTGTATATCGTTGATGGTGTATATCGTTGATGGTGTATATCGTTGATGGTGTATATCCTTCAGCGTCCCTCCTGTATCGGCGGATGCGTGCTCTGTCCGGGGCCGTTCGTGCTTGGGGTGTTGTGCTGTGTTTGCGCTGTCTGATCGCCGCCAGAGCCTCGCTTGCCGAATCCCTGTTGGCTGGAATCTCGACATCCCGCCCCGAGGCCCTCTCGCTCGTGCTCTCGTCTTCTCATCGGCCTCGCTGCCCCCCGCCCAGCCCTCGCCCTTCCATCCCATCTATCTCCCGGCTCGCACATACCCGACTCCCAGAGCGAACCTGCCGCTGCTGCTTCTGCTGCTGCTTCTGCTGCTGCTTCTGCTGCTGCTTCCATCGTCCCCGGAGTCGTCCCTGGCGAGCCACTCGGTAGACGCCTTTGCTTCTGCATCAGCTCTTGGCCCCCGTCGCCCCGCCCATTCGTTCTCCCCCCCCCACAAGCTCCCGCATCGCACCGCCGACCTGATCCGGCATGTCGTCCTGGTTTGATTCGTCGGCGCTGTCGGGTCGCTTGAGCCAAATCGCATCCAAGGCCCAGTCCCTGGCCCAAGATGTCATTGCCCAGACCCCGGATCGGCTTACTCCTTCGCTCGATAAGCGAGATGTGGCCTACTCCAAGAAGCACGAAGGTCTGTGTGCTCTCATCGTCACCGCTGCTGGTTCATGTCGGGTCGTCTTTGGCTCCGCTGCGTCCCTGGCGCCTTGGCCCTTCAGCTTCCTGGCCAGGATATTCGATGGATCTGCTGGACCAGATCGTGGCCGACGCGAATCCACTCGCTCTGCATCGGATCAATCGATGTACCCAGCATGAGGAAGCTGCAGTCGGGCCCGGCGACAAAGAAACCCAGCCAGCGAGGGAGAGGCCATGGGGCCATGCCAATTCCCAGGATAGAACGCATACTCACTCGCACCCCTTTTGCTTGATGCGGCTGTCTGCATTGGCTCCCCCCCCCCTGCAGACTCGTACAGGATCCCTTCCTCCAACGACGGCTTCGTCTCGAATTTTGAAGGGTCGGAGGATCAGCACCTCCTGGAGCTCGAGGAGACAAACCATCGCTTGAACATGGAGGTCAGTGGCCATTGCATCAGAATCTAGGCTCATCGAGCCGGATTGCTGACGGGACTGCTTCGAGCACAACCCTGCGTCGTCTTCACACAGCCTTGCTGACTGCGACTGCGACTGCGGCCATGTTCCTTGACCTTTGACCATTGATCATTGACCGTGTGGCTCAATCGTGCCCTGGGCATCATCCCGCCGCTCTCAACTCCATTTTCGATCGCCGTTCACGATCACCCATCTCGTCAACCGTCTCGTCAACCGTCCTCGGCTCTGTCGGCCCCTCGACAACGCACCAACACCGCTCTACATCAACAACCACACATGCATGTCCCTGCCCGATCCATGCCTGTCCATCCCGATACAACAGATTCGCCAGCTCCATTCAAACTATCAGAAGCAGCTTGCCGACAAAGCCCAGCAACTCCAGCTCCTCGAAGAGAGGTTGAGTCAGTCCCAGACCGCCAGTCCGCTCCTCAGCCACATCCGTGCCCCGGGCGAAGAATCCGACCGCACCGCAGAGCTGCAGGCCAAGCTCCAAAAGGCCGTCAGCTACATCAAGCGGCTCAACGAAGAAAACTCTTCGCTCAAGACCCTGCAGCGCGCGCTCGAGACTGAGAAAGAAGCCCTGGTCAAAGAAACCCAGGAGCTTCGGAACAGTCAGCCCGTCTCGGATCTGCATCCCGGCCAGGCCGACCTCCAGATCAAACAGCTTGAGAAAGACTGTTTACATTTCCGCGAGACGGCCCAGCGACTCGAGGCTGCCCTGACCGAAAAGATCGAGACGGAGCTACAGCTGGAAGAGAGCGTGCGGATACTCAAGCTACAGCTCGGTGATGCCCAGCAGATTGCTGAGCGACTCCAAACCCTTGAGCGGGAAAGCGAGACCGTCAGGACGGAGGCCGAGACCAAGGTCAAAGCATCGGAACGCCGTGTCTCGGAGCTGGAGAGCGACCTCAAGAGCTGGCGCGAGAAGCACGACGCCCTTTCGTCATCCCTGATCGACCTCGAATCCAACCTGCCCCAGAACCGCGCTGCCGACCTGGAGAGCGATCTCAAAGAGCTCAACGCCGAGTGCGATCGGCTGCGGAAGGAAAAGCAGGCCCTGCGCGATGATCATGAGGCCCTGAACGAAACCTTCCGTGCCCTTGACCAGTCATCTACCGGTCTCCGTGAACAGCTCGACCAGCTCCAGCAGCAGCATGCTCATCTGGAGCAGCAACAGCAACAAGAGGCCCAGAAGTCCGATGAACTTGCCCAGAAATCTGAAGCACTCGCCCAGAGAATCGCCGAGCTGGAACAGGAGAATGGCGACTTGGGTGCGGAGTTGCGGGACTACAAGGACCGTGAAATCCATTTCCTTCACCAGATCGACTCTCTCAAGACCGGCCACGCCCTGTCGAGCAACGAAATGCTGCACATGGAAGAAGGCGATGGCCCGTCTCCTCCATCCTCCGAAGACGTTGCACAACTCCAGGCCACGATCGAATCCCTCACGCTCCAGACGACCGCAGACAAGGAGCAGGCAAGCCGACAGATTGCTCAGCTCGAAACCCAGATCGCCAAGCTTGAGGAGCAGCTGTCTTTGACCCAGAAGGAGAACGAGCTGCTCTTCCAGCAGGAAGCCGAGGTTCATGCGCTGCTGGCATCCAAGGACCAGCTCCTCGAGCAGCATCAGCAACACGATCTGGATCGAGAGAATCACCACAGGGATCTCGAGCAGATCCAGTCCGGCCAAGTTCAATCGCTGCAATCGCAGCTCGACGCCGTTACTGGAGAACTCGAGGCCCTTCGCTCGACTCTTTCGACCCGGGAGGCTGCCGTTGCCGAAATCGAGCGCCACTTGCGCACCGAAAAGGAGGCTCTAGCCCAGCACCTCCGCGACCAGGCTGACCAGCATCAAGCCCAGCTGAACGCCCTCGAATCCGAATATGACAATGCCAAGCGTGCCCAGCTGGAAGCCATCGATACACTCAGAACCCAGCTTGCAGAACAAGGCGCCGCCTCGGCAAGCATCAAGTCCGCTCTTGAGACCGAGCTCCAAACCCTCGCGGCAAGCCATCTCGACCGCGTGAGCCAGATCGAAGCCGAGCTTGGGCGGTACCGAGAATCGACCGTGTCGTTGGAGCAAGCACAGCAGTCTGGGACCGAATCGCAGCTTCAGACAATCCAGCAGATCGAAGCCATCCTCTCGAGCGTCCTCACCGGAGCCCAGCTCGATGCGATCCTCCAGGATACCTCGCTGAGCGCATGGACATTGGCTGCGGCGGACACAACGAGCGCCCATGCCGGCTTGGTCGAGACTCTTTCTCGCACCGAGAACCAGCTTCGCAAACTCGACGAGACCATCCAGCAGCTCCGAGGCGAATGCGCGCAAAGCAAGGAACGGGCGGATGCGCTTCAGCACGGTAAGGTCGATCGCAGTCTGTACATTGCCTCGGCCCGACACGGCCCGGCCACGACAGAAATAATGATCGCCTCGTTTGTTGGACCAGCAATGCGCCTGCGGGATGTGGCTGCCCTGCATGCATCGTGCAATCGCTCCATCGTTTCTCACTCTCCGTACACGTGTTTTGATCAGAGCTCGAGACTGCCTTGGCGGATCAACAGTACAAAGTTGCGGCCGCGCGTGAGAGCTACCAAGAAAGCGTGCGCCAACTTGAGGCAGATAAACAGCAGCTCAAGGACAGGCAACAGCAGCTCGAAGATGAGAAGCAGCAGCTCGAGGGCGAGAAGCAACTTATTGCGAGCGAGAAGCGGCAGCTTGAGGGCGAGAAACAGCAGCTCAAGGACGAGAATCAAAGGCTGGCCAACGACCACACCGTTCTGGTGGAAAAAGTCCGCAACGTGCTGGCGCCCAAGCTGCAGAGCGAAATGGTATGCATCCACAGTCGCGATCGCGGGTGGTGCGTGCGGGTATCGGCCCGTGTGAAACCGCAGTGGGCAAGCGTTTCCTGGCGCTTGGAGAGCGTGTATGTCTGTAGGTGCGAAAGAGACGACGCTTTGCCCTTCCCCGAGTTGCAGCAAGTGCTTTGCCGACTGATAGTTTTGCCGTTGCGATCGCAGGAAGCGGCCCAGGTCCTGCGACTCCAGATCGCCAACATCACGGCCGAGCGAGACGACGCTTTCTCAAAGCTCCAGCGCATCCAGACTGAGCAGAGCGAGCTTCTCAACAGTAGTAGCCACCACGACGTCGTGGTAGCCAGCCTCCGCCAGGAGCTTGAAAGCTCGCACGAGCATCTGGACAAAACCTCGCGCGAACTCGATCGCCTGCGCCAGCACCTCGTCGAGTCCGAGGAGTTTGTCCTCCAAGAGGCTGTCAAGAGCGAGAGCGTCATAAACGAGTACCAGACCCGGATCCGCGATCTCGAAGAGAGCCTGAAGCAGTGGCAGGAGACCGCCGAGCTCGAAGCGTCGCGCGTCAAAGAACTCGAGGCCAGTCTCGCCGAGCTCAAGGACCTGCTGCGGACCAAGAGCAGCGACCTGGAGCTTCTGGCCCGCGAGAACGCGCAGTATCAGCTGGCGGTGCGCAACCTGCAAGGTGTCCTGGAGGAGTTCCAGTCGAGTAAGTGGATGAGCCGAGGGCAGCGAGCGGACGCGAGTCCTTCGATCTGTGGCGTCATCAGCGTTGCTCCTGTTGCTGTGCGGGCAGTCCGCGAACCTGATGGACAGCCCAATGCCGAGTCCGCTTAGCCTGGACGCCATCCCTGGGCTAACCTCTTGGACATGAACCAGCCCGCGACGCCGAGGTCAAGTTTGCACTGGAGGGCATGCAGCACCAGCTGGATACGGCAAGGCGCTCGCTCGAAGAGTTCCAGTCGCGGGCGCTGTCGGCCGAGTCCAGGCTGGCCAAGGTGGACGTGGACTCTCCGTCGCTTGCTAAGCTGCAGAGCGAGCTCAACGAGAAGAATCTTGCCCTCGGAAAGCTGCGGCATGACGGTAAGGCGGGGCGCCTGGTGCGGCAGCTGTGAGGCGTCGCCGTTTGAACTTCTGTGCTGTGCTGGCATCCCTGCTCGATTCCAGTCGCAATATTGGCTGGCCGAGGAATTGACGTTCATCACAATCGCCACGTTGAACTCTAAACCGGACTGCAACCGCCCTTGCGACTGCGACGGTAGTCATCCAACTTCAGGCGCATCTGGCCGAGGCCCTCCGGCGGCTCAAGGACCTCACCGCAAACGAAGACAACGTCGACCGCAAGCTGATCACCAATCTGTTCATCAGCTTCGTCCTGACGAACCGCGGCGACAAGAACCGGTACGAGATTCTGCAGCTCATTGCTGCGATTCTCAAGTTCAGCGAGGACGAAAAGTGCAAGGTCGGGCTGATCCGCAGGCCCGGCTGGACACTGACGACACCGACGCAAAGCTCGTCTGCAGATGTAAGTCATCCGCTGGGTCTCTTGTCCATCTTGACGAACACTTGTCCATCTTGACGAACACTTGTCCATCTCGGCGAACACTTGTCCATCTCGGTGAACTTGGACACCTCCGTGCATTCTGTCTTGGCCGTCTTGAATCGTTTGTCGCCTGTCTCCTCTGATTGCGCACGATGCCCGATGATCCCACACTCCTTCCTCCTGTGAACTCACACCGGATGTTTGATCTTCTTGCCCAGACATCCTTCACGGACATGTGGGTGTCCTTCCTCCTCAAAGAATCCAGCGGCGACAATCTGGTGGCCGAGATGGGAGCCGTCTCCCCCACCAAGCCGGAGGCTCCCCCGATGCCGATGCCGTCGCCTTCTCTCTCGCATCAGACCGTGATGCTCGAGTCTGGGCCCGGAGGACCCACCCGCAAGCCCTCGGGCGTGTTCCGGGCCTCGTTCGACTTTCTTCGGGGGGCCATCGGAGGAGCAACCACGCCTGTCCCAGCATCGCCCGTACCCCGGCCGCTCGGCCTCGACATTCGCGAAGAAACCCCGACCAACGGCGCTCGCGAGTTTTGATGATCAGTGGGAGCGAAGGCACCTCTTGGGCTCGGACTGCATTCAGCGCCAGCGTGCGGCAGCCCCCATCAAGCAACAAACCGAGGCTGGTTCGGCTTGGCTCGACTAGTCCTGTCGGTTAATCTGGATTCCGAGCGCCGTCGCTGCGACTGATTCGGTGTCTGTCGCCGCTGGCTATCCCCGCTGTCCATTCGTAGTACCCTCTGCCCCCACCCTGTTCCTGCGCCAGTGTTGCTCTGGGCAGCAACAGCTGTCTCATTTGTTCAATAGAATTCTATCCACCCTTGATCGTCCCGTCCCAGGAACTGGAGGTCCGCAGTATCACTCGGGCATCGCGAGAGTTCATTCCCCAGAGTCGATTCCATTCTCCAGACACAGTGGCACCATCAGCACCAACGACACCAACGGTTACTGCGATGACATGTACGTCTGTATTCAAGACCCAAAGCCAGCGACGGCCAGTGCGAATCCCAAGCACCGAATGTGCCTGGACTTGCGGGGATAGATACAGAGTGGATTCAAGTCGGGAGAGTTGCCAAGCCACCGAAGGTAACGACTCCCCCGGGCATGCAAGGCAGCCCAGGAGGCGCTCAGATTCGCTCGTAGGCACCCGAGGAGCTGTTTTCGTTGCTGGACTGGCCGAGTATCACTCCAGGGTTGAGGTTGCCGACACCAGGCCACCGAAGGTCGCCGCCGCGTGTCTTGAGGTAGTCGAGAGCCCAGACAATCGACAAGGGCTGGGGGGGCATCGAGGCATGGGAGATGGATCCGTCAGCAAGGGTCAATGGTCGGAGCGGCCTAGACGTTGCCACGATGTTGGACTCAACGCAGCGACATTGCACTCCGAATCCGCTTGGTGTGCGAATCCGTTTGATGCAGAAACGCGGGCTCATATACCAGCAAGCCGGACGACACACCATCCAGCCTCTCTCCCCCCTGGTTCCTACCTTGCCGAGAAGGTTCAGGACATTCAAAAACAGCACAAACGAGTACGAGCCACGGGGGAAGTCGCCCCAATGCAGCATGAACCACACGCTGTCCAGCAAGACGGAGAGGACGAGCAGCGTCGTGAAGGACTTGAGCGGGTCGGTCGAGTCCCGCTGGCCATTGGCATACAGGGCCCTGCGAAACAGCGACAGCCAGGATCAGTGTGGCTCCTCCTGTCTCCTGGCGGCAACCACAATAGTGCCGTTGGCCAATTGCTTCGTCGGTGGCTGAGAGGTTGACTTACGTAGAGGAACAGGGGCACATTGTAGAGGGGGCAAAAGTCGAGAGCCCCGAAGAAGGCGATAATCTGGGAAGATGTGGTGGGAGTAGAGCAAGGTCAGCAGAGAATGGTTGGGCGATGTGGATGCACCGCATGTGCTCCATTCGTCCAGCTCTCCGTGCTGCCCCGAGCCTGTTGCTGTCGTGCTCTCAGCATCTTGAACAATCCTCGGGCGATGGTGTTGGTTTGGCGAGTGGTGCGGCCCTCGAAACCGCCATGATTGCCCCACTGCACATCCGCCGGCACGGCGGTCGGGCAGCGCTGGCCGGCTTACCGTCTGCACTTGCAGGAGGAAGGACAGATCGACGTTGACGTTCATGCTGGCTTGGGTGTGATCGGGGATGATGTGGCGGGCGGGCTGCAGGACGAGGGATCGGCAGGAAGAGAGCGCGCGCCCTTGGCGCTTGGCTCTGTGCCGCTCAAATGCTGCTCAGGCCGGGGACGACCAGGAGCGGCTTCTGATCTCGCATCGAGCTTCTGTCTCTCCCGCCCTCTGTGACCGCCCAAGCCCGAGCCCAAGAGCCCAAGCCCAGGCCTCACCAGCACAAGTCCGATCGTCATGAGCCGCGGAACCCAAGCCCTTCTCCTGGTCGCTGTCCTTGCGACCGCCTTTGCGACGTATGTAATCGGTCATATGCTTGTGCAGTGCTTCCGCCAGCCAAACCCAGCAGCACCAAAACGCAAGATGCAGCCGTAAACGAGCAATGCCATCCTGCGATTCCGGGCCAGCCATATCGAACGATCTTGTGCGCTCGTGTCGGATCGCCCTGGCTCTGCGGTCGCTGCCGCTTTCCTCTGTTCTCATTCGGATCTCTCGGTCTTTCGCACATCGCACATCGCCTCGGCTCCGCCAACAGCAATCCAGAAGAGGGTAAGACCGTCGGCTGTTACAACAGCTGCTGCTGCTTCTACAATGCAGCGGTACCGACCCATCCGCTGCTGCTGGGAAACACACGTTGGCTCTGACTCACCCGCCCCGCATTATCGATCATGTCTCGGCAATCGGCCGCATCGCCGACCAGAGAGCTTCAGAAAGTACATTGAGAAGGTAGGGACGACAGCGTATCGTGCAGCACGGAATCAGGGTGGCCATCGCTGGAGGCAGGATACGTCTCCTGCTGATCCAGGACGCTGGTCAAGTTGACCCCGGACAGCAAGTCCTGGACCGCCGACAGACCGATTCACCTGGCCGGCTGGCATTCCTTGGGATATACCCAATGCAGTCCATGAAGCGCGCAGGATCGTCGTGGTTCGAGCGCAAGGTCGTCTCGACCGTCTCGACCCTGGCTTACAAGCGAGTCGACTACAAGTTCTTCTCGGTCATCACGAGTGAGTCCAGCAACTGGGCCAGAGCGCACCTCTCGCCGAGGAAAGAGCCAAAGCCCCGCGTCGGGCTCATCGATATGCCGTCGATATGCGATCGACATGCGATCTATTTGTCATCGGTCTCGGACAAGCAGTCGTGCACACTAGACTGACATCGCTCTCGTTTTGCTTGTGACCCCGCAGTCCCTGAAGGTATGGCTCCAACCTGCTGTCGCCAGATGTAGCTCTGCCCGGCAATGGATCGATCGCGCCGACTAATGCAAGATGCGACTCTCTGTTCCGATACTGCCAGACGGCCTCCACTACGTTGGTCTGTTTGGCCTCTGGCTCCCTCTGCCCACCCTTCAGGTACGACCACCAGGGCATTCCGATAAGCACTTGCCACAGTGCCCGCAAGCTCAGCAGCTCATGCTCTCTCGGTCGACCCGTTCCGCCTCATCCAGGCCCTCAAGAAGGAGATCGACGACAGCCGACGACACTGAGCCTGAGCGGCTGCGTAGCAACTGGATCCAACTGCGGCCCTCTGTATCTGTTCTGTCCGTGGTCGAAACGCTCTGCCGCCATGCGAACCTCGCCTCCCTGATTTTGTGCCTCCCATGGCACAGCTTTCTCCGACTTGGTCAATACAGCAGTTTCCTTGAACTGTCGATCCCGATTCCGCGTCGAATGCAAGGGCAAACGCATCGGATGCGCACTGTATTCGGCCGTTCGTCCAACGTCCACTGTCCAATGTTCAACATCCACTGTCAATGTCCAATGTCAGCTAGAACGTGACAACCTTTTTCTTGGCTGCAGGTTTGGCAGCCGGGGCCCCGGCAGGCTTGACAGTGTCCTTGCGATCGGCATTCATCTTATGCAGCGCCACAAATACGTCGTCGTCGTCGGCACCTTGCTCGAGATCGATCTTACCCAGAGCCGTATATCCGGCCTCTGCATCGTGCCGCAGCAAAACACATCGGTTAGAGAGCAGTCGCACCGTCAATGCGAGACTTGACGCGGCGAGATACGCTACCTTTCTGAACAGCAGGCTTGCAGTCCTTGGCCAGATGCCGCACCGAGCCACAATACCGACATCCACCACCGTTTGGATACAGGCCGTTGTCGTTCTGAGGACACTGACTCGCCAAGTGACCTTGGCCTTTGCAGACAAAACACGAAGCAAACGGCATCGGATCCGCTGGATATTGGGTTGATGCAATCCAAAGGTAGTCGTAAGGAACATTGCTGGCAAAGCGCCGGAGCACCGAGTCATCATGGAGCTATATCGGCGACGCTTCTCTGGAATCCCACACCAAGCGACGCCATATTGGCAAACATGCGTACCAGGATTGTGGATCTTCTTGCATTGTGAAAGGCGATGTTCTGTCGAGCCACATCGATAGCAGATCAGACCGCTGGCGGATGCGTCGCTCGTGCTGGCGGCACCTTGGTTTGTGGGGCAGTTCTTGATCGAGTGGCCCCGCCTTCGGCACAGGAAGCAGGTCTGGAGATGGGTTCATCGCATGATCATCAGGAATTGTTGCCGCGGCACTCTGATCGAGACGGCTATTAGGAGCACAGCTGCACATACCATCTTTCGCTCCGCTGCGCTGACTCGTCGCTGCTTCCGCTTTTCGACCATATCGGCTGGACAAAGATGGGTGTGGGAGAGTGGTGTGAGCGCCGTACATCGAAAGACCGCATTCTTGGTCACATCACTTTGTCAGTCGAGTGGTCTGCCCATACTCTCGGGTTATGTGTGAACGGTCTGGGCTGTCCATATTGGCTCCATACCATGCTTTCCGTCTTGGTTCTGGTGCGTTTTCTTCTTGCCTCTGTCGGCCTTGGCCTGCCTGCTGGCGCCCGACTGTCCGTCCCCAGCGCCCTCGGGCTGGGACTCTGAGCTCTGCAGATTCTCGGCCTTGGACTTGTGGCGAACTCGCTTCTTTTTCTTTCCGGTGGTCGACTCGTCGGCGCCTGTGTCTGCCGGCGGATCTGATCTCTCGTCGGCTGTAGAAGGCGGCTCCTTGCGCTTGACGGCCGTCTTGGGCTCTGGCTTTGGTGCATCAACCACAGCTGGTGATGGCGTCGACTCTGCTGGTTTGGATGCTGGAGCCTGTTGCGGTGAGGCGGGAATCAGAGGGGTGACGCTGAACCCCGATGCCTCCACATGGGTCTTGCGATGGAGCTTTGTGAAGCGGGTCATGGCGAACGGTGATGCTGCTGTTGCTGCTTGCTGTCGACCGCGGCAGATGAATGCGAACTACTTTCGATGGCTGGCGGTTATCACCAGCTGCTCTCTGCTGATATCGGTGTCGTTGGATCGTTGTGTGCGAACAGCAACAAAAAAACCAGCCGCGCAGCACACAGTGCCAACAGCGCGCAACAACAGCGGCCAGAGAATGAAGATTTCATATCGCGCCAGCGCCGGATCGAGCCGGATCCAGTGCGCCCGCTCCGCCGCCGTTTCGCCGTTTCGTTTTTTCGCCGCTGTGCTGGGCGGTCGAATCGACAGCCGTTCTGTCCTGAATGGATCTGGTTTGTGCATAACTGGAGCTGGTGCGTCGCCGTTGGTGTCGAGGCCTGGGTGTGCTGGAGCAAGATGGGATATCCGCCTGCGGCTGGGCCAGATCTGGATGCTGTCGTCGTCTACAGAGGACTTGCGGGCCCGTGTTGTGTCGGCTGGGTGCAGATCTCTGGCCTGGCCTTCGTCTCGACCTTCGGCTGCTGGACGACGCCTTTGGGCGAACACCCGGGCCACCCCAAGGTGTCTCTGCAGCCCACGGCCGAGTCGCAGAAGCTGTCCCCCGGCACGTCGGGGATCTCGGAGATCTGTCTCTCAAGGACCTGTGCCGATTGCATCCATGATTGGGCCATAGCCTGCTGCGTCCTCGCAACAACCAGGGGAGATCGCGACAGAGAGCCTCGCCTCGGCCATTTGGCTGCTTGGAGCAGATCTGTCCACGGCCACGACGCCCTCTGCGCTCTGTTCACTGACCAACAGCGCCTTGCTTCTCCTCATTCGACATCATATTTGCCCGTGACTTTGATCAGTATCCATCCTTGCTGAGCCATGTCCGAAGACGCAAGATCCGGCCGAGACAAGTTCCGAACGGAGCGGGACGATGCATTCGACTATTCTGACGGCCGATCCGCCGCCCAACGATCTTCCAAGCATGCGCGAAGCGACGATCCTGCCGACCGGGACGGTACGTGCTGAGCAACGCTGGCCCTGGCCCTTGCCCGCTGGTCCCAGCTCTGTGTCTCGGTTTGACCAGAAACTGAGCCGATCCACTCCCTCGCTCCATCCCAGACCTCCGGTTCAAGCGCTACCGAGTAGATGATGCGCACAGCGGTGACCATTACATCCCCAACTATGACCGCGATGGATACGTGCCGGCGCCTCGGCACGGCAACGCCCAGAGCATTCCGGGCGATGGACACGCTGGATATATGGGCATGGACAGGTGCGTGAGGGTGCCGCTCCGATCTCGAGCTATTTGGCTGGGCGAATCGGCAATGTACTGTATCTCTGCTTGATCCCATTTCCAATCGGCTCTGCCCAGCCAGCCTTAAACCGTCTCATTGTCTGCCTCACGCTCAATCCAGGCGGGTAGACCCAGCCAAGCTCGACCATCTCGTCAACTTCAAATTCTTTGCCGACTATCACCGCTCGCAGTACCGCCAGGAGAATGGCGGCCGCGAAATGGACGAGGACGAGCTGTCCAAGCGATATAGCATATACAAGGAGAACTTTACACACAAGCAGCTCTCGACCTTCTTTGAGAAACATCGCGACGAGGAATGGTAGGGTCGGCTTTTGTATCCTGCAACGACCACGGCGGATCCACTGAGCCGCTGGCTGTGGACTCGGTTTCGATGGACGCTGGCTGGTTGCTCACCATGTGTCGCAACAGGTTCCGAGAAAAGTACCATCCGGTCGACTCGCTTCCGCTGAAGAAGGAGATCAACACGCGGAAACGGGAGCTTTATGAGAAATATGTGGCCCTGCTGGAGGCCGGAACTCTCGATACCATCAACTACGACGAGATCATCAAGGAGGGCGACGACCCCAAGGAGGACAAGGCTGGCGAGGAGGCCGACGAGGCCGCTGGAGATGAGGACAAGAGGGATGAGGACAAGAGGGACGAGTCCCCGGTACCGACCAAGCCGACTCCATCGGTGCAAACCTACCCGTCGATTCGCGATAAGGCGCCATCGCTGTTAATCAAAACAGTGCCGCCGTCGATCAAGCGCTCGTCGCTCGTTGAGGTAAGCGGCCACGCCCAGCCTCCTGGTTGCAGCGACACATTGCGATCACACCGCGGCTACCTCTCGGTGCATTCCTGCGTCGTGTTTCCGCTCCATTCCTCTGACAACGGCTGTGTTGATAGGCGTGCTCAGAAGTACCCGGCTTCCAATACATCGCTCTCGGCGAGCCCAATCCGCTGAGAAAGTTCCACCGAATCGGATGGGTGATCTTCAAGGACGGCACCGACATTGAGGCGGCCTTCGAGAAGCTCAGCGGCCTGAGGATCGACGAGTTCACCTTCCATTTCGCCACCAACCAAACTAGCAGCATTCGAATCAAGGCCGGACCGCTCGAGCTGGGCACACTGGAGCGCCTCAAGCACGATCTCACCCAAGCCAAGCGGCTGGCCGAGGCTCTGGACACTGAAGTGGAATTTGAAGCGGGCGTGGCTGGCAGTGCTGTTGTCGAGAAGCGGCTTGAGACGGTTCTGAACGACCAGCTTTCAGAAGAAGCCAAGGTAGGCGCATTTTCATACCAGAGGAAGCCCGGAACGTGCTGGGCTGGCACTGCCATTATGTTGTGTTTCGCTCTCTGCCTTTGTTTGTTGGGTCAAATATTCACTCCCCACTCTGATGGTGTGCTGCGCGGCTTGCTGACTCTCCTGCATCCCCGTCGACATGCTGATCCTCTTGCATCATTGTTGATATGCTGACCTCCGCATGACTGCCGACACGCCCAGATCAAAAAATCCCTTGATCTCTACATCGAATACCTCCGCCGGGTGCATCTGTTCGACTACTACTCTGGCTTCGAAACCGACTCGCCCGAGGATTTCTGTCGCCGGTCTGTTCTCTCTTACCGCAAGACACCGGCCTCGGTCGAGGCGCGCCAGAACCAGAACAAGACGGGTGCCCCCAGCCGGCCCGAAAACGTCCCGCAGATCCTCGAGAAGATTGACCAACGCATCCAGTTGCGCATCACCAAGCCAGAAGACGGCACCCAGGTCGAGAAGCTTGGCGGCAAGTCGATCGAGAGCGCGATCGACAAGGTGGCCGATGAGTACATCATGAAGGTCGACGAGGGCAAATATCGGTGCCGGGAATGCCAGAAGCTGTTCAAGGGCGATGAGTTTGTGCGCAAACACATCAAGGGCAAGCATCCGCAGCTGACCGAGAAGCCCCGCCTCGAGACGCTCTTCTTCAATGCCTACATCCGCGACCCCAACAAGGTGCAATCCAACAGCCCAGCGCCGGGAATCATGTCGGTCTATCACGGCGGACAGGGCCCGATGGTTGCTGCCGGGAGTGGAGCACTGACCGGCATGGGGGTCTCGGATATGATGGGGCACATGGGCGGCGCCTATCCGATGGCGATGGGAATGATACCGATGATGGGCGTGATTCCCATCGGCATGGGATCCATGATGGGACCTGGCGGTGGCATGCCGCCCATGGGCCCACCGCATGGCGGATTCAACGGCAGCCCGAGCGGATATCGTGGCGACCGACGAAGCGGCTCAATGGGAGGAGCTGGCGGCTTTGGAGGCTCTCCCCAGGGCCCTCGACGAGAACCGCCGCCGAACCGAAGGTATGGTACCGCGCGTGGGGCTGATGGGTTTAACTCGTTCGTATATGCGATTTGTAGATGCCTCGGCAAGCCAGGCGCAAAGCAGTTCCGTACCACGAACTCGATATGCGACTTGACCGGGTGTGGACCATGCTGGCTCTCTATCTGACGTGCTCCGTTTCCGCTCCCGACAGAGCCGACCCGCGCAAGATCCGCAGCTATGTCGACCTCGATGCTCCTGCAGAGGGCGAGGTTGAGATCAACTACGACTGAGCCATGGGGCAGCGAGCACAATAAAGCAAAGCCTGGATTCACCCACGTCTCGGGCCGATCGCAGAATCGCCCTGGTACTGCCACCATCGACCTTGGATGGCACCATCTGCGGTGGTTGGGCATCAGTCTATCCAGCTGCTGGTGCTTGGGAGTCGTCGTTTCGGCTTCCGTGGCAGGGTCACCATGCTGCCCTCCGGCATCTATTTCGAGATCGGGCGGGTGAACAGGCCAGGGACTGCCGGGACAGAGCCTCTGACAGATCAGAGTTCGGCGTCGGCGCTTGCCTGGTCGGTCCCCTTGCAGACCGGGTGCTGTTGGGTGGAGTGCCCGAGCACAACCAGGACGACGCACAACTCAGTCGCCGCCTGGCTGTCGACCCTGAGAAGGTCGTTGTCCCTTGGGTCAGCCGCAGAGGACCGCAGCCGTCTCAGTGCTCTTCACTCCACTCCCAACCCCCGGCGGACCAGCGGACTGACGACACCACCGGTCATGCGGGACACCCGGTCCCTGAGACGCACCAGCGGCCAACCCTCTCCACCAGCATCTTTCTCCTTTGCCGGACCCGTCTTGGACGGCAGTCGCCCCAGCGCAAGCTATATAGCCCAACTGACTCGACTCTGGGCAGGCGTGGATGCATCCACACAAGAATCATCCCGCAAGCCATATCGGTCCGTAGCATCCTTGGCCCAATGATTCCCATCCGCTCCTGGCTCGCAATTGCCGTGACGGTGCTGCTCTCGGCCTTGGTTGTTGATGCTGCCTGGCTCGAAGGAACAGCCACCCACTACGGGCCCTTTCCCCAGAATCCATTGTGGTCCGAGCCTGGCTACCAGCCCGGAGACGTCGGCGTCGGCTGCTCGGACGGACAACGTATGGCCCAGATACTCGTGTGCTCGTAGTCATGGCGATGGCATAGGATGCCCTGGCAGAGTTCTGGTCGCGATCATGCAGCTAACATACGGCCTATCATGTTGCTTGGACATGTTTCATGGTGTCTCGCGTCTCATGCCTTGCAAACACCCCCATCCGCTCCATCGCACTCAAGCCGGCGGCGATCCTCGCTGGAACAAGGTTCTGAGGGCCGGACTGCGGGCAAACCCCAGTCTGCCGATCAACCAGTTCACCATCTACCCCGTGCAGTACACCGTTGCCGTCTCCGAGAAGATCTATGGGGACAAAGCTCGCTATTGCTTCCAGACCATCCAAATCCGTCGTGGAGGACGACGGATCAACGCCACCATCGTCGACTTTTGCCCGATCGGCTCTTGTCTGTGGCCCGAGAGCCAGCTCGCCACCAATGTCGATATCTATGGCGGGGCTGCCTGGGAAGCTCTGGGCGGAGGCCCGCTGGATTCTAGCGTCGCTGTCGAGATTTTGTGGCCGCCAAGTAAGTGTGTTGCCACGAGGAAGAGTGGGCCTACCCTGTCGCTATGGCAACGGTGGCAGCATGTCAGTTGCCTGCCTGGCTCGGTTCGATAGGCTCTAACGGCTGCTCTTTGATTCCAAGACACCGGTGTGCTCCCACAGCCTCCGCCTCCGACTCCACCTGCACCGGCGACCCAGCCGCCCGATGTGCCGCCATCAAATCCTCCACCCGCTGGCCCGGCTGTAAGAGCTAGTGCATGGCTCTGCTGCATACGGCGTGAAGCCTCAAGACCGAGCATCTGTCCGCTGTTCGAAGCTGGCAAAGCATCACACTCGACTGACGCTTGTCTGACTGTGCTTGGCATAGATATGCGGCAATGGCAAGCAGGGAAGCTGCGGGAGCGATCCAACCGTTTGCTGCAGCCCGTTCGGATACTGTGGGCGTGGGCCGTCCTATTGCGTCAACCAGGTCAGTGTCTCTGCGCCGACAGCACTCGATTGCATTTGCACAAGGTGTGCTGACCGCTGGGACCTCTTGCTTATGAAATCGCAGACCAGTCCTCCTCCAGCTCCTCCCCCGGTAAGCTTGTCTATTCGGCATTGCAGAATCCATGTCCAGAGAATGTGTGCTGAGCAGAAGCCATGTTCCGAGACTGTGAGCTGACAGACCCGCCCGGAATTTGTGCATGATGGCCGTGGACTCCTTCTCGGCCGTATTTCTGTAGCCTCCAGCCAGCACAGCGGGATCCAGGCTTCCGGGCACTTGCCTGTCCGATGTAGATTGCGACCAGAGCCGAGGCTTTTGCTGCAGCAAGTTTTACTTCTGCGGACGTGGGGCGGACTATTGCGGATCCAAGCCAGCCTCAAACTCGGCCAAAGTGCTCGTTGCTCAAGCACAGCATCAGAGCAGCAACTCTCAGCTGCAAAGTTGTGCGGGAGGGAAGCCCGACCAGCAGTACGCCTGCAAGCCAAACAGTGAGTATCCATATCCCGATTCACTGCCCACGATACGCGGAGGCAAAGGGATGGTGGTGGTTGGGTCAACGAGGCGACCGGGCTGCTAACGAGTGACTATGTGGGTTGGGCACCAATAGGCTCCTGGAGCTGCGATCTGTCTCGATGTGTCTGCGACAAAGGTAAGTGCGAATGAGTGTGTGAAAGTCGCTGATGGACGGATACCAAGACTTTCCTGGCGCTAACTGATGCACGCCATTTGCGGTCACCGATAGGCTTCGCATACAACCGCCAACTGAGGCAGTGTGTTTCGGGCGATCCACTCCGGCAAGCATAGTCTGCTGGTCTTTGCTTCCGGGAACTGTGTGGCTGGTTCCACAATCCAGAGACCCATGCCGAGAATGCGGGCAGCCGAAGCCGCTATGGAGGGCGGAGAACACAACCCCTGAACTGAATAGAAATCCACTGTCTGCACTTGTCGATCGATTGCGGTCCCATGGCGAGCGATCTGGGCTCTGATTTGTCCACAACTGCGTCCATCTTGTATCCGGGCGAGGAGAGCGAGCGAGCGGCCGAGCCACCACGACGCCGGGAGCTACCAGTTCGCGAGAGAGCATTGATGAACACTATCAAAGCCTCGCAGTCACGGCGATGGCGATGGTGCGGATGTCGTCCGGGCAGCGAGTTGGAATTTTCAATCCATCATCACGAAAGATCAGCCAGGCGTGTTCGAAATCAGGCAGCCCTTCTGATACAGGACAGACCGCAGCGCAGACAGATCCATCGATCGTCACAGAGCTTGCCCTGACATGTCGGGTGCTCTATTGCTTCCTGGACCCATCGTCCAGTGCATCATATGCGCTTGATCAGCAGCAACATGAGCATGGCATGTTATGCCGCAGTCGGCTGCTGCTGCTGCTGCTGCTGCTTCTGCTGGCTGTTGCTGGCCGCTGCCTTCTCGGCCTTTTCTTTCAGCTTCGGATCGTACACATCGCCATTCTCATCGACCTTCAGGATACCCTTTCGGATGCTTTGCTGAAGGAGCAAAGATTCGGAATCAGCCCGATCGCAAGGGAGCCAGCGATATCCGATGAGGTCGATCATGCGCGGCATCATGCATGCAGAATGGTCGGCAATCATCCAGCCGCCAACCGAAACTAGCCGACACAGACACCAGCGACAAACATTGCTCCGTATCTGGGGCACGCCTGCGGGCTGACGTACCCAAGTTGCCTTGCACGCTCGGTAGTCTCGGAACTGCTGGGAGCATGGCCGCCAATATCGCTCACTGGAAGCACAGTCGGTCGAGGATTGAACTCGGTTAGGCCGCTGCCGGGGCAGGGATCATCCTGCAGGACGGCCGCTCCCTTCGCTGAGGTTCGCGGGCGGAGAGCCGCAGAGCCAGGACCGGTCAAACAGCTTTGCTGCTCGCTGCCACGTTACCGATCGTAGTCGTACGCCTTGATGCAGTCTTCGGAGGCCTTGTGCTGTGCGTAGCAGAATTCGTTGAGGGGAGCAAGGTCGGATGGAACGTTGCCCATGACTGCGTTGTGGGATGCGGGCTGGGGGATGGTGTGGATGGACAGCCGAGGGCAGCAGATAGCAGCCGAGGGCAGCAGATGGCGATCAAGAACAGAGCCGCCGATCTACCATTGGTTTGGTCTGAGTCACCACGCGCCAAACGCAGATCCAGATCGAGCTCCTGGCCCTGGCCCAGAGTCCCCAGTGCCTCTGTCGTCACCGGGGACGCCTCCGCGAGCTGGATTTGCATCGCACTGGGACATTGCTCCAGGAACATGGCACAACCAAGGGCACCCCCCAGAACTGTCTCTATTTTGCTGCAGTGTGTCCATTCGGCAAGTCACAGGCCGTTGCCACGCTCTGCTCCGGTCATGAGTACTTTTGCTGCACCGTGGTCAGATACCGTTGGAGGTTCGCAAGCCGCCCGTCGATCTCAGACTCGTCAATAGTCGTGAAGGATTGCACGGCGGAAGGCTCGTCTGCAGTCGAGGAAGGGCGGGATCAGTGGCGTAGCAATCATCCTCAATCATCAGCCGGCCAATCACCAGACAAATCGACAAGCCGAGAACACCGAGCTGGGAAGGCAGACGAGGCTCAACAGCACCCACCTTCGCTGTCACCGTGTATGTCGTATCGACTCGTCGGTGCTGGTGTCGACAATGTAGATTCGATGGCCGTCCGGCCTCCTCAGCAAGTGAACGAGTCTCTCCAGCGCATCCAGGCCCATCCAGGCCCATCCAGGCCCATCCAGGCCCATCCAGGCCCATCCAGGCCCATCCAGGCCCATCTACGCAATCGAGCCACAGCACCCCCATGAAGCACTCACGCCGCCAAAGTCGCTGTGCGCGGACTCACCTGTTCTCGATTTTCGGTCTTTTCGGGCCTGATCGCAGCGATGGATGGTGGGCATGTTAAGCAGGACTCATCGCTAGTCCTTGTCTGTGGGGGGGGGGCACTCGTATCTCCGCCATTTGCACTCACCTCTGAGCGAGCAGCTGGGATCGCCGCCTTGGATTTGCGAAGATGGTCGTCCGACGGAGACTTTGACCAAAGGCGGGGTGAGGCGGTCGCTAAACTATCCCTTGTGCGGACTTCTATGCTGCCGCTCCTCCGACTGCTCGGCGGTGGCGGAGGCTTGCTGGCCGATCGATCTGACGGATCGGTTGGCACCGTGCGTGCATCGGAGACATGATTAGAGTCGCTCTCGGATGGGATGCGAGACTCTCGCCCGTTCTTTGACAAGATTCCGCCGCACTGTGTAGGGCTACTCATGCCGAGTAACTGGGTGCCGTACTCGATGATAGCGATCGCTCTCGGGGACTCATCCGGTCTTGGGCGGCAGGAGGGGCGGATTGATCAGCAATGTTAGCATTACGCGCAGCGCCAATCCGCTGATGTTTCTGGAAAACGTACCTTTTGAGGTGTCATAGAGCCGAGCGCCAGAGACTGGCCTGGGTGAGCCCGTGGGCGACCCTGACTGGCGCCCTCGTTCACGACTAGAAAGGCGATAAGCCCGCCCAAGCACGGCAGGATATTCGTCGATTTTAGTCTGGTGCTGGGAAAGACTGCAACTCCCAAAGCAATGACGCTGACGCACCGCTGCCTCCGGAAGTACTCACCTCAAGGAGCGCCGCTCTTCCATCTTCTTGTCGCGCTCCTGGATATATCTTGCACAGTCGCAGAGATGTGTGTCAATCCACGATATTCGCGGTCCAACGGCATTGCTACGCCCAGCGAGAAGCCGTCTGTATCGCCACTGGAGCTGTGCACATACTGGGTTGGGTTGAAGCGCCGGAAGGGCGAGGCCGATTTCGCACGAGGACTTTGCCTCCTGTCGATCGAGCCGGTGCTGCGAGGCATCACACTAATGTCGGCGTTCAGCGGCCGTGATTTGACAATGTTGTATCCTGACGATGTCACCCTGCGCCACGCAGCACCCGATGGGGTTCGATAGTCAGAAGTCGGTCGCAAGTTGCCAACACAAGCCGAGGGACGAGCGACCGATGCGTCAGTGGCTTGCTGTTCCCAAGTGTGCGCCATGGAGGCAAGCCCGACCGTTTTGGCATCGATGGGACATACCGGGTTTGGTGTCGCTTGGCAGGACTGGACTGGCGGCTCTCCCTTGTCGCAAGTCCGTACCCAGGGCCAAGACGCCGTTCAATCGGCGCACTCACAGAACTGCTGCGTTTCTGCTTTTGCGATCGCTCGTAAAAGAGCTGATCCTGTGCCATGGATTTGGGGTGAGTGAGAATCCCAGGGCAGCCCTGGAGATGAAGGACATCCCGATGCAGACCATTTACCATGATTTGGGAGAAAATGTCTTCCAGGTCAAAGAGGTGTGCCTCAATCGACCCCTAAATGCGGAGCAAAGGCGGTGAGAATCGCAGAGAACCTGCTTGCCGGGCAGCTCGTCATTCCGGGGTGACGAGTTTCTCAAATTCGTATGGACGAGTCAAAGGACCACATGAGCGCCCAGCACCTGGCCTTCCAGACTTACTTCGACCGCCGATCCGTCGTACAGTTCTCGGATGCACTTCCTAATGGCCTTGATCTTTGTCCTTGTTTTGGACTGGAGCGAGTCCAGGTGCTTATCGCTCAAGTGGCTCCGGGATACGTTGGCTGGTCTGACATTGCACCCACCCCGCACAGGAGTGGCGGCGGGAGTCAACGAGGAGATTGGCGAGAAAGCGCTGGCAGCGCATGTATAACAGCCACCGAAACTTGGACTCTGCCTCCTTGTCCACTCTGATGACATGCACGCCTGCACCCCGAGTTGATATTGGATGTCTGTTCATCGCCGACTTACGATTTCCGATCCATGAGCTGCTTGATTTCGTGCTTGAGGCGGTCGTTCTCCTTCATAAGCTACAGACCACAAATGGGGGATGTTCATGTTGACGGCAAGGAGTGAACATGTAGTTAATGTGGCCTGGCTCATGCTGGCTCATGCTGGCGTGCAGCTGAAGGTGATGCTCCCCACTCCTCAGGTCACGGAGTGTGCGTCGGTCGCTGGGCCATCCGCCCTTCCATACCTTGGAGAGATCTTCGATGCTCTGATCGCCCTTGGTGCGCTCCGAAACCAGCTGTTTCTGCAGCGATTGCACCTGGTGCTTCAGGATATGACACTGCTCGTAGGACACCTCGCTGGGGACCAGTGGCAAGGGATAGTGAACCCTGACGATCAAAATGGAGGATGAGCATGCCGATTCATGGTGATCCATAGTCAACCATGGTAATTCACAGCGGTCCATGGCGATCCAAGTCGGTTCACATCGAATGAGACCGACAGCCCGGATCCTCACCGGTCAAAGGCCACGGCGTAGGTGAGGATCAGGTATATTTTCTCTCGCGACGGTCGGGCAGAGTCGTCCGATCGAGCGCTCCGGGCCTTGCCCAACTTCTCGACATCCGACGGCGTCAGCAGATCCAGCGATACAGCCCGATTGGCCTGGGAGGGGAGAGGGGAACGAGTGAGCAGTTCAATAGAAACTCGGCACTGCGACGTTGGTCTGCCATGCAGTCATCACCGACATGGGCCTCATCGGCCCATCGATCCTATTCTATGGCACGATCATCTCAAACAAACCTTGTCGAGCGAGCTGATGAGCATCTCTATGAAGACCGAGAACCGCTTGAAGTTGCCCGTCTTCTTGGTGATTTCCTCGATGTCTATCGGTTCTCAGACAACCAGACGGATCATAGGGAGACGAGCCAGTGAGACAAATGTGTCGACAGGCGTACAGGACAGTGGGTCTCCATGCCGGTTCATGGGTATCCGGATCGCTTCGGGTCCGCATCGACATACACTATTCATGCGGCGGCCAGTGGCTGCGGCTGCATCGGCACCTGCCCATGACACACCAGCGAGGGAGATTACATTTGTCGGAGAAGGAGCCGCTCCATGTCCTGTTGGAGGCAGTATCGCTGAGGGTGACGTTGAGTACGGGAGCGATTTCTTCTGGGTCCTCCTCGGCTCCGACGGGCAAGACACCCTTGAGCTCGAGGCGGTATTCGTTGCCCTTGAGCGAGATGAGGGCCGATTCGGAGAAGGAGAAGAAGGACGGATCCATTGTGGCTGACGAGGACAGAGGACGTGTGCTGGGCGAGCGATGGTTCGCGGCGAGTATGCGTCCGAGATTAAGAGCCACGAGCGTCCGGAGCCGGCCGTGCTGGTGGATGATGGCGATAGTGACGTTGGCGAGGGCGAGCGATGGAAGGCTGGCTGGGAGCCGACGGAACCCCTGCAAAAGCGCGCGCTGGCGGATCGGCCCTGGGCTGCCTTGGGCTGCCCGGGCCTCCTCCCTGGCTGCCGCCGGCATTCCCGACTGGCCCAGAAGCGGCTCCCGAGTGACCCAGATTGTGCATCTTGATCCCGTCATTGGCATCTGCAGCATCGGCAACTCGACAGGACATGGCCGACAGTCACGAAATGGCGCAGATCCGGCATCTGCGAGCACGAACGCGGAAACTCATGCAGGAACTATGGGAGGCCCAGAAAGACGGCGGGCATCGGCAGCCCACGCCCGAGGCCATCGCCGCTGTCTTGGAGGATAGGCCGGTGCGATATCCTCCCCGCTCGCCGGGCAAGTTGTCGCCGTCGCGATCGCGGGTGAGTCTGCCAGAGGGACGGGGGAGCGGATCGCCAAACACCACTCACGAGCACACCCAAAGCAAAAGCAGATGCTAGTTGGACAGGCAAGCAGGGGTTTGGTTTTGCAGACAGCATTATGTTCCAATTGACACTCGTCGTCTCTCGATGACCACTCTGCCCAGTCCCAATCCCCCTCCAAGCGAGTATCCAAGTCCCGGCCAGCTTCCCCCAGTCGCCAAAGCAGTCCCGCCCGTCCGTCATCACCCCGGTCCAAACTCTCTCGACAACAGGGGCGATTGGGCTCGCCTCCAAAGATCCATGTACCACCAGTGTCGCCAGCTCAGATACTGAAGGCTGCCAATGACCGGCAGGAACGCATGGTGAGTCCGGATTGGGAGGAGGTGTGCATTCTCGAGAGATGTTGGTGGGAAAGCTACGAGTAGTGTTTCCACCAATGCCGTCGGCAGCAAGACTCAGCCACATTCGCTTTGCAGTTTTACGACACCCTGTATCGCGACGACCAGTACTACGACGATCTGCAGCTCTTTCGCAAGGCCAACAAGGACCAGTTTATCCGGGATCCGGTGCCGAAGAGGTGGGAAGATGGGGGCCACAGGGAGATGCATGCACCCGATGCCTGATCCATGACTGACACACGGCCCCAACATCTACCCCCCCCCCACCGCCTGCGGCTTGCCAGTATCCCGGAGGTTTCGCATGTCCAGCGAGTGATTGCCGAGACCCGCAACCAGCAAGAAATATCGGCGCCGTTCGACCCATCGGTACACTGTACGATCGCCTGTGCAATGCGGGTCAGGGTCCCAGCGGACATGACACCAACGGGCAGTCTGTTGCCGCCGTAGTAGAGATGAGCGAGCTTTGAACAGGTCCGATCAACTGAAATGTGAATCGGTGTTTCAACTTTCCAGACGCCGGGGCATTCCGTGTCAACAAACGACTGATGCTGGAGCGCATCCAGTTTCCGTTCAATTCCCTGGAGGACGCAGAGCTGTTCACACACGAGGAGTTGCGAAATCTGGCCGAAGATGAGCCACCGGTCAAGTATGTGTCCAGGCTGCAACCAGCAAAAATCCTCTGTGGTCGTGGTGACAGAGATCACTGGACACTAATCTGCATGTTGGATACTCTGTTCCTGATGGTACTCTTGGCGGGCGATCCAGAGTGAGCATTCCCAAGAGTCTATCGAGCAAGATCGTCAAGACGTACCGCCCACACCGGAGACGATCGTTTGATCCTGGCGATGCGATCGATATCGGCGCGGTATGAATTCTGGGTGACAATCGACATGATCGCCGTCATCATGGCTGTGGCTGCAGGTCGGGAATGCTGACTGTGCAATCCGCAATCCAGTTCCTGCACAAGGGCTACGAGTCGCATCTGCGAACTACGCAAATGGTCAAGAGGATTGGCAAGTGCATCGATACTGCTGTGCTGCTGTGCTGCATAGCGTAGGCATGGCGCTTGTGTGTTCATGACTGACACAGAGCCGTGCTTATGAATCAGGGACTGAAGGCGTATCGCTGGCAAGAGAAACGGCTAAAACCAGGGCCGCATCGTTCCCTGGGGCAATCATCGACCTCGACCTGTAGCTGTCTGTTCGTAGCCTCGAGGTCGGCGACAGTAGAGGCGGTTGAAGAGATGGCTTATGGACTGGACGGGTTCCATCGAGGCGAATTCTCCACAAAGGATACCATCAACTAATTGCAGCGATCAGACAATCCAGAAGCATCCACCATCGAGTCAATTGCTTCCAGAGGACCAGGCCACTTCCCATCCCTCATGATCTGAATCCACAATGTGGGCTCCCGGGTTCTGACAGTGGCGAGTGGTCGCTGCTTGAGCCCGCCAAGAGATGTGTGGCATCGTTGAGCATTGTATATTTGGCTTCAGTTCACTGCAGCTCGCGCTCTGATGTAACTCTCTTCAACATCAATGCAGTGGCTATATGGTTGGACGGATGCTTTGTTGGCAGCAGATTACGGGGAAGTGCGTGAGGGTGACGGCTGTAGCGCTTTCGGATCGAGGAGGAGGCCAGTGTCGGGGTCGATTCCGTTCTCACGGAACTAGAGGCGATCGATATATAGGAATGTTATCATTGCGCACAGATTGCGACGGCGGAGTGTTAGCAAGTGAGTGCGAGACCCACGAGTCCGTCCAGCATTGCATCCCCCGAGGGAGCTGTGTATGTGCTTTGACATTCAGACAAGCCCGGTCTTGTACGTTTGGGCAGATGCGGTGCCCACCTTTTGCTGTACAAATCGGTACCGGGCCTGGTCAAAGTTGATGTTTTCGTCTTTCATGATCTGGGCGATTCGCTGTGACCGTTGCGGTTCAAAGATGTCGCAAATCGTCAGTCACGACTGTGGGCCACCACTTGCTCGAGGGCGGCTCGGGGGGGGAGAATGTCTACGAAGATGTCTGTTCTTAGTGTATCAGAGCAGGACTGCTCGGACTCGCCCTGTTGTATCTCCTCGGTCCTCCACTGTCGATATGCTGCACCGTCGCTCGTTGCTGGCCCCGGTCGTCGCCCGGCAGTTGCGTACCTGGGCGTCGGACTCTTGCACTCCATGTCGCCTGTCATTCTGGTCCAAATTCTCGGTCTGGATGTTGAAGTTGTCGGACGACAGGCCCTGGCGAACGGCCTCCTCGAAGCTGATGGCCGGGGGCGAAATGCCCTGGACCAGGGTATGGGTGTGTATCGGTAGCGGCAGCGCGGAGGTCCGGCCGTACAGGGCCAGTCTGGAGAAGATGCCCAGGAGAGCTCGCTTGATTCGTGGCGGGAGTAGATAGGCCACTGGCGGTTGATGCCGAGCCGAATGTTGGAGTGGTGGAATCGGAGGTGGGGATGTCCAAAGTACGAAAGTCGATTCGGAAGTGGGTGAGTATCCGAGGGAGTAACTTGAACGGCAGAGGGGGGGAGGAATCACTGGCCATCCAACCGAAGGGGTGGCGACTACCGATGGCGGCCGAACAGAGAGTGCCGATTCCCTGCCTCGCAAGACAAACATGCAGGTGGCGATCGCTGCTGTTTGACTGTTGGGCGATGGAGCCAACAAACAAAACGGCGCTTCGTCTCGTCGTCCTGCCTCCAAGTTGATCCTTCGCTGCCACCGCAAGCTATCGGCGAGATGAGCAGCATCGCAACAAATACTCGAGCAACCTTTGTCCAGCACGGTCATGGACCGATCCTGAGACGGATCTGGTCGAGGGCGGACAGGAAGGCATCTGGCGGCATGGATTCCTCAGTAGGACTGGTCGTTGCAATGAGATCGAGAATCACCTGTGAACAAGAAGATAGGCACTGCCACGAACAGGAGCAAAATGTCCGACAGCCGAAGTGCCGGCGCTTTGAGCGAGAATCCGATCTGTCCGTCGGCCATGGCCTGCGATCGGCTCGGTGTCGCTGGATGTGGATGAGGCCAGGGTTAGGATACCCCGGCATCGCAATCTGCCCTGGATGACGAAAGCAGCGAGCGCAAATCAGGCGTGCGCAGCAGGGCAAGGAAGGACAAGCGACGACTGGCTCTGGGTTGGATCAGCAACGAACAACAACGACGAACGGCAGCGAGCAGCAGCGAACACCGAAGAGCGAGGGACGATATGAAGGTCAACTCTAACGTAGTACTGAAGGGTGGGTAGCTGTTGATGCAGCAGGATGCAGCCCGGACACACAAGGCGGTCCCTCAGCGCCGTCTCAATCCGCAACTACAGCTGACATCGATCGACACCTGCGCTCTGGACATTTCAGGTTCCAAAGCAATCCTCGTGCCCTACAAGCGAGAGCATGTCCTGATCTACCACGAGTGGATGAAAGATCCGTTTCTCCAAGGTATGGAAAGGGCGGGGCATTTGCGTGGCTGAAAGGCGCATGTAGAAGCAGTGGCGATCGACCGAAGGAGACAGTGGTATCCTCGATCGAGATCGCAGCCCAAGAAAGCAAACTCGATGACCGACCTATTATCTCATCATGCGCTCTGGTGCCCCGCTGGCCCGCAGAGATGACGGCATCAGAGCCCCTGACGCTCGAGGAAGAATACGAAATGCAGCAGTCCTGGTACGAAGATGAGAAAAGTAGGATCTGACTGGCTGATGACCATGTGCACCCGGATCGCTCCTGGCGGACTCTGCTGGGCATGCAAAGAGAGATTATTCTCCGGAGAACTCGATCCTATCGGCTGCGGTGTCTGCGGTGGGATGTATGAATGTGTGAATTTATGATATCATTGCGGTGCTGCTCTCCCTCGGCGAATCGGCAGAGTGCACCTTCATCCTGCTTTCCTCAGGAATGGAGCGTAACCGAGTCGGTATCTCGGCACAGTTCGGAGGTAGGAGCGTGCCCGCATGCAAGGTCAACGCCAGCAGTGAATCGGTGAATCGGTGAATCGGTCTGCCAGCCTACTGGATGCAAGGAAAAGCTCATGTAGCAAGCGCCAATGCATAAGATGCTGACTCTCTCGTTGATCCCGGACACCTTGGCGACTGGACTCTGGACAGGCATGGTCGGCGATGTCAACTTGTATTTTAACGACTTTTACGACCCGCATGTGGCCGAGATCGAGATCATGGTGGCAGAAGAAGAGGCTCGCGGACAAGGACTGGGACTCGAGGCTCTGAGGATGATGATGCGATATGGTACGGAACTGGCCCCGCTGAGCTCGGCGGTGTCCTGGACGAGCCGAGCCATGGGCGGGATGCTTGCGCTGGACCAATCGGTCTGATGCCCTCGTTGTCGATGCCGTTGTCGATGCCGTTGTCGATGCCGTTGTCGATGCCAATGTTGCTGGCATCGGCACGGAGTGAACCGACACTGACCTTCTGGGTGCCGCCTTTGCTTGCAGCCGTCGAGCGGCTGAGTGTCAAGTCGTTTGTGTCCAAGATCTCACTCAAGAACGAGTCCAGCCAGCGGCTCTTCCGGGAGCGACTGTCATTTGTGGAGGAGAGTGTCTCCCAGGCATTCCAAGAAGTGACGCTGGTCCGGCCTGTGGACGATGTGCTGGTTCGCGAGCTGGCGCAGACGGTCCAGTGGGAAGAGCGCATCTTTGAGTGATGCGTCTCATCAATTGATCATGGGCTCAGAGTCGAGTGTCTCATGAAGTGCTTGAACGCCATGAATGAAAACGAGTTTCATGTCGAGTGCCTTGCTATCCAGCCCGCATGGTGCGTTTTGGGGGTGCCAACCAGGGCCAAACAGCAGCCGATATGTCGGCACTCGCATCTCACAGCAGCCCAGCGACCGAAACAGACAGAGACAGCATGGGCTTTACGAAGAAGATCTCCAATATGTCGATCCGGCAGGTCATTCGAGCGGACGCAGCAGAATGGTCCGCACTGCAGGCAAAGGAGATGCGAGCGATGCCAATATCCCGACGGTAGACTTGTGGCTCCGTGATGCAGAGCAACTGAGATTCGCATCGACTACAAACCGATCCCATGCACTGAAGACACTTCGGCCAGGGTAAAGTGTGGAGGGGAGGTAGTGCGAATGGCAGGATCCAACAAGCGGGTCGGTGCATTGGTTCTGGAGAAACAGCGTCGATGCTGGACCCGAGTGAGCGGGGCTTTCCACAAGCAGAGGGTGCCAACTTGAGACGCAGATGGCTCATCCTGATCTCGGCTTTCGGGGACGACAGGAAGGCGGGGGGGGGCTCTGCAAGGACGTCTGTCGGGGGGGGGGCACTCGATGCCAACGTTTTTTTTTCCTTGGCCGCTCATCCAGCAATCCCAAGCTCGGCATCCAGCGCTTCGTCTGTTGGGAGAGAGGGAAAGTGCTGGCTCTGCGTGGGAGAGGCAGCTCCATCTTGGCGTGGGAGACAACAACGGGCTGCGTGCTGTCCCGCCAAGGGTCGGCATGCAGTCCCGGCCTTGGCGGATTGGAGCAGGAGGTCGAAAGGGTGGGGGGAAGAGCGACAGGACAGCAAGCGGCGGGACTCGATCCGCAGAGAAGGCGCCCACGCAAAAGGTCCCCGCGCAACTGGTGCGAAACGAATTGAAGGACTGGGCATGGCATAGGATGGAAAGGGCCCGGGGTTGGATGGAAAGAAGGACATGGCAGGCTCCGATCAAGCAAGGGCAGGGCCATGGCCCAGCAAGGACGAGACACGGCCAGGCAAGGGTGTGCCGGACCCCCGCCGGCAAGCCCAATCCTGGCGAACAAGCGGCGTTTCAAATTCGGCTGGTGGGGATCTCGGCTGGAACAGCATGGCGATTAGAAAAGTCGTGGGAACGTGTGTGGGGATTGCTGCGGTGTCGGGGAGCCGCAGGCGCCGGAGGGAATGTCAAGGAGCAGAGTCGAGAGATACGAGACGATACGAGACGATACGGGGCGAGGGGAGTTTGACGACGGCGAGAGTGTGCGGATGATCCAGGGCAGGGCGACGGTGCAGATCAGTGCGGTGGACAGAACAGAGATGGAATGTGCTCAGCACCGGCTGCTGTGGAATGTGCAAATACCGGCGGGCACATGCCCAGGATCGGTACGAACGGGAACGGCGTGGGAACATGGCCGGTCATGGGGTCGCGCGGAGCAAGGACACAGCGGCGGTGGGGGTGCAAGCCCTCGGGACAGACCCTGGGCTGGCGGGACAGCAGTCGCACAGGCCGAGGGCTGGGGCCGTTCTGGCAGATCGCGGACGCGGAATCTTTGTTGGGCCGGCAAGCCCACACACCAGCCCAGTGCGCAAATGAACGGCAGTGTGTATCGACTGTGTGTATCAGATGCGTGCATTCACTGTGTGTATTCACTGTGGCACTGTGTCCGCCGCCTGCTTGCTGTTAACAAGGGCTTTGCCACACATATACAGTCCAGTCGCGCGGTTACACGGCGGTCATTGCGGCGCCCATCTCGGCGCGCCTGCACAGCGATACTCCGATCACACAGCCCGCTGTGGTCCCTGCACATCGGCCCCGATTCTGCATGGGTCGGCGGGTGCGTCTGAGAGTGCATTTGACTTGATGATTCAATTGATCGCACTCTCGACCACACTCGACCACTCTTGACTACTCTTGATCACACTTGATCACTATTGACTACTCTTGACCACTCTTGATCACTCTTGATCAACCTTGACCACATCAGATCGATTCGCCTTTCGTCGATTAGTTCAACGCCCTCTGCGCATTCCACGCCATCGCCCTCACCCGATCCCACGCTGGCATTCGCTTCGCCAACCAGCGCCGGCCGCCATGGAGCCCGACAAAGGAATCGTCCTTCTGCTTCCGTCCATCTTCATCCCGGCCTCGCGCCCATGGCTGCCCGCCGTGTGATCGCCTTGGTCGTCGCCGCGCCAAGGCCGGCTTCGTTGGCTCGCCTCTCTGTTGACAATGTTGACGATGTTGACGATGTTGACGATGTTGTCGTTGCTGCTTCGTGTCCATCAACTGCTTTGCCACCTCCTCTCACCAAGTGGCTTTCGTCCACAACAACTCCCGTCCGCGTTCTGTTGCCCGACAACGGCGAGGCCCCAGTCAACACACCACTCCCGCAACACCCCTTCGCCGTCAACACACTCCTCGCCCCGCCCGCGCCCTTCTTCCAGCGCCCCCCCTTGCATCTCGCGCCGTGCCATGTGGTTCCTTGTTGCCCCGGGTGGCTGGGGGGTCGGCGCAGACCCGCCGTCCCCGTGAGCCTCCCAGCGCCCCCGCCTTGCCGACCACTCCGAGCCCCGTCGTTCGCTCGAAAGCACGATAAATACCCGCTTCGCGCCAACTCTGTCCTCAGCCGCCCCTATCCTCATCCCACCGAACCGCTCCCGCCCGGTCCAAGATGGCTGAGACTACCCACAAGGAGCACCACCACGCTACTCCCAAGCTCGACACCGAGGAGAAGGAGGTCCTTGGTATCACTACCATCGACTCTGACGATGTCGAGCACCTCGATGCCCACGGTGCCTATGCCCAGATCAGCGCCATCGTCTCGACCACCGACGATCCCTCGATCCCGTGCTTCACCGTCCGTGCTCTGTTCCTGGCCATCTTCTTCTGTGTCTTCACCTCGGCCGTCAACGTCATTCTGTCCTTCCGTACCAACCAGTTCACCATCCCTGCGTACGTCCCCGTGGTATGTATCTGTCGATCACGCATCTCACAGTGAACCATCCCATGCTTGTATCGTCCTGGCCACCTCCAGACTCGGCATCTGGCCACCTCCAGACTCGGCATCTGGCACTCACATCTCCTCCCCACGTTCCCACGCTCCAGATCATCGCCTACCCCATCGGTATCTTCTTCTCCAAGGTCCTCCCCGATGTCCGCTTCAAGCTCTTTGGCGTCGAGAACTCGCTCAACCCCGGCCCCTTCTCCATCAAGGAGCACGTCCTGATCTACATCATGTCCAACTCCAACACTCCCTACGGTATCGACAACGTCGTCGGCCAGATCGGCGCCAAGTATCTCAACGACACCTCCATCCAGATCTGGCAGTCGATGCTCTGGATTCTTGCCACCCAGTGCCTCGGTCTCGGTCTCGCCGGCATGGCCCGTGACTTCCTGATCAAGCCCCCGGCCATGTACTGGCCCGGCAACATGGGCATCCTGGCTCTGTTTGCGTCCTTCCACGACGCCAAGGCTGTTGCCGCCGACTCTACCTCCAAGTACAAGATGTCGCGCTTCAAGTTCTTCTGGATCGCCTTTGCCATCGTCACTGTCTGGTCCTTCTTCCCCTCCTTCATCGCCCCCGCCGTCACCAGCATCTCGATCCTCTGCTTCTTTGGCGCCGGTGCCAACAGCCTCACCAACATCTTTGGTTCTGCCACCAAGGGTGTCGGTCTCATCACCCTCACCCTCGACTGGTCCCAGTTCAACGGCTACATCCAGCCCCTGACCACTCCCTTCTGGGCCAACTGCGTCCTGCTCATCGGCTACGTCATCTGGTCGTGGATCATTGTCCCTATCGCCTACGTTAACAACCAGTGGGATGCCAAGTTCATTGGCTGCAAGCACCCCGGCCCCAACGGCTGTGGCTATCTTAACGGCAACGGTCTCTTCAACGGCTCTGCTCTTGGCCAGACCCTCAGCGGCCACATTCTGCTGAACCCCGCCACCTTTGAGCTCGATGTCAACAAGTACAACAGCGCTGCCCCCGTCCATCTCGGCATGACCTTCATCTTTGTCTATGCCTCCTCCTTCATCACCATTGCTTCGTCCATCACGCACGTTGCTCTCTGGTACGGCAAGGACATTGTCCAGCAGGCCCGTGTTGCCGTCAAGCAGCTCAAGGAGGATGCCGACCACCAGGACATCCACAACAAGCTCATGGCTGCCTACCCCGAAGTCAGCAACTGGGTCTACCTCGGCATCTTCCTGTTCTCTACTGCCCTGATGTTTGTCGTCGGTCTCGCTACCCCCTACAAGCTTCAGTGGTGGGGCATCATCCTGGCCATTGTCATGGGTATCATCTTCATCATTCCCCTCACCACCATCACTGCCCTCTCTGGCCAGTACATTGGTCTCAACGTCCTGACCGAGTTCATCATCGGTCTGATCATCCCCGGTGACATGGTCCCCGTCATGTCCTTCAAGTCCCTTGGCTACAACGTCATGATCCAGGCCCAGACCCTCCTCAACGATCTCAAGATCGGCCACTACATGAAGGTGCCTCCCCAGGCCATGGTTGCCGGTCAGGTTATCGGCGCCATCCTCTCTGCCCTGATCTGTGTCCCCGTCGCCACCTCCTTCACTCTCTCGCCCCTCTTTGGTATCGGAAACTGGCAGGCGGCCGGCTACAACACCTTCTACTCTGCCGGCACCATCTGGGGAGCCATCGCCCCTGCTCGCTTCTTCGGCTACGGTGCTCTCTACCACGACATCCTCTATGCCTTCCCCGTCGGCTTCCTCCTCCCCGTCCTCCCCTGGCTCGGCAACAAGATCTACAAGCACCCCTACTGGCACTTGGTCAACATCCCCATCATGGCCAACTGGGTCGGTCCCCAGTACGGCAACATGAACGCCGTCATCGTCACCTTCATTCTGTCCTTTGTCTTCCAGTTCTACCTCTTCCGCTACAAGAACGAGTGGTGGCGCAAGTACAACTTTGTCCTGTCTGCTGCCCTCGACTCTGGTGTCGCCATCACTGCCGTCATCATTGGTGTCCTCCAGCTGCTCTTCCTCCAGACCGATGCTGATGGCAACCCGGTTGGTGGTTTCCTGATGCCCACTTGGTTCCTGAACCCCAACGGCCCCGCCGACTTTTACTGCTTTGACATGGACTACATGGGCAACCCCCTCAGCAAGTAAAGCCCCCCGCCGGCGACAGCTTGTCGAGAGGTGCTGGCCCTCCCGCTTGTGTCAGCATTGTCCCGCTCCCTTTCTCCCATCACCACCCAAATCCTCTTTCCCTCCACCTCTGGCCTTTCACCAAAGCCTTCGCCATTTACCGTGCGACTCTATTCTATTCCGCTCTGTTCAAGTCTATTCTGCTCTGCTCGACTCTCTTCCGTTCTGATATCAAAGGCTCCTTCTATGGGAACAGAGAGGAAAACCCAACCCACACGACCTCTGTGGAAGCCCTGCTTTCGGGGCTGCTCCTGTAATGGTTGAATCTGTATCGGTCTATGTGATAATACAAAGTGAACCGTAACATTGACTTGCTGCAGTGGCGTCCTTGATTCTGATACAAAATCGCATCGCATCGCATCGCATCGCATCGCATCGCATCGCATCGCATCGCAAGGCAGCGGTGCGAAAGTCGGGTGTGTAGCGAACGGTCATGGCCAGCTCGCATTGGTTTTGGGGCTGCTGTAAAATCGATCATTGGCCATTGATGGCATCGGCCTTGTCGGTGAACTGGGCAAAGTCACGGGCGATGGCATTGAGGTGGGCAAAGTTGCGGACGAGGTCGTTCGTGAGGACGCTCGTATCCTGGCAGTTGTGGATCGAGAGGGAGTGGTACTTGTCACTCTTGGACCCAAAGAGTCCTCTCTCAGTCGCCAGGCTGCACTCCAGTGGACTGGTTTCATCCTCGCATGGTCTTACCACATACGCTGGCGTGCCCTGGCGTCCCTGGGTCGGATCGAGGGTGGACCAGAAAGCTGCAGTGTGGTCATTTTCTTTCTTTTGGCGGCGGAAGAGGCGAACCTCTGCCCGTTTGGATCCAGGTCATTCGTCGCCTATGCCATCCTTTTGTCAGTCCATCGATGCTGATCAGGGCACACTGCCTGGTGTCGGGTCGAGGGAGGATGGTATTGGTGCCGGGGAAGGCTTGTGGCTTGCTGCCTGCTTTCTTCGGTACCATGTGGCGAGGGATGGTCTGGGTCGTGCTAACTCTTCCACTATCTTTGGTTGCAGAACGAGTATCGATTGTGAATGTCGAGTTGTCGTTGTCGGGTCATCGGATGTTTCTCTCGGTCGATCAACATCAGCGATTCTTATGGGACAGCACTATTTGCATATTGGATGTATTGGATATATTGGATGTATTGGATGTATTGGATGTATTGGATGTATTGGATGTACTGAATGTCAAATACACCATCATTCGGCCATTGCCGCTTCATCGGAACCACTCTGCAAGTCCACTCTTTGGCATCGTGGTGGTTGGGATGGGTGTTGGCGGCGCGGTTTGCTTGGCTGCTTGCAAGTTCAGTGTTGCGATTTTGTTGTTCGGGAGTGGAATTCGGGAATCAGGGCCATTTGCCAAGTTTCTTGAGGTTGTTGATGGCAGCTTGGAAACCCTGGTCGGCGGACTTGCGCCACCAGAAAACGGTGGTGTCAATGTTCTTGGGGACACCTTCGCCATATCTGTAGCAGTCGCCGAGATAATGTTGTCCGTATCGATTGCCCTGTTCGGCCGACTTGAGGAACCACTCGACTGCCTTGCGTTCGTCCTCGGTAACTCCACGTCCACAGAGATAGCAATTACCAACCCACCACTGGCCGTACGAGTTGCCTTGGTCAGCCGACCTGCTGAACCACTCGAATGCCTTCTTGTGGTCCTTCGATACTCCCCCGCCAAAGGAGTAGCAAATTCCGATCCACAACTGACTGTCGCTGTGTCCATCGTTGGCGAGTTGCTCAAAGATGTCAGCTGCCTTCTTCTTGTCCTCGGTGGTTCCGAATCCAAGGGACAGACACACAGCCATGAGATATCTGCAAAGCCAGTCACGGTCCGATCCGAGCTGGCATAACTCAAAGAACTTGCGGAAAGCGGGTGAGTCGGACTTGGTGTCGTTCCAATACGCTGCCAGACACTCGCCTTCCCCAAGCTTGAACTCATCCGATTGGTTATCTCGGATGATCTTGACACCTTTCTGCTCGTCGCGCACGGTACCCCGACCGAGGTAGTGCATCCACCCGACCATGTGCGTGGCAATGGGCTTGATGACTGGGTCGGTGGATTGGGTGCTGACTTCATGCCAGTAGTTGAAGGCAGTTTCATCGCTCTGTTCGACACCATGGCCGATGAACGAGAGCCAGCCACGGAGGAACACGATATGGAGTCGACCGTCTTCGTTGGCTTGATCTGCTGCTTTGGAATACCACTCAATGGCCGTGTCGTAGCTTTGTTCGACACCTTCGCCGATCTCGTAGCATCGGCCAAGAGCGACCTGAGCCCGAGGAATTCCACGATCTGCAGGACCACGGTATAGCTCCGCGGCCTTGGTGTGATCTTTGTCGACTTCAATTCCGTTGAGATAAAACCCAGCGAGGTCGTACTGGGCCCTTGAATGGCCACCTTTGGCTGCATTCTCCAGAAAGCGGAAGATTTGCTGGAGGACGCTTTGCCTCTTGGATCGTTCCATGTAGGGTTGCCCTTCAACCTCGATTTGAAGGATCCTTGCCAGGAAATATGATGCGGCAGCATTGCCATGCTCTGCCTGAGCAACGAGCCAGGATCGATCAGCTGTCTCTTGATCATCACAGTGCAGCGAGATGGCAATCGTGTCGCTGGGGGTGAGACCGATCCGCAGCTGTCCATCTGAATGACACAATCCTGCATTCTGGGACCAACTGTGGAAGCGAGGCACCTTGGAGCTCAGGAGGGGTCGGGCTCGTTTGCATACTCTGAGCAGGATCTTGATGGTGCTGTGATCAATCGCAAGCTGGAAGCTGTCGTTGCAGCAGACGATGGTGAAGATATCTGGGTTGGGTTCGAGTGAGAGTTGGGTGATATCGGGAATCGACGAGGTTGTTCTGGCTTCAGCTTGGCTTTGGTGGGTGGCAGATGATGCCGTGTTTGAAGCAGGCTCGTTCATGCTTGCCATGTTGAACGGGGAGACAGCTGGAAAGGAGAGAAGCGGGTGGGTGTTGGCGAAATGTGGGAGACGGCGAGGGAAGAGGGTGAAAACGGGCGACGAGGGAAGAAAAAGCAGGCAGGACCTGAGCCACGCCACCAGGTATCATTGGCGGTGACACGGTTTCAGATGCGCGACACACGAGCGCAGCAGCAGCTCAATCGGGCTGGGCTTGCCCGGCGGATCAACTGGTAAACACCCTATGTTCAATAGGTGGGTCTTTATTTAAGACTTTGCCTTAGCGTCCCTGGCGGGCTCTGGCACTGGGTGTTGGTTTGTTAGCCAACCTGATACATACTTGACCAATAAGGTCCCTTTTTAGCGACGGGGGGGGGCGAAGTGAACAGCTTTGGATACAACGGGTTGTAAACAAACGAGGGGCACATTCTCTGGATTTTTTACAGTCACAGGCTGATAGGACATACAATGGCACGTAACCATTCGGAGTGCATTCTCCAGACAGATGTCTGGACTGGGGGGACACGGACAGGGTCAGGGTTCGAACCTGAGACATCGAGGATCTTCTCCCCGAGCACACGGTCAGAACAACTGCACCAACCGGTGCCCCCCGTAAACACCCTATGGTAGTACGGGGGGTTTTTCTGTTAACGATAGTTGTATATTCGAGACATTCAACCGGCCATCAGCACCTTGCGGTACTCGGCAGTGGATGTATGGTGCGTGCCAGTTTTTTTTTTGTTACTATAGTCAACTTTATTCAAGAAGACAAGCCATCAGGTCCAACAGGTTGGTACCCCGGCACGTTGAGTACACAGGCAAGCCTATTTACTCCTGTTGCAGCCTAGTGCTGCCTCAGCTGCCCACAAGGTCTGAGACCAAGCGGGTGAACACATTTTCAAGCAGTTCCCACAAGGGAACAGCAGGATCGAGGGGAGGTCGGGGTGGTGGAGTGACAAGTGCTGGCACTATACTACGCTGTGATGAGGGTGCAGGGAGAGACTGCAAGGGTGGGACTACACTGGTTGTGGGAGTGGGTGCTGGTACTGGGTGTGCACCAAGTGCGAATGCTCGGAAGGCAGTGCGGGGAGCGGGTACATGAGCAGCAAGCGATCCAAGTGCGGGAGGGGTGCGAGTGCGAGGGGGAGTGCGATCGAAAGAGAGCAGGTCCAGCAGCTTGTCCACTGGTCCCACTCCGGCTATACCACTTTCCACCCAAGTCGGGTGGGCCGTCTTGAGGGCTGCGACCTTGCGGACCAGGACTTGATGCGGATCCACACATTGCTGTGCGTGGGTCCTGGTCAAGTCGATCCCGGATCCGTGTCGAGCCAGGTTCTTGCACTTGCGGTATCCAAACCTGAAGTGGCCTGGGAGAGCACCGAGTCGCCATCGGACCATGAACATGAGCATGACCATGGATCCTTGGTACCCGCGAGCCTCCCAGAGTCCCGACATCTTGGTCGACGGGGTGCAGGCGGCGGTGAGCTGCTTGGAGCGGTCGAAGCCGTTCTTCATGTGGTCCTCGAAGATGAGGGTCTTGATCGGGACGGGCTGGGGTCGGGGCGGTCCGGGCGGCGGCGGCTGGTGTCGGGTCTTGCCTCGGTAGATCTCCGTGGCCGTGAGGGAGTGGTCGGCCTCTTGTCGGCGGACCACCATGGCCCAGTGCGGATCGGCTCGGACTCCTTGGCCGAGGAACTGGTCGGGGTGGTACGGCGCAATGATCTTGTTGCGCAGGATCATCGACAGCATCTTGTCGCCGTCAGAGACTTGGTCGTCCCAGCGGGCCCAGTTCTGGAGGGCCAGCATCTTGACACGGACGGACATCTTGGGAAGGCCGCAGTTGAGGTGCATGGCACCGATGGGAGTGCCGGGGCCGACGCGGAACATGGTGCGGAGGGCCGTCATCTGTGCGTCGTCGAGGCGGTCGCGCAGAGCCGGGTCCGGGATGTCCATGGCCATCCCGTATTCGAGGGTCGGCCGCACAAAGGTCTTGTAGACCTGGGTGATGGTCTTGGCCGAGACCTTGCCGAGTGTTATGAACGCGGTCGCCGATCATACGACGCGTCATTCATGACCCGCGCTGCATGGCCACTCGGGCGTGATTCATGACCGTGGGAAACATAGGTCGGAGCTCGAATATATTCTCCGCAGGGCGAGCAGGGGAGGGTGAGGCATAGACTTAAATAGAACACCCCGTCCCCTCCTGGATGAACGCTAGTGAATTATCACCTCAATAAACGATCATCACTCTCCTTGCCAGCCCCTGTTCAGCCCTGCCCCTGCTTCCTTGTTCTTGCCCTCGGTTCCTCAGTCCTGCCCCTGCCCAGTTCCTGACATAATAATTCACTCTCTCAAACCCTGCCATGGCCGACCCCAACCAGGCTCTCCTTGAGCACCTTGCCCTGCTCACAACCCAATGCCAACAGCAGCAGGAAGCAATCACCTTGCTTCAACAGCAACTCCAGCAACAGCTCCAACAACAGGAGCAAATCCACTTGCAACAGCAACAGTTCCAGAACAATTTGCCTGTCGTTCAGCCCATCGTACAACCTATCCTGCCCCAGCCCAAGGAACCCAAGGTACCTTGCCCTGAGAAATTCTCCGGTGTCGCCCGAGAGCTCGAGAATTTCATCGCCGGTGTCAAAAATGTCATCGCCTTGCAACCTTCGCGTTTCCAAGACGAAGCCGTCAAGGTCCTCTACGTGAGCACGCTGCTCACAGGCCAGGCTCTCGCGTGGTTTCGCACGCTCCCCCATCCTCCCGCGACCCTCGAAGTACTCTGGGAGTCCCTCTCGGCCACGTTCGGAGACCCCCACGCGGTGTGGACCTCCAGAGCGCGTCTCAAGACCCTCAAGCAAGGCAGAACGTCGTGCGTCAACTACACCACCCAGTTCAAGCAACTCGCGCTCGAGTCTGGGTACAACGACGTGGCCCTTCTTCAACACTACCACGACGGCCTCAATGATGCCATCAAGGACGCCCTAGCTCAAACCTTGACCATTCCGGAGAACTTGGAGGACTTGTCACGGCTCTGTATTGGCCTCGACAAGCGCCAGTACTCCCGCAGGATGGAGAGGGAACAAGGTTCCCACGCTTTCGGCAGTTCCAGACCACCCAGCAGTACCCCGATCCCAGACTCCTCTAGCCACGAGGCTATGCAAGTGGACGCCATCCACATGTTCCCCAAGGCGCCCCTCAGCCGCGAGGAGAAGGACCGCCGCCTCACAGAGGGCCTCTGCCTGTACTGTGGGGGCCCAGGACACATTGCAAGGACGTGCCCCAACAAGAAACAGCAGCACCCAAACTTCAAGGTCCAGGCCAAGTAAGGGGCCTCAGCCTGGACCGCAAATCTGGCCCAACCCGCCGGGACACTGTTGTTTCCCACGCCCGGGTTAATAGCAGAAACTTCATTATTCCTTTGTCCATTTCCCTTCCAGACCAAAGAACGCTCCATCTTTCAGCACTCATTGATTCTGGTTCATCATGCAACTTGATTGATTCTCGCCTTGCCCGCAGTCAAGGACTCGACATCGCTGATCGCGAATCACCCTTGACCATCTTCCTTGCCGACAACAAAACCCGTTTCCAAATCGAAGAGCAAACCTCACCACTACCCGTTACCTTCGATACTCTTTCATTTTCAGAATACCTTTCCTTCAACTTATTCAACTGCAACTCGCGCGAATTCTCCATCATCTTGGGTCTTCCTTGGCTTCAGATGCACAACCCAGTCATCGACTGGGTAGGTGGCCGCGTCTCCTGCAGCCATCCTCGTCCTGTCTCGCCCGACGCGCGTGCTTTGTTGACACCAACAGCTTCGACGCGTGTCGCCAACCAAGTTTCCCACGCTCCCCTCACGGATCCATGGGAGCGCGACAACGACGACGAAGGTGCCACTGACCCCGTGACCGACAAGCAAGTGATTCCCGAAGCCTACCGTGACCTCGCCGAGGTTTTCTCGAAGGAAAAGGCCGAGTTACTTCCGAACCAAAGACCATACGACTGCGACATTCAGCTCAAGGACGAGAGCGTCGTGCCACCGTTCAAGCCTCTTTACAATCTTTCCCCTGCCGAGTCGGAGGCACTCGACGCTTACATCAAAGAGATGCTCCACAAGGGGTTCATCCAACCTTCCAAGTCCCCTTGTGGAGCCCCAATCTTCTTTGTGAAGAAAAAGGACGGAGGACTCAGGCCCTGTGTCGATTACAGGGACCTTAATGAAATGACTGTCAAGAATCGCCACCCCCTCCCGCTCATCTCCGAGCTCATGGACCGACTCGGGGATGCCAGAATATTCACCAAGATCGACCTACGAGGGGCATACAACCTCGTCAGAATGAACCCCAAGGACCAGTGGAAGACTGCGTTTAGGTCCAAGTTCGGTCACTACGAGTACTTGGTTATGCCATTCGGGCTAACCAATGCTCCAGCAGTGTTCCAACACATGATGAACGACATCTTTAGGGATGTTATCGATCGCTTCGTCGTCATTTACTTAGACGACATCCTAGTGTACTCACCAGACCCACATTCCCACACTCAGCACGTTCGCGAGGTTCTTGGTCGTCTCAGGACCAACCGTCTCTACGCCAAGCTTGAAAAATGTGTGTTCCACGTACCGAGTGTCGAGTTCCTCGGCTACGTGGTCTCGAGCGACGGCCTAGCAATGGCTCCGGACAAGGTAGAGACTATTCTTGCCTGGAGGACTCCCACGAAGGTCAAGGACGTGCAGAGCTTCCTTGGTTTCTGCAACTTCTACCGAAAGTTTATCGCCGAGTACTCTGGGATCGCAAAACCATTGTCAGATCTCACTCGGACTACTCCCACCTTCGTGTGGAACCCTGACGCGGAGCACGCGTTCAACACCCTCAAGCGGGCGGTGACCTCGGCACCGGTGCTCAAACACGTCGACCCTTGCTTGCCCTTCGTGCTTCAGACCGACGCCTCAGACTTCGCGCTCGGTGCTGTACTGTCACAGCCGGTCTCGGCCCAGGATTCGTCGGA